GAAGATGATGCCTACGAGCTTGACTCATATGATGAGTGGGAATTCAGAATCGAGGAGCTTCGAGACCAGTTAACTGACAGAGACAGCGACAGCGACATCAGCGAGGCCGAGAACGGGCCCGGAATATTGGTCGAAGAAGTATATAACTTCATTGATAGTGACGATGACCAGACTTTTGTCATTGGCAGTGGCAGTGATAGAGACAGCGTGGGCACCGACTCAGAATCCCTACTTAATGAAGATGATGACGGTGGATTTTCAGACGACGAGTTGGACCGCGAAGAGCTTGACAAATTGATAGCCGATACAAAGACGGTACCATGTCCATGGTACGACGAGTGAGGTGGGCCACTGCCGTAGCACTAGAAGCAATATCAATTGGTCCTCTAATAATAGTACCATATGGCCACCAAATACACGAACCGCTTTTGCCATCCCCTTCTTACTCCTCTCTTAAACCCTTTACTATATTCTGACAGTGTGCACCATGTTATCTCTGATAATCGTCTCACGTGACCAAGCCGCGAAAATTTTCCAATCAAGTCGCCTTGTCAAACCCACTCGTTTTCTACCTCAACCTCAATTCAACCAACATATCGAAATGGTGTTGGCAGACTTGGGAAACAGACTTAAGGGGGCTCTTTCGTCCGTTTCATCAGGGAGTGATGACGAGATCGCTGCCTTGCTTAAGGACATCTCCAATGCGTTGATTGAGAATGACGTGAACTTCAAACTAGTGTTTCGCCTTAAAGAGAACATCAGACAGAAAATCGATACTGATTCCTTCAAATCAGATACAGTTGCTAACAAACGAAAGAAGCTTCAAAAAGCCGTTTACGATGAGCTTGTGGCCCTTGTGGATGCTTATGAAGAACCTCCTCAAATCAAAAAGCTTTCTGCTTCCTCCACCACCGCCAAAGGCAAGAAAAAACTCGTTAAGAAACGAGAGTCTCATGTCATCATGTTTGTGGGGCTTCAAGGTGCTGGTAAGACTACAAGTTGTACCAAACTCGCTGTTTACTACAAAAAACGAGGGTATAAAGTGGGTCTTGTATGTGCCGATACATTCAGAGCCGGTGCTTTTGACCAACTTAAACAGAATGCTATTAAGGCCAATATTCCTTATTATGGATCATATCTAGAAACAGATCCAGTCAAAGTGTCGGCCGAAGGTGTGGCGAAGTTTAAGGCCGAACGGTTTGATATTGTCATTGTTGATACTTCTGGTCGTCATAAGCAAGAAGAATCATTATTCTCCGAAATGGTGCAAATTAGTGAAGCAATCCTCCCCAACCAAACGGTTATGGTTATGGATGGATCTATTGGTCAAGCAGCCGAAGAACAAGCCAAAGCATTCAAAGAAGCATCCGATTTTGGGTCGATTATCTTGACCAAAATGGACGGGCATGCTAAAGGAGGAGGTGCTATATCTGCTATTGCTGCCACCAAGACTCCTATCATATTCATTGGTACGGGTGAACATGTTGCAGATTTTGAACTATTCAAACCATCTTCGTTTATTTCCAAATTACTTGGAATTGGTGATTTGCAACTGTTGATGGACCATGTTAAGCTGTTGAACTTACAAGACGATGAGAACCACAAGAAAACCATGGAACATATCAAAGAAGGAAAGTTTACTGTTCGGGACTTCCAGACTCAAATGAACAACTTCATGAAAATGGGACCCCTAACGAATATTGCCAGTATGATTCCAGGAATGGGTAATTTGATGGGTGCTGTTGGTGAAGAAGAGGCCAGTGCTAAAATGAAAGATATGATCTACATCATGGATTCTATGACTCAACAAGAGTTAGATAGTGATGGACTATTGTTCATCGATGAGCCCGAAAGAATTGTCAGAGTGGCCCGTGGTGCTGGATGTGCTGTTATTGACGTTGAAATGGTTTTGCAACAACAGCAGATGATGAGCACCATGGCCCAAACCGCCAAGTCTACCCAAGCTATGGGAGGAGCTGGTCCTGGAGGCAATGCCAATATGAGCCGGATGATCCAACAGGCACAGAGTAATCCAAACTTCATGCAAAATATCCAGAACATGATGCAAGGAATGGGAGGTGCTGGAGGACCTGGAGGACCTGGAGGAATGGCTGGTTTGATGAATAATCCCAACGTTATGGCCCAAGCCCAACAGATGATGCAAGATCCAAATATGATGGCTCAAGCACAACAGATGATGAGAAACCCTGGAATGATGCAACGGATGATGAGCCAATTTGGAGGAGGAGGAAGCCCTTTTGGTTGAAGATAAAACCAGATGAGAAAACCAACCCTAGTAAATACTGTTCAGAGTAGCTAAGATTGTGGATTTAAATACATAATCGGTTCCACTTAATTTCCCATCAACATGTCCTACAATTTGTGGGTCGTGTTTTAATACACGCTCTTGGAAAATTTCACGTTTTAGTTTTTGCGTCTAGTCTTATTGATAAGTCCGATCACGTGATTATTATTATCATGTTTTTTTAACCCATACCCACTTGCTCTTCCACCATTATCGACGGGGACAGTCATTCACTTGGGCCCGAATATTCTCATTATATTCTTCACTGCATTCAAACTTTCAGCCATTGGTTGTTTCTAGTTGTTGCTTCTCTCTCATAATTTCGATGTGCGCATCATTTGTTACTCTCCACCCAACTACCCCAATGTCAGATGCAAACAGTAACCCCGACAATAAAACAAACTTCAGGTTCGTTGAAGATGTCGATTGGCTTCTTCGAGACACAGCGGTAACACCCACGCTTGCAAATTCCTCTAATGTGTGGCCTTCCCCCAAAAGTTCCCCAAAGGCTCTGTCTCTCCCTGGTGAGGTGAATCCTCATTTAACCACATCTATCTCCAACTCCAACGATCATGTGGTCCTGAAAACTCGTCCTTCCGTTGCCACAATTCAAGAGGATTCCGTGCTTCTGCTGCCCGCTCTTGAATCTAGTTCTCGGGATCGGTCCAATTCCAACGGCGTGCTTTCTCCACTGCTGCCACAGCTATCAAGCAATTCTCTGACACAAGGAGGATTCCTCAGTAAGATCAAGACCCGCTTCCATCGTCTGCCTCCGATGAGCCCACAGATGACCACGCTGGGGTCGTCAGAGTTATTTAAAGATAATTTTCGGCTCAGTAGAACAACAAGCAACGAACTTTCTCGAACCAGCTCCAACCAAACGACACATACGGTGGCTTCCGGAAATAACACCACTGGTTACGGTTCATCCTCCACCAACGGTGGGCCTTTACTGAAAATTTCATCTTGGCCAAGCGTTCATAGTGGCTCTTCCGACCCGAAATTAGACGAATACGTCAAGTTCTATTCTCAGAAGCCACTTTCACGTACCAATTCCCGCAAACTGTCGATCCTGGAACTGGCCAGTACGACAAATCTCACCGATGATGAGCGGTCTGGTTTGTCCAAATTTTCGTTCCTTCGTCGTCGTTCATCCGTGTCTTCTGCATCGGTACCTACTGCGAAACTTCCCTTAGTTTCAGTGGCCACAGAATATAACCGGCGTCCACTTACGGCAGTTCCAGACGATGACGGTACAAACTATTCGGCGTGGCTTCCAAAGAATTGGGAAGAATATAAAACTCCGGCCAGAGTTGGTACTCTTCAACCAATTCTTCCTGAATTCAAGAATTTAAAGCCTTTAAAACGAGTTGCATTTCACAGCTCCACCTTTCTCATTGATCCTCCTCAGCAAATCCCCTCTCGGTGTCCCCGTCGGGGGAATGTGGAGGTGCTTCCCAATGGAACTCTCAAGTGCCATCCTCTTAGTGAAGAGGACAGGAAGGCCATGGAAAAGTCCCATCAGGGGCAAGGCGGTGGGATAGTGGTGGGTGGGACCGGGGCCCTTCATTTCTTGGAGAAACTGGACAAGGATAAAGCAGATGAGCAGAAACACGATAAAGACCGGGAAAAATCAGAAAAGGATCAAGCAGCAGCAGCTGGACTTCCAATTATTGATAAACCAATTGTCCATAGTCGAGTGGGATACACGGTACCTGTGGAGAAGATGGCCTTGGATCTCATGTATACTAGGTGCTGTCATCTTCGAGAGATTCTTCCTATTCCTGCTATTCTCAAGCAGATTCCCAAGGATTCGATGGCTCCACTTCCAATTCTCCAATTCCGTAACCCCAATCCTACTATGGTGGAAATTCAGACATTTTCAGACTTTATTCGAATTGCTCCTATTCTTTGTATTTCTTTGGATGGGGTGAATTTATCTCGAGAACAGTTCAAAATTGTATTGAGTGCTATGAGTGCAAAGACTCAACTTACCAAGCTTAGTCTTCGGAACACTCCACTTGACCCAGAAGGATGGCTGCTTTTGTGTTGGTTTCTCTCTAGAAACACCGTACTCAGTAAGCTCGATATTACACAGTGTCCCCAACTCACGGTCATCAGCACAAAACCCAAGAAGAAGAAAACTCAGAAAGAAGACGAGCTTGTACGGATGACATGCAACCGTGAAAACAGAACAGATATGGACTGGCACCTTTTCATTGCTACAATTATAGCCCGTGGAGGGATTGAAGAGCTAATTTTAACGGGTTGTTGTATAACTGATGTCGATGTCTTTGAAAAACTAGTGAATAGAGCTCTTTCCATCAAGACCAACCGACTTGGTCTTGCTTACAACAACTTCAGCCCAATGCACATGCAGGTTATCTTCAATGATTGGTTATTCAAGCCATTTGTACGGGGAATTGACTTAGGGTTCAACGACTTTTCTGCAACCAATCAGTATTTGAAGATATTACTTGAGCTCCACAAACAGCCTGATTTTGCTAAAAAGTTGGAACATCTGCTGCTTATGTTCCTCAGTATCAATTCTACTAATCTAAGGTATTGTGATGATTTTAAAACTATTTTAGAGACGGTATTCTTGAAGCTTCCAAACCTTAAATACTTGGACTTGTCTAATAACCCCAAGCTTTTTGCAACCCCCGAAAGTGCAAAAGACCCCAATGAAGCAGTCAATTACTTTGTCAGTAAGTTGCCTTTATTTCCCCAACTTGTGAGATTGCACCTTGAGACTAATAAACTTTCGCCGGATGCTATCGTCTCGCTTGCCAATGTTCTTCCTTTTTGCAAGCACATTGCATACTTTTCACTCTTGGGAAACAAGTTGGATTTGGCTGCTGCTGCGTCTCTTTCTCATGCTGTTAAGAACAGTAAGAACTTATGCAAACTTGAAGCTGATTTTGATGACCTTCCAACATACTTTAAAGATCGCGTAGGTCTTTACTCGATGCGGAATATGGAGAACAACATCTACCATTCTAATGGAGGTGCCCTGGAAGACAATAGCCATAACGAAGAGCTTGCACAACAATTGAATGAGATTTTGGAGCTCAAAGCCGCTGGTGAGCTCGATTTGAACTCGGACATTGTTCGTGACTTTATCACTAAAGCCAAAAGAATCCGGACAGAATTGAGGTCTGCTGTCAACTCAATGAACAATCTTCAGTTGAAACAGCAATTGTCTTTAGAAGGTAAAGAAACCTTGATTCGGTTGATCTTCATTGATTCTTCTATTGGTAAGGCCATGCAATTAATTGACGACAAATTCCTGTCGGAAGACATGTTGTATCTGTTTGATGGAGCCGAGTCTCGAAACGCTCGTCGTCCAACATACGAAGGTGATGTTGAAGTCCCTAGTATCTCGAATGGGCGTCTGTCACCTTCTTCTAAAACCCTTTTCCCACCAGCCATATCTCGTACCAGCTCCAAAACCTCGCTTAACCATCTTGATAAAGAAGAAGGAAATATGCACAGAATCTCCAGTACAATCAACCTCGCCATGGATCAAATGAGTGATATGTCAGGAGATCAAATCCGGAAGAAAATCGCTGGTATCGATTTAGAACAGCTTCCAGCGGTCATTGACTTTGTTCAGAAGTTGAAAGCGAAAGGTGTAGATGTTACGTCTGTATTCAAGGAAATTGGGAAAAAGAAGAACGATGAAAATGACGCTGCTGATAATAGTGATAACGAGGATGAAGGCATCGATCTTGGTTACATCACTGACAAGTTAAAGAAACTCCAGAATGAGTCTCCTCCGAGCAGTTCTGAAGATGGCAAGGATTCAAAGGAGTCTGTTAGTGATCCAGCTCATTCAAAGTCCAACCAAGAGGATTTCGCTGAACACACCATGACATCCACTCCTATGTCAATGATTGATAGTAAGACTCTTGATGCTTCTTCAGGAAAGGAAATGAATGAGCTTTACGACGAAATGTTACACAAGCTCAACCTCAAATAGATATTCTTATTATATATACACCAACTATACATATACACATTTAAAACCGAGACCGGGTAATCTAGTATTCATCATCATCAGAGTCTAAGATTGGATCTTTACGTCTCTTGAATTCGTCATTTTCTTCCTCATCGTCTTCTTCATGCTCTTCACCTTCTGTCACTTCTATGCCATCATGTCCAGCTTCTTCTTCCAAGTCCTCACAGGCATCGATCCAGTCGCTGTAAATATCAACTGGTTTGGATAATGAGTGGATAGTGCTTTGGAATGTTTGTCCACAAATCTTACAATGAAGCTCTCCAATCCCGTTCTTTTTGTCCAACGTACAAATGACAGACCTCTCATGATTACAAAAAAGGCATGTGAACGTGATATCCAATACCTGCTTGACCTTCTTTGTTTGGACACGGGATGATGATTTTCTCTTTCCCATGGTTGATGTTTTCGATGGTGGGAATTTTTCATAGATGTTCGCGGGTTTTAGAATAGGCCATAGAAGATGATGTTATTGGGATTTTTAGAGTAAAAGCAAATGCGTAAGATAGCTGGTATGTAATCCAGAATGCTTCAACCAGTGGAACCTTGTAATAAATGAAATCGCAAGTTCAAAGGGTAGTCTGGAAGTGAGATACGCCAATAAACCCTGTCCTCATCCTTCCCAGCAGGCCAAATGTACCCAAAAAGATCAGGAAAAAAGCAAAAATATTCTCCGATACCATGCACAATGGGGATTAGGGCGTTCTGAATTCAAATTATGTGGGAAAAGGAGTGGGAAAAAGGAATATGAAGTTTTACCATGTTGATACGGCTGCAAAAAGAGCCTTTCGCGAGGCTCAAGCCTCTTCATGCCAAGTTTCCTTTAACTATACTTTCTGGACTACGAAAAACTTGCAAACGCTAATGGAGTCCTTGATTATGTTTTCAGATTTAACTCTTGAGTTTCAGACCCTCTATCCCCATTTCTTTTCTCTTTTAGCTCCCATATTATCTCCACAACGGCCGAGAATTCACAATCCAAACCGAACTTAGGATCACCAAAAAATTCATACAAGACACAATGATCATATTAAGCGTTTGTGATTCTTAACGTGAACCGGCCCTTCCACTCTTTTGCTCCATCGCCAAATAAACTCAGGTCTTTATCCAATCCCAAACTCCGGAAAGTGATTCGCGGAGACACAGAAAAACTGAATCTCCATACTAGACCTATGTCAGAAACCACCACAAAACCTGTACGTATACATTATCTGCCAGAATGGACTCTAACACAGTCTTCCAACATCTATTTCATACTAACAGTCTAGAAACGGACCAAAACTTCCGTGGCATGTGCTCACTGTCATCGTTCCCATATGACTTGTGATTCCAATAGGCCTTGCACTAGATGTATAAAAAGAGGTCTACAAGATACATGTGTGGATGCACCTCGCAAGCAGAAAAAGTACTTGGCAGATGTGCCAGTGAATGCTTATCAGAATGGCCTGGGAATGCTGCAAAATGATGAAAACGGAACTCACATCAGTTCTCCGACGTCAATGATAGAACTATCACAAAATCCAACCACCATATCCATGGACTCTCAGTCCCCGAACCACAATTCCTCGGCTACTGTACGCTCAGCCATTCCCAGCACAGATCTCCTTAAGCAGCGGAGTAAGTTCATGTCATCAGCTGCTGATATGGAATACTCTACGCTTTCTTCTATCATTTCAGCAGACTTTCTCTCCAAGTCACTGACAGACCACACACCAACACTGGTTCTATCTCCCGCTATATCTCCACATGTAGCTCAATCCCTCCAAGAGCCTACACTGCCCAATACCGCTATCAACGAAGCATTTCTCATCAACAATACCAACAACTCGTCCAACTCCGACTCAACAAAAGCTACTTCTCAAACCCGTAAGCCTCAAAATCCCGATATATATTTCAAAGATGCCCATTATGATCTGGCCATCAACCAATACTTTCTAGGGCCTGATTCAGCATCGAGTGATAAATACACCATGTATCCGGAGATCCTAGAACAGGTGGAGATGAAGAGGAGACAAGATCCCGAAGGCTTTTACAAACAGAGTCTTCGACTGTCCATTTCGCTCGCAGTTGGAATTCTCTCTGAAGACCTGACTTTCACAAGAGTACTGGACCCTTCAAATGCTATACAACATTATATCAAAGAGCCGGAAGATATCTACGAGAAGGTCAACAAACCGTATTCGTATACTCCAGGATATCATCTGCTTATTTCATATCTCCGTCGTCGGTTCAACAAGCAGATGCTTGTACAGATGGTGGAATCAATGGCCAAATACAGACCATCGTTTATCGCTTGTACAAATGCTTTAAAAGAGCACGACCTTATCTTTATGGAGCAGTGTTTCCAGCGAACACTCCTTACATACGACCTGATTATTAAAGTCAGTGGAACACCTGCAATTGTCTGGCGTCGAACGGGAGAAATTGCGTACGTCGGAAACGAGTTCTGCATTCTCACGGGGTGGACAAAAGAAGAGCTTCTAAGTCACAAGAAGCGGTTCATAGTGGAGCTTTTAGATGATAGACTGGTCTTGGAATACTTCCAGCTCTTTCTGAGCATCGCTTTTGGTGATTTCTTAGGGGCTTCAATGACTGAGTGTACCCTTCTAACCAGAAACAACAACGTTAAGATCAAGACAAGATGCTCTTGGACATTGAAGAGAGATGTTTTTGGAATCCCCATGATGATTATTGGCAATTTCCTTCCGGTGCTATAATCTGGGGTTGTATCACGTGACGCCTCCTGCTGCTCTCTCGAGTTCGCGTTTTCCATTTGGCACTGCCCTTATCCTGATCTCACATATCTACCAAATGTCATCGTTTACAGGCCATTTGGTGGCAACAGTGGCGATTATGTGTCTTGGTTCACTTCAGTTCGGTTATCACATGTCAGAGCTTAATTCACCCGAATCAATCATTTCTTGTTCAGTTTCAAAACCAGGCAGCGTTCCATTTGAGGACACATGGTTCGGTGAGCATCAATTTGCCAGATGTATACCCATGTCAACGGAGCAAGTGGGATTAATTACTTCCATCTTCAGTATTGGAGGGCTTATTGGATCGTTGTACGTGGGAACAGTTGCAGATAAAATCGGTAGAAAGAAGACATCCATGCTTCACTGTGTAATCTACTTTTTTGGATCATCGCTCAATGGACTTTCTCAGAACTATGGGACATTATTGGTTGGACGATTTGTGGCTGGACTTGGTGCGGGGGCTGCCCTTGTGGTGACACCTGTTTTTATCAACGAAGTGAGTCCTCCAGATGCGAAGGGATTCTTGGGATCAATGAATCAAGTATCGGTGAACGTAGGGATCTTACTTACTCAGGTATTGGCCCTTCGCTGGTGCAATAATAATGATTGGAGATGGCTCTTATTAACAGGATCAATCCTTGCGGTGGTGACCTTGGTATTGATTTTTGTCTATGTTGACGAGTCTCCTATGTGGTTAGTAAATAAGGGATATCCCCATGAAGCTTTGAGAGGCTTACACAGGCTTCGCGGAGGCGAGTATCATAGTGTGCGGTCAGAAGTATCCAGCTGGTCTCAACCAGGAGAAGCAGATCAGTTGTTGGACGAAGAAATGGGTCGGGAAACAGCCAATAGCCCAGCTCCTAAACCTACTGCAGTGTCTCTTGATGTATACCTCAAACTGCCTGAGTTCAATCCCAGTAAGATTGTTGCAACTGGAATTCTCATTTTGCAGCAGTTCTGTGGTATTAATTCGATTATTTTCTACGGTGTGTCTGTATTGATTTCCATCTTCCCATCCCATTCGATTATCATCAACTGCATGATTTCGGTCACAAACGCAGTCGTCACTTTTGTGGCCGCCGGTTTTGTTGACCGACTCGGACGTAAACCCCTTTTGCTCACATCTGTCGCATTCATGGGTATTGCCACTGTTCTCATGGGGTTCGGTATCCTCACCACTAACCCATTGGCATCAATTATTGGAACCTTTACATACATCACTTTTTTTGCAATCGGCTTAGGCCCAATTCCATTCTTATTGGTGGGAGAAGTTACTCAGCCAAGAGCTAAGGCTTCTGCACAGAGTTGGGGTACAACCATGAACTGGGTGGCTACATTTATTGTTGGATTTTTGTTTCCAATTCTTAAAAGCTCATGGATTGGAGGTGGAGTGTACTTTATCTTTACGGGCATGTGCATTCTTACATTTGGATTCATCAAGACGCAAATACCTGAAACTAAAGGCAAATTATCATATGAAGAGGTATGGAATAAATAGTATGAATGTATAACGGAACCAGTCTAACACGTTGGGGGTTGAGTATTGCACGTGACTTTCGATTAGGGCTTTTCGAGACTGCGAAATTCCCAGGTCGTGTATTCTTCCCAAGTCTCTCACCGCTGTCGCCATGCTCATTTTACCTGAAAAAAAATCTTTCTCATAGTTTAACATCATTAAGCACTATGCCTACTAGATTAACTAAGACCAGAAAACACAGAGGCCACGTTTCAGGTATGTAATGAACCATAATATACTCACAGCAACGACTGTCTCATGAATCTCCAACTTTTTCCAACCAACTATTGTTAGTTCCCATCGATAAATGTTCCTTGTCAACGTAGTGAAAAATTTTTGTCAATGATAGAATACATGTTTACAAGATGTTACAAACTTAGAACAAGATGATAAATGGCTCCCTGGCCATGTTTCCCTGGTAAATCCAGCATAGTAACTGGCTTTGACCCTCATACACAATACAATCCCGTGTTATTCATCATGAGATGCAGTTCGAGATACGCCAAACAACAAATACTAACTTAATATTATAGCCGGTAACGGTAGAATTGGTAAGCACAGAAAGCATCCCGGTGGTAGAGGTATGGCTGGTGGTCAACATCACCACAGAACTAACTTGGATAAGTACCATCCTGGTTACTTCGGTAAAGTTGGTATGAGATACTTCCACAAACAACAAGCTCACTTCTGGAGACCAGAAATCAACTTGGACAAGTTGTGGACTTTGGTTGACGAAGAAAAGAAGGACGAATACTTGAAGTCCTCTACTACTTCTGCTGCCCCAGTCATTGACACCTTGGCTCACGGTTACGGTAAAGTCTTGGGTAAGGGAAGATTGCCAGACGTTCCAGTTATCGTCAAGGCTAGATTCGTTTCTAAATTGGCTGAAGAAAAGATCAGAGCTGTTGGTGGTGTTGTTGAATTGGTTGCTTAAGTTACCAAAATAATCATGTTTATATAAAACGAGTTATATAAAATAATATATTTTGTAAAATATATTACTGATGATATAGTAGCTGTACCCTTTTGCCTTTGGTATGTATGACTACTCTAGTGTATTACAAAAGGAAACTAGCTGAGACGCCTCTTTTTCAAAATGTCCGATGGACATCTGCTCATGCAGTCGCACTGTTTACAAAAACCTTCATATGAGGTGGATTATTTTGTTGAATCCAAAACGTTCAAATTCGTTTCCACCGTTGTTATTTTACCTGTTGATGACCCCCAGTTCTATTACCATTACCAGGCCTATCAACACCTCTATAGGTGAATGGAAACCAGAGACGGCAATCCCAGATCGGGTTAAACAACTTCTTGTTCCTTCTCATCCAAAAAAGCCCATCAACTATATTCTTGGATTCATTCAAATCGTACGTCTTTTGAAGACTCAGAAGAGAACCGGATGGTTGGATAGAGATATTCCTGAAAATAAGACCGAAAGTATAGCGGATCACATGTACAGAATGTCGATTATCTCTATGCTTATTCCTAATCTAGAGAACAAAATCAATATTGACAAGTGTGTAAAAATCTCCGTGATTCATGATATAGCTGAGTCTTTGGTTGGCGACATCACACCATTCGAAGGGGTACCAAAACAAGAAAAACACCGTCGTGAACTTGAAACCATTCATTATTTGGCATCGTTAGTGAAGCCATACAACGAACCTTTCAGTAAAGAGTTGGTGGAGTTATGGCTTGATTACGAAGAAATTAGATGTGTTGAAGCTGTGTACGTCAAGGATATCGATAAGTTTGAAATGATCCAGCAAGCATGGGACTATGAACAAGACTATGGTATCAAATATGATCTTACTGAGTTTTACGCTTCTAGAGATGCGATCAAAACTGTAGAAGTCGGAGATTTGTGCGATGAGATCCTTGCACAAAGAGCCGAGTTTGTTAAGCAACATTCTAAATAATGGACATATTTATTCACTATAGAACTTATCAGTTGTAGGGTCAGAAGGGCTGTTTCTATCAACTAATTCCATCCCGTTCAAGGGAAAAACTTTGAATTTACTCTCTGTTCCATCCTTCTCCGTAGCTTTAGGAAGCTTATCCAATCCCTTTTGTATTTGAACGTTGGTTGCGTGAAAAATCAATTCGGTGTTCGAAGTTAAACTTGCATGAAATTGACAGCTTTTTTAAACTAAACACTAAGTAAAACAAAAGAATCTCTTAAATTTGAAATATACCGTAAGCTTGGACTTGGACTTGCATGAATGCTGAATGTTGGACTCCACTTCTTGATAATAGTATCACCCTGTTACTAGATCAAATATACTTTCGTACCATTTCTCAATATATGTCAAAATCACAATTTTGAAGTACTCCTAAATTCTACAATAGGAATTTTCCAAGAAAGTAGCACTACTTACCATGCAGCAAAAACATAATCGGGTGTGAACCATTTGATCCCACATGAATCACACATATGAACAATTCTTAATGAACCAATCTCTAATGGTTTCCGATTTCGGGGTAAATAAGCTTTGGAATCTTAAGCTTATGTCTTGAAAACAGGTGGTGTGTCAAATAATAAAACAGGAAGTACTAGAGAAAGACTCAAAAGTGTCTTCGGTTTGTCTATATTAACAAGTGGAAATTTTGCATTCACTTCTTGTCACTGTAAAGATGTATACATTGTGTTTGAATTGTTGACGATTGGAGACTTCCTTCAAGCTACCTTCCCGATATTTGTAGTGGTTTCTCGAGTAAGTGACCCATTCTTTCAATCTTTGTACTCAAGTAGCCTTCGATTTCTTTACTTTTGATACCATCATCACTTTTCCACGCCAATGGGATCATGGGTATTCTTTCAATAACCTTGATGGTTTGATTTTTTCCTTCCACTGCAGCAATCTTGTCGGGGTTGTTAGTCATTAACTGAATTTCCAATAACCCCAAGTCTTCCAAAATTGCAGTTGCAAGTGAAAACGAACGGCCATCAGCTGGATGCCTTAACATGAGATTTGCTTGAACTGTATCTGCACCCAAATCTTGTAAATTATATGCTTTTAACTTCTCTCCCAAACCAATTCCTCTTCCCTCTTGCCGAAGATATACTATACAACCGTGGCCAAGCTGCCCCATGATTCTCCCAGCTTCATCAAATTGTTCTCCACAGTCACATCTAGCAGACCACGCAGTTTCTCCCGTATAGCACTCACTGTGTATACGGACCATTGTCGGTTTGCTGTATGTTGTGCTGGGGTCTCTGATTAGTTCACCCTTATTGTCAAATTTGAGTTCCAACTTCAATCTGTCATCTTTGTCAGCAGTATTTCTTCCAGGATACAACTTTCCAACATAGGCACCTCTAGTCATTCTATCTTGTTGAGTCTCATCTTCTCTAAATCTGAACAAGGTCTTGGATCTGATATCTTCGCCAAATACTATAGCTAGATGTTCCTTTTGGTCAATATTGTTTTCGTATAGGTGAAGAAATATTTCAGGTCCTTGAGTTGTAGGTATCCTTGCTCTTGCTATACACTTCACCACCGGCAAAATGTCGGGTAGAGGAAGCTTTGATCTTTGGTCAGCTGACAAGTGTGGTATCAGTTCGGACTTGATATCACCAAGGTTTTCCATCAGGATCATGCTAGGCGTGACAGCCGGAGATAAAAGAGTCATATCTTCAAAGAGATCAGACTTGAGGGGAGTTGTTTGGACAGGCATTGTTGGTACGGACTCTTGTGAATGAATGGCACCAAGCGGATTTGACCCCAAAGCTGTGGGGGTAGTTGGCATATTTATAGGTTCTTGTGCCTTTGGAAATTTGATTAGAAGTGGAAATTATTTTCGCATTAGCAGTTGACAAATACTTTAGTAATTGGTTTTGTCAGCTGCAAATAATCACTGAAGGAGCCGAAATAGCATGCAAGTACGAATGGTTACTGCTTGTGGTTCCATCAACAACCAACTTTCATTCTCGAAGCGGCGGGGATAATAATTTGTTCGTGTATATTTCAGCTTTTCCTGTCTACCCCATCAATTGTCGTTATTCTTCCACATTCGCAATCATAGTTTTTCTACAATGTTTAGATTGAAGCCAATCCAACACATACAAAAGCGGAGCTTTTTCGGGTTTTTCAGTGGATGGACGTCAGGAAAGACCATCTATCCACCACATCCTTCACAATTCACTACCCAGAACCGGATTTACCCCAATTACGTTACCAGTCACAATGAATTGAATGACTTGATCCTTGTTAAACACCCACTTATTTTGAACTTTACCGTGCAAGCAGATCCCAACTACAACAAGTTGACATCCACCTTGTTTGATATCTTATCCGATAAGTCCAAATATCCGCTTGGGGATTTCGAAGTTCATTTGGCAAATATCACCTGTGATAGCTTAGAAGCCAAAGATATAATGATGACCTACGGAGTCAACAAGCTTCCTAGTCTTGTAAGGCTTGAAAAGCAGTTGGTGGTGGATGTAATTTCACCTAATCTTGACACTGTAAGTGATCAAACAGTTATTGAATGGCTCAAGACCTTTAAGGGCTAAATAGTATCTTTATGTGCATATTTGTACAAGTTTAATATATGAGGCTATTTACAAGGAAGGCTCTATTCATTTTCATCTTTCCATCTTCTTCTCCAGAAGTTGCAGTCGAACTTAGGCTTTCCCAACTTGACATTGACTTCGTTGTGGGCATCACAAAGCCAACGGCCAAAATCCTCTTGTGTAGAAACCTTGGGTTCATTCTTGGTCATATAGCTTTTGAAGTCATCCGCACAGAACCAGCATGGGTAGAAGTTGCCGAATAACTTGAGAAATTGTTTCAAATCCTGTTGCTTCTGGGAATCAGGTACCTCTGGATATGTTGCAGCTATCGAATGCAATAAAGTCCAGGAAGAACGGCCTATTTGTTCGACATCTGGGGGAAAGTCCGTTGAACTCTGTGGATCTTGGTGGAGCTTTTGTTGAGCTTTTACGGCAGCACCGGGACTGATCTTCCCAGTGACCATTTGAAAATCGAGTAACGAGTTGCATGTACGGCACGGCTTACCATCCTTGTCATACACGATCTTTTTGCCCGATATTCCCACCTCTGGGGCTTTCAAAGGTGCATTTTGTGATGACATTAGTAATTATCGAGAGGTGCGAAATTGGTGTGAGATTTTCAAGGCCGCTTTTGCGGCCAGCGCGAACAAGTGCGGATTTCTACTAGAGAAGGCAACGACCGAAATGCTCTGTTGGTCGGATTAATTTATTCAGCTTATTGGTGGCAAAGTTCACAAAATTGCCCAAAGAAGGGATCCAAAAGACACCAATAATGAAGGGATAGAATTGTTTGCACACCAGAATAAGGTTCACGATTAAGTGTTGTTACCACCTCTCCCTATTTGAAGTGGATTACGATTCTCCCACAACTATAGCATGATATTAGCGTTAGCGTCCACAGAAGTGAGACAGTTATCTATTAAAAAGGTAATAACCTTATTTTCGAGTTAGATTATAGTTTTTCATAGAACAACAATTGAGTTTAGTTATGTGTAGCCTGTTTAAACTGCTGCTAACATCATATGTGGGTCAATTTGTCTAAAACTATTTATTCGATCTGATGATACAGGTGGTAGTAAAACAACCCGAAAAGGGAAACCGGGCCTTACCTAAAACAGTGCTCACCCGAGACTACTGGCTTTAACGCCGAAACACGGGCAACCACGAACTTACCCAAAACAGTACTCACCCGAGATGCCCATTTATGCGACGGAACGCCGGCAACCAGGGACTTGCCCAAAATAGTACTCACCCGAAGTAACCGTTATGAGCGTGTGAATTGCCCCCAATTACATTGGTATAAAAGGCCCTTCTTTCTCTGTTTGATTTCTAGCATCTCATATTAAAACAAAATGTCTAAATTCGTTACCTTGAACAATGGAGCAGTGATCCCATCAGTGGGATTGGGTGTCTACCTTACTACTGCTGAAGATGCCAGCCGTATTGTCTATGAATCATTAAAAGCTGGTTACCGTCATATTGACAGTGCTGTATTCTACGAGAATGAAGAAGCTGTTACTGGAGCTATTGCAAAATGGTTGAAGGAAACTGGAACTGACAGAAAAGAAATCTTTTACACCACCAAGATTTTGAAATTTGGGGACGAAGCTAAACCTGAAATTGAAAAGTGTTTGGAGAAGTCTAAGAGCATCGGATACATCGACTTGATTTTGATCCATGCTCCACTTGCCAATTCCGAAGGGCGTCATGGTGCTTGGGTGGCGTTGCAAGACGCTGTTGCAAGTGGAAAGGTCAAGAGTATTGGTGTCTCCAACTACGGGGCACATCACTTGAAGCAACTTTTGGAGTATCCAGACTTGAAGGTCAAACCTGTTGTGAACCAGCTAGAAATCCACCCTTGGTTGGCTAGGAAAGAATTAGTTAAATACTGCAGAGACAATGGAATTGAAGTGCAAGCATTCTCTCCCTTGGTAAGAGGATATAGGTTTGGTGATGAGGACGTTGTGGCCCTCAGCAAGAAGTACAATGTTTCAGAAGCCCAGATCATGATCAGATGGTCTCTTCAAAATGGGTTCATTCCTCTTCCTAAGACTGTTAGCGAGACACGTTTGGTTAGTAACTTGGATGTATTTGATTGGAGCTTGTCGAAGGAAGACATGGCTTTGCTCGATGCCAAAGATGAACACTTTGTATCAATGCCTGAGTGGGATCCAAGCACTAATCCCTTGGATTAAAGTCGATCACCGGCTACTGTCAATACTTATTTTTTGAAACCTACAGTCTATGACTTTGGAGATATCGGTAGAATTAAGGTTTTCTATATTTACGGGTATATGCCCAGCGGCTTTTTCCAAATGAATATATTTTAAATAAATGCCATAAAAGACTAATGATTAAGGTGGAATTGCGGCGTAAATCGGTGGACTAATATCCTCATTGTAAGCGGGAAGGTGAATATCCGATATGTATGCCGGTGCAGGTGGTGTTGGATCTGCATGTGCAGCTCCTGGAAGAGTAGCAGGGATTTGTATACGTGCACGGTTGGCAGGTCTTGAAGGAGGACCATTGTGTATATATGCATAGTTTGCAGCTACTGAAGGAGGTGGCAAGCAACTATTTTGGGGTGATTTCAAATCAGCATAAATGATAAGACAAAAAAAGATTAAAAGTACACCCAAAGTCATTATAATTATTAGTATACATTCCCGAACATTCAAGCGATTATTCCTCTTCGTCAACATAACCCCATTGGTAACGCTGGTCGTGTTCAAGCTGCCATGGTGATCTCGGTGGACACTTTCACGGTAGGCTTTTTCGCTTGTCATATCAGTGGCTATCCTAAGACTAAATTCGACTATCTTTGTAGCGTTGTAGGCAGATAGCAACATGTTTATGTATTCCACAGAAATGTCTGCATCTTTATATATTCGTGTAATTTGTTCCGGCTTCCTAATTCAGAACGATTTTTGGTTAGTTATAGTATGCATACTCAAAAGTCAAAACTGTTCTGCCCTCCAACAGTTACATTCACAAAAGGAAGACACAACCCAAACATTTATTCAAGAGCAAGATAAATACATAAATACGTAAACTCAAGTACTTCTCCTCCTGCAACAAAGATAGTTTGAATGTCTGTATTCAACACGATAGCTTTGTTTAGTTTGGAGTGTAAGGAGGAGGAAAGGGAACTGGAGGAGTGCCACCTGTTCCACTGGAAGGTGAGTTTTGCCCTCTTCCCTGGGCTGGGCGATCTTGTTCCTTGGGCCTGGCAGCCTCGTCTACACAACAAAGTTTTACAAACACTAGTATAAAGGCTAGAGTTCCTAAAACACATAATATAATTAAACATGTTTTAATGCTCAGTAGTTTCTTGCTTACTTCTAAAGTTGTGTCCATCTTGATAATAAAATTGAACAAAGGATACACTTTGCCTTTTAATTATAGGGAAATAACGTCTGCTAAAATGATTGTTTCCTGCTGAAGATATTGCTGCATACCTAATCTCGCAGACTCGGAAACATAACAGTGCATGAACACATTTTTATACTAAATCTAACGAAATCCTATCCCTTTTTCTTTCACTTATTTATTGTTTCCACTTTTTGCAATCACCTCCTCTCCTTGTGGATTGCAAAAAGATCTCATTTTGTAACTTAATCTCAAACTCAAATCCCCCTGAATGCGACCTTATGCCAAATACAATAGGTCTCCTATAGCCTGTGTTTCTTGCAGAGCAAGCAAAATACGATGTGTTCGACAACAGAACTTGCCCTCCTGTAAAAGGTGTAAAGAATTGGCCTTGAAATGTGAGTCTGAAATCAAAATATCCCAGCAACTGGGGCTCATTAACAAGAAGATAGCAAGTGTTCTTCAGGTTCAAGTCAATCAAAATAGACCTGAGCCAACTAGCACGCCACAGCACATATCTCCTATTCTTCCTACGAAAGAATTTGTGGTGGAATTAGTAGAAATCTTTTTTGCAAACCAGTATCAAGGGATTTTCCCCTTTATTCACAGACCTTCGTTTCTTGAGTTTTTGAAGTCAGATGAGTTTAACCCTTCAACTTACATAGATGACTATAACTCCAAGTTCTTTACCGAGACTTACTCGACCAGCTTGCGTTACCCTGATCCTGTTTTGCTTCTATCTATTTTGGCCCTTTGTGCTAGGTTACATAGCGGTATATCTTTTGCATATGGCAAATTTCTGGAAGATACGGCACCTGAATCGTTCGAACCATATATTTTGACACTGGATTCAGAATTTTCAACTTATATCAAGCTGGATACTGACTTGGTGTCAGCTTCAAATGCGTCCAAATACTTCGGGTGGCATGCTAGAAGGTACATGAAAGATGTTTTTGATAGCCCTACGGTCCAGAGGATACAAGCATTTACGTTATTGAGTAGCCATGAATGGGGTGAAGGTAACAACTCTCGGAGTTTCCTCTACATTGGAATAGCTGCCAGAATGGCTTTAGTGTTGGGATTAGGAAATGAAAACACGATTTGTGACGAAGACGTACATGATAAGAACCTTGGGGAAATTGTCACTGAGAGTAAACGACGAACTATTTGGTCGGTTTACATGATGGATAGATGTAACTCTAGTGGTAGACAACGCTCTCCTGCCATCAGAATAGAAGATATTAAAGTGAAACTTCCAAGTAATGAGAATGACTTCTTGTTCGGAAACCCCAATACGTCACTAATGTACGACGAATTGACCAAGTCTATGCAAGGAGGTGCTCTGGGTCACTCCCGAAACATTTCTATGATTGGGTTTACCATAGTTGTCTTTGAAATCTGGGCAAAAATTGCTAAATGGGTTGGAGAAGTTGGTGTAAAGTATGAGAAGTCGTCGCCTTGGTTATCTGAGTCAGTATTTCATTGTCTAAGACAAGATTTGGATTCAGTGGCGGTATTACTTCCCCCTGATTTCCAGCTTTCGGGTTTTAACTTGAAAATGCATATGGAGTTGGGAACTGCCACTCACTTTGGATACTTTCATGGCTTATTTTTCATCTGCCGTATTTTCTTGAACAGAGAGTACCTTTTTTGTAATCCAGACTCATTTCCTCCTGGGTGGTGGAAAGACCTTACGGTTCAGCTTTTAGACTCTTTGGAGCTGATTTCTTCGTTGGTGGAAGAATTGAGATCAAAAGACATGATGGTAATTGCCCCATTTACAGGTTTTGAGGTCTTTACCTGTGCTGTCACCTCGTTCTACTTTTGTGCTTTTCCCGATGAAATCTTATTGGAGCATCTTCCTGTTGAAAAGTTGGGTGTTGTGAATACTCGATCAGATTTAGGGGATTGGAAGTTCAAGTATAAGAAGCTTGCGCTAAAGAATATGGACTGTCTAACCAAATGGACACAGACGTGGGAATTGGGAAGAAAATGGCAGAAATTATCGGTGAATCTTGGTATTATATTTGGTCAACTTGCAGCCAATGGATCAGATGAGTTCAATTCCGATTACTTGAGGCATTCAATGCAAGACTATGGAAGCGGTGAAGTTGCAGAGGTTTATGTTCCACAAACTTCGCATAAGAAGCATGACAAGAGTGATATGGAGATTATGAGGCTACTTAATAAGGACTCCACTCCAGCATCTGTTAGCGAAGAGAATAGTCAGGAAATGTCATCAGGAGATTTTGGAGTGATTGAGCTTCTTTCTCCACCTCAATTCATGTTTTCTACAAACTCTCTAAGTATCTACCCGGGATGGAATGGTAGTGATGATTCTTGATATTATCAATATAAACCTATTTAGACTTAAATGTTTGTAAATTCTTTTTTCCAATCAAAGTACGACTGAAAGCTTTGTAACTTGCCTTTGAATTCATGTCCTTGAGAAATAATCTTTTCGTCTGAGTCATATGGCTTGATTGCTTGAACTGATGTGACCTTGCTGGAGGATGCTAATGCCTCCCCAGAAGCACCATAAGCCTCAACGATTACCTGCTTAGTGATTTTTTCCGAAATTGTAAAGACGGTTTCAAACCCTGACTTTTCCGTCTTTCCTATGTACTCCTTCAGATTGTTGTCACCAATAGTGTAGAATTTCCAAGTCTTGGTCTGGGTGTCTCCGTTCCAACTCACATACAAAGTGGTAGTTCTATCTTCGTTGTGCTCACTATACAAAGCGATTTCTTCATTGGGAATTCCAGTCCAATTGTACTTGAAAGCACGATAATTTTCCACTTTAACTCCCAAGTCCCCAGAATCCATATAAGCGTGGAAAATAGGCTTCTCGTTAGCATCGAATTCAGTCACAGCACCTTCAGAGCCCCAGTTTACTAGGACATTTCCATTTGGTAAAACCTGAGTTGATCCCTGAGACTTAGAAAGAAGACCATCCGGAGGAACACCATTAAAAAGAAGTTTTGCTGTCCAAGTAGAAGTATCAACTTCAATAATTTTACCACTGGAATGGGTATTGTAGTGGACTTCTTTTCCATCTTTATTTTCAGTTCCATGGGCGGAATTATCGTACAAAGAGATAATCTGCTTTTTGGAGTCTGGAGAAGTGTACAAGTACCTGGCATGATGCTGGAAAGAAAAGTTGAAACCTCCTTCCAGTTGGAAATCTGACGTGGTTATACCTGGTAAACCTCCAAGTTTCCAAATGATTTCACCGGTTTTTCCGTCCACTTTATAGACAGAAGCTGCATCTCTTGCTGAAAGAAGGTAGTCTCCATTGGCATCCTTATCGACTGAGTTGATATGAAAGTAGTCCCAAGCATCACTTGAGTTAAATCCAGCACCGGCTTGTCCTTCATCAACAGGGAGAACAGACTCGTCTGGAGAAATGTGATCCAAAGATGACCATTCAAATAAAACATCCCCGGTTTCGATATCTAACTCTTGAAAAATGGCATTTACAATCCATTGTTGTTCCTTTGAGCTGGCCCACTTGCTCAAATCATAGGGTGTTGGCTGGTATATTTGTACTAATCCAGTTTTCCCGTCAATAATATGGAATTCGTGCTTATCGATAATCTTGTGATTACCAGCTCTCAATTCCTTAACTGTTTCATAGTTTTGGTCTAATAATGTGATGTGTCCATGACCATGGCCATATCCTGGATTGTGGGAACCTTCAAAGGAAAATAAAATGTCTTTTCCATTGACCTTGCCTGCTTGGAAATTGGTTGCCCAGATAGAGTAATAGCTGAAGCCGGACCAAACAAGTTCACCTTTGTCATTAAAAATGTAAGGGGCAGCTTGTCTTGGGCCGTGGGAGTTTCCAACCTCAGGAAATCCACTGAAGGGTGCAACAAATAAGTAGCCATCGGAAGTTCCCTTGGCAGGAATGGTGATGTTCAATCGTGGGGGAGACAAATCTGGTCTTGATCTATATTGCCAATCGCCATTGACAAAACAAAAGTAGAAAAGGGATGAGAGCAATAATGAGCCTGCAAACATGATTCTAGATTATAAATCTACTCAATAACCGGTAAGATGACATTTTATATATCTTGCAATCGGAGTTGTGGTGGATAATATGGTCCGGTTCGGTTCGGTTCGGTTTGGGTGAGCCACCTCATTTTCCGGAGTAAGACAATCTAATTATACGGGAACTGAAGACTTTATCGGAATTGAACCAATCGGTTGCCTTCGTCTAGTGAATGGGTACTGCCACAGTTAATGCCCTCTTTGAACCACAGAGAAAAATCAATGGGTGCATTCCTTAAGTTAGTGCGAATTAAATATATTTTTGATTATAAGGCACTAGTCCAAACTCGGAGTTATCTTTTTTTGTATACTCTTCGACTTTGTTTATTTAACTGATGGCTTTAGTATAAGAGAAGAATATCGGTGGTGGTTCATCCAGAGTTGTCCGGGTCCAGACAACTTTTAATATGGGTGAACTGTGCATCTCTCTTAGTAATATACAAATACAATCAAATACAGGTTCTCGTATATTTTATTCAAGAAAACTGTGGGACTGAGTATTTCTACTTATGTACGCGCACACAAGAGCAATTATACAACAGGCACTAGATACCAGCTGAGCCAATCTGATAGCAAATGTATAGTCCTTAACTACCACTGCTTTCACTTCTGGATCCATGGAGTCCAAAATATCGATTGACTTTAAAATGGTCTGAAGAATCTGTTCTATTTGTTCTTTTGACAATTGCTGCAAATTTGAAAGATGTGCTCTCAAATTCCTCTTCAATGTCAGCTGTGTAATAATGGAGATATAGGTCACACCCCAAACCCCACCGATATTCCTCATCAAATAAACGGTGGATGTTGAAGCTGCTTGCTTGGCAGAGTCAAAGTAATAAATGAAGAGGAACAATAAACTTGGGTTAGCTAATCCCTGGCCAAAGTTAGTTGGAGACAAGTATAAGTCGATTAGCCAGTTTGCGGTTCGGTATGAGATAAACATAGCAAGGATGTTTCCAAGAGCCATGAGAATTGTCCCAAAGAGAGCAATTCTGGCAAATTCTTTAGACTTAGACATGAGAATTCCAGCTGTTAAACCTCCAATTGGAGTTGCAAGTGCTGGGATAGACAATCGGAATCCTGCTTCTGACAATGAGTCACCAAGATTGATTTGAAATAGCAACGGCAAGATAAAAAGGTAGGCGTAGCTAGAAAGACCGACACAGAAGTTCAAGAGGATGTTGATAGCCACAAACCTGCTTTTATAGTCGTTGACAGGAATAATTGGAATTGCAGTTGTAGTGGATTCGTGCTGAAAAAACACTTTGGTAGTCCAAATAGAAACAACAATCAATAGGCCGATTCTCCAGTCTGTCCATAATAATTCATTGCCTCCTAGAGACAAAACTAAGAGTTGGCTGGTCAAACTTATTACTAAAGTAGCAGAGCCTTTGATGTCTATTCTCGTGTAGCGTCCACTGTAATCACCAACAAGGGACATTTCCGTTTCATTGGAAATAAAACTCATAGCCACGATGAAACTGAATACTGAAGGGAAAACCTGAATGGCGAAACACCATCTCCATCCTAACCAGCTTGCCAAAACACCTCCAAAGGATGCTCCACACACAGATCCAGTCCCTAATAACAAGTTTTGAATGGCTTGAAATAATCCTCTTTTAGAAGAGTATATAATATCCGAATTTGTAATGGTAGAAAGGCACATAAGTCCTCCACCTCCAATACCCGTCAATGCTCTCATTGCAATAAGATATTCCATACTTGTACTCAAAAAACAACCATAACAGCCAATACCAAACACGAAAAGTGCAAAACAGATACAGATTCTTCTGCCAAAGATATCTGACAAAGACCCATATAGTGGCTGAAAAGCAGTGGAACTGATCAAGTAAGACGATGTGATCCACGGAGCTATTGAAAGTGCCTTGAACTCATTCCCAATCATAGAGTATGTGGATGCGGTAACTGTACCATCGAAACCAGACAAGAACACATTGATAAGCAAGGATGTTTCTATCCAAAAGAAGTTTGGAGCATCTGAAAAGAAGTGTTCACTCTGTTTACCTTCATCAGTCAGGACCACACCCGAACGGTCTTCAAAGAATGTGGATTCAGAAATAAGTGGTTCTGTTTCTCTCATAATTCAAAGATGTAAACAGTTGACTTTCAACATTCATGAAATATAAACGTTGATGTCTTGATAAGCATATGGGCGATGGGCGATGGGCGATGGGCGATGGGCCCTGGGCGATGGGCGATGGGCCCTGGGATTAGAGAAATTTATCAAAAAGGTGTGGTATCGGTTCGGTTCGGTTCGCTTTTAGCTAATCTCATTTTTCCCTAAACTAAAAATCATAAACATGAGGGTATGATTAAGATGCAAAGAGAACAGTCTTCAACCACAATTGGAGATCGCCTATAAATTAGGGCGAATATAGTCCTTGGTTTCAAGATTATCACAATGAAATCTACAGAAAAGGACTCACACACTATAGAAAGTTTAGAAAGCGCCGCAAGTAGCGAATTGGGAGTGTTCAAAGATCCAGCTGTTGCAGAGTATTGGAGACTTAAATACGAATCCTGCAACTATGAGGGGGCACCTTTTTTTGACCCAGAAATGGTCTGGACAAAGAATGAAGAGAAGAAACTTGTTAGGGCTTTAGATTTAAAGGTGTTTCTTTGGGTTTTCTTCCTGTTTTGTTCCTTAGACTTGGTTAGAAGAAATGTTACAAGAGCTGTTGCTGACAACTTTTTGGATGATTTGGGCATGACAACAGACGACTACAACTTAGGACAAGCAATGAACCTCGTGGCATTTTTATGTGCCGAATTACCAGGAAATTTACTTTCTAAACGATTTGGTTGCGAAATCATCATCCCAGCGCAAATGGTCTTATGGTCTATTTTGTGTATTTGCCAAACTGCTATCAAAAACAAGGGGGCATTCATTGCATTCAGAGTCCTTATTGGTGTCAGTCAAGGCGGTTTTATTCCCGACAATATTTTGTACTTGTCGTACTATTATACGTCGACAGAGCTTCCTATTAGGTTGGCAATCTTCTGGACAGCTATCCCATTATTTCAAATTCTCGGGTCTCTTTTAGCCTCAGGAATTATTGAAATGAGAGGAATCCATGGCCTTGCTGGATGGAGATATTTGTTCTTAATAGAAGGGTTCATTACTTTGGCAATTGGAATTGCAAGTTGGTATTTTTACAGGGCTGGGCCCACACAAACCGAAAATAAAATCTTCAAAACCAAACCTTGGTTTAACGAGCGGGAAGTCAAGATCCTTGTGAACCGTGTTTTACGAGATGACCCACTGAAAGGTGATATGAACAACAGACAAGGGGTTGACTTCGTGAGTCTCTTTAGGACTTTGAAAGACTACGATTTATGGCCATTGTTTATTCAAGGGATCATGGCGTTCATCCCTTTTCAACCAGTGACTAATTATATGTCTTTGATATTAAAGCAAATGGGATACTCCACGTTTATGTCGAATATCTTGGTTATTCCTGGCCAATTCTGGTTCTTAGTTAATTTACCACTAGTGGTGCTCTTCAGCCATTATATCAAGGAGAAGAGCATCTGTATCGGTTTGTCCAACATTTTCATTTTCCCATTTATATTGGCACTTGTGGTGCTTCCAGTCACTACTAGTCACTGGGTGAAGTACGTGTTGTTGATTGGAATCTTGGCTCAGCCCTATACTCATGCAATTCTTGCAGCCAATGTTTCGCAATACTCCAATACGGTACGGGCCCGCGCAGTGGGAACATCCCTCTATAACATGTGCTACCAAGTGGGAAGTATCATAGCCACACAGTTGTACAAGTCATCGGATCTGCCCAACTATACCAAGGGAAATGCCACTATATTGGGAATCTGTTGTTTTAACATCGCATTTGCGTTCTTCTCCAAGTTCTACTATATCCAGCGGAACCAGCAGAAAGAGAAAAAATGGCAGCAATTGAGCAAGAACGAACAGGAAGAGTACTTAAGAACCACTAAAGATCAGGGAATGAAGCGTTTAGACTTCCGCTTTGTCCATTAGTTTAGGATTTAATATAAATGTGAAAGTAAAGCAGTAAAAGAAGTAAGCAGAATATAACTCAGGAAATATAAGGAAAGTTTTGACCTACTAAGAGGCATTAAACCTCTGTGATCTCTGGAACCTCCATTTCCTCGTATGATATATCATCTCCAACCTTTTCATTGTCGGTCCCAATCTACCTCATTCGGATAAGTTACCCAGGGAGTGTCCCGATCAATAAATCACCAGTGAGTTTCGACCCTCGACTGCAAACACCCGACCTGGCACCAGATTATCCGGGTTCTCCGGCGTTCGGAGCCGTTTTGGCCATCGCCAGCTTCTTCGAGTTTCGGTGATCGCCACCGCATGCTGTCTGTGGGAAAAGCAATATGGTTTGCGGCCATGGCTATGGATATAACTGTAATCAAGGGTCCACCTTACAAACCTCTTACACCACTAGTAAAACAAACCCACACATAAAATACATCTTTGTCCCACCCCCTGCCAGCGTCTTTTTTCTCGGCTGCATCTCGTGTCTTTGGGGTTATATTGTCCCAAATCCCGAGTTTCAGCCGTTGGCTGGTCCTGGTTCGTTAACGCCCTGGGCGCCAACGTTAGAGTATAGTGGGGGTCGTGCACGCGCGCCTCGCACACTGAACCACACCCAAAAAAATATCATTTCGCTCCCCATACAACCATACACCAACCAACCAACTACACCCATCACCATCGGTTTAGACCTCTCATCATTCCCGCTCCACAGTTTTGCCTCGCCTCCTACTAGTCACTTCCATCCGTTGTTCTCCGTGTTGCAATAGCTGTCCTCTACCATGAACTTCACTAAACTTGACAAAGAGCCCAAAAGGAGAAGAGTCACAAGAGCCTGCGATATCTGCCGACAGAAAAAAGTCAAGTGTGATGGGAAACAGCCCTGTATCCATTGCACTGTGTACTCATACAATTGTACGTACGACCAGCCCAACATCAGAAATAAGAAAAACAGTGGTATTCCCTATCCGCCTTATTCTCGCATTGTTGCTAAAAATGGCGGCTCCATTCTGAGTGATCCTGCCAAAAATGCCACTAGTCTCATGACTTTTCAAAACATCATGGACATGATGTTCCCAGGCTTAAAGGTCAATGTACTTGATGATCTGCCCCTCAACTTGAACTTTGAAAAATTTAAAAGGGTTATGAGTTTCTTGCAACAGAGCCGGGGCTCCAATACCACCTTAAAAGACATTTCCGACTGTTACTTGGACAACTTGGATGCCGTCCGTAACTTCAGTCCTAGCAATTCACCCTGGGACTACTCTAGAGAAAGAGATAAGGAGTCCATTACCAGTGACGATAACCCTGTTGGCAGAGAAATTAAAATCGACTTACCCTCCAAAGAGATTGCAGTGCATTTGATCCAAACCTGTTGGGACAAGGCGTGTGTACTCTTTCGGTTCTATCACCGCCCGTCTCTTTTAGAGGAATTGGATCTTTTATACAGCCTCGATCCGTTGCATTATACGGATAGGCAACAGAAGTTCTTGCCATTTTTGTATTCCATTTTGGCGGTTGGATGCCTATTTTCGAGAGAGTCGTATGGCTCGACCCAGGATAATGATTTGTTGGAAGACGATGGGTTCAAATACTTTTTGGAGGCCCGGAAGTTGATTGACATCACCAATGTAGGAGATATAATATCCATCCAGACAATCGTCATGATGATCATGTATCTTCAGTGTTCGGCCAGATTGTCTACCTGCTATTCTTATATTGGAATTGGGTTGCGTTCTGCTTTGAAGGAGGGTTTACATCGTAACTTGATGATTTTTCAGGATACCAAGCGGAAGTTGGATCCTATCGAAATCGATACCAGGAAGAGGCTTTTCTTTACTCTCTACAAAATGGACATCTATATTAACTCTTTGCTTGGCTTACCCAAATCCTTGAGTGAAGATGAGTTTGACCAAATGCTTCCTGAAGAGTTGGATGACGAAAATATCACGAGACAAGGCTACCATCACGAAGCCCAACAGGGAAGATTGTCATCAGCCGCTTGTGCTAATCACCACACGAAGTTGATGTTCATAATGTCCCATATAATCACCCATTTGTACCCGTTGAAAGTCAAAAAATCTCCCAACTCCAATAATGTTAACCAGACCCCTAATTACATGCACCAAAAGGTCAGCAAGTTGGAACACGAGATGAAACAATGGCTCGACCAGTTGCCCGAGGAATTGAAACCCTACGATCCCAATAACGTCTTGTTGTCCCATGATGTCCCTGAAAAATTCCAGTTGGCTAATTACTATTTACACTTGGCATTCTTGAATTGTCAGATCATGTTGTACAGGCCTTTCATCCACTTTATCAGCCATGGTAATGATTCCAAAGCTTCTGATCCTAGATCTCTTATTAGAGGAAGAAACTGTATCAAGGTTGCTAGATCAGTGGTAAAGTTGGCAAATAGAATGATTGATCAAAATTTGTTAGTGGGAACATATTGGTTTTCCATGTACACGATCTTTTTTTCTATTGCCTGTTTGATATATTACTATCATTTTGTCAATTCTTCACACAATCTCAATGACTATAACTCCTCTTCCAACTATGCGGGTGTGTTATTTGATGATGATTTGAACTTGGATATGATCAAAAAAGATATCGAGGTAGGAAAGAAAGTTTTAGACAACTTGAAGGGAAACTCAAACGCATCTTTAAGGATTTACAACATCTTGAACCAGCTTTTTGAGCAGTTGAACAGACGTACTGCCAGTACATCTAAAGACATTTCTAACTTGTTGACCAATACTCCAGTACTGGATGTCAACAAGGCACAAATTTCGAACACCATTCTGGCGTTTGACTCGATTAACAACTTCAAGTCTAAGGGTAAGAACTATGATCAGACATCTTTGTTTCAACAGAACTTTAACAAACAGCTTGACCAGTTAAACTTAAGTGATCCTGGCCGGGACGATAATCAAAATGAATATACCCCATACTCAATGAAACAAAGTGTTTCCCAGCCCGTTGTTTCTGTTTCTGCTCCAGTCATTCAGCTGCAATCTGTTCCAGCTACGGCTTCTGACTCGGCTATTACGAAAAGTACAAGAGCATTCACCGGCGATGATATCAGCCTGATTATGAATGATTACCTGGCAACTACTCTGGTTGGTTCAGGATCTGGTAGTACTCCGGCTGCAAGCAACTCAGCGAATCCCACAAACTACCACCATGAGGATACACATACATACATTCCTGGAGTAATGGACACGCTCGACGCTCAGATTTTTGGAAGAATTCTTCCTCCATACATGCAAGGAGCTGAGGATTTGAACCTTGAGGACTTAAACGAATTGATTGGAGGCTATGGAAATATGGATAATTATAACTTTGATGACATGCCCAAATAGTGTATTTTATTAGCTCAACCATATTTATTTTACGAATGTATTTATACTCATTGAAAGTCATTTGCAACTAATAGTCGCGAAAATTTATCAACAGTTTTTATCGCATCTCATCATGAACACAGATAGAAGAAGAATATTAGGGCCACAAGACGCCCGAATCCCCGACTTGGGTATATCTACCAACGCTAACAATTCTATGGATATAGATCCTGCTGGATTTGCCGCTGAAAAGCGCTCCTCAGATATCCAAAAGATGTTTATGAAGACAAACTTCATTTCCAACGCCAACGGCTCTTCGTACATAGAACATGGAGACACCATCGTCCAAGTGTCTGTGTTTGGCCCCAGGCCAATAAAGTCCAGTTTTATTGAACAAGCATCGTTCTCAGTTGAGTGTCGATTTCTTCCTCACTTAAAACAAGATGATGCCCTTGATATAGATGGGGACCACCATTCTAATCCCAATGGAAGAACAGGATTATCATACACAGAACATAAGATTAGTTCATTCGTGGAAAGCTGTCTTGTTCCCAGTATCTTATTGGATAAATACCCCAAGCTGACGATAGACTTACACATTACGGTGATAGAGCATAATAGTGAATCTACTAGTTTGACCAATTTGGTGAATTGGATAACTGTCGCATCTTCATTAGCATTGGTTGATTCGGGCGTCGAAGTAAGAGATATTGTAACGGCGGGCCATATAATTTCAGATGGTCAACATGTAATACTAGATCCTATAGAGCCAGTCTCTAAAAGAACGGACTGTCTTGTATGCTTTATGAACTTAAAAAATGAAATAGTTGGTATATGGGTTGATGGGGACCTAGATAACTTGGACACGGCTATAGAGGAGTGCAACAAGATGTCCAGAACTATACGGGGAAATATCAATTCTTATTTACTCTCTACTTGAATATATACAACTTTTTTACTTATTGATCCTTTTTTTCAGCAGGAATACTCTTTTCAAACGACAAATCATCCAACACCTTTTTCATATGAACAATTTTTGAAGACAAATGTAAGATACTCAATTCTTCTGGGTGCAAGAAGATCTTGTTACTGACTTGGATTTGCGTAGCCAAAGATACTAAGTTGGACAACCGGTTATAAGTTTCTAAAATGCTACCATTATAACCGGACTCCGTCTTTGCAATGATATTCTCGTTGATATCACTCATGAGGATGACTCTATCGATCACCCTTTCCTTTAACTCCTTAGCAAAAGTATAGATACCCTCTGTGTCAGAAGGAACTTGAATGCTGGGAACCTTTATTTCGAAAGGTTCCGAAATGTAAGCAACATCATGCTTTCCGTCCAAGTGATATCTGAACTCAAAGATGCCTTCATCCCAAAACAACTTGTCTTTGGCAAAACTAAGAACACCTGAATCCTTATTTTCAGGGACCCATTCCCATCTATTATTGGAGCTGATCAAAGTCTTGTACCGGTTATAACCAGTCTGCACAATTTTGTATAAACCAATCCAGTCCTTAGGAGAGTGGTTGGCTGGGCAGTGGAATTCCACATTGATATTCTCTCCTACTTCAATATACTTTATCAAGTTATTGTCATTGTCGTCATTGAACTTTAAATTGGTCAAGGTTAACTTGTAGTCGGAGTTTTCAAAGTACAAGTTTTGGGAAATATCAAAAATATTCTGCTTGGTCAACTTCTTGTTGGACTTTTTGAACTCCTTGATAATTTGATCAATGGTCTCGCTAGCATTCAAAATGATGGAATTTGAGTTTTTACGTTCGTGGAAGATCTTCTTGTTCGCCAGGGACGATGTTGAAGATCTTCTTGAAGCAGGGATAAGACTCTTCAAAGTCTTAGTGACACCGGAATCCTTCAATACTTCTTCTTTACCGTATAACTTTATCATATGGAACTTCTCAATGAAGTTTATTCTAGCAAAGTTGTTTCCAATCCACAACCCACATAATACCAAGTTTTCAAAGTTGGGAATAATCAAGAAAATCCCCATCAACGAGCACACGCCAAATATCTGCTCAGGGTTATTCAAGTATCTGTAAACACCAGCCTTGGTCAAGGACAAACTGTTTGGGTTCTTTGGAATGAAAAAGTCACCGTAAAACCAACCAAAGTACCCAATAGAATCCACAATTGACTGATTTATGAATATCTGAGTAAGAATAAGTAACACCCCTACGAAGATTCTTAAATAGTAATAGCTCTCAAAGAACAAGTCCACCCTGTTCAATCCAGTCATGAAGAAGTAGATATTCAAACCAACCAACGAAGAATAACTCAATGAAATAAATGAGTTGTAAATCACAGCAAAGTTATTCAAGGAGTCTTCAATTGGAATGTCGTTCACCAAATAGTACTTGGTGAAAGATTTGTAGTAGCTTTGGCAGAAAAGTAAGGAATTGATGAAAACCGACTCTGCAACCTTCAAGGTCAACGTCAAGAAGAAAAAAATCTTGGTGGTGTCAAAGCAAATAGAGAACACAGACGTGGTGTCTGTGGACTTCAACACGTAGAATAGAAATGGTAATAATCCTGAATACGTAACAATTAAGATCAAGTTGACGATATCCGAACCTCTTTGTATGTTGAAGTTGTAAAACCCAATCAATGGCTTCAAGTGACGGAAGTATTTCAAGTCCTTCAACTTGATGAGTTTACCCAAGTCTACCTCCACCACCGAAGGACCATAAATCTTGTCAATGTGGGGGTTTTCAATAAAGTGCAAAAAGATCATTTGCAAGAAATGCCCGATACAAGCCAAAATCAACACCGTATACGACTTGGCTATCAAGGCAAACCCGTAGTATCCAATGTACCCAATGGAGTACATTGGGTGAGGTACCATCTCAAACACACCGTCAAAAATCAAGTCCTCGTTGTTAATTTGTCTGAAGAAAAAGTCTCCCCAGTACCAAGCGTAGTCCTTAATCACGTTATGGGCATCATTTTTCACCCAGTAATTGAACAAAATTAAAATGGGACCCACTATCAATCTGAAGTAAACCAACCAAGCCGGTTGTTGATCGAAGTTAATGAACTGGTAGTCCTTGTCAATGGAGCACACGACAAAAAGACCCATGAAAAATACAAAATCGTTCATCAAAATCAAATCCACCACTTTTCTGAACACCAACCAAGTATTAAACTCAATTGGATAGTCATTGATACTGTACTTGGTTCCCATTTGGCTGGAGATCTCATATCTAATTAAACGGGCCAACCAGGAGTTGGATCCGACTTCAAATACTTGTAACTTCTTTGCCCAGTTAACCATTTTATTGTACTTACTCTGGTTGTACAAAAGGTACCCTATCCCGAAATCATAGGCAAACCGCCAGAAAAGGTATCCGGCAATGAAATAGTCAATTCTGATGGAATTGCTGAACCAGAAGATGAAGCTGAAGTTAAAAATCAACCCAAAAACAATCACCTTTTCAAATAACGACTTTCGAATCGTTGGATCAAATAACGTCTTGACCATATCATGAGTCTGGGGCACCGTAAAGGTTTCACCCGAGAAGGTAATTCCCCTAGCTCCTGAGATTGTATTGGACATAGTGAGGTTAGCTAACGAATATCAACTGATAGGTTCACAGCGAAACAAACTGTTAAATGAGTTCTACAGAGAAGTCAACTACTTTATATATTTTTCAACTACGGGAAATTGTTGAGGACTGCGTACAACCCGGGGGCGAATCTGTGGGCAGAGGGTGGCGGTAGGAGGGGACCCGGCACTGGCGCAACTGTCTCCTTATTTCCTGACACCTGCCACGGCCTTTTACCGCCGCACGTCCTCGCCGCACCGCACTTAAACACAATTTGCATGTGATTTTTTCACGAGATCAAAACTTGCGATGAGTGATTGGTGCGTTGTTGGAGCCGGAGCTGGATCCGTATCCACCACCACGGCCTCCACCAAAACCACCACGGCCACCACCGTATCCCCCACGGCCTCTTCCGCCAAATCTACCACCATAACCACCACGGCCACCCCCGTATCTGGGGTGTGGACCGTGACTTCTTCTGTCGTACTTCATCAACTCTGGTGGGACTTCCTGTTTGGCTTCTCTCATAATCTTACATAAATCTCCACCCATCTTCTTGTTGTCTTCTGTGAAGAAACTGACGGCATAACCGCTGCTACCAGCTCTTCCAGTTCTTCCGATTCTGTGAACATAATCTTCGATGTTACCGGGCATGTCGAAGTTGATCACGTAGGTGATTCCTTTGACATCTAGAAATAATTAGTATACGATTTAATTTGGATATCTCATGGTGGAAAGCAGGCAAAAGGGGACACGAAACCTCGTCTGGTGCACGCTTTCGCCTGCTTCAGTGGCCTCACTGTCTCCAATACATTTTAGTGGGAATCCTTGCGGATACAAAAAGATCAAATCATTTATCTAACAGAATGGTAAGGTTTATGTTGATCGTTAAAAAAAATATCGTCTCTTAACACTCTGTCTTCACGTAACTTCGCTTTGTTGTATCCTAGAATATCCAGTCCTGCTGGCACATAATTAGTAGTTTTGAAAAGGTTTATACATACCAATACCTCTGGCAGCCACATCAGTGGCAACCATGATAGGGTTCTTTCCGGTTCTGAATTCGTTCAAAACCCAGTCTCTCTCTTGTTGCATTTTGTCCCCGTGGATAGCCAATGCAGGCCATCCATCAGATCTCAAATAGCTGGTGATTTCGTCACAAGTTCTCTTGGTAGAGGCAAAGATCAAGATCTTGGCGGCACTGTCCTTACTGGCAGTTTCCAAGTGCTTGACTAATCTGTCTCTCTTTTCAAAGTCGGTAACAATTTCAACGATTTGAGTAATGGTGTGAGAAGCGGCCAATTCAGTAGAACCAATAGTAACTTGAATAGCATCATTAAGATAATCGTTGGCCAAGTTCTGGACTTCCTTTGGCCAGGTGGCAGACCACATCAAAGTTTGTCTATCAGGTCTAATTTGATCAACAATCTTTCTGATTTGAGGTTCAAATCCCATATCCAACATTCTATCGGCTTCATCTAACACCAAGTAAGTGACTCTTTTCAAGTTGGTCTTTCCCATCTCTAACATGTCAATTAATCTACCTGGAGTAGCAATAACGATTTCGACTCCTCTGGCCAAGTCTCTAATTTGTTGACCCTTTGGAGCCCCTCCGTAAACACAAGTACTTCTGATCTTACTAGATTGACCAAACTTTGAACATTCAGTTTGAATTTGAACAGCCAATTCTCTGGTTGGAGCTAATACCAACACAATAGGTCCATCACCATGCTTCAACAAAGGTTGGGCGTTGATGTGAACAATTCCTGGCAAACAGTATGATAAGGTCTTACCAGAACCAGTAGCAGCAATACCAACCATATCACGACCACTCAAAGCCATAGGCCAACCTTGACATTGAATAGAAGTAGGACTAGGGAATCCTTGGTTTTTGATTTCTTTCATGACATAACTTGGAAATCCACTTTCGTCAAAACTAGTGACAGGATTAGGGATAGCAGTACCTTTGATTCTCATTTCACTTTCTTGTCTAAACTTCTTGATTTCTTCTTCGGATCTTTTAGCAACAGCCTCATCTTCCTTGTAAAAGTTCTTTTCGAACTTTGGCAAAGCATCTAAATCCCATTCAGGTTTGGTAAGTTCAATTTTATCCTGATATCTGTTACCGCCTCTGTTTTGGAATCCACCTCCTCTACCACCGTAACCTCCGTTACCACCATAACCACCACCATTGTGGTCATTGTTACCGTAGTTGTTGTTGCTATAGCTGTTATTGTTGTAGCTATTACCTCTATCGTATCCTCCGTTGTAAGACATATTTGAATAAATTATTTAGTGATAATAATTAAAACAGCGAATTTTTCTCTTTATATAGGGCGCGGGCGCGATGAGATGAGATATGTAAGTGCACGACCATAATTGTCCTGAGACTATTAAACCATACTATAACAATGCATATATTATATCTACTATACAAGGCAGGCACCAGCCAAAACTATTAGCTTTCATACATTCATGTGGCCCATCTAATTCAACGCTTCCATGAACTTGGTCTCAATCACCCCACACAACTGGGATAAGTTTTCTAATCCCAAATGTAAAGCCTCAACAGCAGTAATGCTACCATAAGTCTGGATTCGGATGTTCAATTTATTTTCACTAGGATGTGGAATCGAGTATCCTACGAACTCGACCTCAGGGTTCTTCATTATGACGTATCTTAAGGAGTTTCCCAAAGTATGGTCTTCATCCACAATCTGGAAAGAAGCAGCAGTTCCATCTTCAGAAGAGCCGGGAAGTAACTTTATTTTGTCCAAGTCGTATTCTTCAATGTCCTGGTCTTGGTCCATCTGGTCTGGATCCACGTCTTTGTGTTGCTCGTCGATAATAGTGCTCATTCTGTGGTTCTTGAAAGAAGCGAGATGAAAAAATGAAAATTTGCGAACCGATTTGTGAGCTTAACGCGGGTTTCACAATGGTGACAAAATCTAATTACTTGTGTTTACTTTCTGGCAGACTATTCACTTCACACCAGAGAAACGATTTTGTGGATTCTCGACTCCCTCAGACATTTCACGTGTGCTAGTTAGATACATCTACGTGTTTTTTTTGTCGTTATTCGCTGCATTTCTGGCTTTCTCATTTGTTGTCTATCACAAAGCGATACCTACAACACACTTGATCTGATCCACTTGTGAACCAATACCTCAGTTACATTTTTTTCGCTAATTGGCGCACTTCTATTTGTTTGTTTGACTCCCGTCTTCAATGTCTGTCCACGACGATATCACCCAGCCGATTTCCGAGTCGTACTTCAATCTTTCTCAAGACATTTCGGACCTTACGAGCTTATCGGACCATTTTAGGTCTCTCAAGGACATAAACCCTCGTTCCTTGGACCTGTTGATTCAGAAGATTGATTTCTCCACGAAGGAGGAGTCTAAACAAAATGACTCAAATACTCTTAATGATGACACCGAGTTGATCATTGAAACTCATGAAACTACTCCCAAAGTCATCTCCATTGACGAATTAGCACATCTACTCCAACCAATTATCAACGAGGAGCTCAAAGACTTTAAGACTTCCATCAAGAAACTTCTTTTGAATAAGGGCCCGTTGTCTGAACCCCGTCAGCCTGCTCCCAGAGCAGCTTCTTACAGTCCTTCTGAAATCAGCCATAACCAAGTGATTCAACTGTCATCACCAATCCCCGATGTGGACTCAGATAATGACCTAAGCATGAACTTACACAAGCTCAATTTCGATTCTCCTGGAACTACTCCCCCCGTGTCTCAGGACCAGAAAGCTTCTACCATGAGTGAGCTTGAACGGCTTCAAATGGAGAACAAGATGCTCAAAAAGGAGAACTTGCAGATGTACAAGTTGAAGCAAGCCAACCATCAATTGAAATTTAAGCTCGATGACTCCCATCGCTACAACAAGGAGATATTGAACGAACTAAACTACTACAAACAGAGGTCTGCTCATCCCCAACCCCAAGATACCAAACCTTTGACTTCCAAAAGTGAGAGTCTGCTTATCTCCAAGGAAACGCTTGAAGCAAGATTCCAGTCTTTATACGACCTGTTAAACCTCGCGGATATTGATCAACTATCCAGAACGCAAATGGCAAACCTCATCAAGAATCTTCTCCTTACGCTTGTTCTCAACTTCAGAGAATTGCCCGGACAACTTTCACGGCTCATCAAAGTGCACAAGATTGCTCTCCGATTCATCGATCAGGTTCATGGACAACTTTACGTGAATTCACCCCTGCCATTAATGTATTTTGATACAAACAAGCCACAAGAGATAGTGGCCGATTCGGATGTCAACTTGGCTGTGTGTTTGGATAACATGGCCCTGATCATCGGCAATGCATCCATTCCTAGAAACTAGTCTGGTACTTAAATCCTGATACTTGAATCCCGGGATTTTTTATAATGAATAGAGACACGAAAGAACTACCCCATTACAAACACCTGTAAATCCCCATCGATATAGACGCTTTTTTTGGAGTGCCTGTGTTGGCTCTCTCTACGGCTTCGGTTCATCTGGCTTATACTTTATATTTAATTTCGCACTAACGTCATTTTAATTATATTACTCTCACGCCGTCACCCTTAAAAAGCAACACGATTTTATTTTGCAACTTAACACTTTTGATGGACATCAACCCCTTCAACTTGTTAGTGTTTGCGTAATGATGAGTGAAGTATCATCATCCAGGCTGGGGTTCAAAAATTCCAACACCAGCAAATCTAAGAACAATTCAAAGAATAAAAACAACAACGGTAAAGGTCTACCTACAAGTGATAACTCTGCCATCACCGGAAGTACCTCCATAAAACTGCCCAACTCCGGTAACTTGATGGCCACAAACTCTCCGTATGGGCCTGGTGCCATTCCCTTGTCTTCCGGAGCTGCCAATAGCAATGTTTTTAACCCATCTGCCAAACAGACAAATGGAAGACAAGACTCCATTGGAAACCTTGTGAACGGCTATAATAATTACCAATACTATCCCAATTATCCAAGTTACGGCTCCAACAGTATGGTACCGAGTCAATCCAGAGAGCCTTCCTCAGGCACTTCTGATGTTCGACCCAGGGGTGATTCGATTTATCTACCCCCTCCAATGATTACGTCCCAGTTCAATAAGTATGCCAACATAGATGAGACAGTGGGTCCGGGTGTCCCAATACCGGGTGGTTCTCGCTCCAACTCGATATTTAACTTGTTCAATTTGAATCCTTCAGACAAGAAACGCCTCTCATCTGCAGATAATATGCTTCTCCAGGACTTTGAAAACTACTTGAATACGTATGGTTCTCAGAATGTCATTCCTCAAGGTACTCCCATCGGTATCAATAACTCTGGTAGTATTGGTGGTACCACAAATCCCGGAAGTACCAATAAAGATAGTCTAAGCAACTTACTTCAATTTCCGTTTAACACCTCGCGGTCCAATTCACAGAGTCGAAAGGACTCCAAGTCGTCTAAACATAGCTCGATAGACTTTTCTAATAGTGGTTCTTGGGAGGGTCTCAATATGTTTGGTGGGAATCCCAGTAATCAAAACTACCAAAACCAGAGCGGCCAAAACCTTATGTTTCTGAACAATGGTAACCTTTCGACCCTCCTACAAAGTTTGAGTAACTCCATTGATTTCAGCAACATGAGCCAAGAGCAGAGGCGAGACTCGATTATAAGGTACTTTAACGATCCTAACTTCAGAAACAGCTTGTCACAGCAAACTCCGCTAAAAGAAGACATTTTTCTGAAGGAGGATCCCAAGTCAGACATTATGAATGATTCGAATAAGCTCACGGTTCCAAGAATGATCAAATCGGACAGTAAGAACCAGCCGCTCTCTCCAACCTCATCTTTATCATCAAAATCTGAGACCAAATATGAAGTTCCTCAAAGCCCGAAAACCTCACCCGGAGAAGCAAAGACTAACCAATACACAAATAATCCCGGTAATTCGGGCTACTACAATATCCCACCAAATCAGGGACAGCTTCTCATGCAACCTTCTGGTCAAATGGGAAGTCCTCAACAGCAATATTACCGGTCAACTCAATATCTGCCTCAGTACATTGCTCCAAATTATACCAACTATAACTATCCTCCAGCTCCACCTCCAGGAAATCAGACATCGGTACCTTCTGTTTCTGGTCAACGTGTAGCTAAGGTCAGTCCTCAAAAGACACCTCAAGGAGACTTGAATAGCCTCGAAAAGACTGAACAACCTCGCTTGGGTGCAACAAAAATTGACCAACTCATGCTTGTTATACAAGCAAGGGATGAAGCAAATAAAGATATAAAGATCCACACCAATGAAGATGGCAATATAATAGGAGAAGTGAAACCACAACACCTTGTGGGTGGGGTTGAAAAGAATAAACTTATTCCTGAGGCGTCAGGTAGTTCGGATGATGGAACAGACGCCACCCATGAGCGTAAAAAGCATCACCGAAAGCTTCCTCAGTGTCCCTATTGTGAAAAGTTCTTTGCCCAATCAACACAACTCGAAGTGCACATTCGTTCACACATTGGACTTAAACCATTCGAGTGTACGTACTGTCACAAGAGATTCACCCAAGGGGGCAATTTGACGACCCATCTTCGTCTTCACACAGGCGAGAAACCGTTTGCTTGTGAAGTCTGCCACAAATCTTTCAGTAGAAAGGGGAATTTGGCAGCTCACAAGTTGACCCATGAGAAACTCAAACCTTTTGACTGTAAATTGGATGGTTGTGATAAAGCTTTCACCCAATTGGGAAACTTGAAATCACACCAAAACAAGTTCCATCTTAATACGCTTAATTCATTGACCATGAAATTAGCTGAGCTCAGTTCGGCTCAAATTGCTAACTTACCATCCCATGAGAAAGAATTACTCGACTACTTCAAGAACTTGTACAAAAATAGTAATAAGGGAATCAAAGGGCGGGGGAAACGAGAAACTGGCCTTCATGATAGCTCGGACCTTGGGGCTGGTCCCACGGGTTCCGAATCATCTACATCCTTCAGAGCCAGCAATTACGACCAATTTGTATAGTTCACCATTATGTATGAAATGTAACTTTTAATACCTAACAGAAGCTTTAGCCACAAATTTCACCCTATCTTTATTGATTGATATTTTCTAGTATGCTATTAGTTTGACTGTGAATATTTGTATCAGATTTTAAATGGTTGCAAAAAGATAGGTTTTCTGTGAAAATTACATTTCTTGTCAGGTAAGACTAAAGACTTACATCACAAATGTTACAGGCTTCCTAAAATCCCCCAAAAATCAGATTAAAGTCACAATCTCAATAATTATGTCCAAGTAGAGTCAAGTTCCCTGAATATCATTGTCGTCGAATACAGTCTCGAATTATAATGGTAAGCACCAAGGTTATCGACTCTTGTATATAGACAAAGGCAAATGAAAAAAAGGCAGCCAAGCCAGACCTTTTTCGGGATCCACTACCCCATGTTAACAAAGTTCCATTACACACTACAATAACTTCAAAAACATCATCATAAAACATCATAACATCTATCTAAACATCCACAGTGTTCCCCCCTCAAAATTTCACGATCTCTTTCGTTACATTATTTTTTTCCTCTCACACGAGCGCACACAAAATTCACAAAAGACGAGTCTCGTTGATTGTTCGTTTATTGTGGCTTAACAAGAACTAGTTGTCCAAAACACAAAATGGCCTTCAGACCTCCTCTGTTCAATCCTTCGCCTACCATGAAACAACGGTTGCGGTATACACCTGCCCCGTTCATGCTTGGTCCACAGAGAATGAATATCGCTCAACCGCTCTCCCGGGCTTCCACTATCGCTGAATTGGCTTCAAACAATTCGTTACCAAAAAACAACCGGAAGAACAAGTTCAAGAAGAAGGTGGCTTCGTACTACGATCAGTTCCCCAGAATCCCACGTCCCAAGAGAAATAACGTGTTGTTCTACTCGTCTTGGAGTAACAGTGAAAACAACAAGTCCCACAGATTTCCAAACATCAGGTTGAGTAAACGGCTGTTTTCCACTGCCAACCAGAAGCTTAGGAACAAAACCTTCAACCTCCACAAGAGGCTCTTTTCGGCTGAGGCCAGGAAACAACGACAACAACGTAGACGTTTTATCAGATGGTGGACCTTGACTTCGTTGGCCGTTCTTTTGACGGGTGTGGCCGGTAAAATCAAATACGAACGAGGCCAATACGATGACGACGATGAACACATTCCTCATAACGAATATGCCATCAAGCCCGAGTCTTGGCAGCTCTACATCTATTCAACTTTACCTTTGAAGGCTATTTCTAGATTATGGGGGCAGGTTAACTCCATAAATCTTCCGGTTTGGCTTAGGTCACCTTCCTACAGACTTTACTCGACACTCTTTGGAGTTAATTTGGATGAAATGGAGAACCCTGATTTAACCTCCTACTCTAACCTTTCTGATTTTTTTTACCGAACTTTAAAGCCAGGTGCCCGGCCTATTGATGACTTCGACTTGGTATCTCCATCTGATGGGAAAGTATTGAAATTTGGTGTTATAGAGGATGGAGAAATTGAACAGGTTAAGGGTATGACATACTCGGTTGATGCTTTGCTCGGGTTAAAGACTGAGAAGTTAGCAGCTCCTTCACACTCGTTGGATTTCGAACACTTGGATGATGATGCTACGGTACTTGAAAGAGACCAAGAGTTTGCCAAAATCAATGGTATCACTTATACTGTAGATGATATCCTTGGAGGTGAATCCGATAGAACTACTCACAAGAATGACTTACAGTATAAAGATGCTGGTGATAGAGCTGATGCAGATTCAAAGGCGACTTTGAAGAAAGAGTTATTGGTTGCTAGGGATTTGACTCCCACCCCATTGGAAAGATTGGGCTTAAGTGGAAGCAAACAGTTGTACTTCACAGTGATTTATTTGGCTCCTGGTGACTACCACCGGTACCATTCTCCGACTAACTGGGTGGCTACATTAAGACGCCATTTTATTGGTGAGTTGTTTTCGGTGGCTCCATTCTTTCAGAAAACCTTACAAGGGTTGTTTGTGTTGAATGAAAGGGTGGCATTGTTGGGTTACTGGAAGTATGGGTTCTTTTCCATGATTCCTGTTGGAGCCACCAATGTGGGAAGTATTGTGGTTGATTTTGATAAGGATTTGAAGACCAACGATATCTATGAACACGCGGTGTATCTGAAGCTGAGACAATCGTCTGTCGATTCGATCAGTTCAGCAGATGAAAACACGCCTTTGATACCCGAGAAGGAGCCCGAACTTGATGTACAAGAGTCTACCAGTGATTTGACTCTAGTATCTGAATCGTCACAAGCCTCTACGCCTAAGGCGGAAAAACCCAAGAGATTGAAGAAAAATACCGTGTATGAGGCCACGTACACCAAGGCTTCGCGCCTTTTAGGAGGTTATCCCATGAATAAGGGCAGTCAAATTGGTGGATTCAAGTTGGGTTCAACAGTTGTATTGGTGTTTGAAGCTCCAGACAACTTTAAGTTTGATCTACAGATTGGTCAGAAGGTCAAAGTCGGACAATCTTTGGGACGTTTTGTGTGAGCAATCAAAGTCGGACCCAAACATGGATGACCAAAGAATTATAGTTTGAATTTTGGGTGAGTTAGACGGGATTGAATTTAATTAAGTAGTTGAATCTTCTTGAAAAAGAAAATATAGTACAGTGTAGTTTTAGCGTGTACCAGCGCACCATGTAGCGATATTTTTATTGTTTTACCTGAAGCAGATAAAAATACTTGCGAAGTGGTGAGAAAAAACAGATCAACTGGGCAGCGAACAAGAAGTAGTTGTTATTAAAGATCCATAGAAGTTTATATCCCTCGTGAACTGCCTTCACCCATACAACGCACGCGTCTTTCCTTTCCACCCCCCTGATTTAATTCACCTGCCATCACCTCCATTCCTTTGTTTGTTTTGTATTTTATTTGTTTGCCTAGATCAGTATGTCTTTTTTAAATACCATCAGAGGCTTGGGAAGAGGCCCCAAGAAGAACAAAAAGGACTTGGACTCCACAAACGTGTTTTATCAGCATCCCAACGGCTCAGGATCGCCAGTCAGAAGATCCCAATCACCTACCAAATTGAGTCCAAACAAACAGCAGAGAATCAACCAAGTATATAACAAGCAAGCCTCGCCCACCAGACGAGGGAGAAGCCATGCTAACGGTGACGGATCTACCCGCCTACTGCCACGGAAAGAGGCTGCTCGTCTAGTGGCGCCTGTCACCACAATCAATGCTCCTCAGGATTTGCCGTTATTCTTACAGGAACCATTTGTGAAAACATCGTTGGTGAAAGGTTCATTCAAAACAATTGTGCAGCTCCCCAAATACGTGGATTATGGTGAGTGGATAGCTCTCAACATCTTTGAAATGTTCAATAATTTGAACCAGTTTTACGAGGTGTTTGCTGAGTATATGACTCCCGAGGCGTATCCCTCTATGAACGCTGGACCCACCACAAACTACTTATGGGTTGATTCGAGTGGCCAATCAATCAACTTACCAGCTGTTCAATATATTAACTACGTGTTGACATGGATCTCCAATAAATTAAATGATCAATCGGTGTTTCCCACCAAAAGTGGGGGTGCCTTCCCACAGAACTTTATGAAAGACTGCAAAAATATAACCAGACAAATGTTTCGTATATTTGCTCACATATACTATAACCATTTTGAAAAGATTGTTCATTTATCATTAGAAGCTCATTGGAACTCGTTCTTTTCTCACTTTATTAGTTTTGTGAAAGAGTTCAAATTGATAGATAAAAATGAGTTGGAACCTTTGTTACCTTTGATCGAAAGCTTTGAAGAGCAAGGTAAAATCATATAACAATACCAAAGGCTTAACCCGCCTCTGAAAAATAAAATCATGTCTACTTTATACTTGAATCTATATACAATAAATGGTTCGTTAAACTTCATGAAAAAAAGTACGTCGAGTCTTTGACGACATTAACATCCAAGTCACCTCTTGGAGGAACTGGTGGGAAACTAATTGGAGCAAAAATTGGTAACCCTATAGAGGAGGTACCGACTTCATTCAAGTCGTATTCTTCAACTGAACTCACAGTTGTCACCAATTCTTTGCCCATTTTAACCGCTTCAGGATCGTCAGAGGCTAACAATTCCTGTCTCTTTTTTTCTAAATGAATCTCATCAGCTACTGTCAAGGCTCTGTTTAAGTCAGTAGCAATTTTTCTTCTAACATCTTGGATTTTTTTGGCAAGTTCATGATCTCTTGGAATGGTAACCACTTGAAGGAAACCTTTATAACGAGCCTCAAATTCATCCTTGACTTTTTGAATCAAATTCTCAGAATGTAACTTGATGAACTGTTCTCTTAAGATTTTGCTCAACACATCAATATCAGAAGCATGTGTCCAATAAGAATCATGAACCGATGCAAATGAAATGTTTTCATATTTACAGGTAGATGCTGTCATTAACATATGAGTAGCATCCAAAGAATGAACAAAGTTCGGAGGCAAAGCAGTTTTCTGTTTTCTAGCATCGACTAACGAAGCTCCAAATGGATCGGTAATAGCAACATCTTGTAAGTTTGTTTTAATAATTTGCTTCTTAATGGTTCTGTATGGTTGAACACAAGGCAAACCCAAAGGAGTGGTCCAAATAACCGAAGATACGTGATTTGGCTTATCATTACTTGTGGTAGAATCTTCATAATCGACCCTGACGGACTTGCTGATGATTCTAGCTGCCTCTCCCAACCAATCTTGGATTAAATGAGCACCTGAAAACAACTCTCTAACGGCTGCAAAAACATGTTGCGTCAAATACTGAGCATATTCACCGGAATTCTCTTCGCTATCGCTATCAAAATGGACTTTAAGCTGTTTCTTGATTTGTTCTCTGGCACCAACAAACGTAACACCATAAACATTAGTCATCACGGTTTGCTTCACCACCCTTCGGTTGATCTTATCTTTCAAGAAAACTGCATGCTTTTCACCAGCCTCAGCATCTGCATCAACTCTTTGTTGAACAATGCTTGCCACCGAAGAATACACATCTTGAGGTCTGTCAGCGGGGTACAAGTTTACTTGACGAGCACCTTCTATGTCACCACCTAAAGCAGCATAATGTTGTAAACCATTACAGGACCCATCTTGGTGAACAGGTACATGAGAAACATATTGGGTTGGATCTTCTAGTTTATAAGCTTCATTCAACTCGAAACAACATGCTAATACTTGCCAAGGTTTTTCACCTTTTGTCCACCAGGCATCCTTGTCAAACGGAGTTTCAGCTGATTCTCTGATCTTGTCCAAATGGGTTTCAGTAAACTGAGCTCTCTCTTCTAATGGGATCTTGTCCACACCATAAAGGTTAGCCAAGTGAACCTTTAACCACCACAACCCTCTTTCTCCAAGTTGTTTTCCGTCCCAGAATAAGAACAAAGATCTGGTCAAATCGTTTCCTAAGTGGTTGAAATGAGGAGACATAGGGTACGCTCTACCTCTGAAATCGATGTTGTGAGGGAAGAACATCTTCTCTCCAAGGAAAGCTCTAGCAATTTCCAATTTATAATTGGTATCACATCTTTGAGACTTGGCAGAAGCAGAGATATTGATTGCCAACCTCACTTTTCTTTGGTATTCTCTCAAAACATTTGGCTCGGCATTCAGTGGAACTGGCTCAGGTAATTCGGGTTCATCGACAACAGGAGGAATATCCAAAAATTCGTCACCTGTGTTCCAGAATTTGGTCATAACTTCCAACACTTTCCTATTAACAGTCCATGGAGTGTTACCCAAGACATTTAAACCATCATACACTTTATCCAAATCGCCTCTTTGAGAAGCAGCTTTCAAATATGCGAGTGTCTCAGGTGAGTCTCTAGTTCTAACCAAGGTGTTTTGGGAGAACAAGTAACCACCCTCATTGTACGAAGACCACTTTCTTGGAGGAGTCAACATTGGCAAGAAGTGTGGTTGAAGCAAGCTACCATCAACATCCACAGAAAGTTGTTTGATGATGTTTTTATGTAACTTTAATACTCCCAATTTTTGCCCTTGGAGGTATTGGTATGTGTGGAAGAATGCTGGTTGACTTCCAGTAACGGTCTTTCCGGTGGCAGGGTCAGTCCCCTTGACAGGTACCTTAGCCACATGAATTAATAAGGAGGTTAAGATCGATCCGATTTTGGCATGTAAAGTGTTGTCCCATTCGTTATGGGCTTGGTTGTCCAGATCTTTGGAGTAGTTGTTCATAACTCTGAAGATCTTGTTCCATTCTCTAGCACTTCTACTTTTTTTGGAGATGGACTTCTTTTCAGATTCCATCAATTTCTGAGATTTGTACTCCAATTCTATGGCTTTTCCTACCGAAATAAGAGCTCTGGCTGTTCTCATTCCATCAGCTATCCCTCCAGTTGAATTTAATCTTAGAAGCTCCAAAATAGTAACGGCACACATTTTTTCTGGAGTTACAAGAGTTAAGTACGGAGCATAATAGGATCTTTCTTTGACCAATGCCCTATCTTCAGACTTTGCATTTTGGATAGTAATTTCCCCATCCATAATCTTATGACATTGGTTTACTTCTTCTTTGACAAATGGAAGAAGCATCTCATACCATTCGTATAATCTGGCATTTAAAGATTTAGCAAAGTGGATTGAGCCTCTTCTCTGCATTTCTTCATAATCATGTTTCCATTTCTCTTTGGCAGAATCGGCCCCTCTTAACTCGATTGTTCTTTGTCTTGCTCGGTTGAAAAGATCCAATGCTTCATTGAACTTTTCTCTATCTTGATCCGTTTTTAAAAGTTTGTATAAGGCAAAATAGTCTCTCTTTTCGCTATTGGAAAAGTTATGAATAACCGAACCTTGTAAATCCTTTTCCAAATTCTTCATCAAATCATCAATAATTGGGGATTTCCCTTCCGAAGTCAGCTTCAATCCCAATAAAGTGTGCCTCACAACCTTCAATCCGAATGAATCCACCGATCTCAACTCCTCTGCTTCTTTTGAAATAGAAGGAATATTCAACTTACTGAAGTTTTCATCAGAAAAGTAGTCTTCGTTGATATCACTCAGATCTTCGGTGGAATTTATTTGGTCATAGAGAGGTCCAAAATCGATTGGTATATGCTTTTCAGTGATGGAGTTCTCTTGAAATATCTTCGTTAGATTGTCAATTCCTAACACATCAATATGACCTAATACTTTCCGAGTGAAGTTTATGTTAGATTTGATTTCGTTGAGATACTTATTGTATTTGAAGGAAGAATCAACTTGCAATGCTTTGGTTATCAAGATGGCATATGTTCTGTCATTAGGAAGTAACCGAGCATCTTTCGTGAAGTTGAGCAAGTAATTTTCCAATCCTTCTAAAGTAGCTGAGTCTTGCTGGGACCAAACTTCCAAGTACTTGTTTATGGAATACATGAACTCTTCTTGAGATGTCAGCAAAGGGTAAATGGCTTGCAAAATTTTGTCAGCTCTGGTGAAATTCTTACTCGAAAGAAGGGCATCAAGTAAAGACTGCAAATGAATCACATCCTTTGCAAATGGTTGTCTAACCACCGAGTCGTACTGAGAAGTCCATGTAAGGCCGTTATTAGAAGAAGGGTCCATACCTTCAGCACCCATTCTCCCAGGATCAATCTCTTCAAAAGATTTCCGATGTAAGTTTCTCTCTTTCACCTCTTTGTTTTTCAAATCAGGCAAAAAGATGCTATACCCTGGGAACTGCTTGCTTGTCGAAGATGGATTTGATGATGACTGAGACGAAGACATTCTAGTGGATACCGACACCAAGCGCACAACCCCATGCCTCTTGTTGAAAGTGTATCTTAACATAGTTATAGGATTTGTGCTAGTAAAAAAAATTTTAGAGGAGCTATGCGACTTTATTAAATCCCATCTCCGTACTATTGCTGAGAGCCGCTTCGAATAAGCTTTTGATTGTCCGTTTAACTTTAATAAATTTATTTAGGGTGTTAAAGCCACACCCATACATCCAGATCTCTAGATGGATAAAGCTCTTTACTACAAAAGATCAGGTTGGAATTGTTTGTCCAAAAGCTATGTAGTTACAGAGATGAGCTTGCGTGTGGAGGTGAGTATTTCGAGAGAATAGGCCAGGTGCTATGATTTAGGCATGAACGGTTGTGAGTTTGTGGATGTTCAAGTTGATATACCTTTTTGACTCATAGATGCCATTCGTACTATTCTATCCTTTCATCTCTAAGAGAATACTGACTCCCAGTTGAACCAGTTTCTACAAAAGAACCGCTTAACTTTGTCAGTATATTAAGGATGAGAAAAAAAAGTATATAAACACATTAAATAACATCAGAAGTATAGATATTCGTGGCCAGTCTATAATCCCATTTCTGCCTGCAAAGCTTTCAAAGCTTCTTCATCCTCATCTTCTTCTTCGACCTGAGGCTTTGTCTTGTTCACAGTTGGGAAATCTGGAAGCGTTTCTTCACGAACAGGAGCTTGCTTTTGAGCTTGAGGCTTAACAGCTTGTTTCTCTTGTTCTTGTTCTTGTTGTAACATGGCCAATTCTTCATCTAATTCGTCTTCATCAACATAATCATTGCCAACGGGTCTGGAAATGGCTTCGGATATTTCGTCCGCCAACTCAACTTGTTCTCTGATATCATCCATGGTAGTCTCAACCTTGTCAATGTCATATTCTCCGTGTATTTGTTTCATGGCAGTAGCACCTTGCTTCATGGCCTTCATGGTCTCCAAATTCAAATTGGCACCTTCGATGGCCGTCAACTGAGTTTCCAACGTATCGATCTGATTTTCGATCTTCATCAAGTTGGTTTCATAGCCTTTCTTCCTCTTTAATGCATTCTTGGCCAATGTCTTATTGGTAGAAATATATTTCCTGGCCAAGGAGTCTTGATCATTGATTTGTTGCTCCAAATGAGACCGTTTCTTATTCAACATTTGAATATGCTCACGCAATTCTACTATAGCCTTCTTTGGCAACTCCTTCTTCTGCAGAGGGTTTCCCCCAAAAAAATAGTTCCACATGTTGCTGGTCGTATCTTATCAGTAAAGTGGTGGAGGAAAAGGGGCGGACGAGTTGCAGAACCGAACTTATGTATACGCGTATGAATATGAGTTCTGATATGTATGACTCCACTAAATCAGGAAAGTGGTGTACAGGTAGCGGTTTCTGAAGATTAATTCGGGTAAATCGAATATCAAGTAGCCCTCGAATGACTTGAAAGGGAGACTTAACTAACAAATTTTTTGAAACTGATGCGCGCACTGACCACCTAGTCTGATGCGTTTGGGCAGGGCAAGTTGTAATGGTATATTATCTGATAGTACATAATGGGTATTAACTAACCACAGCCCAAAGCATGAAAAACATGATTAAGACACCGAATATCTTTAGGAAAAGCCACCGGTTGCTCGATATACGATTGAAGTATCTGAGCAATTCTCTTTGGGCACCAGAGATGTTCATGTCAATGTCTTCCACATTCTGGTCGATTCTTTGGATGGTTTCTCCCTGTTCACTAACCATGGTGGCCAATTGTTGGAACAAATTTCCAACTTCATTAATGGTGGATTCAATAGTCTCCACCGCATTGCTTCTTTCTTGTACATACAGCTGGCTCTGGTCTTCCATCATAAGCAATTGTCTAGTTTGGTCGGGGATCGAGAGAAATTCCCCGTTATTGTAGTTAGAGTAGGGAGCCGATGCTTCGGGATCCATGTCGGGGTTAAATGAGGCCTGTTGACCTGTCAGGTATGGGTTTTCCCCCAAGTTCAAATTGGGAGATCTACCCCCATCGCTCATGAGTGGTGACTGGCTGTTACTGTTCCTGTTAACACTGGTTACCGATAAGAAGTTTTCAGTTCTGTTCTTGTTCAAGATTTCATTCTTTTGTCTGATTTCCAATACGTTCTTAAATTCCCCACTGATGTTTTTCATCTTGAAGTTCAACAAGTTTAACACATTTTTAGAGTACTGGTTGATTTGAGAATCTATCTTAACACTTGAATCTCCCTTAACAAACCTCTGGAGATTCTGAATATTCTGTTCAATTTTAAATATGTCTTGCTTTATGACATAGGTCAACTCGCCTATCTCGATAGGTTTATCGTCGAAAAGTGGTTTCCTCTTGGCCAACAATGCTAGCTTACTTAATAGCTCGGTTGTATGAGCAATATCTTTGGCTATTATACTTGCTTGTTGGCTAAATTGGGACTTCTTAGCAGGCGTCACTGAGGACCTCGCTTGATTCAGCCTCTTGTTGATTTTGTCGTACGTAGCCACGCATTGCTGAAACTCGAATGTTCTGTTCTGTATGCTGGTGGACATGACTTTATGCGTTTGTGGATTATGCTGGTGGTTGGGTATTAGTTGGCGTCAGTGTGTTTTCGCTCCGCGCGCTCGCTGGTTTAAGCCTTGAAATATTATATCGTGTGTGTACCGCTACATCAATTAGAGGTCGTCATCGTAAATTATAAGGTAAAGCTGGGGGTAGAATATCCACAGAGAATTTGAAACAAATCCGAGTCCTTGGCCTCCTTGATGTAGTTCCAAAGGTCCAAGTCAAAATTTGCCAAATCGTCGCCAGTTCCATAGAAGTGCCGAAGAAACTTGTGCACGACTTTTTCGAATTTGGCATCATAACTAGACAGTGAAAGAAGCTGAAAGAGCTTAAGTATGAACAGTACAGACAACGAAGGAGAATTTTCAGCTTTCTGGAAAAAAGTTTTATGCATATACTTGAGAATCTTTGTCTTGTCTTTGAACTGTAGGTTTCCATCAATGATAGTAATCATGAAATTATTTTTATCCTTAAACTTCATTCCAAGAGCATCTATTAGAACCACCACTTTGTGGAATTGATTCATGGAATTGATAGTAGGGTAAACTTCCTCTACAACGGCTCCAAAGTCGCTGTTATATATGGCGTCTATATTTGAAACTGGGACTCCAGATGCAATTTCCGCCCGTTCATTCTCATAATCATCTTCAGAGAGAACCGCCAAGGGCTCTTCAGATATAGTCAATAATAGTTCTGTCAGATGACGCAACGGAAGGATAGTTTCAGAAAAATCCCAGTCATATCGATGTCGATGTTGTTGTCGACTTTCCCACCGCTGTAGCTGATATTGGAGAAGTCTCAACTGGTTATGAATGAATCTTAGTCGCTTGGCCTGCTCAGTAGATATGTGCTTCAGGCTTATGAGACAAAACTGTTTGAAGTATTCGGCATCGAGCTCGTACGTAAAGCGATATTTAAAAGCATCGATATTGAACCCCCATTGATGAGTTTTGATGTAATTCAATGACTTTTTGAATGGGTCAAATATTTCCCTTAACTCACTACCCAGATCAAACTCCTCAAACATCTCATCAATATCGGACAATATACGGGTACATTTGTTGTTCAAATCTACCACAAACCGGCACTGGATGAACTTTTGCAAATAGTGAAGCCCAAGATTAGCGGGTCTGAAGAGCTTGTAAAAATAGCGGTTGACAAGAGCAAGATTATTTTCACTCACTGAAGCATAGCAAAAGATGTTGAAAAGAAGCTCTATAGGGAGTTTGGTGAGTTGTAGCGTCTTCTCTACCGGTTTATGCTTCTTTGGTTGGCGGTCGCGTGATCGCTTATAGTTATATGGTTTGCCAATGTTTACAAATCCCATGCTTTCTAGCAGAAGACACTGCGAAATTATTAGCGATTCCTAAAAACGAAATCAATAAATAGACGTCTTTTTAACTATCATAACAATTTAGCGAATAAACTATTTAGCAATTAAACTACAACTTTCCACTAGCCTTTTCCTTGAACTGATCTTCGGTAACACCCTTACCCATAGCTGCGGTAGATGAAACACCACCAGTAACCATCTTTAATAAGCCATCAATGTACTCAGCTCCAGACCATTTCTGATGCTTTACAACTTCAACACCCTTTTCAATTTCAGGTTGTTGCACCAATTGACCATAAGCACGCATTCCAATGGTAGAGTAGTTGTTGGCAAACTCATCGACAGCCAAAGCCGTGGTGTGCAAACCAGCCAAGGTGATAAATTGCCAAACGAAGCCCAACTTACCCAATCTCTTGATGTAAGTTTCTTGCTCATCGGGTGACATGGCCTTGTTCCAGTTAAAAGATGGAGACAAGTTGTAAGCCAACCATTGGTTAGGGTACTTGCTCTTGACACCTTCAGCAAATTCCTTGGCTTGCTTGAAGTCTGGCAAAGCACTTTCCATCCAAACCAAATCAGCATATGGAGAGAAAGCTCTACCTCTCATGACGGCACATTGGGTACCACCTCTGTAACGGTAGTAACCTTCACGGGTTCTTGAGACATCCCAGTTGAAGTACACATCTTTACCCAAAATCTCCTTGGCCAACTTTCTGGCTTCCTTGTGAGAAGCTTCAGCCAATGGGTTGATCTGAGTGGTAAACTTCTTGATGGCACCTTGCTTATCAGAAATAGAAGAGGCATTGATTTCATCAATGACGGCTTCGTGAAACAATTTCAAACCAGCCTTCTTAATCCATTCATCTTCAATGGCTTGTAATTGTTCACCATAAAGACCACTTTGTTCAGCTTCGTGCATCAAAGTTGACAAGTCGGGAGTGTTGGGGTTGGTGGATCCTTGGACAAAATAGTGATCCCTGTGGTCAATGGTAGAAGTAATCAAAGTAGCAGCTTCGGAATCAGTTCTAGCAACCGCCAATAAGTCCGAGCCCAAAATGTCAGCAGAGGCTCTAATAGCCACTAATCTGTTGATATGTTCTTGGACAGGTACCAACACCTTACCAGCCATGTGACCACATTTTTTGGTACCAGGAGCTTGATCTTCGATGTGGATACCTGCCGCACCTCTTTCAACAAACATCTTGGTTAACTTGATAATGGCAGTAATACCACCATGCCCAGTATCGGCATCCGCAATGATGGGTCTCAAAAAGTCAATGTATGGGGTGTTCGCTCTCTCAGATTTAGAAAGCTTCAATCTTTCCTCTCTTTGCTTTCTGTCGTGGAACAATTGTGCAAACCACAAGTGCTCAACCTTGTTAGGAACGGTGTCCATGGGGTAATCAGCCAAATCTGGGGATGGTTCATTGGAGGTTGAGGCAGTGGAGGAACATTGCCATCCACTGACATAAATAGAATCCAAGTACTTGGCCATTTGCGAAACATGAACCGGGTCTAAAGCACCAAAAGTGAAAGAAACACTCTTTTCCTTGTCATGTTGTTCCAATAATTTGTACAACTTCTTGGCTTGGTTGTTTGAAGGGTACTCAATCTTCAAGCTTCCTCTCTTTTGAGCAATATCTTCAGGCTTATAGACTCTTTTGGTTTTATGCCACCTGGAGTCTTTCCACCACTGGTCGATTTCTTGAACCTGTTGTTGGTAGAACTTTTCTTCGTCTTCTACGTTAATCTTGGAGTAAGCCATGGTTGAATATTTATATTTAAAATCAAATGAAAAATTCCTGACTGGAAAAAATTGGGTGGTTTTGTTCACTTTATATAGTTTTTTTACCAACTATGGGTTTTTACCCCAGATAATCATATTTGAGTCAAATTTTATTGCTCCCGTTGATCCTAAAACTCGGTATTTCGGAGAAAAGGATCCAAACTCTCGCGCATTTGCATTTGTCTGGGGTAGCTCGTGACATTTGTGCCAGGTTTCTCGGGCAATCGGGGTAAACTATGAGTCGATTTTAAGGGTTTATATGATATATAGTCTAAGATCAAATGTTGGGGGTGGCAGTACTGTCAACTTGAGTCTGGTCGTCGGACTATGGTTTCCGGATGACTGTTTCGGACTTTAACCCCAGAAAAACATATGCAACTTCCCCTAAATGAGACCACCACCGCCTGTGGACACAGTGGCACTTCCAATACTACAGGAGCCGAACCGGACTTGCCTGTCTCCGCCGGTCCTACCACAAAAGTATGCCTCGGTGGAACGGGTGATTGAAGAGTTGTGGTGCACGACCGTCTCTAAATTCACCTCACGGGCGATAGCCGTGGTTATTTGGCAATCCTGAAAGGGACATACAATCATAACCATATGATGTATTGTATTTTTATGGACATATAATTCCAGATACTAAAGCTAGAGTCTATGTGAGTCGTGAGTCAGTAGAGGAATTTAGGCTTTAGCTACGTCATTCTGGTTGTTCATAATTTCCGTACCTCATAGGCATCTTAGTATCATCTTCGCAAAACCAAATATATTTGTATCCCAAATTTCTGACAGTGTCGCCCTAAAAAGCTGACTATCTCGCCCTAGCTTTCCTACTCGCTACAACCGTTCTCCGTCCCAAAACACTCCGCCTTTTCTTGCAATGTTTTCGCAAATCGCGAACTAGTAAACAAGCCAATGGATTGGATGCCAATAAGCCAAGGGGCTGTACAAAGTCTTGTCAACTTGGCGATCCTGTTCACTCCGCTATTCAGCTATGGGCTCACCAGCTATCAGATCTATCTCAAGAAAACCACCAGTGGGTTCAGCATCGATGTGTGCTTGATAATGCTCATATCTTCCATCTGTAAAGTGATCTACTATATGCTTGAACCCTACGAAATCTCCTTGTTCCGCCAGGCTCTTATCATGATCTTTATCCAGGTGGTGCTTCTTAAAACCTGTTTGCGGTATTTGGAAACCCCTGCCAAATTGTATGATGCTGAAAAGATTATTCACCTGTCGTCAAGTCCGTTAGAAATAGTATTCAACCGCCTTAAATACTTTGATAACTTTTATAAAAGGCCCTACAACTTCTGGCAGTGGTATCAAGATCATATTGTATACTGGGAGTTCTTGGTGGGGTTTTCGTTGTCATTAACAGTTTTGGCCCTTGTGTTCCAACTGTCCCTGGTGTTTATATCTACGATTGGGTTCTTGGGATTATTTAGCGAGAGTTTGTTACCACTCCCCCAAATCCTCTTGATACACCGAATGAAGTCTGTCAAGAACTTCAAATGGATTCTTCTACTTAGTTGGTTGGGAGGAGACTTTGTCAAAATCAACTACCTCTTATTTGGTACCAATGAAGTGTCGAGTATTTTCATGCTGGCAGCGCTTTTCCAAACCGCATTAGACGTTTTCATAGTCAGTCAGTACTTCTACTACAAGAATTTGGAGTCTTTATTACCCCAATAAAACACATATCAATAAGCATTATCAATATAAATATTATCATTAATCATGTATTGGATATAAGTAAATTAGCAATTCTATGTACAAGAAATTAAGTAGGTATTACTTTATCAAACAGAGACAAATTCGGCATTTTCTTTGGCGTCGTTGATTAATTCCAATGCTTCTTGTCCCACTAGCTGATGCTTGACTTTGATGTGTCTAGATAATGCATCACCTCTGCTAAAGGTTTTGGACTTTCCATTTCCCTTGCCTCCATTGTATCTACCTTCGCAAATAACACATCGGAAGATCTTCTTTTTAGCGGCATGAATGGTCTCTTGGTGCCTGATAAGATCATACGGTCTGGAAAATTGCTTATTGCATGGAACTCCTGTGTTCGGATTGATCAAGTTGCAATGGTGATCGAGAATTTCATCGTACTTCTTCTTTGTCTTCTTCTCGGACAAGCCATCAGCGTCATGCTTATCAAAACTGCTATCACTGCTTTGGCTATGAACCTCGTCGAGTCCAATGTCGATATCCATACTATCATCGTCATCATCTTGAGCGTCATCATCGATAACATTCTCTTGGGTCAACGAGTCATTCAAATCGTTCAAATCGGTGTCCATCTCTTCAAGGTCGATCTGATCATTTAAGTCGGTAAGCTTGACCCCCATGCTGAGGGAATCATCATCATTATTAAAGGATGGTTTCAAAGTATAATCACCAAGTAATCCGTCATTAAATCCGTTCATTTCATTCGAAACCAATGGGGTGGAGTCGTCATTTCCCATTACATTGCCATTATAGATATCATTTTCGTCATAGTAATCAAAAAGATTGTCGTCATCACTTTCGTAGTCGCTCATATCATCCAACTCATCAAATTCGTAGTCATTATAGTCATTGAAATCGATGGTTGTAGTTATTTCATCAGACCCAAGATTCTTGAGCGGCTCATTAAGGCGATTGCTTGAGTTATTAGTGTGGTGGTGGACGAAAATCGAGTCATTATCATTTTCAAAGTCAAAGTTAAAAGACGATGAAGGCTTGGAGTTTGGATCAAACAAATCATCGAACTTACCAGCTGGAGGAGGCGATAAAGTCTTGATCTTCATACTTTTAGCTCTACTTCTGGCCTTAAAAGGATTAACACTCGCTGTGATATTTTGTTGGGTTTGTGGCAGTTGAGGGTTCGCAGACTCAACAGGAGCTCTCATCAAACGGTTAGGTTGAATGAACGAGTGTTCTGGATCACTGTAGTCGTTGAAGATCTTCTGGTTGTTTTGGGGCTTGTTCAAGTTGTTAAAATTGAACAAACCAGGCGTCTGAGGTGTCATCGCACTCAGGGGGGACGTAGCGGAAGACGAGCCCACGGCCACAGGCAATGGTGCGGATAATGGGGTGGGGGCTTGCAACTGCGCCGTGGTAAAGGCAGCGGTAGCGGCGGCCACCGTGGCAGCGTAGGCCGACGAGGTGTCCCTGCTTGAAGTTTGGAAATAGTTGCTGCTTCCCAGGAATAATGGATTATAAACGGGAGACGAATGATTCAAGATTGGCGAGTTGGGCACCGTATACAACTCTTCATCAATCAAATCGATGATGCTCTTCTGTTGAGGAATGATAATAGAAGTCATCTTGGGGTTTGTGGAAATTCTATTAAACAAAGGGTAAACTCAACTGATGTTGAAATAACGCCAGTTAATGCTTGTGAAACGCCAGACGGCGAGCTGGTGGCGATTTATATTTGTTGATGTTTGTACCTGCACATAATTCGCGAGCTAGACCATTACTCATCAGAGGACGATCCCTTGTTTTTTCGCAATGATTGGAACATTCCTCTTGCTTCCACTGGTAGCCTTTTCGTTCCGCGCCAACCGCTGGTAGCACGGGCGAGAATAGATCCGTCGCGAGCGGAGCAACCTTTCGCGCCTGAACCAGCGCATGCGCCTGGGTCAAGCGTAAAATTGTGGCGTATGACTGATGTGAATTGCTGCACTTTCCTTCAACCTTATTAACGCCAGCTAGTGCCGATTGGCTGCGAGACAGCCACATAAACGCACGTAGATGGTGGTGAAATTATGTATCTTGTTTCTATGCATATCGTTTATCTATGTACTGTGTGCCATAAGAATACCAGTTTAACTTACTCTTCCTTCATTTGCTTCTCCTTGGGCACTTATATCACATCTTATACATCGTCTTCTTTCTGTAGTTTTGGATCTCCTGCAACGCCAATTCATGGTTTAAATAATGGTACGGCGTCTGCAACCGACCCTGATCATCTAACTCAAAGATGATTGGAATCCCCGTGGGAATCTCCACCTTGCTTATGTCTTCTTCGGCAATGTTGGCCAAGTACTTGATGATGCTTCTGACCACCGATCCGTGGGTGATTATGAGTATATCGTCTCCAGGAGCGTTTGATGAGAGAATCGACTTGAACAAAGGAATAAACCGATTCATTACATCCTCTAGCGATTCTCCGTTCGGAATCGCTGTACGGTCAAGGTCATCATATCGAGAGTCCACACTACCATCAACACCTTCAATGGGCGGAGGCTTACCATGGAAGTTTCTCCGAATGTAATTATACAGCTGAGCTCCTACTTGCTCAAATATCTCTTTACGATTGTGTCCTTGGAAAGCCCCGTAGTGCCTCTCATTAAGCTCCCAGCACTTGTGGTGGTCAATGTAAAGTAGGTCGAGGGTTTCGAGAATAATGTTGCCAGTTTGGATGGATCGTGAAAGCCTAGAGGTATAGAGATGGCGAATATTGGTGGAGCCAGCTGCTGCTATCAATTCACCTGCATGTTCCGCTTCCCTCTTTCCCTTATCGCTGAGCTTGACATCGATCCATCCCGAAAACTTGTTTTCGTCGTTACTTAGTGATTCGCCATGGCGTAACACTACAAGCTTCATCATTTTGTAATTATTTTTAGTGCGCTCATCTGATGATGTAGCAAGATAAGAAGAGCACGTGATGGAGCCCCCCTACCCCAACACAATCCCAAATGACAACTATTATTGTACCCACGTGACTGGGAGCAACGCTGTGGGTGGGTCTAGTAGCAAAACTGGTTGGTGACTACTGCAATGAATTAGCTAAAAAATACCCCGCTATATAGAAATAGTAGATTTCACATTTTTCAAATAGAGTTTGTCCATTAACAACATATCAGTAAAGTTTAATAGAACCCCCTAAAAATCTGGGAAAACCCCTCCTGGTATTCTATATACTTGTAATGAATACTAGCTACTCAGTTATAGACATACACATCTCTACTACCTGTAAATGGTATCTCCAATATATGGTCGTGCATGGCCAGAGTTGTCTGATAAGATGGATGCAGCCACATTGCTTTTTCTGCGATATTGCAACCTTCATCTTCAATGTAACATCAATGAAATAAATAACAGGGCGTCTCCATATATAAGCATGATTTATCTCTAAAATCCGGTGGTACCAATTAATTGCATTCTCGTGGCATTTGTGGTCGAGCTCTTATCAAATAGGTTGTGTGGAAAAAAATGAGCGTAGTAGTTGACAGCCAAATTCAATTCATCCAGATGCCAAATATGCCACTTTTTAAAATACGGCAGCTGCCTTATCAGTGGGAAGAGGTGGTTGATATTGTCCGGTCTAATAAACTAGAACGTTTTGCCCGGCTGGGGCCCGATAGTGAAAAGTACCTCAAGTTCAAGAAACAAGTTGTGCTGGATCCTCAAATGTCCGTCTTCAAGTACCTTCTAATTAACCAACTTCAGTGGGCACAATCGGAAACTGCCCGGCAGTTGGATGATAGTCAAATTGTAATCAAGCCCAAACTGACCATGTTGTTTGTTGAGCCCAGCGACGTAAAGATTCTTAAAAATGACTTTCCTTATAACTTTGCAGAGGGTATCCACCATTTGTGCGTATGGACTAAGTTTAAAATTCCGGTGGATCCATTAAGTCCAATAGGGGATATTTCGGCAGACACCAGAACCGTCATAGAAAGATACTTAAAGAAGACATTTTGTGAAAAGTACGGTATCAAGTGGGAGAACCTCTTATGGTTTAAGAACTGGGAAAGTCTACAGAGTGTGAAGGCTATGAGCCACATTCATGTTATAATCCAAGGTGTTGATGAGGCCACTGTGAAACTGATGTTGTACACGTCGGGGGTTTGTTTGACGAAAGAAGAGAGCTCAATGGAAGCAACGGTTGTGTGCTGAGCCTATAGAATAGAGATACCAAAAGTATAGACAATAAATAATTATTAGAAATCCAACTGCCACAGCCAGAAGCAAACAACCAGAAAAGAAGGGCATGACCCAAACTACGAAGATATTTTCCCATCATATAAACATTACTATTACTAATTTACATATACACAATATAAATTAACCTCCGAAACCGTACAAGGTTCTACCTTGTCTCTTCAAAGCGTAAACAACATCCAAGGAAGTGACAGTCTTTCTCTTGGCGTGTTCAGTGTAAGTAACAGCGTCTCTGATAACGTTTTCCAAAAAGGATTTCAAGACGGCTCTGACTTCTTCGTAAATCAAAGCAGAGATACGCTTGACACCACCTCTTCTAGCCAATCTTCTGATAGCTGGCTTGGTGATACCTTGGATGTTATCTCTCAAGATCTTTCTGTGTCTTTTGGCACCGCCTTTTCCTAAACCTTTTCCACCTTTTCCTCTACCGGACATGATTAATTAATATAATATAGTTGATAGATATAAAATCTCAAGACTTAAAAAAGGGGAATTTAGCAAATATTTATAATCGTCTCAAACAAAAAAACTCTGACCCTCAATTGCACTAGCAAAACAAATGCTTAGGGCTTGCCGCTCTTAAAGCGATCATAATAAACAACTTTTTGTTCGGGGTGAGAATATTGGCCTACAGTCTCCACGCTTTTCGCGGGCTCAGAGTCGAACAACATTAAAGTTCGCGGGCTTTTGTGGCCACCAAAAGACTTAAATTTTATAGCAGGACAAAGTTTACCTACAGTCCGCGCGTATTCTCCAGTATGTATTCGCATAATTTGGCTTTTCGCACCTACAGAAGAGGCTGTCGTGGGTGCAAAACATCCTTGCGGAAATGTCTGCAGGCATGACACAAGGTAAATAAACAAATAGCAGAAAGTGCAAGGGTTTCACATATATAAATCAGGAAATCTCACCTCAACTTTTTCTACTTCTGTCGTACTACACATTTAACCATGGCTAGAACTAAACAAACCGCAAGAAAATCTACTGGTGGTAAGGCCCCAAGAAAGCAATTAGCTTCTAAGGCTGCCAGAAAATCTGCTCCATCTACTGGAGGTGTTAAGAAGCCTCACAGATATAAGCCAGGTACCGTTGCTTTGAGAGAAATCAGAAGATTCCAAAAGTCTACTGAACTTTTGATCAGAAAGTTGCCATTCCAAAGATTGGTTAGAGAAATTGCTCAAGATTTCAAGTCTGACTTGAGATTTCAATCTTCTGCTATTGGTGCTTTACAAGAATCCGTTGAAGCTTACTTGGTTTCTTTGTTTGAAGACACTAACTTGTGTGCCATCCACGCCAAGAGAGTTACCATTCAAAAGAAGGACATTCAATTGGCCAGAAGATTGAGAGGTGAAAGAGCTTAAGTCTCTTGTTGGCGGATTGTATATTATGATTATGTATTAATATATGGATAAGGAATAATTTGTGTAAACATTGGCTGTCGCAGCAAGAAAGTTATAGCACTTCCGTCGTGCTCTAGATAATTTTTCATTCTTGTTCCTACAATCACTATTATCTATGTCTATTTTTCTACCTATCAAATCCTAGAACGGGAATGCATTGGTCTCCTTTTCAGGAAGATATCCCAACTTCTCTTGAGCCTCGGCTTTTTGTTCCAAGTACGGCAACAAGATATCCTTGAATTTAGTGTAACCACGATACTCTTGTACATCTTCTTCCCAGCTTTGAATCCCGTTCAAAAGACGTCTTGGAATATACGGTTCCTCCACTAGCTTGGAAATGGGAATGAAGTATGTTCTGACGGTGAAAACTATAGCACCGGACTTGGGAAGCCTTCTTAAACTTTGTCGCTCAGATCTTAAGTGGATTTTGGAAATATCATTGGCTTCATCAGCAGTATACCAGCCTACTTTTTCACCAAATTCGTCTCCAATGGAACTAGACCACCCGAGTTCTTCGTCGGTTTGGAGGAAGTAGTTGTTTCTAACAACAGCTTTATCACATGTCAACCGAATGAAAAACTTCTCCATAGGACTCTGAAGCTTTTCTTTAAATTTTGGAACGTCACCATGTGTGTGGATATTCTCCAATGTTTGGTTGTACTTGTCTTCCAACTTCCAGAACCCGGGTAAAATCACCGCCCCAGCCTTCAAAATATACTCGCCATTATCGCTTTCCATCATGACTGCCAAATCGTCCTGAACCATTTTCGCAGCAATTAACATAGGGTCTTCACCTTCTGAACCCGGTCCTTTATAAACCCGATAACTTCCTCGAAACTTGTGGTCTTCGCCTGTCTCCAAGTTCTTTACACCCAAGTTAGTCTTTTGAAATAGAGTGGGGTACCGGGCTGGTAAGTAATTTCTCATCTCGTCAAGAAGCTCATAAGCAGCATCAACAGCTTCAACACCGGTTTCGTGCAATTTCTTGTCATACTGTTTGACCCGCTTCAACTTTTCTTCGTGAAACTTTGTCCACTCGTTATCCAACTCGAACCACAGGTTCCAGTCCATGTTTCTGATTCCCATAGTGATATTGTATTTGTGCTTGAATGCTCTGTAAGGCAACGGAGACGTGGATTTGATGTCCCAGTTTGGGAAAGGCTCTGGAACTGGGAGTTGAAACAGCTCCGGGGTCCAGGTGCCAAACTTTCTGTCTTTATTTAAGGACAAGGATTTTTGTGGCTTTTGTAGGGATTTTGATTTGGAGGTCGTGGATTTCAGTTTTCTATACTCTTTGCTGAGTACGGCAGCAGCTAGAAGCACCACCACCAACATATAATTCACCATTTTGGGGAACCGAAACCCTTCAAATGTTTCAATAAGAGTGGTATTCATATTATGTACTTGCCGTGTGTTGTGAAACTACGTATTTCTTGGTGTACTGTGGTGTATTTTATATATTTGGGCATTTGAGATCGGGTTATCCTGGTCGCAACCCATTACCAATTCGGGTAATGATATCCCAAACTGGCACAGGGGGGTGCTCACATTTTAACTAGAATAGGTGTACCTTAGTATGAGTACCCGGTGTCTTTAGTCAGCTGTTTTTTGACTTGGATGTGGTACCGTTCGTGGTACAGAAGTCAGTGTCCATTTCGGTGTTTTCTAGACGATCTGTTTTATGAGCTTAGTGCGACCGTTAGGCTGGAGGAAGGAAAGCACCAAAAAGTCCAGCTTGGATGAGAATCCAAAACAAAAGCCCCCGACGGATCATCTTGTTGTCAATGACTGCAAGAAACCAGTAGAAAACTGGGTTAAAATTGAGAATTCGGTTGAGAATTTGGATATTCCAAAACAATACTCCGAGCACCACAAGAATAGCGTTTAAAAGTAAGTACGGTATCAACAAGTGGGAAGGGTACTTGGTGTAAAAGTACCAGATTAGATAAACGTTAGTAGCCACAATTGGCAGTGAAATTATGAAGTTTGGAATATTATTTGGGGTCCAGTAGTTGAGAAACCCGTTGTTCCAATAGTGCACCTGGCAGTACTGGAATAATGATGGAAATACATGGTTGCACCATTCTCCTCGTCCGGGACAGAAAGTTTTATAACCCACGTAGTTGGTATACACGAACGAAACGAACAATGGAATTCCAGAAACGAAACTTATGATTGTGCTGGAGACTTCTGATGCTCGCCAGAAACGTTCAAGATCATAAAGATAGAAAATTCCCAAAAGAAGACAGTTTGCCCTTACTTGGAAAGCGGCAGCAAGAACTATGCCACTGAAAATGTAGACAGCCCAGAGCCGAACTTTGAGGTGGTAGTTAGCACTGTAACTGATGGATACTTCTCTTAAATATAACGCGAGAATCGACAAGAGCGACCCCAAATTCTCCGAATATGAAGCAGTTAAGAAGATCCCACCGGGCGAAAGAATATAGTATAAAGCCGCCTTATGGGCCAAATCCTTTGATTTGAGGCCGAAAAATGGCATTTTCTCGAACATTTTGCGAGAAAACACGTATAGCACTTGACAGGCCATCAACTGACAAACATTAGAAACCACAGTTGCAATGGCTAGTAGCACATAGAAATTTTGGGTTGGCAACAATGAGGCAATATACCGAATAAGGGCCACCCACCCGGGACTAAACACAAACTGGTGTTCGTATTTGATGTCATTTTTGAACAAATCGGTGAAATAGACATTGTCCCAGATCAAGAATCCATCGAGAAGTCTATCAATAATCGGGAGCCCCAACCGATCAGAACTATAGGACTCAATCAAGATGTCTGAAGAAACATCGAATTGGGCAGGAACATTGTATAGCACCACGAGTTGAGCAAGCTTCAATGCCAAAAACGTCTTCCACATTCGCTGGTGTTTGTTTGGCGAGAAACAAGTTTGGATGCGCATTGCACAATTTGGCTGCAGATGAGGATGATGGTATTTGATATTGAATATACACTCTATTAAATTATTTCTTTCCGAATTGGGCACTGAAGCATTCAATGATACCTTCAACAGATTGAGGGTTGGCCAAGGTGGAGATATCACCCAATTGGTCGGCTTCGTGAGAACTAATCTTTCTCAAGATTCTTCTCATGATCTTACCGGATCTGGTTTTGGGCAAGTCAGCAACGACAATAATGGACTTGGGAGCAGCAAAAGGACCAATTTCTTTTCTTACCAACATCACCAAGGCTTTTCTCAACTCATCCAAATTGTCCACCGCATTGTCTTTCAAAGCTACATAGGCAACAATAGCTTGTCCAGTCAAATCGTCGTTGATACCAACCACGGCAGATTCAGTTACACCAGGATATTCGATCAAAATCGCTTCGATTTCAGCCGTCGATAATCTGTGGCCACTGACGTTCACCACATCATCGACTCTTCCTCTAATCCAGTAGTAACCATCATGATCTCTAGCAGCCCCATCCCCAGTGAAGTAAAAACCTGGATATGGCTTCAAGTAAGTATCCATGTACTTTCCATGATTTTTCCACACCGAACGGGCCATGGAAGGCCACGAACTCTTGATGGCCAAAACCCCTTCCACATCATTTCCGTGGATCTCTTGGCCCGAAACTGGGTCAATAAGACAAGTGTCAATCCCGAAGAATGGTAAAGCGGCAGATCCTGGCTTGTTTGGAATGATACCAGCAATTGGAGCAATGAAATGAGAACCAGACTCGGTTTGCCAGTAGGTATCAGCAATATGACATTGACCCTTACCGATTTTCTCGTTATACCATTCCCAAATATCTGGAGAAATAGGTTCACCCACAGAACCCAAGGTTCTCAAAGTGGACAAATCGTATTTGGCAATCTCGGCTTCCCCAGATTTTCTCAACAATCTCAACGCAGTTGGAGCAATATAGAAGTGAGTAACTTTGTGGTCATCAATGATCTTGAACAACCGGCCAAAGTCTGGATACGCTGGGGTTCCCTCAAATACCACCGATGTGACTCCCAATAATAATGGTCCGTACAACGCGTAGGTATGGCCCGTGATCCAACCAACATCACCGGCCGTGAACAAGACATCTTGTTGGTGGATATCAAAAATGTACTTGGTGGTCAACGCCGCTCCTAAAAGGTACCCGGCAGTGGTGTGAACCACTCCCTTGGGAGTACCCGTGGATCCGGAGGTGTACAATAAGAACAATGGGTCTTCAGCATTAACAGGAGTAGGTGGAATGTATCCACTGAACTTGCTAGTTTCTTCGTCCCAATAGAAGTCTCTACCTGATTCCATGTAAACGTTTCCCCCCGTACGTTTGTACACAAGTACCTTTTCCACAGATGGACAGTTGACAAGAGCTTCATCACATAACTTCTTGATGTTGATGGTTTTTCCACCTCTTTTACCTTCATCACAGGTGATCAAAGCCTTACAGCTGGCATCGTTGACTCTGTCCTTGATGGAACCAGAAGAGAAACCAGCGAAAATCACTGAGTGGATGGCTCCTAAACGGGCTACTGCCAACATGGCAATAATCGCCTGGGAGTTCATGGGCATATAGATGGCCACAGTGTCACCTTTCTTGACTCCCCAGTCTTGTAACACCTGCGACACTTTACAGATCTCAAACAACAACTGTTTGTAAGTCAAGGAGTGGCTATCCTTTTCATCATCGTTTTCACAAACAATTGCAAGCTTGTCAGGAGTTTGGAATGCGTATCTGTCAACACAGTTGTAACAGGCATTTAATTCACCTCCCAAAAACCAGGCAACATCCCCGGTATCCAACGAACCAGAGCGCACCTTGGCGAAGTCTTTGTCCCAGTGTAACAACTCGCGGGCCAAAGGTCCGAAAAATTCGTCTGGTTGTTGAATGGACTTGTGATACATCTGATAGTATTGATCGATGTCTTTGATGAAGCCTGGCTCGGGTTGCCTGTCGTAGAACTCCTTGGGAGTATCATGAGATTGGCAGCCGTTGGCCTCGTGGACCACCTTGTGTTCTGTGTTGGTCATGATAGTATTGTTTCAAAAAAAGAGCCTATACGATTGGTGATTGGAATTTTTCAAACGCGACGCTTCGTATAGGAGGTTTTTTTGTTGGTACGCAAAATATTGGGTAACAGCCAAAAAAATTTAAAAAATTCCACCGACTTCGCCATAGGCGTATATTTATAGGATGAGTGAAAATAATCACGTTTAATTTGATTTGCTATTCCTACGGTTATGTATCGGGTGATTTACTGCCACAGAAACGTCGCTTAACTCCAGGCTCCAGCCTCCTGTGCCTTTTATCCATTTGCGACATTTTGTCAGGTTACTCCCTGGTGCTTTAAACAATAGTCCAGTTAATATAGCCTGAGTCATAGCGGGACAGCGTCGTGTGCTGGCGCGCTCACGTCCATTTCTGTTGGGCCCAGGCGTAGGGGAAGCTTCCCCCGACGAGAGGGGAAGCAGCACCGTCGCCGCCGCGCGCTGGTGCCAGGCCATTGAGCCCCTCTCGCAAAGTTAGTGGGACCAGGGACCACTCTGTTTGCACCACCGTGGGGTACTTTGCTTAAGCAAACAACTTTCTAACAAAAAAGAAAAGTGGATGTCGTTAAGGCACATGGGATAAAAGGAAGGGTTCTGTGCCTATAGCGGGCTTTGGAACTGTCATTAACCCCAGGTTTAAAGGAATTCTGGAGTTAAGCGTAGTGATCTGCATACTTAACTCCAGTACAACCGATATGGTGATGGATAAGCGGAACCCCAGAATTTAAAACTCCGGAAAGTCGGATAAAAATAAAATGTTTTTCATGTATTCTCTATATAACCTCTAAAGCTTTTGCAAACCAGCAAAATTATATAATCATTAATAATAATAGCAGTTGGTTTAATCAACTTCTTCAACAGTTGGTCCATCGTTGGCTTCAGCACCTGGGGCAGCACCTGGGAATCCACCTGGAGCAGCACCACCGGGAGCGGCACCACCTTGGTAAGCCTTAGCCATGATTGGGTTGGCCTTTCCTTCCAATTCCTTTTGTTTGTCAGCAAATTCTTCTTGAGTGGCAGTTTGGTTAGCATCTAACCATTGGATGGTTTCGTCAGCAGCCTTAGTGACTTCTTCAATTTCAGCAGCGTCTAATTTACTCTTCAATTGTTCTTCACCCAAAGAGGATTTCAAAGAGTAGGCATAAGATTCCAAACCATTCTTGGCTTGAACTCTGTTAGCTTCCTTTTCATCTTCATCCTTGTATTTTTCGGCTTCGTTAACCATTCTTTCGATATCTTCCTTAGATAATCTACCCTTGTCATTGGTGATGGTAATCTGTTGAGTCTTACCAGTACCCTTTTCAACGGCAGAAACATTCAAAATACCATTGGCATCCATGTCGAAGGTAACTTCAATTTGTGGAACACCTCTTGGAGCTGGTGGAATACCAGACAATTCAAACTTACCCAACAAGTTGTTGTCCTTAGTCTTGGCTCTTTCACCTTCAAACACTTGAATCAACACACCTGGTTGGTTGTCAGCATAAGTAGAGAAAGTTTCAGACTTCTTGGTTGGAATGGTAGAGTTTCTTGGGATCAATTTGGTCATGATACCACCGGCAGTTTCAATACCCAAGGACAATGGAGCAACATCCAACAACAACAAGTCTTGAACCTTAGAAGAAGTGTCACCGGACAAGATAGCGGCTTGAACAGCAGCCCCGTAAGCAACAGCTTCATCTGGGTTAATAGACTTGTTTGGTTCCTTACCGTTGAAAAAGTCAGAAACCAACTTTTGCACCTTTGGAATTCTGGTAGAACCACCAACCAAGACAATTTCGTCAACTTGAGACTTGTCAACCTTGGCATCAACCAAAACTTTTTCGACAGGGTCCAAAGTAGATCTGAATAAATCTTGACACAATTCTTCGAATCTGGCTCTGGTGATAGAAGTGTAAAAGTCAATACCTTCGTACAAGGAGTCGATTTCGATGGAGGTTTGAGCAGAAGATGATAAAGTTCTCTTGGCTCTTTCACAAGCGGTTCTCAATCTTCTCAAGGCTCTTTGGTTACCGGCCAAATCCTTCTTGTTCTTTCTCTTGAATTCGTTGATGAAGTGGTTAACCAATCTGTGGTCGAAATCTTCACCACCCAAGTGAGTGTCACCAGCAGTGGACTTGACTTCAAAGATACCATCTTCAATGGATAACAAAGATACATCGAAAGTACCACCACCCAAGTCAAAGATCAAAACGTTCTTTTCTTGTTCGTCCTTCTTATCCAAACCGTAAGCAATGGCAGCAGCAGTTGGTTCGTTAATGATTCTCAAGACGTTTAAACCAGCAATCAAACCAGCATCCTTGGTGGCTTGTCTTTGGGAATCGTTAAAGTAGGCTGGCACGGTGACAACGGCATCGTTAACGGTAGCACCCAAGAAAGATTCAGCGGTTTCCTTCATCTTGGTCAAAATCATAGAAGAAACTTCTTCTGGAGTGAATACCTTGGTTTCACCTTTGAAGTCAACTTCAATTTGAGGCTTTCCACCCTTGTTAACAACCTTAAATGGAAAGTGCTTAATATCACCTTGGACTTCAGCATCGTCAAATTTTCTACCGATCAAACGCTTAGCGTCGAAAACGGTATTGGCGGGGTTCATAGCAGCTTGATTCTTTGCGGCATCACCAATCAATCTTTCAGAGTCAGTGAAGGCCACGAAAGATGGAGTGGTTCTGTTACCTTGATCATTAGCAATAATTTCGACTCTGTCATTACTGAAGTGAGCCACACAGGAGTAGGTTGTACCTAAATCAATACCAACGGCTTTAGACATTGTGTATATATAGTTTAAAAAGTGAAAAGATAGATTTCCAAAAAATTACTTTATGTGATTTATTACACTTTATATAGATAAAATGTATGGACGAAAATGGCTGAAAATTTTTTGTTCCAAAATGTTCCAAAAATTTCGATTGTCGGTTTGCAGCAAGTATTGTCGTGCGTATATCCAAAGATACCGAAATTTCTCATCCACGCCAGCCGCCACCACAAGAAATAAACGCGCGTAGCTCAGCAACAAAAAGAGCTCCGATCACGTGAAAGCTTCATACATATAACTTAGTTAACCTTGTTCTTCTTATAGTCATTGACCAAGATAAAAGAGCCAACCTTACTAAAGGCTCCCTTTACCTTGATCCATACATTCTTGACCCCCGGGTTGTTGAGGTTATTGATAAGACCGTCGATTCTAACCTCGAGGGTTTTAACGTGATTCCTGGTAACCACCGACTTTTCGTATCTCAACTTGATAAAGATCAAGTACACCAAAAATGGAGTCAACGATCTCTTTCTGAAAAGTAACACTCTAGCAAATAAGAATGCCAATGAGATTAATTCCAAGAACCCGGCCAATTGGATCGATTTGCCGTTGTTTTGAGCAACAAACTTGTCGATGGTGGTGTATGGCTTGGAAGTTTCTCCCAAGTTGAAGATAGGTAACAAATAAGCCTTACTATACGTCAAGACATGGAATAAGGAGAACAACTGGAATGGCAAGTATGGGAGAATGATATAAGGTCTCAAGATTAAGAACATGATTCCCAATCCCAAAAAGTGAACGTTATCGTCTTTGATCAAAGTCTTAACATTAAATCCTTGTTTCTTGACCAATTGGTACACCAAAATCCCGAAACTTTGGATGATTCCTACGGTGGCCAAGTCGAAGTAGAACCAGTAGATTTTCTTGCCGAATTTGAAGTAGGCTACTGTGAAGTAAAAAAATACTCCGAGCAATGTGAACACATGTCCGACAAACCAGGCAAATTGTAAGGTTTTGATGGTACTGGCCAATTGCTCTTTGTTAATTGAGCCAGTGACCTTGGAGGTAGATGAGGCACCGGTAACGGTGGATTTGGATGGCCCGGAGGCCGATTGTGGAGGTTGTTTTGTAGAATCGTTCTCCATCGTGTGAGTAGAAAACAAGGGGATGCGAATACCAAAAAAAAATGGATGATGGAATTTCATCAAGCGCGCGTCAAACTGGATTTCCGATTGTGGGACACTTCGCATTTGGTACAAAAATAACTCGTATACATAGTAGAGTAAGCTCAACGTAAGAACCCTTTACGAGTCTTCTGAGGAGCTGGTTGAGAAGCAGGAGGGTCTTGGGGCAAGGTTTTTTGTTTCTCTAATTGGGCCTTCTTGTCTTCCAATAACTTGATCTGCTTGGCCAATTTATCTTTCATTTCCTTGTGCCTGGCGAACAAATCTGCTTCACTTCTCTGTAACTTCTTTTCCTTTTCAGTAACTTTCAGTTGAAAGACCGCCTTCATTTCGGCTTCCATTTTTGCCAACTTGGCCTCGTGTAAGGTTCTTTCTTCCTCTTGTCTGGCAACCGGATCGAATTCTCTAAAGACAGTATCATCTTGCTCAATACCCATCTTGACCAATTTCTCAGTTCTGTACTTTTCATACAAATAGTTGGCGGTGTGCTCTTTCAACTCTTCCAAGTAGTTTCTAATCAACAATTGCTTCAACTTGGTAAAGTCATTGTGATCCTCATTGTCGACCTCGATGGTTCCCCATGGATAACTTCTGCCTCTAACCAATTTACCTTGAGCATTTTGCACTTCTCTAGTGGATCCTACCACGGCAAATGGCACTTTATCCATGATCTGTTTGCTGATAGTTAAGGTTTCTTCATCATCATTATCGTATTGGATGGGCTTAAAAACCCTGATTCCTTGGTGGTCAATATCGGCCAAGATTCTCTTCTTGAACCCTGCGGTTTCTTCTTCAGAAAGCGTATCACTTTTGGCCACAATGGGGATCAAATTGACCTTTTCATGGACCTGCTTCATGAATTCGATATCTAAGGCTCTTAAAGAGTGGCCACTTGGTTCAATGAAATACAACAACGCGTGGATTCTCTTTTCTTCAATGGTAGACCGGTTAACTCTGCTCTCGCTTTCCAAGAACCCATCGAACCTGCTATTGATTTCGTCCACCACTGGCTTCCACAGATCGGTGTTGTTGGTCAACTCGCCGAAGCCGGGGGTAGTGAGGATTTCCAAGTTCAACTTCACCCCGTCTTCTTCAACCACATCTTTGAAAGATTGCACCTTGACGGCATCAACCGAATCAGCACCAGCGTCTTCATCGACGGCTTCAGGCTCACGGTGGGTCAAGATTTCCTTGTTGAACAAGGTGTTGATCAAGGTGGATTTTCCCAATCCACTTTCTCCAACTACCAACAAGTTCAAGTTGAATCCTCTCCTAATGGACTTTCTGTGCCATTGTTTGGGGAAGTTGGCAAATCCAACGTACCCGTTCAACTTTTTCTTGATCACCTTAACTTCCTGGGGGATATCCTTTATGTTGCCAATGGTTTTTTCATATTCTGAAGTATCAGGCACTTCGGGCATTATACTGTCGACGTCAGCTAATAAAAGTTAGTAGGGAACAGGGGGAAACGGGTGAGAGCGGGCGGCAAAGGGTTGGGGCCCCACCTATACGCGTGGATGTGCCAATACCCGGTCGCTGATGCATCATTAAACATACCTGTCATGTTTGAGCAGTGAGTTGTTATATTTGTGTTTTTGTTTCGTCACTTCACAAAAAGCGATTCGAGCGTGTCAGTGAGAGAGAGGGAAAACGACGTGCGCCCACCACGAAAAAAATTCGAAACACCCCAGTACTATTTAATATACAAGCTATAAACTCCTTAATTGGTCTAAAAGGAACTCAAGACCAAACCGGGCAAATTCCGTCATGTTCTGTGACCGGTTTGCCGAGTGAGTCTGGCGCTTACAGCTGAGTTCTCGATCTGGCCCCACAAATCCCAAGTACACGTCTCCTGGACCCGCGCTGGCCCCAACAGTAGTACCGCTCGCATTGGCCCCGGCCGCGCTAGTACCAGTTCCACCCCCATCCGTCAAGTGTAGGTCAACGGTAGGACCCGCAAACCCTGTTTCCAGTAGCACAAATGTCGACCCCAACTCGTACTTGGTGGTTCGGGCCAATCTTAAGGCCACCACCTCACTGGGTCCCATATAGTGCCGTATCTCATCGGCGGACCACCCACTCAACCTCAATCTCTGTTTGAGCGAGTACACCAACTTCCCACCAATATAAAAGTCAGACGCTCCAGGCACCGAGATGAGGTAGGCAGAAATGAGGCCACCACACGCGGCCTCCAGCACCGCTAAAGTGTAGTTCTTGGTCCGTAATATGTGGGCGATTTCATCGATTATGTCTCGGATCTCACCTGGTGGGAACTCCATAGCTAGTTTGGATTTGAATTTGTCGCGCAGTGGCAACCAAAAAAACTACTTCTACTTCCAACACCAATGTCGACCATTAAATTCAACGCTGGGAAAGTGGAATATGACGAAGACACCCACGAGTGTGTTCCATTTCCACAGAAGGGTGTAGTTACCATAACACCACGCTCTGAAGAGGGATCATTCTACAATTTCAATTGGACTCAAAAGTCCTCGGAGGATGGCTATTTCGAAATCCAAGAGTATTTGATCATTCCTGGCGATGTCAGTTTCAAACAGGTCAGCTCCTGCAAGACTGGGCGTGTGTTGGCATTGACTTTCTTGAGCTCGGGTGCCAAACACTTGTTTTGGCTCCAAGATGTGGGTGATGACGAAGAGTTGGATAAGTTGACCGATAAAGATGTGGACTTAGTCAAAAGGATAAACGAATTGTTCACCCCCATGGATGACGAGGATGAAGACGAGGATGAGAAGCCACAAAAAGAAGAGCCTCCACAGCCGGCCACCACCACAAACGAGTAAGTATTAAATATACGAAGTTAATGATATCGGTGATATTAACGTGTGTCTCTAGACCCAGTACAAGTACCAGTGCCATCAATTTGCCCATTTTGGACCTCGAGGATGCGTTTCCGTTTGAAGTATTGGAAACCCATTTGAATCGCTTGTCTGATAAGCAATTGCTTGAACTTGTAAAGGACGACTTACCGCCTACAATTGGCCAAAATCCCACTAGAGCCAACATTTATGATTTGATACGGAGTGGATTCTTCCAGCAGTCCAAGGCCAACTTGACTCAGCACTTGAGAAATGCCAATGGGGCCGGGTACTTGTTGGCTCAGTCATTCGGTCTCGAGTACCAGGGTGAAGGCATCAGCAACTTTCTCGAAGGGATCCGCAAATCGTCCAAAAAACCCCACGAAGAGTCACCTTCTGATGATACCACCGAACTGTAAATCGCAATGGTATGTATGTCTCACATCAGCTGTAAATCAAATAAAACAGATCATATCTCATCGATTCCTATTGTTCTCTTGTCGCAATATTTTTACCTAGAAAAGTTTTAAGCAAAAAACTCATTTTCTGTAAGAACAGCGACTCCTCAATTTCTTCAATACCCATTTGTGACAACAACGAAGAGTAATTGGCTGTGTCTCAAACGAGTTAGTCCCACTCATATTAACACCCCACTGTTTAATCACTGTTTCGCCTCAAACCCCTGGTGTTTCCAATTGGCCGACTTTTCGCTCAAATGGACAGCAGATGTTAGATATGTCCATTACTCCAAATGATCAATCGTCTCGGAGCAGACAAAACTCCACCTTGATCAACAAATCCGTTGAGCCTACTACGGTGGTATCGCTGGGCGGGGCCTCGCACACTGCGTTATCCCCCACCACCTCCGTTTCTCAGCATTCGCTATCACACCACAATACCACCACCACCCCGGTGCCAGCTCCAGGGTCTCCATACCTACTGAGGAAACTGTCATATGCATCACCAACCGCCAGCTACGTATCTGCGGATCCGTTATCTCCTCACGGAGATGATAAAGATTTGAGACATAACATCTTTGGCAAAGTAACTGGTTTACTTCAAAAGTCGTTATTGTCGTCTGGTGACAGCCGTTCTATCATTTCGTCGACCGAGTATGACTGTGAGCCCAAGAAAGATGTGACACATAAGATTTCTGACTCCACTTTAAAGTTGGACACTTTTCCTAAAGTCCCAATGAAAGGGTCTATGGTATCTTTGTCATCTTCAAGAAGGCCCCTGCTGAAAGCATTTCTCTCGTTGCCTATGTCACGGACAGACTCACCTGTTAAGGAAACAAACCGGGTATTCTTGGAATACGATCCGTTCAGTAAACGGAAAGTGTTGAACACATACGAAATCTTAGGAGAAATCGGCCGGGGAGAGCATGGGAAAGTCAAGTTGGCCAAAGATCTCGTCAATAAGGATTTGGTGGCTATTAAAATTGTCAATAGGAAGAGTAAGAAGGAACGGCCGCAACTTCGGATGAGGAAGTCAGCTAGAACCAATATTGAAAACGAATACGAGTTGAAAATCAAGAGAGAGATTGCCATCATGAAGAAATGTAATCACAAACATATCGTTCAGTTGAAAGAGGTTCTTGATGATATTAATACCCACAAGATATATATGGTGTTGGAGTATTTGGAGAAAGGTGAAGTTAAATGGAAAAGAACTACCAAAAACTCATCAAGAGATTTCGACTCCCCAGAAATTCCCTGTGGAGGCAGTGGCCACAAATACGATCTTGAGACCGACCTATTGTCCAATGATTATGCTCCAAATCTCACGTTCAGACAATCCAGGAAAGTATTTAGAGACGTTTTGTTAGGTCTCGAGTACTTGCATTTACAAGGTATTGTCCACCGGGATATCAAACCTGCCAATTTATTGGTCAGCTCTGAGAATACCGTGAAAATCAGTGATTTCGGAGTTTCATTTGCATCCTCACTAGACGAAGCTGATGAAGGTTTAATCAATGAATTGGAATTGGCGAAAACCGCTGGAACTCCTGCTTTTTTTGCACCTGAGTTGTGCCAGACTAATTTTTCAAGCTCTAGAAATACTTCAAGAGAATCTTCATTTTCGCATTCCAGGAAAGATTCAAAGTCCAACTCTTCTTCATCACTAGAGGTGCTCAGGAACGAACTCACATTGACCAAAGTACTACCCAAGATCGATTACAAGATCGATATCTGGGCTTTAGGTGTGACTTTCTACTGCTTATTGTTTGGAAGATTACCGTTTAATGCTGAATCTGAATATGAGTTATTTCAAGTAATTGTCAATCAACAATTGGAGTTTCCAAAAGATAAGGATTCGTTCAATTGTCCTGTCCCTATTACCGATTCGGAATTCGATTTGGCCAAGGACATATTATCGAAAATGCTCAGTAAGAATTCGTCTAAAAGAATTGAAATTAAGGATATCAAAGAGCACCCGTTTATCTTATTGGACTTGGACAATGATTTGGAAGCTTTGAATGAATTATTGTATCTCAACAATCCAGATTCAAATAACAATTTCTTATCCAGCATAGACCTTCAGGCTATGAGCAATCAAGAAGATGTGACGACAGAGGATTTGGACAATGCTATCATTGGAATTGGCTCCAGAATCAAGAAAAGTATAGTCCGGGCCATAACCTCAGGCACAAGGGATCACGAAATAAGAAAGAGGTTCCTCTCCGGTATGGAAAATTCCTCCAGCTTCAATTCATCAAGTGATGAGTCGACTCCAATGTCACCAGCACAATTGCAACAAAGACTTGTTGGAGATCACTCGGTAATCTTATCTGAATCACAACAGTACCATCAATCATCGGCTTTATCAAGATCTCAAACCGAAGCTATTCATTCCAATACCTCTCACAGTTCTACAGTGAACCCGTCAACCCTTCCTACCCAAGCTACCCCCTCAAGAAGTTCTTCTTATACCCTTGCTGGTATCAAGGATGGAAGATTTCTGAACCCAATTCTAAACGATGTAATCGAAGCCAATAAGTCAGATGCTTCTAGCAGAAGAGGCAGCGCGAGTGCAGGAGGTGCTAATGAGGTTGAAACCAAGAGAAATGTGGTGGGAGATTTGTACTTCAGAAACCAATCGGTAGTTGAAACCTTCAAAGGTATTCAAGAGATGGATGACAAAAGACGAAGGTCAAGTGCATTTTCTGCGTCTATTGCTTCTTCAAATCCTCCCACCGCTAAAAACTCTGTTTCTTCTCACCCAAGCTTGACCCATGAAATTTCACCGTCTCAACCAATGAACATACCAGGAGCCCATGTGTCCGAAACTATGTCTCAGTTTGAACTCAAACGAGTAAATCACACCGATACCTCATCGACAATCAAGCCAGGAAATCCTACTGCCGGACTCAGTCAAATAATTGTAAGGCCTATTGGAGATGCAAACGAGCACCGAGCATCATCCGTGATGTCTTTGCCATTAACCGAAAGTTTTGCATCCTTGGATAGCATCAACGACGAATACTTGACTCGTAAATACAAAGAGTTTACCAAGAAGAAAGAGCTCGAGAAAAGTAAGGAGGTAGAAGATACCGAATCTACAACAGATACTCTTAACGAGAAGTTCCAGAATTTCAACATTAATAACCTGATGAATTCGTATGGAATCTCGTTCAATTTTGCAAAGAGAGATAACAAGTTGGATGAGATAGCTCCAAAAACCATCGTGAACAGCCGGCCTGAAAACGTAAGGCTGAATACTTTTGATACCAGCAGGAACTATCTGAGTTCATCATGTTCAAGCTCAGCTTCCTCTTCGTCGTCATTGGATGAAGATCTGAGACTGAACAACAACAAAAGAAAAACGTTTGAATTTGAATCGGATGAAGAGAGTAGTGATACCGGAAGCGAGGATGATAGTGGCAGCGAGAGTGAAGAAGACGGGGACTTGACCTTGGCCTTCACTTCCAGAGTGACGCCATCGAAGCCAAAGTTTCTTTCGTTAGACCAAAGAGCCAAGTCTCATGACTCTTCACTTCCAGGACTTAATCGGGCCAAGCCGACAAAACGAGTTATACAGATGCCTGTGGTGTTTCCACATGATCATAATACTTTGGAGGACGTTCCTGCCGGGTTGATGGCAAGAGTACCAAGACCTAGTGTATCAATTGTACCTATAGATAAGTCGTCGGTGTCTTCAGATCCGAGTCCAGTGCAAATCATTGAACCAGCTCCATCGAATTCAATAAAGTTTTCTCCCAGAGTGGAACAAAACGAACAACTTCTTTCTGCTACTCAAAGAGTTCACAACAGAAAATCTGATGAACATGAACGACGTCCTTCTCCGTTGATCAATAATGCTCCATTCAGTGCCAACGCTACTACTAACTCACACTTGTATGCTTTCCCAAGGGTGAATGATTCAAACGAACCTCCAGTGTTTGGAAAAAGGCATGATGAACGATTCAACAATCACTATAAGAAAGAACCCATCAGTTCGCCTTTCCCCAATGCCATTCACAACGATCTGGATCGAGAAAGCAAACATAAATCTGTTCAGAGAGAAGAGAACCAAACTCAAAGCCTGAATGCAAATAGACCTGATTATTATAGGTCCAACTCCATCACCATTGGTTTGTTGCAGCATGATGAACCAGGTTCGGGTTGAACTTTGGTACTCAAAATAGGCCAATACGAACATATAATACATATATAAGCGTTGTATTTTTTCGTTTTTACGTTATATTTATAAAATTAACCCATTCACTATAACCATGATTTCCAATAATAAAATACCCAGTAATACCCATATGCAAATACCAAGTTCGATAAGAATATTTTTTTTTCTTTTTCTTAAAATGTAGTAGCAAACTCACAATCATTTCAATTTCCTGCGAAGTCAAGCTTTCTCTTTAAAACGGATAACCTGTTTCCAATGCTGACAACAAACTTCTCAATCATTTGTTTGTCTTCTGTATCCAACTTATTGGAGCTTTCCAAATCATCATCTAACAAAGCTTCCAACATCCAAATAGCAGTGGAGTATGCTAATTCGCAACCTTTCAAGTCCTCCTTCACTAATTCATTGACAGCAGCGTTTCTCAGCATTTCTAATGCTCTGTCAAAAATCAACTTTTCTGCCACAGCTTTATTACCAGATACAGACAAGTTGGATACCATACTAGTCAAGTTGGAATCAGATCCTTGCTCACCAGACTCTGATTCCAATATCGAATCAACTTCTTGCAATCTTAATTTAATAAACTCTGCCTTCTCCAAACTCTCATTGAATTTTTCTCTGATCCACTGGACTAATTCATTGATCCTAACAGATATATTGATATTTGAGTTCAAGCTAGGAGTTGGACTAGGGCTTGACCCATGGCTTCTTGTGTTGATTTGAGAATCACTGTTGCTGCGCTCAACCTCAACTTGACTATACCACCATTCACTTGCAATAGTCATTCCCTTTGCTAAGAGGGACAAAGTCTTCACGTACAAGACAACTCCTTCCTCACTGATGGTTTTAATCATCTTTGGTGGCAATATATCGTTCTGATGGAGTAAATCATCATCCAAATCATCGTCATTAGAAGGTGGTGAAGGAATCAATTGAGTGAATTTCACATCAGCAAACAAATTTATTGCATGAGCCTTTGTAGCTAATGATTCCAATCTGAGTAACACAACTTCATCAGCGGACAAGCTTTGAATTTGACTGATTCCTTGTCCTTGAGCTTGAAGTGAACTAGAAGTTGGCAAGTTAAATTTATGTGACAACAACTGGTTCGTGAAGTTTGGGCTAGTAAAGAAAGCTGAACTTTCCCCGAAACCACTAGCAGCCCCATCTAACAATATTTTCCTGTTCGCTTCCTCCAGGATTTGGTTGTTATAACCGAATAATCTATTGGAGGCCAAACCAATAGCTTTGCTCAAAGCATTGGAAGGAGAAATCGAGATTGAAATCCTTCTATCACTAAGACTAGGTCTTCTTTGACTAGTTCCAGAGTTGCTTCTGGTTGAATATTTTTTAAAATGAGGAGAAGCATACTTCAAGGAATTGTTTTCACCTGATCCACCGCTTGAGGTTGAAGAAGACCGACGAATAGCAACTGCACCACTTCCAGCTTGGGCCAACTCATCAGCGATTGCGTTGACTTCAACTGCTCTCTTTTCAACAACAACATAATCCTTTTCCAAAAGAGCACTATCATTCTTGATTAGAGAGTCATGGAATTTATTGGAACCAGCGTTGCGCCTCATTGATTCAGACATAGGCTCAGGACCAGGACTATTCTTGTTGATGATCTTCTTGATTTCTTCATCTCTGTTCTCCTTTGAAGAGGCAGTTGTATTTCTCAACTCATGAGGGTTTACCTTATCTTCATGAGAACTTAACTTAGTTAAAGGTTCAATTTTGTTGGTAATCTTTGGAATGGGTGAGATGTACTCAGAGATAAACAAGTTTTCATCTAATTGACTAGTTTCCAAAGGCTTGTCAACGCTGTCCAACTCATCTACAATCAACTGATCATTGAAAAACTCATTAAAGCTGATTCTCTCGGTTGGATTGTATTTCAACAAGGACCTAACCAACTTCTTCAAGCTATCTGGGACCTTAGAAGATGAGGGGAACTTGATTCTGTCGTTTGACTTTTCAATATTCTTTAATAACTCGATATGGTTGGCAGCCTTGAAAGGGGGCTTTCCAACTGTCATCTCGTACAACACTGCACCAACGGACCATAAGTCGGCCTTAGCATTATACTTTTCGTATCTCAAAATCTCAGGAGCCATATAAAGCGGAGAGCCACACAAAGTTTCAGCCATAGACGTAGAGGGCAAGAATCTGGCAAAGCCAAAATCTGCAATCTTCAAAATGGGCAATTCCCAGAGTCCCACAAAATGATTTGCTTCAAAGTCTTCCTTAGAATGAGAAGGAGGGCACAATAAGAGGTTTTGAGGCTTGATATCCCTATGGACCAAAGACTTATCTCTCAAGAACAGTAGGGCCGAGCTTAATTGCTTTAAAAAGTGGATCACCAAGACTTGGTTAAGACCATGGGATCCTTCAGGTGAAGGGTACCGATCGAGTAGACTAGATATGACCGGGTGAGTTTTGATAAGCTGGTTTCTCTTTCTGATGAAGTAAGACAAATCTCCCATGGAACAATAGTCCATGACCAAATGGAAGTGAGAAGAGCTCTGCTCATAATCCAACAATCCCACGATATGAGGATGTTTCATGGACTTCAAAATGGAGATTTCTATTTCCAAGTTCTCCAACAACTTCTTGGACTTTAATTTGGATCTGACAACGGATTTGATGGCCACTGCCTGGTTTGTCTTTAAATTGATACACTTGTAAACTGTCGCAAATGACCCTTTACCAATTTCTTTACCGAGTTGGTAATTGCCTATTCTCTCAGGTTGGCCAGTTGACCGGCGGCTATCAGTGGATATTACCGAAGCCGACATGATGTTATAGATGGAAAGATATGAAGTCACAAAGAATTTAAATTGGTGTGACTGATAACAGATCTAGGAATGACTCCTGATCAAGGACGTACGGAAGGCGTCGAAATACCCAAACACGCTACTGGGCCCAAGGGAAACACTTAAAAGCGAGTGGGAGGAGGATGGGGTTCAGGAAGATAACAGAACCAGGTGTATGTATAAAATAGAAAACGGAGCGTCTGTAACAAACACGGATACGATTCTCTCAAGAAAGTAAAGCCAACAGTTCAAACCTATGGGGGATTAAAGTTGCCAGTAGCTGATTTCCATTTAACTGAATAAATGGAGATGGAAAACTGGATGTAAATATATAAATACAGAAAAAAGGATGAGTAATATCCCTTATTCTAATGTAGTATATATGTATTTTTTTGCCTTTGCAGGAACTTTTGTCTCACGCTTTTTTTAGTCCTGATCACAATCAGTCACCACAGTTGTGCAAAGAATGTAATTTTTTCCGGTTCAGGAAGAACGAAGGTTTGAGACGTGATCTGGGAGGACCCTTGAAGAAGAACAAGTGAGAAGGCGGCTGTTGACAAGGGTACACGTAGTTGGTGATTATGTGGAGAGTTGTAAGGAGACAGTAGGGTCAGCACGGTGGGCACACGCCATCACGGTTCTGCTGATAAGGATAACCGCAGGGTACGACACTGTACGACACTGTGCGACATGGCCGACACATCGACATTGATATCGGCAATCACACAATAGGTGATAACCCGTGCAAAAACATCCACACACTGATAGCTGAGGCTCGGCCAAGTCTAAAGATCATCAAAGAAGAATCCTCAAAGTTCTACTACACACAAATGGACTGTGGCTCATTTGGCTCATCTCATCACCACTGCGGCTGCAAATCAATCAATTAACTATACAAATAGTATTCTTACATTCTACAATTTCCCCCTCTTTTTGAGCTCTGGCTCCAACCATCTCTTGACATTCTCCGAGTCACTTGGACCAATTTTCGTGCCTGCAACGTTTTCAATTAAAGCAGTAAGAATTTCATAGTATCCTTTATAAGCTCCAGGGTATAACAAGTTGGTCAGTCTCAGGGTTTGTTTACATCCCTTGATGGGAGGCACTCCATTGAAAATATCACTGATCCACTTAAGAGCAGCTCCACTTCCCTCAATCACTTCTAAAATGTGTCCGGTAGAGTTGGAAGTTGCAAATTCAAAAGACTCGATACCTGCATCGCACCACACATCATACACTCTTTGAGCATCTTTGAAAGGTACAACTTCATCTTTACGGCCGTGAAATACAAACATGGGGATCTCAGGGAAGTATTCTTTTGTAGCGTCGATTCCCAAGGTGTTTGCGTTGAGAACGGTTTTCACCCTTTCTTCTGAGAGAATTGACCACCCACTTTTGGCCCAAGGGTCTGGACCCGTGAAAAATTGGTCATATGCATAATGGAGCACCGAAGGAAGTAAACAGTAGTCTGGAGCACTGTTGAAGTCTTCGTTCTCGGTTTTGTCGGTGATATATTCGTTAATAGCATCGTTAATAGCAGGATATTGCTTAGCAAGTCCGGTAATAGCATTTGGAGTCAACCCCGCGAAAATGGTTCCGTCGATAATCTCAGCAGTAGCAGTGATGTTGGTGACCCAACCTCCCAAAGCAGCACCTTTCAATTGTCCGGTAAGCTCCTCGTAGTATGATGGTTGCATGGCGGCAGCCCATCCTCCGGGGATGGTTCCACCGGAGTATCCCCAGAGAACAATTTCACAGTCAGGATTAATACCAGTGGTATTGGAGGTGGTTAATGTGGCTTTGATGGTATTTAATACTGATATTCCCAGTAAGGGTCCCGCCGTGAATGCACCTATAGAACTTTCATAATCGGTGGAAACAACATAATAACCCAATTCTAAGGCTCCTTGGATCAAAATCATTTCGGCTTTTCCTATGATGGTTCCAATTCCACCACCACCTTCAAACGTATAGGATGGAGAACAATCGATACTGGAGGCATCTTCTGCCACATTGTAGGCAACGAGTCTACTTGAATTGGCATTGTAGGGTTCAAAAATAGTCGATACTATGGCTGTTGCATTACCATACTCATCTTCTGACCTAACAAGCATTTGCCAGGTATTTTGAACATTAACTGGGAAGTAAATACTTCTAATTCTGGCGGGAGGTGTTCTCCACTTTAAGATGGTACCGAGTTCCTCATCTTCATACCCATCAGGTGGGTTATAGAAGTCATCTTCAGATGGAGGTTTGAGGGTAGTAGGGGCAGCAACTGCCAAGGAGAGAATTAGAAACAACGCCCAAAGTCTCATGATAAGCAAATAAGATGTTGACTGTAGAGTTAAGGCATGATCATGGGTATTTATACTTGCCTATATTCTGCCTTTTCAGGTGGGAATATGAAACATTATTTTGCACTCGGTTTACGGCAAGCCCCATAAATTTCCTAAATAGGAAAAGATTAGTGAGACTACTTGAAAGTGCAGGTTATGGTACTTTTAATACTGGAGGATGGTGACGGAGATAATGTTAGCACGGACGCAAATGGTAAAGGTCCCCTTAACACTGGAACAAGGTTTGGTTATCTCCGTCGTTGTGTCTGTAGTTGTAGAGTTTTGGTAACATATGGTGTTTTACTAGCTTTTCGCACGTATGAAGACTCGCGTCCTAATTAGGTAATGTAATTAAATCCCTGCTTAGGAGTTGATCATTCCAATTACAATAATAGCCTAAATTCGAAAGAGGACCCTGGCCAAAGTACTGACAGTGTTGTACTTACTCAAGGGCCTTACAACATAGGCCAGTTATACGGTTTCTAGTATTATTCTTACTTTTGGGTGGTGCATGTGACCACCTTCACAAAATGCCTGGGTGTATAGGCGACTGCACTTCGAATCCTGTACTTTACGGAAATAAAGTATGCTTTTCTAAAGCCCGTCTTGCACAGTGGCGTCGAACTTCTTTGAAAAAGTTAATTGGCGGCACCATAATCCTCCAAAGTTCGTACAAAATGGACTGGAGAAGAAAACTACCCATCTCTACCATCCCCACTGATTTTTCTGAGTGTAGCAAAGGTGTAGGGCTGTCTGAATTAATGATTTAATTTTGAGAATGAGGCAGTCGGCCGAGAAATATAATTATAGCATACGCTATGCATGTCCGAGAAGAGTAATTATGCAGGTTTCATATACAAAGTCCGTTGTATATTTTACACCCCCTCTTCTGAAGGTGGAATTGCCTGTTTAAGTTCTGTCAAATGATAAGCATGGTCCACAATAGGAAAGAAAGGTCTTCTTGTAGAACCATTGTTTTGTGGTGGAGTCCTGTTGACTATTCGTGCGCCAGAGATCGAGTGCCCAAAGTCACAGGAAACAATAAAATAGCCGAAACTTAATTACGTCTAAAGTCACAGGCTTGTCTTTCAAGTAGAAACCCGACGGAAGGTTTATATTCACCAACACTCAGCTGTGTCGCTGTACCTCGAGTGAAATCTTGCTGATCCCCTAAAGTGTAGCCCACTGCCTCAACCTCTAAAAGTTGCCGGGTGTTCTTGGAAATGGTAGACTGAGCACGTCAGGATTCACACCACATAGGTATCATTGAAAGGAACAACCTCTGTGGACTAAGCAAGACTTATGATATACTTCCTCAGGAAAACATAGGGTATTATCCTCAAGAGTGCCCTGTTCAAGTTCTGACCCTGAAATACCATTGGAAGGTGGAAGTAACAATAGAAGGAGCATGAACGAGTCTTTGGCGTTTTGACAAGATGTCTGATTTCCTCTATGATAACAGGTTCAATCTAAGTATTGGTTGGTGAAACCACCAATGGCAGATGAAGTCAAATAGGTATAATAGGTACCTTCAGATTCTGCACAGCACCCATTGAGTTCATAAGAGCAGTCTGGCCTGGGGCAAGCTTCACCGGAATATTCCAGGCATCTCATCCGGGTGGATTCAAATGTGTTTTGAGAAGATAAAGATTCTCTAAAGGATTTCAACGCTGGTAAGCCCTGGAGTTTTCAAACAAGATCGAGCACTTTATACCCATGGGATAAACCACTATAATAAACATCCTTGTTGCACATCTAGTCAGGGTAGAAACCATTCCATAAACCCTTGGGTGAGGATGAGACGAGGTTAGGCACCAAAGTTCTTAAGCTCAGTATTCTAAAGTCTAAATACCCCCATTAGAGTCAAACTTCGGAACCCTCCGACCAGTAGCAACAAGTATCTATTTGTCCCAAAGATTTGAAGTTAAGTCTCTGTTTCTACGATTGGCTAGACCTCTATTATTGTTTTCAGTACCTAATAATTGTTTTATGCGGGTTAGGCTTTAGTACACCGTTTTATCCCACAACTATTGTTCACTCTTTGTGCCTTCTGAGCTGCAGTCTCTTTGGTTCATAGCAACATTTTTTGCAACTATTTGCTCTCTGTTCATAATTCGCGAAAAGCCATCATACAATTGAAAAGCTGCGATAGATTCATTATTATCTGTAAACCACATTTTATAAACCACAATGTTTGAGTCATTGGTTGCCAATTTGTTGAACAGGTTCTTGGGATCGTACATAGAGAACTTCGATCCCAAGCAATTGAACATCGGGATTTGGAGTGGTGATGTCAAATTAAGCAATCTTCGTTTGAAGAAGGATTCCTTAGACAGATTCAATTTGCCAATTAACGTCAAATTCGGCCATTTAGGCCATTTGATCCTCCAGATTCCTTGGTCTAACTTGAAAGGAAAACCCGTCAAGATTATCATCGAAGATTTGTACTTGTTGGCATCCCCAATCATTGCTGGTGAATTTGATTTAGAGGAAGAGAAACAAAAGGAGATCAGAATCAAATTGGAAAAACTTGATCACTTGTCGATTCTCGAGAACGCCAACTTACAGAACCAAGAGATCTCTTCCGATATCAACTCAAATGAGTCGTTCACCGAGAGCTTGGTCACTAAAATTGTTGATAACTTGCAAGTGACCATTAAAAATATCCACATCAGATACGAGGATGATCTGCTTTTGACTGAAGACCCTTACTCCGTTGGATTGACCTTGAAGGAACTCTCGGCTGTTTCTGTTGATGATTCGTGGATGCCATCGTTTATTTCCATCACCCAAGCTTTAACAAGAAAGTTGTTGACCCTTCAAAATTTATCCTGTTACATGAACACAGACAGCGACTCTATCTACTCAGAAGACCCCAATGCGTTGTTGAGTGCATTTAAACAATCTCTCAGTGGGAACATTACAGAAGAAGAATTGCAGTACATCTTGAAACCTGTTAGTGGTAGAGGTAAAATAAGTATGAACAAGTTAGGTGCAACGGAAACTACTCCACATATCAAGGCTGAATTGCTCTTCGATGAGTTCGGAATTGATTTGGATTCTCAGCAGTATGAGGATATCTTGTGGACTCTTTCTAAGTTCCACTGGTATATCAAGACTCATCGATTCAGAAAGTATAGACCAAAGGTGCCAGTATCTGAGGACCCTAAGCAATGGTTCAGATACACCGCCAAATCTATATTAAACGAAATCCACGAAAAGAACTACAAATGGAGTTGGGAATACTTTGCTAAACGAAGAGATCAGAGAAAAGCCTATATTAGCCTCTACAAGCAAAAGTTGTTGGAAAAACTCACCGATAAGAATGATATAAGTGAATTGGAAGCTTTGGACCTCGAGTTGCCTTTCGAAGATATAAAGTTCTACCGGTCTCTTGCTAGAGGTGAGTTGAGAAAGGAGAATGCCTTAAATAAGGTAAAGCAAGCCCAAATCGAAAAACAGAGTGATCCACAGCAACAGCAAGCAGGATGGTTTTCTGGTTGGTGGGGTGCTACTCCCACGGAGGAGTCTGAAAAACTGTCTGAAAAGGGTCAACTTGTTGACGAAAATGACTTTCAGTTGAATGACGACCAAAAGAAGGCCTTGTACGATGCAATTGACTACAACGAGAGTGAAATCTCAAATATCATTGATTTACCAAGAGATGCGGTCAAAGTTGAAATATTGACTACATTGCTGAAAGGTGGTTTATCTATCAGGACAAAAAAGAATGAACCTAACTTGGCAGAGATTGTATTTGAAGGTTGCAAGACTAGGATTTTCCAAAGATCAGATTCTTTCTTAGCCAATTTCGAGATGCAAGAATTTAGAATCGAAGATGGTACTGAACCAACTTTGTATAAGCATGTTGTGAGTGTGAAAGAGTATGGTAACAAGGATGCAAAGGATACTACATCACATAGTCAGAGTGACCCATTTTTCAGAGTATCATTTGAGAACAATCCACTTGATGGCTCTGCAGACTCAAAGTTGTTAGCGAAGCTTAAGTCTATGACCATATTCTACAACCCCAAACTTATTGAAGAGATTGTGAAATTCTTCCAACCCCCAAAGGTGCATTTGGATACGGTAGGTGCTATTATGAATGCGGCAGAAGCTACAGTTGAAGGTCTTACATCTCAAACAAGAATTGGATTGCAGTATGCTCTAGAGGAGCACAAAACAATCAATGTGAAGTTGGATTTGCAAGCTCCTTTGATTATCTTACCATTAGAGCCTGACAACTGGAAATCTCCTGTTGCTATACTTGATGCCGGTCACATAAGTGTTGTTAGCAAGCTTGTGGAGAAGTCCAAGATTGAAGAGTTCAAGGCCAAAACTACTTACAGTGAAGAAGACTGGAAGCAGTTGAATACCTTGATGTACGACACTTTTATTCTCAATCTTCAAGATGCTCAGTTCCTTGTGGGACCAAATATTAAAGACACAATGTCACAGTTACATTTTGAAGACGCCAAAGACAGACACTCATCGATCTTGGACAAATTGAATATTAAGTTACACCTTGGAATATCCATCTTGCCAGATGTCTACAATTTGGCTAGAATCAAGGTAGGTGGTGAGGTCCCAGCAATAAAGCTTCATCTTAATGATTTCCAGTACAAGGCTATTATGCAAATCATTGACAAAGCCATTCCTGATTTTGGAACCTCTGAACATGATGATTCAAGTGTTTTCAATGCGTTTTCAACAATAGAAGAACCCCAGATTGAGGATTTAAGTGCAAGCAAATTGGAAGAGAGTGAGGCTTTGGATGCTCCTTCTGCTAAGAAGAACCATTTAGTTGAAGCCGCATCTGCACAGCATATGTTTGAGTTCAATATGAAAGTAGATGAAGTAAAAGTATCTTTATCTAGGTGCATCGATGGTGTTACTTTAAGGGCTGAACCATTTATCGATCTAGTTGGGGATTCACTTAGCTTGGATTTCTATACAACAGCTGCAAACTTGCATTTGGATTTGGTCTTGAAAGACATTAATCTCTTCGATCATATTGAGAGATCTGGAATCCCAGAGTTCGAGAGGTTGGTTTCGTCAAACAATTTCGTCGAGCATAATGTTGATAGGACAAAAGAATTGTTTAAATTGGACTACACTAGAAGTAAAAGGTTAGTGGAATTCAATAACAAGGAAATTGAAGTCTTTGATCAAGATATAAAAATGGACATAGCAACAGTCAAATTCGTTATTACCAGAAAGTCAATTTTAAGTATCTTAAATTTTGTTCTAAATACTTTCACCGATCCAAATGCTGAAGCTACTCCTGCTGATGAATTGAAGCATAATGATTCAGAAAATGATGATTTTGCTCCTCAGAAAATCAATGTTGATATCACCTTGGATAGTATCATTGTTGTTCTTAATGAGGATAGTGTCAAGTTAGCGACTTTGCAATTAAGCACAGCTGAAATTGAATTGTTGTTACTACCAGAAGCAATGGATATAAAAGGAAGGCTTGGTGCATTGAGCTTACATGATGACATCAACCAAGGTTCTCCAAATGATTCAATTTTGAGAAAGCTCTTCAGCATTGAAGGTGATAACCTTGCTGAATTCACCTATAAAACTTTTGACAAAGAAACCAACACCAATACCTACAATTCAGCTATTGAGTTAAAGACAGGATCTTCTAAAGTCTACTTCGTTGAGTCTTCGTTCAAACGAGTCTTCAATTATTTAAGTCAGTTCCAGAGGATGAAGGAAATTTATGACAGCACAAGAGAAGCAGCAATAAATCAGGCTAACCAAATCAATGATGCCAATAGAATAAAATTTGATTTCTCCATTACTGCTCCAACGGTAGTGTTCCCTACGTTAGTTCACCATTCGAATGTTAAGTATGATAACTTGACGTTTGAATTGGGTGAATTATATGCATCAAACATATTTGAAAAAAACTCCAAAACCGGTTCAATCAAGAATGTCATTAAGGCTGGATTGAGAAACATCAATATGACATCAGAGTTCAACTTTGTTAACGAATTAACACAATCATTGGAACTTGTTGAAGGCTTTGACTTATCGTTTGACATTGATTATTGGGAAGAATACATTGAAGATATCCCCTCCATTTTGATCAATGGAAGACTTCCAGAGGTTAATTTGAAATTGACTGAACTACAATTGAAATACTTGTTGAATCTTTCTGGTGCTGTTTCAAATGTATTCCACACTTCTGAAATTGATATGGAAGATATACAGGAAGATGCTGAAAATGCTAATGCTGTGATTAAGCACAATATAGAGGTTTTGGAGAAGGTAACCGAAACCAAAAGCGAGTTCTCTTCATCTAATGAAGCTCGGACAGTTTCCAACCCTAAGCATCCAAAACTTGTGTTCAATTTTGATATTCCCAAGTTTGCCTTGACTGTTTATAACAACACAAGTGGAATTGAAGCTATTGATGACAAGATGTTGAGCTCATTTGTATTAAGCAGCTTAAAGACACAGTTTAAGATGACGGATGACACTCACTTCGAATCGAGTATCTCTGTTAAATCTTTTGTGGTAGAAGATGTTAGAGCAGAAAATGATAGTTGTTTCACTGAAATAATACCGCTGATTAAAGGTGACAGAGACCAATTCATAGCGTCAATTATTTCTGAAGGTAATCCTGAAAAGAAGAATGTTACTGTGATGTTAACCGTTGATAATCCTAAGGTTATTTTATCGCTTGACTACTTGTTCGAGTTGCAAGGATTCATTGACAAAGTATTTGAAAAACCTCAAACTATATCTGGTTTGGTTGATGATATTTCAGATGATTCAGAGTCCGAGTCTAGCTCAGCGGAAGAGAATACCAACGCATTGAGAATTGGACAGTCTGACTCCTCGCCACTGACGGAAGGTATATCTATAGGGTTTTCCATCAATGTTAGAGAACCCTCGGTGATGTTGCTAGCTGATCCTAAGAAAGCTAATACTGAAGCTATCATTTTCAAGATTGAACAAATCTTGATAACGAGTCAAAATGTTCTTTCTTTGGCTGCCGACAGCGTTGGATTATTCTTGTGCACAATGGATAATTTCAACGATCACAGACTCAGAATAATCGATGATTTCTCCGTTTCTTTTGCTCATGATTCCAGAGGTTCCAACGAAACTTCCTTCCTTACAAATATCCAAGCTTCTGTTGATCCTTTACTTGTTCGTCTTTCTTTACGAGATATCAAATTAGCGTTAAGGATTTTTAGCAAAGCTTCTGAATTATACTCCAAAGCCCAAGGCAAAGGCCAAGAAAATGAGCCTGAGACCATTTCTGATAATTTCAAGAGGAGGTTATCTCAATATGCCCCTTCGTTTACTTCAACATTATCGGGAACAAAACGAAAAAAAGTTTTGGATTCAAACCTTGATTCGAAAGTATTGATAAAGGGTGAAGAACTCAACATCAGTTTGGGAAGCATGAGGTTTGTTCTTATTGGTGATGTTCATGAGCTTCCTGTTCTCGACATGAATATCAAGCCGTTTGATATTAAGGCAATAAATTGGTCTACGGATCTCAGTGCTGAGACCCATATCGAATCGTTTGTTAACATTTACAATTACTCCAGATCGACATGGGAACCATTAATCGAGCCTTGGCCAATCTCAGTATACGCTACGAAAGGTGGAGAGTCGCAACCAGCTGTAATAGTAGATGTGGTTTCGAGACAATTGGCTGAGATCACGATCACCTCAAGATCGGTTGCCTTGCTTTCTCAGATCTTTTCGTTAGTTGGTGAGGATGTTGAATTAAAATCCAGAGAAGAAGCGAGTCCATATAAAATTGTCAATCAAACCGGATATGATCTTGAGATCTGGAATGATCAACAGGAATCTGAGAGAAAGAATTGTACTACTATTAAGAACAATGAATCGACTCGTTGGGCTTTTGAGGATTGGAGAGAAATCCGTGAAAACCTAGATACCAATAACAAGAGAGGTATTCTTGGTGTGAAGCTAATTGGCTCTAAATATGAAGAAATTAGAGGAATTTCAGCGACTGGAGAAGGAGAAGAGATTATCATGATGAAACCCCCTATAAACGGAGTTCATAACCGGTTTATTTTTGATATCACTTTGGGCCAGGATAATGTTAAGACCATTTGGTTGAGGTCCGCTGTGACTGTTCAAAATGATGCAGATGTCAGCGTTGCAATCAAAATTATCAACGAAGTAGATTCCCCTGAAATTGAAGACGTCATCATCAAGCCTGGAGATGTTAAATCTTTGCCTATTGACTATGTCTATTCTAGTGTTTTCAAAGTTAAACCAGCTATCACCACCAAATACGAATGGTCTACTGAAGAGCTCTATTGGAAAGATCTACTTTATGGAGGTAGTGCCATCACCTGTAATTCTTCGGATCTAAATGATGAGACTTCGTACTACTTCCAAACCGAAGCTTCGTATGATCAGGATGAACCTCTTGCAAGGATATATCCGCACATGAATTTGGTTATTTCAGCTCCTGTTAAAGTGGTGAACTTGCTACCATTTGACATGAACTACAGATTATATGACAAGGGAAGCAGAAAGGATTGGAGTGGATCAATTAAAAAAGGTGCTACCGACTTTATTCACGTTGCAAGTTTGAGAAGTCTTCTATTATTGAGTGTAGAGCCTAAAGACTTTGGTTTCAAAAAATCAGACTTTGCTATCATCAATTGTTCAAAGAATAGTGAGTTCAAGAGAGAAACCACTATGACTTTGAAACACGAATCGGGTCAAATGTTGAAACTCATGATTTATTACCCAAGAAAAGTTGAAGGCCGGACAGGACTCAGAATTGTTATCTATTCCCCTTATGTCATTCTCAACAGAACTGGTCAAAATGTCATAATCAGTGAAAAGTCTAACAAGTTAGGTATCAACGGCAATTCTTCTTTAGAGAATGTTACCCCAAAAATGTTCTCTTTTAACAATACTAATGTGAGAAGCAATAGGGCTTTAATGAAGGTCGGTGATAGTCAATGGTCCGTACCATTAAGTTTCGATGCAATTGGTCAGTCCACAGAATGCAAGATGCAAGTCAGTGGCAAACAAACCGAAATGAATGTGGCAATAACAACTCTGGAGGGAGAAGGTATTTATAACCTTACCAAAGTTATCTCTATTGTTCCTAGATTCATTCTCAAGAATGCCTTGAAAGAAAGTATCCAAATTGTTGAAAATGGATCTACAGAAGTTACGACTGTTGAACCCAATGAATTGATCCCTTTGTACGGCTTGCGCCGGAATCTAAATAAGAGTTTGATGACGAAGTTCAGTCATGGTTGCAAATCTTGGTCATCACCCTTTGCAATTGGTGATGTTGGTCAAATCTTCCTCAAAGTCTTTAAAGAAAATGTCGGGCAGATGTTGCTCAAGGTAAACATCCTTACAGAAAATGGCACTATATTTATCCAGATTGAAGATGCCCAAAACAACTGGCCCTTTGCCATTCGTAACTTTAGTGAATCCGAGTTTATTGTTTACCAAGGTAACCCTAATGTAAATGAGAATGGTGAAATTGTCAAAACAGATGTTGACTATAAGCCAATTTATTATAGGGTTCCTCCAAGGAGTATCATGCCATATGCTTACGATTATCCTAAAGCTGTTATTAAGGAGTTGATTTTAAGATCTCACGGCCGTGAGAGACCCATCAATTTGTCGGAAATTGGTAACTTGAAACCCTTCAGACTTCCACCTACCCAGACTGAGGATCAAAAGATTGTTGATTTGAACGTTATTGCAGATGGGCCCACCCAATCTTTGGTTATTTCAAATTATGATCCTTCTTTGAGTATGTACAAATTGCAAAGAAATCAAACCAGTTCAAGCTCTGTCAACGGATCACAACAGAATTTTGAAGCCAATCAAGAGGATGAGAACTATAACACTAGAATAATAACCAGGTTTGAAGGGTTTGGTATTTCTTTGATTAATACCAAGTACAACGAGTTGTTGTATATGACATTAAGAGGCTTGGAAATCAGGTATAATGATTCAGATTACTATCAAAACTTGAGTGTGAAATTAAAATGGATCCAAATCGATAATCAGTTGTACGGAGGAATATTTCCAATTGTCATATATCCTACGATGATCCCAAAGTCAGGAAAAGAGATGAATAATCATCCCTCCTTTTCAGCTTCGGTTTGCAAAGTGAAAGACGATTCCCATGGCGTGATTTTCATCAAATATGCTACCATCTTGCTTCAAGAAATGTCCATTGAAATTGATGAGGACTTTTTGTTTGCATTATTGGACTTTGCAAAGATCCCTGGAGCTAGTTGGAACAAAGCATTAGAAGACAAGCTTTGTGATGATACTATTGAATTACCAGAACCCAAGTTGTTATCCGAGAGCAGTGATTTCTACTTTGAGGCATTACATTTGCAACCAACTTTGACCAACTTGTCGTTTGTGAGAACGGAAAGAGTCAATGCTGAGGATAAAGTTAGCAACTCACTGAATACCCTAATGTTTTTCTTCAACGTACTCACCATGGCTATTGGAAATGTGAATGAAGCACCTATCAAGTTGAATGCCTTGTTTATGGAAAATGTCAGAGTTCCACTTCCAATTTTGATGGAATCGATCCAAACTCATTATGGACAGTCTTTCATATATCAACTTCACAAGATTTTGGGATCGGCTGATGTTTTGGGTGACCCAGTTGGTTTGTTCAATAACTTGGCCTCAGGTGTTCTTGACATCTTTTATGAACCTTATCAAGGTTTCATAATCAATGATCGCCCACAAGAATTGGGTATTGGTATTGCCAAAGGTGGGTTGAGTTTCTTGAAAAAGTCCATCTTCGGGTTTTCGAATTCGGTAGCTAAATTCACAGGATCGATGGCCAAAGGCTTGTCTTTGGTAACGATGGATGAGAGATTCCAAGAGCGTCGTCGTCTCAATCAACGTCGTAACAAGCCTAAACATGCGCTTTATGGTTTTGCATCGGGTGCAAATTCGTTCTTCGAGTCTGTATCTTCTGGTGTGACCGGTATAGCAACGGCTCCAATCGAAGGGGCAAATAGTGAAGGTGCATTGGGATTTTTCAAGGGATTTGGAAAAGGAATAGTTGGACTTCCAACCAAAACTGCAATTGGTATCTTTGATCTTGCTTCAAATGTCAGTGAAGGGATTCGGAGTACCACTACAGTTTTTGATGCTGATGGGTTGGATAAAGTCAGATTGCCTCGTCAAATTGGCTACGATCATGTTATCAAGCCCTATTCAGCAAGAGAAGCCCAAGGCCAGTTCTGGCTCAAATCCATTGATGGAGGAGTATACCTCCATGAGAACTATTTGGCCCACTTGGTGTTACCTGGAGAAAACAAGACCCTTATTGTCACTTTCAAAAAACTCATACTATATGAGATCAATGTCAACAAAGTCAGGTGGATCGTTTCGTTTGATCAAATCAAATCGATTTCGATGGAGTCTACCGGTATCGTTATTGGATTAAAAAAGAGTGAGGGACCATTCATTCCTATTCCCGAAAAGTCTTCAAGAGCTTTCTTATACAATCGAATCGGTATAGCTGTTGAAGACTACAATAAACACTGCCAAGTGGTGTTATAGTGTTTAGTAAAATATATGAAATATATGTACATGATTCTACTACTTATGCTACGACCGTGAACTGGAAATCGGCTTTATTGGTTCTTTTTGGGAATCTTTTGTAAAATGAATTTGCATCTTCTGCTTTACAACACTCGAATGTCAAAGATCCAATTGATAAGGCACCATCACCGGTACCGGCAGTGATTGTGTTGGTAGCTCTGTCCAACGAAAAGACTCCTAGTTCAGCATAGACACCATTGTCTATTTCTTTGAGATCTTCAAGAATAACCCGTTTATACACGGGAGATTTCAGGTTCAACTTCTTCAGCGGATTACAACGTACGTAGGTGTGTAGGGGTCCCAACGCATCACCAAGGCGCCTGATCTGTCGTGATGTTTGGTCCCATTTGACCTGAGCCATCGAAGTATTGATTTTGAATGCAGTTGAATACTTTGTCTGAGGCACCAATGGTTTTGTTTCGCGGTAAAGACCTTGATTTAGCACCTGTGTGAGGGCTTCTCCACCAATGTCCCCCAATTTCGACTCCAAAGATGTATAGTTATCAGTGTCTTGTATTTCCACCGGCTGCGACTGCAAAAGAATATCACCTCTGTCAAATTTGGTGGGATGAAGGGTTTGTACGCTGACACCAGTAAATTTGTCATCATTAATCAAGGCATAGTGAATGGGCGAAGACCCGGAGTACTTTGGCAAAAGTGACGGGTGAACATTCAATCCTCCAAACTGCATCGCACTGATGAAGTGTGATGGAATCAACTGGCCATATGACACCGCCACCGCAAGATTGAAACGAAACTGGTCCAAAAGTCGGTTGATTTCGGATGGAGAGTCTGCGCGAAGTACGGATACGCCATTCAGGGCGGCAAATAGTCCCACTGGTAAGTCTTCGTATGTGACAAGCTTGCGGCCCTTAGGTTTTATCAGACGTGTTATCACGTGCACGGACTCTATTAACGGCGTGTGAGCCTTGAGGCGAAGAACATGATCTAAGGCTGCCACGCTGAACCGATCGCTGCCAAAGAAAGCTATTTGGAGGGGTTTTATCACCATTGCCGTATAATCATTCGGGTGTTTCAATGGTCGCAAGGCGCCAAAATAGCACACGTCGCGCGATGGGAACTTGACTAAAAATAACAACTGTTCGTGCGGTGTCTCTAACTGCATATATACCTCCATATCACCCCACAGGCTCGTTCATAAACCATGGTGCTGCTGACAGTTAGGAAGTCGTTTGTGCTACTATCATGTACGTTTTTGGGGCTCATTTGTGGGACGATGTACCTTTATTCATCTTACAGTCCACAATTCGCTGCTCAGCTAGGCTACTCCGTGACAGATTCATCAAAAATTGCGTTGGCAGGCACCATTGGCGTGGCTATAGCCGGTCCCATTTCTGGTAAAGTTGTAGACCGGTCGGGATATAGTTGGGCCATGATAATCGGCGGGGTCTTCATCTTTCTGGGATACTTAGGATTAAAAAAACAGTTTGATATCATTTACTCAAGTTTGCCGGTATCCAATTTGCTTTTGTTTATGGTGGGAATGGGCCTGACCTTCATTAATTCTGCTTGCTTGAAGTGCTGTGCTGTGAGCTTCCCCAGCATCAGGGGAGTTGCTACTTCGTTGCCATTGGCTTTATATGGTCTTAGTGCTTTGTTCTACTCGGTAATAGGATCGGTGTTTTTCCCAGGAGACACGTCTCGATTTCTTGGGTTTTTGGCATACTCATCCATGGCTATTTTCTGTTTGTGTTCTCCCAGTGTGTTCATGGCCGATGGTGAACATAGTCTGCGGGGAGTGGTCCACAGAAAGACCATTTCTGCTTCGGGCATTGAAATGTCGATCTTGCGGTCACCTGTGTTAGGGCACAGTCCTGGAAGTCCTGCAGTAGGCTTGGCCCTGCCAATCGCACTCCCCAAAGCTAGTGGCAGTGGCACATTAATTGATGAGGTGGAACTGGGCAGTATATTTGCTTCTTCTAAGTTCTGGATCCTCTTCTTTCTCACAGGATTCCTCGCAGCCATGGGACAAATGTACATTTATTCGGTGGGCTACATAGTAAAGGCATTGGTGACGGCTGGTATTACGTTTGACTCGACTATTTCAGAAGAGGCTCGTGCTCACTTGGAAGCATTGATACAAAAAAACCAACAACTTCACGTTGGGCTATTGTCAGCAACCAACTGTATTGGTCGGTTGGTGTCTGGGATATGTGGAGATATCATTAGCCAGTCATTTCATAAAAGAAGGTCTTGGCTTTTGTTTGTACCCGCTATAGGCTTGACTATCACCCAAATCATGGGCTACCAGATCGAGGACTACACAAAATTGACGTGGATGTCTTTGCTCACGGGCTTCTTCTACGGGTTCACCTTCTGCCTTATGCCCATCATTATAGGAGACTTCTTTGGTATGGATAACTTCTCCTCCAACTGGGGGTTTGTGGGACTTGCACCCATTCTTCCTAGTTTCTATTTCACCAAGCTTTTTGGTAACATTTTCGACTCCAACTCCTTCATTGCCTCTGATGGCTCACATATTTGTTCCAGTGGAAGTGGGTGCTATAAGTCTATTTTTAGACTTGATATGGTGGTGACCGTGTTGTGTGTGGTGGTAGTCGGGGTGTTAAACTTTGGATTTCGTTGGCTTTCGAAGAGCCCCCGTGAGTATAAACCGTTGTGATTCGGGCCCGCCCCCGCTCTTTACTTCACTACGTGTACATATTAATTAAAAGTATTTATTGCCAACCCAATGCTTTTCATTGTAGACAATTCGCGATGGTTTTCTGTTTGTGATTGTAATATGAGCAGTTCTGGGAAATGGAATTGGAGAGGACTGCGTGCACGTGAGGGCCTGAGACGTGGTACCAACAGAGACTTGGAAAGAACATCCTCATCTCATCTGGTAGTGGACTCAGCCGATACGTTGGTGGCCGATGACAAGGAACAACAGAAGCTAAACCAGCGAGCTGCCAGGTTTTCTAAGCCTGATCCAACCATGGGTAGAGGTCGCCTGGAGTATGGATTTGTCAGTAGAGGCGAAGATAACCGGCTTCAGAAAAGCCGTGTAGAGCGAGAAGCGTACTTGGCCACTATAATCGAGAAGTTTGTGAGTTACTGCGAGAGTTCTTCCACCTTATCCTTGAGCAAACAACTACGTGAATTCGTGGATCAGGAACCAAGCACGCCACAAAAAGACCCCAAACTAGAAACTTCTGTCACCATAGACTCGATCCTTTTGTCCTTGAGGAAATTGAGAGAAGCACTTTTGAATTCCAAGCCAGATGCGTTCTCTGTCAAGGTGTTTCTCTTCTCAGTGAGAATATCGGCTTCGATTGGCTACTACCAGACGTACGTGCCGTCGATAAACTACCTTCTTGGGCAAGACACTATCAAGCTTCTCTCACCAAACGAAGTCGAAGAATCAGCCTCGCTCCTAGTGCTTCACCTATCACACTTCAACAATCACCACACAAGGGCTGTGGAGACGTATATGCGATATTTCAAGAAAAATGAACAGCCCGAGCTTCTAAAGGTGATAATGAGCTACTACTCCAAAAGCTACTTCACATGGTGTAAGTTATACAACTCCGAGACTGACAATGCCCGATCTAAAATAATGCGGTTCGGTCTCACAGCCATGGTGGAGGCCACAATTGCAGCCATACAAAAGTCATACTTCACACTCGATAAGCGGTTTTTGAACGAAGAGGTTCTTCCCAATGGTGTTGGAGTAGATGCCTTGATCGATTCAGAGCAGGTTCTGTGGCGTGTGGATGGTACTAATGTGATTATCAAAGAGCGAGCCCAGCGAGCGTAGTGAGCCAAGAACATATGCGCGCCATGACGATTTTTCTGTTGTTCAACACTTGTACAGAACATCTTTCTTGACCAGTTGTTCACAGCAGCCAAAGTCCGACCCATACACCCACATCCAATGAACACCAGCTCCAAGTTTCCCGAGGGGATCAAAATCGATGATATCACGTCGGGTCGAATCGATCCCCAGCTCATCTACAGCGAAATCGACCGGTTGAAATACGAGATAAACGTTCTTCGAAATGACATGTCGGTGTTCATCCGGGCATTGGCCACCATACCTGAAGGTTCTAACCAACAGGACTACTACCGCCTGGTGGCCGGGAAATTGAAGGTTGTCCAGAATAGCATCAAAGAGTACTGTGCTCAGTACAACAAACTACTTCCCATAATCAACTTGTCACAGATCAAACTTGGCCATGAAGTGGAGGTTCTTCCGCAGAACTTGAAAAACGATAAGGCCAAGGTGAAGCCAGTCAAACGATAAACTGGCTCTGCTGATTAAAACAGCAAGAAACTTAAGGTAGCACAAATCCTGTAATTGACGAATAACGAATAAATGTTTAACTTCACTAACGCTTTCGTAGATATTTCCTTCAATAAGTCCACAGTTTTGGCCTCTATCCACTTTTCTGGGTAATACCTAATCTTTTCACTATCACCAACTTAATTCACAATCGCGGTTACCCTGAACTGACTCATGAAAAATTCCCCAGCTCAAGTGGACCGAAGAAAAAAGCATATAAGCCCACGATAATCACCTCCTCATCCACATCAAAATAAACATGTCATCCGCTTTGAAAGACACGTTCGAAAGGTGCAAGAAAGAGAACCGTAATGCTCTTGTGACCTTTATCACCGCTGGTTTCCCAACCGTTGAAGACACAGTACCTATTTTACAAGGTTTACAAAAAGGTGGTGCTGACATTGTCGAGTTGGGTGTACCCTTCTCCGATCCGATTGCTGATGGCCCCACCATCCAGGTGGCCAACGTCAAGGCCTTGGAAAACGGAGTGACGGTTCCCAAGTGCTTGGAATTGGTTCGTCAAGCCAGAGCTGCTGGAGTAACGATTCCAATTATTTTGATGGGCTACTACAACCCGATCTTAAAGTACGGTGAAGAACAGATGATCCGTGACACCGCCGCCGCGGGAGCTGATGGATATATCGTGGTGGACTTGCCTCCTCAAGAAGCCATTCAGTTTAGGTCCACTTGTTCCAAGTACGGTTTGACGTACGTGCCACTCGTGGCCCCCGCCACCACCGACGCTCGGTTGAAGGTGTTGGGTGAAATCGCCGACCTGTTCATCTATGTGGTATCGAGAATGGCCCCAACCGGTGCCCTGACGGAGGTTTCTTTGGGGATTCCCGAGTTATGTGCTCGAGTAAGAAAGTATGCCAACGGGTCTCCATTAGCTGTCGGGTTTGGGGTTTCTACTAGAGAACACTTTTTACAAGTTGGAAAAGATGCCGATGCCGTGGTGATTGGATCCAAATTCATCACCCTCATGGGAGATTCAGCTCCTGGAACTAGAGGTCAAGCTGCCTACCAGTTTGCAAGAGATATTTTGGGTGAAAACTACGTGGCAGTCCCCCCCACCAGTTACGCCAACACCACGAAACTGGCGAAAGAGTTGGTGCCAGTGCTTGAAGAAAGCCACAAACACAATCCCAAGTTTGGGGATTTTGGAGGTCAGTTTGTACCTGAAGCCATGTACACCTGTTTGGCCGAGTTGGAACAAGGGTTTGAAAGTGCCATCGCCGACCCTGGATTCTGGGATGAGTTCAAAGGATTGTACTCATACATAGGCCGTCCTTCTTCGCTCCACAAAGCCGATCGGTTGACTGAGTACGCTGGAGGAGCCCAAATTTGGTTGAAGAGAGAAGACCTCAATCATACGGGATCTCACAAAATCAATAACGCTTTGGCCCAGGTATTGATTGCCAAGCGGTTGGGTAAGTCCAAGGTTATTGCCGAGACCGGTGCTGGTCAGCATGGAGTTGCAACGGCCACTGCTTGTGCCAAGTTTGGGTTGGAGTGTACGGTTTTTATGGGAGCCGAAGATGTGAGACGTCAAGCCTTGAATGTATTCAGAATGAGAATCTTGGGTGCCAAGGTGATTGCTGTTACCAACGGAACCCAAACCTTGAGAGATGCCACGTCCGAGGCCTTTAGATACTGGGTATCTCATTTACAAACCACCCATTACGTGGTGGGTTCGGCCATTGGTCCTCACCCTTATCCAACATTGGTGAGAACTTTCCAAAGTGTTATTGGGAACGAAACCAAGCAGCAGTTCAAGGAATTGAACAATGGTAAATTACCAGATGCGGTGGTGGCATGTGTTGGAGGTGGTTCCAATTCCACCGGTATGTTCTCGCCATTTGAAAAAGATATTTCGGTGAAGATGCTAGGTGTGGAGGCTGCTGGAGACGGTTTGGACACCGAAAGACATTCTGCCACCTTGACGGCTGGACAACCAGGTGTTTTCCATGGGGTTAGAACTTATGTCTTACAAGACAGTGATGGTCAGGTTCATGATACTCACTCGATATCTGCTGGTCTTGATTACCCGGGTGTGGGACCTGAGTTGGCGTTCTGGAAAAGTACCGGAAGAGCCGAATTTGTGGGCGCCACCGATGCTCAGGCATTGCTTGGATTCAAGTTGTTGTCTCAATTAGAGGGAATCATTCCTGCTTTAGAGTCGTCCCATGCTATATATGGAGGGGTTGAATTGGCCAAAACCATGTCTAAAGATCAACACATTGTAATTAACTTGTCTGGAAGAGGTGATAAGGACGTTCAGAGTGTGGCCGAGAACTTGCCTAAGTTAGGACCTGAGATTGGTTGGGACTTGAGATTTGAAGCTGATCCAACCAAATAGTGAAAGATGTAGTTTTAGATAGTTTTAGTGATTTAGTTTCTGGTTGTGATGTGTAGTTTGTGATGAATGGTAGCCAAGTGTGTATGTGGTTGTCAATATTCTTAGTGCTGTCTGTAGTGACTACTTCTTGCAACCGCGACTTCAGAAATGTTTTTCCAAACAACATGTCTCACGAAAACGCCAATTCCATGGTAACAGAGCTAGTCAGACTATTGAACGTCGATGAAGTGGATGACGTGACGTTACAGTTGTGTATCAAATTGCTCGACCAAGGTGTCGACCCCAAGCAGCTTGCCAGGGATATCTTGCTGATAAAAAATGAGACTACTTCTGCTATAAGCTGATATATTGTACTGCTATTAATGATACTACTTCTGCTATAAGCTGATATATTGTACTGCTATTAATGATACATAATGTTACAAGTTCAAGCGAAGGCAAGCTTCTTTTTCTTCTTCTTGTGTTTGTGGTTCGAGGAAGGCTTTCTTTTCTGAGACAGCAAGTACGATTGTGTCGGTACTGACTGTGACAGTGGTAGCAGCGACAAAGGCTGTGATTGAGTTTGGGACGGTTGTGACAGTGATTGTGACAGAGGAGACGAGCTGCTGAGATGGAACGTGTCTCCATTCTGTTGCGAACTGGCCGGCGTATCCACGAGGGTTGGGACTTGTGTCTGGGACTGCGCAAACTGTGAATTGAGTACCTTCTTTCTCATGTTGTTCTTCTTTGACTTTTGGTTCTTCTGAGTGGACGTATCCTGAGACGTAATGACAATTGAAGGAGCCGAGTACTCAGGCGGTGTGCCTCTTTGTGCACTGAACTGGTCAATGACAGTGGTGATAGTATTGTTGTCGGTATAATCCGTGTCCCAATCATTCAAAATGGCTTTTGTGCTAGAGCATGCCAAGTCGTATTCCTCATCTGCCAAAACAGCATAATGACTTGCCAAGTCTCTTGGCTTGACTTTGACTGAGTTCAACACCATTAAATTGGCCAATCGCTTGACGGTGCTGGACCTGGTTTGAGGCTTGATTTCGCTTCTCAGGTAGTATTTGTGCTTCAAGTGTTTGTAAACAGCAAGGGCTGTTTTTTCGCTGGGTGGTTGGGATACTAGCTTGGAGTTGTCGAAATAAGTATTAGTAGTGTTTGCTAATGCAATGCTTTTGCTCGAGTAAAATTCCTGCAATTGCTCAAGCATCGTATCAAGCTCTTCGGGTCTCTTGATATATTTAGGAATTTCATTAGATAAGTCCAATAATGACAAGTACGATGGTTTGATGACTCTTTCTCCCAGTTTTCGTTGTATCTCTTCATCGATAACTCTGTCAGTTCCTTCTCCCAACTTGAACGCATATTCCTGGATGGCTTCCACCTCGGCATAATCGTATGGGACTTTATACTGCGTGAGGCCTTCGACAAATGGAAGCATATCCTTCTTGGTAAGATGATCAAAGTATGTCCCTCTATATGGTCGAATAGAGTCAGTTTCTACCTGACCCAAAAGAACATCAAAATCAATTGATTTTGTCTCGTTTCTCTTCTCCAGCAGTTTGATGTTTCCAGGTGCAAGCGTATTAAAATTAAGCTCTAAATTCAGCCTTAATTCAAATAATCCAAACACATCTTCTCCATCCTTCTTGGTCGATGCAGATCGACCTTTACGATAAAAGCCCTTTGTGAGTGGAATCAAAGATAAATGTTGAAGAGGCACTTCTTTGCCCTGGAGATACACTAAAGATGGGGAAGACAAGCAGAAAGGGTTCTCATTTTTCACACCAAAACTGCAACAAAGAACCAACGGAGATGACTGACAAAAGATGAGGCAATGGAACTTGTCTCCGGTAGGAGTGACGGTTAGTCGCAAAGATGGGTCCTTCTCATTTAAGAAATGCTTCCATGAAATGAGCCTCTTAGGTTCTTCGGAGATGTCAAGCCAAATGATCTCTCTTGAAGTCAATATAAACATGTACTTTGCCTGCCCCCTTGGAATATCGATATCTCTTATTCGAGACCATGTTTCCGCCGTAATTAGTTTTTGGGAGCTTCTGGTATCGAGATCAATCTCTAGAAACGAGGTTCTCGTAGACACAAATATGACTGACTTCTTGGGCCAAAGAACCTTCCTCCAGTTGGAAAGCTGTAATGTATTGTCGAATATCCGTTGCTGTTCTTCTGCTTCATCCTCTAATGTTATTTCGTATGGTTTTATCTTCACGCCGTTCAATTTCATGTTGAAAATGTTCCCCTTGACATCAATGACAACGAAATTCAACTTTGATTGAGGACTCCACACCATATCTGCAAGTGTATGGCCCTTCAACGCCGTCACATTAATTCTATCGACAAGACTCAATACTAGTGGTTCAGGAATATCTGCGTTGTAAAACACATTGATAACATAAATCCACGACGAGGTTCTCACAAGTATATGGTCGTCCGAAGTTACAGGAATCTTCTTGACAAGAGGCCTGAATGACTCTATCTGTTTAATGGTCTCGTCAAGCTCAAGTTTCACGGTATTTCGAAATCGTGGAACCGTGTTATCGTTCTTGTTGTCAACAATAGAAGACTCTACCAAAGATACATTCAAGACATGACCAATGGATCCTGACGCGTGTGCTACAACACACGGCTTCCATGAATGACTTACTTTGGACTTTATATGGAAGAATTCTATGGTTTTACCAAAGGTAGGATCATAAGCTTCACTGCTGTTAATGATCTCAGATGGAACTTGATACGCTTGTAAAAGTCTACTCAGAATGGCCAAGTCCACTTCTTTGGCAAGAGCTTTTGAGCTCTTCTTCTCATTGGTATCATGAGTTCTATACTTGAAGTTCAGTACGTCAGTCTGCTTCTTGACCAAAGTAATCACTTTTGTGGATAGCTGGGCCAATGGAGGTTCGTCGAGAATAGGATGGGAAACCTTGGCTTCTAGACCACCGAAGCTATTCGTGGAAGAGATTCCCTCGATTATTCCTGGCCCCTTAACACCGTACGTGAGTTGGACTCCGAGTCCCTTTTTGTGAGGCCACATATATGGGATTTTGTTTAGAAGTGGAGCGTCTGCGAAAAAGGCTATACAGATCTATTCGCGTTTGACAGTTGATGGAAAACTTCACTGGAATAAATCTTTATTATGAAGCTTTTTACAGTGGGATACATCTTAGCATTGATATGTGTATTTGTTTGTGGAGAACAGGTCTCCTTTGATCTGTTTGATTTTGAGGAGGAGACAATTGATCCCTCATTGGCAGGAAAATATAAGGCTGCTTCTGACTCCTCATTATTGTGGGGACCTTATAGGTCGGGATTGTATTTTGGAATACGGCCAAGAATCCCTAGATCGCTACTTTCAGGCTTGATGTGGTTCAACATGGATGACTACAATGGAGTTAGAAAAATGAGGCACTTTTATGAACAGAACGATCCTATGAAAAAGGCCAACTGGATCTACTATGATCCAAGGTATGGAGGTCGTCAAGTAATCATCGATAAAGAAAGTCACATCAAGCTTGTTATCGACTTTATTAAGAGTGAGGATGGTAAGTCGTGGGGTGTTAAGGTTAAGAGTAAACCACAAAAGGGGTTCGAACATGTCAAAACCTCATTTGTGTGGTATTCAGGCATGGAAAGTGAACCTTTGGAAACGGACATTTTTGGCCAGGAGACCACAGCGGCTGTTATTAACTTGGATATGGACAGAAGCATAGATGGAAGATATAACGGCCCCATTAAGTTGGCAGGTGCCTCTGAAGATTTGGGATTCTTCACGTTGTCTATTGGTGAAGGACCCACGTCTAATCAAAGACCAAAACTGATATTCGATTATGAAGAGATCGACCCCAGACAGAACAGACATCTCAGCTTGAGAGTTCCTAATGACGAAATCTGGAGGGCTAAAGATATTTTCAACTCGCTTTTGCAGGACTCAGTTCAAGACTTGATGGACAAATATGGAGAGGAACCAATCCCTCCACACCAGTCGTTCGTTATGAGAGATATGAATAAATTCCAAGGAAACCTCCACTTTGTGCAACAGATTTTTGAAGGAGAAGCCGAATTCTACATTCTTTATGACAATGCGTTCACCCCGGAAGACCAAAAGATCACCAAAGATAACTTTGAATTCAAATCGAAAAAAGTGTTGGACATCTTCCATTCCAAGTTCAAACAGCATTTCGAGTTGTTGCCTCCATTTGATAAACAGGAGTATCAACCGTTTGCCAAAGAGATTGTTTCGGGACTTTTGGGTGGAATTTCGTACTTCTACGGAGACCATTTGGTGGATCGGGAAACTAAATTTGATGACGAGTCTTTTGAGAAATATGAATTGGAAGGAAAGTTGGAAGGACCCCATGAGCTCTTTACCCTTGTACCTTCTAGACCATTCTTTCCTCGTGGGTTTCTCTGGGATGAGGGGTTCCATTTGCTTCCACTCTTGGACTACGATTCTGATCTTGCTCTTGAAATAATTCAGTCTTGGTTTAGTTTAATCGACGACGATGGATGGATTGCCAGAGAACAAATTCTTGGCCCTGAACTGAGATCCAGAGTTCCTGAAGATTTCAGAACACAAAGTCCTGAGATTGTGAACCCCCCCACATTGATGTTAGTTTTCACTTTTCTCTTGAGAAACTTGCAAAATGAACAGTTTGGTAATATAAATGCTCCTAAGGTAGTGGAAGATTATGGAGAAATACCCCTATTTGACTCTTCTGACTTGGGTAAGTTAGTGTTGTCGCATCCGGAGTTGCTCACCAACTACACAAAAAGCATATATCCCCATTTAAAAGCACATTATGAGATGTTCCGTCGAACTCAGAAAGGGTACTTGGAAGACTTTGGAAGGTCACCCGACTTAGAAGTTTACAGATGGAGAGGAAGGACCCTTACCCATTGTTTGGCCAGTGGTTTGGATGATTATCCAAGAGCTTTACCAGCTGATATTGCCGAATTGAACGTGGATCTCCTCTCGTGGATTGGAGTTATGACCAGATCAGTCAAATTGATTGCTAATATCTTAGGTGAAGATGATGATGTCAAGCACTACCAGGAGATTGAAAACAATATAATCAAGAGCTTAGATGATATCCATTGGTCTGAGGAAGAAGGTGTTTACTGCGACAAGTCTGTTGATGAAGATGAAATAGACGTATTTGTGTGCTACAAGGGATATGTTTCATTGTTCCCCTTCATCACCAAGATGATGGGTCATGATCTGTATGACAAGTTAGAGAGGCTAGTGGACTTTATTTCAGATCCTGAACAGTTATGGTCAGACTACGGAATCCGGTCCGTGTCCAAATCTGATCCCACTTACAGAACTGGCGAAAACTATTGGAGATCGCCTATTTGGGTTAATATTAACTACCTCGTTCTAGATGCTTTGAAACATTACAAGGAGGTTGGATCTGGTATGCCCAAACCATTGCAACAGAAGATAAGCAGCACCTACCATGATTTGAGAGTCAATCTCGTTGATAATACATTTAAAGAGTGGAAGCGCACGGGATTCTTATGGGAACAATACGACGATGAGACCGGGGTGGCTAAGGGAGCCAAAAACTTCCTTGGTTGGACATCTACTGTGATCTTGATGATGAGTATGCCTGAAAACATTTAGGGCTATTTTGCAGCAATTATGTAGCAAACATATAGCTCTATTGACGAAAAACAAGTTAAGTTGAACTGTGTATTATGGTAGTTAGGTGATATTACGATAAATTTCTGGGTGTACATATAACATTTGGCAAGTTGGGTAGTCTTGTTGGTGGTGTTTGTCCATCAATAGCTAATACATCATGTCGCGACTTCGCAAATATAATTTCCTCAGCACCATGACATCACAAGTATCTTACAAATCCAAGATTGACCGGCTCATCTTGAACTACTTCATCCAGGAAGGATACAAGGAGGCAGCCATCACATTTTCCAAGGAAACCAATATCGAATTGTCCCAGGAAATAGGAGTGTCATCCCTTGATTCTAGGTCATTGTCCCTATTGGAGGCCTTAAGCAACACTAGCCCGGATGATCAACAAGCGTTTTTCGACCAAATCCAAAACCATAATATAGACTCCAATATTGCCAAGTATGACCCCGAAGTGAATAGGCTTGTATTCCAGGACCGAAACACCAAAATTGTCAGAGGGTACTCCACAATCAACGAGCGGAAGGAAATCAAATATTTGATATTGACTGGATCTATCACCACCGCCATCGAGAAGATCAGCGAGTTCTTCCCCAGCGTTTTGGACTCCAACAACTTGCTCCACTTCAAATTGCTCCGGCTCAATCTCATTGAAATGATCAGACTGCATAAGTTGACCAACCCAAACACCAGTGGTGACATGGAAAAGAAGTTTTTAGGGGACATTTTGGGGTTTGTACGAACAAATTTGGTCAATAAGGTCACTCGGTCATACAAGCTTTTGAAGGAATTAGAAATCACCATGAGTCTTTTATGCTTCAACTTTGACCCGTCGTTGGGATCAGTTGAACACCAAAAGGATCTTCCTGAGGAATTGAGGTCGTTGTTCGATTTGTCCTTGAGGACACAATGCTACAAGTTGGTGAACAGAGCCATTTTGAACATGAATAAACCCAGTACAGAGAGCTATAATGATCTTGACAGTATCACCGAAGACCAGGCTCGCTACGAGCAACTTAATGCTAGTATTGGACTGAACGGTTACGCTGTCAAGCACATCGCCAAGGACGACTTGGAAGCATACCTAGACCAGGATTCAGACTCAAATTCTGACCTAGAATCAGTGGATGATGAAACTGACGAAATGGGACCCGTATCGTCTAAGACTGAAGGCAACTCGATACAAGACGAGGCTCTAGAGGATGAAGCTAATAAGCTTCAGACGCTTGAGTTCGAGTCCAAGCTTGAGCGTGTTGTGAAACTCTGGGCCTTAACGGAACATCGAATGGTAGAGTTGAACACCATCAAAGAAAAACGCTACGACTTAAACGACGAATTTATATAATTATGGATATAGCACTATACAGTCTATCACATCACCAGTTTCAATTCCACACTTGGCTAGATAGTCATTGTCTTTCTCTCTTCCTAGCTTTGTACAACGCTTGTTGTAAATGTATACGTTGCCTCTTGAGAGAAACTCGGACTTGTAAGGGTCGTACAAATCGGAAGAATTAAAGAGATCGAGAATCTTTCTCCGCAAATGGTCAATAGTCGAACCGTATTCGGGGTCATCGTTCATCTCGAAATCTTCGGGACTGAACTCAAAGTGGTACTTGATGAAGTCCTCTCTCTCAAATGCGGCTTTCTTGGCCTCCGATAATGTTTTCCAATTCAATATGTTATATTTGGATTTGAATTTGAGGTTATAGAAATGATCCACCTTATCCAAGTTATTTCTCTTTGCAACGTTCAACTGAACATACACATGGGCACAATGCACAGGTATTTCTTTGAAAATGTCCTTTGCGTGGTACTCCCACCACCCAAGGTAGATTCCGGTCCAATAAGTGATCTCGTATGACAAAAGGAGTACAGAGAACACAAGGATGAATTCACTAATATACCTGCCGCTTTGGGTCACCAACAAGTTTTTGGTGAACAGATGACTGGCTAGTCTTTCAGCCAAGTACTCATCCCACTTCCAGAAATACGAGGTGACGAGTTGTACAGTTTGTGATTGAAACATCACTTGGAGAACTTAGTCCGATTTCGCACCATCTACTTTCACGCACAATCAGTTAACGAGGACTGGGACACCTGACCGCTATACACAAATTTAGGGGTATGGGACATTTAAAGGAATAAACGTGATAAGAATATCTTGGGGGTTGAAACTAAGTTTTTTGGTGATTTTAGGAGCCCATTTGCATAATGTGTATTTTGGACCAAATTTTGCAACTTTTGCAACTTTGAGATTTATCTCGAAACATTTATTATTGCAAAATACTTCTTAATCAAAAATTCCCATACCTACAAAATCCCAACCAAACAGTCGTCAAATACTCAATGTCATTAGTCACATCATTCGATATTCGAAAGTTCTCAAAGCTCGTGCTCTGGGACACCCCCCCACCAGATGATATCGATGCTAGTCAAATGGCGGTTAATTCATGGTTCCATTATCCACAAAGGTCAGCCTTATCTGTCACATTTATCCAGGCGAAGGATTACGTTACCATGTTTGTGTACCATCGTGGTAGTAGGTTAGAGAGAGTGAAACTTGAGCTTGGTGATGCCAATTGTTGTTTTGTTGAGAGATATCCATCAGTTGGATTCAAACAAACAAGAGACTCAGGAAGAGTGATTAAGCGTTTTCAAGTTGGATTTGCCAAAGCTTCTGAATTCAAGGGCTGTGTTGAACAGATAAAGAAGCTAGGCCTTAATATCAGAAGACTTGGAGAAGGAAGGGTCAGCCTTATTGGGACTACGTACCTAAGTTCTCAAATGGATTACCCAGTTGATGAAGACTTTGCCAACAGTACATGGAATTTGGAGTCACAGGAAAGCTCCATCACGTCTCAGGATTTCCAGGCTTCAATGGGGACCCAAGAGTCTCATCAGGTCTCGATGATTCCTACTTGGAATGGAAGACAGGTTTCGCAGGTTGACTCTCAAAGAGACCCAAGGGGGTCAGTGATTCCAACTTGGAAGGGAACAGAGTACAACCATCTGAAGGTCCACAATTCTCAAAGAAGACCCTTAATGACCCAGAAATCCCAAATAAGAGCTTCAGTTACCCAGGAATCGCAAAGGAGAGCTTCGATGGTTCCTACCTGGGATAATTCTAATCCTCACAGAAGAGTCTCTATGTTGAATGAAACCCAGACAAAAGCTAGTGAGATCTCGGCTATGGAATTCCACACCCAAACAGAAACCCAGTCAAACGACCTGATGTTCAGCTCTTTTGGAAAGGTCTCACAGACCAGCGCTGAGGGTTGCTCTCAGCCCACTAAATCAAAAGGGCACAGAGAATCGGGAATGTTTTACAATGTATATCCAAGCCAAATTGCTCCAGACAACCAAGTTCTTTTGACTCCTGAGTGTCTGTTTGTCGATACCGTTGATATTAGTGGTTTGAAATCAGGGATGTATAGCTCCATACCACTTGAAACGATAAAGCACACGGAACAGAATTCGTCCAATTACTTGAATATGTTGTCCGCTGATGACGAAAACTTGAAAACCCTAATTGCAGAGCTCTTGAGAAATGAAACTTTTATGGATTTCGTCAAACGTATGGATAAAGTGATGTCCAATGAATGAAATAGACGTCGCCTACTTCTATAATCTATAAATGTGTATGAAACTTATTTTGTTTTACCCAAAATAGGATTGCGGTACTTGCACCCATTTCTTTATAGTGAGACCATCATCCAATTCTAGAGTTTCTGAAACCAACTTGTACCTACCGATCCATGGCATCAATTTAAACATCACCAACCAATACAACACGTATAAGAAGATCAAAGTAATCGACACCAAAGGATACGAAATCCAAGACTCTGTTCCCTTGGGGTTGGGATTACCACCACAGAATGGAGAAACCAAAACATATGCCATTATAATAACAACCAAACCAGCACCAATAACACTTGCTCTAATAGGAGCTTTTGTTTCAGGATACCGTCTTCTCAAGATTATAAGCCCCAAGGCTGTGAATAAAGTGTACAACTGTACTGGGTAACCTTCAATGGAAACAATATAGCCATAAACTCCACCAGAAGGAGCCAACACCAAGATAGTCACTGAGAGAAATAAGCATAAACATATACTTCTCAAGGGAGTACCAAAAGGTTTATTGGAAGCCATGAACACTGAAAATGGTAATACCCCTTCCCTGAACACTTCTTGACTCATTCTGCTAACCGAGTAGATGACCACAAAAATATTGCTGGCGGTACACATGGCCACTGAGAAGGTCAAAAATCGTTTCCCAAAGTGGACTCCATATACCTTTTCAAATAATACAGATCCCAGCAAATTACCACTTTCTGCAAACTCGGTGGGTGTGAGGACAGATACGTAGCAGACATTAATTGCCGTATATCCAAGAAGAATAAGCAACATCGACAAGGGACCTGCAATCTTATAAGTTCTCACCGGGTCTTTCACTTCATTGGAGCTTATATGGCCCATATTCCAGCCTGCCAACGTGAAACTACTAACAATAATAGCATTTGAAAACGACGCAATTGTCACCGGTTTTTCGGCCTGGTGGAACCTTTCCCAGGTAAGAGTGTTTTCCACTCCCGTCATGCTGGTTGGGAAACCTATCACCCAGATTCCTGTCAAAAGAAGCACCACCAAAAGGCCAATTTTCATCACTCCAAGGACATTTTGCATCATCACTCCGTGTCTAGTACTCACAGCATGGAACATACACGTGAGAGTCACAAAACCTATGGCCAAAGCCCGAGTTCTGAGGCCAGTTACCGCAAGATCAAATGTACGTAGAAAGTATTCTCCGAACACCAAAGGACTCAGAATACAAAAGCCAAATGCCACCGAGTATACCAGGAAGATCACCGTCATCAACATACGAGGCTTGTTGAAGATCAACTCCAAGAACACCTTTGTACCGCCACTTCTGGGAATCAAAGACCCGAGTTCCAAATAGATGTATAATCCACAGATCGCAACAGTATAGGAAATAGCCCAAGCAAGGGCAAACATGAGAGGGGACCGGCCACAACTCTCGAATATCACCGATCCAGTAGCAAAGATTCCTGAGCCAACAACCCGTGATATGTATAATACCATAACGGAGTAAATGCCCAAATGCCTTCCTTGAGGGCTCTCTTCTAGCTCACCAAAAATGTGGGACTGAGGCCCGGTAAGGAGTGATTCTTCATCGGTTGAAACCGCACTAGACCCAAGGAGAAAGGTATGACTGTCATGAGATTCCAACTCGAGACCTAGTTCTCTTTCCACAATGGTGGAATCAAGTTTCTTATATGTTGGATCAGACATATATTGATTCAGAACCTCCAGATAATAATTCCTATTTTGATGATAAGACCGCGCACTCCGTCGTGCCACACCTTCGCAGCCTCACCTTTTTGGAGCCTCACCTGTTGATAACTGCAACGCAATAAGGAACAGGAAACAAGATTATACGTGCCAGCCAAACAATAAGGGTCTGGACCAATATACGTTTTCTAATAGTCCATGTTTTTAGTTTTATATAATGTTATCTACCGTAAAATTACCATGGCAAAGTCAATCAAATGCTAGGGAAGGGTTTTATCTTTGGGCGTTCTTCTTGGAAACAAAGGCTTCTTTGGCTAATTTGGTTAAAGTATCCAATTCTCCACTGTTGTCACACATGCTGTGGAATAAAGTTTCCTTGTTGGCAATTAAGGTGTAGGGATCATCGTATTCCACCACTCTACCCTCGTCCATAACCAAGATCTTGTCGTAATCAACAATAGATCTCAATCTGTGGGCGATTGTCAAAATAGTCGAGTTCGAAAACTCTTCTCTGATGGTCTGCTGGATCATTGCATCGGATTCGTAGTCAATAGATGCAGTGGCTTCATCCAACAAAATCACTTTAGGACTTCTCAACAACGATCTGGCCAAACACATTAACTGTCTTTGACCTTGCGACAAGTTTCCACCGCCTTCACTGACAGAACTTTCAAGGTTCAAAAACTGGTTAACATTTTCTTCGGGTGCCGAAGATGAGGAGGAAGATGCAGTAGCATTATAAGCGGTTTGTAATTCCTCAGACGAAACCAAGTTAACTCTTCTTAAAGCTTCGAACATTTGAGCTTCAGTGTACTCGTCAAATGGATCCAAGTTGGTTTTGATGGTACCGGTGAACAAAGTTGGATCTTGAGGAATAATCGTGATTGCTTGTCTTAAGTTCTTTAAACCTATCTTGCATATATCCACTCCATCGATAAGGATTCTACCAGTCTCAGGATCCAAGAATCTGAAAAATGCGGTGATGATAGTTGACTTACCAGCTCCAGTTCTACCAACAATACCAATTTTGTTCTTAGGATTCACATGGAAAGAAATGTTCTTGATGACTCTAGGCAATTCTGGAGCGTATCTCAAAGAAACATCTTCAACTTCGATTTCACCTTTTTCAGGCCAAGTAGATCTTGGTTCGGTTTCGGGGATTTCAAAAGGAGGTTCTTGTTCAATATCAAAGTACTCTTGCAATCTTTCTACCGAGTTCATGTTCATTTCCACGTTCGAATAAAGTCTCACAATCCATAAGGCACTTTCATTGAAGGCAATAGCGTAAGTCAAAGACAAACCGGCTAAACCAGCATCGATCTTTCCAACTGATAACAACACAAATACACCAGCACAAAACAAAACTAAGGCACCAGCACTATCAACTCTCAAACTCAACCATCTATTGGCAACCCAGATATAGAAGAAAGGTTTATTGTTGGTATCAATCTTCGACAAGTTTTGTTTCATGAACCTGGATTCAACCCCATAAGCTCTAATAGTAGCAATACCAGCCAAACTTTCGCTGAAATGTTGATGGATAGGAGATTTGGAAATCGACTCATATCTCTTCAATTCTCTTGACAAAGAGATATACAATAAACCAATGACGTAGTAAATGAATGAGATAAGGAAAGCAAAAAACAAGAAACCAGGAGTGATGAACGTAATAAGGAACAAGGTCGAGACACATTGAACCAAACAGATGAACGCATATTCAGCAAAAGGAGTCAATTCTTGATCAACAGCTTCAATATCCTTTGAGAATCTGTTCATAATACGCCCAATTGGCGTTTTATCAAAGAATCTTAACTTGGCACCCAAAACTGTAGTCAACACTTTGACAAACATTCTGTTGGAGGCATCGATTCCAATATAGAATGTGTACAACATTCTACCACTAGCCATGATGGTATAAATCATACCAATAATACCGTAGACAATCATATAGAAGAAAGAAGAGTTTTCTTCCTTATAAGAATTGATGGCATCGGTAGTGCTAACAAGGGATTGCACAACAAAATTGTTCTTAACACCATCATAGACAGGTTGAATAGTGCTCATAGCAAAAGACACAACATAAGAAGTACTAGAAGAGTTTTCACTATCCATGGACCATTTTCTCAACCACCAGGACTGGAAAATGTATACACCTTGAGAACCACCATAGAGGAAGAGAAAAACCATCCAAACTTGAAAGCTACCAAAGAACTTCAAGTATTCAATGTAAACACGAGAAGACACAGCACCTTCCGCTTTTTGTTCTTCTTCAACTAGCTTACCATCGGCCTTAATCGTATCAGTAATTTCAGCTTCTTCCGTATGAGCACCATTCAATGCCTTCAATTTAGAATCGATGATGTCGGATTTGGCTTTCAAATCGGTGTTTCTTGCTTCTTTGGTAGCCAAAGCAGTAAGATCCAGAGAAGATTGGTTCTTGGAGTTCATAACAGATGTCTTCACCAAGTCATCAGCACCTAAGGCACCAGATTCTAACAATTGAGATGGGGTGGCCTGTGTCTTGACTCTTCCATTCTCCATGAGAACCACCCAGTCTGCATTTTGAACTGTCAAAGCAACATTATGAGAAACTAAAATACATGTTCTCTTGTCCATCAATGGACCCGAAATACAGTTTTCATAAATCCATAAAGCAGTGTGCGAGTCAACTGCAGATAAACAGTCATCCAATAAGATAGTTTTAGAGTTAGAGTATAAAGCTCTGGCCAAAGAAACTCTTTGCTTCTGACCTCCAGATAAGGTAATACCCTTTTCACCAATTTCAGTGGCATCACCAGCAGACAAGATCTGAAGATCTCTAGATAAACCACAGGCATCGATAACCTTATCATATCTGTCTTGGTTAAAAGAAGCACCAAAAACAATATTGTTCTTGATGGTTTCATTCAATAACCAAGCACTTTGAGAACAATAGGCAACAGAATCAGTTAAACCAGTATGTGGATCCACAATCAATTCGTCTCTAGGGATAATACCAGGCAAGTAAACCTTACCTTCGATTAAGTCCATTTCACCCAACAAGGCAAGCAACAAAGAAGTCTTACCACTTCCAGTTGGGCCAAAGATGACATTCAATTGGCCTTCTTTGAAAGAAATATCAATATCTCTTAATTTGAAAGAACCCTCTTCAGACTTGTTCCAAACAAAAGTAGCCTTTTCGAAACCAACAGTTGGAGAACCAGGACCTGGTCTGTTGGTCAATTGTTCGTACTTGGAGGTTTCATCCTCAGCCAAAAAGTCACCCACTCTATCCAAGGAGACTTTGGATTGGATAACCAAAGCGGTCATATCTGCCAATTGATCCAATGGGCCTCTTAACAAAGTGAATAAGGATAAAGAAGTGAAAGCAATAGGAGCAGTCAAGACATTACCTTCAATGATGGTGTAACAGTAGAAAGAAATCAAGGTAATCAAAGTGGGAGTTAAGAACCAAAGAATGGAACTGATAGCCCAAGAGATACAACGTAAGAATAATTGATGAATCTCTTCACCTCTTAATTTCATGATACTTTCAAAGAATTTGTCTTCCCAAGCGAAAAACTTGATGATTCTAATACTTTGTAAAGTTTCATTTAATTTCTGAATTCTCTTATCAGTGATAGCCAACATTTTCTTCTGCAAGTTTCCTAACCAAATAGCAACTTTGTAGTTGATAGGTAACAAACAAATGAGAATACCAGCACCTGCAAGAGCAGACCAGCCAAGCAACTCGTACAAGAAGAAAAGACAAATGAAAACCAGCAATATTGATCCGGTGAAAAAGTGCAAATAACCACAGATTTCAGACACTTTGAAAGCATCAATGGCCATCAAGTTGATAATAGCTCCCAATTCGGCCGTTTTCTTTTCTTCTTCGACCTCTTCTTTATCTTCTTCGGGTATAGACTTGTCGCTCTTAGCATCTTCATCCTTCTCGTCAGCCACCTTGGAAACAGTGATTTTTCTTCTCAAGGCCTTGGCGTACACTTCACCAATAAGCACTGATCTCATTCTAACACATACTCTTCTTCCCAAGAAAAGCGAGCACCCCGAAACTAAGGAGTCCCCAATTTTAACAATGGGCATCAAAATCACCAAGGACCAAGCCACGTTAGGAGGAAGGGAAGAAGGATCAGCCACATATTCCAACACACTTTTCAACAATAAGGTAGGAACAAATGACAAAAATGATTCCAAAACCGCATAAAGAGCCTGTAAAAAGAACAAAAACTTGAAGTGACTGAATACCTTGACGGAGAACTTGGTGGTAGATTTAGCAGCCTCGAACCCTTTCAACACCAGTAACGAGTAGTCATCACCTTTCATACTCCAGATGTCATCCATCTTCAACGAGGTAGTGTAACCACTCCATACCAATTTGTCAATCCACGAATACGAGATGAACGAGAAGATACTCGAGGTTGTCTCGGGAGAAGACATGGCATTGTCGTTGGTGACGTAGACAGAAGCGGGTTTGTCGCCGAACCGTGAGGTGAAGTTCAACAAAAACAAACTAACACTCAACACAAAGTTGATCACGTAGTACACAAACACAGAAGTAGGATAGGATTTGACCAAGACCGACCGGAAAACCAACAAGGCTGGGAACAAATTAAAAAAGTTTAACACGGAGGTATGAGCAAACAAGCTAGGAAGTCTGAGGTGGGTTTTAGAGATGTTGATGATTCTCACGGAGCCAATGGCGAAAAGGTATGCCCAATATACCAATCTGACAATGGAATTTCTGGCACCAAACTCTGCATGCAACTCGGGTACAAAAAACACCACGACGGCACCACCAAGCTGGCAGGCCAATATGAGGTATTCCACCACGAGGCGAACCTTTTCCGTGGTATCCTTGGGCACCTCAATGTAGTGGCCAAGGGGTTGACCATTCTCATCGGTATTTTGCAATCTCGTCAAATCAAAGTGTTTCGATTTAATATCCTTATAAATATCGTCTTTGTCATTATCATCGTTATACTTGGCAACACCGGAGGAAGCGGCCAAGAGTGGTCTGGATTCGTCGGTCAATTGGATGCGTTTTCGGCGTTTCAATACGCTCTGGGAGGTTTTGATTGCCAATACCACCGCGGATATGCAAAGGGTGATGAGCGGGAGAAGGTAGTTGAAATACCGGTCTTTGGAACAGACGGTGATATCATCATAGTACCACACGGGACACGATAGACTTTCAACCATTAGGACGTGAATAAATGTTTTCAAATGAGTTGTTAACCTTTACACCGTTTTAGTAGATGGAAAAATTTGAAGGGGCGGGTCTTCTAGCTTTATAAAGAAAAACTATATCGCGAAAGCATTTTAACTGCACGGCTCAAAAGTTAAATAGCGCGGTGCGATAACACAGAGTACTAGGTACACGATGTAGGTCAAGAGTGTGAAGATACTGACATATACGAACAGACTGGTAACAGGTGAGAAATTTTGGTGGTTTTGGTATTATTGGTACATTGCTGACCAATAGTTTAATTGAATGGCTCTGTTTGGGAGAGTGTTCTTGGAGGCCGTGCGCGAAGCGGACCCACTGTTAAGACTATAGGCATCTCTGTGTCTTTGGGCGCAGAGCCGTAAGAGAAAATGATGCACATTTCCGTTTTGGAAAATGACTCACTATCAACCCCATTTTGCAAATGATCCTATCTGCTAGTGGCAGTTTCGTTGGATCTTGGGCAGTGATGGTATGGTAATGACTTCTACTTTGGAATGCTGGCAGCAAAAGGAAATACGAGATGAGGTGCCCGAAAGCAGGTCAAACAACAGCTGGGTGGTGCGAGTGATTGGATGCGTCAGGAGTACGTATGGGTATACGCGCGTGGGTATATGAGTGTATGTGAGGGCATATGCGTCTACAGAGTATGAAATGAGCCTACTTTAGTGGCAAATGAATCTGGGATTGGATCCACCCAAATTGGAATTAAGGTCGCGAAACCCCATACAGGTACGGCATTTTGGCATCTGCAACTAAAGAGCATCACCAGGTGTGAGTCTTCTCATGTTTCTTTACTCTCTTACTAATCGTTTATTAATGCACTATCTAATCTTGAGTCTTTTGAGAACCACGTAATAAACCGGTTCTTCTGGCAGCAATCAAACCGGCCTTTTGACCAGGAACTGCTCCTCTAGAAATAGTAGATGCTTTACCAATATGTTGATGGTTACCACCACCATGAGGGTGATCAACTGGGTTCATGGCCACACCTCTGGTCTTTGGCCACGAGTTTCTCTTGACCTTATATTTGTGGAAAGCTCTACCAGCCTTCAATAATGGCTTATCGATTCTTCCTCCTCCAGCAACAACACCAATAACACCTCTGGCATCGGAGTTCAACACCTTTTTAGCACCAGATGGTAACTTGACTCTGGTCTTACCTTCATCTGCATTGTGTCCGATAATGATAACGTAGTTACCAGAAGTTCTACCTAAAGCACCTCTGTCACCCACCTTTTCTTCCACGTTGGAGACAATGGTACCTTCAGGCATAGAACCTAAAGGTAATATGTTACCGACGTTTAAAGAGGCCTTCTTACCGGCGTAGATGAATTGTCCAGTGTACACACCTTCGTTTGCGATGAAGGTTTCTTCTCTCAACTTGTACTTGTAAGGGTCTCTGAAGGCCACTTTGGCCAATGGAGCACCTCTACCAGGGTCGTGGATAATTTGCTTGACGACACCACGAATGTATCCGTGGCGTTCAGCGTAGTCCAAGGTTCTTAATTTGGCGGCACCTTTTCTACCCTTGGTGTGGGCGGTAAAGATTGAACCAGCACCTTTTCTTTGGTTACGAATGACTCTACCTAGAAGATGTTAGTACAAGTTTGACATGAATGTGGACGATTGGTGTTGTATGAGTTGTGATGTGAAAAACTCAGAAAGGAACTGATGACAAGGAATTGAGGAAAGGAGACAAACCGACATAACACTTTACTGATCAGTTTTGGTGACTTTACGGTAGTTCATACTCGTTTACTACTTTTTAGTTTTGGAGATGGAGGTGGATTTTCAGGTTGGATTTGGATTAGTAGCGACACTCACAGGCCACCGTTTTGTATACACCACGAAACACATTCTTGGATTCGTCTTTCCATTGCTTTTAATTCACATACCCATTGTTAGTGATTTGGTTTACAGTAATATTCAAGTCTGAAAATTTTTTGAGAACCAAGGCAGGACCGGGGCGCGCACGACGGCGGCCAGGACTGTCACCTAGAGTCACGCGAAATGGCCAACAATCGAGGGCTCGCGCCCCAGTTAGTATATAGGCTAGGGGTTTCAATCAAAATGCATTAAACAAAACTAATACAAAAACAACTAAATCACATAATTCATCTAATAAAAAAAGCTTCCAGGCATGTTCAACTGGTTCTTACTGTTAACTTTGCGGTCAAAAGAATACAGTTTCTGGGTGGATAATTCAGAAATTTGGTTACCGGCTCCGTCGAATGCTATGCCTGTTTTGGCATCGAAAATCACCTTTCTGGTATCCACTGGAATCAATTCAATGTGTTGCTGAAGATACGCGAGTTTCTCCTTTTGAAGCTGAGACTCAGTGTCTTTCGAAGCACCCACAATCTCAAGTTCAATGTCGTTTATCGATCTTGGATCCGTGCCGGTGGTGACACCACTTGCCTTACCATACCTGTAGTTAGCACTAGGATCCTCCACCGAGGTAGAGGATGAGTTTGAGTTGTACAAATCGCTGTTCTTGGTGTTTGTAGTGGAAATGACTTCTCCAGACTCTACGCTTTTCTCGGAACTGGGAACTTCCTTGGACTTGAAGAGAGATCCCCCAAGAATCCCTCCAAGGAAGCCTCCACCAAGGGCACCAGAAGAGCCTTTGGATCCAGAGGATTCATGGGAGGCAGCACCCGCCACCACACCAGCAGCACCGGCTGCACCAATGATCTGGGCGATTTCTTCTGGGTCCGAGATGCCAGGCTTACTGGAAGCAGCAGAGGTGCTGATAATGTCATTTCCTGTCTTGGTGCCAGTACTGGCCCCAGTCGCACCGATCTTATCGGCAGCAGTGGCAGCAGCTATGGCAGCAGTAGCAGACCCAGTACCTGCAGCCCCAGCAGTACCTGCTCCCGCCCCAGTGGTTGTACCAGTAGACCTGATACCACCGGGGCCAGGTTGGGCTGATCTGGTGGTTTCTCTCGTTACTGGCAACTTTACAACTCCTGGAGATGGTTGAGAAACTTCGGCATCAAGTGGTTGGGTGACGTTGGCCGAAGCAGCAGAGCCTTTAGAACCAGTGCTAGTGGCAGCAGAAGGTCCAGAGGCAGCACCAGAAGGACCAGTTTTAGCACCAGACTTAGGACCACTACCAGCAGCACCAAGAGCAGCACCGCCAAGAGCACCAGACTTAGGACCACTACCAGCAGCACCAAGAGCACCACCGCCAAGAGCACCAGCACCAAAAACACCAGCAGTTTCTTTACCAGGTTTGCTCTCACCAAAGTTCTCCAACACTACCGCACCGTTTTCGTCCCTCACAAGTCCCGAAAGAGCATCAATCCTGATTTCCTTCACCCGGGCCAACACCTCAGGTTTGCCCTTAAGTGCATTCACCACTCGATTGGCCACCTCACCTGCAACACTATCGTCACAGCCTTGAACTGTCACCACAATGTCAGAGTCTTGGGGAGAAGATTGTTCGAGTTTAGGTTCCTTAGACGTAGAACCGGAACCAATGCCAGAAACAGCCCGAGACTTCTCAGAAGCCACGGGTAATTCGTCGACATTGGCATAGTTCTTTGGAGGTGTGACTACTCCATCGTACAGCTTGGTATCAGCGTCTTCCTTAGGATTCAACGAAGAAGAAGGTGGCTGGATAGCTCCATCGTAGTTTTGGGCTTTATCTTCGCCATGTAAGCCTGCAAAAGCGGTACCAGCAGCAACTCCAGCACCTCCCACCGCAGCGCTTCTGGGGACAGTAGAGGCAGCAGCCGGGTGAGAATCTTGGTAGGACTTATCTTCAACAGGAGAAGTCGAGGCTTGAGATGAAAAGTCTCCGTCCAACTTGTACACTTCCTTTGTGTCAGCATTCACCACCAACTTACCCGAGCTCAAATCAATTCCTTGGGCCGCAAGTTCTTTGGACGCTTTTTTGGCTAATTTGGCTGCAACTTTTTTGTCGTCCACACCAATAACCTCCACTACAAGTGACAGCGGCACCTTGGTGGAGCCGGACACAGTCGAAGACTTTGTATTAGAGTCCTGAATGCCCCTGGAGTAACCCGAATCATAAAACTGCTTGATAGTCAAATCATCACCGTCAAGAGCATCAAAGTCCTTATTGAAAGGTTTACCAGAAAGTCCCAGAGGAGCAGCTCCTCCCACAGTGGCACCAAGAGGTTCACGCGACGAGACATTGTTGCCTGTTGGTGCTGCAACATCGGTGGTGTTTGTGGATCCAATCGCACTGTTACCAGTGTTTGTGGAAAACGCATCCTTATTTGTCAAGTCACCATCCTTTTGTGCCGGTTTGTCATCGGCATCGGCGACTTTGTAACCTAAAGCTCCAGCAGCAGCTCCCACGACACCAGCGAAAAGACCCGACTTCGAACTGCTCTTGTCCGTGGAAGTGGAATCAGTAACACTCACAGGCTTTCCGATGCTTCCTGTTTCTTCAGTACTTCTTGTCTTGTCATCAGAACCTGCCACAGAACCCAACTGCTCAAAGTGTTCTTTGGTAGCCTTGTTTTTTCCAGCTTCGTACGCCGCATTGATGGTGGTATCATCTTGTGGGTTGTTCGACTTGAACCCCAACGCTCCTACAGCAGCGGTACCCACTGCCCCAATTGCACTAGCTGCACCACCAAGTATGCCCGGCTGGGAGTCACCAACGACATCAGTCTCAAGTTCAGGTTTTTTTGGATCGAGGGTCTTACTGCTGTCCCCAAAGTAGCCAGACTGTGAAGTCGAATCATGTTTCACAAACGCACCTGAAGAAACCTCACGACGGTCCGCACCAGTTGATAGTCCGGCCTCATGTCCCGCATCGTATGAGGCAGAAGTGATACCTTGCTCATAAGCTTGATCGATTTCAGGTGTTTTTGTGGAGCCTGAGCCTGATAGTTTTTTCGCAGCCTTGGCGGTGGCTGTTGCTGCTGCCGCAAGCACACCCGTTTTACGCGCCTTGTGCGAGTCATTGGCCGGGCCAACGGTGGCACCCGGATACTCAGAAGTAGGGCTCTTTAGGGCGGTGGTGGAAGCATTTTCAGGACTAGTGGCCTCGCCTCCAACTTGGCCGGGGTATTGGTTGTCTTCCTCATCCCAGACCGTCAAGTCGGGCGAGATGCCGTCGTAGGTGTTCCTATTCTTGGAGTTCTTGCTGGCAGCAGCTCCCGCGGTAGCTCCTGCACCAATAGCGGTGTTGACACCCTCAGAGTTGAACACGCTCTTGTTGTTCAAGTGTTCTTGGGCCGGGTCGAGGGTGTGGGACTCGTTAGGCTCAGGGGTGGCACTGGCAGTGCTAACACTGTCATCGTCCTTAGATTCTTTAGTGTCAGCCTTGAAGGCATTCTTCTTTTCTGCTTCATCCCTGGCCGCGGCCTCGGTCTCCGCCTGCTCGCGGTAGGCGGATGGTACCGTCTTCAAGTTTGGGCGCGCGTCTAGCTTGGCCTGCGTTGCCTCCGCGCGCGCGGCAGCCTCCTTGTCCGAGGTCGAACGCTGGCGGTAGTAGCCGCCCTGGGTGTCGCTGGGATCGAAAAAATATCCGGTTCCCTGGCGCCTCGAAGCGTCGTCCGCGTACTGGGGCGCGTGGTGGACGTAGACGGCCCCCGAGTCCACTACCGTCTCGTCAATGGGCTTCTTGTCGTTGGAGAAGTCACCCGCACGGTCACGGTCCACGGGACGGTAATTGACCTTGGGTGGGGTCGTAATCACCTTACCCACCGAACTGGCGGCAATTACTTTTGTCGGTTTGGTAGGAGTCGACTCGACAGAGCTGCCGCCGCGGGTGTCGGTGGCTATTTGGGGTGATTTGGGCGTCTGGGAGAAGCCAAACCCATAGTGCTTAACCTTCTTGCCGAATTCGTGCTCGGCTGTGCGCTGACCCTCAATATAAGCCGATTCCACATAATTGTCGACATTTGTTGATGAATCGATAGAAGAACCAGGATTGTCTGTGGAAGCAGGGGGGCTCTTATGTTTTCTGAATTTGCTTAGAAAGCTGGGGGATTTAGAAGACATGGTTGGGTGAGAAAAAAGTCAATTGAGACTGACAAACTGGTTTGGTTAAATACAGCTTCAACAATGGTGTTGAATGACTGGTAGAGCAATGATGTTTCAGGGTTTCTATGATTTGAGATTTTCTCAAATTTCAGCAATCTGAAATCTGCAGCCGCCGCACAGCGACTGCGCGAGCCATGGGAGTCTGTTGCCCCGTGGTTTGGGGAGGAGTGCGACAGAATTCGCTGCATGTATCTGCACCCAATTAAACTCAAACGCAAGATTGCTTCCATGCATTTAAAATACGGGTAGCGTGAAGCGACTAAAGGTGATACAGAATAGAATAGTTATACGATAAACTGAGTGCAAGGGTTTTTCTTGAACAGATAAAGTGGGTGCAGAAAAACCAATGTTTACCACTTTGAACAACTAGTCACATGACAAGTAGCCTGGCAGTACCTGTCATGTGAACGTTGAAATCCTGGTGGCCATGTGGTTATTTAAATTGTGGTGGTGCTGCGGCTAGTGCGTTTTGCAACCACACGTCAGCAACCTAGCAATTCGTCATACTTTATATATTCACACACTAATTCTAATCTTGTTCATGGCTCACAACATGCTTCGGTTGTCTAGCTACATCTTCAAATTCATTGACATTTTCCACAAGCGAATGGGGGTCTCTTTGAGTACCGGTACTCAAGTCAAGCTTGGTTCTGACCACATTCATTTTGATCAGATGTTCGGACTCAAGTTGCAGTTGCTCAAGTATTGGCTCATCCGTGACAAGCAGCGAGTGGTCGTGTTTGGGGGCTTGGGCCACATCTTCGAATTCGTTGACGTTTTCTACTAATGAATGGGGATCTCTAATTTGTCCAGTCATGGTTGAGAAATTCAATTTGCGAGGAACTTTCTCCATTAAATAGTGAGGTGACAGGCAAATTGCGGCCGATTATGGGTAGTGGGCTGATTGCTGCAAATAGAAAGTATCGGATATTTTTGTATGCAAGATAGTCTAGTTCATTACATCATCGTCATCACGTGAGCTGGGGTCTATTTGTACTCGGGGGCCCGGTTAGGCTTGTTGTACACGAGCCGCGTCACGAGCCACTCGAGACTTTCCTGAAGTCCCTGATTTTCCAACACTGACACCGGCAACAACTTCAGGTCCGTGGCTTCCAACTCACTTACCAACTGGATAAACACCCCGGTCTTTAACGTCACCAAGTCAATGGCTTGTGGTAAGTCTTGCTTGTTGGCCATCATCAAAATTGGCACATTCACCATATTGTCATAATCGTTGTTAGCCGACCCCCAATTTTCGTCATGGGTGAGGTTTACGAGCGTCTCATAGCATTCTTGAAACCGCTCGGTGTCAGTCGAGTCGATTATGAAGATAATGCCGTGACACAGCGTAAAATACCGAGACCACATGTTTCGGAGCGACTTTTGACCACCAAGATCCCAGAACTTGAGGTTGATATTGTTGTAGTTCAAGTGGCTGTCAGAACTGGACTCATATTTTATAGTGGTGGTATTCTGACCCACCGTCGGGAGGATCCTCTTACTTTTGATGATACTGGCAGTGTCTTTGGATCTCTTAGGCTTCTTGGAGGAGTCGGGCGATGCGTACAACAACTTGAGATGCTCAAGAAACGTGGTTTTTCCGGCATTATCCAATCCCAAGATCAATACATTATACTGCTCACGTTTTGTGTATTGGGTATATAGCGAGGACGCTAAATGAAACATTTGTGAGTGAGGTGGCAGTGGCAGAAGATTGTTTAGGTTTTGAAATTATCGCGCATTTGCCTAGGACTTGTTCGGAAGAAATTTTTTTCAACTGCTTTTTCCTTGTTTTTTTTGGAAAAGTAAAAGTATGTATTAATTCCAGACTAGTGATGATTTCTTGATAGGGACAACTGATTAAAGATGAAGATACGTTGTCATTGATAGTAAAATATAACTGAAGTTTTGTTTTTTTGTGAAGCTTACTAACAGTATAGAAATAGATGAGATGAGTCTAAAAGCGAGTGTCAGTGAAGAGAGTATTTGTATAACGACAGACAAGTAGGCCAGGTGATGGTAGCTGTATGATCACTATTACCATGGTACTTGTTCTGGTTATGTCGTTCTGTTTTGAAGTCTTGAGGTTGTGTTGTTTGTGTGTGATTGCATATTTTTGTTGAACAGCATAATACCCTTTAGACTTCTACGAAAACTTCTCACTGGCACTGACGGTGTTATACCACGTCCGATCGTAGTTACCAGGACGTGCCCACATTTTCCACCGGTCCCATGTCGTACCACCAACTTTACCGTCCTATTCCACCTCTTCATCTCCCGTCCTCTTTCGGCTCTAAAATCATCGCATCGCGTTTTCTTCTCCATACATGCAACCACTACTACAGGTATCACTGCTAATACAAGCATTTCTAGGCGTCGAAGATACCAACAACGACATCTCCAAGTTTGTTGTCAGTCTCTACGACAAGGCGGCCGAGCAAGCATCCTCATCTGGCAATACAGCATCTGTTTTCAACACACTCCTTGCTGAGAACGGAGGAGAGTTTCCCCAGGAATTCATCAATAAAGTGATAGATCTCCTTGATGAACCTCCGCCTATCAAGCAAGAACCAACTGAAGCCTTTGATGCCTTGACTATACCCGACAAGAAGGTGGAGTTTGTGGAGCCTGATACCACGTCTTCACATCCCGTAAAAGACGAACCACAAATAAAACAACAGTACACACAAGACGACTTCTCTGAAGTTGTGCCCGGAAAAGTCTACCGGGGAGTCATAACAAACATCACCAACTTTGGGGCGTTTGTCAAAGTGAAATACTTGACAGGGTTGTGTCATATTTCCCAGCTCTCTTTCGATAACTCGGTGAGAATACGACTGCCTCACGATATAGTTAAATCCGGACAGGAAGTGCATGTCAAGGTACTTCTGATTGAAGAAGAGTCCAAGAGTAAGCGAGGCCAGCAGAAAGTCAGCCTTTCTATGAGAGGAATTGATCAATTGAGTGGTGTCGACCATAGTGAAGAGTTGGAGCGAGGCAGGCAGTTGCACCAACAACCCCATCGACCACAAAAGCGGCGGCTCACCTCGCCAGAAAAGTGGGAGATCCGCCAGATGATTGCCAGTGGTACTGCCAAAGCCGAGGACTACCCGGAGCTTAATGATTTTGAAGACCTTCAAAGTGTCTATAATGATGAGAAAGAGGTGCACCTAGAAATCGAGCTTAACTTCCAAGAACCCAACTTTTTGAAGGGACAAACCCACGATTTGGAGAGTTTGGAGCCGCCCAAGATCATCAGAAACCCCGAAGGTTCCATGCGCCGTGCAGCTTTAAAGGGATCGAGTTTGGCCAAAGAAGTCAAGGATAAGCGAGTGAAAGAACAGAGAGAAAAAGACAAAGAAGAACGGATCCAGCAGTCGAGACGACTCGAAGGTGTGGATCCCATGGGACCCACCAGTATTGACCCAAAGCTTTCACACGAACAAATTGCCCTAGAATGGCGGAACTCACAGAAAAAAGTCACTTATGGTAAGAGAACTAGCCTTTCTATGAAACAACAGCGTGAGTCGTTGCCTGTTTTCACCATGCGGGCTGAAATCGTCGACCTAGTCAACAACAACCAGTTCTTGGTGGTTGTAGGTGAGACCGGTAGTGGGAAAACTACCCAGATCGTCCAGTACCTTGCTGAAGAAGGGTTGAACATCAACTCAAAAGGACACCATAAGATCATTGGGTGTACTCAGCCGAGAAGGGTGGCAGCCCAGTCGGTGGCGAAGAGAGTAGCTGAAGAACGAGGCACAAGGCTTGGTGAGGACGTTGGTTATAATGTCCGATTCGATGACAAATCGTCTCCCTCTACCAATATCAAGTATATGACCGACGGGATGCTCCAACGAGAAGCCATCAATGACCCTGCTATGGGAAAATACTCGGTGATCATGCTAGACGAGGCCCACGAAAGGACAATTGCCACAGATGTGCTTTTTGCGTTGTTGAAGAAGGCCACGCTTGTGAACCCAGACCTAAAAGTAATTGTGACATCTGCTACGTTAGACTCCAAGAAGTTTTCCCGTTACTTCAACAACTGTCCGGTTCTCAAAATCCCTGGAAGGACTTTTCCAGTGGAAGTCCTCTACACTAAAGAGCCCGAAATGGATTACTTATCGGCAGCTTTGGATTCGGTGATCCAGATTCATGTGTCGGAGCCTGAAGGGGACATCTTGGTGTTCTTAACAGGCCAAGACGAAATTGACACTGGCTGCGAGATTCTCTACGAAAAAGCGAAGGCTTTGGGAGACACTATCCAAGAGTTAATCATCCTTCCAGTGTACTCGTCTCTTCCCAGCGAGGTGCAAAGTCGGATCTTTGAACCTACTCCCAAGGGGTCCAGAAAGGTGATCTTAGCCACCAACATTGCTGAAACTTCTATCACCATCGATGGAGTGTTCTATGTGATTGACCCTGGCTTTGTCAAAATCAATGCCTACGACCCCAAACTCGGAATGGACTCGTTAGTGGTGTCACCCATATCACAGGCCCTGGCCAACCAGAGAAGTGGGCGTGCTGGAAGAACAGGACCGGGAAAATGCTATAGACTCTACACCGAAAAGGCATATAATGAGGAAATGCTCCCCAACACCATCCCGGAGATCCAACGAACAAACTTATCTAACACGATCCTTCTCTTGAAGGCCATGGGTATCAACGACCTCATGAACTTTGAGTTTATGGATCCACCGAAAACCCACACCATGTTGAGTGCTCTACAAGAGCTTTACGTGCTAGAAGCACTAGACGATAACGGATATTTGACGCGATTGGGCAAGAAGATGTCCGACCTCCCGATGGAGCCCAAGCTCGCCAAGACCGTCATCAAGTCTATAGACTATGAGTGCTCAGAAGAGGTTTTGACAATAGTGTCGATGCTTTCGGTGCAAAATGTGTTTTACCGACCTAAACAAAAGCAGAGCCTTGCGGACCAGCGCCGGGCGCGGTTCAACCACTCGTCGGGTGACCACCTCACTCTCCTTAACGTCTACCGCTCGTGGGCTCTTAATGGATATAACCGGACGTGGTGCCAGGAGAACTTCATTCAAGAGAGAAGCATGCGTAGAGCCCAGGAAGTTAAGAGCCAGCTCTCCAAAATCATGCACAAAAATAACAGTCCGATCCTTCTGTGTGCGATGGACACCGATCGGGTACTACGGGCGTTGTGCTCGGGGTTCTTCAAGAACTCGGCCAAACGAGACCACCAAGATGGATATAAAACCCTTGTCGAAAATACACCAGTGTACTTACACCCGTCCAGTGCCCTCCAGAACAAAGATCCCGATTATGTGATATATCACACGCTTGTGCTCACTTCCCGCGAGTACATGCACTGTGCCAGCGCCATTCTTCCCCAGCAGTTGATGGAAGCAGCTCCCACGTACTTTCTGGCAGCAGACGCGGCCAACCCCAGCAAACGGCACAAAATCGTACCGCTTCATGATAAGTTTCGTACGGAGGATGCATGGCGGCTCAGCAGCCACATTAGTCACAAAAAGCTGGTGTTGGGTGATAACCGGAATAAATAGGTTATGTTGGTGTTGCGCGTAGGTTTTTTTGCAGCCATCTGCAGCCGAATATATTCAATATTTCACACTAAAAATTTTCTCCGCGATTTAAGCAAAATCACAAGAGGTGCCAAAAACGTTCATCTTAACACTGTTTATTTGTGACCATGAAAGGACTCTACTATTTCAAGGAGGCCCAGGATGCAATAAACAACCGTATCAGCTTGTACAATACCACCTCCAAGGTGTCGCTCTCGGGTGTGCGGTCCTTGCGCCATCTGTACCCTGACCTGGAGCCCATCCTCGAGGCCCCAGCAACCACTAAGAACTCCAACAGTATACTTGAATGTGAGCGTCTCTCGACCAATGAAAAGGGATACTTGGTGGACCACCACGGCCGTTTGATCACGCTAAAGGGCATCAACCTCGACAGTGCCGCCAAGTTGCCTGCTACTCCCAATATGCCCACCTATAAAGGAGACGCTACCGACACCGACAATGTGTTTTTTGATGGTGACAATGTGAGCTTTGTGGGCCGCCCGTTCCTGCTCGATGAAGCAGAACTGCATTTTCTTCGAATTAAGTCATGGGGTTACAATACCATTCGGTACATCATCACCTGGGAAGCCTTGGAGCACAAAGGTCCGGGGATTTATGACGAAGAGTTTATTGACTACACCACCAAAATTTTGGAGGTGATTCATAGTGTGGGTGGATTGTATGTTTTCATAGATGTGCACCAGGACGTATGGTCACGATTCAGTGGCGGTAGCGGGGCGCCGATGTGGACTCTATATGCTGCTGGGCTCCAGCCTAAGCGATTTTCCCAAACGGAAGCAGCGATTCTCCACAACGAGCCCCGGTTCCATCCTGATGATGATACTGACACCTTTCCGAAGATGATCTGGCCCACCAACTACAGGCGGTTGGCCTCGTTGGTGATGTTCACCATGTTTTTTTCCGGAAAGAACTACTTTCCTCAATTTAAAATCAACGGCCAGAACGTGCAGGCGTACTTACAAGGATGTTTTTTCAAGAGTATCAAGCACTTCTGGATGCGGGTTTCAAAGTCTAATCGAGAAATGATCGAGGACGGGACGTTATTTGGGTTTGAGACCGTCAATGAGCCTAATTGTGGGTTGATGGGCAACACCCATTTAGGGGAAATCCCGGCCAGTCAACAGTTGCGGGTGGGAACCACCCCCACTGTATACCAGTGTTTCAAGCTTGGGATGGGATTGCCATGTGAGGTGGATGTTTACCGGATTTCGTTGGCTGGGCCACAGAAATATGGTACCCAGTGTGTGGATCCAAATGGACAAAGAGCCTGGTTGACTATTGAAGAGGCCCATGCAATTGACGCCCGGTACGGATGGGAAAGAAGTCCCGAGTGGATCATTGGAGAGTGTGTTTTCCAGCAAATCGGGGTGTGGAGTTACAATGAGGTGGATTTTAAGTCACTTCCATCGATGAGCATCGAAGAAAAGATGCAACAGAATGCTATTTGTGAGTTACAGAAGCCCAATTTCTTCAACCAGTTTGCGGCCAAGCATAACTTCAAGATGTATAGCGGTGTAAAGCCAACAAAAATCGACATGGAGTTCTTTATCAACAACAATTTTGTTGATTTTGTCGCCAAGTTCAAGAAGACCATCCGCTCAATCACCCCAGATGTGTTTTTCATGATACAGCCGCCAGTATTAGAAATTCCACCAAACTTGAAGACGGACCCCAGAGGTATTGTGGACAAGAAAACCATCTACTGTCCTCATTACTACGATGGAATGTCTTTGATGTTCAAAACATGGAACCCCAGATACAATGTGGACACCCTTGGTATCATGAGAGGTCGCTACCTCAACCCAGTCTTGGGCATTGTTTTTGGAGAGAGAGCTATACGTAACTGTATGAAGAAACAGTTTAACGAAATGAAGAAGGAGTGTGAAGATTATTTGGGAAGCATTCCAATATTGATGTCGGAAACCGGTATGCCTTTTGACATGGACGATAAAAGAGCATATACTAATGGTCGGTATTCATCCCAGACTTTAGCATTGGATGCTTTAAGTTATGCTTTAGAGGGCCTGGCTATGTCTCATACGTACTGGTGCTATAATTCTACCAATTGCCATAAATGGGGAGACCGGTGGAATAATGAGGATTTTTCATTCTGGAGTGCTGAAGATAGAAATCTTTCGTTTACCAGTCAAACATCGTTGGGTGATATATTGACATCCAGTGTTTCCACCACTGCCTCTCTATTGAAGAACACCCGTGCGAGAAGAATCAACTCTAAGGTTCACACTTTGAAACACAAGATTAAAGGTTCCAGCGAAAAGGAGGAAATCACCCAAATAGAAGAAATTGAAGACGACAAGGGAAGCATTGAAGCTGAAGAATTTGAGGTTCTGAAGCAGAACATAGATGATGATGAAGATGACCTTAGATCCATTCAAGATGCATCTTTGATTTTCTGGACAGCAGATAACGTCAAGTACAGACACAGCAAGAAGTGCTATCCTTCCCCAGACGGAGTACGTGCGGCCGGTGCTATTATCAGACCATACGTAGTGGCATGCTGCGGAGACCTTATTGCAACCGAGTTTGATATGAGAACCGTCAGGTTCTCCTTGACGGTGTCTATCCAGAAAGGCGATACCGGCTCATGTCCTACAGTTATATACGTCCCCAAATGGCACTATCCAAAGTTGAATTACCACGATATTTACTTAAGTTCGGGTGTTGTCCGGTACAACAAAGAGTTGGAGTATTTGGAGTGGTATCACTATGAAAATGAAGACAATTCGGAAATGTCCACGCTTGTGGATGATACAGTACCAAAGGAGGAGACGATTATTATCAAGAACAATAGTGGAACCTTGGACGACATCAACCCCAAGGATGACTCTCAGAAGCAAGGCAATTGTATCATCATGTGAACAAATTATTTATAATGTACCATAGCACTAATTTTTAGAAAAAAATAGCACCAAAGTTAAAACAAACCCAATCACATAGCACCATATATTAAATACAACTGGTTCAACATTACGTATAAATAACTCAAGCTCGTAAATCAAAACTCGAGCTCGTCTCTCGTTCTCTTGGAAGCACTGGACAACTCATCTTTCACTAGTCCGTTAACAAACTTGGCAAAATAGTTCACATATGGTTTTAAGCTTGTTTTTTCGTAATCAGCTAACCTTCTATCATTAGCTTCGGAATCTGAAATATCGTACTCAGAAGCGAGAGTTTGGCTAGAGTCACTTACCCTGCGGGTGTCCCATATTTCCAATTCATCTTGCAATTTCCGCAAGTTGGGGGCATTCATTGGATTGAATCCATAGCTATCATCATCCTTATTGCCTGAGATATTGGAATGTGGGTCAAAAGGAACACATATATTCCCGGTGCTTGGGTGAATACAGAAAGGAGATTTCAACAAGTGAATCACCTGCTTGGACACCTCAATATCCAATCTGGGATACAAGTAGAAGATAATAATATCCTTTTTAGCTTCGTTCAACATATTCAACTGCACCTGATTCTTCAACAACTTTCTGGCAGTGACATTGATATCTTCCCACTTTTGCTTCGAGCTACTGGACTTGCCCTTCCACTGGCTTTGTAAGTCTTCCTGTAACGACTTTTCAGGAATGAAAGATAATAACTCGTCGATGTGTTCCTGATTGTTTCTCCAAGGATCCTGATCCTCTAAGATGATCTCGATGAAATCTCCTTTCAAGAGGTTGAACGATCTCTCAATGTGAGGATGAAAGGGCCTCTTCAAATTCAATGACTGTTTGCCCATTTTTAATTGCTTTGACCCCAAAATATCAAGGTACTCGACAATCGATCGTCTAACAGTCTCGTCCAACTCACGAGCCCTCTTATCACTTATCCAGCAATGGGCTCCTCTTCTTCCTGAGAACACCCAGATCAAGTGCTTAAAGCCAAAATCCTCTCTTAATGCAGTGTCAATGATCTTTGTAGCCACATTGATAAACTTCCAACATTTCTTGCAGATATCAGTCCCAGAACAACATGTTCTGATATCATCATAATCGGTCAAATCGATATCAAACACCAATTCCTTGGCCAACGGCTTCAAAGCATTCTTGGGCAAGTTCTTCCTTTCTTTGGGATTCACCGAGTAGACGGCACCGATCTCAAATCTGGTTGGGTTTGCCAGCACCACTGAGTTCTTGAAGTCCTCTTGCGACGTGAACGAGTTGTACCGCTGGTACGCGCCGGTTCTATGTTCGTAGGCAAATTCTCTCATGGTGAAGTCCTTGGTGGGTTTGGGCGAATGGTTCAACCACTGGAACACGTAACGGAACGGGAGGAGTCTCAGGTAGTAAAACCGCATATCTGCTTCTGAAGGCCTGTAGGATGCCATCGCTGGAGCCACGTCGTCGGAGTTGATGGCCACGTCCACAGTCATAAAGAACGTATGTATTGAATGAAATGTATTTATGTTTTCGCATCGCGACGCGTTTGCGTTTTCTAAATAGCTGCAAAAAAAACTATCAACACCTGAGTATCATGAGCAACGAATTGTAAAGTCTACTGCTCGGTAGCAAACACCAATGACACCCCCTCATCACCAGCGGTGGCAACCTTACCATCATCCAACACCGCAAAGTCTAACACTCCCATGTTATGGCCATATCCCACAAAAAGCTCTTTCATGGTACGAGCATCCCATTTGTATATACGGCCATTCATACACGAGCCAATCAACACCGGTGTGTTGGCGAGGAATTTCAACTTGGTGATAGTGTCCTCCAACTTGACTGAATTCCGTACACGCCACTGCAAAGTATCGAATAGTAACAAGTCTCCGGAAACCAACCCTACTGCCAACAAGTTGATAGAAGGAGTCTGGCACCAGCTTAGCGCCTCAACAGAAAGTTCGGCCACATCGTCAATGTTCTCCAAAGTCTTTACACTGTGCACAAGTCGACCCGTATCATAGTTGATGATGGCTAAATTACCGTCTCTAGCTCCCACGGCCATCTTGTTCTCAAACACACTGAGAGAAACCCAAGGACTTTCAACTCCCTTGAATTCATCATGAGGCAGCAACTTGTACACCACTTGGGCGGTAAAACAGTTCCAACTGATGACTGAACCGTCCTCTGACACCGTTACAAGAAAAAGTTCTTCTGTCCCCTTATCGATAAAGTCTCCAGCATTACACTCCAACGTATGCAGAAATCCAGACATTACTTGGACTAACCCTCCATCAATCTGGTACACCCATACGGACCCGTCAGTGGCACCGAATGCAAAATATGGTAATCTAGGGTGAACCCTGACCCATAATACTTCTTCGACTTCTTGTAACTCACCAAATTTGATCCATCTTTGGCCCCCTTTACTGCTCTTGTGCACCTGGATGAACCCATTCATGTCAGCCGTCACCACGTACTTCCCGTCGCTGGTGAAACCTCCTGCAACCACAGACTCTTTATGACCACTCAATTCTCCTACAAATCTGGGAGGTTGTGTATGGGTCGTCCACAAATATGCTGTGTTGTCACCCCCACCGGTCACCACCATGGGTAACGTTGGGTGACGGAATATTGTGAAAATCGAGTCTTTGTGCTGGTCGAAATACGTCCAGGAGTTGTTGGATAAGTCTATCGTAATGTCCTGCTCCATATCGATATCTTCGTCATCTTCATCATCTGGTGGTGGAAGGTTGGTGTCATCAGGCACCTCTTCGCCCACTTCTTCGGCACGAAGAAACTCTTCTTCAGGCTCTTCTTCGTTTATGTATTCCTGTGGTGCAGACATTGGTTTTGCAGTATTACAAATCGTTTTTGTTTCTTGGGATGAGATTCAAAAGTCGCAAATTTTTTTTGAAATGTGTCAGGTCTAACAACTTACACACAAACATAGTTTATGGTGCAAAAGTCACCTGTATTTATTCTAGCATAATTTTCCTTAAAGACTGGAACAGGGAACAAACACCATACCACAGCCTTAATTGTCCTCCGCCCCCTATTTCACAGTTTTATATTCCCTCTTCCAATGGCCCAGTGGATTTCCACGTTTCCAGGATACAACTGGCTTCTCACCAAGGTCAAAAAGTCTTTTGGCGCTGTTGTCCGTGAAGGGCCCATTCCTCGTCACGTGGGCATTATAATGGACGGCAACCGTCGATATGCCCGTACCCACAACATCGAATTGAAAGAAGGCCATAGCCTTGGATTTGAGAGTATGGCCAGCGTATTGGAATTGCTATATGAATGTGGCGTAGAGCATGCCACCGTTTACGCATTTTCGATCGAGAACTTCAAGAGATCTAGCTATGAAGTCAAGTGGTTGATGGACTTGGCCAAGCTGAAGTTTAAACAAGTCACTCAGCATGGGGAATTGTGTGAAGAGTATGGGGTAAGAATCCGCATCTTGGGTAACACTGCACTTCTCCCCCCCGATGTCCGCAAAGTGTTGAACGAAACTGAACAAATCACCAAAAACAATAAGAGAGCCACTTTGAATGTGTGCTTTCCGTACACCTCGCGGGACGAAATAACTCACCTGATCAAGTGCATTGTCAATGAGTCGATCAAACAAAACGACTTTATAATAGATCAATCCACCATCGACAAGTTCCTCTACACGCGGGACTCACCGCCATTGGACTTGATGATCCGAACATCGGGAACATACAGACTTTCGGACTTTTTACTCTGGCAAGTGGTGTCGTCCGACTGTGCTGTGGTGATGGTGGAGACGTTGTGGCCTGAGTTCACCCCGTATCACATGGCTAAGATACTACTCAACTGGGGATTCAACAAGTACTGGTACGGCAGTCCTCAGGGGTATCGTGCGCGCGGCCAGCCGTTGCCTCGCCAATATTTCGAGAATGAAGACGAAGATGAAGGTGAAGATGAGGATATCGAAGACCAGGAAAGCTCCGATCGCGACTTGGACAGCTTGATCAATGACGAAGACGATACGATGACTTCACAGGACTCAAGCGACAAGGAACAAAAGTGACCCAGTCACCGACTACTATAGCACTTTGAAAACGTTTATAGCACTTATCATCAAGTATTCTATCTAACATTAAAGCACAAAATTGAGTCGTGAGCCTTCGCGGTGAAATTTTTCACTGAGTCATATCGACATTCTTATCGACATTGACCATGGATTTAGTTAACCATTTGCCAGACCGGTTGTTGTTTGCCGTCCCCAAGAGTACGTATTAGTAGTGAATAAAGAGTGGGAATTATATTTCCAGTCTTCCGATAGTTGAACAAGTACTAACTATAGTAGAGGGAAGATTATATGAAAAATGCTGTGAATTGTTGAAGGGAAGTGACATCCAGTTCAGACGTTCCAGCAGATTGGACATCGCCTTGTGTACCAACTTGCCCATCGCCTTGATTTTCTTACCAGCAGCCGATATCCCTATTTTCGTGGGAGAAGGTAACTGTGACTTGGGAATCACCGGGTTAGACCAGATACAAGAAGCTGATATGTACGATCAAATCACCGACTTGTTGGACTTGCAATTTGGCAAGTGTAAATTACAGCTCCAGGTTCCTGCTGATGGGCCTTACACCAAACCTGAGCAATTGGTTGGTAAAAAGATTGTTTCTTCATTTACGAAATTGGCAGGAGATTTTTTCAAAGATTTGGAAGGTAAAGACACTTTAAGCACACATCTCAGGTATGTGGGAGGATCTGTCGAGGCTTCATGTGCGTTGGGAGTTGCTGATGGGATTGTGGATTTGGTGGAGAGTGGTGAAACCATGAGAGCTGCTGGATTAAAGGCTATTACCACATTGTTGGAAACCAGCGCACACTTGATCTGTGCCAAAGAACCCAAATTCCCTGATATAGTGAACGTAGTGAAGCAAAGAATTGAGGGTATTTTGGCTGCTCAAAGATATGTGTTGTGTAACTATAATACTCCTAGAAGCTTGTTGTCGGAGGTTTTGAAGATAACTCCTGGTAGAAGGTCTGCTACTGTTTCGGCTTTGGAAAAGAAAGAGTTTGAAGTTGAAGAGTGGGTGGCTGTGTCGGCAATGGTCGAGAAAGCAGAAACTGGGAACATTATGGATGCCTTGAAGAAGATTGGTGCCTCTGATATTTTGGTGTTTGACATTGGAAACTGTAGAGTGTGATAGAAATAGACGTTTGAGTAGTTGGGTGTAGAAAGTGTAGAAAGTGTTGTGAAGATGGAAGTGAAGGGTGGTTTGTCTTGTTCGTGTCTCACAGTAGGGCTTAATTGTATCCCAGTATTTACCCAAACTGAACTGGTTACATCATTTGAATACTTGTGCTCTCTGCTCTTTGTGCTCTCTTTCGTATTATTTCCTAAAATTCTAATGGCTGCAAAATTCGCAGAATCAGCATAACTATAAGCCTCACCACCATAACACTGCAAGTACATAAAAATCCTCCAAAATCGTACAACCTTTCTTTTGCTAAAGTAGCTATGCTCCACCAGTTCCCACTCGAAGTCAACATATATATTCTCGAGCAATTAACTCCAGCAGAATTGTACTACGTGCTTCAAGTGTATAAGCATGAGCCAAGCGTGGTATACGCGATATCGTACTGCTGGTGTTCCTACCAGCAAAAACAAGCAAAATCGCTCTCTCACGAGTTGGTAGACTACTTGGGTCATGAATTATTGAACAAGAACGGGTTGAAGTGTTTTCTGACGTACCCCAAGAAGTTAGCACAACTCACGAGATCATTATCCAACCTTCAAGTTCAGGCGGATCAGCACAAAGAAAACGCCCGCACCAACCACAACAACATGTACACTCACATTTATGGCAATCCAGTCACTTGGGGAATCGGTATCTTGAAGGAGTTTGGGCAGAGTAACTCGCCCAAAAGTTTAGCTGGCCAAAGCATTCATTTGAAGGGGGACCTCACGGACTATTACTGGGCTCTAAAAGATTTTGCATCAAGTGTACCGGCTCAATATTCCCAATTAGGAATTCGGTTGATACATACGTTCAGTGTGGGCAGTATTGAGAGCTGTACTTTCCCCCAAGGTCCTTATTTCACTATTCATCTCCACTCCACTCATCGCGGGGTCAATGTCTTCAAAGAACTCGAAGAAATTAGCTTCTGGCACACAGTAATATACGAATGTAACGTGCCCACGAGCTATCACACACTTGTATGGTCCACCATGTTTGAACGAGTCCATACACTCCAAATAAGGTGTGCTAACATTCGATTTGCAGCCAATCCGTGTGTACAAAAACTCACCGTTTGCAGCAATTACATCTCCAACTTTTATTTTGTGGACGCCCCACAAGTATATTTACGATACGCGGTCCTCAAGGAAGAGGAAGCACAACAGCTTGGTTCACCCGTGTCGGTAGTACACCTCTACCAGTGTCTTTGTTACTGGGACATTGACAAAATACTGTTGAACATGAGGTACGCTCAGTGCATGAAAGGCACTTTTAAAGACCTGTTCCACCATCAGAAGATGTTTTTACACGGGAAGGCGTTTAGGAACGGATATGTAGCGACCGTTGAAGGCATGCACTATCTTTATCCATTTGAAGGCGAAGCGAACGCATCGGAGGTGGAGGCGCAGAGCCTAGATGAGCAGAGCCTAAATGAGCAGAACCAGGCAGGCGAGGCGAGCGACAGCTCGGCCGTAGTTGGCGCGCCGGCTCGCGAGGCGGGAAGGGAAAACTCTGCCCGCCGACTGGCGATGCGAAAAACTCGGCTCGACCAGGCGATGGCGTGGCATCGCCTAGGACCTCGTACCAAGAAACACAGAAAATTAGTGGGCGCCCACGGTCCACCAACCAACCGTAGTCTCACGTGACTGTGGTTCCTGGAATCGGGGCTTCTGGACCCACCCCAGTAGTTAGTTTACCCGCACGATGCTTCCTAAACAAGGTTTAAGCATCCACCATTCCGGTTTGCGCTCTCACTACATTTTTCACTGCGACCTGGTGTCAACATGTGATGTATCCGTTGTCCCATAGCCACCTATTTCCTGTTTGTGGTGGGATTGATATCTCATACCTTTGCTATACATGTACACATCTCCCAATCCCGTCTCTACCTGTGGCCCGCCTGAAGGCCGAACTAACGTATCTTCCTGCACTTCGAGTTTTGTTTACCTCAATTTTTTCTTTTTTTTTTCTTCGGAATGGTCTTTTTTTAACTCTTTGTTTGGATTCTCAACTTTTGATCCAATCCTTTTCTTTGCTCTTTGATCTCACACATACCTTGCACAGGTAAAACCCCGGTTTAGCAACCTCATCCCATCCCAATCGTTACCTCATCCACTGTTCAGGTCTCTGTTCAGCTTCTTTATTCTGCATTTTCCAAATCCGCCTGAATCAATTTCCTGCTAAATCCCTTAGTTTTGACCAGTCCACAAACATACGGTCATCCCACCCTCAAAATGCTCCAGCTTGCCCAGACTCTCGCTTTGAGCTTGCTCCTTCTACCCACACACGCTGCCTTCTCGCTGTACGGGTGTTTTCCCAAGAGCAGTGTCGAATCACTTTTGACCTACGGCGATGAATACACGTTCCAGAGCTCGGGCCATTGTGAAGGTATTTGTTCAGGCTCCCGGTACGCGGCGTTGATCGAGGGGCTGACGTGCTACTGCGGCAGCATCGAGATCGATTCTTCCGACGAGGTGTCGTCTTCCAACTGTGATACAACCTGTCAGGGCTATGGATCTGAAAATTGCGGTGGATCCGACTATTTCTTGATCTACGAAGACGCCTCGGTGCTGGCCCTGGCTGTGGCCCTGTCGTCGTCGACGGCTCAGTCCTCGTCCACGTCGAGTTCGTCCCTGTCGTCTAAGACATCCTCAACCCACAAAACCACTTCCACTGAAGCCTCTTTTTCCACCGACGTTGAATCGAGTACCACCAGCGAAGCAGACGACGAAAGTTCCTCTGCATCCAGCACCGACAATACGTCACAGGTAGTATCGACGGTGACCAGTGACTCGAAGCCTTCGGAAGTCACCATCACCAAGACCAAGGATTCTGAATCCTCGCCCACTGCCAGTACTAGCGATTCAGGCTCCTCCAGCGCATCTGCTACTGGTCACTCCGACGATACTAGCAAAAGCTCATCGGGCTCGAGCAAAAAAAGTCTTTCTGGTGGTGCCATTGGTGGTATCGTGGTGGGTGTCGTGGGAGGTATCGGTCTCTTGGCCGGGTTACTCTTTTTCCTCTGGTACAGAAGAAGACACTCGGACGACGACGAAGACGATTTCGAAAAGGACGCTGAAGGATTTCACGCAGTGCCGCCTTTGAACCGAACTGGTGGTAAGAGTGAATATAACGTCACCCCTAACCTGTTTGTGGGTAAAAAGCCTACGATCAAATCTGAGCATACAAAACAACAAAGCCTTAATAACAACTCGTTTGGCTCAAACGACGAGTACTTTATGTTTGAAGATGCCCGAGTTGCAAGTGTCGGACATGGACAAGGTGCAGGTGTGCTTCCATACCCAACCGAAGATTACGGACGAAGAAGACTAAGCGACGGGTCTTTACCCGATATGATCACCAAGGGATCTCTAAAAGTTGTGAATAATTGATAGATCCAGTAATGAATTAAGTTTCAGTAATAAAATAAATATATACCCCTCGATGCAGTCGCTCGCGCCCGATCCCATGCAGTTCTTACTAAGGCACTGTTCGCTTGCAGGAGGTTATTACCAAATGGGGATACAATGACCGCACAATCTCCAGTAAACAATATAGCAAACATAGGGGATTGGATAAGTCCTATAGACTGGTACTATCATATTCTTAGCACATCCCTATATAATAGTACCAATTTTTCCCTTCTCATTCGTCTATAAACTGTCGTTACATAAATACCAACAAGGGAAATTTAAGACAATAGTCTTTACGCGGTGTTTTGTTTGGGCTGAAAACCGTGTAGTATTTCAGATAAGTACAGTACCATCCATGAGTGTCGCATTCTTCCATTCTTTGTTCGCTGAGTGCTGAAATGTCGCCTCACCTCAAACTTTTTTCGTAATTTGATATGGCATAAATGAAATAATTTTAAAAATTGAAAAAAAGTCACGTTCGAAAGTAAGCAAACTGTCTTGTTGACAGATTTTGTCAAGGTGTCTTGAACACCGCGTCTCACCTAAAAAATCCATCGCTGACAGCGTTTGATGTTGATGTTAAACTCAGTTTCATCAACGAATACACAGTATTTAGAGTAGTCTACATTCATCTCTTTGGTCCTTAGATGAGCTTGAATTTCTCCTCTTTGTTTTCAAATAGAGTTTCTGCAGTTCCTCCATTCATAATTTTATCACAGCATTGACATATTCCTTCCACAGGCTTACTACGGAACTCAAAGTAACACGGTTGCAAACTTGCTCAGTTTGCCGTCACGAATCTCATTGTCGCGCTCGCACCTGAATAGGGCTCCAGCCACAACCACTACCAACACCCGCGCATAGGTACGTGCCGAACCCAATTGTACTCATTTGCTAGGCACGACCGCTTCTCACTGTGCGTTCAACTATACCTGAAAAAAATTTTCATAAAGTTTTCCATACTAATTAAAGAAGTTAATCATGTCTTCAGGTAACAAATTTCGTATGAGTGTATGTATACTCCCCTTCTTCATATGAACAAGCGAACATGTACATTCGAGATTACTGTCTCTCCCGTGTCCCCAATCTCGAAACCCCCATCGTTTCCCAGCTTCGAATACCGAGCTGATCATCCACCAAATTGTCATAATGAGTTATGACATCGATAATAACAATCATCATCCAAAAGTCACAGAGAGCTGTCTTCTGACCCAACAGTTGCAAGTATCCCCACCACAGTCTTCTATAGATTGTCATTTTCCGTGCATAATGTTCAATAATTCTTTTCCAATACTAACATAATCTAGTTGGGTTTGCCAGTCGGTGCCGTTTTAAACTGTTGTGACAACTCCGGTGCTAGAAACTTGTACATCTTGGCCGTCAAAGGATTCGGTGCTAAATTGAACAGATTGCCCGCTGCCTCTGCTGGTGATATGGTCATGGCTACCGTCAAGAAGGGTAAGCCAGAATTAAGAAAGAAGGTTATGCCAGCTATTGTTGTCAGACAATCTAGACCATGGAGAAGAAAGGATGGTGTCTACTTGTACTTTGAAGACAATGCCGGTGTCATTGTGAACCCTAAGGGAGAAATGAAGGGTTCTGCCATTACTGGACCTGTTGCTAAAGAATGTGCTGACTTGTGGCCACGTATTGCTTCTAACTCGGGTGTGGTTGTTTAAATAATTACCTTTTATACACAAGAACGAAATCCGAATTATATAAATGTACATTTAGCATTAATTTATAATCACTTTGAAATTTATTTTGTCTATAGACAATTTTGTCTCACCTCACTATATGCTGAGTTGAGATATTTGGTGTTCAAATGCTTGAGGTTGTTCCTTGATACTCGCTTCACTCTTATTATCCTTCAAAGTAGCATCCGTTGTATCAGTGGTCACATCAGGCTTGGAGATGTGGCCGTTTTTTTCGTCTTGATCCAAATGTTGGCCATTTTGGTGAGTTTCATCACCATTTTGATGGTGCTGAGGTTCACCATGTCCATTGAGATCATTTTCGGTGGGATAAGGTAACTGGCCTCCAAAAGCATAGTCTCCCTTTAAGGCTTGACCCTGCTGAGCCGGTACTGGCTGCCCTTGGCCCTGGCCCGGCTGGATGAAGAAATACCCTTGGTTAGCCTGTGGTGAAGAAGCGAATTGGGGCTGCGGTGAAGACGGGAATTGAGGTTGTGGTGAGGCAGGAAAGTACTGAGGCTGAGGTCCCTGGTTGGGTTGCTGAGTAATGGTATAATACTGCTGCTGGATAGGATCATAAAACTGCTGCACTTGTTGACCATTAGCATTCATGTAGTAACCTTGTTGAAAATTAATAAAGTTTGGAGGTAATCCAATTATACCATTTCCTTTGGACTGTTGAATCTGTTGAGGCTGTTGAGGAGTAGGTTGCTGTATATGCGTAGAAGGAATCTGGTATTGAAGGCTTCTCGACTGACCCATGTTTTGGGAGTCATGGGTGGGAATAGCTTCAACTGGTTGCGGCTGCGAAAGAATTGGTTGAATTTGGTAGAACCCTTCAGTACCTGGTTGTGTAGAAGGATGGGGTTGCTGCTGTGGTTGCACATAAGGAGTAGAAGTCAATGGTGTTTGCGAATGAGACTGTCTCTCGTTGGTATCTACTGGGGTCAAAATTGTTCCATCACTGTTGATCAAGTGGTTTAACTTGGGGCTTTTCACTTGGCTGGTATTGGAAAAGGTTGAGCTTAACTGGTTGTTCTCCGTGTTGGTGGTACCGGTGATCCTAGTTTTATTGGATTCCACCGTCTTTAGGGACTTGGCATGAGTACCATTGGTAACGATACTTGAAGCCCGAGAAACCTTCGATTGAATTCTCACCAAGTTTGGATTAGTGTTATTCAAATTCAACCTCTTACTCAAGAACCGGGCCCTAGCAGCCGCGTTGGGCAAACTGACCAAATTATTGATATCGTTGTACCATCCAATCATATTTTCGTAGCTATCAGTTTTGAATGCCCAGGTCTGACTTCTGTGAATGATTCCGTTGGGTTTCGAGCTCAATATGAACTTATAGCTGTTATCAGACTTGCCATTGTTCTTAGTGTGATCATTGACTTGAAAATTATCCAACAGAATGGAGGTAACTGGAGTCTGATCTTTTTTTCTATCGGAGGTCTTAAACTCATGAATGAAGTTGCACGTCAACACATACCAACCTCTGGAGTAACTCTTCAAGAACTTCGACTTTCTCTCCAAGTAGCCTTCACGCACAGACATGTTCAATGGCGAGCTGTAGTTGTTTATAGTCAAGTCGCTGAACTTTCTCGAGTGGAAGTTCAAGTCAATAAACGTACCATTTTTGATGGACGAGTTCGAGTTCCCCACGGCATTGACCGAGATGGAAGGAGAGGGTAAATTTTTGGCGATAAACGAATCCCACTCAAAAGTGCTTTCTTTGGCCAAAAAGCCGTTATTCAAGTTGGGCAACAAAAAGTTGGAAAAAGAAGCATGCTCAGCAGATAACATGTTCAAAAAATTCCCCCAGTAATTCTGGAGTTCAATGACAATGATACTTTCTAATTTGCGACCACTCTCTTGCAAATTCTCGTAGGCCTGGTGCAAGTAGTTCTCTTCCTGCAACTGCTTTTTCAACTGTCTGTCCAACTTTATCTTCACAAGGTATGGATCGTATTTGAACAGCTCAGCCGCATCCCCCGAATGATGAACCGAGCCGTGTTCCAACTTACTGGAAATATCAACCGCCTGGTAGTACTGGTTGAGCAAATTCTTGGTCTCATTAACTTCTTTGCTCAAGTTGTTCTTGAAGTCGTTCTGCAAGTTTTTGATCTCCTTTATCTTCATCAACAAGTCTTTTCTCAACTCCTCCAACTTGGGGACAATCACGGTGGTGATCTCCTTTAAGGTCTTGTTGGTGGTTGCAACGTTCTGTTGGTGGTACTTGGTTAAAATGGTGGGCAAGTCTTGGATAGACCCGTTACCGATAGGTAAGAAATACCGGTTTATTTCACTGATATCCACCTCTTTATTGGAGGAGGTGGGACCCGAACGATGTGCTGACCCGTGGGAGTGGCCATGGGCGTCGGCCTGGGAACCTGCCGTGACAGCTATTGATTTAGCACTGATACCTACCGCCTGTTGCAAACGGATTTGCTGACGAACAATCTCCTCTTGCACGGAAGCATACTCGCGCAAGTAGCTCACGAGATCCTTGATGATGTATCGCCATGCCTGGAATCGATTGGCGAGGACTTCTGTCGGATAGTCATCAGCTGATGTAAATTGATATGGTATAGTAACGGCTAAAGGGTTACTGTGATCAGATTTCGTGACCATTGGAAGTACCCGTGTTAAGTAAAAGGAACGAGATATAAAGCACTACGAGTATGTGTCAGCGCTTAAGAGAACCTCTGGTGGGGGTTTACAGGGGTAGTTGGGGGTTGGTCAACAATATAAGGGTTTTGCGGGTGGTAAAGTTTCCCTTTGTTTCTCACCCACAATTGTTTCCGCCAGCAACTTGTGCCAGTGCGCACACCAAAAACATGAAATTGTGCGCGGTGTTTGCGAACCTTAAAGCTATGCCTCCTAGTGGTAATAGCTCCAGTACCAACAAGCACCGCCCCAAACTGGGTCATGATCACAGTCATAGCAACAGTAGTGATGAAGTACACCATCTAGGACCTGCCGTGCCCGTTACAACCACTCCTCCGGCTCCACCGGTCATAGATGTTGATGCTCATCACCTGGATGTGCAACTGTCCCCGTATCTAATCAACCTTAGTGAAGATGATGACGATGACGATATCAAGCTCTTGGAGATCCGGAACGACACCAATGATCTACTCAACAACACCCACCCGCTTGTCACCAAGAAACTCAGCGATGTCCAGTGTCCTATTTGCTTTGACGATATCACCAAAGCCACCGCCACCTCGTGCGGACACATCTTCTGCCTCGAATGTATCCAGAAGAGTGTCGCCAGTTCGAACGCCAGAGGTCAGACGAGGGGGAAGCGAGGTGTGGGGTTGTGTCCTTTGTGTCGGAAACGAGTAGTGTTTAAGGATACGGTGGTGATGAGGATGAAGGTGAGAATGAAGCAAGTGAAGCCTCCACCAGTTTAATGATAACGAGAGATAACGAGATATAATGACCAATAGAGAGATACAGACCACGAAGTAGATAATGAAGCTTTGAGGTATTGATCTGATCTAGCGATGTGTATACCATTTTGCATACCATTGTGATTACCAGCATATTACCTTCATGCCCAAAACATGACCTACAACACCCACATACATACCATTTGCAGAACTACCATGTATATATGTTCATTATACTACACACCTATAAGTATAACCCTTCAAGGTTCTCTTCCACTTTGTTCTTCAACACTCTCTCCTTGGCCTGCTTGAAGTCCTCGGCCGTTACTTGCATTCTTCTTTCTCTCAACGCCAACAACCCTGCCTCAGTACACATAGCTTTGATGTCTGCTCCTGATAAATCGTCTTTAGATGTCACCAACTCTTCCAAGTTGACATCTTTTGACAAACTCATTCTAGAGGCGTGAATCGTCAAAATCTTCTTTTTGGTATTGGCATCGGGGTTCTCGAATAAGATCTTACGGTCGATTCTTCCTGGTCTAATCAATGCCGGATCTAATGATTCTATTTTATTTGTGGCCATTATCACCTTAATATCTCCTCTATCATCAAACCCATCCAATTGGTTTAATAATTCCAACATGGTTCTCTGGATTTCTCTTTCTCCTCCCGACGAAGATTCGTATCTCTTGGTACCAATGGCATCAATTTCATCAATAAACACAATCGAAGGGGCATGTTCTGCTGCCACCTGGAAAATCTGCCGGACCAAACGGGGCCCGTCACCCAAATACTTTTGAATCAATTCAGATCCCACTATTCTTAAAAAGGTTGCACTGGTTTGGTTAGCCACCGCTTTGGCCAACAAGGTTTTACCGGTACCGGGGGCTCCGTACAATATAACACCTTTAGGGGGCTTGATTCCCATTTCTTCGTAGAGTTCGGGATGCGTTAAGGGTAATTCCACTGCTTCTTTGATTTCTTGGATTTGTGCTTCTAATCCACCAATATCAGCATATGTTTCAGTGGGCGATTTGTCCAACTTCATCACAGACACCATTGGGTCGGCATCGTCTTGTAACACTCCCACGATGGCCACCGTTTTGTGATGCAACAACACGGTACACCCGGGTTCCAAGAGACCTTTATCCACAAACGACATGATCGAAACATAGTATTCGGAACCAGCAGTGGATGAAACGATAGCATGATCATCATCGATGATTTCTTCCAAGTTCCCAACACTCATAGGATATCCTCTCAACTCATCCAAGTTCTCTCTTTCTTCAGCTTGTTTGGCTTCGGTTGGTTGTAATGATTCTTGGTTGGTGACAAACTCTTCTTCCAATAACAAGTGATCTTTAATTCTCTCCAATTTCAACAATTTCAATCTGCATCTGGTGGAGGGATGAACAGAGGGCAACTTGATGGCGGTATCAGGCCCCTTTCTTCTTTTCTTCCCGAACCTGGCCTCAACTGGAGGCTCATATTTAGGTTTCTCTTTCTTCTTATCATCCTTCTTCTTGTTGAAGCCATCGCCTCCTTGCATTCCAGAAGGTGCTTGTCCCTGTCAATTGTTAGTATCATCGAATGAGCAACACTTCTTATTCACAGCAGTCCTATTAGATGCCATAAATTCAGCTTCTACATACCATTTTGAATGATGAATTGTGAGTAACAAGTAGTTGATTTAGATTGAGAATCGCCACCGACGTTCGCGAAAGTGAAACCAAATATTTTGTGTTTGCTCGCACAGCGTGTAGAGGTGTATGAGTTTGTGTTTATAGACAATTGAGAAGGACGGGCTGGTGAAAAAGGGACGGGGACCGGTAGGCTATGAATCCTGTTTAACGTCAATGATACGTGATTTGGCTATACTCTATGGACTTACTTATGCTTCCTTCTTCATCAAATCAACGCCAGTATAGGTTTTGATTGAATCGATAATGGCCTTCAAGTTGGCACCAACAACCGTCGATGCAACCTCTCCGTCCTTGTAGAACTTGATGGTGGGCATGGCGGTGATGCCATATTCTTTGGCGATTTCGGCCTGTTGGTCAACATCTACCCTCAAGAAGCTGGCCTGTGGGACTCTTTCGCTCAACTTCTCCATGACGGGCTCGATGGCTTTGCATGGCCCACACCATGTGGCATAGAAGTCAACGATGGCCACCTTGTCGTCTGCAATGAGATCTTTGAATTGGTTGACGGATGTGACTTCCTCAACGGCCCTCAAGGTCGAGGTGTACGAGAAGGCCCTTCTGGTGGGCATGTAGATGTTTTTGAGACCGCGAGGAGCAGTTTTGCCTAGCTTTAAAGTGTTCATTGCACAGAAAGGTTTATGTGGTGTAAATATGAATCGGCAGAATTGATGACTTTGGTATGAGACTTTAGTAATCGAGTGGGTCGTGCGCACTCCATGGCTGCAATTGGGAGGGAGAGCGTTGAGTGAATGAAGATGAGGTTTGTGGATCAGTTGCAAGGAGCTTGGGGTCGGGTATGCAGATCTCATTTTGTGGACACTTGGAGACAGGCTTGATGAGGACTTTTTGTTTGGGCTTTGTAAGTATTCTGCCAGTGTGTAAATAGTCTTTGTTGGTGAAAATTATGAAAGTGGTACATTCTGAAAATAAATTTCAAATGGATCCAAAATTCCCCAAAAATTACTAGCACCGCTACAGTACATAAAGCAACACAACCATTGTCACACATCAGCACTCAACCCCAAATTTGTTCCCCTAACTTAAACATATTTCTAATCGTCTCCAGATATTTTCTCAGTTCTCACAGGAATCCATCTCATCAAATTTTTTTCTGCAACTTTTCAACTGTTTCCACTAATAATATGGCAGTAAAAAATAGAGGTATCAAGAGAGCTTCTGAAGCCACCAGCAAACAGCTGAAGAAGGCAAAAATCGTTCAGGCCGAAAGCCAAAGCGAGTCTGAGGTTTCCAGTCAGGAAGAATCTGATGCTAGTAGCGAGAGCTCATCCGATGAGTTAGATCAAAGCGAAGATGAATTAGACCAAAGTGAAGACCAACTTGACCAAAGCGCAGATGAACTCGACCAGAGCGAGGATGGACTTGATGGGAGTGATGACGAAGACAAAGAAAATATCACCGACCCCAACAAAAAGTCTTCTAAAGAACAACACGCCGAGCAGCGTAAAATGTTAGCAGAGCGAAAATTGAAGAGAAAATCCGGAATACAGGTACAACAGATCAAAAGCTTATGGGAGAGATTGAGAGTCAACAAGCCCACCCCGGCCAAGGAAATCAGAGACAAATTGAGCAACGAAATATGGGAATTATCCAAGGATTGCATACCTGACTTGGTGATGAAACACGATTCGTCTCGTGTGGTGCAGACATTGGTAAAGTACTCGTCCAAAGAAAGAAGGGATCTTATCGTCAGGTCCTTGAGAGGATCATTCTACGTGTTGGCCACTTCTGCTTACGGTAAATACTTGATGATCAAATTGTTGCATTACGGATCCAAAGAGTCTCGCGGATTGATTGTCGATGAGCTCCACGGAAAGTTGAGAAAGTTGATGAGACATAGAGAAGGTGCTTATGTGGTTGAAGATTTGTTTGTCTTGTACTCCAATGCTGAGCAGAAGCAACAAATGATCAGAGAGTTCTGGGGTGCTGAGTATGCGGTGTTCAAGGAATCTGGTAAAGGTAAGTCTGTTCTCGACATTGTTAACGAGTCTACCGAGAAGAAACAATTGATATTGACTAATTTGAGTGGTACTATCACCGCTTCCGTCGAAAAGGGTTCTACCGGGTTCCAGATCTTACATGCCGCTATGAAGGAGTATGTTTCTATATTGGTGTCAGATTTGGACCAGTATGATACTCAAATCAGAGAGTTTGAAGAATTGCTCGGTGAGCAGTTTGCGGAGTTGGTTCATACGCGGGAAGGAAGTGAGGTTGCGTGTTGGTTGATTGCCATTGCTAATGCCAAGGAAAGAAGAAACTTGATGAGATCTTTGAAGAAACACGGAAAGGAGTTGATCAAAAATGAATACGGTAACTTGGTGTTAATCACTTTGTTCTTGACCGTCGATGATACGGTCTCCTTGCACAAAAACTTTGACAATGAGTTATTCACTCCTGAGTTATTGCCTGAAGTGTTACAAGAAAAATTCAGCAGAAGGCCGTTATTGTACTTGTTGAAGGGTTTGGACGGGAAATATTTCAATCCGCTTGTCAAGAAGGAATTGCTCAAATACGAAGAATTGGCATATAAGAAAACTTCCAAGAAACCCCAAGAACAAAGAAGAGCAGAGTTGGTCGAGAAGGCTTTACCTCAAGTCTACAAGAACTTGTTGGAAGTCATCAAGGTTGATGAAAATGCATTTGTCAATCAAGTACTTTCTGCGAACTTGGGAGCTCAAACCTTGGCCGAGCTCATTTTAACTCCATCTGCCAACGAAGAAATAAATACTACCTTAAGACCCAAGTTGATCGATGTGATATTCAACAGTGTTATCAAGGGTGATGTATTAGAGGACTACCACTTGCTCAACAAAATCCCATTCATATCCAGATTGATCAAATTGTTGACTCATGGTAATGAGTTCAAGTTCGATTCAGAAAAGAAGAAATTAACCCAATTGAAATCAGAAACTCCACTCCCTGGGACTGGAAAGGAGTTTTCTATCAGAGTGTTGGATGAAATCGTTGAGAACGGCAAGTTGGCCGATTGGTGTACTGGACAAGGATCTTTCATTGTGCTTTCTGTATACGAGGTGCTTGAGACTCTGAAGGAGACCGAAAAGTTGAAAGAGTTGAAGAAACACTTGAAGAAGATCAAGAAACAATTAGCTGACGATAAGGGTAATAAAGGTGCACAAATCATCTTAAAGATTCTTAATTAAATTAACTAAACTGTATAGAAATTAAATGGTATTAATGCATATTATTTTGTTCATAGCTATAGTTCCATGGCTTCGTCAAGATCATCAAAGTCTTCCATATCCTCAAGACCGCCGTCTTCATCAAATACTTGGTCATTATCATATTCATCAAAGCTTCGGGCTTCATCTTCGTCTGACGCATATTGTTCCAGCTCATCTCCCGACTTTTCAGCTTCTTCAGTCTTTTCATCGTAGCTGTGTTCGTCATCAAGCTCTTCATCCGCCAGTTCATACTCCACCATAATGGCATCCTGATCGACGTCCTCATCTTCTCCGTATCTTTTAAACCACTGCAATTTGGTGCTACACCGAAGACAGTTCTCGTTACCATCAGAAGACTCAATTGCGTTGAACGATGAAGCAATACAGATGTAACAGTATTTGTGTCCGCAGTTGGTGATATAGGCATTCGTCACCATACATGGAAGAGAAGCCATTTTCTTCTCTCCTGCCATTACAGCTCTATCCTTTTTATCTCGGCAAATGGCACATTGGGATATGGGCAACGTAGCATACGGAGAAACAGCCTCATCAACGTTATCTTTGTATGGCATTAACAATCTCTTGGACATATGCTTAAGTTTTTTCAATTGCAACAAGGGAAGAATGAACACCAAGAACTCAGTCATCACATTCCACACCAATTGTCTGTTTTGAAACTCAAAGTTAACATTATCTCCGGTGAACTTGAGTAAGTCAGTTACAATTGGAGTGAGACTTATACCTAAAACTCGGTGCACCAAAGTAGGGTACCTCCCATTTACCAAGAATAGTGTGAAGTTCAACAAGTTGAGGATTCTTAAACTATTGTTCACTTTAGATAGTATAGCATCCTTATGACGAATCACATATGCCTTCAACGCAGCAAACCCCTTGAAGTTGACATTGGTGTCATCAGCCTGTTCGCTGGTAGCGTACAAATATGACTGAAACTTGCTGAACAAATAGTCACTCACAATGAGGGCAAGCAATAAACTACGTTTGGTGTAACCGATCTTCCTGCCGTTTCGCAAGTTGACCAACTTGAGGTTTTGAAGCGATAACCCGTAAGAAGAGCCGGTCTTCCAAACTGTCAACTTAAATACCCAAATGTTCAAAATCAAATCCCATAATTCAGGATGCTGATCGTAGGCCCACCAGCTATTATTATGGAATTGAAAAACAGACACCAAGTTTTGCTTTAGAAGTGTAAGGAGCTCGGAGTCCAAGATGTAAGCATCTAGCTGTGATACTCGAGGTGATGGATACGATACAGGAATCATATCAACGGTAACCCTGTTAATTCGACTTGTGATTTCTCCAGGTTTTTGAATTGAGGAATGCGCACCGAGGATTTCTGAGATATTTATCACCATCAGTTACACAAATGTGTATACTTGATCTAAATTCTTGTATGATAACTGGAGAAAACCACCACACATATGCTTGACTGATATGCAGCTACTCCAAAGATGCAAATATATTAGGGGTCTAACTAATTTTAAATAATGGAGATGATTTCGTGCGCAAGCTCGTCTACTAACAACGAGTTCTTTCTGGACTCCAAGCTTTGAAGTACCTGTCTGATATTATCAAAAGAGAGGGTGACACCTGCGCTATTGGATACCAATACTTTTAAAATCCTCAAGAGTGACAACTGAACCACCGAATTTTTAAGGTTGATTGAAAGCTTGGAGAAGATGCTCTGCAAGATCTCTTCATTGACAAACATATGACAGATACTGGAGTTCAAGTTGACTAACTTCAAGAAGTTATCCAATGCACTTTCCAAGTTGGAAATTTTGTTCAAGGAAAACCCGGTTGTGAGACATGTAGTAGCTTTGGATGAGGTCAACACGACATGGTCAGGGTCTTTTTTGTACCAGTTCAATATAGAATCCAACGAATTGGCTTGCCAGTATGGATCCAAAAGAAGATTGAGGTATACGTCGAGGATATTATACTTGACCAAACTATTTTGAACATACTTTTCACAGTATACCAACTCACACATTATAGGCAACACAAATTGCCTAAAAGGTAAGTTAATCTTGGAAAGCTCTTTCAAGTATGGTAGGGCTCCTAATTTAATTAATTCGGTTTCTCTCACATGGTTCAAGTAGCAGTAATTGTAAATGATTGGGCAAATGATGTTGATGTATTCTTTGTATCGATCAGTTGAAGGAGTATGTTCCTTGATAAGTATCACCAAGAATTCAAGCATCTCAGCCAGCTGAAAATGCTTAAGGATTTCCAGGACATACGACATGGATTTGATGAACTTGAGAACTGTTAACTTGTGATTGGTTTCTAGGTGAGGATAGATTTTGAATAGTAACTTGAATAAATCACCGCTGGAGATATTGATTCTGACTTTGACTTCTGACTGACCAAAGAATTTGAGGATTTGTATGATCTTGTCCACAGTGGTGCTATACTGATTGGGACTGTCTAGTTTGACCAACCGGTTCAACAATACGATAAACCAAAATATCACTCCGTAGTGTGACAACTTTCGGCAAAGATCTGACTTGGAGCTCAATAGATTATTGTTCAAAATTGCATGTAAGCAGTCAATAGAGGTAATAGGAAAGTGTGGATTTGTTTCAATGTCTTCTTCGGCTAGCTTTGACAACACCCTCAACCCACCACTTGAGATGAACATCGACAAGGCCTTATCTGACTTCAAAGTTAGTCTTATAAATCTGTTAACTTGGAGCTTAATGGCAATGTCATAGTTGTTACCTCTAAACTGAGTAACCACCGGAATACCCCCCAATAGACAGAAGTTTTCGAACTGGCTGATACTGCTTTCAAAAATGTAATTCAAAGTTGTCAAGGAATAGTACCAAAGTTTGGGCAAATCAGGCATGTCATTAATGTTCTCCAATAGCTCAAAAATAGACAATATGCCATGGTCTCGAATCAAAGTATCATGCAGAGATGGGTACTTCTTAACTAGATGTGAAATCTTACCCATGATTTTCACCAAGGAATGGGCTATGTCCTCGTTACCACTTTGACATAGGTCAACCCGGGTAGAGAATTTGGTGATCAAGAATTCCATCTTACTCTGGATTTCAAGTTCATTGGTGTCGAAATTGTCAATCTCTATATCCAAGAATGGATCATCATCATCTTCATCATTGTTATATCTATCATTTCGATTGAAAATGGACAAATTGTTGCGGTTGAGGTTGAGCTTTTCTAGATCGTTGTCAATTACGCTGTCATTATTGGTTTCACAAAACTTATTCAAAACTTCATTCTTACTAGGAGGTGTCACAAAAAACTCTTCTGTAGGGGTTTTCACAGCTTCCAAGTTTAGGACATCAGATGCCAAATTCAATTGGGGCACTGTGATCTTCATTTCAGTGAAGTCATTTTCCCAATTTTCTTCAAGATTTTCACTGTAGCTAGTGATACTCTTGACATTTAAGTTCAGATTCGACACCGTGTCTATCTTGCAAAGTTTATGACTCTTACTAAAAGAATCGTTGGTGTTATGAAGCCATTTGTGCTTTAGTAAAAGCTTAGCAGAAACTCTTAAACTAGGTTGTTTCTGAAAGCATTCCATCAAAAAGTCTTTGGCAACCGACGAGATATTTTTGGGCAAAGGGGGATGGTCGTCCGTTCCGATAGCATGAAGAGTGGCCATCGGGTTCAAGTCGTGGTACGGCGGATTGGTGGTGAAGAGTTCAATTATAGTAGCACCCAAAGACCATACATCTGAGGCCGTACACAACCCTTCACCACCCAAAACGGTCTCAGGTGCCATCCAGTTGGGAGTCCCCACCACAGATTGGTGCTCAGAGGTGACTTTGGTTGCAACACCAAAGTCTGCCAACTTGATATCACCAGTGTCAGTAATCAAAACATTTGCAGCTTTAACATCGCGATGCACCACCCCCTGTTCATGCAAATAGTTCAACCCGTGCAAAATCAGCTTTACGTAGGCGATGATTTGGGGTTCAGGCAACCCACTGTTAAGTCGTTTATAGAGCTGACGCAATGAGCCCCCAGCACAGAATTCAAGAAATACGTTCAAGGAGTTGGAAGTCTTGACGAACCCGTGATACTTGACAATGTTAGGGTGTCTTAAGATCTTCAACAAGTCGATCTCGCCCATGAGTGCCTGAACATCCTGGTCCTTTTCCAAGAGGATTTGTTTAATTGCAACCACATGGTTAGTCTTCAAATTGAGGCCCTTGTAGACGGTCGCAAAAGCACCCCGGCCGACCATGTCTCCAAACTGGAAATTCTCCAAGGCATTCTTCAGGCGAATACCTGGCCGTTTTTCCATTCTCTGGGCGGGTGTAAGAGAAACCTTAACAGAGGTACTTCTCTGCTTGTGCTTGGGAGTGGACTCAGCAGTAGTCACAAGCGACGACGGAGGGACCTTTCTGGTCTTGGGGACAAGGATGCGGGCTGGTTCCAGCGGCTTGGAACCTACGAGAAACGGGGTATTTTCTTCGTTTTCCATCAGGATTTCTTTGATGGGATATATCGAGCTTTTGGTGGAGGAAGTATCTCTGTAATGCAATTTGTTTCTGGAATTCAAAGGAATGTTCTGGAGCAGGTGCTGCTTGTACAGAAGTTCCAGGGTGTCGAGAGAGGATGTGTTCTTTGAGGTGCCCGAAATACGGGAGAATCTGGAATATGAAAGGTCGAGATCTTGGTCCTCATCAAGCTCAAACTCGTCGTCAGACGGCTCTTTGAACTTCAGAAGTGCTAACTTCTTGTCGAAAGCCCCTGGCAGTCTCGAAGTCCGTATGGGAGAAGAAGTGGCAAAGCGGATGCTCATATTCTCATGCCTGTTCAAAGATGCCTACAAACTCGTTTGCAAACTCGTTTGTTTACATCAAGTCGCACCGCGACTAGTTTATACAACACAAATTCAAAAACTAAATACTATTTACCTACAACTTGACAATGGATAAATACTATTTACCTACAACTTGGCAATGGATTGGGGTTCAGCGATCTTGGTGATCAACTTCCCGTTCTTCTTTTCTCCATTGAACAACATGTTGTATGTTTTGGGCACCCTCTTAAGAAAGTCAGGATCTCTACTCAAGTCCACCACCGTCTTGGACTCAGCCGTGTTTTGAAGCTTTCCAGCCTTGGCGGCCTCGATCAACTTGGTGGTGGTCTCAGAAAACTTGGCGAAGTAGTCCAAGATGATGAAGCCCTTGACAGTCAATCTTCTGGTGGTGATCAATCCCCATGCATTGACGGAAGAAGCCGATGCGTTATTGTATCCGGCCACAGAACCACAGGCAATGATCTGGCCGTGCTGCTTGGTCAACAACAACATCATGTCTAAGATCCGTCCTCCAACTCCGTCGAAAAACACGTCACATTCGTCGTCTCCCAAAGCTTGTTTCATATTTTCCAAGAGCTTGGGGGCCTTGTAGTCCAAACAGTCATCGGCACCAATGGACTTAACAAAGTCACATTTGTCCTTGCCACCGGCAATTCCAATCACTTTCTTGCACCCGATGATGTTTTTGGCGATTTGTACCACCACGGATCCGGTGGCACCAGCAGCTCCTGACACCACAAGAACATCCGAGGCCTTTAACTGGGCCACATCGTAGACTCCAAACCAGGCAGTCAAACTGGTGAATCCCAAGATGTCCAAGTACGAGTCCAACGAGAAACCGGAGTTTTCAGGGATTTTGTCAAACAATGACTGTTGGTCGACAACGGCATAGTCGGACCAGGAAGTGCTACACCGAACCAAATCCCCAGCAGAAAATCCCTTGTTGTTGGACTCAACCACCTGAGACAATGCCAACGTCAGCATGGCCTGTCCTTGTCTAATAGGTGCCACGTACATGGATTCAGCGGGAATATCCTTCTGGATCCAAGCCCTCTGACTGGGGTCATTGGAGAACATTAAGTTCTTGACCAACACTTGACCGTCTTTCAAAGCGGGTAAATCGGTGGATCTGATCTTGAAAGTGGCATTAGGAGAGTCGACATCAAGATCCATCTCTTTGACGGGATTCTTGTGGACATATAATTCATGGGATTGTTGGGGGGCCATTTTGGTGATAGTATGAGTGATGAATTATTACTTCGCAAAATTTCAAGAGGTGCACCGTTTGGTTTGTATACGTTGGTCAACGGAGTTTAGAAATAGTACAGCAATTACATGGCATTTGGTGACTATAAATATAAAAGCTTCCCAAAACATTCGAGTGTGAGGGGATCAAAATCCTCGGTTATAAAATCTCGGTTTTAATTGATGGGAATGCCGTGGATAGCACCATTATGTTTCTTTACACTTGAACTCCAGTTTCAAATCGAAACTGAAATTAGTATACATCTCATGGGGTGTAACAGCTTTTAATTTGTAAAGCTTTCTGATCAAGTCTCTTTTTTCCTTGCTACCTATATCCTCTAGATCCGTAATAGGAATATCATTTTTCAGAAAATGAATATCAATTAATTTGGCCAATTGAAATCTGCCCCAGCCATAGAAAAGGGTACCAGTATCTTTTCTGAGAGACTCAACAAAATCCACAATCTTTCTTCTGGACGAGTACGTTTCAGCAGCTGCAGTTTGTTGTCTCCACGCATCCTTAAATACCTGATCTCTGGAAACAATACTGGGTACACCTTCCATACCCAAAAACCATTGACGAACATACCCAACCAAAGTTTTAGCCACTTTAGGCATGTGGCTTGCCTTTTCAAGCAGTTCATTGAATTCTAATCTCTGCACGTAATCGGGTCTTTTGGCCTTTGACCGCTTTGGGGGTTGAATATGTGGCTGCTCAGAGGTCCATTGGGTGAATCGTACCAAAGAATCAGGGGGGAGTTGGAAGGCTGCCTCTGTACCAATGACTGGACTTGGAACTGGTGGTGCTTTTGTTTTGGTTTTGGTTGAGGTCACTGGCGCCGCTAGGGTCAATTTAGCCAGAGCTGAGGTAGAGGTGGACTGAGCCGGTGTTGATGGGGGTTGAACCAGAACCGGCGTAGTTGGAGCTGCAGTTTGTGCTATAGTGTAGGCACCGGGAGATGTTTGAAATTGCACACTCGATTGCTGAGGATAATAAGCAGCAACCAGCTGGTATCCATAGGGGTACGTTAGATAAGTTGTTGAGGCTGGAAATTGAGCATTAGATAGGCTGTAGCCTGGGTACAGAGCAGATGAAACTCCTGATGTTTGGGCTGAGGTTTGGCCCGAGACTTGGCCTGAGATTTGACCTGAGACTTGGCCTGGAACTTGACCAAGAATTTGAGCTTGAACTTGAGCTGAAACTTGGCCAGGAAGTTGGGTTACAACTTGGCCAGGAAGTTGAGCCACTTGGCCAGGAAGTTGAGCCACTTGGCCAGGGAGTTGAGCCACTTGGCCAGGAAGTTGATTAGTCACTTGTCCTACTTGACCTGCAACTTGGCCTATTTGACCTGCAACTTGGCCTATTTGACCTGCAGCTTGACCTATTTGACCTGCAACTTGGGTTCCCCAGTGCGGTGTTGGTGGGGTTGCCTGGATGTTGGCTCCTTGTGTATTCTTGTAAGCCGACAGCAAGGCTTCTGGTTGTTTCGACAATAACACGAAGATCGCGTTCAACTTTTCTTGGGTGAGTTTTTTAAGGTCCTCAACCTCCTGCTTTTGCTGTAAAGTTTGTTCTTTTATCGCTAGAATGTCATTTCTTAGAGACTGATTCTGCTCTTGCATATTTTGGATGAGCCAATCAGTTTTGGACTCACTCTGAGAAACAACTTTCTTGTCTGAATGTGATACGGTGGCTTGCTTACCACGGTTGACAGGACTTTTAGTTATCTTTTGGTTATTTAACAGGTTTTTAGTTGAAGAGTCTTCAACCAGGCTGCGGCTGTCAAATACACTCTGAAGCGTAAGCTGGGTTTGATATGCTTTTTTAGCCGCAGTTGACTTGTGAGCTGGTTTGCGAGTTGGTGTGTGGTTGGCCAGACTTCGAATTCTTGGTCTATTTTCTGGAGCTCGACTCTTCACCTCAGTAGTTACCGGTTCTGTTTGTCCACAGTAAGCAAGAACATCTTTCTTATAAGCAACAAATTCTGGGCAATAGCAAACCTCATAGTAGTAAAACACACACTCCGGGTTCTGATCAACCAAAAACACCATGTCCTGAAGAATAATATCCCTGAACTGATCAAGCATATAGAAAAGCTTGGGAAGTGACAAATCTCTTATAGGAGGTGGAAGCGTCAGTTGGTACTTTTCAAACAGCTGCCATTCGCTTTCTAACCAAGGAAACACCTTCTTTCGTAACTGCTCGGGTGGTTTGACTTGGTCTCTTGCTATAAAATAAGTTTCTGGCGGCTTGAACCCTGCTGCCTCTAAACGTGGGAATTCTTGCAAACTATTGACATAGAAACTCACTCGGCTGTTACTCATATTACCAAACGCTTGGTCGAAACTGAACTTGGCCAAACTCATCATGTTTTGTTCACTTATGGGTCTCACCAGATCAGATCTCTGCGAATACAAAAGCTTTATCTGGCGATATGATCCGTCCTGAAAGTTGGGGAAATTATCCTTTGCCAAAGGCCCCTGGGGAAAGTCAAGCCGGTACCACAAGTTTCTGGCAATTGTTCCTATCAAACAAGGCAATGGGAGTTTGTGTCTATAACCCTCGATGTTTCTACCCGATTTCAATTGGATTACAAGAACATCAGGACTATGGATATCCAGGCCCTTGGTGAAAGAAAGGTCACTAAGATCGATCTCTTTTCTCTCTTCTGGCTTCGTGGGCAACGCAATGCTAAGTGCTGTTTCCATCATTGCATTAATAGCTTTGTTCTCGAACTTGGGGTTACCACTAACCCTGAAAAGTCCAGCGTATATTTTGAGAAGGTACCGAGGAGTCAGTTCGGGGAACGCAATATCGTAGTCGTCATCGTCATCGTAGTAGTCTTCCACGTCATCGTCTACATCGTCTTCTTCATCGACGAATTCTTCATTGGCTTCCGCATAATTTATATCGTCGTCAGATGAAGACCCTGAAGAAGAATCGTCATCAGAATCCGAATCATTGTCGGAATCGGAGTCGACATCCAGAACTGCATCATCTCCATTGCTGTCATTGTCGCCGACTGTGAGTTTGGGAGGACGTCCTAATCGATTTTTTATCTTTGGTTTTGTTACACCTGTTAGAGCTTGTTTTGATTTTCCATTGCTCACACTAACCGAGCTCACAGTGGTCTTTCTTCTCATGGTGTCTTGGATATATCCTTGTGAACACTAGTACTGGAGGCGTGAAGGTCAATTAAGCTTTAAAAACTGGAAACGTAAATTTGTGGCAGTTTTAGTAAAAGTGCAAAAACAAAAAAGAAAAGGAGGTAATTTACGGACGCATTTCGCAAAGCTGAATAGGTGAATACGTGTAAAGAAGAGGACAAGAAAAATATGATATTTCAATTTGAACAAGTATGGGACCAGGGAAATCTATATGGTTTGATAGCACATATATAGTAGTACTTTTCTTCTTTTGTAGGTGAACCACAATGATTTGGTCCTGAGCAGTGCCTTAGGCCCTTCCCTATTGGGCGTACGCGCACCCCAATTGGTACATCATATATTTGGAAGATTTAAACTAAAAACTCGTGCGTTGTTACTGCTGACTCTGCTCGACCGCCTTCTCATCCTCTGCTGCCTTTTCACGATTCCAGCTCAATAAGCTCATGTCTCCCGTCTTTCTGGGTTTCACTAAATTCACCACCAATAAGAAAATACTTAACACAAAACACACGCCTCCGCTGGCCATCCAGGCGATCCCAACAAATGGGTTTTTACCACCCATAACCGATCTTTGCGAAATGTAGATGTACTTACCTCCTTTGAACGGCAATACCGGCCAATGCAACCCCACCGATACCTGGTACGTACCGGCCTTCAAAGTGTCATCGTCGTTCCGGAGCACCAATTTATTGAAGGTTGGCAAGCCTGCTGGGTGCATCCAGTTCTGGAACTCTTCCCAGGTACTGACATCAGGGACGTTGGTCTCGTTGTACCCGTTGGGGAACCTCTTATACCAGTTAGGAGGAGGCACGATATCTTTGTGAGAATATTTTGTTTTCTTGAACCGGTTCTTGTCCTTGGACCAGGCAATTCCTTTGTTGGTCAATTTGTAATCATCTGCCGTACCATTAACAGCCAGCAAAGTAGACGAAAATGTGTCATTGAACATGCTATTGGCGATCAACCCGCACGGGTAAATGATTTTGCCTTTATGGGTGGACATTGGTTGGCAGTTTTGACCCGAAGTTTCCTTCACCGTGTGCTTACTAGCAGCATGGCCAATGATTTGTTCTTCACTGTACGACTTGACAAATCTTCGGTGGTTGGCGTAGAATTTCTCCAACCGATAGAAGAAGTAGATGGGGCCTTTCAAGTCCCGAGGCACATTGAATTGGATCTCACACACGTTGGATTCATCTTCAAACTGCTGTGATTCGTCTTTGCTCAACCGCCACTGGGGCTGTTTGTAGGATTTATCCTTTAAATGATAGTCCAAGTACTCATCGGGAATAGCCGACCAGTGGTCGGCGCTGGCCAACTTTTCACAGTGGGCGTAGTTGATGGCCAAGTCCTGAACTCTATCTGAGGCATACCACATGGCGGCTCCAAGCGGTACAAAAACAATGGCCAAAATCAACAAAAGAGGAATCACATTGCTGGCGGTGAATACCGGGCTGTAGGCCTTCAAGCGCTGCTGGCGGAAGGCGCTGTTACCGGGTTTTCTGGACTTTTCTTTACGGGTATCTTGATGTTCCGATACCGATGAGGAGTCTGAATCGGAGTGGTAGGCATCGCCATCGTCATGGTTGTCCGGGTGCACACGGACCTGGGACGATGAGGTGCGGGCCTGGTCGGCATGGGCACCATGGCCTTCGAACTGGTCGAGAGACGTCATGGATGGATTGGATAATACTGGTGTTGTGGTGGCCCGGTGAATCCTGATAAGTTCGCACCGACTGGCGGTGGGCGGTGGGTGCACGCCGGTTTTGGTCTGTCGCAGAGGCTGAAAATTTTTTAAACACTGGAGCAACCGCTGGAAACTACCACTATAACATTCAGATATGTCCGACGCAGCTGAAAAAAACATTGAAATATGGAAGATCAAGAAGTTGATCAAGGCGTTGGAATTGGCCCGTGGAAACGGAACCTCGATGATCTCGTTGATCACCCCGCCAAAAGGACAAATCTCGTTAATCCAGAAAATGTTAACTGAAGAGTATGGTACTGCCTCCAATATCAAGTCACGTGTGAACCGGTTGTCAGTGTTGGGAGCTATCACTTCTACCCAGCAGAAGTTGAAGTTGTACAACTCGGTTCCTAAAAATGGGTTGGTGATTTTCTGTGGTGATGTCATTACCGACGAGGGAAAGGAAAAGAAGTTAAATATTGATTTCGAACCGTTCAAGCCCATCAACACATCGTTATATCTTTGTGACAACAAGTTCCATGTGGAGGCGTTGAGTGAGTTGTTGGAGGACGATGACCGGTTCGGGTTTATTATCATGGATGGTAATGGAGCCTTGTTCGGGACCGTGACCGGAAACACCAGAGAAGTGTTGCACAAGTTCACGGTGGACTTGCCCAAGAAGCATGGAAGAGGTGGTCAGTCAGCGATGCGTTTCAGTCGTTTGAGAGAAGAAAAGAGACATAATTATGTCAGAAAGGTTGCTGAAGTGGCTGTACAGAACTTTATTTCTGCTGACAAGGTCAACGTGAAAGGGTTGATTTTGGCAGGTTCAGCTGATTTCAAAACCGAATTGTCCAAGTCCGACTTGTTTGACGGAAGATTGCAGGCTAAGGTGATCAATATCGTGGATATTTCTTACGGAGGAGAAAATGGGTTCAATCAGGCCATCGAATTATCAGCAGAGACTTTGGCCAACGTGAAGTTTGTGCAAGAAAAGAAGTTGTTGAACGACTACTTTGATGAGATTTCCCAGGACACTGGAAAATACTGTTACGGTATTGAAGATACTTTGAAGGCTTTGGACTTGGGTGCTTGTGAGGTTCTCATTGTGTACGAGAACTTGAACATCATCCGGTATACCCTCAAGAACGCCGATGGAGAAGAGACGGTGGTGCATGTCAACCCAGAGTTGCCGGGTAAGGCGTATATGTTGGATAAGAACACCGGAGCCGAGTTGGAAGTTGTAAAGGAAGAAACGTTCTTGGAATGGTTGGCCGAAAACTATAAGAATTACGGTGCCAACTTGGAGTTTGTCACCGATAGGTCATCTGAAGGAGCTCAGTTCGTGCAAGGGTTTGGTGGGGTTGGAGCCATGTTGAGATATAAGGTGAACTTTGAGCAGTTGGCTGACGAATCTGATGAAGACGAATATTATGACGATGACAGTGACGATTTCATTTAGATGCCTAATGGGATAGTGCATTGACCCAAGTATGGGTGAATAGCACTCATTCGCCTAAGGTGTTTTCTATATACCACCCATTTAGTAGATTGTACTTTATATACAACTCATTTTGAAGGTGTCCTATTGCGTAGACAGTATTCTACAAGCTGATTACGAGACTATTTTTTTGGCCTTTCGTGTATTTAAGTTTTACTGCTATTGCCCTTTATAGAACTAGTTTTTTTTGGTATTGCTCTTTATAGAACCATTCTTCCTGATATTGCCATTCGGTTGGTTATGATTTCCGGGTTTAATAATCTTGTCTGGTTTATTCAGTTTCATTTTCAGGTCGAATTTCTTGGGCTTATGTTTCTTGCTTTCCTCTGGCTTGTTTGCTTGTGGTCTAGTCTGCTTTGTCTTCTCATCCGACTTCTCCTTTGGCTTTGGCTTAACCTGCTTCTTGCCCCTCAAATCTTCCAACGCATTGACATTCTGATGTCCCAAAATATCTTTATGAGTCTTCCCACTAACCATTATATGCGCCAAGTTCTCCAATCCACTCGTCAAGTATGACCTTCTGGCCAACTTCCGAAGTGGTTGACTCAATAGCTGTTTCAACTCGTATCGTATACCCTTCGACTCATCTTTGGTCAATGCTCTACTCTCATTTCTCTTCTTCTGTTTCTTGATGAAATCGTCTTGAAAGTCGTCAATGTTGGTCATATCTTCGATTCCCAAGTCTTCAGCCGCTTGTTTTACCCATGTATTCTCCTTTTTGGATGATGTATTGGAGATGGCAGCATTAGCCAATTTGGAAGCCAACATAACCCGGGGTCTGACTTGGCTCACCAAGTTTTCTTCAATAGGCAATAACTTCACGTCGCTATGGACGTTGAGTCTAGTGTGAGTAGCATTGGAAGCTACCAATTTCCTCAATTTTCTGAGAGGACCAGACGCTTCTTGGGGAGAACAGAACATCACCGAAACACCTTCGTTGCCAGCTCTGGCAGTTCTTCCAGATCTGTGGATATAAACGTCTGCCGATCGTGGCAAGTGGTAGTGGGCAACATGGTCGATATTGGGGATATCCAAACCTCTGGCAGCCACATCCGAAGCCACCAACACCGAGATGCTGTTTTTGGCAGTAGCTTCCTTGAACCGTTCCAAAGATCTCATCCGTTGTTTCTGGATCATTGAGGAGTGGATAGCAAACGCTGGGATGTTCAACGAGTTTAAAAACGGAACTAACCGCTTCACGGAGTCAATGGAATTGGCGAATACCAAGGTAGATCCTTTATACACCAAAAGGAAATAGTACAAGTACAAATCACGTTCGGTGGCTCCACACTCGACCAAAGCTTCGGCAATTTGGCCAGAAACAATTTCTTTGGGGTTAGCATCGATCAATACCGGCAGTTTATCTTTAAAGTGCAACTTTTCGTTCAAAAGCTTCAAAATTTCATCGTTTTCAATCAACCCAGTTTGATCCTTGGCCTTGACGGTCTTGCTCAACTTCCCAAACAACTCTCTGGCAAAAGTGGCACTAAATACCAATGTCTGCCACTTCCAGGTGGCTAAGTTTCCTGGTCTGTGCTTTTTGAACAACTCCAAAATCTTCTCGAACTCGTCAAAATGCCCGTCTTGCAAAAGTCTATCAGCCTCATCCAAAACCACAATGTCCGTAGAACTCCATCTCTTCAAAAGCTCTTCGTCTTTCTCCGATAACTCCAAAAACCGTCCAGGAGTGGCCACTATAAGGCCAGGGCCGAACTTCAAGAGTCTTTCTTGCTTTTGAATCGAAAGACCTCCGGTGATGCTAACAATTCCGTTTGGGGGTAGAGGATAGAACTTGGAGATGTTGTTCAAATGGTCGACCACCTGGTGGGCCAATTCTCTTGTAGGCACAAACACAATTCCCGTTGGGGAGTTGATGATGCCGTTTTTGCGGTTGGCTTTGATGGTTTCTAAGTTGGATAAGTACTTTTCAAGAATAGGAATTCCATATGCTAGAGTTTTACCAGACCCCGTAGTAGCTTTACCAATAATATCTCTACCTTCCAAACCCAAAGGAATGGACTTCTTTTGGATGGGTGTGGGTGAGGTGAACTTAAGTTCGTTTAGGCCAGTTAAAGCATACCCACTGAGGGAAAGGCTACTCCAGTGAGGAAGACTAATGTTGTCATCTGGCAACTCGACATTGAAGTCAAAGGCGCTCTGGACGAGCTCTTCATCGAGCTCATTAGCGGTTTGAGGTTGTTCTTGCACAACTTCATCGTCAAAACCCGTAAACTCTTCTTCCTCTACCTCTTCCTCTGTCTCAATTTGTGTCTCATCTCCATCTATTTCCATAGACTCATCATTATCAGGACTCTTGTTGTCCTTTGAATTCTGATTCTTCTGCTTCTTCTTCTCCTGCTTATCTTGGAATTTCTTGTCGTCTTTGACCTTAAACTGGGCCTGACCGTTGACAATTTCCACATCCACACCATCAATCTCCTCCAAGCCATAGAGTCCTTCATAATTATCTAAGTTGTCGGGGATCTCAACAGGCTTCCACTTTAAGCTGTCAGCCTTCACAACCCTGGACTCTCTCAACATTTGGTTCTTCAAGCTCGCCCGGGGCTTCCTGGCGTACTTGGACTTTTGTTTCTTTAACGGTGCCATAGTCGATGCTCATCTCAAATTTTTTGATCGCGCCAAAGTAACCTCGCTCCTCCTCGATGGGACTCTTGAAGAGAAACAGAAGTATCACGCAAAAGCAGTTTGCGCCAAAATCATTGAAACCACAACATACACGGAAGCTCATACGACGGTTTCATGTACTCTTGAAAAACAAAGCGATTATCCTCCAGAAACTTGCATGGGATGATAATTACGAGTCGGTTCTAAAAGGAAACCACAAACAAGTATATGACAATGGCACGAAAACGGTTCATTCGGAGATGTTCAAGCTCGAGCATATGAACAAATCAGAGTTAGTTCGAACTCTAGGGCAAATAGATGGCGAGATTCACAAAAGTGGCGGTTTGGAAGTATATCAAATAGCGTCGCAGCAAGGACAAAGTAACAAAAGAGGAAGTGATTCGTCTAAAAAGTTGGTGGAGTGGCTCAAGCTGGCATATGAGCTACAACCACATTGGAAGGCGCTAGAAATCGGTTGCTTGAGTCCAGATAACTTGATTTCCACTAGTAAATTATTTGAATCCGTTGTCCGCATCGATCTCAATAGCCAGCACCATTTGATATTGCAACAAGATTTTATGGAACGGCCGCTTCCTGCCAACCACGGGGAGAAGTTCAACTTGGTATCCTGCTCTTTAGTGTTGAACTTCGTGCCAACGCCTAAGGAACGGGGTGATATGCTTCGTCGTATTACCAAGTTCTTGGTTGATCCGGGTGAAAACATCTTATCAGCGTTATTTTTGGTAATTCCATTGCCGTGTGTGTCAAACTCAAGATACTTGGACTACCACAAAGTCAAGGAGATTATGGAGGTGCTTGGGCTCAAGGAACGGTTTTATCATGAGTCGAACAAATTGGCTTACTGGCTTTTTGACTGGAGCGGAAAGACCTCTGCCACATCGGTGAAGAAGATTGAGCTACATAGAGGGGGGAGCAGAAATAACTTTGCTGTGGTGCTATAGAGAAATATTCCAATTTTGCTGATGAGTTGAAGAGTAGTGCATTGTATTTAACTTTGTGCACATCTAGCACTGTTTGTAAATCAAAACACTTTTCTTCCAATCTTCTGTATTTTATTACGAAATTATACAAGTCCAAGTACCCACTCCATACACCTCTTTGCTCAGAAACATATCTGGCTGATTCACGAATAACTGATCCAATCAAGAGTTTGCATCCAAAATGCCTCCAATCCCATCTCATCCTGAAACTCCTGCGGTGTTGGTGATGACACCAGTACTGCACTCATGATCTTATCGAGGTAAGTTTTACGGTCATCGGTGTCCTTTTTCGTCAATACCTCATGTAAAGATTCAAGTCCATCACGAGCCATAATCTTGGGAGATCCAATATAGTAGCCATACGAACCATTCAAAAAGCTTCGAGTAACTTGCAATGCATTCCATATCCGACGGGCCAACACATCGGAGATACTGGCAAGACTACTGACGGTGTAAAATAATAATACCGTGGATGTGCTCTCAAGATAGCTGCTGATGAACAATACTGGCTGCAACATGCGAACTTTCTTGTTCAACTTGATGATAAAGTCCGACAACTCAATCGCCACCTCCACACAAGTATCAGCACCAGCCTTGATCTTGTCCCTGATAGACTGAGACACGTCGGCACTAGTGTTGGTAAGATACACACTGAATATGAGAAAGGGCCTGAAGATGATAAGCTTGATGTACAAATAGTAGATTCTGATCCAAAACCACTCTCTGATACGCTCAATCTTCACAAACTCTACCCCATCCTCAATTTTTGCCTGTGTGATCTGCGTATCACTGCTGGCGAAGTAGGCATTATCGATTTCACTGGAAAAGTATTCCACTTTGCTCAAAATCGTCAAAAGATCGTTCTTCGAGCTGTACAACTCCATGTTGATTTTAGTAAGCGAGGTAGCAAACTGCACTCGGAGCTTCATATGCTCCGACGTAGTGATGAACGAGTTGGTCTCTCCATATCCAGAATAGGTGAAGTCTTCTTTTTTCACTTCGGGTGCGGTGACGCTTTCACCCAAACTGCTGGGTCTTCCCACACAAAAACTCCAGTAGTGCTCGAACTGCCAGATGGATACCCATACTCTCTGACGATGGGCATAGTCTGGCGAACGGGTCACCACGCTGTTTTTGTGGAGTCCTATTGCCAACAGTATTCGCACTGCTATACCGGAGTAGACATAAGACAATGCCGTATCTCCCAAAGCACATGCACACAAGCTCATCAAAAACACCACTCGAACGGCTTCAAAGGAAGTCTGGGACGAGATCCCAGGCACCGCGTGAAGGGCCAAGTTGAAGAATCCTCTGGCCAATGGAAAAACATCGGCATTGCTCTCATCAACGTCAAAGTAAGAAGTGGATGCTCCGAGAGCCAAAACCAAGTAGAGCAATGCACGGTCATTAGGGGTGCTGGAAGGCGATTTCCAGGTGTGTGAAGCTAAGTTGAACAATTGGGGTGCTTCGAATATAGGACATGTCACTGACCATGTTTCGAGGAATGCAACTAGGAGTCTATTCATGGTGTCGGTGCTGATTTCGTCTACTGAAAAGTCTGTATTGGACTGATCGAGTACGCTGGGACCCATCCCAAACCGGTCAAGCCCTTTGTTCTCATCGTCGTTGGAATTGTCGAGTTGTTGTAAAACACGATTTAGCTGGTTGACAAACGAATAGTTACTGGCGGGACCAAAATACTCGGGTGCATCATTCTGGCCCCTTACTGACAAATAGTCCGGGATTTCAAGCTGTTCTTTGCTGTCGGATTGGGGTCTAGAGGGTGGTGTTAGTAGGGTAGTGATGTTTGGTTTGTTGATCGACATACGTAGAAATAGAACTTGCGGCACTAAAATGCGATCTAATGACACAGACGTCACCATATTTAGCACACTCACTGCATACGACCTTTCCTGAACATTTACGCTTGCGCTGTCGGCAGTTTTCACAGGCACGCAACACCCGTGTCCGTCTCTTCTTGAGTTGTTCCATGCTTATCGGGCCAAAAATGGTTGCAGAAATCGCGACCTTCAACTCCGTGGACCAGGGCTCGCGACTGGGCCGGCCGGACCTGCTTATCGTTTTCTGTCATTTACTAAAACTCTCTCATTTATTAAAAATATAAACATTTATTTCTTAGCTGAATACACAACCTCCACCACAGAGTCGGGGGCCTCCGAAAGGGACCCGCCCTGAGAAAGATCCTCTACCTCCGATTTCTCCTCTACCATATGGTCCATTCCTAACATAAGTCTGACCAATTTTGCAATCGAGAATCTTCCCTGCCACAATGGGTAGACGATGATGTATGCAGCAGCTACCACAAGCCATATCAACATAACAATCATAAGACCTACAAACGAACTCTTGCTGAAATCCTTCTTAATTCCGTATAACGAAACACAAAGAACAATGTAGATTCCGAAGAAGAGGAAGATGTTGATCAATATTGTCAAGAAAGACTGCCTGTTCAAAAGCTTGTCAATGCTCTCGGTGACAATCAACGCTTCCTTCCCCTCTTTATCGACATCATCACCCACTGTCATCTCACTGTTCAATTTGCTCATGTCAAAGGGTTCTTTGTCAAGTTTAATGAAAGAGATAACTGGAATGTAGATAGCAGCACTCATCAACGCAGAGATGTTTCCAATGAAAGTTGCGGTTGATCCATTGAGAGTGTCCTTGTCGATGATTCCGTTCGAATAGCAATAAGTTCCTGCAATCCAGGCGGCAATCCCAGTTAACGTTGCAAGCGGACATCCGATAACCAACGATAACTTGGTCATTTTGGGCCAAAATAAGGTGTATGTTACCGCACTGACTGAGGGAGTCAAGATGATTCCCAAGAAACTAATCAACCATCCCACGGTGACACCAATGTAGTTAAAGACCGTGGCCAATACGGCTGTGAACAACCCAAATCCACACACAGTCATATGAGCCATCCGAACTAACTGCTTTCCAGAAGCATTAGGATTGATGTATGTTCTGTAGATGTCGTAAGTGGATACGGAGGAAAACGCAATAAGCTCAGCAGAAGTCGACGACGTCACTGACATAAACAACGTTACAAGTCCGGCCGCCGCACCACTTTTACCCCAAAGAGAAGTCATCGCGTAGATCACTGGCAACCCCGAATTGACCTCTTCTTGTGTTAAGGCATTGGGATAAGTCACCGACTTGGGATTAGTAAGTAAAGCCCTGGTAGCTAAACCCCCGGACAGCCCAAGGGCAAAAGGAATGATGTACCAGCAAAGTCCGCCCATTAAGTATCCTTCAAACACACTGGAAGAGTCTGCGGCAATGGCTCTCTGAGAGTACCCTGGGTCTCCAAAGACAGAACTAAGAGCTCCAATGGCCACAGACCAAGCAAGTAAGATCATCGACTTATCGTGGAATGAAAGGTAACTTTGGCCGGTCTCCAGCGGGAAAACCGCCTGTACTTCCTGTAAAAGATCGTACATCTTTCCTGGAGATCCAATGAGCGGAGATGAGCAGTAGATGGTGTAACAGGTTGCAAGTAAAACCCCGAAAATAATAACCGTGTGGATCCAATCGGACACAAATGTAGCTTTCAAACCTCCCAATGCCGTGTATGCCACAACATTCATGGGTAACAAGAAACTAGCTGCTACCACATGCATTCCGGTAGTGGCCGCAAAACCTTGCGAACCACCTAAAAGCATACAAGCAGCACTGATAACGTTATTAGAAATGCAGTACACCAAAAAGCACCAATGTCCAGCTTTTCCAAACCGGATGTAGAAGCATTCCGATACTGTGTGGGCTGAAGGAGCTTTTTTCTTAAGCTGAATTGCCAAAAACAAAAAGAGGGTAATCTGAAAGGTTCCTCCAATTCCGTATAAAAACCCACCACTAATACCATGGCTATAAGACCAGGCTCCTGAACTAAGAAGCGTTGCAGGCCAAGTCCATGCTGACACTGTACTGGAAGCAATTAAACCTGATTTGACACTTCTGGAAGCGGTTGAAAACCGTTCAGAGTTCTGGGTTTGTCCCAAGTATTTCGAGAGAACTCGAGTAATAAAGCCCATCAAAAGAGCAAACGCTGCACCCAATCCGACTGCAAATCCATACCCGTAGGCTTGAGTAAGAACTGGTTCCATATTTGGTTTATTTCTGTAAATAATGAGAGTTTGCACATTATATATAATTGGAATGATTTACATTTACAACGGTGATCGTCGCACCTAATCTTATCTTTCTTATCCGAGACTTTTGTTCCGCACTCCGCATTCCGCTATCCCTTAACTTGGGTTTTTAACTAGTCCCATAGATCCGCACTCCGCACTCCGCAATCCCTACTCCGCCAGGCGATAGGGAGTTGGTTGATAGATAAAAGATAAGACCCCCCCAAATAATCATGTCTGCCCACTATCAATGACTGCCAAACTGTGGAAAGATATTGCTCTTCAAAAGCAAACTGCTCGCAATAGCTGTATTCCTGCCAAATGGGTTAACGGTTCTCTCAAGCAGGATATGGAAACGGCAGGATATACAAACACCAGAGAGTATTTGGACTCAATTCTTGATCCTGAAGAAACGAGCATCGTCAACTTGACAATGGTGTCTCTCATCAGTAAAATTAGTCTGGGAGAACTCTCTAGTGTTCAGGTAGCAGAAGCCTACTGCCATAGAGCCATGTTGGTCCACCAGATCTTAAACTGTTGCAGCGAAATCTTTGTTGACAAGGCATTGGAAAAAGCCCAAGAGCTTGATGAGTATTACAAGAAGTATGGGAAGGTAGTTGGCCCGTTGCATGGGGTTCCAATTTCGCTTAAGGACCAATTTGACATTCCAGGATTAGATTCTCTGTTGGGGTATGTTTCCTTAACAGGGAAGCCAAAGACTGAGATAAGCTTATTAGCAGGATTTTTGGAGAAAGCAGGTGCCGTTTTCTATGTCAAGACTACAGTTCCCATGGCTATGATGGCTCCCGAGACTGTCTCCAACGTTAACGGGTACACCTTTAACTCGCTCAACAATAAATTGACTTGCGGAGGATCTTCTGGAGGAGAGGGAGCTCTCATTGCGGCCGGTGGTTCCCCCATGGGATTTGGAACTGACCTCGGAGGTAGTATTCGGATTCCAGCCTCTTTCCAAGGCCTTTATGCCTTGAAACCTTCTACAAATAGGTTTTCATACTTGAGGATTTCCAATTCTTACAGCGGCCAAGGAGCTATTCCTTCGGTAGTTGGACCTATGGCCAGATCTTTACAAGATATTGAGTATATTGCCAAGCTTGTTCTTAACGGGGGTCTTTGGGAAACCGATCCTAAAGTGTTGCCAATTCCGTTCAGAGAAATTGAAATGTCAAAACTCGTGATCGGCATCTGGAAGTTCGACGGGAAAATCTTGCCCCATCCACCACTTTTACGGGCATTGCATGAAACTTCAGCAGCCTTAAAGGCCCACGGACATGAAGTCGTGGAGATAGATTTCCCGAGCTTGCAGATTATAGAGGTTGCAGACCGGGTTTACAAAGCTGATGAAGGACGTGAAGTTTTCGAAGAATGTAAAGTTTCAGGTGAACCTATAGTTCCAGCTGTGAAACCACTTATAACCAGCACTCCTGGTCACCAACCATTGAGTGTTAACGAATGGTGGGATGTAGATAACCAACTGTACGTGTGCAAACAGCAGTTCCTCAAGTTTTGGAGCGAAACTGCCGGATTAACGAATTCCGGCAGACCAATCGACGCGATTATATGCCCGGTTTGGCCATCTGGAGCATTCTTGCCTGGAGGTCCAGCCGCTATGAATTATTCATGTCCATTCAACCTCCTTGAATCTCCATGTGCTGTTTTACCTGTGGCAACTGCCTCAAAGACTCTTGACCCTGTCAATACTGGATATGTGCCATTTGATGAAACTGACATGCTCATCCAGAAGGCATACGACCCGGAGTTGCAAGATGGGTTACCTGTTTGCTTACAAGTCGTAGGCAAAAAACTTGATGACGAGAAAGTCCTTGCTATCGCTTCGGTCGTTAAATCTTGTTTGGTGGCAGACAGGGGTAGATTTTAGTTAAATACACGGTAGTCTATATTGTTTTTCCGTGTACCAATACAACCGAGTTTCATTTTTACTTCCGCTCTAGTTTGCATATTACATATGGCAAGGCTTGTAACGTGGTATGGGCAGCAACTACGAACAGGCCGTAAGTTCCGCTGGCCCCCACAGAAATAATGGTGATTTAAAACCCTGTATTAATTCTTATTGTAGGTTCAACTATAACTTACAAGGAGGAAGCACATCGTACGTTCCCAATAACATCAGGTTTACTATGGAAAAAAAACAGGTGATGGGTGCACACGGAAAAACCGTGCACGGAGACACCATCCGGAATAAAAATACAGACCTGCATGAATCCGTTATGATTACCAGCATATTTTCTTTTTCGACGGAAAAACAATTCTCCGCCAAATTAAGGACTATCATTCTTTAACTTTTTGTGCAGAAACTTTGGGGATTTCTCCGCCACTACATACAATGGACGTTGGAGAAATATATGGGATCGGGGAACTCCCATCCCTTCCGCGTAGACTTATCTGTTATATATATATATATATATATATATATACACGCCGTAAACCATGGCCTTAATGCCGATGCAAAAAGGATCAGCATATAGTTTTAGCCTGACGCCGATGATCAGGGTCACCGGAAAAACTATCTGCTAAAGTGGTCTTTGTTAGAAATATCTGGTGAAAAAAATCTCCTCATTGTAGAATTTATTCCCATGGGGAACTGTGTAAAAGCGCTGATTTTTCTGGAGAACCAATGAGAAAAACTGCTGGTCTTGAGCCCTCCGCATATTTGGGAAAATCTCGGAGAAACTGTAATGATGCGTTGTGTGACTTTTTTTTTTCTGTTTATCCGAAAGAGCTGGGCAGCAAATCGCAGAATAACATTTTTTTAATATAAAAGACTGCTAAACTCCATCTACTTTTTTTAATATCATTGTCATACTTTGATAACTAATTTAAGTTTATAATATGTCTGACTCAAGTCCAGTTCCAAGTGGAACTCAAACTCCTGTCGACAACACATCAGTTGTCGAACATAAATTCGAAAAGGAAGAACAGTTGCAAGAAGAAAGACCAACTTTAGAAGACCAAGACAAGTCTTTTAAGGATTACCTTTCGATTTCTTTCTTCTGCTTATTGGTTGCTTTCGGTGGTTTTGTTTTCGGTTTCGATACCGGTACCATTTCTGGTTTCGTGAATATGACCGATTTCAAGCAAAGATTCGGTCAGTTGAGTGGTTCAGGTGAATACTACTTGTCAAACGTCAGAACCGGGTTGATTGTTTCTATTTTCAACGTCGGTTGCGCTATCGGAGGTATTTTCCTCTCCAAATCTGCTGACATGTATGGAAGAAGAATCGGTTTAATGTTTGCTATGGCCATTTACGTGGTTGGTATTATTATTCAAATCTCATCTACTACAAAATGGTACCAATACTTCATCGGAAGATTGGTCACTGGTTTGGCCGTCGGTACTGTTTCTGTGGTATCCCCTATGATGATTTCGGAAACTTCCCCAAAGAAGGTCAGAGGTACTTTGGTGTGCTGTTTCCAATTGTTTATCACCTTGGGTATCTTCTTAGGTTACTGTACCAACTACGGTACTAAGACTTATACCGACTCTAGGCAATGGAGAATCCCATTGGGATTGTGTTTTGCCTGGGCCATCTTCATGGTTGTCGGTATGGTTTCTATGCCTGAATCTCCAAGATACTTGGTTGAAAAGGACAGAATAGAAGATGCCATGAAATCTATTTCTAGAGCCAACAAGGTTTCTGTGGACGATCCAGCGGTGCACGCCGAAATCGAGTTGATTCAAGCCGGTGTCAACAGAGAAAAGTTGGCTGGTAACGCTTCGTGGAAGGAATTGATCACTGGTCAACCAAAGATCTTTCAAAGAGTCATAATGGGTGTTATGTTACAATCCTTACAACAATTGACCGGTAACAACTACTTTTTCTACTATGGTACCACCATTTTCAAATCGGTTGGGTTGACGGATTCTTTCCAAACCTCTATCGTTTTGGGTGTGGTCAACTTTGCTTCCACCTTTGTTGGTATTTACGCCATTGAAAGATTCGGTAGAAGAACCTGTTTGTTGGTTGGTTCCGTGAGTATGTTCATCTGTTTCATCATCTATGCGGTGTTAGGTTCTGTTCATTTGTACATCGGTGGATATGGGGGTGAGACCAGAACTTCCACTGGTAACGCTATGATTTTCATTACTTGTTTGTTCATCTTCTTCTTTGCATCCACCTGGGCCGGTGGTGTCTACTGTATTGTTTCTGAAAGTTACCCATTAAGAATCAGATCTAAGGGTATGGCTGTTGCTACTGCTGCCAACTGGATGTGGGGTTTCTTGATTTCATTCTTCACTCCTTTTATCACCGCAAAGATCCACTTCTACTACGGTTTTGTGTTTAGCGGCTGTCTTTTGTTCTCCTTCTTTTACGTGTACTTCTTTGTCAGTGAAACTAAGGGTTTAACATTGGAAGAAGTTGACGAATTGTACAGACAAAACATCGCCCCATGGAAGTCTGGTTCCTGGGTTCCTCCCACCAACGCCGAAAAAATGGCATATGCCAGCGGATTCGAAAGATCCGAACATGACACTGAAGCTTAATGCTTAACGATTTAAATATGCAAATAGACAATATAGAACTCATTTCAAAAGCGCGCGCGGAGTATAACTTTTCTTTCTATTTAGCGATGAATGATTCTACTGCTAATATGAGTGCATTCCATACCCCGTTGAAGCGGCTACCTGACCGACCCATCAACTTGGAGTTGGAGTCGAAGCTTCAAAGGGAGCCCCCGTGTAAGGCAGTGCCTGAAGTCTCCCCTCAAGAAGAGTTAAAACCGTTGAATGAGATTGCAATCCAGCTCTCCAAAACAAAACTAACAAACAAACAAAATGACTTGTTTAGTCGGTCATCTTCTAAAAAGTCCGTATACTACAAGCCTCCGTCATCATCAAACATCGATAACCAGTTCGGTATCAAGAGCTTTCTTCCTCCTATTATCAAAAGGAATTATCCTCTTATGGCCACACCTACACCAGAACAACAAGATCTTGATACTGAACAGACATCTATACCTACGGGCGAGTGGGAAAACCCCGTGATACAACAAGCTTTGGGCCGTCAGGTGAATCGGGCGGTTGAGATCAAGCGTATATCAACAGGAGTGGTGGTAATACTATGGATCCAGTTGGTCAAGAAGGTTGTGTCAGTCAATATCCTTCATTATCCGGTTAGTGTGATCGTTTTGGCTCAGGTGTTGGTGATTTTGCGATGTGTTTACCGGTTGTTCAAATTGAAGGACCAGTGTGTGGACTTGCCGTTGAATAATAAACAGAGAGTATTGCTCGGTCTTGACACTCTTGATGAGGATGTTGATGTCAAGGTGGAAAAAGCCCGGTACAGCCAGTTCGGATTCACGTAAGGAAAAGGAGATAAAGGAACAAGAGGGAAAGGAATACTGTTGATCCAAGAATTGAATTGTGGTTAATAGGCTCTTTTTACCCACAAAAACTCGATCACAGCGTAAACTTGAAGCCCTACTCACCCGGTCTGATGGTCTAAGGCGATATATCACCTTGGTTTCATTGGTGTGTGAGTAGTCTGTGAGATTCTAATGATAGCCTAGCATAGCATATACTAATGTACACATTTTTACTTTAAACCACAAGGAAATATTGAGTCTAAAAATTGTATCAGTAAGCAAATTTTGCTTTACGAATTTGCTTACTGATTATGATCATTTTACTGCTTGGTTAATATTTAACCTAGGAGTTGGTTAAAAAGTGTTTGTACTAGTGGGCAAAAATACAACGATTTTCTTTTCATTAGCAGCTACGAAAAATCATGCACATATTTCGAGAAAAGGGGTTTGTGGTAGAGACTACTACAATGACAAATTGGCTACAGAAATAATTCTCATCTTGACGTTTGCAGTTTGGCTCAGTATGGTGGTACTGAAGAAATTGTTGACTATGAAGTGCATAACTATTAGTTTTGGCGTGGGAACCACAAAAAGCCAATAGCCTGAAGAGTGATAGCCTGAAGAGTGATTGTCTGAAGAGTGATTGTCTGAAGAGTGATTGTCTGAAGAGTGATAGGGGTCCCATTAACAAAAGCTATTGAAAGCTACTGAGTACCGGCCGAGCGTTCTTCCATATTTTCGCACCCAGCTATTGCATCTTCATGTGCATCCGCACTATTGTGGGGCACATGACATAAATACCTCCATTCTCCCCCATACAAAAAAACCAAATGCCTCAGAGACAGACCCTGGAATACATCGAGGACCTCGAAGAGGCTTTCCGTATCGTCAAGGTGGACGAAGAAACTTACGTGGGTGCCCACCCGTTGCGGCTCCCCATTGGTGCTGCCAGAGGTGTTTATGGAGGTAACACCATTGCACAGGCCCTTTTAGTGGGAATCACCAGCTCACCCGCCGACTTCACGCCGCTCGCCTTTCACTCGTACTTCATTGGTCCCGGGAAGGCGTCGACGCCCATGACCTTCAAAGTCCTCAAAATCAATGATGACGGAGATATTATCAACAGATCCATTCACGCCATTCAGGACGGAGAAATCAAATTCACGGCGCTTGTGACTTGTATCCGCAAAGGCGCTGCGGTCGACGACACATTCGACTTCCAGAAACACCCACAACCATCCCATCACCAATACCGCGATCCTGGTGCTCTCCACACGCTTCGGCACACTGACTACATTCGAAACGCATATACCGACGAGTTTGTGGACCCGACATTGGTACCAGAGGAGAAGGCGTTAAGCCCAGCTGACAGGTGGATCAATATCTGGAGCGGGATCCACCAGCACAACAACCAGTTCAAAGATCCAAGATTTGGGCTTGTGGGAATTGGCGGTGTGAGCGACAGCGCGTTTCTCACCACCTTAGCGCGGGTGTTGCACGCGCCCTGGAACCCTACCGAGACGAAAGCGTTCCAGGAGGTGGACTTGGACAAGGATGCAAAATTATTGATGAACATATCTTTGAACATGTTGCATATTTTCCACTATAACGCTATGTCTTTGGATCATCATATTTATTTTCACACGCAAGACTCGAGCGACTTTGATATTTGCAACGACTGGCTCACGTTTAATTATCAGGCCCGCAGGGTGTCGAATAATCGGACTTTGGTGAGAGGGTATTTTTATAACAAAAGCGGGAAAAAGCTCGCGACGGTGGCCCAGGAGGGCTTGACATTGGCGTTCAAGGGGTTTGACACCATTCCCGAAGAAACCACAAATTACAAGGACTTTCAGGTGAAGTTATAGATTACTCGCACCCAATATTTGCAGCTTAAAATTTCAGTAGGACAAATAATAGTATATTACACCCTAAACCCTGTTTGTTTGTTTACAACTCTGGATTGTCTTTATTCTTACTACTTACGGCTCTAACCACAGGCCAGTAGCACCGGTACCCTTATTTGAGCATTTCTCTTGTACAACTATGGCCTTCGCACGACCTCCTTTAAATATTCGCATTTTCCAATATTTTTTCTCCAAGCATGTCTGTTGTGTTGAAGAAGTTGCCAACCAAAGAAAGACTTCTTCAGGCAAAGAAGTTGTCTGCCGAAATCTTCGGTGAGATATGGAACCCCCAAAGTGTCAGAAATGGGGCAAAAATATTAAGAGCCCCCTTGAAGGGCCCTGAAGTCGTCAAGTACTACGGAACTAACGACTCGATGCCAACCTTCAAAGATTTCAAAGAATGGTTCCCCGAATTGAAGTTGGTTGACCCAAGAGAAGAGATTCGTATGAACATGGTTATAAGCAGAAAGAAGAGAAATAAGGGTGCCCCAAAGAAGAAGTCCAGTTGATAATAATCTTGTACATATACCAATAAATGCCATAACTAGTTTTTCCGAAGTCGTTTGTTGATAAACGTGTCGGTGTTCTCCTCTGTAAAGCTGTTCCCAAGGTACCTACCACTGTCCATAACTCTCTCAAACCGTTTCCGTGGTGAAATCTGTTTTGTATACGCTTTCCGCTGTTGTTGGCTCTTGATGGTCCAGTCATCACCACCATCATCGTCGTACACAACCACCACAGGTTCATCCAAGTATGCAATTTGTCCACCAGTGGGGCCTTCGTGTAGAATACGGAGGGCCTTGAAATCGAACGCAAAAACATGACTGGGCGTCAGAACCACTAACTCATCCATGAGTAGCTTCACGGTAATTATTTTATCTGTGACAATATAATGGATTGGCTTGAAAACTATCAGACTGTTGAGGGTTTCATCGTTTATTATGATCTCGTTGACAAGAATCGAGTCGGGGAACTGGACCACCAAGTACTTGACGTCTTTTTTTTTGAAACTGAACACTCGCTTGATCTTCATCTCTTTCCGTACATCTAGTTTACTCTGTACGTAGTGAATATTTGCTCCGTCATAACTTTCTCTCCATATTTGGGCACCCACAAAGTTTCGTACCTTCTCTCTGCTGACAACTCGGAAGTCTTTCACAGAAATGGTGATGATTTCGATCTCCTCAGAATCGCTCGTTAGCACCATAATATAGTCAGTGATGGAATCGATGCTTATGTTTGTAACAAAGTACTCGGTAGCCCCAAACTTCACCGGTGAGTCATCGCCTCCTAAACCATCGTTCAACCAGTTCAAGTTAATGATGGGGTCTCCCGTAGGTATGAACTCCGATAGGTTAAACTTTCTCTTATTAACTCCGAGCGAGTTAAACACCTGCAAATTGAACCCGAAAAGCGAGTCGGCACTGTTCAAATAGATAAGCCACTTACCAGAATAACTCCAGTGAAGGTCAAAGTCGTCCGATAGCAACGGGTTAGGTAGTTTGAATCTATAAAGCAATTTGCTCACCGACCCTTCGTTATAAAAGTGATAAACAATGGGGTTCTGGTCGTTGACCTCAGCTGACCGGCTCTCAAGTACTAGTGACCACATATTTGGTGTTTGTGGATTGAAAATTGGTGTCTTGGAAACCGGTTTGGTGAGTTTCCACACAATTTGTACACAATCAAGAGAGTATAGCTTCACTTGCAAATGATTTTTCGTGTACACAATCAACTGTTTCGAGTTTGTGTACGAGCCTTCTTCTTCCTGTTGTTGCTCAGCCACGGGTGGGATCCAGTAGAAGTCTTGTATGCCCTCAGAAGCCTCTTGTTGAATGATAATCGGATCCGAATAGGTGAAAATGTCATAGATGGCCACTATCGAATAGTTTTCCACCAGAACAGCCACCTTCGTACTCACACCATCTAGCGTATGCTCCCATCGTATTCTCCCGATCTTGATATCCGCAGGTAGTCTCTTTAACACCAAGTGCAGTCTCACCCCATCACTTACATCATACGAATTCAACAACCGCTTGGATCGGATTTCAAACACCTTCAACGTAAACACGTACGGCAGAAACAGTGCGATGTACCTGCCACACTCTGAGATCTCTTTCCATTCTGTAGTCATCAGATATACAGAGTATGGATCTTATCACAAACAGGTTTTGGATGCGCGCCAGAAACCAAAACAAAATAAACAAACACCAAACATTGATCCTCACAAGGACTACACTCAAAAGGCCCAATCTGATACCTTTTCCGCACCCTCACTTTGCAGAATCTGTCGCCATGGCCCCTAAGAAGAAGCCGACAGCACTGAACCTGACCAAGCCCTCTGTCAAACCCAGAAAGCCCAGGTCCAAAAAAACCATCAAAACCCTCCAAGTCCCCACCATAAACCCACCTTCACAGCCCAGTTCCCAACAGACACTTCCACAGAGTATTTTCGGGCGCCTGAACCGACTAGATGACATATTCTCGTCGCAGACAGCCGCAGACGCCTCCGATAGCGGTGCTGACCTAGACTCTTCTTTAAAGAGCAAGAAACGAGGTGGTGAGCCGTCCAAGACATTTGAAGAGGATGAAGGCTTCTTCTACAAGCGTACCAAGCCGACTACGAGCACCAAGAAGCGTCTGAAACAAAAGCCAATCAGCACGCCCATCTTCAAGTTGAACCAAGCATTGGATGAGCTACCCAATAACAACCTCCATGACAGTTTCGACTCCATGGACTTCGAGCCGGAGGTGCCACCACCCAAGAAAACCAAGATCGCCAGCATCAAGAAGACGAGCAATGTGGCCAAGCTCTCGTCTCCAATACGACCTAGGTATGAGGGTACGTACAAAGAACCGTCTCCATCTTCTGCTGATGATGACGAATATGTGGAGCAAGTGTCCCACCATACGATCAACCTTACTGGTGGAGACGATAGTGATGAGGACATCGAGCCCACCAAGTCGAGAAAGAAACACAACAAAGATCGTAGGTCTTCTTACAGTAACAGAGGCAAGAGAATGCTGTCGATTGGCAACGGGTTGGTAGCATCTCCCCATGAAGACGTATTAGCCAAAGACTACTACAAGCATATTGACACATCGTTATCGGAACCTCATCGTATGAAACAACTTTTGATTTGGTGTATCAAGAAGAAGATAAAGGAGGAAGATAAGAAACACCAACAAAGCCTATTAAGCTCGGACGACCAGGTTGCAATCAATATTGCCAAGGTGATCAAAGATGAAACCCTTCATGACTTGAAGGACGGAACCATATCCACCAGTTGGTATAACATTCCTGAATTATCCAACGATTCGGGTGATAATGGCATGATTGCCAATCAAGAAATCGTGTTACCGAACCCACTCAACCTCACGACTGAACAGAATATCAAGAAGTTCACCAAGCAGTTGAACCGGTTAAAGCGAGAAAAAGAGCAGTGGAAAGATATGGAAAAGCGGAACGTTAGTACACTTGACAAGAATCTAACTAGCATTGACATCACCGACGAAAAGGACATTAATGCGTTACGTAAACATTGTAAGGATAAGGAGGTTGATTACAATGATTCTGTTCTTGGACAACAGATGGTAGACCACGTAGCATCTGTTTACAAGGACGTGACAAATAAGTTTCTGGATAACGTGGAGAACTCGATAGACGAATTGTTCAACCTCACAAACACCTTGACCAAAGTCAGCCACTTCGTCGAGAAATGCACCCAGAGTAAGTTGGTGCCCAAAATCTCCGAAACCACCAAGAGTTTTGTGGATAAGAGCAAGATCCAAAACATCAAAGCCACAGACTCCCTCTGGCCCACGTCTTCAAAACCCTTGGGAGTAAAGCAAATTCTTCAGGGAATCGCCAAGTTGGATAGTGAGAAAGAAGCCGAGATGCATGTGTGATACCGGCTGAAGAAGTTACGTTTGTCTTATGGCCTATCCGGCGATGCTGTCCTGTCATTGTATCATTCGTACTACCCTGTACACTAACAACCCCAATGTATTATAACTAAGTCGCATAATAACTAGACCGAACTATTCAACGCCGTAGCTATTTCTCCGTACCACCGTATTTGCTCGCTTACACTTACAAACCGGTGAACTTTAAATGAATCTCGGGAAATTCTGAAAAGCTAGGTAACAAGATTCTCCGAACATTCCCCGCTGCCAGCCCCCAGCTATTGGTTTCTTCAAAACTCAACCCTTTGTGATGGTTCTAGATCCCATATTTTTCACCCCCGTCAATCAAAACCCTTCTTCCACAAACCATTGTACGTCCCCTTTTTTGGTGCCGCCAGGAGTTACCCAGTGGTGCTTCTCATTAAAATGAGACACTTTCCGGGGAGGTTGCTCGCAGCGCTGCTCGCGAAAACATACTCCATCCAGAAACATACCCCATATTTAGAAACCTGAACTTTCCAACCATAGAAAACTGCTCCCCATTGGGTAACCCCTGAGCAACTAACCTGTGCGACCCCGTTACGAACACAAACGTCCCCAGAATTCGGCATTTATTGTTCCTCATCGGCATATCTCACTGAGCATATATAATGGCCCTTCCCCAGCTATGTCTGCCTCTATCCGACCGCCATTGATACTTATCATGTTTGTGCACCTAGCGTTTGTGGCGTGTATCTATTTGTACTGCAGCCGTGTCAGCACTGCTCTTGGCTTCCTCCCCGACCCCCACTCCGATTTTAGTGGCCCCGTGTCCAGAGACTCAGTGGCCCAAAATACAAACGACCTTTTAAACTTCATCAACAGCCATGAAAACAAGCGGATTTTCGTCCAGCTCTCCAACAGTGACTATGCTTTCTACGACTACCACCGTAATCTCGTCGGTACTGCCCGCTTCCCCCTAAAAAATAAGTACCAACAACAACCGTATGTTGCGAATGGCTACATTGGCAGCAGAATCCCCAACTTGGGACAGGGGTTCACCTACGACCAGTTGGACAACTCCGACAACAACACTGACAACTTGAGTAACGGGTGGCCCTTGTTCAACCAGCGATACGCCGGAGCGTTTGTGGCGGGATTTTTCGATATCCAGCACAATACCACCCAAACCAACTTCCCCGAGTTGCTCGCCAACGGCTACGAGAGCGTGATTGCGGCCATTCCCCAGTGGACGTCCCTCCAGTTGGCTGCAAAAATCGCGAACTCCACCGCCACCTTGGACCCGGCTGCCGCCACGGCGCACCAGGGTTCGGTCTCAGACTACGTCCAAACAATGTCTTTGAACCATGGGGTGGTCACCACCGAGTTCACGTGGCTCAACACCTTTCGTGTCAAGTACCAGGTGCTTGCGCACCGGAAATATGTCAGTTTGGGAATCGTCAATTTGCAGGTGCTGAACTTGAACAACTCCGATGCAGAGTTGACGGTTGAAGACAGACTCGATTTTGCAACCGCACAGCGGTGCCAGTTGGTTGATGTGGGCCACGATAGCACCGGTATCTATATCAATTTCCAGCCCCACCAGATTGACTATATCAACGGTACCGTCTACTCAAGATTGGAATCGAGTTTGAAAGCCAACTTTTCCAGAACTAAGAACCACACTAGAGTCAGTCAAAAGACCAAATTGCACCTCAAGAAACGATCTTCCGTAACTCTCACCAAGTACGTCGGTATCGTCACCACAGACTTGGATCCACAAGCTTACAAGTCTAGTGAACACTTGCTCAACTTTGCCAAAAAGACGGCTTTGCACAGTGGAAGCTTTACCCAACTATTCGAAGAGCATCAAGAAGAATGGGATAAAACCTTGAAGTCCTCTGTGGCCATCACATTTCCAGATGACCAGTTGTTGACGATGACAAGTAGAGCGTCGGCTTTTCATTTGGCTGCAAATACTCGACCTGAAGCCCAGGGAGTCACCGGGGCTCTTGGAGTCGGAGGATTATCGTCAGACTCTTATGCTGGGTTGGTTTTCTGGGACTCAGACTTGTGGATGTTGAATGGAATTCTTCCTTTTGTACCCGATAGAGCCAAAAGTATCGTAAATTACCGAATCCACACCCACGAACAAGCCATTGATAATGTACCTAAAGGCTATAGTGGTGCCGTTTACCCTTGGACAAGTGGACGGTTTGGTAACTGTACTGCTACGGGTCCTTGTTTGGACTATGAATACCACATCAACATGGCGGTGTCATTTGCGGCATGGCAGGTGTACTTGAGTGGGTACGGTGATGATGAATATTTGAAAGACACGGTATTTCCGTTGATATACGATGCTGCTTCTTTCATGGCCGACTACGTCCAGTACAACTCGTCGTTGAAAGCATATACTACCCACAACTTGACTGATCCAGACGAATATGCCAATCATGTCGATAATGGGGCCTACACAAATGCCGGTATTTCTTCGTTAATGAAGTTTGCAGTGGCTATAGGCTCTCACCTTGAGGAAGACATTCCTTCGAACTTCACAAATATCGCAGGAAATATGAACCTTCCATTTTCTGATGGTGATGACGACATCACCTTGGAATATACGGGCATGAATTCAAGTGTGGGAATCAAACAGGCCGATGTGGTGATGATCACATACCCTTTGAACAATGAGCTTATCACGAAAGACCAGGCCTATACAAACATGCAATTCTACGCCATGAAACAAGTGAATTATGGGCCTGCCATGACATTCCCAATCTTTTCGATTGTGTCGTCGGCGTTGTCACTATCGGGATGTTCTTCCCAGTCTTATCTCTACAAAGCCATGGGTGCGTATCTCAGAACACCTTTCGCGCAGTTTGCTGAACAAAATAACGACGATTTTGCAACCAATGGAGGAACACACCCAGCTTTCCCATTTTTGACAGCACATGGTGGATTCTTACAAGCGGTACTCCAAGGCTTAACCGGCTTGAGATATGATTTTGAGGTCAAAGATGGCCAGATAAACAGAATGTTGGGGTTCGATCCAATTAGCGTTCCTCTAGTGGGAAAAGCCGGTGTCAGGTTCGAAGGTGTAAAGTACATGAATAACTCCCTCTCATTGAAAGTTAACGAGACTTATTTTATTGTCTCTAACAACGGTCCTGTTGACGAGTACACAAATGCTTCGGAGACCATAACCATTAAAATAGGAGATAGAAACATCAAGGCCGGAAAGTATGAACTCGAAGAAGGAGACATTTTGGAGATTCCTCTAACAGTTCCCAAAGCTTCTTCTCCTGACTCCGTATGTGAGTGTGCATCTGCCACCTTTACCAACATCACCGAAGGCGCTTTTGGCGACAGTGCTTTTCTGATCAACGATGGTGATAATTTCACTCACTGGCAAGCCAAGTACAATGATACCACTGCCAAAGTGTTGATTGACTTAAAAGAGTTCAAAAATATCACCGGTGGTGAGATTAACTGGGGCGACTCGCCCCCACAGAATTGGTCTCTATCTTTGTTTGAGCTCCAAAGAGACTGGGATACTCATGAGCTTTTAGCTTCGGTCGACTTTGGGGGAGATGTGAACAACCAGTATCGCTTCTTTAAGACCGACCAGGACATTATCGACCAGGACGATGCTTTCACAGTTCTTATTGAAGAAGATGTAGAGATCTCCTCACCGTTCAACGAGAGCGAGTTCTTGGTAGTTGAGGTTCCAGACAAATTCAACATCACCAGATTCGAGTTGGACGACCCGGCTCTTGCAAAATTCTTACTTTTAGAGTTTTCCAACATCCACAACAAAGAGCCTGTGGATCCGTCATCTACAGGAGGGGGGAAGCTTTACGAAGTTATGTTATTTTGAACAAAAATTTAGATATTGTCTTAGTTAAAGCAAATGGAAAACCTATACAATTCAAGGCTATTATTGAAGAGCCTCGGCCATGTTGATTAAACGTTTAACACCAGCATGCCAATGGCCGACTTCTTCTGGGAATGAAGATGCAAATGAAAGCACTAATGTGCTGGCAGCCTGATACTCTTTGGCTTCTAATTTGCTAGAAATCTCCCTCAAGAGTTCAATACCACCCGCAGACAATAACTCACTGTTGTTTAAATGATCGTAAAGAATATTCAATCTCTTTTCCATATCTTCGCCATGCTTAGCATACTTCTCTGGAATATTAGGTTTGAGGGCTTCGTACGCCGAGCTGAATACCTGGTATATTGGTAAAGATTCAGCAGGAATATGAGATCTGTCACCAGCTGGGAACTTTTCAATTACTGGGGCTTCTACTGGAATTGGAACTGCTGGTGGTTGAGAGAGCAGCGGAGGTCCAGTAGGGGGAGGTCCTGAAACTGGTCCTGAAGGTGGAGGAGGGATTGAGCTCATCGATGGACGAGAGCTCAAACCTTGGTAAGGAGATTGAATGATTGGCCTGGGGGCAATCATTCCACCACTTGGAACCCTACTGGGTGGGGCCTGCGGCACTGCAGGTTCAGCAGGTGTCGATGGCATGTAAGGGTTCCTCACAGGTTGACTGTGTGAAGCTCTAGGAGAAACAGTATTCAGAACCGGGCCTGACGGAGGGACTGATGATGTTGGAGGAGCGTAGGCCGAGGCAGGAGGAGCATACGGGTTTCTAGGAGTAGAACCAGGAAAAGAACCACTAGGGCCAGCAACCACTGGGGTTTGAGAGGGTGAAGCAACAGTTCCGGGGGGTGGGGCGTATCTCTTAGTTTGAACAGGAGTCAGACGAGGTGATGACACCGTAGGAAGAGAAGCTTTGGAAGGATTCCGCGATGGGGCTCTAGGGGGTCCTGAATGAGGAGCTCCTGGAGGAGCTCCTGGAGAAGACACAGACGATCTCTGAGGTCCCAAGGCAGGCTGAGGGAAAGCCGTGGGAGCAGGAGATACGGCGGCAGCTGCTGCACGACGAGCCTCAGGTTTTTGCTTAAAAGTCTCAGGAAGATCGTTCCAACCATCGGTCACCTCCTTATATTTTGGCTTGGCTGCCAATGGTGGAGGAGCAATGCTATGAGGTTCTCCTGGTGCACCCACAGATGACTGTGGTCTCATATATGGATTGATGGGAGCAGCGTATGGATTCGAAACAGCAGGCTTCATATATGGGTTCGAAGGAGCACCAACTGCCGGCTTCATATATGGGTTTAAAGGAGCAGCAATAGGAGGAACCTGAGAAACTGGGGTTTGTGGAAGAGCCTGGATAGGAGTAAATTGAGAACCTGGTGACTGTGCCTGAGCATACTTGTTGGCTGGGGACAATATTGGCTTTGACTGGATGGGCTTAGAGTACCTTCCACCAACTTTGGTGTTGGCAGTGGACCCGTTAACCTTGTTAGTAGCCTTGGAGATACGATCCTTATAGGCCTTAAAGCCATCAAATTCGTCAGGTAATAACTTGGAAAACTTATCTGCCACTTCGAATTCACCGTAGTTGGCAAGGAGATTGGAGTATTCGAGAATCGTCTTACAAATTGGTTCAATAGAAGGCCCAGAAAGAGCCCCAGTTACTTTGGAGATAGCCCTATACGCAGCAATCTTCTCGGCAAAGTTGTTTAATGACTCGAAATGAGCGTCAAAAGGAGTGGTTATATCGGTACGGTCCTTTCCTTCCAACAACTTAGTCTCATAAGCGGGCAACTCTTGTAACCATATACTGGCAATCTTGTCAAGAGCACCTCCACTCAAGTAACATAAGATAGCATCATCTCTATTAGACGAGTCTTGCTTCAAAACCCGGTCACCTAATTCGGTGATCTTTGCATTGAAGTCTTCAGTATCAACGCAGTATGCGGAAATACTATTGGCAATATGTTTCCAGTCACTAACATCAGCATAAGCTACGATATCCGTGATATTTTTGGAAGAAGCTCCATAGATGACTCTTGAGAGTTCTGAATCCTTGTTTTTGTTGAAGAAGGCATTCTTGACCTTGCCCTTCACTTCATCAGATCCATCCAAAGCTAACACCAAAGCTTCAATCAAGTTATCGCTATCAAGACATTCCTCAACCGCAGGTTCAATCTTATTACTTAAGATCAATTTGATTAACTTCTTGTCGGACTCTGAAGAGCTTTCGCCAAACAATTTGAAAGATCCGGAAGGAGTGTAACCAGTGTCTTTGGTACCATTGCTTTCTTTTCCTAACTTGTCAAAGAAAGAATCCTCTTCCTGGTCTCCACCTTCCGCTTCAGGTTTAGAATCACCGTTTGTTTTGGGAGCCTCTTCTTCGGAAACCTCCTTGATCACATCAGTGAAAAGACTCTTCTTGTCGGTGGAGGACAATTTTTTCAAAAGCTCCCAATCAGCTTTATCACGGTCATCGAGGAACTCTCCCTCGAGTTTATTGCTAATGATAGAATCAAAATCATTGGAGGTTAAGGCCGAGTTGAGCTGCTCGGGAGAGAACTTCAAAGCACTTGAAGGCACAAACTTGTTGATATTAACCACAGACTTTCCGTGGGTATCGCTCTTAACTGTCACCAATTTGGATCCAAACCCAAAGAACACCGACGAAGGACGCTTCAACCAAGCTGGGGCTTGCTTCACTTCAAAAACAGGATGCTGAGTATCGGTTGTGGCAAGTTCGTTCCAAAACTCGTCCTCATTCTCGGTGGCTTTTGACACAATTGGAGGAGAAGTGTCTTGCAAGGTTTGCACGATGATCTTACCATCATAAGAAGCCGTAGCAAAAATATCAGGAGCATTAGGAGCAAACTTGGTCAAGAACGCCCAGTTGGCAGTGGTAGGGTACTCACCCAATTTCTGACCCGTGATAGGGTTCCACACAATGGTGGTATTATCTTTTCCGCTGGAAATCAACAATTCGGGGTCTTGCTTACACCAGTCCAAAGACAAAACACCCTTTTTATGACCCTGCATGATCTTCTCGGGAGCATTGGCATTTCTCAAGTCCCAGGTCAAGATCACGGGGCAGCCGTCGTTGTCGCTAGCGGTAATCAACTTGGTAGTCTCGGTCGGGTGCCATGCGACGTAGGAAAAGTTGGCTCTGCCCAAATCTCCGTTATATGCCAAGTGTAACACTTCCCGAGTTCTGCTCAAGTCCCAGATCGACGTGTATCCTCCATTTCCAGTGCTTGCAAACACATTAGTTTTGGAGTTATTCCAGGCCACACACGAGACTTCGTCCATGGGTGACATAGCAGTACCAGGAGACTTTGGGATGTCGAACAGTTTACAGTCCCAAACAAAAATCTGGCCCTTGGAGCCTCCCGAAATCAACTGGTGGGCTTCCTTGGGGTTGAAAGACAATGTCTTGACGTCTCCTGAGTGGTGATCGGATTTGTGGACCGACGCTTTTTGTAAGTCTTGGGACTTGATCAAGGTATCAACGTCCCAGAACTCAATAACACCGTTTTCGAAGGCTCCGGCTAACAACCCTTTGGGTCTTCCTTCAAACGGCTTGGACCACGCCAACACGTGGAAGCGATTGTCAACTGAGGCCTGGAAAATAGGATCCTTTTTGTTGGTGGCAGAGAATATATCCCATATTTCCAAACTGGAGGATGAATTGAAGTTAAGATCAACGGCCCCGGCCACAGTTCCGGTGGCCAACAATGGCAAGCTATCATAGCTCCACGCAAACGTGGAAGTTCGGTCGATTTCTTCGATTTTGACCATGACGGTGATTTGACAACAGCTAGTGATTCAAAGGCTGTGGATCAGACAACGGCAACAGAAAGATAGGAGAAAACAATCAATTGGCACACTACGGTGGTGGTGTGGGCACAATCTGTTTTTGTCTTTTGCTGGGGCAGCTAATACACTCGGATAGTTCAAATTCCAAATGTCTCGATCTGTAGCCTACAACAGGTTGATTCAGTGTTTTTTCGGCCACCGCACCATGGGTTTTTTTGTGGACCATCAAACACGGTAGGTCCACTCCACGCGCATTCTTGATATTAAATACATCCGAGCTAAAACTACAACTCCTCTTTGTTATTATTTATTTCAAATGTCAAGTACCGTTTCCTTAACTCATAGAAACAACAAGAACTTGGTCAAGGCATTGGTTCGATTTGTCAACCTCAAGGTGGCCCGCCCATCCCTCAAGGCATTTATCTTTGCCTATTTGTACGTTACTCTCCCCAAAGTGATCAATCATATTCTGATAGCTATCAAGAAAAAGGACTACAAGCTGATATTACCCCGAATTTTGAAGGTCATCACCAAAGCTTTCCATCCATTCAAGTTCCCAGCATTCGCTGCCTCGTTAATCGCCATCATAAACATCCTTGAGCCAATAGTTGCAAGATTCCTCCGCGTATCCAAACGGTTCCACGGGACCACCGAGACGGTGTTTGTGGCTACGTTCATCTCGTCGTTCATCGCTGCCAGTGTGTCATTCCCTCAGTTCCAGAACCACATCATTGGCTACGGGCGGTTCTTGTCGTTGGACTTAACGCTTTTGGTGCTCAGCAGAGCCATCGATACCACACTTTCATCGACGTTATCGGCGGTGTTGCCGCCATTCTTCCAGCAGTTTGGTGATGGGTTGTTGTTCATCGCCTCGTGCACGCCCATCATGTATTCGTGGTTCTTCCGTCCCGATAGGCTTCCTCCCGCGTACAGAAAGTGGATCACCTCGGCGGCGAATATGGACGACGAAATTGTCGGGGTCCTCAAGAGCCTCCACGATGGTACCGTCAAGTACGGGGAAAAATCAGATTATTTGGCCGATTATTGTGAGCGGTACGGCCAAGACCCCGCCCAGGCGGACTTCTCTCAGGACTCGCCGTTGCCCTGTAAAACGGTGCATGCGTTCAAGACTTCCAACTGTGAGGTACATGCGCTCTGGCGGTTTGTACGTGGATTCAAGTTCGCCTTTAAGTTATACGGAAGTATCAATGCGTTTATGTTGTTGATACCGAAGAAAAACATCGCCATGACGCTTCGATTGAGGCGGGCCCTTCAACTGTCGATTCGGTCGTCGTGCTTCTTGGGAGCATTCATTGCTCTTGACTGGTACGGTGTTTGTCTCACCCGGACCCGACTTTTCCCCAAGTTGTTCCCCGAGGTGCCCAAACAGACGTGGGACATTACGTGGGGCCCAGCAGTGGGAGCTTTTCTTTGTGGATTCAGCAGTTTTGTGGAATCTGCGCAGCGCCGGAAGGAATTGGCACTTTTCGTGTTTCCTCGAGCCCTTGGAACCCTTGTTCCTACTGAGGCTACCGACAAGAACTTGCTCATCGAACGATTCACGTTTTCCATGAGTATGGCCATTCTTGTAGCCTACTGTAAGAAGAACCCTAAGTCAGTCAGAGGTATCTTCGGTAAGGGTCTTACTGCCGTAATGTCCATTAGTAGCTAGTTTCACATCAAACACTCAACACCTCCAAGTCCATCAGTAGTTGGTTATCTCAAAGCGCGCACAAATACACAATTCGATGCAAGATGAGCGAGGTCGAAATACCCAATGAAGCACCAGACTACGTCGATATGAGCGGAACATCGCCAGAATCGACCGAAATGGTACTAGACCACTCAAACCCCTTGGCTGACGAGGATTTCAGCTCTCCGGGAGGTGTTTCTCATGATGCTCTTATAGAGGTGTTCAAAATAGACCCAGAGGACAAATACGCCTTTTTGGCCTGTTTGTGTCTATGTGATCCGCAAACACAACCTCGGGAATGTGACAAGTATGTTCTAAGTCTCGAAAACTTGACGGATGTTTTCATGGGGATTCTCGTGCTGAAAGAATACTCAAGCTCGTCTCCTACGCTAGTGTCGTCACTAAGATTTAAGATATCAGTACAATTATACAAGCTCGTGTTGAACATCCTCGAGTTTCTTGGCCCCACCACCGAAGAGGAATTGGACCTTATGGGCATCTGCTGTGACAAGTTCTGGGAGACCAAACTACAGCTCTGGACTCCTCATCCGCCTCTACTCTATGATCCCAACTCCCTTAAATTATGCTACTTGATGGTGTGCTTGATATTCAGCACCCTCCGCAAGCTCTTTCCTGATGATACCGGATACCCCAATCTTGCACTCAACCCATACATGCCGAAATTTGTTGATTTATGGAAGGTTTATAGTGTGATAATTCTCAACTGCTTGCAAATCGATAGAATGCTCGAAGAACAGGCCCAAGACACACCTGATATCATCATCGAGATTCTTCAAGGAGCCTCCCTTGTGAGGTACGTGCTAGCATACTCGTTAAACAGCTCGGTACCGTCCAGTGCTCACGAGGTACCGATTCTGGAGGATACAGAATACCAGCAAGACTTACGCCATGTCAACTTCTTGGACTTGTACGATCCTTTGGCCAGGAACAAAGTTGACGGTGGAGCCCTCGGAAAGGACATCCGCTACTACGGGATGTGCCGCTTCATTATTAATGCTGGGATGTCCTTTGATGGATACGACAATATCCACGATCATAGCGTGGTGATGAACGATAAATATGACGAAGACATACGATACATTTTTGACTACGAAGATGAAGACGACAATGATGGCGACAACGACGATATCGAGGACACTAACGACTCCGACGACTCTGCAGAACCTAAGGAATCGGTTACAGATAAGCGTCTTCACCTCAACCGATTAACCCCATACATGAGAGATGTCTTGAAAGAGATGAAGAACAATGACGACAATGGGTACATCCTTCGAACCGAGGCAGAATACGAGAAGGTACTCTATCAAGTGCTCTATGAAGATGCCGATTCACAAGAGTATATTCCTCTTGGGCAAAGAATATTGGATACCATCGCCGCCAAGTTCTTTGCGCCGCCGCTCTTCGAGGACCAGTACAGTCACACCGACCTCCTTTTGGGTGGTGACGTTGACGAGGCGATCATCACCCAATTTTGCCAAAATAACCTGGTGATACCCATCTTGAGAGTGCGTCTTTTCGAGCTTTTGCTCGTCACTCACCCGGACTTTGCCATGCAGATGGTCAAAGAGTTCTGGAATCCAGTTCAGTCCAACAACTATATGATCTGGTTTCTTTGTCACGGCATCAATCTTTCTTCACAGCTTATTGAGTTTGTTTACGACGTCTTGAACGATACCCCAAGTGTCACCAAGTTCAAATTCAGCCGCAACGAAGATGATTTCACCCTCTCACGGCAGGAAAAGTCACTTATTATCCACGAGTTTTTCGAAGGAGCCAGTGAATTCTTGTCTGCCAGCGACGGCTTAGACATTGAAGATGGTCTCGAAGTGCGATTGTCTAAAGGTATCACCAAAAAATTGGTAACATACATCTGTCTCATGCTTGAACGGACTCTCGAAAATGACCTTGTGACGGACTTACTTATGGACAACCACGAAGTGATCTCAATGTGCTTGTTCCCGCATATTGGCCAACTGCCCCCGGCTCGAAAGCTTTACTTTGAGCTCAAGCGCATTTCTGCCACCTACGAACGGGCCAGAGAAAAGACCTTGAAAGAGTACATTGGCCATGTGATCATCAACAAGACAGGCACCGCCGGCGACGCCAACACCGCCTTCCGGCAGTTCAGCACCCAATTGGCTCAAGCGTTGGTCAAGGTGCGACAGTCCATGAACACAAAAGGTACACACCCCACCACCAGCCTCGATGTGTTCCAGGTGTTTATGGAGCTCTTCCCGCTTCTCACGTCTCAGGATGCTTTGATCAACCAGGTGGTGGAACACCTCCCGCTCGAACCTCTTAATGGAGAACCCCCCATTAAACTTAAGGAAGACAAGGTGGACGACAATGAACATGACGACAACGACTCGAAGAAGAAGAAGAAGAAGAAGAAGAAGTCCAAGAGCAAGAAGCACTAGAATCCAGACAGTTATTTTATAATATAAGTACATACCGTGTCTGCCGATGACTCAAGTTCGCATTAATTTCCAATTAAACTTCATAAAATGTTCAACCGTAACTTAGTCAGAACCCTTACCTCCTCCACCAGAAGAATGTCTTCCAAGTTAGAATCCGTATGTGATGAATTCAATGTGTATTTAGGCCATTGACAACTCATACTAACGTTTCTTAGGTTAGAACCTACGACGCCCCACCTCCAGCTGCCTCCTACTCCCAGGCCATCAAGGCTAATGGTACGTAATACATTTACACACATTCCCAGTGGTTGTCTAGTGATACAATTGCATGGTACCCGTAAAGAGTATCCTGTCCGCACGACCTACTTGCCCCAGACCCGCTACTAACGTCCCAGGTTTTGTCTACGTTTCAGGCCAAATCCCATACACCTCTGAGAACAAGCCGTTGCCCGAAGGGTCCTCTACCATCGACGAAGCTGAAAGAGTCATTCAAAACGTCAAGGCTGTTTTGGAAGCCTCCAACTCTGGTTTGGAGTACATCGTCAAAAATACCGTGTTTTTGACTGATATGGCCCAATTCGCTGAGTTCAACCAGGTTTACTCAAAGTACTTTTCCGACCACAAGCCCGCAAGATCATGTGTAGCCGTCAAACAGTTACCTTTGGGCTGCTTGTTGGAAATGGAAGCCATTGCTGTTGAAAAGGACAGTTCCAAGTTGTAGGTAAAATATACAGACACTTTCTATATCTTTCAGGGTACCTCTGAGATCTGACCTGAGACGGTGCGGCCACTTAGGGCTCTTCCCCGGAAGATTCCCCCTGTGACTGTTTTTCAATCCTGCATATATCCCGCGCACTTCCTCTGCCTTTTGTGTCACTTGGACGCTCACTCACTGCGCTCTCACCGCTTGAAAAATTCTCATTCTCTCCAAGTAAAAATTTTAACGTACTAATCACATCTTCAATAATGGCCGGACGTGTTACTTTCAGAAGAAGAAATCCATGTATGTCTTAACCTCACCTTTACCTTGTGAATACTGTTGTTCCCGCTTCCCAGGATAAGTCGACTTTACTACAATTCGATTCACCACCTTGAAAATTTTTCCCATCGTTTATTCAACCATCTCATAAACATACCCAGAAACCATATTTGTACAAGAGTGACCCCTATCAAATGAACCATATCCTTCGAACCTGCGTAGAACAACATGATAATTGAATGATCTTTCCAATACTAACAAATTTTAGACAACACCAAATCCAACAAGATTAAGGTCGTTAAGACCCCAGGTGGAAAGTTGGTTGCCCACCACTTGAAGAAGCTCACTGCTAGACCAAAGTGTGGTGACTGTGGATCTGCTTTGGCTGGTGTCTCCACCTTGAGACCAAGAGAATACGCCCAAGTTTCCAAGACTCACAAGACTGTCCAAAGAGCTTACGGTGGTTCCAGATGTGCTAACTGTACCAAGGAAAGAGTCGTCAGAGCTTTCTTGATCGAGGAACAAAAGATAGTTAAGAGAGTGTTGAAGGAAAAGGAAGAAAAGGAAAAGAAGGCTGCTGCCAAGAAATCCAGCAAGTAAATGCACCTTTCATTCATTCCATGTATAACAGATAATATTTAATCGTCCATCGATATATACATAACGCTTAATATATTTGTAGACAAAGATGGTGGGAAGCGTGAGTAAATGAGCTCTGAAAGTGTCTTTCTTTTCTATATCAGGTATGGTGGATGTTGCACATACTTCATGTGCTAAAGTGAAGTAGGAAAGAAAATAGGCTTATGCAGAGGTTTACAAGCTCTAGCCATAAGGTCGACATCAGAAAACAGGTTTTTATGTGATTGCTGTGAATTTTATGAAAATGGCGATTGACACATTCTTACATTTACGACCAACATATGTTTGTGTACTTCGACTTTTATGCGTACGCCGACTTTATTTGCATACGTTGCCTTTTATTTGTCTAACTTCAACCTTGGGTGTTGCCGTCTCCTAGTTATCCATTTGTGTTTTGGTAAAGTCCACCTGGTCCCTCTCACGTGACTTACTTCGGAGCTCCAAAGACGAGCCGCGACACTGATCGGGTCTCAGTCCAAATCCGCCCGCAACTCACCACACCACATATTGCAACCAAATTCTGCCAAAACATACCAACACAATAACCACATCTCTACACTCCCAGGGACCAAGGTGATCCAACCCCACCATGGCCCCCTTGCCACCATTCGATTTGTCAGACAAATCACTTGGTGACTAATTAGGAAATTCAGAGTGGCTGCGGCATAAAAAAAAGAAAAATAGCCTCTTATCAGTTGCGTTTCACAACATCCCTTATCATATAAATAGTCACCGATCTGCCTCTTACTATTCTACTTGTTGTCACGCCAAACCCAATATGGATCAAGGAAGATTATCCCATATTCTTGAAAACACGTATATCCCTCCCAAAAAGAGCCTAGCTACCCCCCAGGTGCCTCCTTATCATCCCTGTTTGATAGTTCAGGACAAACAAACAGACGTGACGAAAATAAAGCCGTGTGGGTGTGCTGACAGTTACTGTGTCAAGATGGCACCGGAGTGGATTCCTACTCCTAAGTAGGTCCATCTCCATACCCTGAGATGACAGTGGGACAAGAGTGAATAGAATAATGAGAAACTAATATGCAACACTGGCACACCAGTACTAATATACAACTACTAATATACAAATGCTACATGCACAAATACTGCATTGGGTATCACTACCCACAAGAGTTTTTAACTTATCGTCTATTCTGATCATACACTGAATATAAAGAAAGACCGGTATGCTGATGCTAATGTTACTAAATGAATTGAACACCCCATGGGCTTTTGTGTCTATCGACTTTTAACTGTGCGTCTGCTGAGGTTGCGGCTGCACTTCACTGGAGTTGGATTGTTGGCTTGGGAGCTGTGATCCCGAATCGGTACTTGGAGGAATAGTATCAATGCTAGTGTTATGGACCAACTCGTTGGTGATTTGTTCCCGTTTCCAGAACCTCAAAAGTAGATCTCCATAGTTCTGCAAATCTTCCACCGAGATCATGAGCTTGAAGTCAAGAAGCAATAAGAATTGTAACTCCAAGTAATTTAATTCCTCTAATGGTAGGCCCCCGACCTTGGCGTACCGGAGATTCTTGTAGAAGATGTCAGAAAAGAACTTAGACGAAACGGTTATACCTGAAATAATCAACCGGTGGATATTGTACGAATCCATCACAAACAATTGCTCGCCGTCGGGGTCACCTTCTTTCTTCAAGTTGTTGGCCTTCTTGGCTATCCGGTCAAAATACACCAAAAGTGAAAGAAACACCTCATTTGTTACCGGACAATACTTCAACACCCTCGAAAGATACGCATGGAGCGAGATTCCAGGGACGTTGGTTCCATGGAATGCAAGCACATTGGCCAAGTATCTATTTTTCATCTCATCTTCTTCATCCCCGTCCAGACTATCATCCTCTATTATCGACTCATTGACATTGATCCTGTTGGGATCCTGTTGCTTCTGTTGAAGATCTTCTTGATGCTGATGGTGCTGCTTCCTCTGGAGCTTCTTCTGGCGCTTTTCCTCCTTCAACTTCTGGCGAATGGCGATGGTACTGTCAAAGTGGTTGGGATGGAGCTTATCGTTAGCCTCGATTATCTTGGTCAACAAGCATGAAAGCATCAAGATCAAGTCGTTCACAGGGTAATCGACAATGTTGATGTGTTCCTCGTCATTACCATCTGCTAGTGACAAGTTACTGAAAAACTCTCCGTACGTCATGTAGTGATCAGGCTCCGTCACGTAGTTGATGGCCTGTGGCGGTGTAGGGACGATGTTGGTCAACAGATTATCGCTGGTGGTGAACGAATGCTGGTGCAATGGCAGTGGTCTCTGTTGCTGGTGCTGGTGCTGTTGAAGGTTTTGGTTGGTCAGGCCCGAGGTATGCTGGAAGTTGGGGATCACGTTATTATCGACGTTCAAGTTGGTGGTAGGAATCGAGTGTGAGGGCCGGAAACTGTACTTGTTGTAGGAGTTGTTGGATGAATACGATGAGCTGACCATATTGGGAGTATTATGGGAAGAAGGAATATAGCTCAAAGAATCACGTTTGAAGGGTTCAGACGTATAACTGGCATGGAATGAGCCTTGGAGCGGCTGGTACGAGTTCTGTTGAGGCTGGAACGAATTCTGGAACGATCCCTGGGTCTGCTGGACCGCCGGTGGCGGCTGGCCCTGAAACCTACTCACGGATGAATAATAGCTCGGGGGATTGTGGGGAGCAGACTGAGAAATCAGGTGGCCTTGGAACGGGACCGGGGCCACCGCCGACGACACCGACAGTGATCCACCCACCGAGATCCCACCAGCCGACGATGTCGCCAGTCCGTGCTTCGAGTGCCCTGGCAGCAGGGGAAATGGTGACGGGTGGATACCTACCGCTGGCGGAATAAATGTCCCTGAAGCTGAAGCCGAGCTATTATTGGGTGGGTGGGTAGGAAACCCGTGGTTCTGGAGATTCTTGGTCAAGTTCGACACCTTTGGTTTTTGGAACTCCTGGGACTCAGATGAGTCCAAGTTCATCATGTTACTGTTGGGGTTCTGGAGAAAGGTTAGTAAGAGGTCTGAAGCACTGGGGCGAGCGGGCTTATGATGATGTCAGTACATAGCGTGCGCTCAGGGTGAGGGTACATACATCCATCTGACGGGGCTGGCCAGATCCTATTAACAGTGGTAATAATACAATGATGGGAGAATCTGAAAATAGGTGATTATGGGATTGTTTTTAAATTTTCCGTGCCAATTTGCTGTGAGAACAAAAATTTGGAGCGCCGTCGACACACTTAGTAGAAACAGAGCAAAGTCGGTTTTGCCGGTACAGTGACGTAGGTTAAAAGGGATGGCAGAGTGTCACAAACAGCTGGGTGACGGGATGGGTGAAGGCTGGGATATCAGAGCCGTGGTCACAGGAATTAGGGTTTATGTCCACCGTGCCAGCCGCACACAGCGACGCACCTAAGTGCACGCGGATCTCGACCGGCGCCGGCCGTGTCACCTGGTCTGCGAGCAGATCCATAAGTCGCTGGCGGTGGGTTTGAACATCACCTATGCACGCCGGACTTATGGGCCCACGTCCACCGTCGACATTTGGCCCGTCCGCAACCTGACCGCTAGTGGTATATGAGACCATTTGACCTCGGGCCGTTGGTCACGTGAGCTCCACACCCGATCTTGTCCTATAACCACAGTCGCATTTTAAACGTTAAACGTTAAAATTCCAATGTCTACATTATCCAAGGTCACCCTAGGCACCTCCATAGCATTTGCTGTGGGGTCGTTTGTGTTCATCAACTACTCCCAGCAGACGGAGCGGGAGTCGCTCAGAGAAGGGCCCATCCGGGACGCCAAACGTTTGGAGCAACGGTTCCAGAATAATCGGAAGCTCATGCGGAACGACCTCGAGCACCAACAACAGATCAAATTGAAACAGCAGTTCGAAAGCGTCCAGCCGTTGACGGGCGAGGTAATCCGTGGGGCGCCACAGGACGATGACGCCTGACTTACACGGCCTTTGCCGAGGCTACTTATACTTGTAAATAGTTAATAGAGGAGTGTTTGTGTTCTTGGAGACACCAAAAGGTAACGATATTAAGCTCTTGATGTACTATGATGCACTTTTTGTTGTGCCACCACTCCAGCCGTGTTTCGCCTCAAGCAGCCCGCCAAAACGACGGCCTAAAGAGAGGATGTTGAAACCGTCAAAGGTTTATGCCAAATCTATGGCCGGTGTGGTGGGGTGTTGAAGAAAAAAAAAATTGCACGTTCGAGAAGCGATGTTCTGTAACGCGCACCAAAATTTATGTGAATTAATCTATTACAACTCCTTAATTGATCATAATTTTACATATCCCCCTTATTCCATCTTGCCCACGATATCTTCGTCATCGACCCAGTTGTGTGATCGTGGTGATATCATCGGCATGTTGGGGGTGCTTGAATGCTTGTAGGAAACCGAATCTAAACGGGAGTGGGTATTTGATTCAGAATGCACATCTGAAAAACCGGCCTTCGAGTCCAAGTAGCCGCCGGCGACAAACAGGACCGAGGCCTCGTCTTTTACTAAGTACGAGTCCACTGGTACGGTGGGTGGAGATGTGGACGATGTAGCAGATGAGGATGATGGAGGGTATTGAGAAACCGAGTTCTTTCTGCCATGCACAGGCGTATCGTCGTCTTGGAAAAGACTATTTCGCCTGCTACTGCTGTCAAACACCCCGGGAGACTCCGCCACGTCTTTGTCAGTCATTCCCACCAAAATACTCGCAGCTTCAAGTAATTGCACCTGCTGATGTTTGGAGATGAGAAGCTTCTTGGTGACGTTCCATTCGGGTGTGTGCTCCCATAGGTGTTTGGCAAGTGACAGAATGTGTTTGTAGCCTTTCCCACAAGCCTCGCATTTCAATTCTTCTTTTAGACGACCTGATTCACCTTCGCTGATACGACGGGCCACAAACTCTCGTGAGAGCGTTGGTACCGACGACGACATCGCCGCCTCATCGGTAGTGTCTTCTATGGCCTCGCCATTATCCGGTCGAAATACCGGCCTCGTCTGGTGACCTTGACTAAAACTCCGGTGATGCTGAGAGTAATGAGGTACACCGGTTCCATACTGGTGATGGTGCTTGGCGGGGATTGTGTACGGCGATGACGCAGAGCTGCGTCGGTTGTAATTGAACTGGGTATGTGCCGACGTCATGGCCAAATTGGTGGGCTTCAGACGTTACCTGGATGTAATTGAGTGAAAAATCGTAGAAAAAAGGGTGTGTGCGCCGCAAATATGTTCAAAAGCTTTTCCAAACGGGTGGTCGTCTGGGTTTATATGTTCTGGATGCTCTGATATCACTGGGTGATGGCAATAGTTATTAGGTCCCTAAGGAAATGGATGATTTTTGTACAAAAGGTGTGAGTTAAAAATTTTCTTTAACGGTTTCGCATCTGTCTGCTGTGGCTTGTACAGGATTTCTCCATGAGAATATAAAAATATTACTATGCAATAACCCTAAACACTAAAAAGTTTCGGCCTCGAGATTGAATCGGTCGGCCTCCACCGACATTTCGACATCGGCAGCAACCACCCCATCGTCGTCTCCGTTACTAATTTCAAACCCCTCCTGGGTAGCACATAGAATCGCATACACCTCATCGATAAGTTCCATCGACCCAGCACCAATGGTCCGGTCTCCCAACACCACTGTTTGTTGGTTGTTGGCCACCGCCTCTTTGGTAATATTGACGAGTTCTTCGATGCTGATAAGTTTATTGTAGAAGAAGTTGCGTTCGATTTCCAACGGGTCTCTTTCCTCTTTGACATGCTGCAATTCGGCCGTCAACTCCTCGATATGAGTTCTGGCCTCCGCCAACTGCTTGGTTAGCTGCACCACTTTTGCACTGGTGGCCGTGGCACCGCCGGAGGAACCATTGCTTATGCTTGAAGAAACAGGTCCGCTGATGCTTCTGGGACCGGCATTAATACGACTTCCAACGGCAGACGGCGCCCGTGACGACGCCAGCACCGATCTCACACTGCCACCAGCACTGCTGACTTGGCGGCTCGACCCAGGCGTGGGGGCTGCAGTTCTTCCCTGTCGTCTACCGACAGCGTCATATTCGATGTTCAAATCCTTCCTTTCCATCCAATACTTTTTGAGCCATTGCAAAAGCTCCAAGTTGTCCTGGAGCCGGCACTTGATGATTCTGTCCACATCGATGTTACGTGACACGCCGTGTTTTTGAAACGAAGCCTGAAGAATCTTCATGTTGGTCGAGCAGTCGTAATCGGTTTTAGCCCCCATCTTAACTCGGGCCATAGGCACATCCTGATAAATCGAGTCCATGAGCTGACAATACGCTGCACCATTTCCACACTGCTCGACTTTGGTGTACGAGAGGTCCAAAGTATTGTTGAGCCACTTGAGTAGCTCTGTTCTTGATTCCCCAACCATGTTGTTTACTTTTAAGCACCGCGACCGATTGATCGCGCACTGCGAATTCTCAGATGTCTCATTACTGTTTTATATCTACTACTTCTTCTGTTCTTCTGTTCTCTTCAAGAACTCCTTCAACTTATCACGCTTCTTGTGCTTCTTTTTATTACTGGAGCCCCCAGACGTATCCGAACGGAAACTACGAATCGACATCGACTTCTTCAACTTGTCGACATTGCTGTGGGACGATTGGGCGGAAATGGTTTCGTTGTCTTTGGAGCTGGTACTGCTGACAGTGGAGACTTTTTCACTGGCACTGGCTTCTTTGGCGGCATCGGAAAACAGTTGCACCTTCGAGTCCACCTCCTGGAGAAACCGAAGCTTCTCGCCCTCAACTATGGGATCCAAAGGTTCTTCTGGCCCTTCGATTTCATTAACTGGTGACACCGATTTGGAGCAAAGCTCCAAAACTTGCCGGTTCACCTTTTCAGCAATATATTTCTTTGCGTTGTTGTAGTCGACGTTGTGGTCAATGGAATCAACTGAATTCTGCTTGGAATGGGTGATTTCATCCACCTTGTTGATGAACTCCTGGGTGATCTGCTTACCCACATCTTTTATGACATTGATCGACTTAGAGGAATTCTCTTGCAACGCGATTTCAAGTTCTTGATCTTGCAGTATTATATCGTCTTGCTGGCCGGCCTTGGCTCCACTTCTAGCTCGCTCTCCTTCGTAGAATGTTCCATGTTTCCAGATGGTGTATTGAGCAAAACTTTCGAAGCCGGCCTTATCGTGACGAAATAAGTTCGCCAGATCGATATTCAACGGTGAATCGGGTTCAGGATCATCAATAAGCACGAGAATCGCAACCACAAGATGCTCAAGGTTCCATGCTGGAGTCCAGCTTTCGGACTTTAAGATATCCAAGCAGATTTCACCAGTGTCAACGTTGATATTAGGATGGAAAATGGGAGTGGCACCACTGAAGGAGATCTTGGGGGGAACTATGGGGTACTGTTGGGGAACTGAGATATTCAAAGTCCACTGGCCATTATGATAGAATTTGGAGTCAATTTTAGACGGCTTGCAAATAACCGACTGCCATTCATAAACACTTGATTCCACATCCTTTGGAGCGAGACTTAGTATCTGATGGTTACTATAGTTGGGTGCAACCTTGGATAGCTGGTTAAGCTCTTTAAAAAGTCTTTTTTCTGCCATGATGCCCTAGTAGAAGTAGTAGTCAACCTTTTCACAGTCGCATCCGAGCGTGACAGGGACGGGTTGTGTGTCGTGCGGCCACCCAAATCTGGGGCGCTGGCAGGGAGAGAGCCTGGCGTCAGCACACCGCCAGTCCTAGGGGCGCATTTCAGCCCCACGCCGGTACCGGACGGACGGGTCCGCTGAGACTCTCATCTAATTCTATGTGTGCTATTTCCACCTATTTCAAGCCAAATTCTCCTGCTCCTTCTCCATCCCACGCCTATACTCCATTCTATTTAAGGGTTTTCTGTTTCCTCCCAATCCTCCTTCCTAAATAACCGTTTTAGTCACTATCTCTTCTGACATATATGTGCGGTTTAATTGGGCGTTGAGTCCGAGATCCCATTGCTCCTGTACACACCCAAAGCGTAATTTTTTTCTCTGTAACTTGACTCACTGAAAAATCCATCAGAAAACTATTAACTCTATAAACGTAAGTATGAAGCAGTTTGTCAGGGCGTTTGCTCAGACAGCCATGAGGCTGCTGAAGAAGCTCAACAAATACTCGTCGATTGTTACGGAAGATGTCAGTCAAGGTGCCTCACAAGCCATGTTGTACGCTACAGGCTTCACCGATGAAGATATGGGTAAAGCTCAAATCGGAGTGGGGTCCGTGTGGTGGACCGGAAATCCTTGTAATATGCATTTGATGGACTTGAACCATATTTGTACCGCTAGTGTGAACAAGGCTGGAATGAAAGGGATGCAATTTAACTCGATCGGAGTGTCTGACGGTATTACCAACGGAACTGAGGGTATGAAATACTCATTACAGTCAAGAGAAATCATCGCTGACTCTTTTGAAACCATGACTTTGGCCCAGATGTACGACGGGAACATCGCCATTCCTTCGTGTGATAAGAATATGCCCGGGGTGTTGATGGCTATGGGAAGACACAATAGACCATCCATCATGATGTATGGAGGTACCATTTTACCCGGTGAAACCACCTGTGGCCAGAACAACCCCAATATGCCCAAGAAGGTGGACATTGTGTCGGCTTTCCAGAGTTTCGGACAATACTTGTCAAAACAAATCAGTAACGAAGAAAGAATGGATATCATCAAGCACTCATGTCCTGGACCAGGTGCTTGTGGTGGTATGTACACCGCCAACACCATGTCGAGTGCTGCTGAGGTATTGGGATTGTCGTTGCCATACTCGTCGTCGGCACCCGCTGTTTCTGCCAAAAAGAGGGAAGAATGTGACAACATTGGTTATGCGATCAAGCACTTGTTGGAAATTGACTTGAAACCAAGAGATATCATCACCAAGACGTCGTTTGAAAACGCCATCACCTACGTTATTGCTACCGGTGGATCCACCAATGCTGTCTTGCACTTGATTGCCATTGCATCGTCTTTTGACATTGAGATCACCATCGATGATTTCCAGAGAATCAGTGATGCAACACCTTTGATCTGTGATTTCAGACCAAGTGGTAAGTACGTCATGGCCGACTTACACGACTTCGGAGGTACTCCTGCTGTCATGAAGTTGTTGTTGGAAGAAGGATTTTTGGATGGTTCACAGTTGACTGTCACCGGGAAGACCATTGCTGAAAACTTGAAAGAATTGCCAGGGTTACCCGAAGGCCAAGATATTGTCAGACCTATTAACAACCCCTTGAAGTCTACCGGACATTTGCAAATTTTGAAGGGTTCTTTGGCTCCGGGTGGTGCTGTTGGTAAGATCACTGGTAAAGAAGGTACTTACTTCAAAGGTACTGCCAGAGTTTTCGACAAGGAAGAAGGATTTATTGCTGCTTTGGGTGAAGGACAGATCAAAAAGGGTGAGAAGACCGTGTGCGTCATCAGAAACGAAGGTCCTAAAGGTGGCCCAGGTATGCCTGAAATGTTGAAGCCCAGTAGTGCAATCATGGGTTACGGTTTAGGTAAGGATGTTGCCTTGTTGACTGACGGAAGATTCTCTGGAGGTTCTCATGGTTTCTTGATTGGGCACGTGACTCCCGAGGCCGCTGTTGGTGGACCTGTTGGTTTGGTGGAAGATGGAGATGAAATCATCATCGATGCCGAGAACAATAGGTTGGATTTGTTGGTAAGTGAAGAGATCTTGGCGGAGAGAAGAAAGAAGTGGTCTCCTCCAGAACCAAGATACAAAAGAGGTACTTTGTTCAAGTACCTGAAGTTGGTGACCGACGCCTCTAAAGGTTGTGTCACCGATTTGTGAAAGATGCATGGGGATTAATTTTGCCTAGAAGGCATTGAATTTTTTTATATTCATCTTTTCACTTCTAAAGTCGTCGAATGACTAGAAATTATGTACATAGTCCATAGAAGGATTTAATATCACGATATTTATACGAATAGCGTCTAGGGACAGAGTTTGGCCAAGAGGTCAAGAAGCCATTCCTGATCATTTTTTAGGTTGGGATAGTGATACGCTTGTTTTAGCACAAAGTATGGCATCTGAAGCTGAGAAAGGTTCTTGATCGACTCAACTTGTAGCTGTTGACATTCTTGTATTATTTTCATATCAAACTCATGCAAGCCATTGGAGTTGGAAGTTTCTTCAAGTTTCTTTCTTTCAAGTACGCTTGATCGCTGAAAATCACCATGCTTTCTTATCAAAGACTTAAGTTGTGCTTTTGTGGACAGGTTCCGAAGAGCATTTTGAACATACTTTTCTACCAAGAACCTCTCAGTAAGTATGGTGGGATCTAATGGATCTTCATCTTCTTCTGATTTGGTTTCTCGTATACTGGTGCTATTCAAAAGCTTGAGAATCTTCTGTGTATAGTAGACTTTCTTGGATATCAATTGTTTGAGCTCTGTATGGTTAACTTGCTTGGCTATCTGGTCTGCGTACAGGGGTTTCAAGTTGCGTAGAGACTTGGACTTAGACACGAGTCTGTACTGTCTTATTTCCTCTTTCACGAGCTCCTCCATGATTGCACTGGTGCGAAAAATATCTATTTAGCTTTACTGAGAATTATGTACTACTTGGTTCTGATGGTGTAATCTTCACCAGATTGAGTTATGTACCTGACCCATGGATAACTTTGGTATTGTAACTTAGGCTCATTGATTCTCAAGTACCTCACTTGGATTCCGGATGTGGTGAAATAAGGAATGGAAAAATTCACCTTAATAGGCTTCTTTAAGATGTAGTTGTCATCGTTATCAACGGCTGGCAAGCCCAATTCGGCTTTCATATGGTACAGTTTACCACCGGGGAATGTCTTCAACTTCCAAATGATACACGACTTCTCTGGGATCCATTTGACTGTCCCATACTCAGGAACAAACTTAGGAGTATCGGCATCATCAGGAATTGGAATAACAATCTCCACGTTATTGGCAGTGGACTTCTTTTTGATCAGTGCTTTCACCGAGCACAAGATTTCAATTCTCGAATGCTTGTGAACCTTGGTTTTGCAGTTCACGGCAATCAATGGCTTCATCAAAAATTGCGTAGAAGACAACCGATAAGACATTAATGTGAACTCCCCATCCGGAGGAATGAATGTGATGATTCTCTCGTTTTCAAACTTCGACAATCTAACACACTGATGAAACTTGATGTCTTCCATCTCAATACCTTTAGCATTGGTGCTGCCACCGGTCTCCTCATTGGTGTTGAATATACCTTTATCGTTCAAGCCCAATCTCAAGTCAGGCATACCGCTCAAATGAGACTTGATTTTGACTTCTCCCAAGATCTCGCTATTCAACACCTGGCCATTGGCATTGATCAACATATTGATAGATTCGATGACATCCAAAAACGCTTCGTTCTTCTTGTAGAAAATGCCTTCTTTTCTCCAACTAACCGAGTTGGTCACAGCGTTGGGCGGCTGGACAACTCTAGACGGTGTATTTCTGATCAATTTATAGTAATCCTGCGTGATGTATTCTTTCAATATCTTTGTGTCCGTGGTTTGAGCCAACCCAAAGTCCATCATTTCATCAAGCAATTCGTAGATAATTACAAAGTTATCTCTGATAGATTCTTCTTCCAAGTGTTTGAAATATTGAGTCAAAACTTCCACGAGCTTGGATAAAAATATTATAATGGACATGATGTTTTCATTCTTCAATGTCAATGCACATATGTAAAGGTTGTTGTGATTTATGAACACATAGTTGACTCCTTGGTGATGTATGAAGGGTCTATAATTCGAATCATCCGTTGCTGAGCCGGTGGAGTTGGATGTATTTTCCAACTCCAACAACAAAAGCGGGAACTTTTCTATAGCACTGGTGTCTATGTCGCCTCTGTAGTCTCTGGACAACAAGGACTTGCCCTTGATATCCAAAAAATGAATCTGGGATGCCATATTTCACACTAACAGCAGTGAGTTTCGTTGTTGATTTTGTTTGATCAAATGTGCGCGTAATTCTAAAACTGTTTGCAAACAACAAGAGAGAGCCCACCAATGTCCCAAAAGTTTTGTATTTAATACCTGTAGTGCCTTTGTGGTGGTAGGTTATTGGTACTATTCCTGGACCAAGAGCCTGTGAATTGGTGTCTGCAACATCGCCTCCTCAACAACATTACCAGACACAAGAGAAAAAAAGCCAAATCCAATGTATTTATAGTATGCGCTGAGGTGGTTATGTATAGGGACTTAAGTCTATTTGTGCTGGTCTTTTGGGTTTGGTCTATTTGAAGTAGCGGCTGTACACATAAAGTTAAGCACGAGCAAAACAACCTGGCGCATGATTCTGACGCATGATGCAAAGTTTACTCTGCCCCGAGAACTCCCATCCTCTGGTCAAAACCCTATACTGAATACAAATTCAATATTGTACCGAGTCGCACCCTTCACGCTGAGCCCACTACCCCATCACGAGCCTCCACATTCAGATTGCAAATCCTCGTATTCAGATTATTCGAATCTCAAAGCTACTAAACACCTAAACGGAAACTAGCCCATACCGGTCACGATGCTACCACTAATGCGGTACCATGGTGATGGGGCACGGGTGGAAAATAAAAGCAGGCCAAGCGAATACCAAAAAGTTTCTTGGTTCTGCTTTGGCTTGCTGGGGCTTTGTGCATACTCCCCACAAAGACAGGGAGAGGCTTAATAATGTACCAAGAAAAAACCGTTCCACTGTGACGCAGTTCGACAATAACAGCCATCTTTGGTATTGAACCAAATCTTGACCTACTTCAACGACCGTGTATCAGCACACATGTAAGCAAAGCATGTGTGGGTGTTACAAGCTCTTGCTCACCAATCGCATATATTTCGCAACCATATAAAGGACACCCCTTAATATATAGGAACCTGTTAGCGAGATTAAATTGTTCTATATTTGTAAAGGACAACACAACGGGAAGTTTCTATTTTATCTTCAAGCGACTGTGAGTGTTTTTTTAGCAGTATTTGATGAGTTTCTCTCTCCGGGTATTTTGTTTATTTAAACCTGGCTAGATTTCCACTTTTTATAATAACTAATATCTTGTTCATAGACACTTTCCCAAATCGCCATCCTTTTTAATCCACTATGAACTGGTTGTCTCTCTTATTGTTTGTGTCATATGTGCTCTCAATTGCACCAATCGAGGTGAAGGGAAATGGCTTTTTTGACTCAGTAACCCACAAAAGGTTCTACATCAGAGGCTTGGACTATCAGCCGGGAGGCTCCTCAAACTTGAAAGACCCCATTTCTGACCCTGACACTTGTGAACGAGACATTCCGTACTTTCAAAAATTGGGTGTCAACACCATCCGAATCTATTCTATTGATAACACAAAAGACCACAAAGAGTGTATGAACAAGTTGGCCGATGCGGGTATCTATGTTCTCTTCGATGTGAACACTCCATCTGCCTCCATCACCCGAGGCAATGATTCCGACTGTTCGTACAACACCATGTACTTGAATGAGGTTTTCGCATCCATGTTGAAGGTTGCTAATTATGACAACACCTTGGGATTTTTTGCTGCCAACGAAGTCATCAACGACCAGGCTTCTACCGCCGCTGCCACCAATGTCAAGGCAGTCGTAAGAGATATGAAACACTTTCTTAAGAATAGAGGCCTTAGACAGATTCCCGTGGGATACTCCGCCGCAGATGTTGAGGAAAATAGGTTGAACACCGCGGAGTTCTTCAACTGTGGAGACGATGACATGGCTCGAGTCGACACGTTAGGCTTCAATGACTACTCATGGTGTGGAGACTCGAGCTACACCACTAGTGGCTACGACCAAAAAGTCAAGAGCTTCTCCGACTACTCCATTCCCTTATTCTTTTCTGAATATGGCTGCAACAAGGTGAGCCCAAGACAATTCACCGAAATCGAAGCCATCTACTCAGAGGATATGACTGGGGTATTTTCGGGTGGGTTGGTGTATGAATACTCGGAAGAGTCCAATGAGTATGGGTTGGTGAACCTCGATGGTGATGATGTAAAGACCAATGACGACTTTAACAACTTGCAGTCCATGTTCGCCAAGGTCGAAAACCCCAGTGGAGATGGTGGCTACCAAGCAGACTTAGAACACTCGGAATGTCCTTCCAAGTCCAGTAATTGGCAAGCGTCAAATGATATTCCTGATACTCCCAAAGGGGCTTTGAAGTACATTATTGCAGATGCTGAGCCATCTGGAAACGGGTTCAATGCCAGTACCCAGTGGGCTTGTGTTGCTGGTGGTAACGATGAAGATGATTCGGGCAACTATAGCTCTATTGCCTCTTCTATGCCTACTTCTGGTGGTAGGTCCGGCTCTAGTTCCAGTGGATCTAGCGATGACGATGATGATGGCCACCACAGGCGTTCTTCGTCTGGCCTCGCTTCTTCCGTCAATGGGGTGGGATGGTTGCCAATGGTAGCCATTGCCATTGGCGTATTCGTTTTCTAGTTGAATGTTCTACAACGTGTTATTGTTTATTTCTTGTAAACTAACTCTTCTGTTTAATTCCGTGCATCATTTCCTCTTTATTGATCAAATGCCCAATCTGGTCAATCTCATCCAACAACTTTTCCACATCATAGCACCAGTCGTTCAATAAGGTGTTGACAGAATCGGTGGTCTTTCCCACCTTGTCAAACTTGATCATTCCCTTGGGTCTGTTAATTTTGGCACTGATCATGCCAGCGTTGACCAAGTCACTCACGTACTTCTCGGCCTCATCGTTGGACAATTGCAATAAGTAAGATAATCTGTCAATCTTGATGAAGTTGTAGTAGTTGTTGATTATTCTTAAGTTGTGCTCAATGATTCGTTTTTGGAGGTTCTTATAATTTGTAGGGTTCTGGAAGATCTTGGACGACTTGAACTCATTGCTGTAAAGGGTTTCGATGTTGGACCAGTGAATCAACTCTTCAGTAGTGAAAATTTCCAATAATTTGAAGGTTTTGGCGTCCACGTTCTTGCTGAACGTTGAGTTAACCTTGATCTTGGAGATCAAATCCAGTTGCAAGTTGTCAAATGGGGATAAGATGATGTAGTAGATGACAGACACCAAGATGTTTTTGAATTCCTCCAGATTCTGAACCACCTCTGATTCGATCAACTTCAAGGAGTTTTGAACAATCGAAACATAGTCGTGGTCGTTTTCGTTGATTTCAATCAAGTAGTTTAAGTAAACCACCTTGTATTCTTCAGCTTTGTCAAATCCTTTCAAAGTCTTCAACAAAATCTTTCTTGACAAGATCTTGGCTTGAGAAAAGTCCTTCTTCGTCAACACCAACTTCATCTGTTGCAAAATGTACTCAATTTTAGTTTGGAAAGACATCAAAGAATATGTCTCGACTTGTAAGTCACATAAGATTTCAACCGCTTTGTCTAAGTCGTTGAGTCTGTTCAAATAGATGTCACTTAATTGCTTGGAAACAATGGCCCTTTCCACCTCAATATAGATTTTCTTATCACCCACAGTCCGGATGGTCTCGATCACTTTGATTTTGGTATCCAACTCCAGTTGTTTAGATTCATCTAACTTGTCCAAGTTTTCGATAATCTGGGCGATAAAAGATTGGATACTGGACTTCAATTGACCATGCTTCTTAGACAAAATGGGAGTCAACTCGTTCAAATAGTCCCAGTCATTATTGTCAATCAATTTATTAACAATTGCTGATAAAACCCTCTTGCTGGATGCTAAGTCGGACGATTGTCTAGTTTGTTTCTCCAATATCAAGTACCTGTCGATTGCCGACTTGTAGTCTAGCTTGTCTATTTCGGGGAACTGTTCATCTAATATAGACGAGAGGTCTTTTTCAGCTTTGAGTGGATCTTCTCTAGACATGACTTGATTGTGCTTTTAGTGCTAACCAACTGTTGCCACTTTTTGATTCTCGCCGCGAGTGGATCCCTCATGCGTGTATGTTACAAAATATGTGTGGAGACGGGGGATAGAACTAAAGGAGTTGATAAGGAAGGTTTAGCAGTTCTTTCAGCCCTTAATTTCTGTTCATAGTATGTACAGGCATCTATGCTTGTTTTCTAGGTTTTTTAAAGCTGGTTTAGGTGTTAAAGAACTAAATAAATTTGTCCTCGCACGACCATTTTGCAACCAACACCGATAATCAGTAAATTGCAAGGAAAATTGCAGAATAGAGACTATTAATATATTATAATATCCCTTTGTTGTTATGCTTTGCTTTGGGATAAAAAGGTCAAAGTTTTTATCTGTTTTGTATTCTTATGAAATTGTTTATGTTTAATTATGGATAGATCTGTGAAATCTACCAATTTGAGAAAGGATAACAAAAAGCTGCAGTAATAGAAACAGTTTGGATGAGAAGAGGTGTATAATGCCAAACGTATACAACAATCTCTTACACGCTATCTCGATAACCCATTACGTTCTTGTTACTTTTGAATAAATTGACTATAAACAAACTTCATACATTCACAATAACTTATTTAGATAAGATATCTTTGACAGAATCCGATCTTTCTCCTCTTTGTCTGTCAGACAACGAAGGTCTGTTCAACATAGACTCTAAAGCAGCCGAGTATGGAGCCTTGTAGTTGAATGGGTTGTTTTCTTGCTTCACCACTCCGAAATAGTTCTCATAAATGTCACCATTGAAGTTACCAATTGGAGCATTAAGAGCCATGTCAGGTTGTTGGAACGAGTCAGTATAGTTGATCACCAATGGTCTGACTTCAAGACACAACTTTGGAATGTACTCCTGGTTGATCTTACCCATAAACTTTGGCGAAACAACCGAGTAAGTCAAGAAATCACCAGAAAACTTGTCCAACACAATAGAAGCACTGTATAATCTGGCAATCAAAGTCAAAAATGGTTTCAAAGAAGCATCAGCAGCCTCGGTTCTGATCAAAAACTCGTTCAACAAGTAATGATGGGCCTTCAACTTGGAAATGGTAACCATAGAACCGGAGACAATTTCATATTGTCCACCATTTTGCTTGATGGTGTCCAAAGAATCCTTACATAATCTGATGATCAAGATTTCAATGGAAAGCAAAACCTTCTTGAGGTCATTAACATCTTCGAAGGACTTGAGCACATTGTCTTCATTCAAGTATTGTTTAGCATTGTTCAAGAAGGAGATGGAGCCCGAGGCCTTTTTGTCTTTGTTCAAGATTTCATCAATAGATCTAATCAATGGCTTACCAACACTCATGGCCAACACATTGTTGTCACCTTCCCAAGTACATTGGACAACCCAGTCATTATAGGCTTTACCAAACCCGTTGTATCCAGAGTAACCGTGGCCACCACATGCTTGTCTGGATTGGTCGATCAAATCGGCAGCTAACCAGGTACAAGTGGACTTTAAAGAAGCAGAGTCAATGAACAAGGACTTCATTTCTTTGATGGATTTCAGGATCACCTTCATGTCGTTCTTTTCAACGGCTTCGTCCAAACCGTCCAAAACGCTATCGTAGGTCTTTTCCAACTTCATAGCACCACATGAAACCAAGTAGGTTAAAGCCAAGAATGGCAATAATCTTCTTTGATGCAATGGGTAGTCCAACAATTGGGTTTCGAGCTCGTTTTTTCCAGACTTGAACTGTCTTCTACCAATGGCATATCTTAAGGCAATAGTGGAAAATCTAGCACCCACTCTGTATGAGTCCAAGACCATAGTAACTCTACCACCCAACAAAGCGGAATAAGATAATTGTTCTAAAGGAGGTAATACAACATCTCCTTCTCTGCTGACCTTACAGAATTTTTGCAACATGAAGAATCTTGGAACCTTAACGTTGGAAAATTGTATCCAACCGTTATCAATACCATCTCTTCCCATCTTGGCACCAATATCACCAACGGTAATACCTGGCATCAACTTATGGTTGGAGTCTCTCAATGGAACAATAAAGGTCTTCACACCATAATCTTTTCCATCCACAAGTAATCTGGCATAACATGCGGTATGAGTGGCCGAGTGGGCAGCTCCACCAATCCACCATTTGGTGGCACCAATGTGGGGAGTGTTGATGATGAACTGGTCATTTTCCTTATCGAAAGTAGCGGTAGTTTCCAAACCTGCCACGTTCGAGCCATGGGCCAATTCAGTCATGGCAAAACAACCGTAAATATGCTTCAAGATCTTGGTTTCTTTGGAAGCAGACCAAAACTTCAACTGTTCAGGGGTACCATTACCTCTGATACATCCCAAGAACAAACCCAAGTTGACTCCGATTCTGGTGTTCAATTGAGGGTCAAACACCGAGATCAAACTGGCTCTTCTGTTGTACTCAGCAGGAGTATCACTTTCTAAGTACTGGGAGATTCTGTCGATTCTCAAGGCAGTCAACTCTCTTTCTTCCTCCTTGCCCAAGTCATAATAGTGGGGATTGGCTCTGAGAATTGGGTCTCTTTCCATTTGTTGGTACATGGTTCTGTTTAATTCACTGGCTTCTTTGGAGCCTTCCAAAAAGTGGTTCATCAAAACAGGGTCCCATTTCTGGTTGTTGGCTCTCTCAGTAGTAATGGAGGTTTTAGGGTCGGGTCCTCTGGACGAGTCGACGGTATTTTTCACACTCAAAGACATGTTGGCAATGTTTTTTAGATAAAAAGTGTGCCGCTGGGGGAAGGTCCGGTTTTATACTAAGCGCACGCTCCCCACAAAAACAATTTTTAATCAACCGAGGCATTCGGTAAAATCATCCAATTTTTCAACCTGAGTGAATTGATCACTGCTTATGCCAGATTTGTATATATGAAACCTGGGGAACTTCAAGCAACGAATATAGAGTGGTTCGATTTTTGATACTTTTTGAATTAGTATTTAGATCAGATCATCAGGGTGACATGTGAAGAAGAAGTCTTACCCACGGAGCACCGAGGGGACCCATTTATAGAGTCATTTGTGAAGCTGTTTTTGTCGCTGGATTCCGGCCGAGGTTCGTTAGGTGCCACGCAACAGCGGTGTTTGTAAACTTGGGAATTCCAGGGCCAGCGCAGCCGTCGGATTTACTGAGGTTGCGAACCTGCAGATGGTGGTGGCCTCGGCCTGAAGTGGAGTGCGATTAGTGTGACAGCTCTTACTGAGGGGGAGGTGGTGGGTCCCACTTACAACAGGAACGCGTGCGAGGTCGTGGTGGTTCACGGCGAAAGTTTTTGGCGAGGCAAGTGTATTTGGCTGGTGATTGTGTGCGATAAGCCTGTGAATGGGGTTTCTCCACAAATTAAAGAACTATGGAATTTGATGGAGTTGGATTCTACAGATTTGTGTTTGGATGGACAGAGTACTATCGGCCGGTAGGTATATTGCTAATGAAAACAGGAGAGACTCTTCCTCTGTATTACCGACTGACCCGTACACCCAGCATATGACCATACATCCAGTATCTCCTACTCTTTTCTATAGATTTCTTCCCTTCTTATATGCGTTTATTCGTGCTATATACAATAAATCATTCGGTCACCCTACAATTGAGGCACTAACATGTCCATCAAAGGCGATTGCACAAACGCAACGCCCGCGGCAAACAACACAAGGTTGACTCCCAAAGTAAACACTGGCAACTTGGTGATTCCTTCCACGAAGGATGGTTCCTTTTGTTCTACTCTTCCTGCCATATTCAATTGGTATAACTGCTTAGCTAGTAGTAGTAAAAATTTTCAATACCCACCTCAACTTGTGGTGAGTCGCGCAAATAGCGTGCACCCACCAACAAGGACAAAAAGGCCCTTGTCAATCGATGAGACAAACACCAATCACAGTATCATGTCAGATATAGAATACTCTATTGCCGGGAAACAGTTGAAGTTGAACAGTGCCGAGGACGTCGAATTCATTGCAAAAGATTTGTCAGACAAATCGGACATCGAGAAAATCGATTTATCTGGTAATACTATCGGGATCGAATCGTCAGAGAGAATCAGTGAAATCTTGACCAAGTTCCAACATTCCTTGAAAGAAATAAACTTGAGTGATATCTTCACCGGTAGATTAAATACCGAAGTCCCCAAATGTTTGGACCATTTGTTGCCAACATTGTTGAAGTTTCCAAAGTTGACAACCATCAACTTGAGTGACAATGCTTTGGGTTTACAAACAATTGAACCAATTGAAAACTATTTGGCCAAGGCCTATACCTTGGAACACTTGATCTTGTCCAACAATGGAATGGGCCCCTTTTCCGGCGAAAGAATCGGAAAGGCCTTATACAAGTTGTCAACCTTGAAGAAACAAAAGAAGTATCCTAGTTTGAAAACTTTCATTTGTGGCAGAAACAGATTGGAAAACGGTTCTATGAAATACTTGGCTCTTGGGTTGATCAACCACAAAGACTTACAAGAAGTCAGATTATATCAGAATGGTATCAGACCAATTGGAATTGCCACTTTGCTCAGTGGCTTGAAGCAGAATCAGAAGTTGAAGGTGTTGGACTTGCAAGACAATACTTTGACTTCTTTGGGTTCTAGTGCAATTGCCTCCAACTTGGGTTCCTGGACTGCCTTGGAAGAGTTGAACTTGAACGACTGTTTGACCAAGTCCAAAGGTTTCCTCCACATCTTGACCAACTTACCTCTTGTAAAAGATTTGAAGGTTTTGAAATTGCAGTACAATGAGTTGGACAAGACAGCTTTGACCAAATTGTACGAGTTGATTGATTCTGGAAAAGTCACCGTACAGAAGTTGGAGATCAACGGGAACAAATTGGAAGAAGATGACGAGTTGATTGAAAAGTTTGTGGAATTGTTCGAAGACAAGGAAATTGACGATTTAGATGAGATGGAAGGTGAGGATAGCGATGAGGAAGATGAAGATGATGAAGAAGATGACGAAGAGGTGGAAATCATAGATTTTGTTGCATTGGGTAAAGAGTTAGACGGCACCGACGAAGACAAGGATGAAGCCGTGGACGATGTGGCCGAAGAGTTACAGAAGACCCATATTAATTAGGTATCAATTAGGTAGTAAATGTAATTTTGCAGATGTTCGCGTCTTGAAAACCAATCGGTTTGACATGTCTAGCATTAAGAAACTCTCAATTCAGGGTGTCAGATCTTTCACCTGTGAGAAACCCGAGAGTATAGCGTTTGGAACACCCTTGACATTGATATGTGGTGCCAATGGGAGTGGAAAGACCACGGTGATTGAATGTTTAAAGTATGCCACCACCGGCTTCTTGCCTCCAAATTCTAAAGGTGGAGCATTTATAAATGATCCCAACATCACCCAAAGAAACTCTGTTTCAGCCCAAATTAAACTATTCTTCACCAGTGTAACTGGTGAACCATACGTTATCACCAGAACAATGCAATTGACAAAGAAAGGTAAAGATAAGTATGCTTTCAAGACCTTGGAGAATCAGCTTGAGAAGAGCGTCAGAGGAGAGAGGACTTCAGTCAGTGCCAAGAGCAGCGATATAGATAACGAGCTACCTAACTACTTGGGGATTACAAAGCCCATTTTGGACTACGTGATATTCTGTCATCAGGATGAGAGTTTATGGCCCTTGAGTGAACCTAGTCTTTTGAAAAAGAAGTTTGACGATATCTTCCAGGCATCTAAATTCACAAAGATACTAGACAATTTGAAGGTGATTAACAAAGATTTGTCTGTCGACATAAAGCTTTTGGAGAAATCGGTAGAGCATTTGAAGGTCGATAAGAAAAGATCCAAGAAGATTGTAGATAATTTGAACAACTTGAAAACACAAATCGAAGACCTCAATGAAGAGATTGGAAACTTATCGATGGAAATAGACGAGAAAGAATCCAAGCTCGAAAAGTTGTTCAATTCCAATCAGGATTTCCAACTGGTATTGAGTAAATATGAACAGATGTCTTTCAATAGGACTTCATTGTCTCAACAATTTGAGAGATTGAAAGAGTCAATTGAGATTTTACCTGATGATATCAGCACTTTGCTAGATAAGTTGAATAACTTTGACAAAGTAATCGCTGAGTACAATGCGGAAGTTGACAGTATTACCAAAGAAACTGTTCTGTTGAACTTTAATGTTACCGAAAATCAGCTCAAGTTGAATGAATTGAATAAGCTTCAGGGAAGCTTGGGATTCAAAGAAAAACAGTATAATGAAAGTCTTCAAAGCCTAAATGAAATCCTCGATGACGAATTAGGTAGACAAGGGTTCCACGATCAGCTTCGTTCTGAATTGGACAAGATGGTTGAAGAGTTCAAAGATTTACAAAAGGCCAACAAAACAGGAAAACTGGAAAAATCCAAGCGTATTCAATCTATTCATGAACTAATCTCCATCCAGTCACACCTGAGGCAAATTAAGTTAGACTCTACAAAGGAGTTCACTAGCAAAATCAGAGATTTGGAAGGGAAAATCACCTCGTCAAACTTGAGTGACGATAATCTAAAGGACTGTGAACTTGAATTGGAGAAACTACAGAAGAAGTACGATGACTCCCGAAAGTCCAATTTTTTACTTAAGCTCGAGAAGGAAATTGATCAAAACCTGTCGAAATTAAACGATTTGGAGATCCAGTATGATGATTATAACAAGAAAATTCAGAGCTTCAACAACCAAAGTGAGTTAATGAACAAAATCAATAACACCCAGGACTTAATTCGCCACCAGGAGAATCTGAATACTTCCAACTTAAAGAAATTACAAGATTTAATATCCGAGATAACTATTGATAACTTTGATACCAAGTTCAGTCAATCTTACGGTGAGGCAAAGTCAGAATTGGAAAGTTTAAAAGAGGCCCATGACAAAAACTTGAACTTGAAGAACTCAATTGATATCAAAATCCAACTAAATGATAGTAAGCTGTTTGAGTTATCTGATGAGCTAGAGAAAACCAAGTCAAAGATCTCGGAAGTTATTAGCGAAAATGAAATTGATAATTATGAACTGATATCGAAAGAAGCTGAAGATGATCTCAACAACTCAGTTGAAACCTTGAAAACGTTTGAAGTTTCGAAAAATTTCAGGATAAAGGCAGTAGAAGTCAGCCAGCAATCCCATAACTGCTTGCTTTGTCAAAGATCCTTCAACGAGCACGAGTTGAAGAAGTTCATCGAATACTTGAATAATGAAGTTAAGAACATGAGTAGAGAGCAGGTGACTGCGGAATATAAGGAAGCCAAGGCTGACTATGAGATGTTAAAGTCAATACAACCAGATGTGGTGAGATATAAGTCTTTGGTCAATGAAGTAAAGCAATCTGAGACCACTAAGAAAGAGGCACTTGAGAAATTATTAAAAGACATCGAATCCCAATGTGCAAAAAGTGAAGAAGTCTTAACATCAGGACAGGAAAAATTCAACGGGCTCAATGACCACAAGCATCTTGTTGAAGAAATCAGACGCCTGAAGAATCAGCTCAAGCTCCTCAAAGAAAAATTGGATGCTTCTGAGAAAGAATTGAATGAAGTGGGTATCAAAGAGTCCCTTTCTATTGACGAATTGAACAAGTCAGTTAATGACGTAAACTTTGAAATCAAAAGCATAAGAAATAAACTTAGCAGTGACAAAGAATTGAAGTTCAACAAAGAAAGAGAACTTAATAAATTGTCGGGGAACATCAAAGATATGGAGATTAAGATCAAGAACATCGAAAGTGAACTAAGTGATCTCAAGAACTTCAAAAACTTAATCACGGATTATCAGATTTCTATCTCCAAACAGAACTTGGAAATAGAAGATATTGAACAAAAGTTAACTGAATTAAACAAAGAGAAGGATATAGAGGTGTCTAACTATGAAAGGTTGGTAGCTCAGTACTCCGAAGAAGAACAGCAAAAGAAAGCACATGTGGACAAAATTAGGCAAAGGTTTGAGACCTTTAGCGACCTTTATAAGAAAGTTGAGCAATTCGAGCAGCTGGACCTTCCTCTTTTGAAGCAGAATCAAAGCGACATTGTCCAATTGACTAATGACCAAGAAGCCTTGTCAATCAAGATCGCTGAATGCTCCAAGAAATTGAAGATAGTGGAAAAGAAGATTAACGAGTCAACAAACTTGAAGTCAATTTTCAGGGATAACATCGACTACAGAAACCTTCAAACTGAGATTTCAACTTTGGATGAAGAAATTCTGAAATTGAATATACAAGAAGCTGAAACCCAAAAGAACCAATACCAGTCAGAATCCAAAAAGCTTCGTGATCTCATCACCAACTTGAACTCAGAAAACTCCTATAAAATTGGACAAGTCAAGCAAATAAAGGAACAGGTAAAATCCTTACGGAGTGAACTCAACTCGGAATATAAAGATGTGGAACATCATTACCATGAAGAATGGATAAAATTGCAAACCAATATGTTGATTTCTAATGATTTGGTAACTTATTCCAAATCAGTTGATAATGCTATCATGAAGTATCACAGTATAAAAATGGAAGAAATCAATAGAATGTTGAGATACTTGTGGTCTAGCACATACCAGGGTACGGATATTGACTTTATTGCGATCAAGTCGGATATGAACAGCCAGAACAAGGGTAACAGATCATATAACTACAGAGTGGTGATGCAGAAAGGAAAGGTAGAGCTTGATATGAGAGGAAGGTGTTCTGCGGGTCAGCGAGTGCTCACAAGTATATTGATAAGATTAACCCTTGCAGAGTGTTTTGGTTCACACTGTGGAATGATTACTTTAGATGAACCTACTACCAACTTGGATGAAGAGAATTCCCGTTCTCTAGCCGAATCTTTGAATAGGATCGTGGAGCTGAGAAGGGAGCAGGACAATTTTCAGATTATCATTATCACTCATGATCAGAAGTTTTTGAGTCACATTAATGCTGATTCTTGTGAATACTTCTATAAGATCCAGAGAGACAATAACCAAGCTTCTGAGATCAAAGCAGTTCCGATTTTTCAACTTCAAGATGAATAGATACTTGACAAGAAATGGTCCTTTTCAATCCAGCTCTTTTCCAACCATTTCTCCAACTTGCCTCTATTATTAGATATCCTTGTGATGTTCTTGAAAGTCACGTCGATGTTAATGTATATATGCTCATCGCTGCCAAAAATCTCCAACAAGCTAGGCGAAAAGTAGACCTTCTCATTGAAATTGTTGATCTTGTAATAGTATATGGTCAAGTCATACAAGTGATTGAATTTGTAATTGTATTGTTTGACTGTTGAGACGACATTATGAAGGCTGGAAAACCGTGGATACAACAAGTTCTTGAGCAACGGCAAATAGAACTTTTCACACTGAATTTTCTGAAGGGCTGAAGACTCAGCTGTGAAGATGTTCACTTCAGGAAACAAGACCAACCATTCCACTTTCTTACTGGCAAACAATTTCAGAAAAAAGACTTCGTTTAAGGAATGGTCTAACTCCCAGTTCTCATCACATTTGGCCATATTACGCAAGATATTGATATTGGGGACTTTCCACAACAAGAACCAAGTGAAGAAGTTGACTACCGGGACCTCTAACTCCTTATTTTTCAGAAACGAGTGTCTGGACAAATAGTTGATGGCAAAGTGATCCACTAAAGAACTATGGTTTGAAATAAAGACAGCAGATTCGCTGGTAATTAAGTCTCCCGTGACGATGTAGTTGACCCCGTTCAAAATTGTGAAGTAGATTCCCACATCCCAAAACATGGTGCAAGCTTTTCGCCTAAAATTGATAGAAGCATCAGGAAATGAGTAACATAATATCGAACACACCACAGAAATAACCTGATATAATATAATAGTATTCAACAAAATATACCACACAAATAATCCTCTAAGCTTTTTCATAGTAGACGTGACGGTCGGGTCTTTCTCAGGGATAAGACCCAAGTGTTTAAGAAGTTCCATCATTTGACTGCAAAATCCACAAACTCTCAAAATCCGCGATTAGAACTTTTGGAGATGCTCATCTCAAATTAATTTTTTATACAACCATGTCTCGTTTGATAGTGAAAGGATTGCCACAATATTTGACTGAGGATAAGTTGAAGCTGCATTTCGACAAGCACGGAGATGTGTCGGACATCAAGTTGATGAAGAAGAGAAACGGGGAATCCCGGAGATTTGCATTCATTGGATACAAGTCTCCTAGCGATGCCGAATCAGCAGTAACCTATTTCAATAATTCTTTCATAGACACCGCCAGGATCAGTGTGGAGGTAGCCAAATCATTTGCTGATCCCACAGTGCCTATGTCGATGAAAGACCAGAGAAAACAGCAATATGAAAGATTAATGGTCAGAGAAGAAAGATTATTACAGCAAGAGGAAGAGAGAAAGCTCAAGAAACAAAGAATAATCAGATCAAAGGTCGACGACCAGATCGAGAAGAACCCCCAGTTGAAGGAGTTTGTGCAGGCTATGAAACCTTCGAGCCAAACCAAATCGTGGGCAAATGACGATTTGGCTGATGGTTCTGGAGGTCCATCGGTGAAAGCTTTGGAGGAGGCATTGGCCAAACAAGACCAAAATGACCGTGAAGTCCCTTCTTTTGAGACTATGAGTGATACCAAGGTCAAGGAAAACGAAAGTGATGCTGAATATGATGACTTTGCACCTAAGGGAACTGAGGTAGATGAAGACGACGAGGTAATGATGCCTTTGAACACTTTTAACAAAGAGTTACCAGAAAAAGAGATGATTCCAAATGAAGAAGATGAAATTGCAAAAGACGAAAAGGTCACTGATCTTGAATGGCTCCAACAAAGAAGAATCCGGATGATAGAAAATAGAGAGAACCAGATAGAGTCCAAGCCCGAAGAAAAGCATGATTCTGCCAAGGCACCCTCAAGAACCAAACCTTCAGTTGATCCTGAAGTTGAAACTCATACGAACCACGTCCAAAAAATCAATGAGACGGGCCGTTTGTTCATAAGAAACATCTCGTACACATCCACTGAAGAAGAGTTTCGTGAATTATTTGCATCTTACGGAAACCTTGAAGAGGTTCATGTTGCTATAGACACAAGAACGGGGAAATCCAAGGGATTTGTGTATATTCAGTTCACTAATCCCGAAGATGCTGTAAAAGCCTACGAAGTGCTAGACAAAGAGATTTTCCAAGGAAGATTGTTGCATATCTTGCCGGCAGAAAAGAAAAAAGATCATAGAATGGACGAGTTTGACTTGCAAAACTTGCCGTTAAAGAAGCAAAGAGAATTAAAGAAGAAGGCCCAGGCCGCCAAAACCCAGTTCAGCTGGAATGCATTATATATGAACCAAGATGCTATATTGGAGTCTGTTGCTGCTAAAATGGGAGTTGCTAAGAGCCAGTTGATCAATGCTCAAAGCTCTGATTCCGCAGTAAAGCAAGCCTTGGCAGAAGCCCATGTTATCGGAGATGTTAGAAAGTACTTCGAATCCAAGGGAGTTGATTTGATGAGTTTCAACAAGAAAGAAAGAGACGATAAAGTCATCTTGGTGAAGAACTTTTCATTTGGAACCACTCTTCAAGAACTTGGAGAAATGTTCTCTCAGTACGGAGAAGTTAAGAGAATGCTTATGCCTCCTGCTGGGACCATAGCTATTGTAGAATTCCGTGATGCCCCAAGTGCAAGAAGCGCTTTCACCAAATTAGCATACAAAAGGTCAGGAAAAAGCATTTTGTACTTGGAAAAAGGACCTAAAGACTTATTCACTCGTGAGGCCACTGAACAAGAGGCTGTGGAAGTCAAGGAAGAGTCAACTGCAGTGGAAGCCAAAGTCTCTGCTAAGGACATTCTCATGGAAGAAACCAAGCCCCAAGACGACGAAGAAGTGGTAGCTGAAACCGACGGACCAACAGTCTCTGTGTTTGTGAAAAACTTGAACTTCTCCACCACCACTGAACAGTTGGCAAAGATTTTCAAGTCTTTACCTGGTTTCGCAGTTGCTCTAGTCAAAACTAAACCCGATGCAAAGAACCCAAATTCGACCTTAAGTATGGGGTTCGGGTTTGTCGAGTTCAGAACCAAAGAAGATGCCAACAAAGCTATTTCTCTTATGGATGGCCATGTTTTGGACGGGCACAAGTTGCAATTGAAGTTGTCCAACAGAACTGGTGCTACTTCTGGCAAAAAGACCAAAGGTGGAAAGAAATCTACCAAGATTATTATCAAGAATTTGCCATTTGAAGCCACCAGAAAAGATATCATTGAGTTGTTTGGGGCCTTTGGACAGATCAAGTCTGCTAGAGTTCCCAAGAAGTTTGACCGGTCTGCCAGAGGATTTGCATTTGTGGAGTTTAGCTTATTGAAAGAGGCAGAGAATGCCATGAACCAGTTGGAAGGAGTCCATTTACTTGGTAGAAGATTGGTGATGGACTATGCTGAGAAGGCAGCCGAAGATGCTGATGCCGAGATCGAAAGAATGACATCTAAGGTCAAACAGCAGTATGCCACACAACAGTTGGCTGCTCAAAGATTAGCCGGACAGGGAAAGAAGTTGGACCTTGACGAAGACGAAGCTTCTGAGTTTTAGTTCCAGTATTTGTAGATACATAATAATGGATAGGATCAGAATCAATAGTTCCATAAGCATTTGCAGTTGGTGATCATGGGCCATTCACCTTAGAAAACTAATTTTATAAAGTGGATGAGCAGTTCTGCTGAACTGTATGTCATCTAAGTACTCACTTTAAAGTCCTATAGATCTGAGTCTAACCCATTGGGCATCATTCCAAGTATATGGTATCAGTCGAGCAGTCCGCAGATAAAGGCCGCGAATTCACGAAATCATTCTTTTGTGTCGATATTCTACCATGAATGGACTTGTACATTTCAGGCCGTTCAATGGCGCTTCAAAGATCCTGGTCTTTGGCCCCGGAAATATGCAGATATTCAGACTGAGGATCTCATGCGTGACTTTCCGGCCATTTAGTAAATATTCGAAATCTGCTTCTGGTGATGAGCATCCCCTTGGGTCAAACATTTATGAAAACCAGTATAGACTGCCCCATTTTGGGAGCTATAGGTACTATAAAACATACAGAGGAGTACAAGGAGCTAAATACCACCGTGACCTGGACAATTTCTGGGCCAATAAAGATTTTAAAGGTTATGGTGAGTTTTGGTTCAACAGGGACATGAATAAATACCATAACTACCGGGGCTACAAAAACCCCAGCGATGGAGATGGCAAGAGGCATTGGGGAGTTCATGAGTCAGATGAATCTGCGGGCTCTGGAAATCACTGGAGAACCCGTGAAAACTATCCCTACAGTTTCCGTGGTTATGGATACGAAAACCACTGGGCAGAAAGGGGCGGTGGGTTCGTTTGGGGGACAAAAGGAGGTTTTGGAAGACACTGGGGACAAGGTACTCACAAATTTGGAAATCACTGTGATTTCTGGAACCGCTGGTTGTTTCGGGCCCAGAATAGAGCGTACAGACACTCGGCACATAGAGGAAACAGCTTACACGGGTCGAAAATGATGAGACTCTTTGGACGCTTCAGTCCATCTCGTGGATTGAGACTACTCAAGTTCAAACACCAGCGGAGGCAACAAAGGAGAGATAGTAGTACCTGGAGCCGGTACAATAAGCACTACGGAAACTCAAACTGGGATAGATTGAAAGGGCCAGCTCTTTTCACGCTTGCGTTCTGCGTGGGCACCACTTTGGGGGTTCCGTTGTTGATGAAATTCACTCCGCTTGGAATCCTCACGAGAAATCCTCTGTGGTTGATCTACTCGATAATTGCTGCAAATGGGTTGGTGTTCTTAATGTGGAAAAACCCCAACTTTATCACCTTCATGTCTAGATACGGTTTGCTTGTTAAAGATAAGATGTACTCGAACTGGTCATTGTTGGGGTCAGCCTTCTCACATCAGAGCTTCATGCATATCTTTGTCAATATGTTTGTTCTCCAATCTTTCGGAACCAGTTTATGTGCAATGTTGGGTGCTACTAACTTTCTTGTCATGTACCTTAATTCTGCTGTCATTGCTTCATTTGTTTCAATCCTTGTACCGACTTTGATGAGAACATCTTTGGCGGTCGGATCATTGGGTGCTTCGGGTGCAGTTTTCAGTGTAGTTGGTGCATTTTCTTATTTGATTCCAAAAGCCCCAATTGCCCTCTTTTTCATTCCGGTTCCAGGCGGCGCTTGGTTCGCCTTCTTGGGTGCTATAGCATACAATGCTGCAGGGCTTTTCTTCAGATGGGGTGCGTATGACTATGCGGCCCATTTGGGAGGATCCATGGCAGGTGTGGCTTATGGCTGGTATTACACCAAGAAAATGAGAGAACAAAGAGCTCGAGCCAGAACCATTCGTCCACGGGGATTTTAATTCTACTGTCCCTCTTGTAAATAAATCGTGGACCAATTTCCTTATGTCTTGTACGCAGCTTTACATTATTTACGTTATTTATTGGTCTAATTTATGCTGAATGTATAATGTACAGATTAAGTTTCGTGACTGGAATTCGGATTCCTGGGATTAGGCAAAGGAAACACTCTTCTTCTTGGTCGACAGAGCAGAATCTTCGTTCTCGGCGGAGATCTTGGCGTTCTTTCTTCTGTTAGCTCTGGCAACATTAGCCTTACTCTTGATCTCATTTTTTTTGTTCTCCAACTTACTTTTCTTTTCTTGCTCTTTCTTGTCCATTTCCTTTCTCTTCAACTCTCTGATTTCTTCCAATCTTCTAGCCTTCTCCAATTTACTTTCATTAACTTTGTCGTATTTGTCATTGATGGTCTTGACTAATAAGTTGAGGACATTGGGGTTCTTTTCATCAACAAACTTCTTTCCTTTTTTTCCTGACTTGACTTTAACACCAGGCATGACAGCCTTGTTCAACAAAGGTATTTTCAATTGACTCTCGTTGTACTCTTTCCCATTTTTAGCACCGTAAAGCCTTATTTTTGCTTGTTGCTTCTTGATAGCCTGCTTGGATAACTGTCTTTTAACAGATTTGGGGGTTAACTTGGGCTGAGACTCCAAGAGGTTTCTGGCATGAGAATCTGTCGTGACCTCAGATTCCACACTTCTAGTCTTGTTCTGGGAGTTGGCTCTTTTAGCGGTCTTTGTCTGTTTTCCTGCCATAGCTGAATATCGAGATGAGATGAAAAAAGATGAGACGCAAAAAAATTCGGGTGCGAAAAGATGCAAAAAAGGCTACTCATTGAACGATGGATTTAAAAATATACCAGTATACACTTAATAGATCGAAAAGAGTTCAAGCATCAGCAAGTCTGTTTTTGTCTTCTTTGTTCAAGTCCTTGAGATCTGCAATGGGTCTCTCGGCCTGAGGGGTGATCCTTACTGCAATACGGGTTGCATCGGTGTCATCCCAGTCGTTAACGGCAGTGTGAACAACTCTTCTGTTGTCCCAGATCACAACAGTGTTTGCTTCATAGTGGGCACGGGCCTGCAAGTCATGGGAGTTAGCGATATGGTCGTAAAGGAAAGCTAACAAGGCCTTTGACTCCTCTTCTTTGAATCCAATAATTCTTCTCGAGAATTGAGGATTGACATACAAAATCTTCTTTCCGGTAACAGGATGAACTCTAATAAGTGGGTGAATATTCTTAACCGGATCTCTTCTTGACTTGATTGGCCCTGAGTTTTCTACAAAGCTAGCCTGTTCTACTGAGGAGTGTTCCACATATAAGCCATCCAAAATTCCTTTGAATTCGGGAGACAATCTCTCATACGCTTCGATGGTGTCAGCAAAAGCAGTATCACCACCAGACTCAGGACCTTCTAACACGCTGAAAAAAGTGATTCCAGGAGGTTGCAACTCGTAGCTAACATCTGTGTGCCAAGCAATACTATTGGTTTTGTTTTTAAAGTAGTTCCCCTGGTTGGCGTAGTCCTTGTTTCTATAGGCAATGTGTAACTCAGGGTACCCGATTGGGGCACCGGAAACTGGGTGGATATGAAGTGGTCCATAGTACTTACCAAATTCCACTGCAAACTTGGGACCGTGATCGGTGAAGTCCTGGTTTCTGAACACCAATAACCCTCTTTGAGCCACCAAAAGTGCTAATTCGTCTTTACCTTCATCGGTCAATTGAGATAACTGAACACCGTCAATTTCAGTTCCCAATTTAGGCGTAATACTTTTCTTCGTATAGTCGCCATCCTTTGGTAATAAGTTAGGTAATTCTGGGTCCGCAAATGTACCTCTATCATGGTGTTGGAAAAATTCCAATGGTGGGTAAGTTTTGTTCTGTTCCCACGATGGAATAAAATCTTTGAAGTTGCTTTTGGCAATTTCTTCTTCACTCAAAGTGATATGGTTGTTTTGGATTTGGAATTTCCTTACGGCGGCAGCTGCTGACGACATATTATACTGGGGTTATTAGAGGGTCAGATCAATGCGTACTTATAAGTGATCCCTTTTTCTAACTGTGGTGCTTCCCTTTCGCAGCCACCACAGAAATATTCTTCTGATATCAATAATCACAAGCGGTATATTTCCAGAAACGGAAGTATAAACCTAATATACTTAGTCTAATACAATAACATTCTGCGATAGATATACTAAAAGAGAAGCCAATCAAGGTTTGTGGTTTGTAACGTTAATGGTAAGCCCCTCTCTGATGCCCATGGTGATGTGATTTCGCTTTTAGAGGTATGATGTTTCGTAATATTGGCGCAATTTTCCACAACTACCTCAAGAATTGAACGTGGTTATGGTGCCACCTTCCCACCCGTAGTTGATATGTCCGTTAATCTCCTGTTGTTACCAGGTTCAAAGGGGTACTACTTTGCATTGCGGCTCAAAGTGATCCAGTTGTCTACAAACTGTGAAATCGACCTATCTCTTTCCGAAGACCTCACCAATTCCTTGAAATTTGCAAACACCCTTACTTATTCTGAAGCCCGATAGGCTATTCTATATTTGACATTTTGAAGTTGTTGCAATATCTGATAATGGACAAATCCGCAATTGAGATGCGATAAGCTCCAGAAAAATAAGCTCAAAGTTAATATTCAATAATGAAACAAGAGTACACAACATCGTACATCGCTGATGGAGTCCAGTTCAACTGGAATGTGTTCCCATCGACTAGACTAGAAGCTAAACAGCTTCTGTCCCCAATCGGATGCCTATACACCCCTCTTCATAAAAGATCTCACAACCTTCTTGCTATCCCATCCACCGATGAACATGCCATCAAATGTGATGCCTGTGAGTGTGTCATCAATCCGTTCGTGAAGATCGATAGAGCAAACAAGATGTGGTGGTGTCCTTATTGTGAGGGCAAGAGTTACTTACCGGAAGCGTATGTGTTACCAGAATCAAGTAGTTCAGAGCTGTGGCCGGTTGAGCTTCGACAGTCTTCTTCAACAATTGATTACAAGTTGCCTAACGATGTTGCTATTGCTTCAGAATACCATCCAAACTATGTGTTTGTCATCGATGGTTATCAACATGTGGATGAGATCGACAAGCAACAAACTTCCTTTACTAGTATGAAAAAGTCCGTTTGTGAAGCAATAGAGAGCCTTCCAAATGGAGCTTATGTGGCAATTGTTTCGTATGATGAGAATGTATACCTCCACAAACCACTTGAAGGAGCAACTGTCGCTATCACAGATGACGATGTTCTAGGCACAAACAATGAACTAGATCAGTCTGTGAAACGGAAAAAAGTCCTGTTATTCAACCCTACTGCCATAGGGAAAGTCTTGGGAAAATTGGGCTTGGCGAATCTGACATTGGGCTGGGGGTTAAAGGCATGCGATTTAATCGAACGTCTGTTTCTTGTTCAGTTGACCAACTCAAACAAAGCGGTAGTCTCAAACTATATCAAGTCCATCAAGCCCAAATTCACAGACTCATACAAACCTCCCAGAGCAACAGGGTTGGCGTTATACACGGTGTCTGTAGTGCTCTCGAGGGCTTCATATAAAGGATTTATTGGGAAAGTCATATTGTTTGCGGGTGGGCCTTGTACCAGTTTTCCTGGGAACATCATCGACACTTCCCATAGTAAGAACCTACGAAGTCATCACGATATCGCCAACTTGAACGTTGCAGAGTTTGTTCCTTCTCTGAAATTCTATAAAACTTTAGCACTTGTTGGTAGTGGCCTTTCGTTTGAAGCTGCACATTCCTGTATTTCTAAGTCTTCAAAAAAGGAGTCTGAATTTGAATTGGATATAAATCAGCCAAAATGGTCATTTGATTTGTATTCAGGATCTTTGGACCAAGTAGGAATCTATGAGATGAAAGACTTATCACTGCACACCATGGGAAGCATATATTTATTTGATTCATTTGATAATAGGCAATTCCACACCGAATTGATGAACTCTTTTAGAGCTTCCAAGGTGTACAATTCGACGCTAACAGTCAGAACGTCTCCCGGATTGAAGGTTTCTCGATTAATAGGGCCAGGTCATTGTCTTCCTTCTTCTTACCAGGCAGAGAAGTATTATACTTTACACCATGAAAAGATCTCTGATCACTTGAGTAGTTTTGACTCGAGTTCCAAGAAGAAGAACTTTACGAATCGGTGGTGTTTCAACGAGTTGACACCCCACAATTCGTGTGCAATAATATTTGACCCCGAGACTGTGGGATCAACAACAAGCTTGAGTGAAGGTGGTATTAAGGAAATGTTTATACAGTTCCAGCTTAAATACTTGGATCCGATTGAAAACGTTTGGAAATTAAGAGTTACAAACATCACAAAAAAGACCACATTATATTATTTGGCTGCAAATAAAGTCAAAATGAGCAACAACACTTATAAATTGGTAAACACCAAGAGCTCAATTATCAAAGAGGAAAAGCTACTTGAAAGTTTTGACCAGTTTGCCTTTATTGTCATCTTCACCAGGTTGATTTTGGACAAGATAGACAGCATTTTAGGGTTTGAGGAGTTTGATAGCGTTATAGGGAGTATTGATAAAGTGTTGATCAGGCTACTTCACTATTTTGGGGGCATCTCCCTCAACCAAGCATATTTATCAGGAAGCAATCCATACCTGAATCTTCTCGATGATATCGTTCAAAAGTATACGATCAATGAGAACTTTAAAGAACTACCTTCTTTGACGTATTACTTGAGGAGAAATCCTCAGTTGATCCGAATTTTCAATTCGCTGCCAGATGAAACAGCATTCTACCACCATTGGTTTATGAATGTGGAAAGTGATATCTCGTTGACAATGATTAAACCGAAGATGTACCTGCTCTTTGAAGGGAACATATCTGAAATCAGCTTGGATGCCCAGAATGTGTTGAGTGCTCCTCCAGATTGTTTCATCGTCATGGACTCAGTTTTCAGTATTATCATCTACAAGAACGATTTGTCATTGAGGTTACACCATTCCAGTAATTTGCACTTAATTGACGACAACCACGATTCCATTGAAGAGGTGATGACATTTATCAAAACCCTTGGAGACAGACGGTTGCAACCTAAATATGTGATTACCCAGAAGAACCATTCACAGTCAAGATTCTTATTGGCCCGATTGAATCCTGCTGAGGACATAGAATCAAAACTTGAGGGGATTAGTATTAACGAACCGAAAGGGTTCTTGGCTAAGCTATTTGGAAGCAAGGGCCAGTCACAGCAACGGTCTTATTCTTCATTATTAACAGATGACATAAGTCTAAATGAGTACTACACGGGATTGATCGAGACAATAAAGAAGTTCCTGGACGATCAAGACTCGTGATAGAGTATATCATATATTGGATACTAGTGTCGTTGTATATTAAATAATCAGACGGTATATTTTCAACATAAGGTGATTGGAATAAGAGATTTTGACCCAGACAGTAATTGTAGACGTACTAAGTATTTTCACAAAGAACTAATGAACTTGGACACCGTCTCTATCAATTCTAAACATGCATCTGGATCTTCCACCTCATGGTTTGCCCCCACCAACACTTTGCTTAAAGGACTCCAAACCTTTGGATTCGTTACCTTCTGCCACCGAGACACCAAAGCTTGTATGTCGAGATCCTTGGGTGCACATGGATCTTTGGACCCATATAATGCCAACAAGGGCTTTTTCACCTTGCCAAAAGTCTTTGCAAACCCTTCATCGTCGATGTACGAGGAGAAGAAATCATCATCTCCATACCTCAGGTATAACGAGTAGAACCTATAAGCAGTGATGGGAGTGTCGAACGCGACCTTGCTGAACTTCACTGGTAAAGTCTGTTCTTGCAACCCTTTGGAAATGTACTCGTCATAACACTCCTTCACCAATTTTTCAAGGTACTCGGAACCATACCATTCTTGTATGGCTTCTCTATCAGATACCGGAGCCTGAAGAATACCTCCATCTATTTCCATCGACTCGTCAAACTCCTTACTGTAAGAAAAGTCACACAAGTACCGTAAAGTGTCCTGACACCCGGTGGAATGGCCCATTAACACGATCTTTTGTCTGTTCCCGCCGTTTTCAGATCTCAAATATGATACAATTTGACCGATTTCTTCGTTATCTGTTTTCAACGAGCTCTGGCCCCATCCGCTCCAGGCGGACGACAAAATCCCTTGAACTAATACCCAGTCACCATCATGGTCAACGGTGTTGACTTTTTCTGCAAGTTTAGGAAGGTAATGCACCCCTAATAAACCGTTGGTGAGGCCACCGATAAAGAGAAGGACGTTTTTGGCGGAATGCGAGGGATTGTGTCCATTGAACTCAAATGCCACTTTGTTGAATGCGTACAGATGAACGGTTCCAACTATTGGCATGGTACAGGTAGTATTTTTGTAGCAGTTGGAAATTTACCAGTTTGCTAGGGATAGCTTCTAGATCGAGGTGTTGCGCGCACCGCGCCGCCGCTGTGTGGAATTAGGTTGATAACAGAATCCACCAAATAGGAGACTCCTTTGCTTTACGTCAAACCACCACAATCCACGAGACAGACAGAACAATCAACCCCACGATCCACCGCCCCGAAAAATATACCTCGTCCATCATCTAATGTCTGTGCTCCACTCCTCCAATGACTCGTTTCTACAATGGGATCCAGCCCAGGTGTCCATCTACATCAATTCCGTAAGCGCCGATGACTCCAACACTATCGGAGAGTACTTTTTGGAAAACAACATTGAGGGATCCTTATTGCCTTTCATCACCACCGAGCACCTCAAGGAGCTTGGAATAGAAAAGTTGTCGACTAGGCTCTTGATCAAAAATAAAATCACCGAACTCACAAATGCCCACTACGAGAAGAACCCCCCCAAGTCGTATAATGACCCTGATTACCGACTCAGCAACATCAACATCAACAACAACTATGTCAATTTTGAGTGTTTGACTTTGTCGAGTATATTGATGAAAGATATGATAAAAAAACTAGCAGTGACAGTCCAACAGCACCGATCAGCTACCTCTTCGCCTACGACCGAACAGGACATCAAAAAGCTCAATGAGAACTTCACGAGGTTGAAGAGTGACTTGATCCCGGTGATCCGCCTTTTGAAAGACTCCAAACCGCTTCCCACCCCAACTCTAGACCCTGGTCCCGTGGGTCAGAACTTGGATTCCCCCACCTACTCCATTTCAAGTAACCATTCCACCAACAGCAACACATTGATCGAGACGTTCCAGGACGCCGGGTTCTTGAACAATAGCCAACTGAACTCGAACCGAAATTCCAATCCCATCCCCAGTCCCACGCAATCCAATCGTTTTTCTTCCGGCTCTCTTTTGTCGCTTGGAACTGGCAAAATCGCCCTGTCGGGAGGTGCTGTGGGCCACCCCGTGGAACAAGCGAAACTGAGCACACCACGGCCCCGGCTCGTGGAGAGTAAGTCCACCAATGCTGCATCTACATCAATACTAAACATCCCCAAGACCCTTCGAAAACACTCGGCTCTGACCAGCTCTGCATCCACGCCATCGGTACCAACACTCACCAGCACGCATCCACAGCTGCAACCCCCACCACAACAGCTTCAACAACAACCTCCTGTTGCAAACAATGAGCCGTTGAAACAATTGAGAGCATCTTCCGAAGACTCATGTCTCAAGATTCTTCAACAAGCCATGAAAAGACATCACATTCCTCGGGGTGACTGGTCCAAGTATGTATTAGTTATTTGTTATGGTGACAAGGAACGGATATTGAAGTTGGCCGAAAAACCGGTTCCTATCTTCAAAGAGCTTCAGGAGCTTGGTAAGCACCCAGCCATTATGTTAAGACAGTTGGCCGATACCAAAACCGCCGACACAAACTCCAACGAGATGTACGAAGACTCCAGAATTGGAGATGATATCCCTGGTGGGACTTTATAATTTGAATACAGATACCCGTTAGTAGCAGCATTTGCGGCATTTGCAGCCATAGGAGGAAGGCACAGGAGGAGGAAGGGCGCGCGCCCTAGTGTTTACTTTTGTGACTGTGAGCCCCCCATCATCGCGGCCTTTTGTGTAATATTTGTTTCCCGTGCGAACAGTAAATTTTCATTGCGAATAAAAAAATTTCCAATCTCTTCATATTACAAACTAATTCAAGATGCCTCCAAAATTCGACCCTAATGAAGTTAAGTACCTTTACTTGAGAGCCGTCGGTGGTGAAATCGGAGCCTCCTCCGCTTTGGCCCCAAAGATCGGTCCTTTAGGTTTGTCTCCAAAGAAGGTTGGTGAAGATATCGCCAAGGCCACTAAGGAATTCAAAGGTATCAAGGTCACTGTTCAATTAAAGATTCAAAACAGACAAGCTACCGCCTCTGTTGTCCCATCTGCCTCCTCTTTGGTGATCACCGCCTTGAAGGAAGCCCCAAGAGACAGAAAGAAGGTTAAGAATGTCAAGCACTCTGGTAACATTCCATTGGAAGAAATCTTTGAAATTGCCAGAACCATGAAGGAAAAGTCTTTCGGTAAGAACTTGGCCTCTGTTTCCAAGGAAATCTTGGGTACTGCTCAATCTGTTGGTTGCCGTGTTGAAGGTAAGAACCCTCACGATATCATTGAAGCCATCGATGCTGGTGAAATTGACGTTCCAGAAAACTAAATGAGAGGATTCCAACCATCACAAACACAACTGTAAGAATAGATTGACTACACAAATTTTCACAAGAGGATTTTCCACCTGGTGAGCTTGTAATAAAGAACTACAATATAGGGTTACTTTTTATTATAAATATCATGATGAGACCAACACTCTAATCAAAATAAATATAATTTGAATTATTGATTATTGGGTTTCTTTGCTTTTGATGCTTTTTCCATTTTATTTCCCAAATCCCCACTATTATCAAGATACTTATCTCCTTCCTCTGTTGTTTGCCGACACTCTGGTGCCAAGTGAATGTTGTATTTGGTTCCTATTTAGGTGCAAACTAGATTGATTTTAGCTAACTACTCACCATTATAGCCTTTTCTACCATGGCTATGATAGGTCCATTTCAGTGGCATACAATTGTAAAATTATCTTGATTTTAGGTGGTTGTAGTAGGAATTGTGGAGGATTTCAAAAGCACTGAAATCTATGTAGAGCCCTTTGTGCAGATTTCATGTGCGACCAGTGCGAGGGAATTGCCCCGGTTTTTGGAAAACAAAACATCCATCAGCATTAAACGAGGTCCAAATATATCTCCTTTAGTTTGTTGTTGAATCCTACCGTATCCCAACCACCTGTGAAGATGTCGGACTCAATCGGTATGTAGACCCATTGTTTTGTGTGGTTTATTTGTGGTACTAACTAGTGATAGATCGGGTGTTTGTAAAAGCCATCACCACCATCAGGGCGTTATCGTCACGGTCGAACCACGGCTCGTTGCCCCGTCCCCCCGCAGAGAGCAGAATGAAGTTATACGGGCTTTATAAGCAAGCCACTGAAGGTGACGTTGAAGGAATCATGGCTAGACCCATTGGGTTTACCTTAGAGGACGAAGGGGCAAAGAAGAAATGGGACGCTTGGAAGCGCGAGCAGAGCTTGAGCAAGACAGAAGCAAAGAGAAGATACATCTCGTATCTTATAGATACCATGAAGGTTTATGCCAGTGGAACCATAGAAGCACGAGAATTATTAAGTGAATTGGAGTACCTTTGGGATCAGATCAAAGACTTAGAGTTCAGCCCTGAGGAAGAGTTGGAACATATCCCCAATATTCCGTTTCCAACCCATTCACCCCTGTTTTCTCAAGCAGACCAATCTGACAGGTACTCTACCGGTACCCCTTTACCGTTACCTAGTAACTACTCCAATCCTGCCAAGAGCAATCTCCACAAAATATACTCGCACTCTCGAAGATCCACGATGTTGAACATCAACGACTACGTCCAGCAGCAAAGACAGCAACAACAACAGCAGCTGCAGCATCTCAATAAACGGACAACTGGTTCGGTATACTCATTAACTCATGATCCGTTGGCTCAGTCCGATCGTCTTGGTCTCTCGTTGCAATCCTTACCCAACAACCCTGGCAATTCGAACATCACACCTGCCTCAATGGAAGACTTCAAGAATTGGCAAGGAGAAATCAACCTTATCATCAACAAGCTCTCACGAGAGTTCGTTAATAGGCGATCCCGGAACTTTTCTCCCAGTGAATCGGATCTTAGTGATTACCTGTTGGATCCTAGAGCAAGAATGAAGAGAAGACTCCTTCACTTGCTTAGAATCATTGGCAGTAATGCGTTCAAGGTCCTCAAAAGCTTTTCAATCAGCGCGTTGACAATCATGTTTATTGTTTGGTGTTTCAAGAAAAACGTTGTGGTGCAAAGAACTATTGTGCGGAAACCTCTGGCCAATTCTTCGAGAGAGACCGAAGAGTTGGTGATCAATATGATCTTAAACACCAACGAAAATAAATGGTTTATAAGAATGCTTTCATTCCTCAACAGCTTTGTTGGCTTTGTTTGACTGGAACCTCGTTACGAATATACTATAATAATCATGATCTTTTGTAGATATATATCTATGTAGGCATGAATCGATGCGCGCACACGACTGGGTATTTGCGACCGACTGAAAAATTTCGAGATGAGATGATTATCGCAATGCAAACTACACAAATGAATATCCACCGTTGCAGGTTTGTGGACTACACGCCGCATACAATCACGACCGTTGCATTCTCCCATCCATCGGCTCCATACAGTGTTGCGGTAGGAGACTTGAGATTGGCTGTGGGAAGAAGCAATGGAGATATTGAGATCTGGAACCCAAAGTTCAACTGGACGCATGAAATCACATTGTATGGATCAAGAGGAAGATCCATAGAAGGATTATGCTGGGCTGTCAACGAAGAAGATGGCTACACCTCACCTCGTTTATTTTCCATAGGTGGCTCAACCTACGTTACCGAATGGGACCTTCAAACGGGATTACCAAAAATCAACTATGATTGTAATGTTGGAGTCCTTTGGTCTATGGCTGTGAACAAAGCAGGAAATCGGTTGGCAGTGGGAAGTGACGATGGAAGCGTTTGCATAGTAGACATTTCCGGAGGTCCAGGTTCGTTGGAGCATGAAATGATTTGTCAAAGACAAGACCTGAGAGTGTTGAGCATCAAATGGTTTGACAATGAATTGATAGTAGGTGGATGTGCTGATGCCAGAATCAGGTGTTGGTCGGCAGTAAAGGAGACCAAAGGAAGATTGATAGGGACTATGAGAGTCGATAAGTCCAAAACTGAAAGTACTTTGGTGTGGTCTGTGAATGTTTTGAGCAAGCGAAAGCAGATTGTGAGTGGGGATTCTACTGGTTCGGTTAAAGTGTGGGACTTAAACACCTTTACTTTATTGCAGAGTTTCAACAACCATGATGCCGATGTCTTGTGCATTGCTAATGACTTTAATGAGGAGAAAATATTCACTGCTGGTGTTGATAGAAAGATTCACCAGTTCAATTTAATCAACCCCAACGCATCTAACAAGTCTAAAAATTTCAAGTGGGTACACAGCTACAACAGACTATTGCATTCCAATGATGTCAGATCAGTAGCGGTGTTTGAAAGTAAGGGTTATAATTTCTTGGTGAGTGGAGGAGTAGAAAAATCCATTGTGATCCAGTCCATCAACCAATTCCATGATGGGAAGTACAGAAAATTGGCATTAACTCAACAGCATAAAAATACATTATTCAACCAACAAGAGAAGCTAGTGGTTATGTGGCAGGATCAGACGGTTAAGATATGGAGAGTTGTTGGCACTGAAGATGCTAGTGATGATGAGGTCCAATATAAGTTGGTTTCCAAGTTAAGTCTCGCCGACGACGCCAATATTACCAGTGTTTCTTTGAATAGCGATGGAAATGTTCTTGTAGTGGGAACCATGGAAAGCGTCAAGGTATTTGAACTTGCTCCTAATAGCGATGGTAAAAGGTTGAAAGTCATTAAGTTTAGAGATGAGACCTTTGATTCTGTTGTCAGTGGCTGCAAAAAAAAGTCTCATTTACGGAGGAAACAACTTATTGATTTTGACTTCCAACGAAGAACTATACAAGTTTGACATTAATGTAGACGAGAAGAAAATCACGTTGGAAAATGAGATTGAGTTCACCGATTCATATGACGTCAAGTCTGATATAACCTACGTTTCCAATATCAAGAACTTAGTGATTAACAAGGCTGAAGATACTTTAGCGATCAGCAGATTCAGCGGAGTGATCGAGGTAGTATCCTTGGAAACCTTTAACTTGCACAAGTTGGTGACATTGTCAACATTACCTCACTTGATCGAGTTCTCCGAACAAAATACTTTGGTGGTTTTGACGGAAGAAAACAAAATCCTCGAGTTTTACGTCAAGCAAAATGCAAAAATGGACTCGTTGTTAACCCCATGGTCCAAGAGAAATAGTGAATTCCTTCCTAGAAAGTTTTTGACATTGGAGGAAAAACCAGAGAGATTATTCTTCGATAAAACCGGGAAATTGTGGATTTACGGTAAGAACTGGCTTTGCTACTTCAACTTATCCATCAACATCCCAATAAATAAAACCTACAAGAACACCGTTGCTTCCAAGAAAAGAACTAGAGATGGGTTGACTATTGACGAGGACCAAGAGGATGAAGGTGATGATGAAGAATCCAGTATAAGTATAATGGAATTGTCTTTGAGGCAAGCCCAAATCAACAAATTCAGAGAGCAAGACAAAGATGCCGACGACAATGACAATGACACCGAAAATGAAAAGCCGTTCTGGATCTCCTTCAAGTACAGACCTATATTATTAGTGGATAGTTTCAATGGTGAAAATTTTATCATGGTTGAAAGAAATCCCCACTTAACTGGGTCTTCTCCAGCATTCAATTTACCAAAAATCAAGGTTTGAGACATTTTACAATCTTGAATACATTTATATAGAATATACAAACCCATTACTCGATCTTTGGAACCACCCTGGCACCCTGGAAGAACACACGAGCAGCAGAGGCACATCCCATCAAACACTTCAATGGCTCATCTTTGTCTCCGTCCTTATCATCTTTTTTGATACCCCAGCCTTTTCTTTCTCCAAATGTCGGTTTGTACTTTTTGTCATACACATCTCTGTACGTCAAATTAGGCTCAAAACTCTGAATGTATAATCCATCATCAGGGTCTCTCATAAACTCATAGAACATCACCAAGTGTCTACGGATCTCCTCCTCAATTCGCTTAGGTAAGTCTCCTGGTGCCTCATTGCCCACAAACAAAAGGTAGTCGGCCAAACCTTCCACCAACAACTGAACAAAATAAGAAGGATCTCTCCAGTATCTCTTGCTCATATCGTAGTCACGGTCGTAAAAAAACACGTTTCTGTTGATACCAGCCTCAGCCAACTCATCGGCTATTTTCTTCCAGTGCTCATCCTTGGTATAGTGGTACAAATGGGCAGCTGCCGACAAAGTAGTCCCCAAGTTGTAGGTCCATTTGGTATCGTTGGGGCTATCGGAGGTGTCCTGAACTCCGTCCTTAATCAACTTGTCGCCAGGGTCTTGCAACACCTTGATTTGCCAATCGATACATTTTGCAGCAAAATCAATATAAATCTTCGACTCGTCGGGAATGAACTTGGCAATTTGGAGACAGCACTTGGCCACTTCGGCTGTGGTACAGGAGTTCAAATAGGCGTTGGAAATGTGCCATTTCATTCCTCCCTTGGTCTTTGCATTGGGATTGTCATTCCAGCCACCCATCAAAAACCGGGTCAATTCCCTTCCCTGGTCCAAATACTTGATGTTGCCAGTCACCTCGTAAGCAGTCAACATGGCACTACAAACCTGGGCGTCATCATCATAGTAAATGTCCTTGTCATTCCCATTGTTTTCAGCAGCCGAGAAACCCTTTAAATGGGGGTTTTTGTATTTTTGGAATATCATGATGGCCGGGTCCACCAAAGGTACCAATTCCTTGTAGATTCGGGAACCATCCACCACTGCCTGAGCGGCGACCGAAACAGCCCATATTACAAACTTCTTATCGTTGTAGCAACCAGAGCATCTTTTAGGAGCAATGAAGGTGCTTTCGTGTTTGTTGTAGTACTTTATCCACATGTTACGAACCACATTGTAGCCTTCAAGATTTGGGTTTTGGAGAGGCATTGTCGATTTACTTGAGTGGTAGGGATAAACACAAGTAAGTTTTAGTTGAAATTTGGCAGTTGCTAAATTAGCGACCTGAGCATGGTGCAGCCAGTCGTGCGCGGCAGCGGTTAAATAAACTTTATATATTACTAGTCTACTTGGCATCCAATGGCTTCTTACACACGTACAACATCATGGGTGTGAATAACTTCTGCTTACCTCCAGCCACCAAGTTCACAGCAGCATCCTCCAAAGCAACGGTCACTTGTTTGGAACCCTTTGGAGCCAATCCGAGTTTTTCCATCAACCCAACCGATTCGGTGGTGATCAATCTACCGATTCTCGAGGTTCTGAAAACCGCAAGGTAGTCGCTCAATTGCTGTACGTACTTGAACTCTCCAGCCAATGGGTAGTACCATGGGATTTCGTCATCTTGGTCGGCCAAGTCCTTTTCGTATTGGATTTCAAACCCAACCGTCTTCAAGGCTTCGCGAGCAACTTCGTTTTTGTACATCTTAGGGATTCCGTCACCAACTTCGATCCCGTAAGCGATTTTCCGGTGCTCCTCATTGGTCTCATCGTATTTGTCGGTCATGACCCACTCGTACACACCGAAGGTTCCACCTGGTTTCAAAACCTTGTAGATTTCTCCGTAAACTCCTTCTAACTTAGGAGCATGGACAGTGGCTTCAATGGCATATACGGCATCAAACGTTTCGGGTTCGAATTCCATCTGCATAAAGTCACCCTTGACAAAGGACAACTTGTCGGACAAGCCGTATTTTTCGGAATAGTGGTTAGCTCTTTCGATTTGGTAATCATTGTTGTTCAATCCAACAATCGAACATCCAGTAAATCTGCAGATTTCTCGGGCAGGACCTCCGACCCCACATCCAACATCCAACACCTTCATGTTTTCGTGAATATTCATTTTATGGGCCAAGTAATGTTCGTGTCTGGCGGTAGCTTGTCTAAAGGCTTCTCCTTGGTAGTATCTGGAAAAGTGGAACGAGGATCCCCATCCGTACTCGTAAAAGTCGGTCACTAAATTGTAGTAGTGGTGGGTCAACCGGTTGTAGTCGTTTAATCTCTTTTCCTCATCGTCTTTGGAGACACCACCATCCCAGTGCTTGAAATATCCTTCGTTAGCGACTTCACTAGCGTTTTTGGCTTTGGCGACCAAAGCACTTAACCCGGTCTTCTTGTAACTGTCACCATGTAAGGCCTTGGCGAATTGAGAGTCCTGGGCGTGGTCTCTGTCGTAGAGTTCTTGTTTACTCATGTTGAAGCGAATGTGCTGAAATAGTTATTTGTGGAACTTCGTGTTTGTATTTATACGCACCGCCAACTTTTCAATCAGCGGTCGCAGTCGTACCTGGGATTCGTCGTTCCCATCGTTTATGCCGGATACTTTTTTATTTTTTGGCTCTCGCATTTATCTAAACGACCTATTTAGATATCGTAGCTAACCTGGTCTTCGGCATCGAGAAACTCGTCTATGCCTTCCAACTCCGCCTGCTTGGACGCGGGGTCCCAGGGCCCCGCAGACGCGTCGTCCTCGTTCCTCTCGTTTGCATCCTTGAGCCCTTCCGTGTCACTGTCTTGTTTTTCCTCTCCATCCACGTCCATCACCTCAACCGCGCTCTGTGCATTTTGCTGCACCTCCCTCACGTGCTCGTTGAACTTGTGGAAACTCTTGGTGGTGAGAGAATCAAATTGAAACTCAACATCTTCGCTTCGGTCATCAAATACCTTGAGAGTATCTTCAATGGCTTCACAAAGCCGCCTAAGTAACCGGTGACTCAAGTGTTCCGTGATGGTTATCTTGCCCAAGTTGCTGATAATAGCCTTCTTGACGGCTTTATTTGTATCTTGTTCAATGGCTTCAAGGAAGGTGATCACTTGCCATATGGGCGATTCAACAGTGGTGACGTCGATGGTGTTCTCTTTGTTCACAAGGTTGTGAGGATCACACCAATGAATCAACTGCTGGATCACCGAAGTCACGGTCATCGAGCTCAACAAGCCCAACGCCGCATCGTTATCTTTGTACAACTCTTCGTATGTTCGCTGACGCTTGCTAAACTTGAACACAACGTTTCCACTTATCTTCGACAACTTGATTTGGTGCTTGATGTGACTGAAGGCATAGACAGGGATACAGAAGGAAAGAACCTGTCTTAACTTATTGTTGTAGTAGTTTTTCGCATCAAAATAAGATAACACAAGCACCTCGAGAATGTCTTCAAAGTACGCTTCCTTGTCTTCTTCCGACTCGAAAACATTGTCTCCGAAACCTTCCAAAATATCGGCTAAGCACAACTTGCACAACCCTTCGGCAGTTACTGCTTGTAGATCGGGCATCTTGTAGTTCCTCAATGACTTGATGAATAACTTGTTGATAGACAATGAGTCCACATACCTGACAGTTGCAAAGTCAAACTCGTCGTGAGTCGAGTTGTCATTACTTCCCGCATCCAACACACTGATCCCATAGGTGGATAAAACATCAATGATTACCTTAGTAGCAATGATCTTGAACTCTTCGTCAAACGCTGTCATACTTACAATTCGCCCGAAGAAATAAAGCTTTTGAATAGCCAAGTTCTTGTCGAGTAACATGAACAATCCCAAACATTTGACCCCGAGCTTATGCGTAGCCGAATTATCATCCATCAAGACGGCAGGGTATACCAAACTCTGCAAAATCGATTCCAACGAGTAGTTGTTTGATAATGGATCGTTGATGGATTCCAATAAATGCTGCGTCAAGATCAAACACTGATTCAAGATGTCTCTAGGAGGTATTTTGGGTTGTATCTTCCTCCTCTTGGAGCCAGATTTGCTTTTGGAATATGATTTGTTGAAGTTCTGGTTGTCAAATACATTTTCAATTCGGTTCAAGTTGTTCGTGTAATCGGAAGTTTGGTCTCTTGCATCGGGTTTGTCATGTTCTTCTTCTTGTTGCTCCGGTTCAGAATCGGAATCGGAATCAGAATCAGAGCTATCCGAAAGGAACCCTGAAATAGCCGAATGGAAAGTTTCATCATGTTCATCCAACACCGAATCTCTGATATCAGTGATGACTTCAGAGGCCATGCTAATGAAATCTCTTTCACTGGTACTCAAGACCTTAAGTACCTTCAATGTGATGTCTGCTAACTTATCCGACAACCTGTCATTCGTTAAACAAGTTCTTATGATCTGAAGCATGGATCTTCTTCCAAGTTCATCAGCATAGTCATAGTCTTTACTAATCTTCAATAAGTTTTCGATGATGAATTCAAGCTCGTTATACTCATCACGAAAATCAGCATACTCTTCTGTGACCGCTCGGTTGCTTTCCATAATCAAGCGCCTTTCTTCACCAATCTGTTCATATTTTTGTTTCAAATCCTGGGTCTTGATCTTCAATCTCTCCAATACTTGCTCCTTATTGTCAACATCTTGAGACTCAGTTGAGTCAGCAGCAAACATCAAGTTATCCATTTCTATATTAATGGCTTGTAAATCAGAATCCTTAATCTCGACAGTTCTCTTGAATTCATGATAATTATCTATTAATGTTTGGTGTTTTGTTAACCTCGATTTCCTCAACTTCAAGTATTTGTAAAGAATATCACTCAACTCAATAAGATCAACGAACTTCTCATCTATCATGTCATAATAGTTATGAATATTCAAGAACTCAAACAAGTTTCTGAGTAAGAAAGACTTTTCAACCGAGAATTCTTTCCAGTATGATTTATCAAATTTCATTCCACGTACGTGTTCCAAATTCAACTCGAACAAATGCTTGAGTAGCTTGTCAACATTTTCATTATCATCATGGAGCTGTAGGTTGTCAAGTAATTGAAGGAAGTCTTTATTGACAGACTCAAACCAGCAACCGTTGAAAAGCTTGATAGCAGCAGTCTTTACGCTTCGATCTCTGTCATTCAAGCCCCACTCCACCAACAAGCTCCTTGACTCCAAGTCAATCTCCCTAAAGTCCCCAAACTCCTTCAAGATTCTGGAATACACAATTCTTCTGTTAATAGCATTCACATCCCTGGCTCTCTCAATCAAGTAGGAAAGCGTACTCTTGTTTTTGACAAGATTCAACAAGGCAGCCCTCCTCACCTCCGGACTATCATCGTTCTGCATTACTTCAATCAATAACTTGTTAAAAAAGTTTAAGTCTGCCAGGTCTTTGGCATCTTCGCTATTACCCAATTCTTCGTCATCAATGTGCTGGAATCTTGACAACGCAACAACCGCCTGAAGTCTCACGGTTGGTTCTCTATCACTCAAACGCTTGCGCAAAGAGTGCACCAACGACGTGAATACCTGAGCATCTATATCCCCTATGAAGTTCACCAAATAAGCAATCAATTGAATGATTCTGTATCTGACATTTCTGTCTTTGGCTTCCACTCCTCTGAGTAAGTGGTTCAAGAGGTAGTTGGCCATCCTGGTGGTCTCGTTGTCTTCGTCACTGTCATCGTCATCTTCTAGTTTATCTTGTTTGTCTTGCTGGATCTTGAAAAGGTTGGCTACAAACACAGAACAAAATTTGATGATTCTGTCGCCACTTTCTTCACCTTTCTTTAACGGCAAGATCTTGTTGATGAGCTTGGTAAACTTGTATGCAAACGCCTCTTCGTAGCCCAAATCGATGGCTTTCTTCTGAATATTAGTCAATATTACCACGAGCTTTCTATGTCCTGAAAGTGTCATCTGTGCTTCCTGGAACACATGACTCATTGCCATGTTAATTTCCTCAATCTCATTGTAGCCGTTGATGGACTTGAGGGTGGGCCTCGTGTCAACTTCTGCCATGTGGTCAATTAAAGTACGATTTTGTTTGTGAATCAAAGATGATGATATTTGATGTAAACAAAGAGCGCGAAATGGAGCAAAAAAAATGAGCGGTACGGGAATCGAACCCATGTCTCCTGCTTGGAAGGCAGAAATGTTAACCACTACACCAACCGCCCTTATATTCAGAGTGTATTATCAACCAGGGACCCTAAATGCCAGGTAACAAGTTTGGCAAAAACTGATTTAAAGCAGTTTATCTGCCATATAATTACCTCCGTTCCTGACCCCACCTGCTCAAATATATTGGAAAATCATGAATCGTGTATTCCTTAAATATAAATCTAAATAGGTTCAGGTGCTTTTCTAAGAGTCTATCTCACTGGTGAACTTGCTCATGTTTCTCTTATAGATAGAATTGAAATGATTCATGTTCTTAAACACATCGGCACAGTCTACCAATGTCTTCAAGTTCGCCTGTTTGTCATCAGCATCTTGCAATTTTAAAATGGAGCTAAATAGCTTCAAAAGATCGGTTTCAAAGTACCTTAATGTCAAGTCACCAAAGTTCTTCTTGATGTAGTTGAGAATCTTTAGTGTGTCAAGCATGTTCTGCTTCACAACCTTAAAATCTATCAACTTGTTGATGATCACAAGTTGGTTAAACTCGGGAACTTGTAATTCATTGTTGAGTGATATAATGGAGTTTTGCAATAATTTAATATAGTAATTCAAACGGGTGGAGTTATTCAATGTCTCTTCATGTGCTATATTATTTAAGGCCAAAAGCTTTTCATTGATTTCCCTGTTCAATTGCTCCATCAAGAAGTTCAAATGAATGGTCAAATTATTCGAAATCATCGTGAGCTTTGCCATACTTGTTTTGGAATAATCGTAATCCTTGAACAACGCGTCGATGTAGTTGGCAGGTTTAAACTCATCGTCAAAAAACATTCGGGAGGTATCATCGAACCATGAATCCTCCACGTTTGAACCATCCAATTTAATAGCTTCACTCATAGTTGACACCGGAGAAAAACCAGCTATCAAAATAGATTTGGTGCGACTTCAAATTCTCAGTTCAATGATCGATATAGTAACTATTCAAGATACGTTTGAAGAGGTCATCAGCGATGTCAATGGCGGAACTCTTAGACAAGACTCGTTCTGGGTAGGTGTGAGAAAGTCAGGTGAGAACCAGATTCTAAACAAGATACTTGTGTTACCAGGGAAATTCGAAGGCGATGTGGAGTTCAAGAGTAAAGGTAACAGGTCTTACACAATCAATAATAAGTACAAGTTGACCAGGGGACACAGTTTTATCAAGGCCAAAGGTGTATCCAGTATTGGAAGGATTGGATCTGTGATTGTTATCGGTACCAAGTCAGGAGACCTTGTAGTTCATGATTTGGTGTCTGGTGAAGAAACTACGGTGAGAGAATGTCATTATTTAGATATCGTTGAAATCAAAGTTTTTCCCTCAAAACAAGTGCTAATGACAGTGGGGCTAGATCATCAGATTAAGCTCTGGTCTGTGAAAGATTGGCTGTGCATTCGTACGTTTCATACTTTGAATTCTGCCAATGTTGAGTTCATAGGCCGGGGAAGAAATTTCGTCAACGGGACCCAAAAAGGAGAATTGAAGTTATGGGAGTGCAGTAGTGGTAAGGTTGTACACACTTATACCAAAGTGCGTAACAAGGAGGACCAAATATCCAGAATTAAAGTGATTGAGTCAGAGTTTGTCCATGGTGAAAATGAGATGGAATTCGAAACCAACAATAAACTGGTGATAGTTGGATATACGAGTGGAGAAGTGGTCAAGTTCAATCTACTCACCAAGAGTTTTGAGCTCATGCACCTCAATTTGAAGGTGTCAGCAATGGAAGAAGTGGATGATCACTTGATTCTCGGGACCGACGACGGAAATCTCTTCATTTATGGCCTCAAATCGAACAAAGTAGAAGCAGAGGCACACTTTAATCCGGCCCCAGTGAAACTTGCTGTTAACAAGCGTGATAATGGAATTATTTATATCTATGTGTACAACGGGGAAGAAACGTTGTTTATGGTCAAATATGACACTGAGAAAGGCGAAATATTTGGTACCACATATCTAGTGGGTCTTCCTGAGGTCTTTAAGGTAGATACGATGGTGTATGACCAGGAATTGCTTGTGGGCAGCAATTATGGGGTCATGTTGTTCAAATGATGACTTTGGAGATCTTAGAAATTCGGTGATTTTCTGCGCGAATTACTTAGAACTACCAGAAATTGCTGGAACCATTTTTGCAGCCATGATCACAAGACTTGGAAAAGTATTTAAAGAGTAGGAGAAGCCCATGAGTTAGTCCTCAGATAACAAGAGATTTAAAGACACTAAGATATTAAACATGTTTGGATTACACGACAGATTTTTTAACGATTTTTACAATGTTCCATTCTTCTCCAGAAGCAGAAGTGCCCTTCCAGGTATAAGTGGAAGCAGTTTGATTCCAAGAAGAGAGTTTGATAGCTTCATCAATGAGCCTTTGGTGTTCAGAGAGAATTTCTTCAATGTGGAAAACGATGTCAAGTTGAAGGAGGAACCCGATAAGTATCTCATTGGATTTAAGGATGACAAGATCAACGAGAAGGAATTGAAAGTGGACTTCTTAAAGAAGGAAAATGAATTGAAGATTTCGATTTCTCAGAAGTCCGAGTCCAAAGAGGGTGAAGAAGGTCCACAAAGCTACTATTCCAGCAGCTATCAGAGCAGCATCAGGTTCGATAAACCTGTCAAATTTGAAGAGATCGAAGCTGATGTCAAGGACGGTCAAGTATCGATTGTGATTCCCAAAGTGGAAGCTGACCCTGTACCTGCTGAAAACGTTGTGAATGTGGCTATCAAGGGTATTGAACCTCAGGCTCCCCCTGCTACTATTGAGGGTTCCAAATAAAAATAGGTGTAGGTTTATAGTTGATGAATAAATGAACAAATTGAAGGATGTGCGGCTTATCTAATCGCAGATTTACGGTGTCTCATTCGTTTCGCAGGCTCCAAAAATTTTGCTACAGATTAACAATTTTCCCCTTTTCATAAGCATCAGCATGAGTTTCTATATCGTGCCGTCGGTGCTGTTCCAAACGCAACAGAAGTTAAAGAACAGTGGCATAGACAAAAGTGACAAGCATCACAAACACAAGAAAAGGTCCAAAAAACCACATGATAAGTCTAAACAGGGCGGATCGGGAACCAACTCGAAAGTGCCTTCATCTCCTACAAGTTCCACAAACGTTTCTGTTGGAACCCCAAGCATCTACGAAGAACCCACCGACCCCAAATCGCCAGATCCTACGGTGCCCACGATCTCCCAGCCGGTTAACCCAACAGAACTATCGAATAATCTTGAAAAATTGAAAAGGTCTGAGTCTTCTCTGTCGCTATCCTCCAATATCGCCACCAAGTACATCACAGGCGTGAATTCGGAGCTGAACAACGAGCTTAAGAGCGGTGTGCAAACGCCCAAGAAGCACACCAGACCAACCGAACCAAGTGAAGGTGGAATATCTCCATTTCTTCCTCACTTAGACATCAGAAGAAGCTCTACGTCTACCACTTCATCGGTTCCAAGACCCAATAGATATCGCCGGAACAGCTCGCTTTCTTCATCTCACACGGCAAGCAGCAGCAGCATGTTCAAAGATAAGTCCTTGAAACAACCAGGTAACATCAGTTCTTCATTATCTCCAGCGCAACCTTCTACACCTCCCAGCCAGCATTCGACATCATCAAACCAACCACAAACGCCTTCCCCACCTATAAACATCGTTTATGATTCTGCTGGTGAGTCCGATGCAAGCTCCCGGATCTTCAAACCAAGCTATTCCATGGCTCAAGTGGACGATTTCCCGGAGTTCAGTACTATCAAGGATTTAAGATTCCTTGAATCCCCAGGAAAGATGCAAGAAAATTTGTACTCACCTTCATTTCAGGTGTTTCGGTTCAGTAATTTCCTTGACATTCTTAATGCTCAGCACAACAATGACCCTATCAATTTTGCCAATATACGGCATAATGGTATTTCCAAATTTATTCTTCGTCACAGCGAGTACTCCAACAAATCGATTGACGATGATTGGAAACCTCATGACATGAGAGACTTCGAGGCTCCCTTGGCATATCTGTTGATCAAGATGAGATCTTTTTTGCGGATATTAATCAGGTCTCAGTCTGGCAAAGACGGTAAAGGAGCAGAGCTCTTTTCTTGCGAGGAACTTGTTCAATTGAACTTCACAAACTATTTGAGATTTCTATTGAACCTTCCTCAGAAGTTTACCTCCACTCCCACCAATCAGCTTGATGAGACGCTGGCCATGCACCAGTCGTTCAAAATCATGTTCACGAGGATTATCAAGGCTTTACTAACTTTTAGAAAAGAAGAAACCGGAGATGTGATGTCTAACACCACCACCGCAACGTCGCTTTTGTTACAGCTCATCACCAAGGTATCGTACGAGTTCATTCTCCTCGAGAAGTACCATATAAATATTATCACCAAACTCGGTAATAACTCTTTGTTAGACTCCAGAGTTGTTGAGAGGTTGTTTAGACAGTACCACAAGGGTCTCTCACAACCTCCAAGTAGACGAAATCTTCCCAAGGTGTTGGTTTACAACTCCTATTTCAGTGCTCAATACTCCTGGTATATGTGTGTGACGATTCCATTCTTGACGGTGGTGGAGATGGCAGTGTTCAATGAAGATCAAGAACTCATTTCCGACCCTGAGAGATACAGACAGCAAGAAAAGAATACAGTCAAAACATCATTTGAAAAGCTGGATGCCATGTTATATGCTAGTTATTTCAAGGACATTAAGTTCAAAAACTATCAAAAGTTCAGATCCACTTCCGACGAACAGTTTGTATCGATTCAAAGAGCTAATCATGATAACTCGAGTGTTTCAGAATCGTTGATATCATCTAGCCAACACAAGCCTAAAAACTTCAACTTCAACTGTGAGTCTTTGGCGACCATACCTAACGCCACCTTTGATGTGGTCCAAAGCAGGGATCTTTTGTTCCAGTTGACTAACTCCAACTACAGAACAATCATATCGGAGCTTCATAGAGTGTTAAAGATAGGGGGAACCTTGGAAGTTCCTATCATCTTACTGGGAACCGATACCATTAGTCCAGATACCACCACCGTAGGGTTCCCTAAGTTCACCAATGCTACTGGTTTGAATTTGTCCAAATACTACGATATGATTCCTGACTTTGCTGAAGTTTTGCTTAAAATTATTCTAGAAGTATTTGGGGAAGGCAATGTTCGTATGGCAACAGCTCTCTTGAACACTACCAGTGAAATGTCGGACTTTTTAGTTAAGGACATTGGCCTTCATATTGCCGAAATGGTTGGTGAAACAGACAAATATTGTCGTGCCTCCCAACATCCAATAGGAGAGAGGAACAAAGATGTTCACTTTTTCTTTCAAATTCAAGCAGAGAAAACGTTTAATTAAACTCTTTAAATAATACACGATTAACGACTATCAGGCTCTTTTTCGCAGCTAAGTTTGACTCACACTTGAAAAATTATTTCTCGAATTAACATTACCAGTCATGAAAGTATTTGTGATAGACCTTGAGAGTGGTAACCTCCAGTCCCTTATTAATGCTATCAAGAAATGTGGAGATTATGAGGTCAAACTTATTGGCAACGCTGAAGAGTTTGCGCAATACCAGTCCCAAATACAGAAGTTGATCTTTCCTGGAGTGGGAAACTTTGCTCACTTTGTGAAGCAGCTTCACGATAGAAACCTCCACGGACCAATTACCAAGTTTATTGAGGAAGGAGGATCATTGATGGGTGTATGTGTCGGGTTGCAAACATTTTTTGAAGACAGCGAAGAAAGCACGGATCCAAAATATAAAGGTTTGGGATATATCAATCTCAGTCTAAAGAAATTCAACTCCCAAGATCCTATTTTTATAGAGAAGAACTTACGGAAATCCGTCCCCCTGATTGGTTGGAATAGCATTGACTCTATTGTTGTTGATGGCAAGAAGATTCCAGAAGATGAGTCTTTCTTTGGAATTAATACTAGAAACAAGTACTACTTTGTCCATTCTTACGCCGGTATCATTAGAGATGAAAAAAATGCAAAGTTGATAGAACAGAAGGAAAAAGAAGGATGGAGTTTTGCCTTCACCACTTATGGATCTGAAAAGTTCATAGCTGCTTTGTCCTACAAGAACTTTTTTGCAACTCAATTCCACCCAGAAAAGTCAGGTATTGCTGGGGTTAAGGTACTTAAGTCATTTTTAGAGTCAGAAAGATTCCAAAAAGTCCACTCTAAAGATTTCCAGCTGGATGTAGAAGTAGAAAAGTCCTTAAGTGGATTGACAAGAAGAATCATTGCATGCTTAGACGTCAGAGCCAATGATCAAGGTGATTTGGTAGTTACAAAAGGAGACCAGTACAACGTGAGAGACACCAGTTCTTCGGGTTCAAATGAGGTGAGGAACTTGGGAAAGCCAGTAGAGTTGGCAACGAGGTACTACAATCAAGGTGCTGACGAAGTTACATTTTTGAACATCACCTCTTTCCGTGAATCTCCTTTGAAGGACTTACCGATGTTGGAGGTTTTGAGAAGAGCAGCGGAAAACATTTTTGTACCTTTGACAGTTGGAGGAGGTATAAAGGACATGGTTGATCCAGAAACTGGAAGAACGGTTCCTGCTGTCGAAGTGGCTCATTTATATTTTAGATCTGGGGCGGATAAAGTTAGTATCGGGTCGGATGCCGTGACAATAGCTGAGAACTATTACAAGAATGACAAGCGAAAGTCGGGAAACACCTCAATCGAAACCATTAGTCAAACTTTTGGAAACCAGGCAGTGGTGATCTCAGTAGATCCAAAGAGGAAGTATGTGGCCTCACCTAAAGACACCAGCATGGAGACGATTTTGATCGAGGAACCTTCAAAGTATGGCCCCAATGGTGAGAAGTATTGCTACTATCAAGTGACATCTCAAGGTGGAAGAAAGACTCACGAGTTGGGAGCTTTGGAATTATGTCTTGCTTGCGAAGATCTCGGAGCAGGAGAGATTTTGCTTAACTCTATTGACCACGATGGGCTGAACAAGGGATATAATCTCGAGCTTTTACAGCAAGTAAAGTCTCGGGTTTCGATTCCAGTAATCGCCAGTTCAGGAGCAGGAAAACCCGAACATTTTAAGGAAGTATTTGACATGGAGTGTGGCATAGATGCCGCATTGGGAGCAGGATTGTTTCACAGAGAAGAATATAAAGTCAACGATATCAAAAGATACTTGTTAAAAGAAGGATCGATGGATGTTAGACTTGATGATGAAGTAGAGTTATAATCTTGAAGAAAATGCGTTTGTAGTTTATAGACAATTGTACGACACACCAATTATAGGGATGAGATGTTGAGATGCGAAAAATGATTTTGTCCTTATCTGAATGAGTACAGACAGAAGAAGTTCTCTTGATCGATATTTCATCGACAGAGAAGGCCGAACAAGTCCACTTCTGGTACCTAAGGATCAATTGGAATCCAATGAGAGCTTTCCCGCGAGAGATAGGAGTAGAAGCACCCTGATTATGAGTGTGACTTCCTCGATCATCAATTTGCGGATATCCGATCACAAAAGGTCTGATTCTTCAATTGAGCAGGTTAAAGGTCTGGGAGGAATCTTGAGGAAGATTCTCAGCACAAGCAAGAATGACTCACAGGATTCATTGGAGTACGAAGGTGAAATGTCAAAGAGAAGACTTTCTTCTCCTAGGCTCTTTTCAGTCAAAAGTAATGATAGCAACAGCATTGATGATGTGGAGTTTTCACCACTCAAGAATAAAGATGCACATGTGAAGATCCCCAGCATTTTCTTTGAGGACGGAATGAGCTTGCTCAAGGTGTCGCTGAAGTCAAAGAAAAGAATATATTTTCACATTGATCCTCAGACTTGGATGTTCATATGGAATGTTGCAAACAAGAGCATAAACCCATCAATACTCCCGGTACTTAACATCCAGAAGCTTTTTACAACCACAACAATTGCAAGCAAGAAACTTCAGAAGTTCACTATTGATGATGTAAAAAAAGTCTTATACCAGCAGGAAGCCAGACACTTTCGAGACGAACTCAACATTTCTCAGGAATTTGAAAACCAGTGGATCACCATATCCTATTTCAATGCCACCAAGAAGAAGATGAAGACGTTGCACTTGATAGCTGATACCGAAGTTGATGCCAAACGGTTCTTTAGCACCATCAATAACTTGAAGAAGCTAAGAGCGCAGCTACTGGACAAGTTCTATATCGACCTCGATAACATGGATGAGGAGCAGAAGGAATTGGTAATGATGAACTCTACTAGTTCTCCTTCAAAGCCCCAGAAAGAATACTTATCATTTGATGATATAGTGAAGTACATTGCTAGGTTGAACATCAACATCAGTCGAAATCACCTAAGAACCATATTCGATAGTCTCGATTTCAAAACGGTGGTGAACGATGTCAGGGTGATCAATTTTGAAGAATTCAAGGAGTTCATTGCTCTTCTCAAGAGACGTGATGATATAGACCATATTTGGGACCAGATCTGTGGTGCTTCCGGTGCGCTGAAAGAGATGGACTTTCGACTGTTCAAGAAATTCATTTCCAAAGTCCAAGGTGAGAATTTTGATGACGAAACCAATGACAAGCTATTCTACAAGTTCTGTAATGATACGAATCAGTGGACAACAGAAAGCCTTAACCAGTTCTTGCTATCTAAGTACTCAAAGCCAATCATTGAAGGTAGCCATGATGACGATTACTACAACCAGCCCTTAAATGAGTATTACATTTCTTCTTCTCATAATACTTATTTGACAGGCAGACAAGTGGCTGATGATTCTTCTTCAGAGGGGTATGTGAAAACTTTACAAAAAGGATGCCGATGTGTAGAAATCGACATTTGGGATGGAGATAACATGGTAACAGATGTCGAACCTGTGGTATGCCACGGCAGGTCTTTCACTACATCGATCTCATTGAGGAATGTTCTCACTACCATAAAACGGTATGCATTTGTGGCAAGTCTGTTCCCTTTGATTCTTAGCTTGGAAATCAATTGCTCTCCCGAAGCACAACTACAAACAAGAAACTTGCTATTAGAAATTCTAGGTGAACTTCTTGTTATCCAACCACTCAAAGGTGTAGCTCTCCTTCCTTCACCGAACGACTTAAAGTTTAAAATCATCCTCAAGATCAAGAAAACCACTCCACACCACTTGGTCCTAACAGAAACAGGAAGCTTGACATCGTCAACAGCCAGCACATCTTTCAGCGAAGACAATGGGAGTACTACAAGTTCCACCAGCAACCTTTCTTCCGGAAAGAAGAGAAAGAAAAAGCAAGTGATCGATGATTTGAGTGACTTAGCTGTTTACGTTCAAGGACAAAAGTTCAGGAACTTCTCGTTACCCGAATCGAAGACGTTCAACCATTGTTTTTCCCTCAGCGAGAAGACCATCGATTTGATGTTGAAGGACGAAACAAAGCAAAAGTCGGTGGATAAACACAACAGAAAGTTCTTCATGAGAGTATATCCGTCAAGTATGAGACTTAGGTCTCTGAATTTTATTCCCATCAGCTACTGGACCCATGGAGTCCAAATGGCTGCGACGAACTGGCAGACCTACGATTTAGGACAGCAGATAAACGAGGCTCTCTTCGATGGAAAAGATAAGGTGGGATATTTCCTCAAACCTAAGGACTTTAGAAAGCCATTGGTCAAGCATACAATGAGGAACATATTGCATTTAGAGGAAAAACGGATCAAGTTCAATATCACTATTATTAGTGCGCACCAACTCCCCAAACCCAAGAACAAAGATACGGTTGGCATAAACCCATTTGTGAAATTGGATGTCATCGGTGCGCGTGACATACATTACGACAACGGTTCAGCTGTAAATCAAACATCAATTGTGGCAGAAAATGGGTTCAATCCCACGTGGAATGAAAGTTTTTCAGGTACTATGGTTGCAAATCAGCTTTTGTTCTTGAAGCTTTCGCTTAGAACTATGGTATCGAAAGACAATGACTTGTTACTAGGGGTATTTGTATGTCGTTTGGAAAACTTGAAGGGTGGATACAGGTATCTTCCCCTCAATGATGCCCTCGGCGAGGAGCTCATCTATTCTTCACTTCTTGTGCACATAGCCTACGATAAGGCCTAGTCAAGATTTTGCAGTCAAGTCAAAATTCGCGAAGAGCTGCTCATCTTAAAAAAAATTTTAATCACCTACTAAGCATTTGTATATAATAGATATGGGAAAGATTACGGTTAACGATACCAAGGAGAAGCCACGGCACAATCCTTTGCATAGAGATATCACCAGCCTCAATGGAGGATTGAAGACTCATCAGAAGTCCAGAAAAACTAGTAATACTATGGGGGAGAATGGTGAAGAGTTCTTGGATGCAAGCACATCGAGAAGAATTTTGAAGTTGGCCAAAGAACAACAAGAAGAAATCGAGGAAGAAGACGAAGGCAACAAGACATCCAAAGCTTCTTTCTTAGAGGCCTTCAGAGCTCAGGAACAAGAGGAGGAACAGTTTGAAGAAAGCGATGAGGAAGCAGAATATTCTGATTTCGAAGAAGAGTTCTACGACGAAGAGGAAATTGAAGTCAATGAACAGGACGCCGAGATGTTTGAGAAGTATTTCCTGACAGGTAATGGGATTGGTGGACTGATAAACTTGGCCGACAAGATCATGGCAAAAATCCAAGAAAAGGAAATCATGAGAAGTACTGGAGGAAGACCTGTTGATGGGGTCAAATTACCTCCAAAAGTCATTGCAGCATACGAAAAAATTGGCCAGATTTTAGCTAACTACCGTCATGGAAAATTGCCCAAGTTGTTCAAGGTGTTACCAAGTTTAAAGAACTGGCAAGATGTGTTATACGTCACCAACCCCGAATCTTGGACTCCTCATGCAGTATACGAAGCCACCAAATTGTTTGTTTCTAATTTACAAGCCAACGAAGCCCAAAAATTCATCGAAAGTATTTTGCTCGAAAGATTCAGGGTCGGTATCGAAGACTCGGAAGACCATTCAGTGAATTATCACATCTACAGAGCCATTAAGAAATCGTTATATAAACCCGGAGCCTTTTTCAAAGGGTTTTTATTCCCATTAGTTGACGGTCACTGCTCAGTAAGAGAAGCTACTATTGCAGCTTCTGTATTGGCCAAGGTATCTGTTCCCGTATTACATTCGTCTGTGGCGTTATCACAGTTGGCACAAAGAGATTTCAGTCCGGCCTCCACTGTTTTCATCAGAGTGTTGGTGGAAAAGAAGTACGCCTTACCATACCAGACATTGGATGACTTGGTGTTCTACTTCATGAGATTTAGAAAAGTCGAACAGCAACAAGTGGATATGATGATTGATACCGAAGCCAATGAAGGCACAAAGTCTAACTTACCTTCTTTGCCGGTGGTTTGGCACAAGGCATTTTTGGCGTTCGCGCAAAGATACAAAAACGATATAACAGACGATCAGAGAGATTTCCTACTTGAGACGGTGAGACAGAGATTCCACCAGGGAATCGGTCCTGAAATAAGAAGAGAGTTGTTGGCAGGAACTCCAAGAGCTCCTCAGCAAGTGGAGGAGGCTGTAATGATGAATGCATTTTAATTAGAAATACCATGTATATGAGATGAATTTAAGCCCTTTTAAACGGTTGAATCACCGCCGGTTCTGTTTCTGGCATCTTCACACAACTTGTTGAAGTCTGCAAACAACGCGTAGTAACTCTGGATCACTCCAATGAGAGTCAATGCCACAGTGGACCCAATCCAAAGACCATCTAAGGTACCTTTCCAAGGGGAGTAGAACGTGAGGTAAATTGATAAGGGCAAGCCCACAATATAGTAGGACACCAAGTTGACGATTCCACCAATTTTGGTCTGTCCTTGTCCTCTCAAGCATCCAGCGGAATTTGCGTTAACAGCATCACTCACTTGCATCAATGCAATCAACCACATCACTCCTTCAATGGCCTTGATGACCCTCTCGTCACTGGTAAACATATTGGCAATTTGACGGTCAAAAGTGAACAACACAATGAAGTTAAAGGCCGAAATGACCAATCCGAAGCTCAAGGCCACCTGGGTCGATTTCTTAGCGGATTCGGCCAAACCTGCTCCCAAGTAATTGGCGATTCTGGTGGACGCCGCAATTCCGATAGCAAAGGGGATCTGATACGTCAAGGACGCCATCGTAGATCCCACCGACTGGGCTGCCAACGCCACGGTCCCCAAGTACGAAGCTATTAATGTCAAGATCTCAAATGCTAAAAACTCTGCTTCTAACATGATCAACCCTGGAATTGCAAGATATATCAACTTGTCCCAGGCACCAAACGCTTCCTTAACGTTAAGCCCATTCCAGCACTTTAATGGGTGCAATCCTGAAGCCGTCTGTTCGGGTTTGACAAAGTAAACAGTTCCTACAAGTAAACCTAAGGCCATGATCCAGTAGTTTATGGCCACGGCCAAAGGAGCCCCATAGTAACCAAGTTTACTAACAAAGTAGAAGTTCATGATGGCATTAGAAGGGGCGGCAATGAACAACACATATGTGGATATGTGGTATACTCCCTGGGCCTGTAAGAACCGCTTCCCACACTCAAACAAAATATACCCAGGAATACCGGGAGTTATATACTGAAGGTAAACCGCCGACAACTTGGCGGTCTCCTTGTCGGGAACCATCAAACAGATCAACTGGTAGCCGAAAAAGAGCCACACCACTAAAATTGGTAACATGAACGTGAAGATAAGAGCGGTACATTTTTGGAAGTAGGCCCCCACGAGATGATACTTCTTAGCACCAAACGCCTGGGGGCACAACGTGTCCAACGCCGTGGCTACACCCTGTATGGCGGCGTACCCGGTGATATTGGCGGTCATAGAACCCATTGACACTGCCGCCAACTCGGTAGCCCCTAAATGGCCTACCGACAACACCGACACCGTACTCAAGGAATTCTGCAAGAGAAACGTCAACACCAAAGGAATGGACGACTTGAGCAAATGCCTCAATTCCAACGACACGGTGGTGACGGGGATTTTATTGGCCACCACCGCCTCTTCAAACGTTCTTCTAATGTGTTCCTCATCCTCATCTTCAGCAGCAGTGTCAGAAGATACAAATATATTGTTGTCCTTGAGCACCTCACGCTCCTTTCTAAGAATGTCTCTTTCGATGGTGGATTTCCGTCTGTGGTTGGGCCCTGCCACAATCAATGGGCTTTGTTCATCTGATTCCACCGAGTTCTCATCCACAAATGAGTCAATGGCACGGGGGGTTACAAAGTCTTTAGGGATGAAAAGTCCACCTTTACCAAGAGAACCATAAACCACCGAGTTCCGGCGTTCGTAGTCCGAGTGCTTAAACTGATGAGAAAACTCGTTGGACTGGTCGTACGAAGACATTGGCGTAAATAAAATTTTAAAGTTGGCGATAAGCTCGGTTTATGTAGGGACGAAAATTAAGTATCGCACCGATTATTTCGACTGCCTAAACTGGAAACTGGAGGCGTGAGAGAACAAATGGGATAGGTACCTTTATCTGTTACTATACACGAAACTATACACTTCTACGGGTTACTGATGTTGGCCAAGAGCTGGGCCAAACACTTTTTGGTGGCCACGTCATCCTGTAAAATGTCGGAAAACGTGCCGTCTCTCAAGGAGTCAGGGAGAATCGATGCCAACGCTTTTCTGGCCTCCAAATTGTCACTTAATCTCATATAGCACCGGATCACGTGCTTCAACAACCGGCCGGTACTGTTGCTGTTGCTGTTGCTGGCAGCGGCATCGGGCTTGTCGTTACCACTGGTGTCGGCACCAGCACTAAGGTTAGCCAATGTTAGTTGGTCAATCATCTTCAGCAACACAGCAGCAACCGTATGGAACCGTTCGTAGGTGGTGCATATGTATGATAAGCCCAAGTCGTCCAACAAGATTTTCTGCAAAATGAAGATGGCCACCGTTTTGGATAATTCAGACGAGATTTCAATCACGTTCAAACAGAGGGGTACAATTTCGGTCGTGAGTAAGAAGTTGATGACCTCAGGGGTGTCGTTCTTCACGAGGGCACCGATGACTCCCAAGCTGGTTAACCGCAAATATTCAAATGGTTTCTGTCTGGTGTTTGTTGATAAAAATGGGTACAAGTATAATGGGAGGTTAGCCTGTAAGAAAAGGGTTCTAGTGGACGAGTTGGATGCCACACACTGCAACAAGGCCAATGCGTTACAAACCCGATTGCTGGCAGAAACCGTGAGTAATGGAGGACTTAAGTACGGATATACCGATACAATCTCCTCCAACAACACGGTCATCACTCCAAACGAGTTCCATAACACCAATGCCAAATCATCGTACTGTTCTCTCTTCTTTCCCAACTCCAATAACGCCCTTTCTCTGTTGGCCCCCGTGACTAGCTCACTGACCCATTGGTAAATTTGATCATCATTGAGGGCGTTATTAGCGGTTGCGGAAGAGCCCTTGGAATTATCTGGTGAATCTTCGGGAAGTGAACCGGCGAAATTGCCACCCATGGAGTCAGCCGTATTCTTGAAACTACCGGGATGTATTTGTTGCAGGGCCACAGCGCTATACATATCTCTTGGTAAAAAAAAATCACAGTGAAACCTATGGGTACAAAGTAGTTGGGGATGGAAATCGCGGTGTCGATTTCTCTGCCAAAAAAAGGTAGACGACCCCGGTGAGGATCGAACTCACGATCTCAAGATTAACAGTCTTACGCCTTAACCAGCTTGGCCACGGAGTCGTACGTTTGACAAGAAAAGGCAGTGAGTTTGGTCTCGAGCGAGACGGACCAAACTACATCAATGGTGTTTGGTTGTGCAAACATAGATCAGACATTATAGTGCTACAACTGGATTATGAAGAAATTGAAATGGATATACAATAGACAGTCACTAGCCACAGTCAGAAATTCATGTTCCAGTATCCATGTCCTTGATTCCACTCATTAGGTTTTTCTTCAACGTCCGCGAACTTTTCTTACTCGATGAAGGTCAGGCCAGCAAAGAAGTTCATTGACGTGAGTGCCAAGTGCTCGGTGGAGGGCATGGCGTACGGACAGTGCATCTTGAAGAACTATGCGACGATCTCCAAGGACCTGTGCCAAGCAGAGTTTTCCCTGTTTAAAAGCTGTGTTCAGAAGCAAATGAGTGGAAAGAAGTGGTAATGGTTGTAAATAGGAAAGGTTATAGACATATACATTTTTTGATAGCTTGTCGTAGTGGGTATGCGGGAGACCTGGGTAGTGAAGTATATTATGGCAAGGTCCAGTGGTCTAACGATAGTCAAAAGACAAACTACCAGATTTCCAAGTGTGAATTATCAAGTACAGCTCACGAACCGCCAACATGACATTGGCCATACCTTAGTATCACAGCACCCAGCCCCGGTGATATCCTCACTAAGTTCGTCGAAGAATCCTCTACCTTATAGCCTTTTAAATCTGGGTGGTGGTAAGCCACCGCGGGGGTCCGTGCGCAACCCCGTAGCTCCCGCCGCACGTCGCCCTAACCCTAAATTCCCCATCCTCGGTTTCAAGTGCTCGCTCTCCACACTGCAACTCCGGTGTTTTCCAATTTACCTCTAAACTACTAAACTTGCACGTATTCCCCTACAACTATGGTCTCCATCTCGACTCTTAGCGGGTACAGCAAGCAGGATGTTCGCAATCTCTTGTTGATCCTACAGGAGTTTGTCATCACCTTCAAGGACAATAAGGTCAAAATCAACTACCAAAGCAGACCCGTGATGCTATTTTTGAGCACTCTAGTGACCACTTTTGGTTTGGGCGTGGTGTTTAGTTTACGGTCTCTTGTCCATCAGTTCCGAGACTACCAAATCAACAAACGTGCCAACAGACCAAGTTTGATCCGTCAGAGCTCCACCGTATTAAAAAATGGTAGTAGAGAGATTTTTATTCCTAAATACTCCACCAGATTTGGAGGAACTCCAGGTAACACCCGTATTATCATCCCCAAGCCAAATTTGGACCAATACGCCGCTGACAAGTATTTGTACAAAAACTACTACATCGAAGAAAAGTTGAATATTCAGAGTAAAGTGGTCAACTCCAAGTTTTTGAACCAGTTGACGATTATTTGGAGAATTTTGATTCCCAAGTTTTACAGTAAGAACAGTTATTTGTTATTCTGCCAATGCTTCTTCTTGGTGTTGAGGACCTGGTTGAGTTTGTTGATTGCCAAGTTGGACGGGCAAATTGTGAAAAACTTGATCAGTGGTAATGGGAAGAAGTTTATTCGGGACTTGATCTACTGGATCTTGATCGCATTCCCAGCCAGTTACACAAATGCTGCCATCAAGTACTTAACCAGTCGGTTGAGTTTGAGCTTCAGAACCAATTTGATTCGGTACATTCATGATATGTATTTGGATAAAATTATGGCATACTACAAGATCAACTTCATTGACATCAAGAACATCGACCAGTACATCACCAACGACGTCAGTAAGTTTTGCGACTCGATATGTGGGTTGTTTTCCAGTATGGGAAAGCCTATGATTGACTTGGTGTTTTTCTCCATCTACTTGAGAGATAACTTGGGTACTGGTGCCATTATGGGTATTTTTGCAAACTACTTTCTTACAGCCTTCTTATTGAAGCAGAACACTCCCGCATTCGGTAAGTTGAGTTCACAGGAAACAGCTTTGGAAGGTCAGTATTATAATGAGCACTTGAATTTGATTACCAACTGTGAAGAAATTGGGTTCTACAAAGGGTCGGTGATTGAAAAGTCCAAGTTGAACGAAACATTCAACGGATTAATGAAGCACATCAACAAGACCATTAATATTTCGTTTGGGTACTCCATTTTGGAGGACTATATCTTGAAGTACACTTGGTCTGCTTGGGGATACATTTTTGCCGGGTTGCCGGTGTTTATCGAGGACTTGTTCCCAAGCACCAGCAAAAATGGTGTTAACTCCGTAGATCAAGCCAAGATGGAGAGACTGAACATGAGGCAGTTTGTCATCAACAAGAGATTAATGTTGTCGTTGGCCGACGCGGGTTCCAGGCTAATGTACTCCATTAAGGATGTAGCAGAATTGACTGGTTACACCGACAGAGTATTCCAGTTATTGACAAACTTGCACCAAGCCCATTCTCCCCAGTTCGACTACGGCGCTAAGTTGGGCCACCAAGACATACACGGTACCATCCAAAAGAACTACAGTAAAGGTATTAGGTTTGAAAACATTCCTGTCATAATTCCTTCTGCCAATGGATCGGGAAACTACAAATTGGTAGATAAGTTGAACTTTCTGATCAGTGAAGGTAACAACTTGTTGATTTTAGGATCCAATGGATGTGGTAAAACGTCGATTTCCAGAATAATAGCTGAATTATGGCCGTTATACTCGGGATTGTTGTCCAAACCCAACGATGATGAAATCTTCTACTTACCACAAAAGACATACTTCACCAATGGCAACTTGAGGGACCAAATCATTTACCCTTACAGTTACAACGACATGATAGAAATGGGATATAATGATGACCATTTGTACCACATTTTGAGAGAAGTGAAGTTGGAATATTTGTTGAAACGGGAAGGCAACTTCAACGTGAAGAAGGATTGGAAGGATGTGTTTTCTGGGGGTGAAAAACAAAGAATGAGTTTGGCCCGTGTGTTGTTCAAGAATCCCCGGTTTGTCATTCTCGACGAAAGCACCAATGCCGTCAGTACCGACGTGGAAGATTATTTATTTGAGCTCTTGCAGAAGAAGAAAATCACCTTCATCACTTTAAGTCATCGTCCATTATTGATGAAGTACCATGATTCGGTATTGGAGATTAAGGATGATGAGGCCAACTGGGAATTCCACGATTTGACGAGCGAAGAGAATTTATTGAGTATCGACAAAGAGATCAAGGAAATCGAGGAGAAGCTCAGTAAGGTTGATGACTGGGAGAAGCGGTTGGCTGAAGTCGAATTATATTTAGATGGCAAGCTTGATTTGTAGAATATATGATGTATGATTGTTTCGGCGGTGGCTGCAAACTGCCAAACAGATAACTGCTTGAGCGTGGCGCGCCTCAAATCGCCAATTCTTGGTTAACGCGTTTTTGGACAAAAATTTTATCCTTAAATCACAAGTCACCATCACCGAACTCATGAGTGAACCCATCAGAAAAAAACAAGGAGATATCACCAAGGCGCCTACGCCTCAAAATACGCCTGCGTCCGTCACGAACTCGTACATGAGACAACACCAAATCCCCAGTGTCTCCACCATTAACGAGGAAGAAGGCAACTCCAAGTTAAGCAAAGAATTAGCAAACAATCCAGCATTATTGTCAATGATTCAAGGAAAGTTGGGTACCTTGATTGGTCAGCAGAGTGGGTACATTGACTCTTTGCCCAAGCAAGTCAAGAAGCGGGTTTATGGCTTGAAGAGCATCCAACTGAAGCAAATGAAGTTGGAAGCCGAGTTTCAAAAAGAATTGTTGGACTTAGAACGCAGGTACTTTAAGAAGTATGAACCATTGTACGAGAGAAGAAACAAGATCATAAATGGGGCAGATGAGCCTACTGCCACGGAAGTAGAGGAAGGTGAAGCTTTGGAAGAAGATGACGACGAAGAAGTTGACGCACAAGAAGGTGCTATAAAGGAAGAAGACGAGGAAGAAGACGAGGAGGAAGAAGAAGAAGATGTGAAGGGTATCCCTAACTTCTGGTTGACTGCCTTGGAAAATTTGACCCCTGTGTCTGAAACTATAACCGATAGAGACAGTGAAGTGTTGGAGTTCTTGAAAAATATTAAGATGGAATACTTAGAGACCCCTGGGTTTAAGTTGATTTTTGAGTTCGACACCAACCCATTCTTTGACAACAAACAATTGACCAAGTCTTACCACTATCAAGCTGAATTGGGATATTCGGGTGATTTTGTGTATGATCATGCTGACGGATGTGTAATCAACTGGAAGAGCAAAGAACAAAATGTAACGATCAACATCGAAAGAAGAAAGCAAAGGAACAAGACCACCAAACAGACAAGAACCATTGAGAAGTTGACCCCTACCGAATCGTTTTTCAACTTTTTCGATCCTCCAAAGCCTCCAAAAGCCAAGGACAGTGACGAGGACGAAGAAGAGGAAGAAGACGATGATGAAAATGATGAGGAAGATGAGGAAGATGAAGATGACTTGGCCGCTAGGTTGGAATTAGACTACCAATTGGGAGAAGAAATCAAAGACAGATTGATTCCAAGAGCCATAGATTGGTTTACCGGAGACGCAGTTGGATTTGGATATCCTGAAGATTTTGAAGATGAAGACGGAGAATTCGACAGTGAAGGCGACGAAGATGAGGATGAGGACAGTGAGGATGATGAGGGAATTAACGAAACCGGTAAGAAGGAGAACCCACCTGAGTGCAAGCAGCAGTAGTAGTTTTACACGATAATATAAGCCTTGATAAGATATAGATAAAATTAATGGTAGATTGATCGGTTCTGTTACTGGTGCCGAGACCCGTTATCCAAATATTGACTCTGCCAACTTACCACATTCGCTTACTTATGGTCGTTATCGCGGGTATACTTTGTGTTATTCCGTTCCAAAATGATCGTCGATGCGATATGGCGATCTACCGCGATCGGCCCAGAACCATCTTTTTACCGACAGGCCCAGAATGGAGATTCCGTACCGATTTATCTCACCAGTTCAACTCTTCCAAACCATTACCAACTCATGACTACTTGGATAGACGTACGAGACACCAAAATAGCTTCACAGCAACAGCTCCTCAAGCCGTTTTTGGCACCAGAAAAGTTGGTACCAGCTCCTGAAGAGTTGAACGATGTGAGCGATTTCATTGACACTTCTTCTGTCATATCTAATGATATCAAATATATCACCAACTTGGATATACCCGCCCTACTTGCTGAGTATTCTACAGGAGCATTGACCGCTAGACAAGTCACCGAGGCGTACTGCTATAGAGCCACGTTGGCACATCAGTTGACCAACTGTCTTACGGAAATTCGCTTCCAAGAAGCGTTGCACGAAGCTGAAAAGTTAGATGAATATTACCAGAAACACAATTGCTTGAATGGACCGCTTCACGGAGTGATTGTGTCGTTTAAGGACAACATCAACATCGAAGGGGTGGCCTCCTCCATGGGATTTGTGGGAGAAGCCGAAGAGATAAAAACTGAGAGCTCGACATTCGCTAAGCTTTTGACAGGGTTAGGTGCTATTATCATTTGTAAGACCAATACTTCAGCTGGCATGATATACTCAGAAACTACAAACGTGTTATGGGGGAGGACCTTGAATCCTTTCAATAGAAGGTATTTAAATGTCGGTGGCTCTTCTGGAGGTGAAGGGGCCCTTGCTCTTTTAAAGGGAAGTTGTTTTGGTATTGGAAGTGATATTGGCGGATCTGTAAGGCACCCAGCTGCTTTAAACAGAGTGTACTCTTTGAAACCAAGTTCAGGACGGTTCCCCAAGTTTGGCACTGTCTCTGGCCAGGAAGGCCAGGAGTCTATTGTGTCGGTATATGGGATTTTGACAAGAAGTTTCACAAATCTTGACTACGTAACCAAGTCCATCATAGAGAACAAGCCATACTTACAGGATGCCAGCTGTTTGCCCATGAAATATACTCCAGCCAAGTTACCTGCCAAATTGACTGTTGGGTTCATGAAGTCCGATGGGCTCACGACCGTAACATCTCCTTTGATAAGAGGATTAGAGATAGTCAAGGAAGCGTTGAGGAAGGAAGGACATACAGTCCTAGAATGGGACGATACCTATTTCAAGGAGATCAGAGACACCATTTATCCGTTCTATGGTGCTGATGGGATGAAACATGTCAAGTCAATTCTCGCCAAGTATAACGAACCTCCAGACTCCCACATTGTTGCCTCGTTGCCAGTAGCAGAAGATATGCAAGTTTCAGACCTTTGGCAGAGTCAGAAGAAGAGGGCTGCTTATGCTCAAAAATATTTAGACTTGTGGAATAACGGTGGAGGTCCTGGGGTCAGGTTGGACGCAGTGATTTGTGCCTGCTCTCCGTATCCTGCTTGTTTATGGAACAAAGTGACTCCTCAACCGTTGAACTCAATATGGAATGCTTTGGATTATAGTGCCGGGACTTTTCCCGTTACCAGATGTGACGTTTCTATCGACAAACCACTTGAGAAAACTAGTTTTATTTCTGACACAGATAAGCTAGTTCACCAGACCTATTCGAGTAATCTTGACAAGTTTGAGGGAGGCCCGGTGTCATTACAGGTAGTCTGTGGGAAGTTGGAGGAAGAAAAGTGCGCTGCCTTGATTGGGTATGTGAGTGAGTTGTTGGATAAAAGAGTCTAGAGTATTTAGAAGAATAGTTTACAACACCTTTTAAAGCTTAACATTATATCACAAATTATATTATCACTTATCACACAATTTATTGTACCTAACTACAACACATAACGGAACAGCTTGTTTTTGATGTCAGTCTCATCTTTCATACCGTTCAAGATTCCCTCCAATCTCTTATCTTCATTAATCTCAGCATCCACCACACCATATTTCTTGTCTCTCACCTTGTTGGCATACATCAAGTAAACTCTTAACCCAACTCCAATGACAAAACATGCACAGAAACATCCTAAGTTCGTAGCAAGCGCCTTGGTATACTTTGGAGCATCAGCACTGGTGAAACAGAAAGGTCCAATGATATTACCCACTGCAAAGAAAATCAACAAGATCATACTCATGGAAGCTCTCTTGGTATGACCAGCATAGTTGGAACCAAGCATAGAAAGGGTGAAAGGCCATGTTACCGCATACGAGTTGATCATCCAGTAAGCAAATACTCTACCCCATTTGGCACCATGGGTTTCAGTGGCATAAACTGCCGATAAACCGGCAATGGCAAGAAGCATGGGGAAAGTCATTCCAATGGTTCTGAAGTTGTTATACTTTATGGCGAAGATGGAGAAAATCAACATTTGACCAGCAGAAAAGAACGAACTTCCTACTCCAACCGCAATACTTTCAAGGTTGTTGTGAACGATATCAGCAAGCACAAGAGAACCAAAGTTGGTCAATCCTCCGTTTGGAATCATAGAAAACAAGATAAAAGCCACCATCAACCAGGTCTTGGGGTCCATAAGACACTCCAAGGTTTGGGACCATTTCCAATCGTGAGTGGCAGTACCCATCATGTTTTTGGACACTCTCTTGATGGCTATGACCTTTTCATCCTCTGTTAAAAACCGAGCTTTTCCGGGAGTGTCAGGAATAAAGGCAAACCATAACCCACCAATGACGAAGGAGCATAGTCCCAATACCAAGTAAATCAACTGCCATTCTTTCAAGCTGCTGTTGTGGGCATGTCCCAATCCATAGGACACAAACCCGAAAATGACGTTGAAAATACCTTGCATGGATCCCCAAACCATGGTTCTACCAACCTGTTCTTTTCTGGTGTAAAACAATGAACAGAAGAGCACAAATCCACCTGAAATAGGAGCTTCAAACACCCCTAAAAGGAACCGACACACCAAAATACCTGCGTAATTCTTGCACCCAATGTGTCCTAACATAATTGCACCCCAACCAACGGTGGTACAAGCAATAACTTTTCCAGCTGGGAACCGTTGAAGACAGTAAGAAGCAGGGTATTGAGCACCAAGGTAGCCAAAGTAGAAAATAGAAGAAACCCACGAGTAGTCTGTGCCCACCAACCCCAAATCTTGTTTGAAGGTGAACAATACAGCCCATCCCAAAGCAGCCTTGTCTACATAGTTGATACCGTATAAGATACAAAGAATTGGAAGCATATGCCAATCTATCTTTCTGGCGACTCGAGCACTCTCAGCTGGATCCACCTCGGAGTTCATACCACCTTTTTGGAAGTATTCAAATCCTTCGTCTTGGGCATCGGCAACAGAGTTTTGGGAGTGGGAGTCCTGGGAGGGAGATTGAACCACGAGTAGTTCGTCTCCATCTTTAGTAGGTTCACTTGACATTTTGATTAAGTTGAAGTGAGGGAGTCAAGCTGCCATTTGTGGTGTTTATAAGCACAAGAAGCAGTCTTGGCAACATACAGGCATTCGTGGAGAAGAGTCTCGCACCATCAAAACCATCGGCACTTTTGAGGCAAAATAGCGATCAGTTTATCGCTATCACAATCGCTATCAACCCGTTATCTGGTATTGTGCGGAATAGCCGAAAACAGGAAGAAGTTGGGCGGTGTATGTTATTGATGGATTATACTCCATGAACTGAGCACCTTCGAGTGTGGCAGACTACTCATTGTGTCAGTCACCAAAAACCATATCTTTAAACAGAAGGAAACGGTGGTTGTAAGCCGGAGAGGATAATCCGCTTTGGGTGATATTCCTGGGCATAAAACTTGCATCTTTTTCCGTATCCGGAGGCGTGTGCTGGTATTTCACCGATATGGTATCGGGTACTTGCTAATAACCGCCGTCAGATAAGACCAAGGCCATGCGCTGTTCCAAGCTCATTGGTTGCCTGAGATCTGCGATAGCATCTAACGTGTGCGGCGAGATTCCCGAACTTTGCAGCAGACAGCGGAATTGACACCGGTCGTGCACTGGCGCCCAAATCCACTTGCCCTTATAGCACCCACCCGACCCTAATTTTAAAATTTCTACCACCAATGAACTTCCCAACTGTCAACGAGCAGGAGAGCTTGGAATTTCTCTCCAAGTTCATTCAGATTCCGTCTCACTCCAAGCACGCAGCTGAAATTGATGCCATCAAGTATATGACCACTGCTCTTCAGGCCATTGAGTTGGAAGCCCAAAGCATCGAATTCACCGATAAAACCGATGGGATGCTTCGGTGCAACTCCGTCGGGGTATGGAAGGGGACCGGACATGTCAGCGGTGGCAGGAGTCTTCTTTTCAACGGTCACGTGGACGTCAACCCTGTTACTGAAGGATGGACTGTCGACCCCTACGCAGGCAAGTACGATAAGGCAGAAACATATGTGCAAAACGACAACAAATTCATCTACGGAATCGGGGTTTCGAACATGAAGTCAGGATGCTGTGCCTACTATATGGCGGTTAAGACATTGAAAGATGCGGGGTGGAAGGTTCTGAAGGACGTTACTTTAACCTACGTGGTAGGGGAATTACAGGGAGGAGCCGGTACGGTGGCTCTTTTGGAACAGGGAAAAATTACCAAGGAAACGGCTGACTGTTTCATCAACTGTGAACCCACGGATGTGTACGGGCTAGTAATGCACGCCGGTAGTGCCATTTTTGAAATTAATATCATTGGTGATACTCGGCACATGTCGAAGCGAGAAGAGGCTACCGATGCCATTTTGTGTTCAATGGAGGCCATCCAAAAATTGACATATATGACGTTTTCGGACCCCCGCAGCCTGGTGCACGAGAGCGTGAACCGGTGTCATGTTGGCACGATCCACGGAGGGTTGGGCCGCAACTACGAGAGTTGGAGGGCGCCGCAAGTGGCAGATTTTGTGACGATTACTGGAGCCGCGCGTTACGCTCCTGGGCAGAACGAAGCCATCGTGTTGGCGGACTTGCGGCGCGAGCTCGAGTCGGTGCAGGTGCAGCATCCAAAAATGAAGTTCGAATTGCTGCTTGTGAAACACGACTTTATGCCACCGTTCGAGGTGGACCCCAGCGCCGACATCGTGCAAACTTTGAACAGAGGCTATAAGGCGGTGCGTGGTGTGGACCAACCCACGGGGGCGTTGAAACCGCCATGTTTCTACGGCAGTGATGCCGGCCATCTTTATGAGAAGTTGGGGATGGAGGGAATAGTCTGTGGTCCGGGAGGCAAGTTTAATACGATGCCTGACGAACGGGTGGATATTGTGGATTATTTGGATTGTATCCGGGTATTTATGCGGGTCATTGTAGAGACCTGTGGGGGCTACCACGAGTAATTTGTATCTAATAAAAATGGGTTTGACGTATTTAACTACAAGGTTTAGACAAAATCTGTCAAATTTACGATTTGGGCTTTTCGCAGCAACTTTCACATTCACCACATGAAACCGAAGATCGATCAGATCGGCACTTGACCAAAATTATGGGCGCAGGAGAAACGTTTTGGCCACGGATATCCACCAAGCCAGATTTTACACCAGCACATCATCAATATGGATATTGGTATTCTTGGTACACGGTTGTAGCCGCATCTAGCCGCAGTTGCAACTGCGGCGAGATCAATCATTTGAGTTGCGCTTGAGGCAAAGCCCCTTTGTCCTAGTGGGATCGAGCAATGGCGAAAAAATACACGGTTCCACAGCAAACAGCAAATGAATGCCACAGAAAACATATGGTGATGTATAATGTCAAGGTTGAAATGTAGAGGAACAGAATGTGCAAATCTTTTTGCAGACGTCCACAGCAACCATATTTCACTTGTACTGTAGGATCGCAAAGTGATACCCAGCTACAGCCGAGTTCCCCCAGCCCTTGGTTCTTATCCCCCGGTATATCTGCCCCGGTTCCTATTTCCTATCCCCCGGTTCCTTGTCGCCTGCGGTAGTTCTAGCCTGCGGTCTTTTTCACCGCGGTACACATCTCATTTTGGCTGCAATTTTCAAAGGACCCTCTTCAACAACAAACCACCAATTTCCACCAACTGTCATACGCTTGCTACCAAATGAACGGTTATGTATACCAGCTTATACATACCAGTTTATTCATTTGGAAGACCTAGGATCTCAGGCGGGTGATCCTCGAGACGTGTCGCCGAGCATGTGAAAAATCGTCCCGTACGGCAGCGCACGCCCAGACTTGTATAAATAGATACAAAATTCCTGGGTGATAGCAACCCCCAGAAAATTCATAACTGTTGGTGATTACATCTTGTTCTAACCAAACCTGTATTATTATAAACTCATCCCTTTCACAAACGCATTTTTATACTTGCATTTCACCTTGGTTGCGCTACTCATCAGATAAGCCATAAATTTCCTAGCGAAAAAAAATATTTAAGGATAGAAAGAATTACCACAATTACCACATTTTAATTCAATTATTTTCAAATGGCAAAATTCACTTCTACTTCTGTTAACCACATCAAGTCCTACTCCTTGGTATCCAAGGTCACCAGCTTCTTAGCCTCTTTCGGTTTAGTGGTTGCTGTGTACCATTACTTGGAAGCTTTGAGTGTTAAAGCAATCGATTATGCTGCTACCTATCCCAAATTAATTGAAGGCTTAAAGTTTATTGACCTCAAATTCAACGAACTTGTGTTGAACACATTTGACTGGGCCATCACCTTACCCAGTAAGTCCGTGGAATACGCCAAACTGAAGGCGTCTGCAGTATTGAAAAAGTTCAATGCTCTTTACTTGGAGCAAGTGAACTACTTTTTGCCCAAAGCTGAGGCTGGCTTAAAGTTGGCTGAACTGGAGATCTCCAACACCTACGCCATCACTGGCGAATTGGTCACCAGATCCAAGTCGACTGCAGTTGACACCTACACGGGAGCTTCCAGTTACTTGATCAACACATACAACCTGCAATATAGCTCTGCCACTGCCTCCAACGAGATTAGCAAGAGAGTTGTGGTGGCACTCGGCACCGCCAAAACTGTGTGGGCCGACGTGAACGCTAAATTCTTTGAGCCCTTCAAGGCTACTACCACCAACTACGTCAACGACGTGGCTGCCCAAACCAAGAGCAAGGCTGATTCTCTTATCAGTGATGCGAAGCACGGAATCCCATTTTTGAACGGGTCAGTTGAGAATGCCGCTGCCGCTCCTTCGGCTCCTGTTGTTAGTGCGTCTGCTTGAGCTTAGAAGCTTGGGTACCTTTGGGTCTGGTTTTATATATTTGTTTAGGAATTGAGTTTCATGTTTTAATATAACGTGTTTAATATACTTGTGTGTTTAATATATGTTGGTATCTAGTTGAACCTCTTGATATAGTCGATTCCTCCTATGCACTGTGGAACCGTCATTTGGCTAGGAAGCTTTTTGTTGATGTCAATGCCAATATTCACCGTCTGCACCATCATATCGTGCTCGAGCATGAGACCATGGGTACGGGACTTGATGAGTTGATCCACTTCGGCCACCACCTGTCCTGCAGACTTGGAGTTGTCGTTCAATTTCCAGTCAAATGTGTCGTAATCCCATAATACGTTCTGCATGCCAAACTGGCGAACGATGCTACGAACCCGATTATCGAGTCCACCGTAGGGCGGCCGGAACCACTTGGGGAGGTGGTGACCCGTGGCATTCATGGCCCAGATACTCCATTGTATTTGTGCGATGATCTCTTCGTTCAGCAAGCTGGGCAAGAACTTATGAGACCATGTGTGTGATCCCATGATATGACCCGCTGCTACCGCCTGGCGGTAGGTGTCGGGATACTTGGCCACGTTGTGGCCCAACACGAAGAATGTGGTCTTAGTCTTCAAATTGGCAAGTAGTTTTGTGGTTGCTGGGGTGGGTCCGTCATCAAACGTTTGCGACAACACTGGACAAGTGTAAACATCATCAAACGACACACAGTTCTGACAGTCAAACGAGCAGCTCGTAGGCGTGATCATATCGCATTGTCCTTGGATGTGGTGGTTTGCGGGTTCGATTTTGGAGAAATCAATAAAGTCTAATGGGATGAAGGGAGGATCCAAACCAGGCCATTCTTTGAGGCCCGTGAAGTCCGTGAGCCACTGTGGAAATGGCAATGTAGGACCGCCCACTAGCCGGGTGATACCTGGAGGGAGCAGAAAAGGGAGGTTGAGGCCAGCGGCGGCAATGGCACGGATAACCACCAATAAAGGAAGAAATTTCATTTGTGGTTGGTAAAGTTGCAAAAGTGGGTGCACAAACATTTACGAGCACCCATGCGCAGGTGCGAAAGTAGGATGGAACGAATGGGCAATGTGCGCGATTAGCAGACATCGGAGGGGCATGTATGAGCTAGAACTGGTGGGTATATGGGTCGGTCCGCTTGGGGATGTATACTTGTACCCACTCACTTTTTCTTCTTTCTCACTAATCCTGATAAGTTGTTCACCTGAACCACCGTTGACTTCAGTACTTTACTATGCTCATATTTCCCACAAAGGTATGAGTACTCAAACAGCTTGTGGTGTAACCTCAAAAAGAAAGGGAGTTTTGTGTTGACCAAAAGCCTCACATCGTCACAGATACTAAAATCCTCGGATTTGATCACCTTTATAAGCTGCTTATACTGTTTATTCGAGAGAACAACCGGCTCGTATCTAGCTCCCATATCAGGTGATGAACTCATAACCTCCAGCTCACATCCAATGATCCCTACGACGTTCCCCAACCGAAACTCTTGTCGAAATCCCAATTCCTCATAGAATTCAGGCAACTTCAACTTTACCCGGTTTTCAACAACAAGAAACTCAAGGAACCTTGTCTTGGGGTCATCAGGAAAGCTTGGAATGTTGTAGACAGCCCTCTGGTTCTCTCCGAAAACAGATCCAAGCTCCCATCCGGACAATAAGTAAGGATGTGGGCTGTGAGAGCCAGGAATCATGAGCTTTTTGGTGAATTTGACTTGGGAATCTGCTAGCGTGTCGTCAATCAACTGGAGCCACCACCGAAGCAACTTGTCGCCATCTATAAGGTGCTTATGAAGATTCTTGCTGCTTTCGGGAAAGAAGTACTGATTTGAAGACTTGGTGAAAAGCGACACTTTGGTAATGAACTTGTCTGAAAGTTGCACGGTCCTATAACTCGGCTTCAGTGGACTCAAAAGCTTATTGATTTTCTTGATCGTCGACAGTTTGGGTGATTTGACGCGATATGTGAGTGAGGTGTGGTTGATGGAAATCAACGACTGAAGAAACCGATTGATAAGCTTGTTAGCATTGATTTTGAGGTCCGTGAGTCCGGTAGTATCAACCTTACTGACAAACAAGTACTGTGTATTGATTTCCGCAACCGTAAAGTAATTATAGACTTCGATGCCGAAGAGCACCAAATTGTCACTGGATATCACGAGAAGAAAATGCTTGATTTTGATGGTCAATTGAGGCTTGGAGGCAGCTGAATGTTCCAGTCCGTACTTAATGAGATTCGTACATTGCTTGGGCTCCGACTGCACGTGCAACACACGAAACGTGTGGCCCTTAGGAAGCACATCCTCCAATTGTTGTTGCAAAGTCATGGCGATGATTTTTCAGGTTTCGCGCTAAATCTATATTAAATCATTCTACTCTACAGAGTGCTCAGCAACCAAGTTGGGCATTCCCCAGCACAGATAGTTGCAGGACTTGGCGGTGTAGCACAAACCTTCGGTTTCTATGCCGTCGTATCCCTCGAGTCGGTCCCATGTCGTGCCCACGATGTAATTAGGTGGGAACTGGATTCCCTGTTTGTAGATTATCGACTTGACAAAAAGAATGGCTCCTCCCACACTATCCAACTTCATCGAGAAGTCTAGCAGGTTCTCGGGTGCCGATTTGTCCAAGTCCTTCTTGTTATTCAAAAATGTATCAAAATGCACCATTTTGTCGGTAACATCCCGGGGAACATAGTCCCAGTTTTCCCAGTCACCGTTGTCCATCTTGGCCAACTGTTCTTCGTTGGGCTTGGTCCGCTCGCCGACCCACGAGTTCTTGTCGTAGTCGGAGAGATCGCCTCGGATCACTCGTGGAACAACGATATCGTGATCCGCCTTGATGAACCGCTTAACCATATCTCGGTGCTGGAACGCGATAATGTCACTGTCCACAAACAACGTGAATTTTTCGGCTGCAAGAACGTTGTTCAACACAAAGTTCCTGGACCGTGCTATGGTCCGCCGGCGCAACCGCTGTACACCATCGTTGTGCCTATCACCACGGTCGATCTGAGAAAATGATTCTTCAATGAACGGAGCGGTGAGAATCGTCACCTTGTGGATATACTCGTGCATCTTTTGGTACGACAACAGGTTAAAATACTGCTTAAAGTAGGCCACCACCGCCTCGAACTCGGCTGTGTCGCCCACGAGCAATCCCAACGATACCTGGGTAGAAGGGAACTTGATGGTGTTCAAGGTTTCGAAAAAGTCTCCTATGGATCTGTCCTTGCCGTACGACTCTGGACCACCAACCACCGAAAGGATGAGTAGCGTGTCTCTGTCGTCAGTGTAGGGGGAGATCAGGTTGCGGATTTCGACCTTTTGGTACTCGTTTTCAAAGTGGTGCACTGTGAAAGTTTGTCTGAGCTGGCTCATTCCCGTGTGGAAACTAAGAAGAATAATACATAAGATGGTGGTGAGCACCAAGGCTATGACCGTACTAGGTCGCTTAAACATTTGTGGTGCTTGGCGATAAGACATCCTGGTGTGTGCTGAAGTGACCGCAATGAAAGGGACTTGTTTAAAACAAGGAGTTTGTTGGGAGGGATTGCAGGCTTTTAAGTTTGGGTATTTTTAGCAACCCACGAGGCCACGTTGCGTTGCAATCGCCTGGTATCGCGGGGCCAGAACTTAGGGAGAATGTGGCGGGGCGTGCGCGGGGGTTGGGCTACTCCTGATAGCGCACTTCGCAGCGGCAATGACGGCTAACGGCCGAGTGTTGAGGTTTTCTTATGCATATGCGCTGCCGCGACATTCCATCGCGGTATCTCATCTCCAGTTAACTGTTAGACAAGTAGAGACAGCATTTTAAAGAAGTAGCTGGCTATAGGAATAGCCACCTTATCTTTTTTTCTGATTTAAGAAGTCCTGTAATCTTGAGAGGAAAAAAAGGAAGGAAAAACAGACACTAAACAGAGGAAGTAAATGTCGGGCCTGAAAATGTGTCAATAAAATATTTTACACGTCAGTTCCTACGTTTTAGATATTCTTTTTTTCTATTCGGTAAATCTATATATTGAGACACACAAATCCAAATCCAACTTTCACCATTACAACAATCTAGAGTCTTTCAATTATCAATGACAAGTTGATCACGCCTGGAGGATCATCTTATAAATGGGACCTGGTGATAGCTTGACTTCCAGTAATGGCTCCATTAGTCAAGGTGCATAGAGTGTGCTACTCGCTAGTAGAAATCCCTTGAAACAAATGAAAAATACCCCAAGAACCAATTATCATCGACTGAATCTAGCGCGGTCTCTGTCCTTCAAAACCTTTATTAACTCCGTTAGACATTTATTGCTATTTACATCGCGATTCACATGAATCAACTGTACAGAACCGGCTCACCGGTACAACCACCCCTTATCAAACAACTTCATTGATGATCTTAGCAGCATCCTTATAAGTCTTCAACAAGTTATAACACTTTTCTCTCTCGATCTGGATATTTTCGTCTTCCACCAACAAGTTGTCAAATAATTTTTCATTGTACAACTTAATCACCAACTGATTCTGGATATTGTCGCGGATAAAGTTCACCAACAAACACATAATCAGCTTGGGCACTTGGTCCTTGATGATTTCGCGAATGATACCAAAGTACGAGATGATCAACCGGCGAATCAACTCGCACTCCAACTGTTCCTTTTCATTCAATTCGTTGATGCCTTCGTCGATTTCAAACGACTCGTTGTTGTTGTTGATGATGGTGGCGGTCGATGACGTCGAAGAAGAGTCGTTATTGAACTGCAACGGCAACGTTTCATGGCTGTTAGGAAACTTGAACGGAGCAGGGTTCAACTGGGCCTGGGTGGTGAGGTACTGTTGATGTGTGATGGGGTCCTTACCAAAGAAATAGTTGAGATACGAGTCTGAAGGGTCCTTTTCTTGAATATGCACAGACTCGTTAACCTTGGACGAAGGAAGGTCCTCGTCGATTTCGTTGATATCTTCGATTTCGTCACTGTCATCCGACTCCACCACTGGCTTCTTGGAGATTTCGCCGGCTTTACGCTTTTCTTCCAAAACCGTTCGCATAGCAGTTGCAGCGCCCACAAAATTGGGGTGGTTGGTGTTGATGTACGATTTGTTGATTTCAATCAACGACTCCACGTACTTAATGGTAGGTCCCAACCGTTCTCTCAATAAGTCGCTGACCACTTCGATCAACTTCATTTGCAACTTGGGGTACCGGTTGATTTCGATCCCATTGCTGCAAATATTGTGCACAATCTTCATCAATTCTTCATACACCAATTCCACACACTTTTTACTGGGTTCTTCCAACAACTTGATCTGTGGCTTTACCAACAAGTCGAACGCAAGCTCAGGTACAAACAATGATGGACGCGAACCCGTACTGTTGCGTATGGCGGTTCTGATGTCTCTCAATGTCAAGTTGTGGGTGGGGTTTATCAACGACAAATCGTTGCCAAAAACCTCATTGTAGATGTGGTACAAACGGGCACCTCCGCATAACTCCTTGGTAGATATTTCATTGATGTTGGTCCCCTCTATGGAGTTAATAAAGTTCTGGGCAAACTTGGTCATTAAATTAAGAATCAACACCGACTTGTCTTCAATGACATCAAGCGGACTTCCGCCGTACTGGATTAACTCTTGTTCAGTTTGTCCAATGAGGGTGTTCAACTTAGCCTTGATATCGGGCAACTTCTCTCTGATATGGCTCATTAAGATCTGGTTCAATTTGATCGATAAATACCGGGTACCACACTTGTTAGCAATAGTACGGTACGCCTGGTGGTTTCTGAAAAATGCTTCCTCATCTCCCAAACTGTCTGTCAAAGACTTGTTGATGGAAATATCGTATTGTGATCTGTTTATGATGCCCACAAATCCCATTTTCAAGGGATAAACATTACCCTTCAAAATATCCAAGGCGTTAGTACCTTCATCCATCAAGTCCAACTTGGTTAAAATTCCAATCGTTCTCTTTCCAGTGGGATCGACCTGGCGAGCCAACTTTAAACTTTCCAGGTTCACCAAATCCACATTGGCGGGGGAAACTGCAAGAATAATACAGTTTGGACGAGAAATATACTCCAAAATCAAGTTTCTGGTTTGCTTCTCAATGTCACCTGGTTGATCACCGATAGGCACCTTGGTAATGCCCGGCAAGTCCACCAAAGTCAAGTCTAACACCTTTGTGGAATAAATTTTCAAATTTATGGGAATGCGATTGATGCCTTTATTGCTACCAGCAACCCGGTTAGTTTCAATCTCAATTTCATGTCTGATTTCCTTGAAGTTGTAGAACCTCTTGCCCGGCAAGTGCAAGAACTCGCCGTATTCTACGTCCGCCGACACCCTACTAGTACCTTTCAGGCCACCATTTTTGGCCATGGTTAACTTCTTCAAGTGCTCTTCCAAGTTGATTTCCTTCAATTCATCGTCTTCATCATCGTTGTAGTACTCGTCACTTTCGCTGTTGGACTGGCTGGTGCTACAGGCAGCGAACTCATCTGGTTTCAAGTTCACCAACTGCAAAATCAACGGTCTTCGGGTGACAATCCCAGTACCTCTAGGTAAGAAGTCTTTTCCCACAATATTCTCCAACACCGACGATTTACCACACGACTGCGATCCAACCACCGCCAAAATCGGCAAGTCCAAGTCGCTCACTTGCGTGGTGGTGACAATGTCTTGCAACTTGTTGACCACGGGGATAAGATCCGAAAACGACATTGTATAAAAAAACCAGTGTGATTCGTTGGTTGTTTTTTTTTTGCTGTGAGGATTTCAAGGTCAATGTCAATGACACAAACTGGCGTCGTCCGCGCGCGCGCCCTCGCAGTCGCACTCTGCAGAGCCTCTGAAAAACTAGTGTTAACAGAGTGGTCTTTTGAACAATGAAGTGGACGTCGATAGTATTGATTCAAGCAGCACTCTGGAACTTGTGCATGGCGGTAAGCGCCTTAGACATTCCGGCACTGTGGGTAAACGAACACTATACCAGAACAATTGATTTGAAGAAAAGCTATGTTCGAGAAACGGTGTTGGTTGAGGCCAAAAACGTTGATTCTTCTCCAATTAGCGAATATTACTTCAGTTTACCTGATGGATTCGGAGGCATGGGTAATGTATCGGTCTTGAGTGCCATCTTGGATGAACAAGTTCCACTTGAATTCGACAAGTTGGAAAACAATGTGTTCAAATTGAAGTTACCAATTCCTTTGGCGACAAACTCGAGAGTTAGCTTGAGAATCCGTTATGTGTACATGGACGTGTTTTCGCCAATCCCACGTCAAATTGGAATGGGTGACATTCAGACGTTGTTATTCAAAGTCAATAAGTTCAACTACAGCCCTTACCCAACAGATGACTTGACTGTTCTTGTGGAAGGTATGAACAAGGCCAAAGAAATGGACATTCTCGACAAGCCTGACTCCGAAACCGCCGAGTTGGATGTTCCTGAGATCCCCACAGTTTCTGAAGATGGCAGCTGGAGATTGGGCCCCGTTGATAATGTCAAACCCTGGTCCTTGAAGCCGGTGGGGTTGTTATATGATCACAACAAGCCGTTGGCTAAGGTGCACTTGTTAGAAAGAGGAATCTGGTTGCCGTCGAGCGACATCAACGAGTTCCAGATCGAAGAGTACTACGAGGTGTACAATGACGGAGCCGAGTTGAACTCTGGATTCTCTAGAGTCGAGTGGATCAAAGGTAATTACGAAACCGCCAGAAACCATTGGGCCTTATCACACTTTGAATTCCCCTCCACCAGTGCCTTAGAGTTCGACGATTACTACTTCACCGACAAGGTTGGAATGGTAACCACTCACAAGAAGATCAAAAATTTCTTGTTGTTTGAACCCAGATTCCCATTATTTGGAGGCTGGAAGTACAACTTCACCTTTGGGTTCAACCAGAAGTTCGATAACCACTTGAAGAAGTTGGACGACGAAACCTACATCTTGAAGGTTCCTTTGCTCAACTCAGCGTTGGACTTGACATATTCCACCGTGAACCTCAACTTTTATTTGCCTGAAAATGCCGAATTTGTGAATGTGAGCTCTCCAATTGCGTTCCAGTCCATTGAAACGGACTTTGAAAAGTCGTACTTGGACGTCAGCGATGGCCATAAGAAGGTGACTGTGGTTTATAAGAATTTGTTTGAAGACGTGAGCAAAGTTGATGTGTTGGTCATGTATAAGTATACCAAGGCCAACTACTGGTGGAAGGTTTTCAAGATCAGTGGGTTTGTGTTTATAGGATTGGTGAGTTATTACTTGCTCCAATTAGTTGACTTGAGTCTCTAACTGAATAAACATGCATCCGTATTTGTCTATAGAAGTTCCTAAAAATAATTTGAGTCTTTGATGTCGATGACATACTGACGTCTGAAATAAAGCCTCTTCATCACCACCACCACCAACAAAATCACCAAGAACACCACAAGGAAGTTGTAGTTGGACGTGTCCCCAATGTACTCAACCACCTCGGGGGTTTCAAGAACAGGATTTTCCTCGGTCTGAACAATTACCCCCGTATCGTGAATTGTAACCACCTCAATGTTGGTGATTTTCCAGTCCTTGATGGGTTTCGACCTATCAGCCTGTGCGGTGTTCAAGACCTGTAACACGTCGAAGCCACCGATGAGCTGGCCAAAAACTACGTGGTGTCCGTTAAGCCATTCACATGCGTTTGCGGTGGTGATGAAAAACTGGCCGCCGTTGGTGTTAGGACCAGCATTGGCCATGCTGAGGCGGCCAACCTTGTCGTGGTGAATCTGGAAAGTCTCATCATCGAACTGGCCGCCGTAAATGCTCTTACCGCCGGTTCCATCACTTCTTTCATAATCACCACCCTGGACCATAAAATCCTCAATGATTCTATGAAACTTGGAGTTCAAATAGCCGTAACCATATGTCATATTGCTGAGACCGACGAAATTATTGACGGTTTTGGGGGCCACCGTACCGAAAAGCCCAAGCACCAACTTTCCTTGAGAAGAAGTTTCCAACTCGTTTGAGTCTGTGTTTGTGAAAAAGGAGGTGATTTCAAACGAGACTTTGTGGGTGACGGGTGGATCACCATCTAAGTGTGACCGCTCGTCCAGCGAGATGACCGTCACTGGGAGGGCTTGCACGCACACAAGCAAAAGAAAAGTCAAGAAATTGAATACGTGGAACATAAGGAAGATGAATCAGGTTGAATTTCACGAAATGCGCGAGTGGTTGGCAAGGTAGGAAAGTAGTGCAAGTGACCGGGTTGGGTCGACGTTCGCACGAAGTAGGCCCTACAGTGGCCCCGCGCTCGCACGATGCTGGCCCTATTTTGGTTCCCGCGCTTCTTTAGTGGCTGCCCTCTCCCACTTGATCAACGCGCGAACAGTTCCCAAATCTCCAGTGGCAACTAACATGAACGGGATCTCAGTTGATATAAACCACTTGAAAAAAGGCGAAGTGTCGATGGGTACGTCCATCATGGCCGTGCGGTTCAAGGACGGGGTCATCCTAGGTGCAGACTCGCGAACCACTACCGGCTCCTATATCGCCAATAGAGTCACCGATAAATTGACCCAAATTCACGATACTATCTACTGTTGTCGGAGTGGCTCTGCCGCCGACACTCAGGCAGTCGCTGATATGGTGAAGTACTACTTACAGATGTATGCATCGCAATTGCCGGCTGGAGAAAAACCCACCACTGAAGTGGTGGCAAGTGTTTTTCAAGAAGTATGTTATAATAACAAAGACAGCTTGACTGCTGGAATTATATGTGCTGGTTACGATGAGGAAGTGGGGGGTAGCGTGTATTCGATTCCATTGGGAGGGTCGGTCCACAAACAAGAGTATGCCATTGCTGGAAGTGGGTCTGGGTTCGTTTATGGGTGGTGTAACGAGAACTTCAAGAGTGATATGACTAAAGACGAGACAGTTGCATTTATCAAGACGGCGTTGAGCGAAGCAATGAAATGGGATGGATCCAGTGGAGGTGTTGTTCGTATGGTGGTGTTGACGAAGGCTGGTGTTGAGCGGATGATTTTCTATCCCCACGAAATCAAGGTCTAGACGTGCAAATATAGACTAACAAGTCGGTAGAAGGGCATATATGCTCATCTTCATAGCAAAATAAATATAATCCTAAGACACCATAGTAGTTTTTGTTTCCATGAATGATATGCACTGTATTTGTTACTCTCCTTAATAACATTTCCTGAAATTGCAAAATCGCCAAAATTGCAATTATTACCTACTACATGGAAAACCAATATTAACTCAAATATGTATATTATTATTACATTAACAGAAGAAGTGGTAAAGTCTGTAGTACAATGGCTTGGAGGCAATATAAGCTCTCTCTTCGGCAATTTCTTGTTTTAACAAATCCAAGTCCAACTCTCTTCTACCAGTGTCAATGTCAATTTCTGAGGCTCTGAAGTAAAGCTTCCAGTTTTTAGTCCAAAGCTTGTGACCTACGTAGAACAAAATCACAACAGGAACAGCCAAATATGCCATGAAGAAATCGGAAGCATTTGGAGATCCTCCCAATGGGAACAAAGCAACCCAGAATTGGGCAATCAACACAAGAATGTTCAATCCCAATCCATAAGCAGCACCCCATACACCCACTTGGGAAACAAAGGCGATTTCATCGGTAGTTCTACCTTGTACGGCCAAAGCTCTTCTGAATCTGATGTGACAAAAGTTAATCGAACCCCAGGTGAAAATCGAAGACAATCCTGACAAGGCCAACAACCAGTCAAACACATCTCCCGACTTGTCAGAAGCGGTGATGAAAGCAATCAATCCAAATACACACTGGACGATAATGGCCACCAAAGGTCTACCGGTCTTGTCAATATATCCAAGAATCTTTGGAGCTTGACCAGAAGCTGCCAAAGCTGCCAACGTACGGGAAGAACCGTACACCGACGAGTTACCCACAGATAACACAGCAATCAAAATAACGGCGTTCATCACGGAAGGCAAGCCTTTGATTCCCGCGTCCTCAATGGCAATTACAAATGGAGAGGCATTGGCATCGTAAGAAGAAGTACCCACCAATTGAGGGTCGGTGTATGGCACCAACAATCCCACCAAACATAACGAGATGATGTAAAACAAGGTAATTCTCCAAAACACCTGCTTGGTGGCAGATGGCAAGGACTTTCTTGGATCTTTGGTTTCAGCCGCGGCCAAACCAACTAATTCGGTACCGGCAAAAGCAAAGGCCGCAGATACAAAGTTGACACAAACACCTTTAAATCCGTGTGCAAAGGCACCGGGGTGCTGGTAGTATCTACCACCAATGTATTCATGATTAGGACCTCCACCGGCAGCCAAAATAATACCCAAGAAAATGAACGCAATCACGGCCACTACCTTAATGATGGAAAAGACAAATTCGGCTTCACCGTATCCTTTGACCCCAAAAAAGTTAATAGCCACAATACCTGTCCAAAAGATGGCCACAAACGCGGCCGAATTAATATCTTTGTTCCAGTACTGCACAACAATGGCACCTGCCACCATTTCCAAGGGGAACACCACCAACCACTGCATAGCATAGTTCCAGGCCATAGCGAAACCCCACGAAGGGTCGATGAATCTCGAGTTGTATGTCACAAACGCACCTGAAACTGGAAACGTAATAGCCAATTCTCCCAATGACTGCACGGTGGTATACATCATGGTACCAATCAAAAAGTATGCAATCAACACACCGGCCGGTCCACCATTTCTCATGGCACCACCAGAACCCACAAACAAACCAGTACCGATACTACCACCAATGGCAATCATCTGCAAATGTCTGTTTTTCAATTTTCTGGCCAAAGGAGCATTGGCGGTCTTGATGGCCAACTTCTCGGTTTCCGACAAGTTGGGGTCGATACCCAAGTGGGAGTCATCGACTCTCTTAAAGTCATCTACCCATTTGGCAAAACCCTTCAATTTGGGGCCGTTATCCTGGGCATCGAAGGCATCGATGTAAACACCGCCATTCTTTTCGAGGGACGAACCATCAGCATTGTCCTTGGATCTGATATAGTCCAATTCTTTAGCAACCATGTTTGATAGGAAATTTTGTATTTGTAGGGATTGGGGTTTTTATATATGTTGCAAAAGTAGCACAAACGAGCAGTGGGGAATTTTCTTTTTCTGCCAACTGACGTGTGTGATTGGTCCTTGCGCGAGAGATAAGTTGATAAGATCTAATGCCTTGGGCGACTATGCCGAACTGATAAGCGTGCGGCTGGGAGCCTGGTCATGTGACCAGCAGCACTCTCATCTACGACGAGGCTTACTATGATCCGTACTGGCCCTTTAAATGGTGTGGGTGACTGGGTCGACATCCATAAGAAAATTCACATATCCATGGTCGCTATTGTTAAAGATAGGTGTTCGCTCAGCCTGATACTATCAGTCCATTGTTGCCCAGGTCCTGATATTAAAGACGCCCCATGGGAGGGAAAAAAAGCAATTTTAATGCAGGTTTTGGACCTGTTGATTGGCGCACCGAACATTCTAATCTCTGCAGTTTTTGCCGACGGTCGCACTGGAGGGGCTCCCTACCCGGGCGGGATGGTAGTCCAGGCTCGCCCCAATAGATATCAGGCTGGGGAGGGACACCGAGCGCCGTAACCGTATCTGCAGGCTTCAGTTTATGCCTTATTTGAGTTACGGCACTTGGCTGGATTGGGCCAGGTGAAATTGCCTTAGGAAAAATGCCGCTTATCGGTTGGAAGATCTGCAAGTATTAGGGTCTTGGTACTAGCGGATCAGTTGTTTGAGGGTAAAATACGAAAAGTGGGCAAGAGGGTTTTCCGAACGCCGTTTATTCGGTGCTAATAGTCCATGTTGCCGTAACCCGTCAAAACGCCGCTGGTGGGCCAATGAATGCGGCGCGTCGTCCAGCTGGCACGACAAGCGTTGACGAGACTGGGTGAGATAGTGACTGCACATATACCAGTTGCACACGACATGGTTCCCACTTCCCAATCAGGCAATCTATGCCCGTACTGACAATGGACACGACGCAATTCAGGTTTACGTGGCCATGGCCGAAACTAGATTTCACGTGAGCCCATCTCAACATTGTCTTGATAATTCAGTGGGTTACATTAGAACAACTATCGAATACGTTTAGTGCAAGATACGCAGTTCTGCAAAGAATATCCTACTTTAGTTATGCTGATGCCGCGTTGGTTTGATGGAAGTTTACCGGAATAAATTATTGAGAGCAACATTAATGTCACATCCTGTTTTATAGTTATTTTGATCTTTCTTATCTACTCGTGAGGATGTGCGTGCTGTCTATTTATTGATCATCACCTAATAGGGTAATTTGTATATATGTCTTGTAACCATCGTTTAAAGTTTTGATGTGGTCGTAAAAGTTTTCTCAGTCGACACTCGTTTCAGTTTCAATATCAAAATGAGTGCATTACAGGTAAATTCATTTCTCTTTTTATTTTTTCAGTCCGACTGTACAACAAACGCCCATCAAAAGATTACCTTGTAGTGAAAACAGCTGTAGTAGGATCCAATCAAACCGTTTACACCATAAATGACAGTCTAGATTGCAACAAGCTTCACAAAACTTCGGCTGCAAAATTTCAAGGCACTACCGCTTTTCATTCAGTCGCATATCTGGTGCAAAGCATCAATCACAAATACAACCCTACAAATACACCAAAAAGAGGAAGTATGCAAAACTTTCTGGTGCACAAAAAGATATTTTGACGCCTATTAGAATGCTGAGCTAGAACATTTCACCTAAGTAATGAGATACATTTCAGACACAAGCGCGCATATTTCCACGACTTTCAGGAAACTCGAAAAAAAGTTGGTGACAGTTGGTAAAACGGATTTTTTAAAGGGGTTAAAGAGATTGATCACCTCGGAGAACGCCTGATTAGCGGTACTCCCCCATTCTATTATTAAGTGGATACAATATCTGCAAGTTCGTATATGTGTGATGTCGCACAATTTTCATTTAGTTTCCTGTACGATTTGGCGGTTTTGTTCGAATTGAATATAGGTGCAATAAGATGTTTGAATACTAGTGATTTTCATTCAATCAACAATAACTTTACTCCCGTAGTAGACGACCATACCCCGCAAACTGACTACTAGGACGAGTTTATTAAAAAATTCTAGGATGAAGAATGCCACATCTGGTCAGATTAGTGCGAATTACAGGGATATAATTAGCTTGCGACAATGTCACCATATCAATAGCACAGTTTGGTACCTGCTTCGGGGAGCTATATTTAACTTTCCACAGAAACGCGAATGTCAGATCTCAAAACCACTGGCCACCAGTCCTACAATGCTACAATGCTATAGTTATTGGCATGTTCTGTACCAGTAGCCGAAACAAGACCCACCTCATGGCTGATAGACGCCTAGTACCTGCTTCCTGCAAATTTATTGTCTCGCGCTCGGTAGCACTTTAAACTCCGTCGCTATTGTCTCGCACAACGAGGCGATGTCGCGCTCATTTGCGCTGGATCTGGGCCATAATTCTCGCACGTTGCTAACATTCCAACTTAATCTGGTTTGACTCAGCATATGGTAAAGTCTAGGAAATTCAGGATCTTTCTTGTGAGAGTCCTCTCTCTTACCTTTACTATCTCCATGACGGTGCAACTCCTAGGCTGGTACAATTTTGTTCCCGGGGCAGACCCAGATGCCCTTGAGTTGCTAAATTCTGCCGCCTTAGAGTTTGTTGACGACTTGCCATTTGAAACCACTAATCTGGTAGCTATCAACGCTGGCAACTACTACAACATATTTTCCAAAGTACCAGTACGGGAGTTCCTTGCCTTGAATACGCCGTCCAAATGTGACGTTTATTTTAAGAACTTATACCTTATGGATCCTGAATGGAATGTCGACCCACATGCGGGATTCGACTATAAAAGAGACTTTTTCAAATCGTTCAAGGAGTTCAAGCTGGAGCAGGAACGCAAAAAGGGGGTTAAAAAAAGCAAGTTGAAGCTGGACTATACCCGAACCTGGAAAGATATAAAGCTCCAGGAGCAGAAGATTCATGACTATGTCACTCACCTACGCGTCTTCAACAAATGCTACCTTGAAAGTCCGATGGAGTCGCTCTTGAACGTAACCGATGTGCTGAGACGCTTGTTCCCCTGGCTTTCCAACAAGTATCCCCGAATAGAAGATCATGAGGGTAATAAGCTCCGAGTGGTAGACGATGCCAGCACTTTGCACCTTCCATTTTTACGCCGGGTCCATGATAACTTGAATGGCAAGGGTATTGTGTTGACAATATCCGATGATCATGTGGACAATACTTTACGGTTGATGCGGATTCTTCGGTTCCACCGTAACCAACTTCCTATTCAAATAGTGTACTATAAAAACTTGTCGAGCGAAAGTCGGGATAAGATTGTGAACTTTGCCCGAACTAAGCGGATGCAAGACCTTGGCTTGGACCCATTATCGGAGGATTTGCCGGTTCAAACGGTGTATTTCGTCGATGTGTCAGACTCGATTGACCCCCGGTATTTGAACAAGTTTGAAGGGTTTGGCAATAAGATCCTCGCAGTGCTCTTCAACACCTTTAAGGAGATGGTACTTCTAGATGCCGATACGGTGCCAATGATCCCCCCGGAAGAATTTTTTGATATTCCCAAATATCAAGTCAACGGTACTATTTTCTTCAAGGACAGAAAGGCGGTGGAATACCGTCCGGAGAATGACTTGATTTTCTTCAAGAAGATGATGCCTTCCAAGTTCGACACCCTATCGTTTGGCATTAACCAGCCTTCCAACTACAGTCTCGACCGGGACTTTTTCCACGGTTTGAACCACTATATGGAAAGTGGGTTGGTGGTGATCAACCGGGAGCAGCATTTCTTCCACTCACTTGTGATGGCCCAGTTGAACTTCATCTACCCGGTGAGTGCCAGAATTTATGGAGATAAAGAGCTTTTTTGGCTCAGTTTCCTTATGCTTGGAGAAGAACGGTTTGCATTCAATAAGCATTTTCTGGCCGCTATTGGGGACTTGACTCCCATGGACGAACGGTTCAAGGACATAGGCAAGGCCAAGAAGTTGAAGTCCCAGGAAGTGTGCTCCAATCATCCGGCACACATCAGTGACGGAGACGACCACACGTTGCTCTGGTTCAACTCAGGTTTCAAGTTCTGTGGCCAGGAGTTCGATGCTGCCAAAGATTTCGACGCCAAAAAACGGTATACCAAGTTCAAGACCCTTAAAGACTTTGAGATTTTCTTCAACGATAAGCTTGTAATCAAGTACGCGGTTATCCCTCCATCTGAGATCATCACTGTCGATAACACAGACGGTGAAAGTAATAGGTCTTGGATGAACATGAGACAGTACTGTAATGGATACACCTGGTGTGCTTACTCGTCAATCGGTGAAAACCCCGAGCCGGGAATGCAGGGATTGGTGGTGGAGTATAGTGCTGAAGAAACCGAGTTTTTTGGAGTGCTTGGTGATTTGTGGATGCTCCAAGTTGAGAACCTGGTGGAGATTGAGCCGAAGGAGAAGGCAGGTTTCGATTTAGACGAACGTAAGGCAAATGAAATCAAGAAGGAAGCAGCTTATTATAACAGCTAATCTTTATAGACTCCAACTTATGGAACCCGTGTATATTATCATTTGTATAATGAAATCTTTTACTATATTTTGCAGCCACATCTCGTCTTGCGCGCATTTTTATCTTTTTGAACATCCATGGATACCTTTACGAATTTGCTTTATGCCTGTAGAACAGGTGATTTGGAAACAGTGGCAATACTCCTAGACACTCCTAACCTTAATGTCAATAAGACCGATGAATGGGATTACTCACCGTTGATCTTGGCTTCGATTTGTGGTCACTACGAGGTGGTGGAACTACTCCTTCAAAGGGGAGCAATTTGTGATAGAGACTCGTTTGAGGGAGAAAGATGCATCTACGGCGCATTGAACTACAAAATACGAGACCTATTGCTCAGTTATGACTTTTCCAAGAAGGTGGATATCAACCAGCCATTTGCATCCCATATAACAGGGATATTCACCAACAACAAGTTCATTAACAAGGACTTGGTGATACGATGTGCAGACAAAACATATTTTGTCAACAGATTCTTGTTGGCAGCAAGGTCACCAAAGATGATGTACCAGTTAAATAATGAGTGGCACGATCAGTCAGAGACACAGCTGGATTACGACTCCAAGCTGTTTGACATTCTTCTTGACTATATTTACTTGAGAACAGACAGATTGACGTTAGAAAGAATAAAGGGTGCTGCTGATATAGCTCAGTACTTTGAGTTGACCGACCTTGAGGCGGCGGTTAGCAGGGTTGTTGATACTTGGGACGAGAAGCTGAAATCAAAAGCCATTCATGACAATTCATTTATGCTTATAGAAAAGTCCCGTGTGGACATGTCCAATTTTCTCGAAAAAGTCATTGATCTGAGGGTTTCTGTACCGTTAGAATTTGATGAAGATGTGGACTACGAAGACATAGAGCCGTTGAACTACCTCACTAATAATTTGAAATCTCAGCTCTTTATTAGTGATTGCATCCCTGACATTATTCTTCTGATTGTAGATATTAGCCTGGAATCCATTGTGTACTATCCATGCCATAAGAGCATGTTGATTCGGTCAGAGTACTTTGAAACGATGTTCAATTCGGAGATTTTTGCTGGCCAGAATAAGGTGCCAATAAAGGAGTACGATGGGTTTGATATACTAGACAGAACCATTTTCAAGGCCCTGGAGCTTCCGGTAATATCTGTGACATGTACCGACAGTAGAGTTGCCGAATTGGTACTTTCCTATTTGTACCATGATAATGTGGACTACATTCCATTAAGTTTGACCGTTGATTTACTTTATCTATCAGATGAATTGCTCGTGGAACGATTAAAGAGTTTGTGTGCCGTAAATATCACCTCCAAGTTCAAGGATTTCTCTTTTGGGGAAATGACAGAATTAAAGGAGACAACTGGATACGACGTGTTTGAGCTTGTTAGAATTAGTTGGGCTACTCGGTGTGACAAACTTGAACACTTCACATCTAAATTGATTGCAACCAACTTGGAAACAATATTCCATAATCCAGAGCTATCGTCCAAATTACACGATTTGATTGAGGAAAGTGCTGGACGTATTGAACACAGACAGGCCACCGATACCATTGAGTTGGTTGATGATATCAGATATTACTTGTCCAAAAAATACGGAGTCAGTACGGCATTGCTTGAAGATTTCGTTCCAATTGGACCTTCTTTCACAGGAGTATTTGCAGAAGACACCAAGCTAAGAAAAGACTCCCTCCTTATGTACCTGAGAGATTTAGAGATGATAGACACGATGTTGGAAACGTTGGACTTGGATGCATAGTCTATTTTCAACTGTGGTTGGTGTGGAGAAGACTTTCGCAACATTTTGAGCCACACTTTAGATTATTTATATAGAAATCAATATGCACATTTGACACATTAAAATGACTATAGAGTGGAACCCACCTGCTGCCACCAAAGAGCAGCTTAGTCATGCCGAATTGACAGTTTTAGACTTGTCCAAGTACGATGAGGCCAATGGGAAGTACGAATTGGCCCAGGAACTCAAAACCGCCGTGTCCAAAGATGGATTTTGGTCAATTATTGGACATGGGATCTCGCCCGAAGAGGTGTCCCGTCAGTTCGCCCTATCGAAGCATTTCTTCGATGATTATACGGTGGCAGAAAAGCTGGCACAAACAGTTGATTTTGAAAAAGGTGATTATTTCGGGTACAAATCAGCGGGCGTGAAAAGAGTGTTTGGAACACAGGTAAAAGATACGACAGAAGTGTTCAACATCCCCAAATTCAACGGCCAATACGAAAGCTACTACAAGCAAGACTTCATCAAACAGCATCGGAAAGAGCTAGACGATTTCAGTAAAAAAAGCTATGAAGTGGGCAAAAAGCTTTTGACGTTATTCGCAATTATCTTGGAGATTGATGAAGAATACTTTGTCAATAATCATTTGTACAACGACCGCAGCGACGACCACTTGCGGTACATGAAGTACAGCATCAGATCGGCCGAAGATGACAAGCAGGTTGAAAACATCTATGCCCGAGCACATACGGACTTTGGGTCATTAACGCTTCTTTTTGAGCAAAGGGTAGAAGGACTTCAAATTAAGTTGCTGGACGGGTCGTGGAAATATGTGAAGCCAGTCGAGAATGGTATTGTGTGCAACATTGGTGATGCCCTTACATTCTGGTCGAATGGCTACTTCAAACTGACAATCCATAGAGTTGTACGTCCTCCTGAAGACCAAGTTTCGCAGCCACGGTATGGGCTTTTTTACTTTTTCAGACCGGGGGATAAAAGTGTAGTTCAAATCGTCGACTCGCCGGTATTGAGGCTGCAAGGGCTATATAAGGCAAGTGAACCGTTGAACGGAACCGAATATGTGAGAAAACGGGTTGAAAATTACCATAATCGAAATGACTATCCCAAACAGGCGAATGTGAAGTTTAAGGTGGGCCTGTACGAAGTTGTCGACGGGTTCGATTAGTGCTGTCCAGCTCAGAATGCTGTGGTTTTTGAGCGGTTTTCCAATGCTATATTATTTATGTTTACTGAGTCCGAATTCCATATTGCCTTTCGGAAAAGTTTGTATAGTAACATGGGTGTTGATAGTGTCATGAATGAAGAGAGCTTATTGTATACTCGGAGACATCTTGGTATGGGTGTAATGGTTGAATATTTTTAATAAAGTTTTTTCAAGTATGCTTTTCCTAATCTTCAAGAGCAGGTGTCAGAGTAGCTAGCCATAGCTTCTGAAGATTTAGTTTCAGAGATTTAATATGTTCAGTTGTCTATCGTACATTATTTTCATGATTATCTATATCATTATCATTCTAACCCCTCTACAAGTGCCACTATGCATTGGGCCAATCGGCTGACCTCAGCAGTGTCATTGAGTAAACTTTTCAGATTAAATAGAATCCACGGCTTGTACGTCTCGACTATAACCTTCTTTCTACTCACCAAGTCTGTCGATGAGCCATTTAATACGCTGAACAAGTTAAGCTGTGTGAAAGGGTTTCCAGAGGTGGGAAAAGTATAGAGGTGGGTAAGGGCATTGTAGTGCACTTTGTCAGAAGACTCAGACTCTTGTAAGCTCACATCCAAAAACTTGTTAAAACTCGCCAAATGTGTCAAAAGATTCTTCTTCAGAACGCTCGACACTGACTTGTTATTGGTCTTGGTCCACCCGAGTAAATTAAAGTATCCATCAAGAGTTTTGACAAAGTGAGACTTGATGAGATGCAACGGAAAGTTATCGACAATTAAATTGACAAACCCCACAGACCCGTTGTGCACCAGTGGATTGATGTGGTTCATAGCTGAATGGATGTAAAGGATGAGTTGGTTTGAGTTGACCTCGACCAATGCCATGTTAGTATCCACCAACATCTTCATCAACTCCAACAATGCATCTCTCACTTCTTTGGCATCGTCAGTGATCATAGGAATCAACGCCTTGATGAGCTGCTGCTTGAGCTTGGGGTCGTTTGGAATGTGTTTCTGGAGCATCACCAACACCTCTTTTCGAGTGGAAAAAGAATGGTGCCTAGTCAAAGAGATGTACTGCTCGATTGATTTGGCTCCAATCGCTTGGTTGGGCAAGGAAATACCCTTCAGTTTGAACGAAGTGTCCGTGAAGTTGGCAGCCTTTGCGGTCTTGCCGACCTTGAGCCGTTGCTTGACGAAGTCCTTTCTCTTTTCCTGTTTCTTCTTCTTGCTCCCCATGGTGTTAATTTTCACGATGAGATGCGCGGATGCGAAAACTAAAACTGATTTGAATCAAGATCACAACAACCATGGATATTGATGGAAGTCTCCTGGCGCTCAGTATCAGCGAGTTTCAAACGGCGGTGGACATCGATACCAGTATTTCCAGTGATGCAATGGAAGTCGACTCGATCTCCGACCTTCACAACGATGTGTCTTCAATAGAAACGATCAGGGAGCACGACCTCAACACCAGCACTCCCATCAAAAGAATGGATATTGAAGTGGACGCTGAAAACCTGAGTTTCGTGCTGGCATTGTCACTGGCCCTTCTACTGCCCACTACTGTGGGCGCCAAGTACGCTATGAAGCTTCTTCCAGCACCAGAGTCTACAGCGAATGAAGATGACGAAATTGATACCACCACCGTCAGAACCCTTGTGACACGCCACATCAACTCGTTCTCGAGTAACAGTGACAACTCGGTGTTTCTCGACAGGGAGCCTGAGTTTGTGTACAACCCATCCAAGCAGGACTACGACGAGGAAGATATCTATAGCAATTCGATGAACCAATCGTACTTGTACAGACGGTACAACCGCATGTCACCCACACCCACACCAATAATGCCCACGACGGTACCACGGGATGAGGACCTCAGTCGGTACAGCAACATGTCGACGCCAACGTCGATCCAGGTCCATCACCACCACTACTACTGCTCTCCCAATAAGTCTGTTGACACCACCCAAAACGACACCAGCTACATGAGCGTCAACAGCTTCAGCCACAGCGTCAACATGCTTGAGGATGTAAAGCTCCCATCGCCATGGAAACAAGAAAGTATTCCCAAGGAGAAGTATCCGTACATCATCTCGACATATTTGCAATTGCTGATTAATTTTGGTGTGAGTATCTACGGCATTTATCTCATTTACAACATTATCAGGACTATTCGCAAGGACATCGACGTCAAGATTCTCCAGCAGTCGGTGCAGTTGGCACTTGAGATCGAGGAGTGCACCAAAAAGTACCACGATAATAACTGTTCTCCTGATCTCATTGTGCCGGCGCTTGAGAAGCACTGTAGCTACTGGCTTAGTTGTATGAACCAGAATCTGCATCCCAATTTCAGCGGTAATAAGTCGAGCATTAGTGCGGAGACACTCGGGTTGATCTTGAACTCGCTCATTGAACCGTTGGGATTCAAGTTTTTCGTGATACTCTTTTCATTTTTGGTGATGGTATTTGCGTTAAACTTTATATTTGGGTTTATCCGCGCCAAGACGTACTACGGTGAGCAGCCGACCCCCGATAGTGCGGGAAAATAGTGCCAGTTGGCAAAAATAGAAGCCTCACTGCCACACCAAATGTTTATCGCCGAACCAGGACGCACTCGGCAGTCAATACCGACCGTCTACTAATTCTTCCGATTTTCTCCTACTTCCTCAATTGTTCCAACTCCTCCAACTCCGTTTAAGCCTTCATATGCTCTTCAATTGTCTATCATTATAACATGCGATCCCAACTTGAGGCGGGGAAGTACTCCCAAGGTTGTTAAACCCAACGTTTTTTTGGAGCGGATTTATGAAATGTGAAAATGAGTAACTTGACCCGTGTAATTCGCAAAGTGCATACAACCAATCACTCGGGTGCACGCCAGATATACCAGTGGATTCCGGAGTATATACAGGAGGCAGGGCTAGATGTTTACAGTGCCTCGGTGCAAGTATCTGGTTACATGATATAAATGAACCTCATCCAACATCGGTTAAAATTTTCAGGATTTGACAGGCCAGCAATTACAATGGGATTTTTTGGACCTACAAAACTGGATGAAGAGGCATTACGCCAGGCAGCACCTACTCGAGAGTCTGTTGATGGGTTCTCGGTGACTGGCTCATCGGCCTATGATACGGCTGATGAATATGAGACCGAATTGGCCCATGGGCAGCGCACACGAAATGATCCGACGGATGAAGTCCCAGAAGATTCAACCGCATTCGGCCCAGAAAAACTAGACCAAGATAACGCCGAAACCATCAGTATACCCGACGTGGACTCGCCTTTAGGCAAGTCAGATGAACATCCCACGGATGTTGAGAAACTAGAGCCAACGGAGCCAACAGCACTTTTGACGATGCATCAATTGGACTGGGACAGTTTCGATGATAAGGGCAACCCACTCAATTGGCCTACATGGAAAAAGTGGTACATCACCTTCACTACCGCCATTCTTTGTTTGTGTGTGTCATTGGGTAGCTCATTATATGTCAGTGGTGTGTTTGAATTGATGGCTAGCACCGGGGCTTCGCGGGAGTTGTGTGTGTCGGGGTTAACATTCTACTTGGTGGGATTAGCATTTGGGCCGGCGTTGGCGGCGCCAATCTCCGAAGAGTTTGGTAGAAGGATTGTCTATTTGGTGTCGTTCCCGGTGTCCATGTTGTTCACAATGGCCATTGGCTTATCGGATAAGATTTACCAGATTTTGATTTTACGGTTTTTCTGTGGGTTGTTGGCATCACCAGCGTTGGCGGTGGCTGGTGGTAGCATCAATGATGTGTGGGCCCCCGAAGAAAGAGGTTTTGCTATGGCCATGTTCTGCTTGGCCCCATTTCTAGGACCAGTGTTGGGTCCCATCGTGGGAGGATTTGCGTCCGAGCACAAAGGTTGGAAGTGGACCATGTGGGTATCGTTGATGTTTAGTGGGGCCATTCTCCCGTTCGTGTTGGCGTTACCAGAAACCTACAAGCCGATCATTTTGGCCAAAAGAATGAAGAAAAGAGGAATTGCCATCTACAAGCCTCCGGTGGTTCAACTTTTGAAGGTGACGATGTTTGTGACGATGTTGAGGCCCATGGAGATGTTGGTTGTGGAGCCCATCGTGTTGGTGTGGTCGTTCTACATTGCCTTCGTGTTTGCCGTGCTTTTCGGGTTCTTCGAAGCCTTCCCCATCATCTTTGCAGATGAATACGGCATGGACCTCGGGGTTAGTGGGTTGACGTTTATCGGGGTGGGAATTGGCTTGATTTTGGGAGTGATATTCTATGTGTTTATCGACCGAAAAGCGTTCCCCATCAACCCGGATGGAACCAAGGGAAGACGTGATAAGAATGGAGACTTGATAGTTAGCAAGCCGGAAGTGGTGTTGGGGATTGGCAAAATTGGCGGTCTCTGCTTGCCCATCTCATTGTTCTGGTTGGCATGGACCGGAAGAAAAAGCATCCACTGGGCCGTCCCCACAGCATCGGGAATTCCATTTGGCTTTGGCTTAATCTTGGTGTTCTTCACCAACATGCTCTACTTCAGTATGGCATTCCCACCCTCATCGGTGGCCAGTGCCCTTGGTGCCAACAGTTTCTTGAGATATTTACTTGCATCTGTGTTTCCACTTTTCGTGTCCCAGATGTACGAGAAGTTACACATCAACTGGGCCACCTCATTGTTTGCGTTCATAGCGGTTGCTATGCTACCAATTCCCTGGATTTTTGAGCGGATCGGGCCCAAGTTAAGACAGATGTCGAAATTTGGATACGACGCGCAGGCTAAGAAATAGTCCGGGTTAGACCAAACAGCTGCAAATATTTTTTGCTACATGCATGGACTCAAAACTCCACCCACGATTAGCAGGGGTGAAGGTGGGAAAGGAAATGTCAGGCCCGGCCGGGCCCTATCCGCCCCTGACAGAATCAACAGGCGAAGCCAGTCGAGCTGCACGAGGCCGCCTTCATTACTGTAAGTACCCATGATGAGGGTATGATGAGAAGATCGGCAATTACTACTCATGTACCTCACCTCCCGTGCCCCTAAGTAGTCAAATAATCAAGGACTAGGTGATCTACAACAAACCAAGGAAGCTGAATTGCAATCTAAAACAGAAAAATTCTCCTCTTTGTTACCAATTTCACAATAGAGCCCCTTTTAGCTAGATTTAGATGAATAAACGGTAAAACCTGCCGCGCGGACGACATGCACAGGGATTTCACTGGGGGTGCACGCACCCCTTCGTTAACAGGATACACCGTATAAATATATTACTCCCACCATAACTACCGCTGTTACCTGTCTTTTTCCCCCAGGGAGTAATATCCAGCCATGAGCTTCTTTTTGTTACCACCGGTCTCATACCAAACTCAGCAGAAATTGAAAAAGCATTCAGCCTCAGGGTCATCGGCCTCTCGTCGCCGCCACCGCCAGCCGTCCCTGGCTTCGAGTGCCTCTTCTGTCAAATCTGCACCCAGGTCCTCCAGAACTGTATCTACGTCAACCGCATCGGGTCGAAGTCCCCCGGCCATCACCAATCCCCACGCATATACTCTTGATAACCCATCAATCGATGAGATCCTGAATCTTGATGCATTGCTGATCACATCTGACAAATCTCCCAAGTCTAAGTCGCAGCCGAACTACAATTGTGGGGCCGAAATAAATGAGCTTCTTGGAACCAGCAAGCACCGGGGTCGGGGCCACCGCCGCCGGTCTCAGGGAGGCAGTGTCAAGACGAGTGCCAGTGCCATGGATGCCAGTAGTACTTATTCGCACCGCCAGTACCAGCCCCTGGCATATTCAACGTCTGTCTTCCTGGAAGACGACTCATTGGTTCAACCAGTCGCCAATGGGATCACGTCCAACTACCGCATGGAGTTTCGGGACAAAGTGCATCCGGTGGAAGATGCAGATGCCAATGATATCGAAAATTCTAAAACCTCAGTGGAGTTTCAATTGAGCGAGGATGAGGCCGAGGGGGGAGAGGGCAACCAACTCACACGGGTGTACTCCGATGTAGACCTGATTTTTTCAACCAAGGTGGACGTCAGTCCCAAGAAGAAGGGGTTGTTTCATTAGAGGAAAGAGGAAAGAGGAGAGAGTAAGAGTGTCAGATATAGCTGTTCATGATCACAAAAAAGAGCGGTCCGCCTCTCAAACATCAGACCATCAGCAGCCCAGTCTCCCCTGGCGTCAGGAACCGGCTTCCCGCTGTAGGCATGTATTATAGATTACGTTTATACGATATGAATTAATAACAAATTCCCCAGTGCGACGTAGGATTGCAGCCAAAGAACACTTGTCGCGCACGGGTTGGTCAAAGGCCGAGGACCCAACCAATTCCAAGCTCAATTGGTAGACACCTGGCCAACACCTCACCCAATAGCTCTTACCCGCCAGCAAGTTGACGAATATCCCTTGCGACACACTCCCATTGTCGTTACCATCAATGCCATTATTGTTGCTGACTGATTTAGGCATATTCCCGATAGCAGGGGATGGTCGCGAGCCTGGGTCCCATGACCTACCGATCCTCATGCAGAAAGAGAATTCTAAAGATCCCTTGCTGAAGGTGCAGCTAACAATTGTGGCCAGACAGCCCTGAACAGGGTTTAGACCTGGGTGCTTCTGTGGTTTCGTATTTGTGTCAGCTTCTTTTATTCAAGTTCGGTGCTGCCTTTGCTTATTGCATATCCCTACACAAGCACCCATAGTGGTGCCCAAGTGGAGAGCAAACTACAGGAGTATTGACTTTCCTGTTTGGGAACTAATGGATATTTGGGGCATTGTCTACACAATGAACAATGCCATTGGAATTGGGGTGGATGTACTATTGTAATCGAGTCTTATTATTGGGTTGTTGCAAGTTAGCCGACTCTGCGGTGCATGTGTCACAGGTTAGACGAGTGGGTTTATCATGATGCACAGGGTTTCTAGGTACAATGCTTATCAGAAGGGACCGGTGGCTCTGTCTTATCTGCTTTGTTTGTGTTTTTAGACGAGAATAGCTGGTATTATCTCGTACTTAGAATGTCCCTTATCTCGTACTGAGGATGTCCCTTATCTCGTACTGAGGAGGGCACCAGAACGGGGTCTTGTGGTGATCACTTGATGATACTTTCATCTCCATGGAAGCCAAACAGTCATTAACCTATGTGCGGCACATGATATTCACTGGTGTTACCGGTGATGATATTATCATAGATTAGTCCTAAAGCTGTCATCTGATGTACCTGTTGTTTAATAAGGCTATTCCACGCTTTATAGACCTCGCTCGATCAATGCCAATTTAGACGTACAGAGTGTTATTGGTCAGAATTTAGCATATAGATCAGAACCCTTTTTGCGTATCCTACGGCAAACATTACCAGTTTATCAGCACAGCTTAACAACGTATCTGCCCACTGCCTCCCACAGCTTCCTAAACACGCACTTGCAAATTGCCCATTTCTCTGCGTGTCTCATTATCAGATTAGGCATCACATCTCTTATCGCGCGCGCAATCTGGTTAATTAACCACAAACAAACATCCTTATACACCCCGTCACTAGATACATCCAGTACCAATTCATACAATTCACCCTCAAATAGTCTCTTCCCAGTCACACCCCGGCTTTTGAGACTCCAACCGCCAGTACTCCGTCACCCTTTCTTTGTCCCAGTACTCCAACTCCGTGCCATCCTTATCAGTCACAAGCATGACTCAAACCATAAAACCTGGAGAAGGTTTAAATGCCCTTAAAATCAACGACGGCCTCTACTCCGTGCTTGACAGGTTTAAGCATGAGCAGCTCAACTTGATGTACTCGTCCAAGGACTACCTCAATACTCCGATCCGGCTCCAGATCAAAAATTGGGGCATGACCTTGCTCTTCCAGAAAGACAAACTAACGTTGATAGAGATTCAATCGTTCTCGTGTGGCATCAACTACTCGTACAACAACATCAACTTGAACTCTTTGGGGTCTGGAATCACTTTGAAGGTCATTTACAACAAGGTATTTGGTCCCACGTATCCCGGGAAATTCATCAACAACTACTACATCTTGAGCTACCCGGGGGTATCCTTCAAGTTTGACCTCCTGGCCATCCAGAGCAATAAGGGCTTTGACCCGTCGTTGGCATACTTGTTGAACTCCGACAAAGACGTGGTGTGTGGTGAGATATTCATCTTCAACTCCAACTCGTTTGATGAGTTTTTGCATCTGATGAAGACTGGCAGCGCCGCCGCCACACCTGCGTCGCTGGAGTTGAGCTCCATCACAGAGGTGTCGCAAACATGTGACCCGTCGTTCAAAGTCAGTGCTAACATCAAACTTGGGGTCATTAGACTCAGTTTCCGTAACAAGGAGTTTTTGGTCACCATCGGCAAAACCACCCAGCAGGAGGTGTTGAACTTCTTGGGCCCACCCGACGACTACTTCAACAAGTTTGACTCCCGGCTCTTGATCCACCTGAATTTCTTCAAGCGTATCAGTACATCCCACACTTCCAATAAGATCTTAAAGTTCCACAACTACTTCAAATTTGGAGTCGATTTTTTGTACGACCTCAATGGAAACGGGGTGTTGAGCAAGGTGATTTTACACAACGGCAACATCGTGGAATCATCGAGTTTCAGCCACTGGAACAAGTGCAACTACGAAATTTACTTGGGCAACGACTCGAGCGATACCAACCCTTTTGATTCGTACGACATGCGCATCGGATGCAGCCACTACTTCGACCAGATTCCCGCCGACTTCTTCGCAGGCGGCAGTAAGACGCCCATACTCTTGAATCGCAGTGAAAGTGAGTTGATCAACTTGGACGTGATTCCCATCAACGAGCTGAATGACTGGGGGCAGAGTAAGTTGTATTGCTTTGACCACTGTATCTGGGAGGTGTTGAGCAATGACTGTGTCAGCTGTGTAACCATCTACTAGTTGACCTACTCTATATATTATTCTAGCTGTCTCAAGAAAACTAAATTGAAATCGGCGCGCAGCTTCTTCACTAATGAAACTCACCTCCAATGTGCTAGAACAAGCACATATCGTCATCAACCCCTGTAAACAGCTGACTCTCCAGCTCCGAGACCTCGGGCTCTCGGACATCGACTGGCTTCCGCCCCACTACGCCGCAGTCGACCTCACCAACAACCTGCTCATCGATCTCCAGCTTTCGTCTCCCGCCAAAACTGTCAATACCCTTATTGTCAGTAATAACCCGGAAATGTACCACCTTGAGTGCACCAGCTTCCCAGCCCTTCACAGCCTTGCGGCCCTCAACTGCAACTTCTCGGTGCGAGAGGTTTCCCGGTGGAAGTTCCCCCATTTACGACATTTGGTGATGCTCAACAACCCCATCACCCAGGGTGAAAACTACCGATACTTAATGATACATCTCCTTCCGAGCCTTGAGACACTCGACCTCGAGAAGGTCCGGGCGCACGAACGCCAGGAAGCTGAGGCACTCTTTGCCACCACGTCTGTGGACGACATAATCGCCAGCAACTCCACCTCCCACCAGGTGCACTTGGCAGACACTATTAGTGCTGCCTCCGACATCCACGAAATAGAACGGTTGGAGCGCATGCTAGCCCAACCATAACTCTCGACCAGTGACTGCCTTTGGCCCTCCACTTCTGTACTATAATTATCCACCTCTCTCAATGCATATCACTAACCTCACTCGACTAAAATTTTTCTCACAAATCACTTAGCTCCAGCATGTCAAGGCCAAAAAGACAGGCCACCATCAACAAGTCGTACACCGACACGATAGACGAGTCGGTGTTCCATGAACGAGTCAAGAAACCCCGGCCAGCTGCTCCAATGAGTGATAAACCATCCAAATCTACCAGGGATTCCACCTCACCGTCCGTCGGGTTGGGTGCTGACAAACCTATTCTGCCGCCACCAGGCAAGAACTCCACGCCCGCCACCGCCACTGTTACCATCGTGCCAACGGCACCGGCCTCATCCTCCCAAGAACGAGTCAATTGGCAGCCAGTGCCCCAGCCTATCGACTATTTTTCGTGCAAACTCAATCTTCACAACTCCCACATCGACTTGGATACCAAGACGCTCGTATGTCCGGCACAGCCAGTGTTGGAACACCAGTACAGTGCCATGCCTAAGCAGTCCAAGAAGTTCCGCCTCCAAAAGGGCGATTTCATCTATATGATTAGTGAACCTCCTGGAGAGCCATACTACATTGGTCGGATAATGGGATTTAAACCCAAACCCAAACCTGGGGCCACTCCCCCACAAACAGGAATTGTGCCGGAGGTCCTGGTACGTGACTTTGAGTTCCAGGTCCAGTGGTTCTACCGTCCTAGAGACATCTCCAAGCCGTCTCCCGATTCACGACTTTTATTTGCATCGATGCACACAGACACATGCCCACTCCACAGCTTCCGGGGGCTTGTGGACGTGCGCCACAAACAAGACATCGAAAATCTCGACGACTTCATAAAGCGGCCCAACAGTTTCTTTTTCGATAAGCTCTACGATCGGTACATGATGAAATTCTACGATGTGATCTCCACCCTCTATTTACTCAAAATCTCCAACAACGACAAAAGTGCTCATTTTCTTACCGCCTTGAACAAGAGGTTCGACTACATCTTCATCGAGCTGCAAATGACCAAGTTCTTGATCAATGGCTTCCAGTCGGGCTCGTGCACCTGTGAAAATTGTGGTCAGTGGTGTTCCACTCAGGATAGTGTCACCTGTGCTGACTGTGACCAGTTCTTCCACCTCTACTGCCTTGACCCGCCGCTCCTCAAGAAACCCAGCCGTGGTTTCAGTTGGCACTGTGAATCGTGCACCAAGAAACACCTTCAGCAGTATAAGAGCACGCGGATTCTCATGTTGGGTAGTGACAATAAGCTGCTGAACGAGAGCGAATTGAGTGATGGTATGGATATTGATACCACCGACGATCCCATCGACCGCCTGGAGTCTGAAAGGGCCGACGTCTTGCCCAAGTACGAGCTTATGGCCATAGAGTTTTTGAAACATGATAAGCTCTCACTCGCAGACCGTCGGCTTAAGGAAGAATGGTGTATGCGGTATTTGGGAATCCACAGTAAGCTCGAGGATGCCGTAGACTTGGACGACCGTTCGTTCTATCCACGGGCAGCCACTCGGATTGGAGCCAAACACCAGGCCACGCATATCCCTGAGTTTATTGACCATCCCATTGTGTACTACGATGCGGCCGATGCCAGTGGGAAGAAAAAATCCAAAGCCAAGTTGGTTGAGGGAGCTCCTTTACCGGTTCCGCCTGCTTATGGTGAAGTGCTGACCAAGGAGTACCCGGTTTGGTTACAGCCTCGACCCAAGGGGTATATTGAACGAGGAGTAGACGATGGTGATTGTGCGACGGTGCACAAAACATGTACGCTTCTTTGGAAACCGATGGAGGAAGATGTTGACGATAACTTTGGCAAGCTTGATCAGTACGTGGCCCAGTGTGCGCCTATTGCCGATAAGTTGGGCTTATCACCTAATTCTCCCAATTTCATGGATAGCATCTTGAATAACTACTTCAAGCACCAAGGAGACTACCTCAAAGCCATGGACGACCTGATGAAAATCACAAAAAAACTGTTGCATGAGCCGATATTGACCGCTAAGGAGATCCAGAAGTTTGAAGAGGGGGTCAAGAAGTACGGGTCGGAGTTGTACCCGATATACAAGATGGTCAAAACGGTTCCTTGTGCTAGCATAGTCCGATTCTATTACCTCTGGAAAAAGAGCGAAAATGGACGTTTGATTTGGGGCAATTTTGAGGGCCGGATCAAGAAGAAGCTCCAAAACCTACAGAACGAAAGCAAGGACTCAAAGTCCAAGCCTCAGTTCTTTAATGAAGACGACGATTCGTGCTACGACTTGGCAAAAGCAGAGCACAAGACGTTTGTGTGTAAATACTGTAGTACCACATCCAGTACTCAGTGGTTCCGCATCACCGGCCATGATAATGCCAGCTCGATCGAACTCACGGGCTTATGTTTCAGATGTGCCAGGCTTTGGAGAAGGTATGCCGTGATTTGGGAGGATCCTATTGAGGTAGAGCGCAAGATCAATAAGAACGGGAAACGGAAGATTGAGTACGAATTATTGAGGGATGCTGATGCCATATTGATCCATACCACCGGAAGCCCAGGACTCTTTGTGGAGGAGAAGAAGAAGGAAAAATCCAGAAAGAGACCAAGTCCCCTGCCTCAGAGCGACACTCCTAAAAAGCGTAACGTCAAGAAAAAGCCTGAAGTAGAAGTCAACAAAGAAGATGGTAAGAAGAAGAAACCCGAAAAGAAACCTGTCAAGAAACCCGAACCAAAGGTGAAAGAAGAGACTCCCGAACCAGAAAAAGAACCGTTTGAGCACGAACATATCATCAGTCCTATAGTCTCTAAAGACTACAAAATACCCGAACAATTGAAGTTGATGCTAACCAGCAAACCAGATAATATTGATGATAAAAAGGTGTCAGACTTACTCCAGAGCTTCAAGATTAAACAGCTTTGTGATTTGGCCAATCTCATTAACCACGAGACTTCACCACCAGGTCTTCAAGCTCATCAACAATGCTCTGTTTGTTCTGATTCGAGTGAAGACGATCTTTTACAGTGCGGTAAATGTCTAATCGCCGTGCATTCTTGGTGTGTGGGCATCACCGTTCCAGCTGCTGTTAAGCCTATAAAAGAATGGCTTTGTGAATGTTGTGTTAACGAGTTGAACCCAATTTTCCAGCAACAGTACAAATGCTGTCTCTGTACAACTCCCGGTGGGTTCCTCAAACCTATCCAGGACTCGGGAAAATGGTGCCATATTCTCTGTGCCTTCTCCAACTATCAACTGGTGGAGTTCAAGCCAGTGGCCCAATTGAACCAAATCAACCCTAAAAAATATCTTACTGCTATCATGAACTCCGACGATTCAAGAGCCAAGGCCAAGATGACGGTCGAGCTCATCACCAATACTTTTGAGATCCGAAACGTCGATATGGTGTTGTTGAAAAGTCGTATTCCTTGCTCTGTGTGCCACAAAACCGGTGCCATTTCCAACTGCCACGACTGTGACAAGCCTTTACACATCAACTGCAACTCCAATTTGGGGTTCAAGTTGGTTGCAGGGGAATCTAAAGTCAAAGTTGATGGGAAAACCGGAAAATTGGAGCCTGTTTTATACTGTTCTGACCATCTACCTCCATCATCAATTCATTCCATTGCATACCAAGGCAAACGAAGCTATTCCAGCAAAGAACCACATCCATTGATCAAACTATTCACCGAAGATATTCTCAAGTCCAGTAGCCACAAGAATAATGGCAACTACTTAAAAGCCACCCGGTACTTAGAGCTAGTAAGAGGTCATTTGTCGGAAGAAAAACAAGAAGAACTTGAGGAATCATCTTACACCTGTGCCAAATGTGACACGAGAATGTCACCTATATGGCGAGACTCTGACGATAAAAAGATATGCCAAACGTGCTACCACAACAACCGGTCCAGTGAAGAAGACTCTGTGAGAGAACCCAGCACTGACACCGAAGGGTTTACTGCTGATGAGTTTCTACATGTTATCAACGAGCCCATAAGCGGGGAGCAGTTCGGGATATTGGACCACCACGATAAAGTGACCAAGGTCCATGTTCCTCTTTCTCTAGGCGACTTTGTTCCATAGACCACCCATGAATAGAGCAAATATAGTATATATTTGTACACAGCAGCTGGCTCGGAAACGCGCGCAGTCGAAAAACCCAACGAAACCAATACATAACTAGAGAAGATGATTCTTCAGGACACAAATATGCCGGTGATACCGGGGGAGAAGTTGCCTCGTGAAGAATCGTACGAGTTGCAATTAATGGTGGCAGACTTGTTGAATAGAAAAAACCCCAATTTCCCCGGGTCTCAGCCAGTTTCTTTCGAGAGACTCCATCTCACCGACACCCTCATGAAAAAAGACTACTACGTGTGTGAAAAGTCCGATGGCTTGCGGTGCTTGTTGTTCATCATTAACCATCCAGAGAGGGGCGAGGGTGTGTTTTTGATTACTCGTGGGAATGAATATTACTATATTCCCAACATCCACTTCCCATTGTCCATGAATGAGGAAAAGGGAAAGACATTTCATCACGGAACCTTGCTTGACGGTGAATTGGTACTAGAAACTAAGAACGTCAGCGAACCGTACCTCAGGTATTGTATTTTTGATGCTTTGGCTGTCAATGGCAAAGATATCACTGGTAGATTTCTTCCTACAAGATTGGGATATATCACCGAGCAAGTGATGAAACCTTTTGACAACTTCAAACGCAAAAACCCCGAGATTGTCAATTCTAGCACCTTTCCCTTCAAGGTCAGCTTCAAATTAATGACATCGGCCTACCATGCCGATGATGTCTTGAGCAAAAAGGACCAATTGTTTCATGAATCGGATGGGTTGATCTTCACTTGTGCTGAAACTCCTTATGTGTTTGGCACAGACACCACTTTGCTCAAGTGGAAACCCGCACAAGAAAACTCAATTGACTATAAGATGGAAATATTGTTCAATAAGTACCAGGACCCAGATATGGACCCGAGGGACCCAGACTCCACCTATACGGATTATGACTCGAATCCTGACATAATAAATTTGCATGTTTGGAAAGGAGGACGAGATTACGAACAGTTTGCCAGAATGTACTTGGAAGAAAAGGACTGGGAGTTGTTGAAGTCACTTAAGGAGCCTCTTCAAGGCCGAATTGTCGAATGCAAAAAGAAAGTGGATCTTCCAGGATACTGGGAAATGATGAGGTTTAGAGATGACAAGTCCAACGGAAATCATGTAAGTGTGGTGGAGAAGGTGTTGTTGAGTATCAAAGATGGTGTGAGCGAAGAAGAAATCATTGCTGCTTGTCCCAAGATTCGGGACTCGAGAAAAGACAAGCGTCCCAAGAGTGCTCCAGCACCTTCACATGCACATTCAGTCAAAGATCAACATCCTAAAAAAAGGAGTCGAGAGGGAGATGCCGATGAGGTGCAGCCGGCTGCGAAAAAGTTCGAAGAAGATATGCCTGCTTACGAAGACAGCGACGAGGAATAAACCCATATGTATATATATCTGTACTATTACCAAAAATTCAGTTAATTCATGGCACGTAGGGTGGAAGGTGCTTAGGAGCAGCGTACGCCGGAGGAAGGGCCACGGGGGGTTCTGTCACCACTTCAATAGGCACTTTTGTGGACCAGACTTTACCCGAGCCTGTTATTTTAACTTCTAAAAGATGGTAGGAGCATACCTCACAAGTGCTATATCCAGTGCTCAACTGCCGTAGAGCTTTTCCGGGAATTTTGACTTCTTGTTTGTTTCCGTGATATACTCTTTGGCGGGTGGTAACGGTGAAACTATCACCTTCTTTAACAGTCACCTTAGTATATTGGGCAATAGTAATACACATGTAAAAGTTTCCAGATCCTTCGAATTTGACCATATTTGTTTTGTTTTTGTAGAACAGCTTTGGAGTCGTCAAGTTAAATACTTGATCGTTGACTGTCTCTCTGATAGAGACTATTTGAAAAGGCACTTGTTTGTGAATGAGCACCTCCCGTCGTTCTGTGAAGGTTCGTTTCGGAGTCACAAGCACCATCTCCAATTCGTAGCTCTGGCAGAAGTCAACACTATAAATGGTGGGCAGATTACATCCAAAGGAAAACGGTATACTATAGGTTCCTTTGAGAATGCCGAATTCAAACTCCTTGAACTGGGTAGACATTTCACACTGATCCAGCAGCCTGAAAGCTCCTAAAACTCTCTTGTACACTCTTTGATGGACTTTGCGGTTGAATTTCATCTGGAAAGATGTTATAGTAGTTTCACAGATATCAAAGCTCAAATCTCCACACACGACGTATTTGTTTGTGAAGGGATATACTTGGTGGTTGATACAAAACTTGGGGCCGACAGCTCGACCTAAGGTCTTGTTGAATGTACTGAAAGATAACATTAATGTACCCTTAGGTGATAATTATTACTGGCCAGTGCAGGATTTCCCCATGTTTGCAACCGCGCTGCTGGGGTATTGTGAGATAATAGAAAGCTTGACTCACTTCATTTCTAATAACTACCAGCATCAGCTTCATTGCCATTTACATCAGGTTGGGCTATTTAAGAACGCACTTGCTAATTTGGGCACACATTGATAAAATACGATCCAAAACACACCTTTAACTTGTTCACGTACTACAACAACCACTTCCTCAAAAAAGCAGAACATACTCTCTCGCCCGTACCACGTATTATCAGTAGCCAGATTCTTTTAAATGATACAATTGTTAAAATCAAACACTTTATTCCCTAACTAAACAATTACAGGGTTACCTAAACTTGAGGAGTTGGTGACAACGGTTAAAATGGCTGTTCAGACTCAAGGGCTTGCTGTTCAATTAAATAATTGCAAAAGCAAGTACTCGGAGAATGAAAGCCGGACTAGTTTCATTCTTCTAACTACCATCAGCAGCATAATCACCAGTATTTGCATTAGGATGAGCTGTTTGAGGATTTTCAATGCCCTGAAGCGCCCGAGTACTTAATTGTTGAAGAAAAGGCTGGAAAAGAACAGTAAATTGGTGAGCTAATAGAGCGGGCAATTCTTCACGAACCACGGTACGTAAACCGTTAACTTCAGTACGCATTCTCTCTTCTCGAGCAGTCGCTTCAGTACGCATTCTCTCTTCCATACCAGTCATTTCAGAACGCATTCTCTCTTCCATACCAGTCATTTCAGAACGCATTCTCTCTTCCATACCAGTCATTTCAGAACGCATTCTCTCTTCCATACCAGTCATTTCTTCACGAATCACAGTACCCAAATCACTCGTCGTATTGATCATATTAATCATGTCGTTTCCCATTCGTGCAAAAATTCTTGAGAATGATTGAGCATCTCTGTGATGTTCGAAGAAAATTGGTTTGAGTGCTTGTATAATTGATACACTGGTTGCTGCACCTGTAAACCCATATTGTCTATAAATCAGGCAAAGTGTTGGGTGTCTGAGACTTTCAAGTGAAGTTATCTCCTCAGTGAAAGTAGCAGGCTTACCGTCATCGGTATAAGGCAAAACAAGACTGGCATTTTGGGCTTTAACTGAGTTAGTAAGACGGGCGTATATCTGTTTCAATGGTATTCCTTCCAATCGGTTGAAATTAAGAAGATCCAAGTATTCGAGAAAAGAGTCTTGGGCAGAAGTAGTATTGTGACCAGTAACTTGTGCCAACTTCTCTCTGATGCTCTCCCCATTAGCTTGAAGAAGGTCTCCAAAGGTAGGAAACCCTGATTCCCACTGTAATTCCGTCGCAGGATGCCAAATGGGTGATCCATCAGAAAGAGATCTGATGTTCCCCTGAAACGATTGATCATTTGGGTTACCCTTTAACTCATTCATAATGTTTCCCACAAAACGTTTAACAAGTGCATCCCATTGGGAAAGTGCAAGGTTAAGAAGTGAGAGGCTGTAGTTGGCCTGGTCTTCCTCTATTTGGGGTGCTGAGTTATTCATGTTGTTGGGAAAAAAAATGGGTTTGTGGTGTATACCTTTTTTTTAGCTGCAAACGGAGAAGGAATTTGGTATTGTTGGTTGTCGCACGCCATGCCAAGGACCCTGGAGATGTGTCATTTTTGTAGACCATAATCTTCAGACCTGCTATTTACCAGATAGGTGCATATGTAGATGTGTCCAGTAGACCAAAGATAAAGGTGCCCTACAAAATCATCCACAAACGATGTGTATTTCTTTAGACTCATACGGTCGTTATAGTCGATCAAGTACATTTCTGCTGATCAACTTCACTAGTTCATATCTACGCGTAATAACGAAAACGTAGGAAAAAAAGCCACTATCCAGATGCAAAGCACGCAGTAAAAATACTATTCACGTAGTCATTTATTTATGGTACTTATAGCAAACTCAGTAAGCACTATTGGATTTAAGCTTCAATGGAAACGTTATCCCATCAATTTCGAAGAGCTTGATCAAGCTCCTACGCTTTTCCATCAGCTATAAAGTGTCATAGGATTATTTGGGCTCCGACTTGGTCTCAGAACCAGGCACAACACTTGTAATAATCGTAGGGCTTTTTTCACTGGTAGCCGTTTGGGCCAATTTACAGGTGGGTCTTTTGCGGGTAGTTTTGAACTCGTGAGGTTTAATATGCTTGTTCTTAGTGGAATAGACCACATGCTGTGTTTGTGAAATAATTCAGAGATCTGAAAGCTGGTATCTTTGCTATTGTTGCTGAAGTTAGACTGGCTGGTCTGGTTGCACGTATCATCAGGGTCGTCGTTCAGGATGTGAAAACGAGAATTAGACGACGAATCTTAATAGTCGTTGAATTGGAAAGACTGGGTATCGATATCCTTCAAATGAATAGCCGCGTTGATTCTGGGATCGACTGTCAATGGGTCAATAGACTCATTGATTTCAAACACTGGATATTTATGGGTTGTAGTTCCAAAGTGTGAGTGTATTCGGGGTTAGATTCAGGCTCGGGATCCAATTGCCCATCTTGACAGCCAATCTGTGGGTCTGTTGACGAGGAAACTGATTCTGTGGATTCGGAATTGGTGATAGGTCCATTCCCTCTGAGTTAATCAAACCTTGATCAATGTCGATATCTGATGGTTCTTCAAGAAAAGGTTGAGCAAATTGATGTAGTTGGGCAAACCCGCCGAGCTGTCATAGGAAAAGAAATTGGCCTGCAAAATGATTGACAAATTTAACAAGTACATCTTGGTGATTTGACTATCTTCAAACTTAATATTAAGCTAAAGGACTAGAAGATAGGGCAAAAGAAGAATTGTAGTGCTTATCTCTTATGCCAACCCACTGTCTTACTTACACAAATGAAATCTACTCTATACCTCTGGTGTCTTATAATCAAAGTTGCTGTTCTACTTCCAGGCCCTTCGTCAACGTGCATTCATATTTACATGATCTATCGCTCTAAATTGATATTCTTCCCAAATTTGGCGTACAATACCGACTTCAACGCAACCAACTGACTATCTAACTCTTCGATCTTCGTCTCTAGCAGCTCGATCTTTCCGGTTAATACCTCGTTATCGGCATCAACTCTCTCGACTGCCTGAATGATTTTTAGAAACACAAACACATCGCCAATTTTATATTGGATGTTTTCGTCCTCATCCAACAACTCCATCTCCAACGATAAATCATCCAAGTAGTCCTTTTCCGTTTTCAATTTTTCCAACGACTCCTTCAACTCATCCTTCTCGTTGATGAGCGAACTAAAACGGTTGATGTTCTGCTGATCCTCCCATAACACTTGCACGGAGTTGCTCTGTCCCAGAGGAAGAAGTTCCATTGCGTGAAATATTTCCGTTCGCGAAAACAAAATGAACATAATCCCAAAACGGCATCGCAGGAACCATAGGACGAAATGGCCACAAACGCAATTGAGCTTTGCTCGCCCACTGTTGCGTGTCATTGGTAAGGCCATGGCAAAAAGCACGACCCTGAAGGGCCCCAACACCCACGGCCAGAGATCTTGGGTGCGTGCACGACCTGGCGCCAATTTTACTGAATCTGGCTAAATGCGACTAGCCGCATCTGTTTATAAGCTTCCGCATCTCATTATCAGCTTCCTCCTGTAATCCCACAATAATGACCGCAGGAGACCCCAACAACTACGTACTCGAACAGATCAACCATGACGGCGAACTCGTTGACTTCACCCGTCTCCAAAACTCCCAGGCATGGAAAGGTATATTGACATCCGAGGAGTACACGTTCAGAGAGCGTCTTCTTGGGAACTGCGACATGACACAAGACTTGAGAGTTTATGTGTTAAAGGATATCAACAACCCCAGTGAGGCCTTGTGTTCCATTGAATTGCTTATTAGAGACGCGTTGGTGTACGATAAGGTCGATGGGAAGGTTGTGCACCGGAAGGTTAGAAGTGGTTGTATTGGTGGTGTCTTCACTTACAAACAGCATAGAAGACGTGGTTATGCCAGGATTATGGTCAACAAGTTGGTGGACTTATGTCAGGCTGAATTGTTGGAGGATGGGTTTTTGTTTTTGTATTCTGAGGTGGATGAGTTCTATGCTGAGAGTGGGTTTGTGTCGATGGAAGTGCCAGTAGTGGTGATTCCAGTAGACCACGAAACCCCGACCCGCTTTACTGGCCATCAAGGGGTTGAAGTTCCCGAGGGTCTGTTGGTGCCGCTTGGCTTCGCAGAGTTTGAAGACGTGATGAACGTATACAGAAAGCATAGTTTACAAGACATTGAAGCCAGAACTAGAACCGATGGTAAAACCCACTTGACCATTGTACCAGACCATAGAAGTTTCGACTGGTATCACGTGAGAGCCAAGTATGTGCACGGAAAGGTACACGATCTAAAGTTGAAAATTGATCTTGGTAAGATGGACCAGGTGTTTTCGCTTTTCAAGACTGTGGGACCTGAGATCTTTGGGTTCAAGTTGGAAAACAAGGGCGAGTTATTGGGGTTCATAGTTTGGACTTTCGATTGGACGCCAGAGAAGTTTGTGGTGAAGGTTTTGTTGATTCATGTTTGTGATGGCCATCACCAGAGCTTGAGACTCAAGTTGCTTGGGTACTTGAAAGAGTACATCCAGTTTTACGGTGAAGGCTTCACGAAGATGGAGGTTTGGGGCAGCGAGCTCCAACCTACGGGAGTTGATCTCAATAGTGTGGGTACGGTGATTCCCAACGCTTCGAGAAGTGCCATGCAAATGATGGTTGCAAAAGACCAAGATCATTTGAAGAAAGGAGAGGTTGTGTGGGACAATAACAACAAGTTACCGTGGTTTTGATAGAAGATAAGTCATCCATGAGTCCTTCTATATTTATTCTAGATAGCTATTCCCAAAAGTTATTGTGTACCTACAGGCTATAAACTCAAGACATTACTCATCTTTAATATTATGACGTAAACACAGTCACTCATAACTCTCTCAAGTTCCACTTCTCCAACAGGTGCTCGATCTTGCTCTGCAACGAACACCCACCTCCCGTGCTCAATCTCATGATAATGTCTTCCGTGGTCCACTCCTTCTGCTCATAGAACTTGATCTTACTGCTTAACTCGCTGTAATAGCTGATCAATTCTGGCTCTTCAATGGTCTCGAACTTGGGCACCTTTGAGTTCTTCAATATAAACTCAAAGTTCAACTCAAACAACGTGGTCAATATCGATGTCAAGTTAAGCAAGTTCTTAACCCCATCTCCATTCTGCTGAGAAAGCTCATTCAAGTTCACCGGGTCATCTGTCAAACTTTTAAACGACGAACGCAAATGATACCGTATGGGGTTTGTCTCTATATCTTTGCACAACTCAAAGAGCCACTCGAGATCAAACCTTGAGTCATCGGGATATTTGATCAACAGAGCATATTTGTGGTCTTTAAGATGCACAAACGCCATTTTCAACAAGCCGTACCTCGAGGTTCCGCTCGGGTACTTCTTCCAGATTTCTTGCTTCAACTCGGGCAACGGGTCAGGGAAACTTTTAAATGACAAAAATTCGTCGTCCGTCAAGTCCACGTTTGGTACCTGGAGCTTATATAGTATACATTTGATTGACCCCCAGTGCGCAAAAGACTTGAGAGCCACCAAGATATCGGCATCATTAATGGAATCTTCACCAAAGTACTCCTTCATGAATTTGATCAAGTAGAGTCCGTAAATTTTAATACCAAGGTGGTGGTCGGTGTGGAAAAAGTTGATCTTGGAAGCGATAAGGAGATTGAGTCCCATGTCGATGTGTTTGGGGAGAATACGTTGGGCGAAATTGACGGAATCTCGAATGGTGTTTTGGGGAAACTCTACCTGCGGCGTATACAACACCACATTAGACGTATCGAACCACAGGTTCGTTTCGAGCTCACGGGCAACTCCCACGATCGAAAGGCAAAAGTCAGGGTACTCCTCGAGGAGTCTTCCATCGTTTATGGAGTTTAAAATTGTGTAGGCAGAAATTACTGATGCTTTCATCAGAAGATCGTTCAAGTTGACGATGAGGTGCTTGTCTTCTTGTTTGATGCGCTGGAACACATTGTTGACAAATTTGTACTTGCGGCCGTTCTTGTTGTACTCCAACTTATTGAGCGAGTTGATGGAGTTGAGGATGTGGTCGGAGATGGCCATCAAGGCGTCTGACGAGTTCATGGTGGAGGTGTTTGGGTGTTTACAAGTGGTCGCGAAAGAAGGAACAATGTCGCGGATCGAGATGGTAATTCATGTCGCGAGAGTTGTGAACGACCTGGGATCTATGTCGCCGTAATTGTGAGCAAGGGATTCATATCGCGCCATAGCCGCTGTACCATCTTCATTGACGGAAAACGATTTTCCGGTACAACTATCACAAAAGAGCCATACCTCAATGGTTAGTTCCACAAAAGAGCGATACATCCGATAGTCACTACCACAGCGATACATCCGATAGTCACTACCACAAAAATGAGATTACCTCTTCCCGCTACTCATAAAAAGTAAGCACCGCTAAGCTTAAACAAAGTTTGGAATTGCGTCATCTATCATCTGTATCTCTCTCCTAATGAAGGAGATGTCTGGAAATCTCTAGCTTAGCCATGACGTCTACCATATCCACCCATCCACCCATCCTATCATGCACCAGGCCGCTGTACCTCTGTTCCCCAGTATTTGCATTCTTATCGCAGCTTTGCGCAGAATAGGAATAGGATTCCAAGAAATATTGCAACTTCTTAACAAACTTTAACCCTACCAGCGTATTCACCGGTCTATCCGACTGGTTAACGGTTATACGTTATTTCAAATGTCAATACCACTTGCTTGGCACTAAAACCAAGCAATGTGCACCGCAATCGGCTCTGAGGAAACATTTCCGTCCCAGTGCGGCCAAGGAACGCGCGCCCTGCAGGCTTGTGTTTGCCTAGAAATATATGAGGGATTCGAGCACAATTGATTGCTTGTTGGGTGACTCGGCGCTGAGGGGCTGTCACCTAAGTGATACATCGCAGATGCTCGGCGCCTCTATTGACCGCGACACCCCCAGACAACTCCGTCCGTCGTCCGTATGCTTTTCGTATCGTAATATTCATTAACTATATCCTATATTCCCATCCGCTGCTGTTCCTTAAGCACCTTGATCTTTCTTCTTCTGGCATTAATAAACCAATTCGACAACTGTTGTTGATTCAACCCCGTTGTCATCATCAAGTGATTTTTTTCAAATGAATTAGGGTACGGGTGGTTTAAGTGCTCATTTAACCACTTTAATAGTACATAGGTTGTTTCCTTGGGTAAATTATTTCTTGTTTTGCGTTTTTCCACCGTGGCCTTGGGGCTGGTGCTATTAGAGTTGCCGACGGATGACGACCCCTCCGACACGCTTGACGAGGTGCTTCTGGGCTGGTCCACTGCTGACAGTTGGTAGTGGTAATTGGTATCTGGGGCTGTCACAGGTGCCGGGACCGGCGGCGTTGTGTGGTACAGCGATAAAGACCCCGCCTGATACAGCGACAAGGGCCCCGCCTGGTACGGGGGGAAATAGGGTCTATTGAACGATACCAGTGGTAACGACGGTGGTAAAGTGAATGGCGTCGACATACTTGTGTTTAACAAGTCCCTTATGGGAGGTAAGCTGATCTTGTTATCCATTTCAGCAATTAGTTATGGTCTACATGAATTGGTGCTGGCGGAGTATTTATATATTAACGACAAGAAAAAAACTACAAGGCGAACATGTAAATAAAAGAAAAAATCGAGGGTGTCAATTTCTTGTCGGATTTCTCAGGTGCAGCGATACGAAAGGAATAATTTCTTGACACATTGACCCGGGAAACTTTCAATTGGCCACTGAGCCGGCGGTTTCCATGACAGACGAGTGCCGATGGTCCCTAGTACCTCGGAACTCCCGCCCAACTACTTGTAAAGTCTTCACCACCTGCTACTATAATATATGTTATCCCGTGTTTAAATCCAACATGCATATTTGACATGTAGAATGTCAAATGTGGTCCTGCACATATCCCCGCTGTCAAATGCCAAGAATTATTTTATGCATTGAAAGCTGCCATTTGCCAGTGACCTCCCATTGAGATTTTTCTTAGTAGAGGCGCAGAGGCCAAATTGACTATGAAGCAGATGTCCGGTATGTCCGCTGAAGGTGGATATTTTCAATTGACGATGATTCATTGGCGGCGATGGTAGTGGATGCACATACGCAACGGCTGACTCGGTGCCTAAGTCCAGGGTGCCGGCGTGCTCACCCGGGTGTTCGCGAACGTCAGTGTGGCAACTACCCCTAACTGGCTCGCCCACTAGGGCGGAATGGCATTTCCTGCACCGATGCCGAGACAAAATTCGTATTCACTACCGCAAGCGGTCGTTCAAAATGCTCTCAAATTGCATCTTATTGTACTTAATATACTTGGCTTTATTTTTGGTGAAACTGCTATTTCCGTACTTGTCGTAGAGTTTGAAATAAGCATTCATAATAAGTTTCTTAATCTCACCAGCAAGGTAATTTCGGAGGTTAGGGTCCAGAATACTGAACTTTTCGTAGTTGCGGACCGCTTCTTCAAACAGTTCGTTGAAGGTTTCAAACAACTTTTTGATCTGATCTTTTTCTTTACTGGATAACTCACTGCTTTGATTAGTGGCACTCAACGTCGTCAACTGGGTCATGTCCCGAATAATAATGTACGATGCGTAGTTCCAGTCGTCCAAAAACAACTTCAAAAACCGGCTTTTGAGTTTGTTCAACCGTTCCATCCCGATGGCTCCCAAGAGCTCGTACAAATTGCTCAGCCGACTGATAATTCCCTCGATGAGCATCGTGTTTTTAATGAGGTAGAATCCCTGTGTGGACTTTTTAAATTCTTTTAACCGGGTTTCGATATTCACCATAATACAGTCGATCATGTCACTCATGAAGTTGCTGACAAGCTGAGGCTCTTCCATGTCGTTCTTGATGACCGAGGTGTACACTCCAATAAATCGGAGGCCCTTGATATTGAGCCACTCGCCAATGCTGTAGTGGGAAATTAGAAGATGAAGACCCACCAGGTGGTCACTGAGCTTGCGGACCCGGGTGATCAACTCCACCACAAGCTCCGTCAGGTTCAATTCTGTGAGCTTCTCCACCGCGTGGATGCGTGTTTCGGTGAACTTGAAGTACTCTTTGATGAGCTGCGTGAACACATTCAAAAGTTTATCGAAAATCATGTTGACAGCGTACTTCTTAAGCTCATCAAACCTCTCGAACAGCACCTGAAACTCGTGCATCATCTGTGTGAGCTCGAGCACCAAGATGTCGTTGGTCACCAAATTCTCGTTGTTGAAGTATGCTACGTAGTTCTTCTGCATTACCTCATTGAGCGAGTCCATCTGGTGGTCCACGATGAGACCAAAGAGATCCACGCGGTCCAACCGCTCAAGCAACTCATACTCTTTCTCCAACAAATTAAGCAACTCGTAGGTGTACGCATGAATGCCGTTGGTTTTTTTCTCGTATGGTGGGGCCTTGGGTCCGAGGTTCTTGGGCTGGAAGCTGTTGCTGGCTTCCACCTGCTTCATTTTGCTCATGAGCTTGGTGCTCCGTGACGAAATCAATGTTTTGTTGATTTGCTTATTGTCATGGTTGAAGTAATTGCTGATGATAAGAATATCATTGAACTTCCCAGCTTCCACCTGCTTCTTGAAAAACGTCGTCAATTTGAACTCCAGCTTGTCGATAAGGTTCTCAAAGTTGATGAGAATCCCGTGAAACTTTTTGATTTGTGTTTTCATTTCCTTCAAAAGACTCTTCAGCTTGTTCAAGGTATCAATGTACTTTTTCAACCCAATGATCTCGATCGAGTTGTTCAAGATCGTCTCGTAGAGACTCGTTCGCTCGGCGTAGTTGCTCACTTCCTTCAACTTATCGATGCCCTTCTCTATATCTTTGCGTTCGGAGGTGAGCTTGTTGACATCTCTTAACACAGGTTTGATCTTATTGGAAGCATTGGTTGATTTGTTGCTGATACGATTCAATGACTTGGAAATCGAGTTGAACAACTCCTTGCTCTTCACAAGGTTCTGGTTTAGCACGGCCACGTCGGCTTCGTCGATGTCCACCATTATGAGTCACTTAGTATAAATGTCTCACTGTCACAATATAGATATTTATGTGCTCGCGCTCTGAGTCGCGAAAAGCTTCACTTCATCTCAATGCTAAACCCAGTATACGACACTGACCAAGAATTGGCCAACCTCATGGCCAAGTTGCAGCACTCCACCACCCTCAAGAAAGGTGGAGGCAAGCGAAATGTCTACAAAGTCGGTGGTTTGGACGTCTGTTCCTGGAGGTTCAACGAGTTTGAATACGCTCGCAACTTGGTTCCATGTAATGCCAGAGGCCTCTTTACAGTTGGTAATAAAATTGTTGTGAGAGGCTATGATAAGTTTTTCAACGTGGGAGAGGTCCCTCAGACCAAACCACAGACGCTTGCAGCCGATACCACAGGCCCGTACGAATTGACCGTCAAAGAAAATGGCTGTATTGTATTTATTGGGGGATTGGAAGACGGTACCATCGTCGTGTGCTCCAAGCACTCAACCGGTGCACGAGACGATCTCACCCGCAACCACGCGGTAGAAGGTGAGTCCCAGCTAAAGCACCTGTTGGAGGCCATTGGTAAAAGTGTGGAGGAATTAGCCAAAATGTTGTACAAACACAATATAACGTTGGTGGGCGAGTTGTGTGACGACAGCTTCGAAGAACATATCATGAAGTACTCGGGTAACGACGCCGGAATTTATTTGCATGGAATCAACCACAATACCATTGATTTCAAAACCTACCCTATGGATGCGGTGCGAGAGTTTGCCCTAATCTGGGGCTTCAAGTGTGTGGAGTCGTTTCAAAAGACCAGCTACACAGACCTCACTCTGTTCTTAGATAAGTGTCAGGAGACAGGTACCTGGCACAATCGCGAGATTGAAGGGTTCGTGGTGAGGTGTAAGATCTCCGAGGGAGGTGACTTCTTCTTCAAGTACAAGTTTGAACAGCCGTACCTCTTGTACCGAAACTTCAGAGAAGTCACAAAGCTGTACCTAAATGGAAAGCCCTACAACGAGCTTTTAAAGCGCTATGGAAAGGAGAAGTATATCTTGTCCAAGTATATTTCATTCATTACTGAATATTTCGACAAGAACCCAGACAAACGGGACCTTTACCTCCAGAACTACGGAATCATCGAGGTAAGAAACTTGTTTCTTCAAAGTCTCGGGTTGAATGAAATCAGTGGCATGAACCTTTTGGCCATTAACGAGGAACTCTCCAGAACCATGGAATTTTCCCAGGTCATCAACAAGTATGTGTTGATTCCTATTGCTACTGTTGGCTGTGGAAAGACCACCGTGGCCGCAGCTTTAGTCGACCTCTTTGGCTGGGGCCATATTCAAAACGATAATATCGCCAACAAGCTGAAGAATCTGTTGGTGAAGCAGTGTCTCCGTCTGTTGTTTACTGAAGAAGTGGTGGTGTGTGACCGGAATAATCACCAGAAGAGAGAAAGAAAACAGTTGTTTGAACAATTTTACCAGTTCAAAGTCGACGAGCTCCCGGCTAACACCAGTTTGGTATTTGTGGCATTAAATTTTATACCCCGGAACACAAACATGAAAGAACTCCACAAAATAACCTTGGATAGAATTACCCAGCGTGGTGACAGACACCAGTCAATCAAAAGCTCTACCGATCCCAAGTTAGCAGAAAAAGTCCTTGGAGGGTTTATTTCCAGATTCCAGCCAATCGCACCCAACTACGAACCAGATAGCGAATTCGATATGATAATTGACCTCGATTTCAAAGACTCTCCCGCCGACTCCGTCAAGAAGGTCATTTCCTCCTTAACTTCTGAGTTTCCTTTACTCATCCCGTCTCCTACGTCGGATGAGGCCATTGACAGTGCGGTTGCAAAAGCTTTAACCTATGAACCAACCTTCACAAAAACATTTGGTTCCAGTGCCACCTCCAAATCCAAGAAGAAAGTCGACTTCTTCGGCATCAAAGTCGACCATCCGACTATTGTTTCGGTGCTCAACCAACACTGTGGCCAACATCCGGTTTGGACACATCTCCGACACTCAAATCGGGTGCAACCAGAGTTCCATGTAACACTTTCCCACATGAGTGCACTGCAGGCCCACCAGGTCCAATGGGGTCAACTACATGAACTTCTAGTCTCCAAGAAGAAAGATTCCAACCCTTTTCAGATTTCTCTGGTCACAGCTACAGTTATCATAGATGCTATTGTTTTGTGTCCCCAGCTCATATGCCTCCAAGTGCGGGTGTCCGACTTCGCTGACGCCCACGGCAATAAGACACATGTACCCATCACAAACAGTATACTTCATGTAACCGTAGGCACATCGAGTCCCGAGGTTAAGCCGTACCAGTCTAATGTAGTGTTGGACCAAGTAGCGACAACATTTTCAAACTTGTCGCTCAATGATGCGGGGCCGCTGGAACCAGTCCAGTCGGTCACTGTCGCCGATGGTACCACGGTCGAGATCATTTCGCTCCCCGTACCTCGTCCTACACTCTGGCTGCAAAGTCTTTTTGCCCATTTCTTGTAGGTCCTGCATGTATCTTCAATAAACACTCGCACTCTTGAAGTTAGACACTGAAAAATTTTCGACTCGAACCTATTGCATTTGATCTATCAGCATGAGCGACGTGTACGTGGCCCTCTATATCGCCACCACCTGCGACGACAGCAGCACGTACATCTCCCGGGATGCCACCGAGATCATCGAGTTGGCGTGGAGTGTTATCGACGCCGCCTCGCTCGATATCACCCACTCCGGCCGAGTCTTGGTGTGCCCCACCAACACCCCCATCACTCCCTACTGCACACACGTGACACGTTTGACCTACGAAGATGTTAAGTGCGCTGTGCACTTCAAGGACGCGGTGGCCCAGTTCGACAAAGCTCTTCAAACGACGGTGATCAGTGAAGGTAAACAGTTTTCGTTTGTGTCGATGGATATCAGTAAATTACGGGTCCAGCTCCCACGTGAAGCCCGCGATAAGGCGGTGGTGTTGCCTCCCTACCTCCAGCACCCACGGGCATTTGACTTACAAAATGAGTACTGTAAATGGCAGACGTCCCACCCTGAAGCATTGTCATATACCGCGAGCCTGTTGGCGAACATTGTCACGGCGCTCGAGGTGGATCTCGACCGCGAAGACCTTCCTAGTCCCGTGCTGGACTTGACGCCGCCACCGCTGGCGTCGTCTGCCACGCCGCCGCCCGCTGGTACCACTGATTCCCACCCCCCGGCCATCAGCACCATCTACGCCAAGATCCTTGTCCAGCTCGCTAAAAAATCCCTCCCTGTTGAAGCTCACCCTTCCGTGTTGTCAAAGCCGTACGACTCAAGCCAGGATGTCAAATCGTTTTTGAACGAACGGTCTAAAATCTTGTACATAGCCAATTTGCTGTATGACACCACCCAATCAGAGCTTGAGCTGTGGTTCACCCAGTACGGTGCTCGTCCCATAGCATTTTGGACCCTCAAAAACCTCGAGCTGGGGCTGCAGAACGGGTCCAATGCCGGCATCAATGCTGGTAAATCAAAGCTGAAGGGAATTTCTGGATTTGCAGTGTTTGGCACCCACGAAGAGGCTACCGAGACGCTCTCGCTAAACGGGCGCGCGTTGAACGATCGCGCCGTGGAAATCCAGCCGCTGTCGACCCACGTTTTGGACAAGGCCAGCGAGCTTTTGACACCATTTCCTCCCTCCAAAAACCGTCCTCGTCCCGGGGACTGGACCTGCCCTTCATGTGGATTCTCCAATTTCCAGCGACGGACAGCGTGTTTCCGGTGTCTGTTCCCCACGACCAGCGCGGTGACATTTCTGGAACACCTCCATCCTAATGGTCCTCGTCGCCAAACCAGCGCCCCGCCAGAGCGCATCGATAAGCAGAACATGGGCGGAATTTACTACGACTCGTACCACGGACAGGGCCACCACCGCCCCAACAGCGCCGGCGGCCACCACAACCCCGCGAACTCAGTACCGTTTCGCGCTGGAGACTGGAAGTGCACCAACGATCAATGTCAGTACCACAACTTTGCAAAGAACTTGGTATGCTTAAAGTGTGGAATGAACAAGCCTTTAAATATGCATTCGAAGGTGGGCCACATGCACAACATCAACTCTACGGCAGCGGCTATCGCTGCTGCCACTGCCAGCGGCCAGCCGTTGAATTTGAATTCGCAGCCCCAAAAACAAACACAGTATAAAATAGGATCGACGAACTTGAGTAGAACCAGTTCCAATGGAACACATCTGTCGATAGGCCAGACTATGGCATCTCAAACAATGGGCCAGCTGTTGTCGAATCAGCTGGTGCAACAGCCTCACATCCTTTCGCAGCAATATGTTGCTGGCACCAAGTTCTCGTCGCCCGCGCCTGCCACCACCGCCAGCTCGCCCGGTATGTATCAGGCCTACGGCTATTCGCAGTACCAAGCGATGAACGGCCAGGATCCGGCCCTCAACTTCAACTCCATCTCCAACCAATTCAACTCGTTGAACTTAAACAACAACTAGTTGGCATTGGCATTTCATATTTGCATCAAGGTTATAGATAGCGGAGGTACCGCTTGGGTATTGTAGTGTACCGGGTATTGGAATGAATATAATTATGGACCCTCTGTTTTGCAGCCGGGCTGCTCGCCTGCGAACAATTTCTCAAAAGTGCGACACGTAAATGAAAACACCTTTTCTTCCACTCCAAAATCATGCCAGACAAGTATTCGGTGATTCTCCCAACTTACAACGAGAAGAAGAACCTTCCTATCCTCGTGTACTTGCTTTCCAAGTCGTTTGAGGCTGCCAATATCGACTGGGAAGTTATTATTGTGGATGATAACTCACCTGATGGAACTCAACTCATAGCCGCTAAATTGGTGGATCTCTTTGGAAAGAACCATATTCAATTGAGACCTAGACCAGGAAAGTTGGGTTTGGGAACGGCTTATGTTCACGGCTTACAGTTTGTCACCGGTAACTTTGTGATCATCATGGATGCTGACTTCTCTCATCATCCTGAAGCTATTCCTGAGTTCATCCAGAAACAAAAGGAGGACGATTTTGACATTGTCACTGGAACGCGTTACGCCGGTGACGGTGGTGTCTACGGATGGGATTTGAAGAGAAAGTTGGTTTCAAGAGGTGCCAACTTCTTGGCTGATTTCTTCTTGAGACCCAGGATTTCTGATTTGACCGGTTCTTTCAGATTGTACAAGAAAGACGTGTTAGAAAAAGTCATCCAGGAAACCAAATCAAAGGGATATGTGTTCCAAATGGAAATGATTGTCAGAGCCAGGACCTTAGGTTACAACATTGCTGAAGTGCCCATTAGCTTTGTCGACAGATTATACGGGGATAGTAAGTTGGGAGGCTCTGAAATCGTTGGCTACTTAAAGGGTGTGTGGGCTTTATTTACCGATGTTTAATTTAACTCGATATTGTTCAAAGTATCTCTTGTGTTAGTTTATCAGTAGTAGTTTTTCGCGCTTCACGATACCATGTCCAAAGATCTATATCTCAAGAAAATCCTTGGTGAGGAGCGGTTCCTGCTCATTCGGGGCGTATGTATATCCGAGAAGTAGACTCCGGGGTTCCAGTTTCGTATACTCCCCTTTTTTTGCTAGCTTTCATCATTTACTAACGACATTTTAGTCAACTGTCTTGATGGTGGGCGCAGGAGGAATTGGCTGTGAACTCCTCAAAGACCTCATGCTCACCGGCTACGGCGAGATCCACATCGTGGACCTTGATACCATCACTCTCAGCAACCTTAACCGGCAGTTTTTGTTCCGCCAAAAAGATATTGATAAATCCAAAGCTCTCACGGTGGTGAAACTGGTGCTGAAGTTCAACTACTTCGACTCCAAACTAGTGCCTCACCATGGCAATATCATGGATACAAGCATGTTTCCCATGTCGTGGTGGAGTCAGTTTGATTACATTTACAATGCGTTGGACAACCTTGAGGCTCGTCGGTACGTCAACCGCATGGCGCTCTACTTGAAGATTCCTTTAATGGAGAGTGGTACCACTGGTTATGAAGGCCAGGTGCAGCCTATCTACCCGTATAGGAGCGAATGCTTCGAGTGTCAGGCAAAGGTTACACCCACAACGTACCCCGTTTGTACCATCAGGTCGACACCTTCGAAACCCGTCCACAGCATTACTTGGGCTAAAGAGTTTTTATTTCAGCAGTTGTACGACGACTCCACCCTGTCAGCGACCGATGCGGAGGAGCTGCGCAAGCAGCTTGAGAAGGAGACGGACGACTCGGCCGAGATAGAACACATGTTGCGGGAAACCAATGAGCTTAATGACTTGAAGAGCCATATTGCTGGTGGAGCAGATGTGTTTCTTCCTGAGTTGGTAGAAAAGATCTTTGTCCGTGACATCGAGCGTCTTTTAGAAATCGAGTCGTTGTGGAAACACGGCGGACGTCCTGTTCCACTTGACTGGAGCCAATTGAAACCACAGTTGGATTCGTTGCTTCTCACGTCCACAGATCTTGTAGACGAAACAAAAGTACAGACCCCACTTGAAAACTTGTACGTGTTATGGAAATCCGGTGAAAAGCTTGTAAAGCGTGTTGTTTCTGGCGAGCCGGTTGTTTTTGACAAGGATGATGAAGATACTCTTGACTTTGTGGTAGCTGCCTCCAACTTGCGGTCGCACATCTTTGGAATCGAAGTGAAGAGTAAGTTTGATATCAAGCAGATTGCTGGGAACATCATCCCAGCCATTGCAACCACCAATGCCATAATCTCGGGGCTCTCGGTGATGGAGTCGCTCGAGTACTACAAGGCGAAGGATTCTCAAGCTGCATTCAGTAACTCATCAACGGTGTTTGTGAGTATCAAACCCAATAAATACCTCATGGGAGCTGGTCTTGTGGAACAAAATTCCAGCTGTGCCAGCTGTTTTAAGGTGGCTCGTGGGGTGATGGAGTTGCCAGAAACATCGGGTGATTTAAAGCTTGGGGAATTACTAGAAGGTCTCAGACAAACATATGACTACGAAGACGACCATTATGAGATTTCCATTATTCTGGGTGATTCACGGTTGATCTATGACATTGACTTTGAGGACAATATCCCTTGTGGTTTGGATGAGTTGGGGATTGGAATTGGATCCACCTTGTTAATTCAAGTAGATGAGGGTGATCTTCAGGGTCTTGAGCTTTATATTAGCAAGGGAAAAGAGTTCAAGCTACCACAAATACAGTTGAGAGAATTACCCAAGACTATTCTGGAGCCCGAGAAACTGGAAGCTGAAGTGGAGAAGGATGGAGAAGTGGTGTTTGACGATGGGGTTATAGAGATTGAAGAAATTGAAGAAATTGAAGAAATTGAAGACATACGTGAAACTGCCACCAAATTGTCCTCGCAAGAACCCCCCACCAAGAAGCAACGTCTTTAGCCAATTGTATAGTAATACCAATACTTACCTGGCTCGCTAGGCCCGTCAAATGTCGCGGTGCCTTCCCACAGCAATGTCGCACCTTCGCGATCCAACGCGGCAAAGGGAGGCCAAAACATATAAATCGCTGTTTGTTTCCTTCTTTAACCTCTTCGATCATGTCCTGGCAAGCTTATACAGATAACTTAATTGCCACTGGCAAAATTGACAAGGCTGCGTTATATTCGAGAGCCGGTGATTCATTGTGGGCCCAAAGCTCTGGGTTCCAATTGGATCAGAAAGAAATCTTCGAACTCGCTAGAGGATTCGATGATCCTTCCCAATTACAAGCCACTGGTTTACACGTTTTGGGCGTCAAATACTTCTTGTTGAGAGCTGATGAAAGATCCATCTACGGTAGACAAGACACCCAGGGAGTTATTTGTGTTAGAACCAAACAAACCATTTTGCTTGCCCATTATCCTCCCACCACTGTGGCCGGAGACGCCACCGCAGTGGTGGAGAAGTTGGCAGACTACTTGATCAGTGTTGGCTATTAACTAAATAGTTTTAATTTACGTATACTTTTAACGCTTGTGCCAGGCCTGGCGGTGCGGACGAGCAGCCAGTAGGGCACGGGTCGACCGCCGCCATGGGCTCGCATCCGACGGCCAAGTTGGTGACGGGCACTACCGGTTTTGCCACGCCATGTCTCATGATTGGACGAGAGCCAAGCGACTCTTCGCACTTTTCGCTCAGCCAATAATCCACCAGATATTATCAATATACACCTTACTGGGGCAATGTTTTCTAGAAGTATAAGGGACGCTTCAAAGAGACAGGTGAAGCTCTTGCGGAGATATAACCATCACGACCATGGCCACCATGAGCCTGTCAAGGAAACCGAAATCAATTTGGCCAAGGTGTTTGGCATTGCTGTGTTGGGAGGTGTTTCATTGATCTTTTATAAAAACTATAAAGCTGGTAATGACCCCATCGTTCGTACCAAGTTGTACAACGAGGTGGAAGAAAGACCCAACTTGAGAAACGAAAACTACTTGAAGAGATACCAGACGTCTTTCATCAAAGGATATATTAGAGATAAAGGTGGTGTTGGACAGAAACAATACAACAGAATGGCAGAGGGAGCTTTACCAGTGAATTTGATACCTACCCATTCAACAGACGGTAACCAGTTTGGTTCTGGTATCAAGTTGGGAGAGTTGGGTCCAAGAAGGGAGAATATCCAATATTTCAGTCCGTTGAAGTAAACACCCGTATGTGAATTACATTTACGTTGCATATTTATTTAATCATGATATCTGTTATGGTAGAGAATAAACATTAGAACAAACTGGGAAGTGGCACAAGTGAGTGATGTAGTGATATACTTTGCTTGAACCTGGAGAGTGTGATCCATGTATGTATTGCTGTACTTTGTTTAAGTTTCACCGGATATTAGAACCGCAAGGAAAGGCGCTGCCTTTGGGGTAGGCTGGAAGAACGTCATTTCCGAAGTGTAACTCGCAATGGCTCATACTTCTATTAGCATTATTATTTCTCTTGATATCTGTAAATTTCGCAGCCACAACATAAATATGCCTTTATTGCCTAGGTCCAGAAAAGGTATACGTCCTCATAGCACTTCATCTTCTTTCGCTATCCCTATCATTTGCACCACAAACAGAGTTTATACCTCCTCAAAACCATGCAAATCTCCTCTTCCGTATATCTAGGTCCCAGATCGGGGAACCGATAGTCGCACTGAAAATTAATGAACAGACTAGTTATAAAACGCTTCTTAAGAATGTCTAGCCCAATTGAATGGAACGTCATTGTCTTCGACAAACCAAACACTGACAGAACCTCTGTCAGAAAATCTCACTTAGAAAAGATCCCTGGCGATGTCAACTCCGGAGTAGTTACCTCTGTTGGTGCTATCTACCAGGATGCTGAAAAGACCAAATTTGCTGGCAGTTGTTTAAATATGTTTGCCAAGTCTAGAGAAGATATCTTAGAGTTCTTAAAGGGAGACCCTTATTACAAAGCGGGTATTTGGGACCTCGACTCGGTTATTGCAAATCCTTGTGGAATCGCCGTTAGATTGCCTAAAATTGTTCCTGGGGTTAGTGTGAATGATGATTTGTTTAAGTTGTAGTTGTGTGTAGTAATAGACAGCAGGAGAGAACAAAACGAAAGTAGACAAGGTGCTGAAATATGAAGCAGTGGTGAACGAAGACAAATGGTAGGGCATCCCATCTCTATCTACCTCAACTAACTATTACAATATCATTCATAAAGTATATATTCGTCACTACTATGTACAAAAGTCTAGCCTGCTAGCCCATTAATGTTATACATGAACTCCACCAGTACCACCCCCAATCAATGCTTATCTACGGGATACTTTTTTAGTTTGGTATTGAAGTATCTTGAAGTAATGGAATGGGTGTTTTGATAACTCAAATCCACCTCCCGGTTTTTCTGGTAGATTTGGCTCACAGCAGCATGAGTGGTGTACTTAGATACAAGGATATCGGTTGAGACCACAAAAATGGGCGCCAATACAAGCAATAAGCTGTTGGTCAGGAATCTATTCATCATTGAAAATTTTGCGATGATATCTTATCGTGAAAGAAACACAAAAAGTACTCCGTTACGGTTGTATAACTATGATGATAATATAGGGGTATCAAAATGTCAACAGAGTTATAAGTCACCGTTACAACTTTATCCACAAACAGGGGATCGAGGTTTTGTTTCTTAAAAACCTAGTAAAAGCAAGTTATTTAAGTTGTTTTTTCTCTCCTTGCTCTCTGATTTTTAGTGAAAATGCGATTCGCTTGTCCGAGATACTGACCGCTTGAAAACTATAATGAGATATATGTTACAGTCATCCAAGTTCTGTAAATGATTCTACAACATTGGTTTTAGACTAAGCAATATATTGCGACAACACTCTCGACTCTTGATTCAAAATTCCTAATTATATAAATCATCATCATCATCATTGGCACCAAAAGCAGCACCGGTGCTGGCTTCTCCAGTGGCTCCAGTAGCACCGACTTCAGATTCACCATTTTCATCAGAGAATCTGAAGTTAGTGTATTGGCCTCTAGAAGCTAATATTTGCAGGGCGTAAGATTCGTATCTTCTCAACTCGGCATCAGAAACCGATCTCTTAGCGGTCTTCATGGCTTCTTCGAAATGGGCCTTGGTTATGAAAGGAACAGGGTCTTCTTCGGGCTCTTCAGGTTCTTCTTCTTTCATGTTAACATCTTCAGTACCTTCTTCACCAGCTTCAGCTTTCTTTTCATCCTTCAACTTCTTAGACTTGATTTGAGCCTCAATAGAATCTTTAATAGCAAATTTGGCTGATCTTTGAACAATGTACGACAAATCAGCACCTGAGAATCCGTTGGTAATTCTGGCAATTTCATTCAAGTTCAAACCTGGCTCTAATGGAGTATTACGCAATTGTGCTTCCAAAATAGACAATCTAGCTGGTTCGTCTGGCAATGGAACATAGATCAATTGATCCAATCTACCTGGTCTCAATAAAGCTGGGTCGATTTGATCGGGCCTGTTGGTGGCACCAATGACAAATACATTCTTTTTAGCATTCATACCATCCATTTCAGTCAACAATTGATTAACCACACGGTCGGAAGCTCCACCAGCATCACCATTAGAGCCCCCTCTAGATTTGGCGATGGAATCTAATTCATCTAAAAACACAACCGTAGGGGCAGCGGCTCTAGCCTTATCGAAAATGTCACGAATATTGGATTCAGATTCACCATACCACATACTCAATAATTCAGGACCCTTAACGGAAATAAAGTTGGCAGATACTTCAGTAGCAACCGCCTTGGCCAACAAGGTCTTACCAGTACCTGGAGGACCAAAAAACAAAACACCTTTGGATGGGGCCAAACCGAACTTTTGATATTGATCTGGATGCAAAACTGGGTACTCCACAGTTTCCTTCAACTCGTTCTTGATATCGTCTAAACCACCAATGTCATCCCAAGTAACATTGACATTTTCAACAACGGTTTCACGCAAGGCCGAAGGATTGGAGTTACCCAAGGCAAATCTAAAGTTTTCCATGGTAACTCCCAAAGAGTCTAAAACTTCAGCATCAATAGTGTCTTCATCCAAGTCGATCAAGTCCATCTTTTCACGAATTTGTTGCATGGCAGCCTCAGAACATAAGGAGGCAACATCAGCACCAACAAAACCATGGGTTTCAGAAGCAATGGCCTCTAAATCAACATCATCTGCCAATTTCATGTTCTTGGTATGGATCTTCAAGATTTCTAATCTACCGGCGGCATCAGGAACTCCAATATCAACTTCTCTATCAAATCTACCAAATCTTCTCAAAGCTGGATCAATAGAGTTTGGTCTGTTGGTAGCAGCAATCACCACAACGTTGGATCTGGCCTTCATACCATCCATCAATGTTAACAATTGAGACACCACTCTTCTTTCAACTTCCCCGTTAGTTTTGTCTCTCTTTGGAGCAATCGAATCGATTTCGTCAATGAAAATAATCGAAGGCGAATTCTTTTCTGCTTCTTCAAAAGCCTTTCTCAAATTCGATTCGGATTCACCCGCCATCTTGGACATGATTTCGGGACCATTGATCAAAAAGAAAAAGGCACCGGTTTCATTGGCCACAGCTCTGGCCATGATGGTTTTACCCGTACCGGGGGGTCCATACATCAAAATCCCCTTTGGTGGCTTAATACCAATGGACTTGAATAATTGAGGATGTCTCAATGGTAATTCAACCAACTCTCTGATTTGAGCCATTTGCTTCTTGCATCCACCGATATCATCGTATCCCACTTCATTCAAACTATTTTCTTCATCTTCTCTGTTGATTGGCTCACCTTCACAATGAATGACGGTATCTTGAGCCACGATGGCAAAGTCTTCGGGGTCTACTTCCACCACCTTGAACTCCACTTGTCTCATACCACCTCTGACGGTGAACAAATCACCCTTTCTGACGGGTCTGTAAGCCTCAACAAAGTATGGCTTCAAGTACACATCAAACAAAGAACCAGTAAGACCTTCAACGGTGTCAGCAATTGGCAACACGGAGATCCGGTTGGCATATTTGATATCAGGACATGGATGAACGGTGATAATGTCACCCAATCTGACTCTCAAGTTGTTACGAACACATCTGTTGACTCTGGCAACACCATCATCCATATCATCGTCGGCTAAAACAATTAAGACGGTGTCCTTTCTCTTCTTACCCTTGACAAGAACAGTGTCACCTCTGAACAATTGTAACAATTCCATGGTGTTGGAGGACATGGTGATAACAGAGTTATCATCGTTGACGGCGTCATCCACAATCAAAGCATTGTCCTTCTTTTTTCTACGTAAAATGGCGGTGGCGGTGGCATCCTCTTTGGATTGAGATCCGGAGGCGTCCAATAACGGTTTGTGTTCGTCAGCAGCCATGATATTCTTGAATTACCCAGGTATTAGTTATTTCAGGAAAAGGATGAATTTATATTTTCCCATCTAATCGCCACCGAGTGCGACACGCAACCCTGCCGGAATTTTGTGTCAGGTCGCATTCTGGTCGCATTGTTCTGGTGGTTTCTATCAGCAACTACAACTGCAATGTCTAGTGCTTCGTGTATTTTCTGTAAGATTATCAAGGGAGAAATCCCTTCATTGAGATTGATCGAAACAAAGTATACATATTCCTTTTTGGATATCCAGCCTACTGCTGATTATCATTGTTTGGTAATTCCCAAGTTTCATGGGGCCAAATTACACAATGTGCCAGACGAATACTTGGCTGACATTTTACCGGTGGTCAAGAAGTTAACCACAGTGTTGGGCTTGGATACCAATAACACTCCCGATGGTGAAGGATACAACATTTTGCAAAATAACGGGAGAATTGCTCATCAGGTGGTGGATCACGTCCACTTCCACTTGATTCCCAAGACCTCTGATTCGACAGGTTTGGGAGTCGGATGGCCTGCTCAGGAAACAGACTTTGACAAATTGAACAAGTTGCATGCCGAATTGAAGGAGAAATTGGCAAAGTACGACAAGTTGTGAAGAATGATGGTTTGCAGCTGACCACAATATTTAGTACCCATCAACATGAATACATAAACTCTGAAATCATAAGATTCCTCCAGCAAATCCACCTACCCAGCCCACGAGATAACTTGTGAAAAATGTTAACGTCAGTGCACCAAAAGGGAAGTAGCTGATGCTGTAGTACAAAATAGCAAATAGTTCAATAATAGCAGTGATAATCGCCAATATTGTACTCTTCAAGATCACCGATGAATACAAGGTGGCTAACACAGAGCCAAAAAACACGCTGGTGAACACGATACGCCCCGGTGACAACAAGTGTAACGTGTACTTTTTAGGCCCCTGAAGGATTCCAAATGATAACACAAACAAAACCGATCCTAGTGACCATAATACTCCGAATTTTCTGGGCTTCAACGCCAAAACTGGAAACATAAAGAAGCTTATGGCAAAACAAAGGAATGAACCAGCAAGGCACATGACGAAACCGATGATTTTTTCCACGTTGGATAGTTTGAACCATGAAGGCTCCTGAACTTGATTCTCATTGCGATAGGATGGCAATGAAGAGTACAAGTCATTAGCACCATTTTTGATGTAATCGGTCCATTCCGAAAACTGGGGTACTGCAGTACGTGACGTAGCAGTTGTGGAACCCGAGCCACCACGACTGTTCCAACTGTTGAGCTGTTGTCTGAATGCACTTTCAGGTTCAGCCATTATTAAAATCAAGTTTTACAAAAAAGTGTGCGCGTTTTGGCTGCCTGCCTAATAACAGTGACGCAGCCAATGTGCATTTACATCTTCTATACACCAGGTCTATATTGTACACTTTGTTTGGATTCTATAAGCTTAGCGAAACCCGCCAGTGCCATTGTCATTGCCAGTGATGATTTCCAGAAAAAACTCATCGGGGTCAAAGTTATCTTCTTCCTTAATGTACTGCGACTGCGAATGGTTCTGGAAATCGTCCATGAAATGAGGCTTCAGTGGCTGCAAATTCTGCTGTTGACTGGAAATATCACCCGGCTGTAAGCTGGCGAGTTTGGCTTCCAAGTTTTCCCGGGTCTTTTCCTGTTGTTCAAGCACATACTTCAAGTGAATAATGTAATCCACAGACTTGATCAAGATGGTACTCTTATTGGCCTTAGACTCCTTGACCTTGACGGAGCTGAGAAGGTCATTGATTTCGCCCGAGTTGAGCTTGGAGTTCTTGAGGGTTTGTACGGCCACTAGCTGGGGGTTGAGTAATGAAGGCGGCACCAACACCCCGAGTTCCTTTATTCTCTCTTTGATCAAGTCCCGTCTTCTTCTTTCCACAGCGTTGTGGAACTCTCTTCTTCTCCTGAGCTTTTCTTCTTTGCTGAGCTGCTTCGAAGGTACACCACCTTTGCTATTAGTGCTGCTGTTGCTGTCAGGGCCGCCCGCGGCTTCGTTTAAGTTGGGCATTGTGGGTGCCAGGGTCCCCAACATGGACTTATTGGCTGGCGGTGACAAAAAGTGGCTGATAGTGTTGGGTATACTGGAGCTGGTCATATTGTACTGATGCGGAGGTGAGTTCAAATAGCTACCAAAATTTGGAGACTTTAAAGTGTCGTAACTGTTCTGAAAATTGGTCCCACTAGGAGACATAAATGAGTCCTGCTGGGGAGACAAGTATGAGCCAGAGTTCAAGTCGAAGTTATTGTTGATCGAGGTGTTATCGTATTGAGTTTGAGGGCTGAGGATATTGTTATTATTGGACAAAGACCCCATAGGTGAAAAGTACTGGGGGTCCAAAAACGCCCCTTGTCCCATTGAGTCAGTTCCAGCGTTGTTGTTTGGGGATATGAGCTCATCCAAATTGACTGTTTGTTTGGGGGGTTGAGAATTACCAAACCCCCCTTGACCTTGGAAGGCGTCCAAATCGTCCATAAACGGCTCGTTGGTGAATGATGATGGACCCAAGTTACTGCCTGGACTCAAGAACTCGGCGCCAGGAATCGAGGGATATTGGTTTTGAGGAGGTTCTTCATACTCGCCTCCGTATGGCTGTTCAATATTTAAACTGAAATCATTGGCAGCACCGATGCCGTTACCATTGGTGGTGGGGGTATTGAAGTTGTCGTCGCCAGATTGGGAGCCCAAGTTGAAGTTGGAGTCAAAATTGTCGATGTAATTATTGTTGGTTTCGTTGGTGTTGGTATTGGAGTAGTCCGAGGGACTATCTTTTAGATATTGTTCCATAGTTGCAGTGAATTGACGGAGAGAAACAGGCCGATATGTGTTTCTGCTATCTATTGAACGAGGGAGCCGTGGGCAAGGATAGAATTGAGTAATTCAAGTTCTTTGGTCGATGCTATAAGCACAATAGAGTTTTGAGGTTCCTTTGAAAACCAGCAAACTTACCCTTTTTTTATCCGCGCGAACATTACCCGGAGGGAATATCACGTGATCTACCCCCCCAATTGTCCATTGGAGATTAGCCATATTAAGTTATGGTAAATTACTAAAGATGGATCTTAACGTGGTCTACTAGTTATCTATCGATATTATCATTCAATAATTACTTAAAACCTAAACCAATTGGAATTTTTTATCCAAGTACTGAGAAAAGTCAATGTAGTCTTCGGTCAAATTGCTATCTCCCAAGCCCCTGGTTTCTGATGATAGGGCACTTTGAATGGATCCCCTGAGTTCGGAAAAGTTGTTTAAAAGGTGGTTTTCCTCGGGAGTAAGATGCTTGGGCTCATCGGTCTGAATGCCTATACTGCACTTTTTTGCAGCCATTTGGGGAATCGCATCAAACTTGTGCCTAGTGGGCGTAGCAGGGCTGCGGAGGTGGGCCCGGTATAGGTGAGGATGTACATGGCTACTCTGGGTGCCTGTCGATGTGGTTGATGGAAGGAAAACCGAGTTGGAGGTGGCTGGTGCACGGTTCATCTCCAAGTGAGGGTACCGAAGCATATTTGTAGAGACTTTGGCAGGACTAGGGAATGAGGTCTTTTTGGGACTAGAGGTTGAAAGGGTTCGCTTGAAAAGTCCAGGAACAATGGACCCTTTGCGGACCGGGTCCTGGTCTGGTGGCGGTGGCGGTGCTCGTTTGACCTTGGTGTTGAAGATATTGTACCACTTCTTTCGAATATCCTCGTCCATCTCGTAGTCGGTCGACTCAGTGTCAGAGTCCTCTTCCACTATGGCATCACTGAGGTTCGAGGGCTGGTCGGGCATCTTGAACCACACGGGTCCAGAGGCAGAAAAACGGTGTACTCGTTTTGAGGGACTTTCTGGCAGCTCCGTGAAGATGTCTCGCATGGGCGTGGCGGGCGTGTCACACATCGATGTGTTGTTTTCCTTGGTGCTGTAGTCGGTGAATACCGAGTTGGGAGAGCTGGAGGGTCTAGTGTGGGAACTTGGGTGGTGAAGGTGGTGGTGGCCTTTCGCCGTGTCGAGCGGTGCGAGCGGTGGAGTGGAGTGGCTGGAGTGGGCGAGCGGTGGAGTGGAGAGGCCGGAAGGAAGTGTGAATGGTGGGCTTGTGTGGCCAATGAAGGGAATGAATGGTGGTGCTGATGACTCTGTAATGTCATCAGAGACATCGACATTTGGTTCTGGGAGTTTCTCCGGGGAAGGCTGAAATGCTGGGGGTGGTGAAGGTGGGAGTGGCACGGCAGGGGGAGGCTGGTGCTGGGGGAGAGGAGGAAGAGGGAGTGTGACGGGTGTTAGTGGTACATTTTGCAGCATGGGGGTGATTTGCTTGGGTGGTGCATCGTCTCTGGCTTGACTCTTTGCTGAGTGCACTTGCACAAGGCGTGGGGACACTGAACGAGAAATATGGGACTCAGTGGAAGGTAATGGCACCACTGGTGGCTCAGAGACATTTGGCTGCAACAGCTCTGGTGGTTCTGGGAGATGAAACTGGGAAAGAGCTTCCTTTGATACCTCTGGAACCGGGGTATTTGTGCCCAGAGCTGCACTCGTGTTTGCGTTCAGAGGTGCAATTGTAGGTGTGTGGGTCACTTCCGTGGGTGTTTCTGTTGTTTTGTTTGCAACCATATTTGCGTGAGTCTCTGGCTCCAAAACGTTGCTCTGTGTAGACACAAGCAGACTGTCGGTTTCAGAAACCGCTTCTGCAAAATCGGCTGGCTTGACCTTTTGTGGCACCTCTGGTTTTCGGTTTTGTGGTTTCGCTGTCTCCACTGGCCTCCTTAACTTAGGAAACAACGGGATCGGTGGGGTGGTAGTTGGCTCATACACAATGGGGCTGTCGATTTGCACCATCTCCAAAGGCACTCGAGGTAACGGCTTGGCGGCTGAGGCCATGAACTCGTTTCTCATGAGGTTGTTGTCTTCTGAACTTTCACAACTGGTGTTTTCATTGGGGTTATTTAAGGTTGGCCTCGCGGTGTTGATCGTCTGCGTATCGAGTGGGAATTTGTGCTCCCAAACGGGTTTGGCATGGCAATTTTGTGCGCCAATCGTCGCTGCGTTAGGCGTGTTTGTAGCCGAATTCGTGGACGGCGTTGTTTCATGTGTGCGCGGTGCCTGAAACATCTCGGTTTCAGTTTCTGACGGTTGGGACTCCTCGTGTTGGAGGGACACTAATTCCTCAGTCAGACGCATCATCCTCCCCACCGCGTCGTACTGCTGGTGGAGAAGGCGGAGGTCGCACCGGGCGATGGCCGCGCCTACCGCCGGGCGCGGATTGAAGATGGCGCGCTTGCCGAGCGATCTTTTGGGCTGGGGTGATTTTGCAGCCACTGGGGGCAGGTCTTCGAATTGAGAGATCAAGGACCGTACTGACATATTTGGGGAGTTTTTGGGGGGGACAGGCCCATATAAATTGAAATAAGATACACAAGAGACCGAGGTGCTGCGTGTGGCATGGGGGGACATAAGGCGGCATGAGGATGCACCAATTAAGGTTTGGATTTGAGAACGCATATCATGCTATTTGTGGTTTAAATTTTTAGAGCCATTTGTGTTTGTGTATGTGTATTCTACACCACTATTTGTTGTGGCTACGAGTCTGACTATGTTGTTATATGTATGCTCTACTTGGCCTTCCGCTTGTTCACAATCTTCTTTTTGATATGCTTCTTCATCTTTGTTTTTCTCTTCTCCTGCTTGGCCAACTTCGCAGCCTCTTTCCTCTGCTTCTTATCGTCTTTGTCTTCGTATTTCTTTCCCTTTGCTGGCTTTTTACGCCCGTCATCACTAAAATCACTGTCATCTTCGTCGCTGCCTTCACTGTCATTATCACTGTCGTCACTGTCGTCACTATCGCTGTCCTCGCTGTCTTCGCCGTGAACCTCCAGATCGGGCTTCTTCCCCACTAATTCCGTGAGGGTGTCGATCTGCCCCGTTGAGAAGTTATTGAAATCCCTGTCGTCCAAGTTATTCAAAGTCCGAACCAAGTATACCAGGCGGAAAATCTCATCTTCAAGCTCATCGTCCTGGGAATTTTTCAACGGCACGGATTCCAAATACCGGCCAAGCTCTTCGTCCGAGTAGTCGATCACTCCCAACTTCTCATTATCTTCAATAATGTACTTGAATATCAATCTTTCGGGGTAGACGTTGATCTTTTTGCGGCTGAAAAAATCGTTGACGTTCTTGATGTCCATGCGTAGGAAATCAAGCGACATCGGATGCTCATGCTCCACCGACTGCGACACGTCGAAGATGTATAACTTGTCCTGGTGCACAATCGAATTGTACTCACTCAAATCGGCGTGCACAAGCCGGCACACCTTATAAAGTCTTCTCATGTAGAACAACATCTGGTGGTAATAGTGCACAATTTCGTCCACATCTTTAAAGTCGTGGTCCTTGAGTTTCGGTGACGGCTCTCCATTCCCGCGGGTCAAGTACTCCATCACAAGCACGTGTGATCGTATGTCCACTGGCTCAGGGCATGGGATTCCCGAAGAGTAAATTCTTCTCAAGTTTCTGAACTCCTTTTCAGCCCAAAGTTTCACCATTTTCCGGGGATTTGACTGGCCCTTACTGTTTCTGAACCGATACTCCCCATCCACATATCTTTCTCGATCTTTGAACACCAAAATCGACGTCTTATAGATCTTTACCGCAAACTCCTTGGTGGCATCTCCATGCTCATCCTCACAATCGGCATGGTATACATTGGCTTCTTTACCGGTACTGATACACCCGTTGATTTGGGAGATCACACCCTTATTGATGAGTTTGGCGAGAAACCGCATTGTTCGTGGGTCGAGCACCTGTTCGACGGTGGCCCTATTAGCTCTGTCTTTGGTGATTTTAGGGCCCTTCTTGATGAAACCTACGTTAATTTTGTCGGCGTACCGAGCGACAATATCACCGTTGTCGGTCAACGTCTTGGGCATGGCGCCAGTCGGCGTGGACTCTTGGTCACTATCACTGTCAGAGTATACGGCCAAGCGGGTGGTACTGTCCTCGAGGTTCTGCATCAGTTGTACTTCAAAACTCATCGCGAAATCATTCGCACTTTTTTTCCAAAATCAACCATGAAGCTCCCACTGGGCATATCAATGGTACTACCACGGGTAAGTCATCGGTCCGCTACAATCCACAATCCGCCCACGTACTAACGAGATTTAGAAATTCGCTGGGTTTATTCCCCTTTTCATCGGCGTTGAGCTTGTGCTTGCAGTGGCCATTCTCAACAAAGCCGGCGGCGCATATGGAATATTATCACTTCTCACAGGCCACCCCATTGACTTCTGGCAATGGCTCTGGAACATGCTGTGCATCGTGCTGTTGCCGGTGTACATCTCGGCCCTCAGCAACCTCATGACACGGTTCAAGAACGTTCGGAAAATGTCTCTCGTGTGCCTTGTGTATACTTTCGACACAGTGTTTGGATTGGTTTACACGCTCTACTTTCTGTGGTTCTGGTTCCACCACGAAGCGGGCCTGTCGGACCAGCTGTCGGGCTCGCACCGGCGTGGCATGGCAGTGCCTCCAGGAGATTACAAGGACGAGGTGCTGTCGTCGCTGACGCAGTCACAGTCGGCGTCTCCGGCGCACGAACTCTTCCTCACTGTTAGCGCCACGGTGGTGGTAACAGTGGTACGCGCCTACTTTAATCTCGTGGTGGTGTCGTTCACGAGGCAGCTCCTCAAGCAGTACGGTCACGACGAGGTGGTGGCCGACGACGAACAGACCCTTTTCCAGAACAAGGGCGTGGTGGCGCGTGTGCGGCGGACCGTGTTCGAAATCGAGGTCCGTTCTCGTGACATCCTTCTTGACTTGTTCAGTTAAACGGTTCTCACGTGACCAAGTGTTTGCATTTATCCACATTTATCACCGCGCGTAGTCAATACAAATATTCGCAAATCATTATCTGAATCATGGGGCAGATCAGTTCCACTGAAGCAGACGGCCACCGCGGTGGCCACGGCACCGGGACCGCTGTCAGCCTCCCGGAAGGTGCTGTGGTTGAGAATCTCGCTAAGGCAGACGTTATCCACCAATTTCACGGTGCGTGTAAAGCTGTTTTGCGGCCGCTCGAAGCAGCAGCAATAGCCACAAAAGTCAACTCGACCACTTTGGACGAGAAAACCGGCCTCACCCCGTCAGATCTCGCGTTCCTCCTCCAGCTTGCCGACACGGCGGACGACGTAGGTCTGTCGGATTCGGGGTTGGTACGTAGCATTAGAATCATCTATGATTCGTGTAAGGTGATGGAGAGTTTCCCGTTTATCAGTGAAACCGCCTTTGATTCAGCCCATCTGTTGACGCTTGATGGGATCATCGCCGCTGCCGCATTCCATTCCGGGCGGTACAGGGCGATTGTACGGTGGGAGTATCATCATTGCAAATTGTTGTATGTTTCGTTGTGCGGTGCCCGTTTGCTTGAGTATGTGACTGATAAACGAATGTCCAGCAGTGAACAATTCCCACAGGGAGACCGTGGGAACGAGAAGGCGGTGGTGGTTGGTGGTGGTGCTGTGCGTGTGGCAGTGACCAGTGAGCCTGAATCAGACCCGCTCTACAAACGGATTATATGGAATCGACTTGAAAGTATCACCAACTTGGACGGTGTCGATGTGGAGGATGTGCCGCTATGTGCCCGTGATCTCCATCAGCTTGTGACGCTTCTTCTCGTGCTGGCATCAGTTACAAAAGCTCAGCGACTCAAAATGCATACGGTGTTGCGGACACTTTTGGCAACCGAGTGGGCTAGTTTTGAGTCTGCTGCCTTGTGCCTTCTCAAGTACTTGAATCTTGGACTTGAAACCGCTAACTTACAAAGGACGTTCTTTTCTTACGAAGACGTATTTGAGAACGAGTTCACGGTGGTGGCACAGTTGCTTAAAGAGGGACTTGGAGGCCTCTTTAAAAACGGGCTTTTGTCGGCATTGTATGAGCAGAGCCAGGCCCTGCAGTTGCCACAGACACTAGAGACTCGCAAGAACCGGTTTGTGGATTCAAAACTCCTTACCAGCTCGTCTATGGCTGTCGTTACAACTGTTCTCAAAAGCTTGCGCTCGGAGGTCCAGATCACTAAACACAATTTAATCAAGTTGTACATTGGCCGAGAAGCTGGCTTTTCCATCCGGTCTCTTGAGCTGAAGATCTTCAAATGGCAAGCACCAACTTTGTTGATGGTATCGGGAAAGCGATTAAAGCTGAAGACAGCTTCCACCAACAAACGGTACGTCCAGTTTGACTCGGAGTACCCTCGTTTTTTTCGATCACTGGAGAGCCATTTAAAGTCCTGGCAATCCAACAATGACCGGGTGACGTATGCAGTGTTGGTAACACCTCCATGGAGAACATCCAACAAGAAGAACTTTGGTGATGGTAACTGCGTGATTCTCAGCTTATCCCCACACTTGGACTTTTTCACCAGCAGTAATAGAGGTGAACTGATCTACTTCAATACACTTGGGCTGGGGTTGGGGTTTGGTAATGACCAGCCTATCAACAAGAATGGTGTCAAGAAGTACTTACCAGGGGATGTGTCGTTGACGATCGAGCCCAACTTGGAGTTTGCCGTGTTCAGGCATGTGCTGTCAGCACGCGGCAGTCTTTACTTCAACCGCTCGAAGCAGCCATCGCTTCAAAGCTCAGACTTTGAAGACCGCTTCATGATTACAGACCTCGAGGTTTGGGGGATCGGCTCGACTAAGGAGTTAGAGCAACAACAGAAACAGTGGGAATGGGAAAAGAAACAGGCGGAGGCTCGCCAGGGAGTAAACTTGGACAGATTAAAAGAGGATAGAGCGTTCATGGAGATGGTTGGGCTAGTAGGAAATTATGGAGCCGGCGGATCGGTATAGATTAATATGGTTTAAGGGAGTTATGGCCCAGTTTTGGTTTGGAATTGCATTTATATATTTATTGTTTTAGTTCATAGTCAACATAGCATGGTTTTTTGCACCCACTTTTTCGCATCGCGACCTCATCTCAAATTTTTCAACTTCAGCACTCAGTCATGGCCAAAGATAAGGGAAAAAGCGGTCACAACAAGCCCATTACCACTGATGGAAGGTTTTCATCAGTGCATTCCGACCCACGGTTTAAGCTCCCGCAGTTAAAGCTGGCAAAAGTGAAGGTGGACGAAAGATTCAGCAGAAAAGAGATTGATAGCTTAAACGCTAGATCATCAGGAAAGAAGGCCAAAGTCGATCGTTACGGCAGAAAAATTGCGGAAGAAGAGCTGAAGTTCGACAAGTACTTCAGAGAGAGCTCTTCGGAAGAGGAAAACAGTGAGAACAGTGATCAAAGTGATGAGGACTCTGATAGTGAAGATGACAAGAGCGATGAAGATTCCGATGATGAATCTAATGAATCTGACGACACTGCTGTGGCTTCCTTCGACAGGGCCAGAGGAGAAGGCTTGCAGTCATCTTCGGAGTCGGACTCCAGCTCATCGGAAGACTCTGAAAGTGAAGATGAAGTAGAAGCAGAATCTGATATCGAACTTGAACAAGGAAAACCGGAAGAGGGGGAGCCTTCCAATACCTTTGCGGTGGTTAATATGGACTGGGACAATGTCCAAGCGGTTGATTTGATGGCGACATTTGTGTCTTTTGTTCCCAAGACCGGATTCATTGAATCAATCACTGTGTATCCATCTGAGTTCGGGAAAGAGCAGATGCAAAAGGAACAAATCGAGGGCCCTCCCAAGGACTTGTTTAAGAAGAAAAAAGCCAAAAAGGACGATTCGGACTCTGACGAGGAAATTGACACCAAAACTGCTGCTGGTTTAGAACGGGCTGCCCAAAAATTATATGAGGAAGATGATGGAGAAGACTACGATAGTAAGGCGTTGCGTCGGTACCAGTTGCAGCGGTTGCGGTACTACTACGCGGTGGTAAAGTGTGATAGTGTCATCACTGCCAAAAATATCTACGATAACTGTGACGGTACTGAGTACGAATCCACCTCCAATATCTTTGATTTACGTTACGTTCCAAACGGAATGGAGTTCGAGTCATCTGAAGCCCGGGACGTGTGCACCAAGGTCCCCACCAATTATAAACCCTCTACGTTTGTGACAGATGCCTTGCAACACTCCAAAGTGAAATTGACGTGGGACGAAACTCCTAAAGAACGTCTTGCTGTGTCGGGACGGCTGTTCTCTCAGCGTGAGATCGAAGAAATGGACTTCAAGGCTTACTTGGCCTCCGACAGTGAAGATGAGGAAGATCAGGTGTCTACCAAAGACAAGTATAAGATGTTATTGGCAGGTAAGGGCTTTGGAACTGAGCGGAAAGATAGTGACGACGATGTGGACATGGAGATTTCATTCAACCCAGGCTTGGACGAAGAGAAGGCCAAGGCCAAGAATGCAGAGGAAATGGACACGTTGACGGCGTACAAACTCAAACAGAAAGAACGTCGGAAGGCTAGAATGGAGCGGTTTAAAGAGAAGCTGAAGGACGAGGTGGAAGAACCAGAGACCCAGACCAGCAGGAAGAATAAGAAAAACGATAAGAACAAGAACGACAAGGCAACCGCAGAATTGGAGCTTCTTATGATGAATGAAAACGACGAAAAAGAAGATAACCATTTCAACATGAAAGATATCATCAAGGCAGAGAAGAAGAAAGGTAAAAAGAACAAGAAAACGGCCGATCTCGACATCCAAGACAACTTCGAGGTGAACCTTGATGACGACCGTTTCAACGAGATCTTTGAAGACCGGGACTACAAAATTGACCCTACTAACACTGACTTCAAGCAAACCAAAACCATGAAGAAAATCTTGAGCGAGCGCTCAAAGAGACAAGCAGACACCAAGAACCAGCAGCCGGCCAAAAAAGCCCGTGTGGACCGTGGTAACCGTGATGACAACTCTGGTGATGTTCGTGCGTTAGCCGACAAGTTGAAGCGCAAGCACAAACACCTCAAATAACGTTTATGTATATAATCAATAAAGTATGGGTGTTTGGACCCGCATTCGATTTTTCAGTTTCCCCAGTCGCGTTGGCAAAGAAAAAAAATCACCAACAACAAGTTTCTTCTCAGTAACATGATGAATTCATTAGTAAAACTCGTGGCTACGGTGCTTTTATTCGTCCAGACCGCACAGGCATTGCACTTCCACTTGAATACCGGCGAGTCGCGGTGCTTCTTCGAAGAGTTGCCGAAGGACACGTTGGTGATGGCCAAGATCGAAGCCCTTGAGTACAACGAACACTCTAACGACTACATCCACAACCCTGACGTCAAAATCGAATACACGGTTTTCGAGACATTCGATAACGACCACAAAGTCGTCAACCACAAGGTGTCGGCCAAAGGTGAGGTTCCATTTACTTCTTTGGATGCTGGTGAACACAAATTCTGTGTCAAGCCTGTTTACTATGACGGGACCGCCAACAAAAAGCACAGAATATTCTTTGATATTGCCCTTGGATCCGCCCACGACTATGTCGACTCCAAGTCCACCAACCAGGTGGACCAGTTGACGTTGAAGGTGAAGAACTTGAATAGTAAGTTGGAGAAAATCAACTTTGAACAGGAACTGATCAGAGAGAGAGAAGCGGTATTCAGAAACCAATCGGAATTAACCAACTCGCGTGTGGTTACATGGACCTTTATTCAGATTGCTGTGTTGGTGGGCACTTGTATGTACCAGTTGAAGCACTTGAAGAGCTTCTTTGTCAAGCAGAAAATTGTATAGTTTAAATGTACTTTCTTTGGTTGTTTTGTCCAGTGGAAATGTCGCGCGAATCTGCTCACGGTTGCACCTCATCGTGATGGAGAACTTGACTAAACAGGAACTTCTAGAACGGGTGGCGACGTTACAGCAGGAGAATGCGGTGCTTCGGTCATTGGCTAGTGCTCCAGAGCCTCTGCCGTCTTTATCCCGCCAAGAATCCATAGCAAACTTGTCTCTTGAAGAATACATGCGCTACGGGCGCCAGATGATAGTACCCGAGTTTGGTGCTTTAGAATCACAACTTGTACTCAAACGATCCAAGATTCTAGTGGTGGGAGCCGGAGGACTTGGGTGCCCGGCTCTTCTTTACCTCACAGCTGCTGGTGTGGGAGAAATCGGTATTGTGGATAATGATATTGTAGATGTGAGTAATCTCCATAGGCAAGTGCTACACTCCACCGACACCGTGGGGATGCTCAAATGCCATAGTGCAGCTGTAATGCTTGCTAGGCTCAACCCCCACGTGACTGTGAAGGAGTATCCCATCAGGCTTGCAAATGACAATGTGTTTGAGATATTTGAAAAATATGACCTTATACTTGATTGCACAGACGCTCCAGCAGTACGGTACTTGGTCAACGATGCAGCGGTAATCTTGAACAAGACGGTGGTAAGTGGCTCGGGCCTTAAGACAGACGGCCAGTGGACGATTCTCAACTTCGCAGGGGTTGGGCCTTGCTACCGGTGTTTCCACCCCAAGCCACCGGCACCAGACTCAGTGACGTCGTGCCAGGACGGCGGTGTGCTTGGGCCGGCCATCGGCCTTATTGGTATCAACATGGCATTGGAGACCATCAAGGTTCTCACCGGGCATTATAAGCCTGAGCAGTTCCAGCCGTTCATGTGTGCGTTTTACGGGTACCATTTCCAACAGTACCGGACATTTAAGATGAGAGGACGCCAGAAATCATGCCAGGTATGTGGTGAGCAGCCCACCGTAACAAGAACACTTATAGAGAGAGGTGAACTCAATTACCAGGTGTTTTGTGGCCGGTCAGAACCTTATACGCTTCCCAATGAATTGAGGGTTTCTGTCGAAGAGTATCACCAAAATGGTGGAACCCTTATAGATGTACGACCCGCCGAGCAGTTTTCAGTGGTGGCTCTTCCTAACTCTGTGAACATTCCCTGGGGAAACGAGTTTTTGAAGTTGGAGCTGTTGGAACTGTATTTGCCAGGAGTGCCAAAAGATAAAGCAATTTTTGTGGTGTGCCGGTATGGCAATGATAGTCAAATTGCTACGAAAACGATACGAGAAAAGTTTGGGTTTACGAACGTGAGAGATATAAAGGGTGGGTTGAACCGGTGGAGTGAAGAAGTGGATAAGGATTTTCCAAAGTACTAGGATTTTCCCCATTAGGCGCATGGGTTTCCTAATGCGCAAATAATAAGTAATTGAATAATGTACATATACTACAAATGATAGTCTACCAGGCGAGCCCGTTGAGATGCTAGACAAACGCAGGGTCTAGCCGTTCAATCACTACCAACCCCAGGTGGAAGCCCGCTGCATACATAGAGCTAGCCGTCATTGTCTCGTTCCAAGCCACCGCCGAAACGTTGACTTCGGCGGGGGAAATCGCCAACCTGGTGGCAGGCTCAGCCGCCACCGACTCAAGAGATCCATCAAGAACCCACAGCTCTTTCATATGTAGTTTCCACAACCGCAACGGCACTGAGAGCCGATTACCACTCTTTCCTGGGGTTAAGATCTTTCTGGCGATGTTTACCACGAACACCTCTCCAAAACTATTACCCACAAGCACGAATGGATGGTTCAAGTGCCGTGAACTAGCTATCGACAGCACAACTCCGTCAGTTTTGACCACCAAGCTCGGTCTTTCGTTGGGGTTACGTGCAAACAGGTAAGACAACGTGTCGAGGGATTCGGTACACAAGAAGAGCTTAAGACCGGGGTGATAGCGAGGCAGAACCCAAGAAACAAACGAGTCGACGTGGTTGGTCCGGAAGTTGTGGTAGTCAAACGCATAGTTCTTGACCCCAGGAGTCCCAACATGTACCACAAACTGGTCTGGGGCTGGTGAACCCACCACTACGTTCGATACTGGGATATCGCAAATAGTGTAAACAAAAGATGGAACATCGAAGTTCCCATCAAAACCTGGCTGCGAGTAATGAGGAAGCACATACTCAGCAATAGATCCATCCAGAGTCCCCACAATGACACGGTCGTGCAGCACGAAGTCGTAACACGAGATGGGCACCGGTTCTTGTGAGTTTCTAGGGTTGGTGAACTTGTACGATACCGACAGGTGCACCAATTGGCCAAACAACGGACCCTCAAGGCCCACACTTATCATGTGAAGCTTCCCATCACCAAAAGTGCCGGCTAGCACCCCTATGGTGTCAGGTACCGCTATGGGGGCCCATGATAAATTGACACACACGCCAAATTCAGAGGTATCAAGCACCCGTATAAGTTTTGGGGTTTGCGAATCGGGGTCGACTTGCCATAGCTGTATATACGTCGAGAACTTACTGGGGGCGGTGGGGTCTTTTGTGTAAAAAATACTCAATTCCTCGCTGGTGACGGCCCTATGAAGCCCATCATGATGCACAAACACTGCCACCGCCAAGTAATTCAAGCCGTCGGCAGCCCCGGGGGCCCATCCTAGCGATGACACGGCGCCACCCACGTTGATGGCCGAGCCAGCTCGGGAAAGTGATTTGAGGTCAGTGTGTCCAAATAATGGTACCTGAGTATATTCATCGGTGGTTAACAGTAATTGGCGCCTCAAGGGCCATTGGGCCAGCACAGAGTCATTTATAGACTGTACGGTGGCACTAGGGAAGCTTGAGACCGGCGTGGGTTCGAATGGCGGTGTTATACCAGAATCGGCGGCGGTTTGAAACGGTTTCTCGGGAAGGTAAAACAACGTATTCTGAAACAACAGGAGGTACTCTAGGGCATGCTGGAAGAAATCCTCGTCAGGCCCGTAGTTCTGAAGGAACCGGGGCTTTAGAGACATGTCCTTAAGAGGCCTGACAGGGTTGGTAGCCTCTGTGACTGGTTTAGAGTCTTTGGCCATGGATGTGTAGAAATAAACAAATGCGCGCAACGGCTGCAACTGAGAGAATAAAAAGATGGATTAAAGCTGCTCACTGAACGGTGGGTGCGTGGAAGCGTCTATTGTGGCGTATTGAACGAGGATCCAGCTTCCTGTTCAAAACTCAATCGGCTGCTATTTGCTGATTGTATGATAAGCTCTTGACAACTCAGCCAGCTCCTTTTCGCTCTAGGATTATAGTGGCCTCAATTCACTCTATTCGTTTCCTGGGCACCCCTTGGACCAAGGAAACTGGCCTCGATGATACAAACTTCGACATATCGGCTGTTAAAGTCTACATTGTCTGAAGAAACCGTTCGTTTCTGCAAAATACGTAGAAATTTAACCACTGGCATATTAATTGTAAACCTATATAATGTTGCAATCGCTTCTAATTCTATAATCAAACCTCTTGTGCCTTGAACCAGAGGAAGAAAACAACAATGTTCGCTACCAAAGTACAGAATATCGGCAAATTGCTGACCCATACACCCATCCAAAAACATCTGCAATAGCACCAAGAACACCAGCCATGAACATTAGAGGGTCAAATACCAACAAGAGATATTTGTTGAAGGTCGATCTAATTGTCCTAAGTTTACTCGGGAACTTTTTGATTTCTCTAGATGTCTTGATACCTTGGTATAGTAATGTTAAGAAATGATTGAGATTGCTGAGAAAAGATCGAAACTGTGCTCGTCTGCATCTTGGTCTGGCAAAAATATCATCACCATAATAAACAAATTAAAACCACAGAAGACCTTGACCATTTTCATTTTGAAAATTGAAAGCTCTCTACCCTTTCTATAAGTGGGTTCGTATGATGTGTTACCCGTTTCATACTGATAGACATGAACAGCCCTCGGCCAATACAGTCAGAAGTAATCACTTATCTCACAAATCTACTACAATCCATGGCTGCGAAATGGTTGCAAATTAATATTCATTATCGTACATTACAAAAAGTTATCGACAAAATTGTACTTGAACTTCGCCCAGCCCGTCAAGCTGTCGGCATACGCGTTCTGCTCCTTCTCCTCCTGTGTCTCCACATACTGGTCGGTCTCAAAGTCCATATCCTTGCTCTTCACAAACCTGTCCTTTCCCTTTCTAATCACCCACCACACAATAAACGTGAAGGGGAATACACCCACCTCCAAATACGATTGGAAGAAAGCCGATACGTCCCATGGCGCAAACGCACTCCAGCCTTGCACGAAAATAATAAAGGTCACAAGTACCACCACCACCCATGGCCCCCATGGATGTGTCCAGTTCTTGAACTTAAGAAGATGGGTCTTGTTTTGTTTGGCCAATCCCTGTCTGAACCTAATACTGGTTATACCGATACAGAGCCAGGCAAACTGGTTGGAAACTCCCACAATACACTGAAGCCAGGTCCATAAGGTCCCGGCTCCAATGAATGAAGCCCCAAAAGCCAAACCTCCAGCGATCCACGTCAAAAGCACCGCCACGTATGGGATTTTCCACCGGTTGGTTCTAGTGATGAACTTGGGGAAGTAGCCCTGAGTACCGAGTGTAAATGCCAATCGGCTACCGGCGAAAAGCGCATGGTTCCCAGCAGATATCACCGATGTCATGATAACTGCGTTCATGAATGAACCCGCAGCCTTCGCACCGGCCATTTGGAAAACTATTGTGAAAGGTGAGGTAATAATGCCCCCTGTTGACAATGATGGGTAGTTGTATGGCACGTTCATGCCGATGAAGAATACTGCCAACACATAGAACACAAAGATCCGGATCCACACGATCTTAACGATCTTGGGAGTGGATCGCACCGGGTTTTTAAGTTCACCACCTGAAATCATAATCGACTCCACTCCTCCAAACGCAAATGACGCCGTCACAAAACACAGAGCAAATCCTCTGAACCCATTGACAAACGGAGCATCTCCTAAGGACCAGTACTTGAAGCCAATGTACTCGTGCTGAGGATTTTTACCAGCGTTGACAATGATACTAACAATGAAGAAGATGATGATGGTGACGAGCTTCAAAGTAGCGAGCCAGTATTCTGTTTCCCCGTAGAACCGCACATGGAACACGTTAAGGAACAACAAAAACACCCAAAAGATCAACGCCACAATCCAGGCGTGGAAATCTGTCCAGTATTCCATTACAATCTGCAAAGCCGTCAAGTCGCTTGCTACCGAAATCGCATCGTTAAACCAATAGTTGGCCAAGATAGCAAACCCGAAACTCTCACTACCAAAACGTTTGGCGTACGTGGTGAAACTCCCGGACACGGGGATGAGGGTGGCCATTTCTCCCAAACTCAACATCGTCAAGTAGACAATTCCACCAATTATGGCATAACAGAGTAACATGCTCAAGGGTCCGGCAGCCGCAAGGGTTTTACCTGTTCCCAAAAAAAGTCCGGTTCCGATGATTCCTGCCATTGCAATCATGTTGATCAACCGAGTCGACAAGCTTCTGTTCAAGTCTTCGGTGACGCCTATTTGATGCAGGATGATGGACTCTTCATCACTTCTCTCCAAGTCTCTTTTGAAAGATTTCGCAACCTCATCGCTTTTGGTGGCCTCGACATCGAGGACGCCTCTGTAATTGGTTGAACTCATTGACAATGAAATTTGGGGCTTTGTTAGTGGCACCTATGGTTTATATAGGTGTTTAATGGGATGATGTGATGAGTGGGAAAAGTAGGAAAATTTTGCAATTGCCATTGTGGCTATAGAGGTGTGCACCTTTGTTATATGGATGTCGTTGGTGCGGCGATGGCATGTGCGGCAGCAGGAGACGAATAGGCGAGCGTCTGCAGCGCCGACTATGGGCTTGGATCGGCGGCTGTGGCGGTATTGGCCCCGCGCCCGCGACACTGATGACAGGGTCGCCGTCCGACATTCTGCTATCAGGGGTGCTTGCGGTGGAGGCATCGCAAAACGCAATGTCACCCGTCGCTCGCATTAGAAGCATCCGGAAATCTACCGGTTCTTCATATATCGCGCACGTGACCTCGCCCTCGCTCCCGCCTTCCCCGCCCACCATCGCCTCTCGGGTCAAGGTGGTCCAGTCACGTGTTTGTCCCGTGACCAGGTCGCACTCCTCTACCTCCACTCGACAGCACGGCCATGGCTTCTTCCTAATATCTCCATGACCGACAACACCCAGGAAGCCCTTGACTTTGTCGACTTCGTCAACGCATCCCCCACGCCCTACCATGTCGTCCACAGCGTCAAGGCCGAGTTGGCGGCCCACGGCTTCGTCCAGCTCCTTGAACGCGATGCCTGGAGTATCGACACTCTCAAGAAATCGGGCAAGTACTTCGTCACCCGGAACGGCAGCTCACTTATCGCCTTCACCGTGGGTGGCCAGCACGCCGCTGGCGATGGTTTTGCCATTATTGGCGCTCACACGGACTCTCCGTGCTTAAGAATCAAACCTATCTCCAAGCGCACCACCGAAGGGTTCATCCAAGTTGGAGTTGAACAGTACGGAGGCCTTATTGCGCACACTTGGTTCGACAGAGACCTCTCCATCGCAGGCCGAGTGTATGTGAAAGACGGCCACAAGTATGTGCCGCGGCTCGTGAAGATTGATAAGCCTTTGTTACGGATTCCTACTTTGGCCATCCACCTCAATCGCGAGGCCAACCAGAAGTTTGAATTCAACAAGGAAGATAAGTTGTTACCGATTGCCGGTCAAACAGCCCACAGCTGTGCGGATGACCCAGAATTGCAGATGAGCCCCGAACAGTTCCAGTCGGTGCAATCGGTGGTACAGAGACACCATGTTGGTATAATCAATTTGGTTGCAAAACAGTTGCAGGTGGAGGTGAACCAAATTGAAGACTTTGAATTGTTGCTCTACGACACGCAGAAATCGGTTATTGGTGGCTTGAACGACGAATTTATCTTCTCGCCTCGGTTGGATAACCAGGAGCTGTGTTTCTGTGCCACCAGAGGGTTGATTGCTAGTACCACCAGTTTGGAGGCCCAGACGGGTATACGGGTGATTTCACTTTTTGACCACGAAGAGGTGGGCTCCAAGTCGGCCCAGGGTGCCGACTCGAGCTTCTTGCCCGACGTTTTGCACCGACTTACGGTGGCCAGCAGCTTCTACGAAGCGATGTCCAAGTCGTTTGTGTTATCCAGTGACATGGCACATGGCGTACATCCCAATTATAAGGCCAATTATGAGGATAAAAACAAGCCCGAGTTGAACAAGGGGCCGGTGATTAAGGTGAACGCCAACCAGCGATACTCGACCAATTCTCCTGGAATTGTGTTGTTGAAGAGATTAGGAGAAGATGCTGAGATCCCGCTCCAGTTGTTTGTGGTAAGAAATGACTCACCGTGTGGGTCGACCATCGGGCCATTTTTGGCGTCCAAGTTGGGGATACGTACCTTGGACTTGGGCAACCCCCAGTTGTCGATGCACTCCATTCGGGAGACAGGAGGAACCTTTGATATCGAGAAGTTGGTGCGGTTGTTTCGGTGTTTTTGCGAACGGTACCACCAGTTGGAGGCGGTTATCCACGCCGATGGCTAGGTAGCACAAGTATTTTGACTAGATAAACATATAGATCCGCAAATAATAAGAAATGCTTTTCAATTGGTTGAGAGCAGCAGCCTTCACACCGGAAACACATTTTGCTCCAGCTGTCCCACAAAATTCCCTGGCGGATAGTACGAGCACACGATGTAACTCCCCCACACCGTACCGCAGTAGGTGGTGGCACAGGCCATCTGACTGGTATCATTCCACACGAGGGCAGTAAAGTGGTTGTACACATCATGTTGTGCGTAATCATAGCTATCACCCTCGCGGTACCATGCATCGATGGCACCGGACGGAGAGTATCCGGCCGCTAGGTTCTCACCGTACGGCCCACCCGAGTGTGTCAACTCCCCTGAGCAGTCGTACTGGTTCGCGAAACCTGCTGCGTAATCGTAGAGTGTGTTATTCCATGATACTTGCTGGGCATGGTGGAGCTTCCGCTTGTGGTTGTGGTGGTTAAGCATAATATGGGCAAAGGTGGCATTAAACTCGTACGGGCCCGTGTACGAGATTTGGGTGCTGGTCGCACTGGTTGTAGCAGCACTAGTGATTGTCACTACCGATGGCTGCAAAAACACCGTGATAATCTCGATCTCTGTCACAAGCACCGCTTTCAACCTGAGGCAAAGGCCTATCCAAAGCACCCACACAGAGATGTGCATCCCTACTTGTACAATCGGTCAAAAACTCTGAGGATTATGTGTGCGGATGCTTGGGTTTTTATGAAGAGCTTTTGAAGTGCATGTTTGACCATCTCAAACAAATCTGAAACGCGAAAGTTCCACGCCAACCATGAACCTCCTAACAGTTTTTGTGTTTGTACACCTAGCACGGTGCTTCGATGTGGTGCCTCTTCTCGTGGCATCCCATAGGCTCGTGCCAGGCCTCAAGAACGAGCTTGCAGCCACCAACACGGGCCACCGCCACAACGGGGCCGAGGTCACAAACATGCTCAAGAAGCTTGTGACCCAGTGCAGCTCCGACGAATACATCATTTTGGACATCCCCGGTGTCAACTACCGCGACTTGAACGACGCCGCCGCCAGCAACTGGCCGTTCCTCACGCGGTACCTCAGCATGTCGTCGACGGTGGTGGGACTTCTGTTTGTAAACGATTACATTGATTTGGACTACCTCCAACAGTACATCTCCACCACCTGCGAAGCCGAGGTGATGGTCGCCAACGTGGAGGACGATAATAGCATCAACTACATCGACGCCAAACCGCGGGTGATTAATATCCGGTTCGACGAGTTGCCCACTGATGAGGATGAACGTCGGGCTCGAATTGTTGCCAACGATGATTTTATACGTCGAATCATCAGAAAACTCCCGTCGCCCCACTACACGATTGTGCTCACGTCGAGCAAGCGGCTGCAAATCCATCCGGTCCCGCCGGTGGCGATGGACGAGAATCCGCTGATGTTTGGGTTGTTTAATACCATCACCAACAGTCCGCACCGCCAGGCCGAGGTGGAATTTAATGATATGTATAAGTCGGTGGAGCCCGTGTGGTACCAGGACCGTAACACGAACCACCGGTACCTTGAGAACCGGAAGAAGGATGTGGTGCAGTTTTTAGACTACGAGTTATGGACGAAAAATGAGCAGTTGGTGATGACGTTGTTGGTGATGATGGTGACAGTGGGGATGATTCGGGTGAAGCAGTTGTTTGGGTGGGTGTTTGGGAAGCAGAAGTCGGAGTAGTTGTGTCTCACAAATGTAGTTGTGTCTCACAAATGTAGTTGTGTCTCACAAATGTAGTTGTGTCTCACAGCATCTCACTATCTGCTCTCATTATATAGATAAAGATATGTTCGCACTTTTCACTCACATTAATGGAACTGACAAGAGCCGCTGACTCCCCGGATCCCACACTTATGTCTCTGGGATCCTCACTAGTGTCTCTGGGGAATCTAGTGTCCCTGGACCCTTTGGTGTCTCTGGACGCACCCCTGACGTCTTTGAGGCAAGATGATCAGTCTGCAAGTAAACACCATATTGACGAAGATGATGACTTTTTCATGTTAAAACCCCGAAAAAAGAGTCGTCGAAGGCACAGGCACAGCGACATGAAAGCCAAAGCACTTGAACCTACGGGTACCGAACCTACGGGTACCGAACCTACGGGTACCGAACCTACGGGTACCGAAACTGCGGGTACCGAAACAGGTATCGAAATCACAGAAACACAAACACAACCCACCCAAACCACCCAAACAGGTGCCGGGGCTGTCACACCGCTGCCAATAGAACTCAGCTCCGACTCTCCAGTATACCACGACGCCGACGAAGACTTCACCGCCACCGTCGCCGTCCCTGCCTCCCACCGCCGAACGCGACAGTCCACTCGCTCTTCCCCCCCACCGAAACCCAACCCAAGCCCACCCTCCGTGGCCCTCCGCCACTCCGCCAACCCCGACGACTTCGCCAGAATCATGGAATCGGTCCGCCAGCTCCGCACCGAGTCCCAGCTCACCTACGAATTCTCGCCCCACGACGAGGAAAATCGACCCTACCTCCTCAACGTGATCCCCAAAGTCCACACCACCACCCCCAACTCATTTGCCACCAAAGGAAATAAACTGTTCAAGCTCATCCTCCAGAGCATCCTTTTGCACTACAAAAGAATCGGCCAGTTCCCCAAAAACGCCCGGGTAGTCGACTATACGCTCTTTTGGATCCATGGCCGACGAGAACTTAAGCACTTTTTTCGCCCGTCCACCCTCCGCATCTACCCTCCGCCAGAAGACCTGCTCGTGTATGTCAACGGCATCGGTTACACCGCTCTTGACTGTCTTTTGATCTCGCGGCTGATGGCTGCAAATGCCTTGGATACTTTCGACGAGCTCAAGACCAAATACGAGACCCTCATTGGACTTAACGAGACCTATGAATTGGGTGAGGCTGACGGTAATGACAGTGTGGATATCATCAGTGTGGGTGACACCGATGACGAGGACGAGCGTCAACAAGGAGTTGGTGGGTCTTCATTCACGATTTTTCTCAAGGGTAAAGATAATAAGCGAATGCCAGTGCTGGTAACAGCAGCCACTCCCACCATCAACCTCCTCAAATACTATTTTGAAAAACTGGGGGTGTCGGAGGTCACAGATCTCGAATCCGGGATACTTGTGTTTGACGACGAGCCCATGGATCTCTCAGATGTGGTGGGTCACACGGAGCTTGAGGAGGACTTTGAAGTTGAGGTGCACTTCAAGAGCTAATGCAGATGTCGGGAGTTACGCACCAATTTAATGCACCGGGAGGTCCGCCTTCCTAATCGGGTAAGCTTAATCCTTCCCAGCGCAGAAAATCAGCTGTTTTCTGGCGCGGTCCATGTGCGATGGCTGCACCACTACTAACACTTGGTATCTGCCACTGACGAGGTACTGGCCACCTGGAATCGGCACCGTCTCAGCACGCGGCAGCGCCGGTGCTCTGTTCTGGCGGTCTCGGTTGGTTGAGGTCCACTGCTTCCCCCCTTTCAATTAGTCATCGAGTCCCCCAGAAATACGATAACAAACAATAGTAACCAATACATAACACCGGTATAAACGTTATGGTCCGAGCCAGTACCATCCCTTGCCTACGGTCCCGGAACCCGCCAAAAATTCCCTCTTCTCTAATGTAAAATTACGGCCTCTGCAAAATCGAATGGTTTTTCTCACTATTCTTCTCAACCATTTGCATTTTCAAATTCAACTCGTTTCACATTTGGTGCTTATTATCTTGTTTTTTTCTATTGGAAGGCTAACATGGCAGACTATTTGAACTTCAAATCAGTGCCACTAGATGCCAATGGCAAACACACCATTATCATTGTGGGGGCCGGCATCATAGGTGTTTGTACCGCCTATTTTGTCGTGACCCATCCCAAGTACAATCCTGACAAATACAGAGTTGTTATCATCGAAAGCAAGCGGGTGGCCGGTGGCGCCAGCGGTAAGGCCGGGGGCCTATTGGCACTCTGGGCATTCCCCCAGCAGATAGTACCCTTGAGCTTTGGCTTACACCAACAATTATCTGATATGTACGGCGGTGATACCGAATGGGGGTATCGCCGTTTGACGACCGTGAGCTTGGAAGGCGACTTAACCAACATCAGCGAAGCTGATGATGACGATGACGACGAAGATGACGACAACCCGGGGTCTAAAAAACCGTCCACCTCATCGGCCCAAATGGAGCTGAGCTCTTCCAACGAAGAACCACCCAAGAAGTTCAGTCGAAGAAGTGACAGCTCCAAGAAATCGGTCAAGACCGGTAGCAAGTTGCCCAAGACATTGAACTGGATCAACTCGGACGTGATCTCCAGCTGCACAACTCTTGGTGATACCGACACCACCGCGCAAGTACATCCTTATAAGTTCACCAACTTTATATTAAAAAAGGCGGTGGAGTTGAGCAAAGGCTCCCTAGAGTTGGTGTTGGGGAAGGTCATCGATGTGGACTATAACTATGAAAGCGGCTCGGCCGTGGGGGTCAACTATGAGCTTACCTCCATCAAAGAGTTGGATAAAGGCCGGGCCAAGACCATCAACCTCAAGGGAGAACAGGTGGTGATGACGGTGGGGCCATGGACATCAAAAATCCTTCCTGACTGTCCCATCAGCGGGCTTCGGGCACATTCCATCACCATTGCCCCGTTTAAAGACCAGCCGGTCAGTCCCTACGGGATCTTTACGGAGTTGAAGACCGCCAATAACAGCTATATCTCGCCCGAGATCTACGCCCGTCAGGACGAGGTGTACGTGTGTGGAGAGGGTGACTCGGCTGTGGACGTGCCGGAAACCACCGACGATGTGGAAGTGGTAACCACCAAATGTGACGAACTTTTCAACGAAGTGTCCAAGTTTTCTCCCAACTTACGAAAGGGAAGAATCATCAAAAGACAAGCATGTTACTTACCAGTTTTGGAGGTACCCACGTCCTCCGGGCCGCTAATTGGGGAGACAAACGTCTCCAATCTATACTTGTGCTCGGGACACTCGTGCTGGGGTATCAACAATGCTCCTGGTTCCGGTAAGATCATGAGTGAGGTTTTGATGGACGGTAAGTGCACGAGTGCCAAGATCAGTGCATTGGATCCGTCGTTATACTTTGATGCCAGTGTGCTCATTGATCAGGATGAAGATGAGGAGGATGAAGATGAGGAGAATGAAGATGAGGAGGAGAATGAAGATGAAGACGAAGAAGGCGATGGAGATGAGGAGGACGAAAACGATGACGATTATGATGGTGATAACGCGAATGACACCAGAGCTTAGATGTTGCAAAGCGAGTTGACGATTTACGAATTATAGTATACTAATTTATGCGTGGCTTGAAAATGGTATATCTCTTGTATTTTTCGCAGTAATTGGAAAAGGCTGTTTGTGGATTTAACGCTTTGTATGAACTCAGACCAATTTATTACTTCCACCCCCAAACACTCTGTCGTGGCCATCACCAGTACCGCTGCCACCGCCGGATGCTCTCCTCGTCCACTCCAGGTCCCCAGAGTCCCTGTGTTGAACGTGAGCCGTGGTATGAAGGTGGAAACCTCCAAGCTCACCCACATTTCCAGCTCTCCTAGAATCCCTACCATCAGCCACCTCAGCTCGCCGCTCCAGTTGCCACATAGACACGGATCCCCTTTGAAGAACCAGGTCACATGCTTGCCCCCAGACCTGTCACTGACATTCGAGCTGTTGTCAGAAATGTGGTCTGAGTCGCTGGCTGCAAACGACAATAAAACCCTTGGGAAAATTGGACTCGATAACAGCTCCTCCTTCAAAAGTTGGTGTGACTACCACTTTGTGGTATACGAAGAATACGGCCAGCTCCAGAGAAAAGCTCTTGTCAATCGGTTCAAGTTCTACAAAAGAATCCAATTTATTGGTATGTTGGTTAAGCAGTATATGGAGAAAACCAACGACCTCAACGAAGAGCTTCTTGCCAAGTTGAAAGTGCTTCACTTGACGTATTGCAATCTCGTCGACGAGCTCAACGGGTAAATGTTATGTGAAACTAGTTGCAAATGTTCCAAGACTTATACACGGTAAGGGGCATACCCATCTTCTAACAAATGTGTGTTATTTGATTATGTCGATAAATTACTAAAATATACAGATTAGTTTCTCTTAGCAAATCTTCTTGGACCTCTTTGAGAAGAAATGGCAACAGTTTGGATTGGAATCTTGAAACCCAAGGTCTTGACCAAGTCGGCGGTTTCAGAGTCAACTTCCAACTGTCCGTTGGTGTGTGACAAGTCCAAAGCAGAAACTTCTGGGACGTATTGATCTTTTCTTTCTCTTTCTTCTTCTTGCAACTTGAAAGAAATACCTCTAACTGGTCCCTTTTGAATTCTTCTCATCAAGTGGGTGGTGTAACCAGCAATCTTGTTTCTTAATCTCTTGGATTGGATAACGGCGATTTCATCGGCCAATCTCTTGTTGGTATCGAAGTCCAAGGTCAACTTTGGGTAGAATCTTTCGATCAACACCTTAGAAGCTCTCTTGACGGTTTTAGTTCTAACACGAGCCTAAGAAAAGTTAGTATATGTTTGGCAAAGTACGCTTGTTGATAAGTTCATAGGTTCCTGTGTGCTTGTTAATGGTTCTGTTTCGACGGAATTGAAGTATAACATGAATATGATGTGATGTGAACTTGAATAACATTTTCGATATGGGATATTTCAAGAGTGGGGGTCTGGGTGACAGTGGGGAAAGGGTTCGTGAGGTTCTTCATTGGATACACCGGTTCAAATCAACTGATACCACGGGAGGTTATCATTTCTACATACCATTTTGTATAACTATATTTATCTGGTGAAATATATTATAAAAACTTTTTCAAGCTACTTTACTGGAAAATTTTGAGAAGTGCGAGACTGCACAGGGGACAAGAAACAGTTTTTTTGTGTCACGTTTGGATTGTGACTGCTTTTCGCGGTCGTGTGCGCCTGCGAAAGTGTGGTCAGAACTCGAGGGATGGGAGTATCATAAATGCGGTGGGATGTAGCTGATAGAGGGATATGGTTTGAGAAGAGTCTATCTGAGTGGAATAGACCTTGGGAACATACAGGTAAAATCTGTTCTTTTGTAGCCCTCTAGAACGTGTTTTTTTCTTCTAAACGTCTCATTTGTGACCTAAACTACCCAGAAAAAAACACAATATACCATCACATCTTCTCTTTATCAAAACCCTGTGTCTCCACCTCCTTAACATCTCTCTTTCCCTGTTAACGTATATCCTTCCTCCATCACCGCTTGAGGTTGGTGGTATGTGCACGACCTCCGCGCTTCTTTTCACAATCGATATAGAGCTTCGGTTTGTTTCTATAACAACTACACCCACAATCATCTTTTTTGCATTGCATTCATCACCAGGCGTGTTTGTTGACTTCAAGAAATCTTCAGACTATCAGCATGGATAAAGGACGACTCTTCCACTGCGACGTGTGTTCAACTGATTGCACCAATCGTCTCAGAATCAAATGTGCTATCTGTACTGACTATGACTTATGTGTTCCTTGTTTTGCTTCTGGAAACGCCACCAACGACCACAAACCATGGCATGACTATATGATTGTGGAGCAGAATACGTATCCGATTTTTGAAAAAGGATGGGGTGCTGACGAAGAACTTCTTTTGATACATGGATGTGAGACATTTGGTCTTGGAAATTGGGCTGATATAGCCGACCACATTGGTAACAGGTCCAAGGAAGAAGTGGGTGAGCATTATAACAAAATATACCTTGAAAGCAAGGACTATCCTCTTCCTGAAATGGATAAAAATTTTGATGTGTCACCATTGGAATTCCTTAGTCAAAGGAAAAAGAGACTCGAACAGAGGAAGAACATGCCCTTACCTCCTCCCAAGCAGAAATCGGTGGCCTCGGTGCCTCTTTGTCATGAGATCCAAGGTTATATGCCTGGGAGGTTGGAATTTGATCATGAGGTTGAAAATGATGCTGAAGTGTCGGTTAAAGACATGATATTCGATCCTGATGACACGGCTCAGGACATCGAATTGAAGTTGACCGTGCTCTCGATCTACAATTCTAGGCTCACTACTAGAGCCGAGCGCAAACGGGTACTTCTCCTCAACAACCTTCTTAACTATAGAAAGAATATTGCCAATGATAAACGGAAATCGAAAGAAGAAAAAGAGCTCCAAAGGAGCATCAACGCGTTCATCAAGATATGCACGCCCAAAGACTTTGAGAGCTTCTCGAATGATATTTTGACTGAGTTGAAGTGCCGGATCCGGATCCAGCAGTTGCAGAGTTGGAGAAGAAATGGTATCACGCTCCTCGAAGACGGAAACAAGTTTGAAAAAGATAAACTCATCCGCAGTGCCCACTACCAAAGAATGGGAAACGGGTCCAATATCGCTCGGCATTCCAATACCAGCAGTGGGAGAAATTTTTCACCCCAGCCAGCTGACTACAAGCCCAAAATTGGTAACGTCAGAGCACCTTTGGATATCAGCCACGCTGCCGACTTTGAATTGTTATCCAGCGAAGAGAAGCAGTTATGTTCTACGCTTCGGATACTACCCAAGCCATATTTGGCCATTAAGAACCAGTTGATGAAGGAAGCCATCAAAAATAACGGGATCTTGAAAAAGAAAGATGCCAGACAAAGCTTGAAAATCGACGTCAATAAGGCATCCAAAATCTACGAATTCTTTGTGCAGATGGGTTGGTGCTCTCAGGGTTGAAACCCCGTTTACATATGTAGACTTTATATTTTTTGTACAATAACGACACGAAGTAAACGACAAAAACCAGATCCACTAAATGCCAAATCGCGAAAGTCTCCAGCATCAACAAAACGCCAATTTCAAGCCATGTTCAATTATTTGTGGATTCTAATGTTGCCGTTGGTGGCCGCACAGTTCTATCCGTTAACCAAGAATGGTGAGATTCCTTTGGCCCTTGAGCCATACCAAGAAGGTCAAAACATTTACATGGATTGCATTTCCCGACAAATAGATACGGGAGAACACAAGCAGGATTCGCAAGACAGAATTTTATATGTACCATTCCCGCCATGTAAGGAGACAGGCCTCCCGCTTATGTTCAAATATAATGTCAATGAAGACCTCAACTGCACCATCTCGTTCACGGACGAGTTGTATCACTTGTTCCAACTTTATATCCATGAAGACGTTCCTTTCAACTGCAGGGTTCCATTGAGTACCGAACAGAATTATTTGGAGAAAGGAGGAGCGTATATTCCGTTGAACTTCAACTTCAGGGGTGAAATCCACGATAGCCATTTGGACATCGACGAATCGATGAACGTGATATTCGTCAAGCCCAGAAAAAATGAACTTAACACGTTGATCAGTTCCATCGCTTTTAGTTCTAGCACCAATGCCACCAGAATTGTCATTGGGGAAGATTTGACTTTGAAGTTGGCTGTCAGATGGTTTGACAATCTCAACGCCATGGACTCTGTCACCTTGAACTATAGAGAACGCAATGGGCTTCCATTTGTGGATGGGTTTTATAGCTTTCCGGTAAATATCTTGCCCATCACCTACACTGCATTCTTAGGGTACATGACTTTGGTGGCAATGGTATCGGGGATGATCACGTTGGCATTTGCCTACAATATTATCAGCATCAAGTTTGCCAAAAACAAGTATTTGGCCATTGACCATGAAGCTGGGGTCGCTAAAAGAGACTGAATGTATATTACTGTACTAATCTCTGCACTTTTTGATAATTGCTCTCATCAACCCATCGTCACCTTCCACAAACTTTTCCAAATAGTTGACATACGCTTTGACCAACTCGGATTTTTCTAGTCCTTCGGTCTTCAATTTGTAGGCCATGAATTTGTTCACCGAAAGTTGCAAATTTGCAGCAAAATCGGGCTCATTTCTGGACACGGTTCTGATGGGTAAAGTTATGTCTATGAGAGCCGTATTCAACTCGTGGGGGTATTCTGACTGCAACATCGACAAAACATGAAGGTAAAGGTAGTCTTGGTTCAAATCGTCGAATTTGTCAATGATATCAAGAAACCGGTTAATGAGCACAAACAACTTTTCTACTCTCTTGAACAACTTTGGTTTGATCAATTCTGGTAAACTAGCGTCAAAAATGGCCAAGGCAACATCTCCTTTTAATGCTGGGTTGGTTTCAGGGTTTCCTAACATGTTCATATCAGCCTCCGGTAAAGTGTTCAATTCATCTCGCAATTCTTCGGTAGGAAGAGCAATTTCGTTATCATCCTGTCCGTCTCCGTTCAATGCGTTATCTTGGTTCAATTTGTCGTGGTATTCTTTTACTTCTTTTTCCATTTGTTCCCGCTGCTGTCCTTCGGTGAGAAGTCCCAATACCTTTCTTCTCGTCAAAAGTTTGGAGACGTATGTCAATTCGAACTGGAAGTAGTTCAACCACAACTCAGATGATTCGGGATTTAATCTCAAGGCTCTTTGGAAGAGAACTCGGGAACCCTTGGCATTATTGTTGATTTCAAATTCATATTTTGCCGACGAAAGCCATGCGTCGACGTTACGGGGCTGTAACTGAAGAAGCCTTGAGTATATCTTATATACAACCTTGATGGCTCCATTTTTCTTTGCAAAGTCCAAGTATTGTGCCCATAATTCGAGATTCTTAGGATACTTGTAGGTTCCTCTCTGATACACAAAGAGGATTCTTCTTACGCCCGCCCAATCGGAGATACTGGGTTTTGTATCCACAAGCCCAGCTTTACCAAGCCTGGTGTATCTCTTTTTACGAAGTTTTTCGAGGTTTCTTTCGAACTCAGAGTACTTGATGAAATCTCTGGTGGTGGACCCTCTGCCCTGAATTCTGTGTTCGAAATCGGTTCTGCGTCTCATGATCATGGTGATCTCATGCTTCTCAAAGAGACCTTTCTTCTGAAGGTCCTCGAGCTCGGGAACGGCCTGTTCGAGGTAGTATCTAACTTTTTCTGCCATTGTCGGTGTTGAAGATGGGTTGAGATGAGATGAGTTTGATCAATTAATTTTTCAGAGTGCGAGGTTTGAAGATGCTGGGGCGGTGGGGGCGAGAGACTGGCGGGAGCTAGAGGGAGGGGGCGCGGGCCTGTCGCAAAAAAAAAGGACAAATGCTCCAGGAGGGGATTGAACCCACGACCGTCGCGTTCCTCACACGACCGTGACTTTAGGTATAACCTATTGAGTCGTCAAACGGCTATAAGCACGAAGCGCTAACCTCTGCGCCACTAGAGCATCTGCTAATGTCGCATGCTGCTGGCTCCACCCACCAGAACCGGGGCCAAACTTTTGTGGGGGTGATATCTCGACTACTAATATTGTAATATTCACCATTTAAACACGAATATTATGGTAGAATCCAGGACTTCTATCCCAACTGTTCAAAAGCAAAGACTGAGAAATTTTAAAAAATAGGACTGGTTTGGTCTACGTCAATTTGCAAATATTACTAATTGATGCGAGAACTAAATAATTGTTGCCAAAAATTTTAACTAATCAAACTCACAAACTCATTCATTCGGACCCAAACCGGCACAACAAACCAATACATACATTAAACCTTAAACTGTAATATGCACCGCTTTGGAGAGGTGTAGCTCAGCATATGATCGCTCGATTGCGCTTTTTCAGCGGAATTATTAGCGCTTCCAAGCGAGCACTGGGAGAGCGCAGATCATAAAGCCAGCAGGTGCAGACAACAACCACAAAATGCACATCCCACTGCATATAATATGGAACATAGCAAGTGCACCCGTCTATAAGACCAAGGCATTATTTTATACTATATGCCAGTACCAAAACATATGTGGGGCCGTCATCCATCTTGACATGGATCCCGACTCCGGTAACCAACTAGCGACCACCATCCTGCACACAACCCCAAAGATCTCAATCCCAGATCCATTGTATTTAAATGGCAAATCCCCCTTTTCCTTCTACAACCATGTACAAATCTAGACAGTATGAAGTGGTCAAGAGAAGTGAAGAGCTTGTCTACGGGCGTAGACCCCTCCAATCAATTGACCAGAAGGTCACCAAGCTTGTGTTTGGAGGAGAACTTATTGCCCAGAGTATTATGGCTGCCTGGGAAACCCTCGAAGATGGTTGGACTCCCAATTCATTCCATTCATACTTCATGAGGCCAGCATCCACCGAGACTGTGATCCGGTACGAGATTTCTAGTAATAGCGATGGCCACAATTACAAGAACCGGTTGGTGCACTGCTATCAGGAAAAGGGCGATAAGCTTTGCTTTATAGCGATGATCTCGTTTGCTCAGAAGAACGACATGAAAAAACGTCAATTAGACTTCCAAAATAGCCCTAACCCCAACGTGAAGAATGTTCCATTCGACTTCCAGTTCTCTCCCAACGAGTACTTCTACAAGTATAAAGATCGGATGGAAGAGTTGATGGTGTTCAACCATACCAACGACCATATTCTGGCGATGATTCCGCCGGAAATCTTCGAGGATGCGGGGGACGCAGAAAACCAGTTGGAGGTGGGTGAGAGGCGATTAGGCTTCTTTACTCGGGTGAATGTCGATGGGGTGCAGCCAGTCCATAAAAAGTGGAACTATGTGGACTTTGCGTTTGTGTCCGATGCCACCACGCTTGTGCTCTTTTATCGGTGCTTGGGTACGGCTTTCAGCATGAAGTATTTCTGGTACACGTATGCCACCATGGATCATAACATCTACTTTCATGACGACGATTTTAATATCACCGACTGGTTGTTTGTGGACTTTCGGTTTGTGAGGTTGAGCAACGGCCGAGTGTTGTTTCTCTCGTTTTATTTCAATAGAGATGGAAAGTTGGTGGCTTCCATAACGCAGGAAGCGCAGGTGCAGATTCCTCAGAAAGTGGCTGATAAGGCGACTCTGGGATCGTACAAGTTATAGGAGGGGTTTAGTAGGGCTTGTTGATCGCGACATTGTTTGTGTACCAGTGGCTGTCACTGTTCACTTGGCTACATGATTCCTCCGTCTGGTGCAAAACCTGTCAATTTCAAACACACTATATCAGCCAGCCAACACTCCAATGTCAATAATAGAATCCATTCAATCTAAACAAATGAACTATGTATAACCAAGTCCAAGCCCTGAGCTTGGTCAAGCTCTGGTCTCTGTTCCTATCTCTGTCTCCGTTGTCTCATTATAATTCTCAGTCAATTTGCGTCCACGATTCTTGGGCCTTTCTCATCAGCTGACTCAATGGCATTCCAATCCCCGTCCTGTCGACTTGTGGCCCCACAACCAGTGTCCACCAATTGCACCCAACACAACTGCAAGCATCAACCACCCATTATACGTCATAAACACCAACATAAGCATAAACAGGTACCCGATCTGAAACCCATAAAACACCGACTTCTTGAGCCTATACAAACTCATGGCTCTCAGGTCAGACGCCACTGCCAAAGTACGGGCCTCCCAGAGGGAGATAGTGTGGCGTACAAACTCGTAGCCCGTGGCCAAAGCAGCCACTGCCACAAATGAAAACAAAAACGAGTAGACGGAGCGGATGTGCCACCAGTGGAAAATCACACAGGTGTTGGTGTAGTCCCACGTGAAGAGCATGTTCATGGAGCACCTGGCAGGCATGTCGGGCATGGGCATATCGTGGGATGCGGATGGCGAGTGGACAGGCATCTGATCCATATTGTGATAGCTGTTCATTTGGTTGAGATGTTTGAGCACTTTATATTCCTAGTTGGCTGCGCGGCCCGATAGTGCGAGTTTCCCCCATTAGGAGACTTTGGTGGGTGTATGGGTCAGAACCCCAGTTCACCCCAATTAGTCAGAACTCCCTACACCAGATCATACTCATTAGTCAGAATCCATATCCGGTACAAACATCGGGCACTTGCCCGGTTTCAGTCATTCCTCCCAGAAATCAAGTCGATCTTAATCCGGGGGTGTATAAATGTCGCGGCTTGGTCATCTCCGACTCACCCGCGACAAAACGGTCGATGGATCAGGTGTTTTTGGCACCATTTACATGAATTGCGAAGCGGAAACTAATGTCACAAAGTAGCAGAAGAGACAGCGTAACAGAGTAACCGAAGGGAAAAAGAATTGGAGACAGCAGGTGGTGTCGTTGTCACCCGTCGTCCCTCTCTAATCATCTATACGATACCCATCTTGCACCACTCCGACATTCTTCACCCCAATTATATTTTGCGCCAGCCGTCAGCCGTGAGCCATTTTCTTCCTTATTCACCCGACCTTTCTTTTTCTGCGCGCAAACAAAATTTATATAAACCGCACCCATTTCTTCATTGGCTGCACATTTTAATTTACCATGAAGATTTTAGGAACAGACGAAAGAGAAGCTCACATTGCTCACATCACCGCTGAAGGCACCAAGGGATTGTTCTACGGATCATTGTTATCGGCCGGGCTCTTTGCATACCTTAGAACTAGACACCCCGTTAGGTTCAGCCAATTTAACACCAGTATCAAAACTTGTATATTTGCCATGCCAACCATCGCCACTGCCGCCTTCTGGGCTGACCAGGGGTCCGTTGAGTTTGATAGACAGATGCACTCGTCCGACTACCAACAAGAACAGCTTTTGGAGCAGTATAAAGAATGGCAGTCAATGTCGAAGTACGACAAATCCATCCACTTTTTGAACGATAACAAGTACAAGATCGTCTTGTCTGCATGGGCCGCGTCGTTGTATGGCTCGTGGGTGCTTGTCAACAGGGACAAGATCATGACCACTGCCCAAAAGGCGGTACAGGCCAGAATGTATGCTCAGGGAGTCACAGTGCTTTTGTTGATTGGAACCGTTCTTTTGGCGGTCAAGGAAGAGGAAATCAACAAGAAGAAGCCGGCACCTATTCCCGAGTGGCAGAAGGTGTTGAACGATAGGGCCGAAGAAGAGAAGGAGAAGAAGCGGATCGTGGCCCAGATCAAGAAGGCCAAGGCTGAGAAGGAGGAATTGAGCCAATAGACTTGTAGATATGATGAATAAACGTAATTTGAAAGCATTTGACCATTTAGTAGAAATTGCCATCGCCTGGAACTAACACTTTTCAGTGCCTAGTAGAACCATTAGTATGACACTTTTCGATGGCTTTTTCGCACTCAAAATTTTAAGATCCAATGGCTCCCAAGAAGAAGAAGGAACTTGACCAGGACGAACGGTTCCAGGCCATCGTGCTCACCGACTCGTTCTTCTCGCGGTTCATGCCGCTCACTGCTGTCACTCCTAGATGTCTTTTGCCGTTGGCAAACGTGCCCCTCATAGAGTACACTCTTGAATTCCTCGCCAAAGCTGGCGTCAACGAAGTGTATGTGATGTGTTCCTCCCACGCTGACCAAATCCAAAAGTACATCGACAGCTCCAAGTGGACCCACAGCAGCTCGCCTTTCACCATCACCACCGTCATGTCACTCGAGGCTCGTTCGGTGGGGGATACCATGAGAGACCTTGATAATCGAGGCCTCATCACCGGTGATTTCTTACTTGTGTCGGGCGACACCGTCACCAACATCGACTTCAGCGCTGCTATGGCGTTCCACCGCCGCAAAAAACAACACGACAAGGAGCACATTCTCACGATGATTCTCACGCCGGCCCTGCCCTACCACAGAACCCGGTCCCAGATCGACCTGGCGGCCTTTGTGTTGGACAGAAATACCGACAGATGTATCTACTACCACTCAGTGCCTCCGCCAAACCTTCCTCAGACGTCGGTGGGACTTGATCCCGATTTACTCGAGGATGTGGACGAGCTTATTTTGCGCAACGACTTAATCGACTGTCACATTGACATCTGTACGCCGTTAGTGCCCCAGATCTTTCAGGATAACTTCGACTACCAGTTGTTACGGAGTGACTTTGTCAAGGGGGTTTTGACGTCCGATTTGGTCAAAAAAACCGTGTACGCCTATTTGACCAATGGAGAAGAGTATGCGGCCCGAGTCACCAGTTTCTTGACCTACGATGCGGTGGCCCAGGACGTAATACTGAGGTGGTGCTATCCAGTCGTACCGGAGGTCAACTTGATGCCGTCTCATAGCTACTCATACCAGTTCAATCATATTTACAAGGAAGATAAGGTTATTTTGGCCCAGAGTTGTAAAATCGGTAATTGTACGGCCATTGGCAACGGCACTGAGATCCTTGACGGGCTGTCGGTGTCACGGTCTACCATTGGGCGTAACTGTAAGATCGGGAAGAATGTAAGCATCACCGACAGTTACATCTGGGATGGAGTGGAGATCGCTGATAACTGTGTGATCCACAAGTCCATTCTCGCCTATAATGTCACCGTGCACAGTGACGCCGAGATCGTGGGCAGTGTCGTGGGCCACCATGTGACGGTGGGCCGTGGCCGGCGTCTTGCCGTAAACTCTCGGTTGGTGGAAACCCCCATTGAACGAGAATCGGCTGGCCTTGACAGCTTTTCAGACGACGAACGCGACCAGGAGGTAAGTCCTTCTGTGGCAGTTGTGGTAAATGACATAGATGTTGTGGGTGTGGATGGAGTTGGGCATTTGTATGTATCAGAGTTTGAAGAAAACGACAGTGAGGATAGTGATAGTGAATTCGAAAACACTGGAAGCACCGACAAAATGGGCACCAAGATGTACCAGAGCTTCAAGCTTCTCAACATCTCCGATGACTCAATCGCATCGGTGTCAAACAAGAAGAGACGGCGGAAGACCAGACGATTCTCATCCAATTCTGTCATGTCCACCGACTTTGAGCGTGGCGAGTTGAGCGAGGAAGAGGAAGATTTCGCCAAAGAAGCCGTCGATACCGTCACTCGTTCCATCGAGAACAACCATGACCTCGACACGGCCCTATTAGAGTTGAACACGTTGCGGATGTCAATGAATGTTTCTTATCATGAGGTTCGGGCTGCTACCGTCGAAGCGTTGACCCGCCGCATTGGGCACTTCATCAGTACCGGGACCTTGGGAAGTAAAGAAGCCACTGTAAAGGTGTTCAAAAGTTGGGGTCCACTATTCAATCGTCAACTCTTTGAACCCAAAGACCAGGTCGACTTATTGATGCTTTTGCAATCGACTTGTGCTTCTGGTGGTTACGGTGGGGGTTTTGATGGTCAGGTGGTGTTGTTCTGGGCCATCAGAACCTTATACGACGATGATATCGTGGAGGAGGACCGGATATTACAGTGGTGGAACAGTGAAGAGAGTGCAGCCAGTGCAGATATTCGTGGGGCCACTGTGAGGTTTATCGAGTGGTTGCAAGAGGCAGAAGAGGAAAGTGACTAGAGTCTGAATAGAGGTTGTGAGTGGTTCAATTACAGGTAGCCAAATTTGGATGACTGTGCCCAATTTCCAACTAGAGTAAATAATGTACAGTTACATATGGTTTCTGTAGCCAAACCAAAACCTATGCCATCGCCTCACTTGATGGCCCCATAATGGGCCCACCCGCACGTGACCTTCGTATAGCGCGGTCGCGAAATCATAAAAGCACAGGAAAACCCATCGATCGCACCACCAATGTCTTTTGCAAACTCAAACGTTGCCACTGACAGCCTCCCCAACTCGGTGGAAGACAAACAGTACGACGCTGTTGTGGTTGGCGCAGGAGTGGCCGGGCCCGCCATCGCCACTGCCTTTGCCCGTGCCGGGCGTCAGGTGCTTCTTATCGAACGGTCCTGGTCCCGTCCCGATAGAATTGTGGGTGAATTGATGCAACCAGCAGGTGTGAAAGCGCTCTGCGAGCTCGGGTTGGCCCAGGCCGTCGCCAACATTGAGGCCATGACGTGCGAGGGTTACTACATTAAATACCACGACCGAGTGGTACAACTATCGTATCTAGACAAAGCTGAGGCTGCGACAGGTAATCCCATCAAACCGGTGCCAGACTGTGTTTTTGATGACAACGACAAGCTCATCACCGACTCGACACTCAGCAGCAAGGACTGGTACGACCATCCAACGGTCCAAGGTCTTGCGTTCCACAACGGTGACTTTTTGATGAACTTGCGTGCAATCGCCCGCGCCGAACCCAACGTAACGTGTTTGGAGGCTACTGTCACCGGCGTGGTACGCGACGACAACGACGTGGTGGTGGGTGTGCGGGTCAAGGCGGAAGACGTCCCAGCTGTCTACCGGGCCAAGCTCGTGGTGGCGTGTGACGGGATCTACTCGAAGCTTCGTCGCGAGCTCCCGGCTCCCGCCCCATCGGTGGAACTGTACTTTGTGGGGCTTGATTTACATGACTGTGACTTCCCGGCACCAGGCCACGGCCATGTGATTTTGGGTGACCATGCGCCGGTGTTGGCGTACCAGACCACCCCAACCACCGCCCGAATGTTGTGTGCGTGGCGGCTGACGAAGCCTCCGTCGTCATCCGGCGGTGAGTTTGCCAACTACCTCAACCAGCAGGTTCGGTCTGAGCTCCCGAAAGAAATCCAGCCGTCGTTTGACGCGGCGGTGGCCCTGAAAAGGTTCCGGCCCATGCCCAACCAGTATCTTCCAGCAGTGAAACAGAGCCGCCAGCGCGGATTTGTGGCAGTGGGCGACTCGTTGAATATGCGGCACCCGTTGACGGGCGGAGGGATGACAGTGGCGTTGAACGACGTGGTGATTTTGGCGAAACTTTTGCACCCAAGCCAGGTGGCAGATCTTGGCGACCACGAGGCGGTGTTACGCCAGATGGCGGTATTCCACCGGCGGAGAAAGCCGTTGGACGCCGTCATCAATACGCTTTCGATGGCTTTGTACGCATTGTTTGCAGCTGATTCCCCATCACTTCGCATTTTGCAAAGAGGGTGTTTCCGTTATTTTGAACTCGGCGGTGCTTGCGTATCGGGGCCCATCGGGTTACTTAGTGGGATGTTGCCGTTCCCCATGATGTTGTTCAACCATTTTTTCCTGGTGGCCTTTTATGCCATTTGGTGGAACTTTACAGACAATGGACTTTTGTATGCTCCGGTGTCTGTGTACCAGCTGGTGGTGGTATTAGTGGTAGCCGTCCGAGTGTTTGTGCCTATTTTGTGGGCGGAGCTCGCGAGGTGAAAGCTTGTTTATAAAAGTACTTAATTGTGTAATAGCATAACTTATCCAAACATGTTTGTCTTGGCTGCAAACAATGGCTGCGGTTCGCGGGTTCCCGCACGACCCGTGCCGTCCTAAGCCGCGCTTCTATTTCACTCTCGTCCTTTAAACTTTCTTCACCAATGCCTTCTTTATCAGATTCAACCCCATTAGTAAACTTGCGTGGCTCTCGTGCCCAATCGCTACAGTCATCAATCATCACTCCGTTTGTGGTCGTGTTGAAGTCTTCTCCCGTCAATTACCTCTTGGTATTCGTTCCACTCGGTATCCTTGCTGGCAACCTTGGATGGTCTTCCAATGCGATATTCTGGATAAACTTTTTTGCGATTGTTCCATTGGCCTCTATCTTAGCTTTTGCCACGGAAGAGCTTGCTGAGCACACGGGTGAGAGTATTGGGGGGCTTCTTAATGCAACTTTGGGAAATGCAGTAGAGCTTATTGTGTCGATTATTGCCTTAAAAGACAACCAAATTCGAATTGTTCAGGCTAGTATGCTTGGTTCACTATTGCTGAACATGTTGCTTGTGTTGGGAATGTGTTTTATTGCCGGGGGGATTACTCGGGTGCAACAAACGTTCAACCAGACGGTGGCTCAGACAATGCTGTCATTAATGGCGTTGGCTACCAGTGGTTTGATGATTCCAGCAGCGTTCCACGCAACATTACCAGCACCCGATAAACAACATGAGTTCCCAGCCCCTGGATCTCTGGACGAGTTAATTATCTCCTTGTCGCGGGGGGTTTCGGTGATTTTATTGTTGTTGTATGTGATGTACTTGGTGTTTCAGTTGAAAACGCACCGGTCGTTGTTTGAGGACCAGGGTGGGGTCCATGATGCCGACGACGGGATCATCACCACCGCCATGCCCCCAGATTCGTCGGCAACCAAGCCAGCAGACCGTCGCTTGAGTATTTCCGAACTGTTGGTGGTATTGCTACTTTCCACGGTGCTTGTGTCCATCTGTGCGGATTTCTTGGTGGGCTCTATCGATGACATTGTGGAAACTACGGGGTTGTCGAAGACTTTTATTGGGTTAATTGTGATTCCCATTGTGGGAAATGCTGCTGAACATGTAACGGCCATCATCGTTGCCATGAAGGACAAAATGGACTTGGCTATTGGAGTGGCTCTTGGGCTGTCATTGCAGATTGCGATTTTTGTGACTCCGTCCATGGTGTTGTTAGGATGGGTATTTGATGTACCCATGTCGTTGTACTTTTCGACGTTTGAAACGATCATTTTGTTTGTGTCGATGTTTATTAGCAATTTGGTGATTTTGGATGGAGAGAGTAACTGGCTTGAGGGTGCAATGTTGGTGAGCACATATTTGATAGTGGCCTTGGCCTTTTTCTACTATCCCGATACTCAGTTGACCTAGGGGGTAGAGGTGAATAAGGTGACTGTAGGTGTTAGTAAATAGAGTAGAGTTTGCAGCAAATAAAGTGACTATAAAGTTTGGAAGAGCAAGTAAAGGACCTAATCCATGTGTCTGTTTAGGTATCTTGGGAGTTGGTGTGAACTCTTCAACTCATAGAATGGACTTGACTTTGACCCATACACCCACAAAAGTGACCCGTACACCCACCAAAGTGACTCGTACACCCACCAATTCTGGCCCCTACACCGCACATTCTCACCCCAGCTCCCTCCTCAAAAAGTTGCCCACATCATTCCTAGAACCACGTCATCTCTAATCCCTTCCCCTACAGCGTCTTCACCCATTATTAATTTCATTTCGCCTAGGCCCATCCCTGCTTTTCAGCGCCTCAACTAACAATGAACAGTTGCCAATGCAAACCCCTGCCACCAAGGCTCTGCGCTGTCGCATTCGAAAATAGCTTATTTCTGTGCCGCATTGAACTTAAGGTTTACCCGATCATTTCACAGGTTGTAGTCGAGAAATTCAATAGAAAAACTAAGCCCTTACGACCCCTGCGACAGGCGACACGTAATCCACATGAGCCGCCAAGGTGTTCCTGTCACCTGGAGTGTACAAGCGAGGCTAAGACCCTCTTCGATTTTATCCGGTTCGGGCAAGCATAACTGAACGCCCATGTCTGCGACTTGACAATAGGCCAATTGGCGCATGAGGTCCATTGCCCAATGCGGTTAATTAATTGAAAATTCTTAAATGGGAAATGATGATGGTAGTGACCCCTGAAAGGTTTGCCACCTATCACTAGTAACTTACTGATAGTTTGTAGTTGCCGGTTGTACCAGCAACCGTCTCCCAGCAGAATCTATTTTCAGCCGGAGCCATGGTCAGGTGGGCGCGTGGGATGCGCATGTGGGGGGCGCGTCGGCCCAGGGCGGCAGACTCAGCGGCAATACCACAACCACCATAAGCCGCTCTTAATATTATGACCACAATACTCAACTTAGTGTGGGTCAGAACATTGGGATGGAGACACTTTGTATACACAGCGTCAACCATTGTCAATCAATAATTAGATTGTCCAGGTTCAATGGTGGCTACAAAGTGCGCAAATGCTTTACCTGCAGACACAAATGCCACAAAGCGTCTTGGATACGCAGACGCGAAAATCGGCCAAAAAATACTCGTCTCACGTCGTCGCAGGGTTGAAAGGGTTCCTTTATATGTTTTAGGCAAAAAAGGGGGTATGGTTTGTTTGTAAGCGGTATTGTCTAGTGTTCTGGTGCTGATTATTCTTTCACTCACCGCTCCTGGATACGCTTTTGCTAGCGTTTATTTTATTTTATTTTTTACAAAGGGGACTTTTGCCCACCCATGAATTTTTCACGGTACCCGAATCGATATAAAGCTTTGCCCATTTCCTCCGGCTAATTTTTTTAAGACGGTCCTTCACTTCCTCTTGCCCATCATTTACTTTCCGGTGGCCTCCCACTCCCATCCATCCTTCATAACTCACTCTTTTCCCCACCATGTCTGACAGAGAAGCATTGAAAATCCTCACCCGGCAACCGGTGAATACTGATATGATCAATTTTCTTGTTTCTACCACAAACTCCATCATCCAGGTGAAACCCCCACAGAGATCTCCCCGGCTCAACTGTTTGCACACGGGGGATATGATGATCAGTCCCGTGGGTCATAAAACCATTAGTTTGGCAAGTTTTATCAAAAACTTGATCAAGTACTCCAACGTACAAACCCCAACTTTGATGGCCACCTTAATATACCTCAACAAGTTGAGAAACTTGTTGCCAGCCAACGCCATTGGCATGGAAACCACACGCCACAGAATCTTTTTGAGTTCGTTGATTTTAAGTGCCAAATGCTTGAATGATTCCTCTCCTTTGAACAAGCATTGGACTAAGTACACTGACGGTTTGTTGACTCTCGATGAGGTCAACATGGCTGAGCGGGAGTTGATTTCGCTTTTGCAGTGGAAGGTCAATGTGTACGAAGAAGATTTAATTGTGGCCTTGCAACCATTTTTGATTCCTATCAAGAACCAATTGTGGAAGAAGTTGTCGGCTGAACAGAACCAGAAGATGAGCTACTACCGGTTATCCAACGTCAACTTGGCCAAGCCTTACTCCAAATCACGGTCATCGAGCTCATCTTCCATCAGCTCTTTTAGTTCTGTAAGCTCTCCCAGCTTGACCATCTCGTCCAGCACCTCGTCATTGGACTCGATAGGTTCTGCCAGCTCGTACTCCAAGAGCCCATCCACCTACCTCGAGTCCTCGAGGCCCTTACAGCCCCGGTCGGTTAATAGCATGAACCGGGCTTATCATTCCAAGACGTACGACTCTTACCAGGACATCAATTTGATGCATTCGGGAAGGGTTATTGCGTAGGACCCTGTCCATGACACTCACTAAGGACACACGTTACACGTTACTTTCGTTGTATTTATTTCACTTTGAGACTTTTTTATGTATTTTATGGGTAATGGTTATACGGTTATTGAGATGTACAAGTGCGATTGAACCAAGGTTAGAATTACTGGTGTATGTTTCAGATCTCTGCTCACTGGGTATGGACATAAAGTCTCTACTAAATTGGTATATTTATTTACAGACTAATGGTCGTGAGGATCCTCCTTGGGTTGTTCCGGATTCACGGTGATCATCGTATCGATTCTTAATATGGCAATGCATGCCTCCAATGCAGATTTCAAAGATTTAATTTTTGAAATGGTTGGCTCCAATACCCCGTGGGTGATTTCATTCACAATACGCCCTTCAATTAAGTCCAACCCATAGTTTTTATAATTCTTACGCTTGGTGTCAGTGAGTAACGCTGTCTGGGACGCCGCGTGATACGTCCGCAACTTGGCAATCAACTCACTCGAGTCTTTGGCAGCATTGTTGGCCAAGGTCTTGGGAATAATCAATAAAGCATTGGCAAATTCAGCAATTGCCAACTGTTCACGAGACCCAACCGTAGTGGCAAAGTTCTCCAAGAAAATGTTCAATGCCGTTTCAACACATCCACCTCCAGGAACCACATGGCCGCTTTCCAACGTCCGCTTCACCACCGATAACGAGTCGTGAATGGATCTTTGCATCTCATCTAAAGAGTACTCATTGGCACCTCTCAAGATAATCGAAGACGACGAGTGCAGTTTCGTACCCTTGACCAAAATGCATTCGTCGTCACTGATTCTGGTCTGGGTCACTTCTTCGGCGTGGCCCAAGTACAGGGTCTCAAATGTCTCTTCTCCTTCCAAGTTACTCAAGTCACTAATTAAAGTAGCTCCAGTGGCCCTGGCAATCCGGCGTAAATCTTCCTTCTTGCACCGTCTTACAGCCATGGCTTTAGCCTCGATGAACTCCTTCAAACACAAGTCATCGATTCCCTTGGTCGTCAAAATCACGTTGGCACCCGCGGCCAAAATCTTGCGGATACGCTCAATGATGATTCCATACTCTCGTTTACGAATCTCTTCCAACTGCTCAGGGTCATCGATCTTGATATGAATCCCCATCGCCATCCTGGCCTTTTGCAAATTAATGTCCAAACAGGCGATTTTGGCGTTGGTTACACTCTTGACCATGGCCTGCGAAGCAACTGTACAGTTCAACGCGTATCCGTTCACCAACATACTTTCGGTGGCCGATTTCCCGTGGGCTTTCAAGATATTCACCGCCTTGACAGGATACCTGACTTCTCCCTTGTTGGTGGTGGTCTTTACCGCCAACATGGCGTCCACCACCAACTTACTGAAAAAGTCGCTGTCAGATCCAATGATCTTGGAAGACATTGAAGTTTTGGCGATATTAATCAAGGTGTCCTTTCCCAACGTCTCTACGGGGATGGACATCATATCATTGATGTAACGGATGGCCTCCTTCAACGCAAGCCGGTAACCGGTGATGATGGTGGTGGGATGGATTTTGTTCCTCACGAGTTCATTAGCACGCTTCAAAAGCTCACTGGCGATAATCACCACGGAGGTGGTACCATCGCCGATTTCACGGTCCTGTTGCTGAGCCAACTCCACGAGGATCTTTCCGGCTGGGTGCTTGACGTCCAAAAGTGATAAGATCGTTGCTCCATCGTTGGTGACGGTGACATCTCCGATATCGTCGACGAGCATTTTGTCTAATCCGACGGGGCCAAGGGACGACTTGACGACGTTGGCCACCGACTGGGCAGCCAAAACGTTCTGGTTCCTGATGTCGTCTCCACTGACTTTCTCACCTTCCAAGAAGAGTGTATCTGATCTTGCTGCTGAGTACATGTTGGATGCTTTTCACTTTTTTTTTCTTTGGTGAGCGCGCTATAAGCAGGGCGTAGTCACGTGAGTCGCCCCTCAGCCGTCGCGCGCAACCTCGCCAAAAATAAACAACCACAAATTCATTGTTGCCATACCCAACTCACAGATACTATTAAGATGTTGAGTCGGTTTATTGTCAGATCCAATGCTTATGTGCCGCTCGTGGCTGCTTGTAGGGTTCAATCTCGGCAGTTCTCCTGGTCAATGGCCATGTGGGCTGCTGCTGCCAAAGCCAAAACTAAAAAAAGTCAAACCCCTGAGGCCATCAAATTACAATTGTTGAAAGACACCTTGAAAACCGAGAAGTCCGTTTACAAAAAGTTGCAGGAGAAGTACTCCAAGGCGAAGGCCAAAGAAACCGAGAAGAAAAAGAAGGTAAAGGCTAAGGAATCCCAACAGAAAGAAAAGGCTAAGAATGATGTACTTCTTAAAAAGGCCTTAAAGACCCCAAGAAAATTGTCTCCCTTTAACATCTTTGTCAAGGAGAGAAAGGCCAAGGATATCACCGAGGCCAGCAAAGAATGGAAGGAATTGACTGATTTTGAAAAAGATGAGTTTGCTGATAAGGCTGATGCTTACAATGAAGACATTCTTGCAGTATTCAGCCCCAAGCCCAAAGCGCCTGTATTTGGCTTTGCGGCGTACGTCAAGAAGAACTTCATTCGGGACGGCCGTGACAACGTCGAGGTATTGAAAGAGTTGTCGTCGCAGTGGAAGCAGTTGAGCAGCTCTGAAAAAGCCCCGTATACCTTGGACAAAACTGAATGGGCTCGGTACCAAGAGCAGTTGAAGGACTGGAAACGGTATCGTATCGATGTGTTCAACGACAAGAATGGAACCAGTTTATCCTCCTAAATCCAATTTTGACCCGCAAAAGTTGATGTATATAATCTCGTCTTGTTTTGTTAATGTACCACCATCAGTAAAAATTGTATATTAATTACTTTTTGACCCTTACCACTCTATATAATAAAAGCATTGGCGAGAGATGGCGGTTCGCCTGGAAAACAGTCAACCAGTAACAGACTAAAACAAAGTAAAATGATAGCATCAGAAATAAAACCCACTAGCAGGGGCAGCCGTGAAAAAGGGTCCTTCTCTGTCCACAGCGGGAGCACTCCGCCTTGAGCGGGTCACCCTTTGCACAATTATATTACAAGATGGCACACTTTTTGGACTTCTTAATCACAGGGGGTTCCAAGGCAGCGACAATAGCTTCATCAAACACCGTCTTTAAGCCTCGTTGGGTTAACGCCGAACACTCAACGTACTTGACAATCTTGACGGCCCGCAACTCCCTGGCCAACTTCTCGCCCATTTCGTAGGTGATGGGCGACAACTTTTGTTTTTGTAATCTGTGCAAAATCACCTCGTCGTTTCTCAAATCAGTTTGGGTTCCCACAATTAAGCAAGGAACACCAGGACAATGGTGATGAACTTCTGGGAACCACTTTTCCTTGACGTTTTCAAACGATGCGGGTGCAATCACCGAGAAGCACACCAAGAACACGTCGGTAGATGGGTAACTCAAAGGTCTCAATCGGTCATAATCTTCCTGACCAGCGGTATCAAATAAGCCAAGGGTGAAGGGCTCGTCACCAATCATCACCGTGACGGCGTAGTTGTCGAACACGGTTGGCACGTAGTCGGCAGGGAATTTGGAGGTGGTGTAGGAGATCAAAAGACATGTCTTTCCGACAGCACCATCTCCGACAACAACACACTTTATGGTTTGCATTCTGGAGGTTTTTATGGATGTAGCGGGGAGCAATTGGGTTGCGTCTGACGTGGGTGTATGGGTCAGAACTGGTGGTGGCTAGGACGGCTAATTAAAAAACTGGCAAAAACGGATGGTCCTCAAATAAACCGATCCTTGTGAACTTGTTGATAATGTAAGTTTTGAAAATTTTTCCCTATTTTATCCCTGCGAAAGTTTCTGGCGCACACGAGAAAGCGGTCTAACAATACGAGACCAACTCGGTTAAAAAAAGAAATTGGTGGGTGGAACATTGATGAGAGGCGATGGGAGGAGGGGTGATAATGGGGGACAGATTATTGAGGGTCCTCAGATGGATAAAATCCTGGGAGGTGTATATCAGCTAGCCCCAGGAATAGGGGGTAGACGCGATATTGCGCCAGAGGCAAATGTCGTGGGTGTCGCATCTCCTGCGTTATCACCGCGTAATCTCTACTCATAATTCATCTATTCTCAATATCTCTGTACTACTCTCACATCTCTACTTCATGTTCATAAAAGTGTCGGCCGTCTGCATGATCTCCAAATCACTCGTGATATCGCTCGGTAAGTTGTTGGTATCGACCAACTTCAACGAATTGCCGGCCTCAAACGTAGCCATCTCCGCGTCCAACTCGTTATCCACAATCGAAGGACCTCCTCCAAGAAAGTCCAACATCATGTGCATTCCACCCGCACCATTGGCATACTCCTCCACGTCCACCGGCAAGATGTTCAGTACACCCTCCAAAAACCACACCTTATCCTTCATCTCGGTGGTGAAGGCCCTGAGAAGCTTATAGTAGGACCGCATGATTCTCATGGCCTTGATATCTCCACTCATCAACAACAGAAGAAACTGCTTGTCCAACAATGCCGGGAACGCAAAAATCCGCAAGATGAAATCGGATTTGTACCGTTCTTTGTGAAGCTTGTTCAAGTATGCTAAAGTGACCAAATAGGGCGAATCAATGGACACCGGGAATAGATCAGCAATATCGGAGTCGTGGCACTCGAGGTCCGTGAGGAACTTACTGGCCTGCTCGCTGCTGAGCGAGTCCTTGTTCAAATGGACACGCTGGTTAATGATATCGCCCAAGTCGCCCAAGTCCACTGAAATAAACTTGTAGAACCGCGATGCTTCCGTCAATGGCCACACGGCCGTGAGAATAGTCGCGGCACCTTTGACGTGGAAGATCCAGGCAGACGCTGGGAGCGATTTGGGCGAGGTGGAGCTGGGGAACGACGCATTGGCGAGCGAGTCCATGATGAGAATCAACGCACTGGCCACAAGCGCGTCGGTGTTGTCGGCGTTGATATCTAGCACCGCCTCACGAAGGAGCCGGAGCGCATCGCCACGGTGGTAGGTGACACACTGGTCGAGGCCCTTTTCAGTTCGGGAGAGATGGGTGGCACTGAAGGCGAGAATTGAGTGCATAAGGAACGGGTGTTCAAACGCAAGCATGGGGATATCATAGTTCCAGATGTTTGTGTCGGAGATGCCGGCGCCGGTGATGGTGCTGGCTACCTGGGATGTGTAGTGGAACATTAGCCGGAGGTCTAGCATGTTGAGGGACTCGGGGCCCATGGGGGCGGTGGGGTCCGCGAATGGCTGCGAAACATTGGGCGAGATGGTGGGGCCTCCCGCGCCGTTGGTGGCCTTCGCGGGGGTCATGTGGTCGCCTGGGTGCGCGCTGGCGGCGACGCTAGGTCCACCGGCGCTGAGTTGCAGGTCGATGAGGGTGCCCAAATTGCTGATATCGATCGGGAGTTGGGCAAGGGTGGCGAGGTTGGTGAGCGATGCCAAATTGCCGAGTGATGAGAGATCACCTCCCAACTCCGTGAGACTGTGTACGAGGTGGCTCAAATTAATGTTGTTCAAGTTCCCAGCGTTGAGAAGCGTTTGGATAGTCTGTGGCACCGATTGTGGTACCGCCAGCGGTAGCGATGGCGGTGCCTTGTCGTGAACCAGCACCAGCAGCGCGCGCGATGGCACCAGAGCCGGTGACACCAGCACCAGCGAACTGTCGCCCTCGAGGGGAAGTGACGTATCGGATGATCTGGGTCTTTTGGTACCGGCCTGGTGTGGGAGATCGTACGTCTCGGGAGGATCATTCATGTACCCACACGTCAACTTCAAGTTGCTGCACTTGTTGCACACAGGGTGATGTTCGTCACATTTGACTCTTCTCTTTTTACACGTCAGGCATCCATTACGTGACTTTTGATGATATTTTCGTTTACCAGTAGATGCCTTCGACTTGTCTGAGATCTGAGGAGAAATTTCGGACATTGATGGAAATGAAGTGAAGGAATGGTATGGGGAAAGATTTGTTTGTCCCAGGGGGAGTAGTATATAAAAGAGTGATAGGAGGTGTCGTTCCGGTCGTTTGTGATCTTTTTTTTTTGAAGGCTTGGTGCGCGACGTGGTCCGGGTATTGGGGGTGGTGGGGGTTGTCCTGATAGGGAAGAAATGTATATGACAATTGGTGGATGTAAAAATGGGTGGATGTAAGAATCTTGATCCTGGAAGTACTGCCATATGGATCTCGATTCTGGAATCTTGATCCGGGAATCTTAATCCTGCAAGTACCCTTGGTCTTGACTCCTATAGGAGTAAGCTGTGCGCGCCACGACGGCGCAGCCAATGCTGGAACCTCAAATTCTAATCATCGCATTCTCACTATACAATGGACGTTAATCCTCCCAGATGGAAGAAGGTTTTGCGAGCAGGAATATACGGGAACGCCGTGATCTTGTTGGGCGTAGTGCTCTTTAAGTACACGACTCCCACCGAAGAACAGCTCATTTCGCGCTTCTCGCCTGAGATCAGAGCCGACTACGAAAAGAACCGTCTGTTCAGACAACAGGAACAACAAGAGCTCATGAAAATCGTGCGTGAAACCAGCCAGTCCAGTGACCCGGTGTGGAAGACGGGAAAGATCAAGTCACCGTTTGAAAAGGACACCCGTGGACTCGACCCTAAGTTGGTGGATGTGAAGGTGTTTGAGAAACAGGAGGCTTTGGCCTACCAGCGAGAACAGATTGATAAGTCCACCGAGGAGTTGGCGGAGACCGAGAAGTTGTTGGCGAAGAAGCGGTGGTGGCGGTGGTGACCGTGAACGAGATAAGGTGTATACTGTAAATAATGTACATATGCTAAATGATGAACTAATGGGAGGACATTGGTGGACTCTGGTGTGCTGGTACCATGGTGCTACTGGCCCCGCCAGTAGCCAAACGACCGTTCCCCCAAAAACCTCATACCTCCTCCACTCTTCTGACTGTTGGCATCGTCCACCGCCGCCACTATTCTCCCTATGTTGGTGTCGATTACCATCCCCCCCTGCACAATCTCCTCCAACACCGTCTGCAACACCTGCCATCCAAACACCAAGTCCAATTCACAAACATTAGAAAAACACTTGTCAAGACACTCCACAAACACCTGGATCAAATCCAAGATTCCGAGCTCCGACTCCTGGTCGTCCACAATAAACACAAAGTAAAGGGTGGCGTAGTGACGATAGATCACCTTGATGTCGTCGGCGTCTTCAAGGAGTGACGGCAGAGTCAAGAAGGAGCACTCCTGGTCACTGCGCACCTTGATAAGCTGAAACACCTGCTGGAGAAGAAGCCGTTGCGTGGGGATATCAACCGGCGTGTAGAACTTCATGAGCCGCGGAAGCCCGTCGTTGTTGACTATGTTGTTAGTACGGGATGCTGAGCTGGTGATCGGTATACATACATATTAGCACCGAGTGAATCATGTTGGTTCGAGTTGGAGTTTTGCGCGACTCGCACTTAACTTTTACCACTATGTCTAAGCAGTTGTGCCAAACCAAAGATACACAGTTCCCGTGCCACCAGGACGAGTTTGCCGTGCCCACGTTCGAGTCCTTGGGAATCCAAACCGCCAAGTTCTCCCCCACCACTCCGTCCATCTATTTCTGTGGCAATTCGTTGGGGTTAATGCCCAAAGATGTCAAACCAGCAGTCATCAGAGAACTTGATGCCTGGAGTGCTAGGGGCGTCGAGTCGCATTTTAACCACCCAGACGAGCCTGTAGCTGCACCTTGGGTGGATGTGGACTTGCCGCTTCTTCCGTTGTTGGCACCGGTGGTGGGTGCACTTGAACTGGAAGTAGCGGCCATGGGGACGTTGACCAGCAACTTGAATGCGTTATTGGTGAGCTTTTATAAGCCCAAAGGCCACAAAACCAAGATCTTGTTCGAGAAGCAGGCATTCCCTTCGGATTACTATGCGTTTGTAAACTTGGTCAAGCTTTTTGGATATGATGAATCACATTTGATTCAAATCGAGGTGCCACAAAACCACACGTACTTGAAAACCCTGCTCATTCTCGAGGCCATTGATGCCCACAAACACGAGCTCGCATTGGTGTGCTTTCCGGGAATCCAGTACTATACGGGCCAACTCTTCGACATTGAAACCATCACCCGGTACGCCAAACAAAGAGATATTGTGGTGGGCTGGGACTTGGCCCATGCGGTGGGAAACGTCCCGTTGAAGCTCCACGATTGGGAGGTTGACTTTGCTGCGTGGTGCTCCTACAAATACTTAAACTCAGGTCCTGGGGCCATTGCCGGTATCTTTGTGCACGAGAAGTACACAAAAGATAATTCTCCCGACAATTTTGCACCCAGACTCGCAGGCTGGTGGGGCAATAATGGACAAGAACGGTTCAAAATGTTGGAGAGCTTTGATCCCATCAAGTCGGCCTTGTCGTACCGCCAGTCCAATCCTTCGGTGATAGACGTGGTGTCTCTTCACACGTCGTTGAAGCTTCTCCATGCCAAAGGAGGAGTTGACACTTTAAGAGTGAAGAGCGTAGAAATGACAAACTATTTGCTTGAGCAATTGCAGCAGTCAGAGTTTTACATTGATCAGGATGACCACAAACCCAATTACGGGTTTCAGGTCTTGACACCTCTCAATGAGCACGAAAGAGGGTGTCAGCTCTCGTTGCTCTTTAAGCCCGACGGATTAATGGACAAGGTGTTTGGTTATCTCCATGAGCATGCGATCATTGTGGACGAGAGAAGACCCAGTGTGATCCGGCTTGCACCAGTGCCATTATACAACACGTTTGAGCAGGTGTACTACGTTGTGAAGCGGTTAAACGAAGGATTGGACAAGTTTAAACCCTGAAACCCTCAACATATACCTAATGTACTCTTTTATTCGTATACACTTACAAAGTAGAGGAAACGTGGAAGTTCTTACCAGCGTAAACAGCCTTGTCTCCCAACTCTTCTTCGATTCTCAAGATTTGGTTCAACTTGGCCAATCTTTCGGATCTGGCTGGAGCACCGGTCTTGATTTGTCCAGCTCTCAAACCAACAGCCAAATCGGCAATGGTGGTGTCTTCGGTTTCACCACTTCTGTGAGAAACCATGACACCCCAACCAGCAGCATAAGAGTCGTTGGCAGCCTTAATGGACTCGGTCAAAGTACCAATTTGGTTAACCTTCAACAACAAGGCATCGGCAGCCTTGGTATCAATGGCAGTCTTGATTCTGGTAGGGTTGGTGACAGTCAAGTCATCACCCACAATTTGCACCTTTCCACCAACCTTCTTGAAAAAGTGAGTCCAGGCATCCCAGTCATCTTCGGCAAATGGATCTTCAATGGACACAATTGGGTAGTCCTTGATCAATTGTTCGTATAAGTCAGCTAATTGTTCACCACTCAACCACTTGGACTTGTCAGAATCAGGGTTCTTGAAGTCCAAGTCGTAGAATCCATCCTTGTAGAATTCGGATGAAGCCACGTCCAAGGCAATACCGATTTGGCCCTTGTAACCAGCTTGTTCAATGGCATCAGTGATCAAGTCCAAGGCTTCCTTTGGAGTGGAAATAGCAGGGGCAACACCACCTTCATCACCAACGTTACCGGCAGAAGGTCCGTATTGCTTCTTGGCCAACGACTTCAAGTTGTGGTACACTTCGGTACCGATTCTCAAACCTTCGGAGAAGGTTGGGGCGTCGGTTGGTACAATCATGAACTCTTGGAAAGCCAAAGAACCACCAGCGTGAGAACCTCCGTTCAAGACGTTTTGGAAAGGAACTGGCAAAACGTACTTGTCTTGTTTGGAACCAGCGAGGTCGGCCAAGTGCTTGTACAATGGAACGTCCTTTTCGGCAGCACCGGCCTTAGCGGCAGCCAAAGAAACTCCCAAGATAGCGTTGGCCCCCAACTTGCTCTTGTTTGGGGTACCGTCCAAGGAGATCAAAAATTCGTCCACCTTTTCTTGGTTGGTGATGTCGAGTTTAGCTTCGACAAACTTTGGGGCAATGATGTCGTTGACATTGGCCACGGCCTTCAAAACACCTTTTCCTAACCATTTGGACTTGTCACCATCTCTCAATTCCAAGGCTTCGTGAATACCGGTGGAAGCACCAGATGGCACAATGGCTCTGAATAATCCCTTGGAGGTGGTCAAATCGACTTCGACGGTTGGGTTTCCTCTGGAGTCGTAGACGTATCTGGCGAAAACTTTAGTGGCAGCCATAATTGAAATTGGTTATATAATGTATATGTATTATAGGGAAGAAAAAAAGTGAGCAATGTCAGGGGATTTGAGAGGCTATTTATATGGATGAAAATTTAATTTGTGGACCACAATTACCCGATCCGCCGAGCGAGTCAGGTGAGGGTGAGTCAGGGAACTGTGAGAGTGAAATGCTTTCAGAACAGTTAGTACGGTTTTGGAAACCAATCCTGTCATTGGAAGATGATGGGGTATCTATCATTCCTGGAACTAATCGATGGAGAGCTCAATTGGTAACCGGGGATTAGAATTGGGTATTGACTGACAGGGTGAGCACTTCGGCGTCGGACTTTCACAAGCGTCGCGCCCTGGCTCGGATGGACGGACTGCGCGCCACCGCCAGCCGTAGGGGCCCGGGTCTCCCTTGTGCCACCACGGTACCAGTATTTGTCGTGTGTATACCACTGGGCCCACCTCCAGGTGCTCGTTTTCGCGACCTTCACGACATCTTCGAACAACTATGGCTGACAAGGACGAATATACCACACTAAAGACTCAGCTCACCAAGGAAATCCTCAAGAAGCAGGAGCTCTCTAACAAACTCACGAAGCTTGAGGACCTCATTTACGACCGTGAAAATGAGTATTTCAACGAGAGTGCCTATGGCAACATCGTCAAAGGGTTTGAGAACTTTAGCAAAAACACCAGTAATAACAACAAAAAGCGTATCATTTACACGGAGGAGGACCATATATTCAGTTTGGCATCGACCCAGTATATCAAGAGTTTGATGAAGAGGCAAGGCCAAAGTTTGAAGGAGGATTATGATGATTATGAGGATGGGGTGGAACCTCCGGATGCTAATGGGGTGGCAGTACATACGCCTGGCAGTGTTGGTGGGACTCCGGGCCGCAAGAGGAAGATCAGAGACGAGTAGATCGATGAATCAAAAAATATTCATATTTCCAGGTGAAAATCAAGATCTGATCAGCCTGATCGAATACCCAAATTCAATAGGCCTGTCTCATCTTCCACAAATGCTCCGCTGGAGCTCTTCTTCACCTTCCTAACTTTGTACAATAGTGTAGTTTAGTCGTAATAGTGCATGACTGTCTTTATTACTATCCTTTCTTTCCATTAGTGTATTTTATTCGTATATACAAGTGCTCACTATCTATCTCACGCTTTCCCCTGGTTCTTGTGGTTGTACACCCAAGGCATGTTTGCCGGGTAATCGGTGGGGACTCTCATATTTAATGGATACCAGTTGTTCTCGTCCAGCTTATTGGCCATTTGGTACAAGCTGGGACTGATGGCCTTTAACGTGTCCATGGCGTTGTGAATCGACTCATACTGTTGCTGCAACTGCTGGTATCTCTTTGTCTCCTGTTTTCTCGTGAACGACTTCCATGCGTTCTGGATGGTGTTATGCTTGATCAAGTCTTCGTGACTGAGTTTGATGAGTTTGGGTTGTTTTCTGGACGCCGAAAGCGCAGAAAGCTGGTTAACCACTCTTTGTGTCGAAGGGTTGACTGTCGTGGTGGCCTTGGTTCTCACGGTGATCTTTAACGTGTTGGATATCATTATGGAGCCGACTACTTCTCACTGAAAAATTTTAGTTTTAGTGGAGTGCGGCAGCGTGCGCTCACCGCTATCGCCAATATGGCTGCGACATGGCCTGAAATTCAAAGCAACTAAGTTGCCCTATATTAAACTAGATATAAATATGAGTGACAACTACTCGCATCCTCCGGAAGATCCTCCATCGTATACCGAAAGCACTCACCAGCAACAGCTGGTTACAGGTCCAAGCTCTCCCCCCCTTAGCGACAACATCACCATCCCACAAAAAGCCCCACAGTATGAAGGAAACAACGAATATCCGCCCGAAAAACAACAACCTCCTCCCAATGGCAAGTATGACCCGATGGCAGACCCAAAAGTATACAAGGTCCCCCCACAATTGGTAAATATCACACAGGCCAATCCCCAGCACTTGAATCCTTCATATCCACAATACCAGGAACGCGAACAGCAGAGATTGGCCCAAGGACATGCCCCCAATCCCGCCCGGTGGAAGCACGGGGCACCATTGGAACCGGGGAAAACGAACCCGCTGCACAAAACTGGTGGCAGTTCGTTTCCCGGCCGTGGTGGTGCCACTTACAACAATGCAGCCAACAAGTAGGAGTTGAAGGTTTGGTATTTGTGGTAAGGCTTGTGGGTAGTCTGCTTTTATAGTTGTGTTTGTGTATGCTCTAGTCTGTCTGTGGTACGTCACATGACGGTCTCACCATTATATGTCCAACCACCAAACTGTTTCTGCACCGACTCACTCAAAAAACTATCCACCACCGAGTCCTGCGGCCGCTCACTGGTAAAGTCCTGGTCGAAGTTCGACGTGTCTAGTAAACTGGCCACATTTGGCTTAAATGGCGGCAGATATCCCTTACTGTTCAACTTGTCCCAATCAATGTCCTTAAAGAAAGCATGGGCCTTAATCTCCTTTGGATCGGAAAGCCGTTTTGATGGGTCTTTCTGCAACAACTTCGTCACCAAGTCCACCACCAGTGGCTCTTTGGCAAGAAAGTCTGGGAACGTCAACGGGTTTTGAAGAATCTTTCTATACATCGTAGTATGGTCTTCGTCGTAAAATGGAGGTAAACCCGTGAGCATCTCGTAAAGAAGGGTTCCGAGAGTCCACCAGTCAACGGACCGAGTGTACCCCTGGTTCAAAAGAAGCTCGGGTGCCAAGTACTCGGGAGTACCACAAAAAGTGTTGGTTTTGTCATCGTTGTTCATGTTAAGCTTACAAAGGCCAAAGTCACACAAGGCGATATGGCCCTGGTAATCTAATAAGATGTTCTCTGGCTTCAAGTCCCGATAAATCACATTCAACTCGTGCAAACTCTCAAGGGCAGAAAGCAACTCGGCGATGTAGAACCGGGAGCGATCCATGGAAAACTTACCTTCCTTCTGCAAATGGTGGAACAACTCACCTCCATTGATGAACGCCAACACAAGGTACAACTTCTCCGGCAGCTGGAACGAGAACTTTAGCGGCACCACAAACGGGTTGGTGATGTTGGCAAGAACCGTTCTCTCGGCGAGGGTGTGAGTAACCTCCATCCGGGAAATGATATGCTGTTTGCGGATGGTCTTAAGCGCATAGATTTGGTTGGTGTCCTTCTTGAGCACCTGCATCACCTTTCCAAACGACCCCTTTCCAATTACCTTGAGCAAGTCAAACTCCTCGATCGAAAGGTGTTTTTTGGTGATGGGCTTGAAGTCGATGGAGACGTTGAGCCTACCGCTGGGGGCCGGGTCCTCGGGCCGTGAGAAGCTGAGGAACTCGTGGTTGAGGAGCCGGATTGCGTCCGAATGATACTTGAGGTTGAGCGGTACTTTGATGGACCCCACCAAAAGCTCTTCAATTGATGGCCGTTGGTCGTCGCTGGCACTGAACAACCCCGGCAACCGCACAAACAAGTTCAACGTGAGAAAGTTAGAAGAGCTGTTTGTGGATCTAAGGGTCTTTGTCACGTCAAACGAAATCACCTTGTTCCACACCGACTGCGCGATGGTACCATCGACAGGCTCCACCACAAGCACACTGTTTTCAAATTCCACTGTCAAATACATGAGCGACCGCACGAGCTGCTCATCATCGTGGCCTTTAGGGATGTTGACGACGGCAGGTAAACAGGAGGAGTTGGTGGTGGCAGGAAGATAGGGGTCATCGTCAGCGATGGTACCAATTTTCTTTAGGAGATTGGAGCGCACACCATCCAGCACCGTGTTCATCGCCAATGCCGTGAGTGCGTGCTTGGAGTTGTTGATTTTGACCGGGAGGCGTACAGAGTCGGAGTTGTAAATTTTGATGGTGAGGAGGCCAGGGTGAGAGGGTGAAGTTTGCACTTCAGGAGGAGTAGATGCTGTGGTCGTGGGAGCCGTGGGCGCTGCCTTAGCGGGACTTGTCAGTGTCGCTGACAGATGGTGAGAGCGTCCTGTCAACGAGGAGGCACTGCTGCTGTTCAGGACATTCTGGGTAGTGATGGTAAGTTTCTGAACCGAGTCGGCTAAATGGGAGGCTGAGGGCGTCAGATCTTGACTCTTGGCCAGGCGAGAGTCAGCAGGTGTGTCATCGTGACTGGCAGTGGGCGACGGGGTGTCATGGGCTTGGGCCAGCGATGTGAATTTGAGTTTATTTCTAAACTTGAACATAGGGGAATGACAAAAGTGAAAGAGTAAAGTGAGACTTAAGCGCGCACAAGTTTGGAGTTTTGTGGAACTGCGGCAGAGAATGTCGTATGACCAGCATTCTGAAACGAGACCGCGGTACTGGGGTTGTCGATTCATTGATCATTGACACTAAGGGATTGTCACCTGCCGTCGAATACCTTTCATTCACATCACTACTGGTACATATGTCTATCTGGTTCACGCCTTACATATACAAACTAAAACTCTATATCTATTTGCATATAATTGATAAGTTTGCAGATGACTCGCACTTTGTTGCCCTACATCTGCTGATATCAGATACGAGACATGACTATGACCACAGGCGACTCGCGACATTTGCTCGGCGCCCTCGACTCATTGTCGTTACTTCAACCGGTTATCATCCTTCCCCCTCGGATATAATCTTGAAAGTCAATGTCGCGCGTCTCACTGCGACCTCAAAGCGTGTTTTGGTTCGCGGCCCCGATGTAAACAATCCACCATTTCCAGGTGTTGTTTGCCCCATTGAGGAGTGCCTCCGTCCTACCAACGCCCCCCTGTTCGTGCCCTACTTATACACCCCCCAAAAAACAATGCCCCTCGTGCATCTCGTGTCGCGCCGCTCTGTCTCTCACCACTCCCACCTTATCCGTTCCCGCCACGTCGCCCTAGCCTCGTCGCCATTTTTTTTTTTCCACAGCCGTGAACAACACAAAACCGTCCGCGTTGTTTTCTGTTTTGATCTAACTTTTTCAATCTACAATTTGTAAAAACTTTCCTTTACTTAACTTTAACTACCAGCATAATTTAGCATTGCGAAGGCCCCCTCCTGTGATCGTGAACGCATAGACAGTCTTCCTTACCCTTGTCATTCCTTTGCCCTTTTTCCGCATCTTTGTACGTGCTTCTTACCGCCATTGACGTTTTCATTAGTGTTTACTAACACCTTTTAGAAATGACTTCTATTGCATCTCACCCCCAGCTGTCCGCCGACTTTCCACAGGCGCCTGTGGACGAAGAGTCCTGGAACGTCGACCGAGTGGTTCAGTCGGTCACTAATGCCAGTAAAAGGCTCTCTCAAATATCCACAAACACAAACAACTCCAACAAAAAACGCAAAAGTCAGAACCGTATCGGGCCTTGGAAGCTTGGCCGTACCCTAGGACGAGGCTCCACTGGAAGGGTCCGCTTGGCGAAGAACATCAATACCGGCAAGTTGGCTGCTGTTAAGATTGTTCCCAAGTCCAACTTCAAGAAACTTGAAAACCCCAAGTACAGAAACTTGGCGGGTAGAAACTTACCATACGGAATTGAACGTGAAATCATTATAATGAAGCTCATCAACCATCCCAATATCATGGGACTATTTGATGTTTGGGAGAATAAGAACGATTTGTATCTCATTCTCGAGTATATTGAAGGAGGTGAGCTTTTTGATTACATGATTAAAAGAGGTAAATTGCAAGAATATGAGGCCGTCAACTACTTCAAGCAGATCATCCACGGTATCAGTTACTTGCATCAATTTAACATATGTCACAGAGACTTGAAGCCTGAGAATTTACTTCTTGATTTCAACAAAAACATCAAGATTGCTGATTTTGGTATGGCTGCCTTGGAAGTGAATGAAAAGTTACTTGAAACCTCATGTGGTTCTCCACATTATGCTTCACCTGAGATTGTCGCTGGTAAAAACTATCACGGGGCTCCTTCTGATATCTGGTCCTGTGGAATTATTTTATTTGCCTTGTTAACAGGGCATTTACCATTTGACGATGAAAACATCAGAAAGTTGTTGTTGAAGGTCCAAAACGGCAAGTTCATTATGCCTGCTAACTTATCCGCAGAAGCCAAGGACTTAATATCGAGAATGTTGAGAGTTGACCCTGACCAAAGAATTACCATCGAAGGAATTCTCAAACATCCATTATTAACTAAGTATCCTAACAACTTACCCTCTAGTGCTGGAGGTATTGGTTATCATAATCTCAACATCAAACCCCTCAATAGTTCCAATAAGGTAGATAAGGAGATCTTAAAGAACTTATCGATTTTATTCCACAACTGTGACGAAGAAGTTATAATGAGTAGGTTGTTATCTCACGAAAAAAATCCTGAAAAGGTGTTCTATTACTTGTTGATGAAATATAGAAATGACCACATTGATGATAACCTTGATTTGTCGAGTGGGTCGATCATAAAGTCTAGTTCAAGATCTCCAGAAAAGCTGTTGAAGAAATCGACCTCTTCTAAAAAGGCTTTGAATAACATCACCAACACTTCAAATTCCTTCAAGGCATCCAATTCGTTCAACAAAAAGAAATCAATGAAATTGAATGAGAGTATTACCATTTCACGGTCCAGCTCCAAACCAGTTCAAAAGTTAACTAGAAAATTAACTGGTAACGAATTGAGTAAGATGATTCATGATGATAAAGAGAATAACATATCGGCCATGGAAAGACATGAACGCAGATTGGCTAAGAAGGTCCATGACATCAATGAGGCCAGGGCATTGAAGTATGAACAAGAAAAGCAGAAAGAAAGTGAACAACTGACAATTCCCTCTCATAGCTTTTTGTCTACCGATGAGGACTCAGACCTTTCCCAGAAAGACAGTAATCTTGAGCACTCAGACACAGAGCCTTCAGGTAAACGGCTCCCTCCAAATGCCGCTGTTTTGTCTGCTTCCCCCAGAAGAAATGTCACCGAACCTCCTTTACCATCTCAATCTCTTGACCCCCGTATTGCTGGTATTAGTTCACTCTTGAGAGCAAAATCGTTGGCGGCACCTTCTTCATATGCCTCTTTGAGACGTACAGGAGTCAATGAAAACACAACTAAAGTGTTGAAGAACTTAGGGATCGAGCTCAACCAACCATTCTTGGTCAAGAAGACGGTGAAAACATCTAGTTCTATGAGATTATCGAGCTTCATTGATAAAGAGAACATGAACATTTCCTTGAAGGAGTTCAACGTGTTGGAGAAACCGGTGGCTAAACCCGCTCAGGATGCGGTGACTAAACCCTCTCAGGATGAGGTGCCTAACCTAACCCCAAAGTACTCCTCGCTTTTGTCTGATGATAAGGAAGGTACTAGAAAGAAACTGACACCTCCCACTTCGGCTTTACCAAACAGACCCGATGCTCCTAAAGGCATAGTGTTGACGACAGAAGCAATTACTTCTGCTCAAAAGATGTCACCTGTGAGATCTACTTTCCAAGCAACTTCTACCAACTTGTCTCAGGTGTTCAACTCCAAAAGACCCATGATTCCTAATCCACGATTTTCGAGATTCTCCTTTAATGGGTTGCTTAACCTGTTTAACCCTGAACTGGAGATCTACAATAATGTGAATGTCAAGAGCGAAAGTGGCACTGTTGTGCGTCACAAGTCCAAGTCTCAACTCAAGAAGTCCACTACTATCGATTTGAAGGGATTAGCAACCAGCTACAACAAAGATGATGAGTTCATTTCGGTTTCTGTAAGTGACAATGAAGAGGAAACGAACAACACAACGTTGATGAGGAATGCCATTACTGATCAAGGTATTATTCAGGAGAACGAGCCCGATGCTAGCATTCTGCGGCAAAACATCTTGGATACAACCTCTTTGGCTGATACCATTAATGTTGAAGAGAACGAATCCAACGAATTTGAAATCAGCAAACACGAACAGGATTTCGACGACGAAGATGAACAGGGCTCTGATACTGAAGTGGACTCTCGGGCGTATGACCGTGATACTTCGTCGAGTTACCAGGAGAATAATGATAATTATAGAGATCTGCAACAAGGCCAGCTTGATTCGGAGGATAGAAGTTTCAATCAAGAAGATAGAAGCTTTAATCAAGAGAGAAGCTTTGGCCAAGATGAAGGAAGCTATAACCAAGAGGATAATGAAAGCAGTAGGCACCGGCCTCAACAGTTGGAGTTGGATGACCATCAAGGTACGATATCCACCATCATGTCTCAGCACGCCCTTTTAATGACCAAACCAATCAAGCCAGTGTCCTTAGTTGAGGCAAACCTGCCGTTATCTTCGCCCGTCACTGAAACGGCACCGGTGATTTCAGGTCCTAAACCAGTGGAAATTCAGCCTTCCAAGCCTGGTCGGGTTCACACAACCGTATTGAGAAGACTTAGTTTAAGGCCCAAGCGTGAAGCTCCAAAGCCTCCTATGTCGAAAGACGAGGAACTAGAAGCTCCTAAGGAGAATTGGTTCATGAAAATCATCCATTCACTTGGAGGGTCATCGTCCCCAAATAACAAGCAGAATAAGATCACGACGATTAACTCGGAACTCTCTTCTGTTGAGCTTCTTGAAATTATCCGAACTACTCTTGAGCTCAAGAAATTCGAAGGCTCGCTTACCCATTTCAACATTGACGAAGAGTTTGGTATTATAGATGGGTTGGTTCCCTCGAACTTTGCTAACGGCAGAAAGCTCAAGTTTAAGATTGAGGTCATCGATATGGTCAACCGATCAAGCTTACATTTAATTAAGGTGAAGGGATCTACGAAGAGTTTCAAGAACTTGATCAAGATCGTTTCGTTCATCATCCGGGAGCACGAGAAGAAGCGTTAAAATATATGTATAGATATAATGAAAATTGTTAGATACCTTGAGATGAAGTCATTTGGTGGATTATGGAGTTTAGAAAATCTCTGAAAAATTGAAAATAATTGAATGCTAGAGCTTCACGACGGGACAGATGCAAACTTGACACAAAGGTGCAGACGCAAACAAAATCTCATCATACTTGCTCCGTATCTCCGTACACCTCATCTCATCTCATGTCTCTCTTCTCTTGCATACATTACACACAAAGAGCAGACCTCCGCGCCGCATCTCTGCTTCCTAAAAAACCGCTTATCATGACTCATATATCTATGCTCGGCCGATGTATTGTCCTAATCGAGACCCTTCCCGAGTATGACAGATCTTAGTGAAAACCTTAATGAAAATCCTTCACCTGTCACATTCAGAAGTATAGTTTAGAAGGGGTATAAAACAGGGACTGGCTCCCGTTGTTTCTGTCCTCATGAGTTTCCGTACGAGAATTACACAGTTGTTCAAATCGAACAACACCAGCGACCGAAAAGACAGGTATCCTGGAAAGGACCACGAAATAGAGAGTTTGAAGAGAACGCCGAAGCCTATGGAGAAGAAGGGATTTTCGAGCAGCACACAAGAGAAGATGAGGATATTGTGATTAATTAGATGGCTTATATATGTAAAATAAATAACAATTATTCGAGCACCGTAGGCTGGGGTCGCGCCATTTGGTCGAATTCTCTACCAATTGCCCGGTCTACCAGTGGCATTTTGTCGCAGTCCACGAGTCGCATTTTACTCTCAGTGATCGCTTCTACTGGCACTATCTCTCACTATGAGCGGCACCATCATCAGAGCCAATTGGGACAACGGCCAACACACCCAACACTTCGTTGCCGTCACTCCCCTCGGCGATGAGATCATTCTCTACACCACCGACGCCGACACCATCTCCCCCACTGTGTCTCGCGGTGGCTTTGACAATATCCTGTGTTCCACCTACTCCCAATTCCAACATGGATTCACTGCCGTTGGCCAAATCAACGGTACCGTCGGCGTATTGGATATGACCGACAACTCCTCCACCGTTATACGTCTCCGCCCCAAACAGAGTAGGCCGTGCAACGCGGTTTCGTTCAGTCATTCGCTTGTGGCAGCAGCTTTCGATAAAGGCCGACAAGATACAAGTCTTCAAATCTGGAGCCTCGACAGCGAGTCCCGCCAGATGCCGGTCCACAGCTACGTTCCCAATGAGGCGGTGTTATCGGCACTTTTCTACCCTGATCGCCCCGACCATTTGCTTTGTGGCAGCTATAAGTACTTGCGAGAATTCGACATTCGTGCTGAAGTTCCAGCTTTCCAATTAGCGGCAAAGTGCACCCTCGACCTAGCGGTGGACCCGTTCCAGCCCCATAACTTTCTGTCGCTGGGCGAAGACGGACTGTTGGCGCTCTGGGACCGGCGGATGTTGACCCGCAAGAATCGAGAGCTGCCGGTGCTACAGTTCAATAAGTTACTAGACACCTCGAGGAAGAATGCCCGGCCGTGCTTGCGGTACTCGCCGGTGCGGCGGGGTGAGTTCTCATCCATCTTTAACGGCGAGTTGATCCGACGTTGGCACACGGGCGTGGTGCCTGCTACTGACGATGCGTCCGCTACTGCCACCACCCCCGTCATCAGCTCTAGTGCTGGCGCCGCCGTCGGGGCCACCGCCGCTCTCAAGGCCCAATCGGCTCAGTTGTACCGCCCCGACCATGATAGCCTTTTCGTCAGTCTCGTGCTCGACGTAAAGGCAGACTACTCCCGTGTCATTTCGTTCGACTACTCTCCCGATGCCCGTGCTGCCACCTCCACCTCTTTTGTGTGTATGCGGCAGAGTGGGTCGGTGTTTCGAATGCCGGCCGTTGAGTGCATTGAGTCGCTTGACTTCAACTCCAATAACGAATTCTCCATAGTGGGTCCAGAAGGAGCTTTCACGCGGTTTTTGGACGAGCCAGCTCCAGGACCACCGTCTCGTGCTAATGATTTACTGCTTAGTGCTGACTTGAACCGGTTCCGGGAAGAAAACACCCCTCCTGTTGTAGACGGTGACGAAAACACCGAAATCGACGATGAAAACACCGATAACATCGAAAACGGCCATGACCTCAACGACCACGCCGCCGTGTGGAATATGCTTGGCACCTCGGACATGCTCCGCAACGATATCTGTTGGACCATACGCCGTAGAGCCGTGTTGGGCTATAGCCACGACTGCGAGCTCAATATTCGGGTTCTTGAGTCCATTGACGATATCGACAATCAACTAGCTCTCCGAAACACCTGGAAATGGTTGAGTCTCGCCAAAAAGTCTCTAGACAAGGGAACAATGGTGTCACATGGGGTGGATCTTGGGTTTCTTGGGGTCATAGGTATATGGAATGGGATAGAAAAGTTGACCAACCCCAAACGGTTCAACACAGACGGACCGCTCCTGGAACAATTTTTTGCCCAAACCATCAAGGCCATTGTTCTGTCAAAAGGCAAGAAGGCTGCAGCCATTCACATTCCTAGTGCCAGTGAACATAAAGCCCAAAGAAAGCTTTGTTTGATTGTGCTGGGATGGTATTTCAGCGACGAGGAGTTTGATGAACGACTCGAGATCCTCGTGTCTCTTGGGTTCTATGAAAAGGCAGCTGGTTGGGCGGTGTTCCACGGTCACATTGACCGGGCAGTTTCTATTTTGTCACTGTCGCCCAAAGAACGACTTCGGATCATCGCCACCGCCGTGGCTGCTTATTTGGCCTACAGAGACTCCAACGTCAATAGTCCGTGGAAAGATCAGTGCCGGAAAATGGCCCTGGAGTTGGATAATCCATACCTTAGGGCCATATTTGCGTTCATTGCCGATAATGACTGGTGGGACGTGTTGGATGAGCACAGTTTGCCGTTGAGAGAACGGCTTGGAGTGGCCCTTCGGTTCCTTTCCGACAAGGACTTGACGGTCTACTTGCATCGTCTTGCCGACTATGTGGTAACTAAAGGAGAGTTGGAAGGGTTGATGTTAACGGGAATCACTGGGCGTGGAGTCGACTTGCTCCAGCTGTACGTTGATCGTACCAGTGACGTGCAAACGGCTGCGTTGATGGCCTCATTTGGGTCTCCCCGGTATCTTGTTGACAGGCGTATCGACCACTGGATCGATTCGTACAGAGGCCTCCTTAACAGCTGGAGTCTTTTTAAGACCAGAGCCACCTTCGATGTCCATCGCACAAGACTCTCCCGAACCTCTACAGGTGTGCCTACCCTTTCGGCCGTTCCTAAACAGGTGTACCTCCAATGTCCAAGGTGTTCCAAGAACCTTTCAACTAGGGGCCAGTCCAAACCCAAGCCCCAACTTCCACCACGCAGAGCCACTCGTAATGATACAAATTCATGTCCCCACTGTGGAGCACAACTTCCCCGGTGTTCGGTGTGTCTTCTTTCGCTTGGAACACCTGTGCCCTTTGAAACCCTGGTTACACCGGCATCGGCGTCTCTCATAGAGAACAGGTTCAGGGAATGGTTCAGTTTCTGCTTGAGTTGCAACCACGGCTGCCATGCATTCCATGCTGAGGAGTGGTTCGCTAAGCATTATGTTTGTCCAGTGCCAGATTGCAGTTGTCAGTGTAACAGCTTATAACCACGAATGAACCATTTAACCATGCATTTAAAATTCATCTGACCCACGCACCCATGCACAATGTACTAATAGAACTAGATCATATAATAATTCGCTATTTAATTATCATTCATGTGTAGACTTCCTAATCAAGAAATAATTGAGTTAATTAAGAAAAATTCATGCTTTCCTATTGAGCCAAATACTTCTTGGACTCCCAGTCCCATCCTCCTTGGCGAATCTCTTATTCTCTTGACCAGCTACCAATTATATCACTCATGGGGATACATCCCACCTACCACTGGTCGTGCCCCTTCCCAGCTCTCTGCACGACTGCTCTGTTTTTTTTTAGCGTTTCTAGCGCGCAAATCGGGCTGTCAACACAAACCAAATCGCTGAGGGTCTGTTGCCTATACATCAATATATCCTTTCAAAAATCCAGTGTTTCGTGTAGTTCGACCCATTTTCTGAATCTGACTGTCTGATTCACCCTCCTCCTTGTTTTTCCCGTCTCACACTGTTCTCAATGTCCCAAGGAAACTCAAAAGTCTTGGACGACATTCGAGCCAAAATCGATAGAGAAACCAAGTTGATCCAAGGGTTCCAATCGCTTAAACGAACCACCACCAACTCAGAGGTCATCCAACGGTGCAATAATCAGATCCGTGAAACCCAATCGAATATCGATTATTTGCAAGAAACTCTATCGAAGTTATCTTTGCAACAAAAACAGCAATCCGAACAACCACCCCAACAGCAAAATGGCCATCGTCCGGTGTATTCGAGGTTCGATCTCATCAAGTATGATGGGCCTTCATTGGGCCACCGGATTCAATACATGGTACAACAATTGCAGTTCAAACTCCAGGTGGAAAATCAATATAAGGCTGCCAACGAGAAAATCAGCCAACTTTACTTGATGGACGGTGACAAAAGCAGCTCGATAGCCGCCGAAGGCGGTCGTGTTGAAAGCGACCAGCGGATTCAATTGCTCAATAAGGCGTTGAAGCGGTACCAGGACATGCACATCGATGTGGAAGAGGTGACTCGTGACATGGAGATGATGAATACCCCCAAGTATGCCCGTCGTCCGCTTCTGGGGAAGTTGTACGTGACAATCACGTGTGTTCGGGATATTGATCACATTGCTCTGCCAATGTTTCTGAAACGGCCAGAGTCCTTGGTTTGTGTCAAGGTGGATGATGTGGAAAGAGCCAAAACCAAGCCTAGCCGTAATGGGAAATGGAACGAAGAATTTGTGATCGATATCGACAAGAGCCATGAACTTGAGCTTGCTGTATACGACAAGTCCGGTTCTGCTTTGGTTCCTGTAGCCGTGGCTTGGGCTTTATTAAGTGATATCGCTGAAGAACTTAGAAAGAAAAAGGTTGCAAATGATGGAAATGAGGGATGGGTTACTGCGTCGGCTGCCTCCGCTTCTGACTACCAGGGTCCTGGATCTGGTAATGCCTTCGGTGCTGGTGCCAATTCAGGAACTGGCTCCTACGGTGATTCTTTTGGATCTCTGAACCCGGTGCCAGTTCCCTCTCCTCCAGTCCAATCTACCTCTGATTCACCAAGAGTGTCTGTTAGTACCTGGATTAATCTCGAGCCAGTGGGACAAATGCTCGTCACTCTAAGTTTTGACAAGTCCAACTCATCAAGAAAACAGTTCATGGGAGCTTTGGGACGTCAAGGTGCTATTAGGGCAAAAAAAGAAGAGGTTTTCGATCAACACGGCCATCAGTTTGTGCAGAAACAGTTCTACAACATTATGTGCTGCTCCCTTTGTGGAGAATTTTTGCGTTACACGGGATTCCAGTGCCAGGATTGTCGTCTCTTATGTCATCGGAAGTGTTATCAGAAGGTCGTCACCAAATGTATTTCTAAGTCTAGTGCTGATCTTGACTCGGACGAAGCGAAGTTGAACCACAGGATTCCTCATCGGTTTGAGCCCACCGCTAACAGAGGGACAAAGTGGTGTTGCCATTGTGGTTATATCTTACCCTGGGGAAGAAAGAATGTCAGGAAGTGCACCGAATGTGGTGTCATGTGCCATACCCAGTGTACTCACTTGGTTCCCGATTTCTGTGGAATGTCTATGGATATGGCTAATAAGATTCTTTCCACCATCAAGTCCACCCCCAAACCTACTCCGAAGGCAACAAAGCCCCTTAAATCTAGGACTGGGTTCCCTCCTATGGAGCCGATCAACCTCGGCCATAAAGCTTTGTCTTCGGTTTCTTCTGACACTTCTGGCTCTGGTTCCACCGCAGTTGCTGCTCCTCCAGTTTCACCATACCAACACCTGCTTCCACCTACTCCTCAACACCATCAGTTCCCTCAACACTACGAAAAATCAGGAGGTTCTACTGAACAAATAGGTAGAGGTGTTGATAAGTTCGGTGACCCATACGATGAACAAGACAGATTCAACCACACACTACCTACAGCTATTCCAGATCAGTACCAAGTACCTGTCTCCACTTCGGAGCATCCTTACAAACTGCAAGCAAGAAGACCACCCCCTCCTCCTCTTCAACAACAGCAGCAGCAGGAATTTCCTGGAGACTACACATTCATGTCTACAAAGTCTGAAGAACTTTTGGCACAACCAGAACCCAGCAATCCTTTTGCTCCCGAAGAATTCGACTACACGCACCAGCCAGAAAAGTATGCCTCACAAGTCCCTGAACAGCTTGTTCCTGCTGAGAAAAAGGAAAAATCGTCTCCACACAAGGCCTCTAGACGCCGGAGAAAGAAGGTGGGCTTGGATGACTTCCAGTTCTTGGCTGTGTTGGGTAAAGGTAATTTTGGTAAGGTGATGTTGGCAGAATCTCGCCATACCAATAATTTATGTGCTATTAAGGTGCTTAAGAAGGATTTCATTGTAGAAAATGATGAAGCAGAAAGTGTGAAGTCAGAAAAGAGAGTGTTTTTGACTGCAAACAAGGAAATGCATCCATTCTTATTGAATTTACACTGTTGTTTTCAAACGGAAAACAGAATCTACTTTGTCATGGAGTATATTTCGGGTGGTGATTTGATGTGGCATATCCAGAACTCCAGGTTTTCAGCCAAGCGTGCCAAGTTCTATGCTTGTGAAGTGTTGTTGGGCCTTAAGCATTTCCATGATAACGGAATTGTGTATCGTGATTTGAAATTGGATAACATCTTATTGACTTCCAAGGGACACATCAAAATCGGTGATTACGGATTATGTAAAGAGAACATGTGGCATAAGAGCACTACCGGCACCTTCTGTGGTACTCCAGAGTTTATGGCTCCAGAAATTGTCTCAGGCAAAGAGTACACCCGGAGCGTTGATTGGTGGGCATTTGGTGTGCTTCTCTTCCAAATGCTCTTATGTCAATCCCCATTCAAAGGTGATGACGAAGATGAAATCTTCAATGCTATTGAACATGATGATGTCAAGTATCCTATCAGCATGCCTCGTCAAACGGTGTTGATTCTCCAGGCATTGTTAACCAAAGACCCATCCATGAGATTAGGTTCTTCAGAAAGAGACGCCCTTGAGATCATGGAACACCCCTACTTTGCCGATGTGAACTTCGATGACATTTTGAGCTGTAACATCCAACCACCATACTTGCCAGAATTGACGAGCGAGCATGACTACTCCAACTTCGACAAGGAATTCACCTCCGAAACTCCAAGATTGACTCCTGTAGACACAGTGTTGACATCTGAAATGCAAGAACAGTTCAGAGGGTTCTCTCATGTTTCCGATGACGCTGCCGTTGTATAGAAAATTATCTATTGTACCAACTAATTTAATCATTTACTCACTAGAGCCTTCGCGTTTTCTTCCTAGATTCGATTATGCACCGAAGTATGCACGGAGAGCAAAACAAAGCTGGATGGGACGAACAGGGTTCCATGAAGAAATAGACCAAAGAAAAACAGCCATGAATGACTTCCGATGTGTCTGAGGTAGGCCAGCTATCACATACAGTTTTTGTGTTCTTTCCGTCGGTGTTGGCAATTTTTGATGGTATTCTATAAAAATGCTTAAGTCTATAATTTTGCTCTATAATTGATTGTTCCCTTCAATTCCCTCTATAATGGGTTTTCGACACTCAAGTCATAGTCGTGTGACACTCCTATGTCTCACATCACAACACAACATCGGGAGCTGTTTTTAGTGTCCTCATGGACCTGCTCCATCACGCTTTCATCTTTTTTACTGGGGCTCTCGTGCTTCACTGGAACCACCTCAGCGGAATGAAAATCTTCTGATTTAACCACCTCCTCTTCTATCCTTCCTATATGATTTTTGGCTTTTCTAGGCAGTCCTTCAGGTGTGGAAGCTAGCGGAGACTTTCTAGGAGAAATGGCCACCTGGGACAACCGTCTGCCAAACAGCTTTTTCTGGCGGATTATCTCCGCAAGAGGCTCAAACACCTTGTCCACATTTGTGCCCCATCGGGAATTAGCTTCCAAGAACTTCAATGCCCCTATTTGATCAGAAAACTGCTTCCCTTCCTCGTAACTGACGTTTCTCTCATCCTCCAAATCGCTTTTCAAGCCCACAACTACCACCGGGGGCATCTGATCTCCACCACGCAACTCCACCACCTGCTCATACAACTGCTCCATGTCATGGAAAGAATGGTGGTCTGTGATGGAATAGGCAAACACCATTCCTGAATTGTTCATGAGCTGTCTTTTCCTAGAAGAAGAATAGTTGTCTTGCCGCGGATTCAAGTCGAGAATAGTGACTTCGTTGTAGCTGTGACCCGTCCGAACCACTTTTGTATATAAATCTTCAGGGGCATTTTCCTCCTCAATATAACGGTTATGAATGTAGTACAACACCAACGACGTTTTGCCCGAGCTCTCCGTACCTAACAAACAGATATCATACTCTTGGTTCAAGGTGCCAAAGTTGTCCTGATGCAAGTTCATTCTCACGCGACAGGGAGGTTAATGAGGAATTTTTTCGAGATTTTGGAAGCGATTATTGCATATCTGTGAGACAAAGAAAACGGTTTTCGGGTCAATCGAATTAGGCAATTTGAGTTTCTTTTTCTCAACGGTTTATGTAACGCGGAAAATCTTTGAACGGGATGTAATTGGTCTCTGGGGGGTGGCTTCGAGACTTGTGCCATATTTGTGGAAGTCGGTACCTTATGGGTCAGGTTTTGTTTCGCCGGTTCGGCTTGTATATATTATATGTATCTAACTATAGTCGTCATCGTCAGAATCCAAATATTGCGAATAATCGTCAGCAGATGCGAACACGGGCAACTGCTTGAGTTTCTTCTTTTTGTTGCTGGATTTGTCGCTATCATCACGGCCCCGTTTCTTGGTGTCGGTTTCGCCGTCGCTACTGATCTCATCATCCTCGTCGATAAAATTGAGGTTGTCGTCGCTGTCTCCCTCTGAAAAGTCCAATTTTCCATCGAAATCAGCAAAATCAGTTTCTTCCACTCCCTCTGCTTCACCTTCGTCAATCTCTTCTTCGCCTTCGTCAATCTCTTCTTCGATCTCTCCATCGTCGTCAGAAAAATCACTGTCTCCAAATCCAACAGACCCTTCACTATCATCGTCTTCGATTTCAGGCCGAGATTTCACCAACGCACTCCAAATCTCTGCATCATCCAAGTCTTCTTCATCTTCATCCTTAGCTCTCTTCTTGGTTTTTGCCTTCGTTTTGGAGTCCTTGGTGGTGAAATACTGGTGGAAAAATGATTCGTCTGGACGAATGTCCTCAGTCTTTTTGGTCAACCAGTCTTCGGTGTTGACAGGTACATCACCACTCATGACATTGGTGGCTTTAACCAAAAGGGAGCCGGTATGACTTCCTCCCAAGGGCTGCATAATAGAAGAACCTTTGGTGATAGCCTTTTGTTTGGCATTCTTGTACACAAATCTGTCCAAGAAATGACTTAAGCTGTATAAGCCCAAATCCGGCTTGGTCTGGTCTTTACCTTCCAAAAATGATTCGGCATAGATGGATACAGTAGGATGGTAATGGGTGAGAAATGGTACGACTTCCCAGAGGCAAGACGAGCTGGCTCCTGCAAACTTAGGGTCTCTCTTACGACTATCGTACTGCTCTTCTTTCTTTACCTTGTCTTCAGCTTCTGGTCTCTCTGCCTCACTCACCAACAAGTCTCCAACCTCGGGGTAGATTTTGCTCAACTCTGTGAGCAAGTAAAACATTCCTGAAATGGTTCCTACATTCAACCAATGACTGCAAACTTGAACAATTCTCTTGACGAAGGCTAATACTCTGTTTGGCTCAGTAGTATCACTCTTTAATGCTTTAAACAATAAGTTTAAGTAGATACCTTGTTTGGAAGAATTGAGTAGTCTCGGATCCAAAAGAGATTCATACAAGGTTCTGTAAAATCTGTCTGGGTTCAAGGCTTGTTTGGAAATGATGTGATGAACCAACACCAATGCTTGGACAGAAGTGTTGAAATTAGAAGAGTGAGTGATTCTGAACAAGGTGTCCAAATGCTGGTCATAAACTTCGTTGGACAAGTTGGAAAATGGGAAAGCTCTGTTTAACCCTGTCAAAAGAGCAGAAAACAACTTACTGTTTCTCTCTTCTGCAAGCTCAGACTCAGTCTTTTCTTGCACTTTGACCGATCTTCCACCCTTCTTTCCTCTTTTGAAGTTTTTTCTCAAATTCTTTCTGCCCTTTTGGGTCTTACCAAGGGTTTTGTCACCTTTTTCAGCCGTTTGAGGATCACTTTCAATAAGCACCTTCTTGAACAATGAAAAGTATGTATTGACCAAGTCATTGGCTATCTCTGGCTCATTTCTGGTCAAAATCGTCTGATTCAACGTCAACACGGAATAATACTGAACATTGTATTCACTACCAGGCTTGAAAATAGTATCAACCACTGACTCAACAATTACTTTTTTCATCGCAGGATGAACCTGCTCCAATTGCAAAATTGCAAAGGAGGTTTTCCCGGTCACCTTGTTATCTGAATCACCCAACTTGTTCACACCAAGTCTAAGCAAGTTGGCTTCTTGTTCTGGCTTTGCTTTCAACAAGTCGAAAATATGTGATACAACATTCATTTTAACATGCACAATGGGATCGTGGGACAAGTGTTCCAAGATTTGTACTAACTTAAAGTATGATTTTTTTAAGTGGTCCTCAAAGTAGTATATGGCCAAATGAGTGTCAGATATTTCTCTGGTCATTGCCCTCTTGTTGAAGGCTATAAGTCTTCTGTCTGGAAGTAATCCATTCACTAATAAATCCTTGAATGCGTGGATGGCTTGCAAAGCTGCAGTTCTGGATTTTTTCTCACAGAAGCCAAGTAAGGTGTCAAATGCTTTGAGGTTGTGCAAGGGAGATTCTTGGACTAATAAGGTCAAGGCAGAGATTTTATCATTCAACGTACCATCTGATAAAATTTGAGATAAAAACTTTCTTTGGGAGTTATTGGACGTGAACTCCTTCAAATAAGTCTGGTTATCATCCTCAACCACTTTCTGGGCTCTTTCGTATAATCTTTCTATTGCAAAACGATCAAGTTTTTCAGGGTTTGTGACTGTCTCCAAAGGAGTGTTGTACCAGTCTAACCGAGAGGGAATTGCAAGTTTCGAGCTGTCAACTGCTGAAAAGTCAGTGACCTTGTCTGGGTTTTTCTTTTCTTTCGGTATAGTTTTTTCCTCGACCTGAATTTCGGTCTCTTCTTCGGATTCTGAGTCTGATGATTCTGACGATTCTGACGACTCCGATGATTCTTGTTCTTTTACTTCTTCTACTTCTTCCTCTTCCTCTTCTTCCTCCTCCTCCTCTTCCTCCTCTTCTTCCTCCTCGTCCTCTTCCTCATCTTCACTTCCGACTAACTCAGGAACATCGTCATCACTCACCACATGCACTTCTTTTCTCTCCAAGCCAATACCTTTCATAAACAGGCTCAACTCCGAAGCCAACAGCTTATCCAGCTTACCAGTTGCATTTTCAAACTCTTGTTCACTTTCGTCACCAGATTCTACTCCATTCAAGAGAACCAAATCGTCTTCTGTGGCTCCAAGTGCCAAAGCTTCGCGACGCAATATTTCATCTTCATGGCTGAGGGGCTTCAGGTCCTGCTTTCCTTGCGTTGTCTTCGAAGCCTTACTTGCCTTTGCACTCTTGTTGCCTTTAGTGCTCAACTTGCTGGCAATTTTGTCCTTCAAAGAACTTAAATTGAGCTTAGAGGCATCCATAGTCGCTTCTGCTAAATCGTTAGAAAACCTCATCTCCATCTCAAATTTTTTTTAAGAGCGAGCATCGCATATGCAGGATTGCTTCTTGATCAAGGACCAGAATACAGAAACGAGGTAGATAAAGATAGGGAGGTAACTAGAATAAGCGTGGGCGAGATCTGAGAGATGTTGGTAGAATGGGTATTATTTCTTCTCTTTCTTTCAATATTTTGGGATCCGTTGTGCCTTTTTAACCTTTTCTATAATTGACGAAATTCCCTTGTTAGAGAACTACAAATATACCGGGTACAAATATCATTTGCTTTCCAGCACACAAACACAAGCTCTCTAATTCCTCTTGAAATAAGGTGTGGGGCAAACAAATCTCTTTGGGTGTCACGGACGGGGAAAGTCGTGTGCGGAAAACACAGCCAACCAGGCCCTATACTTTCCTAGCTTTCAGCATAACAATCCTAATAAGCACCCATATAAAAATTCAACATCCCTGCCGATATAAACACATCTCAGTACATCTCCGGTTACAGAATACTGGAGTTCTCGTCCAGTATTTTCAAGTTCACCCAACATTGCTTTTTGCTTCAAGATAGCGTGATCCGGATTATTTCTCCGGATTATTTCCCAGTGCTCCAGATTGTGAGATTTTCCGAGAAGGATCTCCAGACGCTTATATTTCCGGTATTTTTCCTTCAGTTGCTCGTCCTTCGATATATTCATCTTTTTTCCACACATGACAGAACAATCCAGCTGGCCCCCCAAGGAGGCCACCAACAAAAGAAGAAACAGCTACATCAAGTTCGACTCACCATGCAACTACACCGTGAGTAAAAAAGCGTTGGGAGAAGGCTCCTATTCAACGGTTTTCGAGTGCAAAAACATTAAAACTTCAAGGCATTATGCCGCCAAACGGTACACTAAGAAGCTTGTGTATGGTATAGAAGACATGCTCCAGAATGAATTCAGTGTCCTTAAGGCTATCAGTCAGAGTCACAAAAATTTACTTAGTCTAGTGGACTATTTTGAAACCGAACAATTCTTCTTCCTCGTCACCGACCTTGCAAAAGGCGGAGAACTATTCGATCGGATAATCACCGGTGCCAACGAAAGGCTTGCAGAGTTTGAAGCTGTGAAAGTTACAAAACAGTTGGTAGACACCATTGAGTTTCTACACTCTAAAAACATCATCCACAGGGACATAAAGGCAGAAAACATACTTTTCCAGACCAAAACTAGCACCAACATTTTATTGGCTGACTTTGGTTCAGCCAGGGTACTTTCCTCTTCGGAAAAGTTGTACAATAGATGTGGGACACTCAGCTATATGGCACCTCAGACGCTTAACAAATCAGGTTACTCTTTTGAAGCGGATATGTGGGCAGTCGGGGTGCTTGTCTACTTCATGCTCTGTGGATATATGCCATTCGACTGTGAAACTGATGAAGAAACTATGGAAGCTATCACAAAAGGAGATTATATGTTTGAGCCTACGTCCTACTGGAACCATATAAGCAGTGCTGCAAAAGACTTTATCCGGCAGTGCTTCCAACTTGATCCCGATAAAAGAATGACTGCAGAAGAAGCTAATACACATCCATTTGTGAGTCCATTGACTTCCAAATCGTCTTATTCGTCATACTTGAACTTGAACTCACTCGCATCCAACACCCCGAGCTCAATATTTACCTCATCTGCTAGTAATTTGAGCTTAGCAAACAAACTCAAGGAGTCACTCCAGAACCTTCAGAACATACAGAGAGATCCTCGGGCACTGTATACACTTTCCCGGACTTCTAGCGACTTTGGAGATGAAAAGTTGAAAGGAGCCATGTGCGAGTCCCCCAACATCATCTCCAAATTCAGCACCCCTGTAGCTTCAACCGCAGTTTCAAGGGCGGCCAGTGTCGAGCAAATTACCTCCAGCGTCCCCAAACTCTCGGTAGATCAGAAACATGCTCCAACGACGTTTTACATATGATTATAGATTTAGACCTAACTTGGGTGAATGATATATTATTACGTAAGCATGCACGCTGACACCTGGCGCGCCATGGGCGCTGCTCGCGGTGGATCAAATCCAAAAACAACGCACCACCACAAGAGTAATGGAAACCGCTTTAAATATAGCCCTGGGCCTCTCCGATGCCTCCAAACCACGGGAAGAGCGGGATCTTCTAGAAATATACCCTGATATCGACGAAACACGCCTCCTAAACGTGTTTGTAGTGGCCCACCTGTCACAATCGATGCAACTGTACCAAGATCGACTACTACAAACCAACCCACTAATGGGAACGCTCAAAGAGCCACAATTCCGCCAGGTAGAGTCCAGCACGAAGGAACGGCCGACAGAGTATCACGTGAGTCGCATAATCGGGGACTACGGGTTTGTGGACCTACACTCCAAGCGTCTGCTCTATAACTACAAACCACACTACCACCGGCCTTTCCAAACCAACCAAACCGAAACCATTTCGGAAGTGATCCGCCACAAAAAGAAGCAGGCTGAGTATGATATGGACGAGCAGGACCTGTTGTACCTCGAGCATCGTAACCGGCAACCGGAGAACACTCTCGATTTGAGTCCAGAGGTGTTTGAGATCGCGATGACCATCCTTGAGAACTTGTGGATGGACCTTGAGAGCCAGATGAAGTCACTTGCAGGCGATGAGGAGACTATGGCGATAGATCTCGACCTCGATGGAGGGCTGAACATCAACAAGTACGGTCACGACGACGGGATAGTGTTTGGGACCGTTGACGATCAGAAATGTGCTGTTTGTAACGACAGTGATGGAGACAACACCAATGCGATTGTATTCTGCGACGGGTGCAATATAGCCGTGCACCAGGAGTGTTATGGGGTGGCATTCATCCCCGAAGGCCTGTGGTTATGTCGGAAATGTATGATCAACCAGCACAAGCAGTTTGACTGTTGCTTTTGTCCGAGCAAGACAGGAGCATTCAAGCAGCTCGACAACTCATTGTGGAGTCACGTGGTGTGCGGCCTTTGGATCAACGAGTTGTACTTTGCCAACCCGATCTACTTGGAGCCAATCGAGGGAATTGACCTGATCCCCAAGAGCAGGTGGAAGCTCACATGCTATATCTGCAAACAAAAAATGGGAGCATGCGTCCAGTGTTCGAACCGCAGCTGTTTCCAAGCGTACCACGTCACCTGTGCCAAACGGGCTCAGTTATATATGTCGATGACCAAAGGGTTTCTCGCTGCTGTCAAGGATAAACTGACTCTAAAGTCGTTCTGTGATAAGCACACTCCTACCGATTACATTCTAACCCAAAATGAGATCATCGACGGCATCAACAAAGCACGGGTTTATTTCCGAGATTTGACGTTGTTGAACCTTGAGAAGGATAAGCTTGACCGGAACAAGCAGCTCAACAATAAGTTGAACATGTTCAAGTGGAAAACCGAAAGTAATACCCCAATAGCTCCACGACGGTTCAGTCAAGTACTTTCTGCTAAGCTTTTCGAGATGAAGTTGGATTCAATAGACGATAACGGCAATTTAGGAATCCTCCGAGGATTGGGCAATAAACCCACGAGGACCAAGGAACTGTACCTTGCTGAACTTGAACAAATGAGTAACGATATCTGCAGGTATTGGTGTTTAAAACGGGAATCCAAGAATGGAGCCCCGTTGATCCGCAAGAACAACAACTTGATCAACACGTCGTCAATTCTCTACGGCAGCAATACGCTCCAAGAGGTGCAAGAAAAACTCGATTTCGGCAAGACCCTCGTGGCGGACCTAGAAAAGGTAATTCATCTCAGTGACTTAAGCTTGCATAGACAGTATATACAACAACAGCTCATGCTTGCTGACCAGCACTTGATGCAAACGTCCTTTTTCCCTGTGTCACAGCTCATTCGTATCATTTTACAGGAGCTCACCAAACGGTACGACTCAAAAAAAGTGCTTACCAATTGGAAAAGCCGGATCAGTGACGTGAGCCTCAAAAATATTTCAAACCTTAATGATCAACTCCAGATCCATAGCGTGGCCCAGTTGCAAAAACATTTGAACGAGCTCAACCAGCTTGTTGTGCTGGAAAACAAACTCACTAATAATGTGGTCAAGGTATGTGCCCGTTTCTACAACGGCTTCGCCGCCAAGTACCAAGACTATATCGAGGTGGAAGCTGACCTAAAGCAGCTTCCGGCACCAGTGCATCTCACTGCTGAAAAGGTGACGTTGGTCGACGATCTAGATTATAGTGACCTCAGTGAGGTGGATCCTTTGGACGAGGGAGCGGAGGATAAGTTGGTGGCCTTTTTGGGTAATGGTAAGCAGCGGCGGTGGTAGATCGATCACTGAATTAAGGATCTGGTTGCGATTAGGTTGTTGCAACACGCAGTGGATAGGAGGCACGGGAACTCCCACCGCCGGCAGGTGATATACGACAAGTTTAAATTTTACCTAATTCACCGATAATATGTATACAGGTGCATATAACTTGAAATACATTGCACAAAGCTTCCAGCCCCTATAAACTAAAGAATGGATCCGGCCGGCTTAATTGGGAAATATAAATGTCAAAACTGGAGCCACTCTACTGTAACTTCTAAAACTAGAAACATAGAAACGTATTGTGTGCACTTTTGAAACTCTAGCGCCCTGCCACCGAACTAGGAGATGCACTCCCACTTCCGACGTTATAGTTTGATGATTCGGTACCTGTCGGTTCCACAAAAGTTTTTCGGGGTCCTCCAACCATTCAACAATGTATTCAATGGCCCACACCGGTTGGCGGGCACTGTGGTAAAATTATCCTTTTTGTGCACCACAAATAAGCATGAAATACGTAGGTACCCCTTTAACCAGTGTTCTGTTGTCCCCGCGGATCTGCAGTATTTGAGGCCGGAACGACAGGGCCATATGGATTTGTCGCATCTCAGAATTACTTTCGTGTTTGTGTTTTGTTGATGAGTACATCATCGTCTAACGTCTTCAAGTCTAGACCTGATGCGTTTAAGCGTCCATGGCTTATGTATGGGTTTGCTCCTCTGGCCAGGGGGGTTCATGCTTTCCTGAGATTTTTACTGAGGGAGATGAGGTTGAATATGGTGCACATAGTCGCAGAGACCCGAAAAAATAAAATAAAAATAAAAACTTGCTCGACAGCACGTATCAAATACTTACTAGAGTCAAACCACAGTCTTGAAAAAGCTACTCCTCAATAGATCTATACAATGGAATCATACATGCCTCACGCAATTGTTTCCTTATCTTCGACGGCGTTTATAGAACAAATACAAACAACAGTAATTGGGGCAAATCACAGAACTCGTCCCCCCAAAAAAGAATTAAAATAAAAAAAAAGAACCTGTAACAAAAGGTTGGCACCTTTGCTCCTGTTGTTATGTCCTTAATAGCTGTCTTTTTCAAGCTTGACGACGTACATTTTGGTTACAAAAACTCTGGACTGCCTATATTCTGGCGTTTTTCACTTGCATAATAATAATAATTTCCCAATACTGCCTAACTGTTTTTTTTCATTATTGCAAATACTGTATCTTGAGGTTTCTTAATATTTTTTGTTTTTTGTTGTTTGTTGTATTTCTTATCCCCCCGACTTTGGTATTATATCGGTTTTATATAACCTCGCCCTTGCTGTTTCCATATCAAGCCAAATAAGATTTAGTGACATTGGTTCGCTGTTTTCTAGTGAACACAAAATACACGAAAACAAACGAGAAAACGAGAAAAGTAGATAGTCAATTTTTCTCACGTCCGTTCCTTTTTATTACTTTCCTGTTCCTTTGTTTATCACCGTGCCTTTGTCGTGTTACGAGAACATCAACCCTCTGGAGCAGTAATCTCCCAATCCATTGACCGGTTTGTTTGTGTTTTTCCCCCCAGTTTCGGACTACTCATACCCTTGTCTTTCATTCAAAACAATGTCCCATACTCCAACACAAACCCCTACCACCAAAAAGACCAACAAAAAGCTCCCTATGATTGTGGACATAGCCCTCGATGGAAATGGCAAGCAAATATACCAGGTCCACGAGTCCAGCAAGTTTGTTCGAAGAGAAATGCCTAGATCCACCAAATTTAACAGTTCTACCACAGACCTACTTGATGAACTCGACGAAGAAAAAACTCCCATCCGCAAGATTTTGGGGACCATTAGTCCTAGCACCTTGAACCAAAAGAAAGTCAGTGATGACGACTCGGGTGAGGATTCGAGTGTTACAGAACCCGAAAGTGCCACTAGACACGGGTCTATGGGGAATATGCTTTTCCCAGACGAAGGGGATGAGTACTCTGGTGACCTTCTCGACAAGAACAAGGACATCTGGTCGGACGATGTGGAATTGGCGTTTGAAGAGGTGTTGTCGATCATTCCCAAGAATGGCCTCAATAAGATCAAAATCAGTGGACGATCCTGTGGCCGAAATGAGTTGATCAGTGACTATATCTTAACCAAAACTGGCAAGTACCGTACCAGAAAACAGGTCTCAAGTCACATACAGGTAATCAAGAATTTGGGCAAACGACTCGATGTCATCAAGTTGATAAACGAAGGACCTTCATTTAAAGACGACAAGGAGCAGATGGAGAACACCAAGAAGTTCGAGGAGATATTTCTGCAAATCAACCTCAACAAGTCGTTGGGTTTCAACAAGGCCCCCAAGAGGCAATATTCTAACTCTGAGCCGGCTCACGGTGGGAAGAAACTTAAGTCCAAACCACATCCCTTGCAATTGTCGACCATGAACTTGATGATTGAAAACTTCTACATGTCGATTTATGACTCCATGCTCAATAACCCGATAATATTATCCTTACATGATAACCAGGAGATCACCAGCTTGAAGTTGAAGCCAAATGCCAACATCTCCAATAGGTTTCCGGAGCTCATTAGCATGAACAATTTGAACTTACCGATTTTGCACAACTTGGTGAGAATCCAGTTACCTACCAACTTTCCTCTCAACTACTCGATTGGCCAGGGATTGAAGACCAACTTGTTCATTAGAGGACCCGCTGGACTGGAAGAGAAGCAGTACTCGATGTTCACGATCATTTACAACTATGGGAAAGACTTTTTCAAAATCAACGAAAACCATATCAAGTTGAACGATAACTACGACTTCTTGAACAAGTTTTGGAAATTTTTCCTCGACAACGAAATGAATTCCAACATCAACACCATCAATCACTTGACCATCAAGCAAATTCTCTACGAGGATGATCCCGTCACTAAGGACGAAAATATGGCTGGCCACAATACCATTTTGAAAATTCCCAAACGGAAAATCAAACACATCTTCTTGTGGGAGTTCGTCAAGGTGAACGACCTCAAGGATGCTGTTACCACCACCTCACGATTGTTGCTTCCTGACACAGTGGATGACCAGGTTTTTCCTCAGGTGGTTACATTTAACTCCAACTATTACGACCCGGCAGGCCCTAGTACAGGTACTACCGCCGACTCCAATCCCTTCACCAACCCATCGTATGTTTCGTCCGCCCAAACAGACTTTGGTGCCATGGACTATAAACTCAAGCGAGAGAATCCTGATGAAGACCTAGGCTTGAACACCATGAGCTTGAACCCTCTGATGCCGTTGGCAATGGTCACTCTGTCGCCGCTCCCACCTGCTCCTGTGCCGGTCTCTGGCCCCATGCCCGTCCCACACGGTGCCGGCTCTGCTGCACACTCTCAGGGTTTAGGAGGCCCAATGTATTCGCAGCCAATGCAAATGCCCATGGGTGCAAATTTCCAGCATCTAGACTACGACTACCAATTTCTCTACGGAGAACCCCCGTACCCAGGTCACCAATAAACCGAAGACATGCTTGCCCAGTCCCATAGCGAATCTATTCAATTCTTCTGTATAGGAGTCAGAGAAAAGGTAGTGGTCACGTGACGAGATTTTTCCCGAGTCACCGCCGCACCTGACTCTGTGCGCATTAATATAAAATCTCATCTATCTACATCTCATTACAGTATGGATACTCAAACAGTAGGAATCTTGGGAGGAGGCCAGTTGGGCCGAATGTTGGTCGAAGCTGCCAGCAGATTGAACGTCCGCACCCGTATTTTGGACAAGGGCTTGTCGCCCGCCAAACAAATCAATGCATCGGAAGTACATGTTGATGGCTCATTTACTGATTACAAGAGCATTAAGGAGTTGGCCCTTCAATCAGACGTATTGACGGTTGAAATCGAGCACGTTGATGTTGCTGCTTTGGAGCAGGTGCGAGTTGAAACTGGAATCAAGATTTATCCTTTGCCGGAAACTATAAGGTTGATCCAGGATAAGTACTTGCAAAAAGAGCATTTAATCAAACATGATATTCAGGTCGTTGAATCTGTGGCGTTGAACGAGAATAGTCGTGAAGAAGTTTTGAAGATTGCTGATAAGCTTGGGTTCCCGTTGATGTTGAAATCAAGAACTTTGGCGTATGATGGCAGAGGCAACTTTGTGGTGAAGACCAAAGACTCAATCGAAGAAGGTCTTGAATTCTTGAAGGACCGTCCTTTGTACGCCGAGAAATGGTGTCCGTTTGTCAAGGAGTTGGCAGTCATGGTTGTGAGATCCATCGAAGGGGAAGTTTTCAACTACCCAATTGTGGAAACCATCCATAAAGATAACATCTGTCATTTGGTGTATTGCCCTGCTCCAGTGAATGCTTCTGTAATGGCAAAAGCCGAAATTTTAGCCAGGAATGCCATCAAGACGTTTCCTGGATGTGGCATTTTTGGAATCGAGATGTTTGTGTTGGAAAACGGCGAACTTTTGATCAACGAAATTGCTCCAAGACCCCACAATTCCGGACATTATACCATTGACTCGTGTGTTACATCTCAGTTTGAGGCTCACATTAGGGCCATCACAAACCTCCCCTTACCCAAGAACTTTACATGCTTAACCAACTCATCCGTTCACTCGATTATGTTGAATGTTTTGGGTGATAAAGAACATAATAAAGAGTTACAGGTGTGTCGCAGAGCCATGGAATTGCCAAACACCAGTGTGTACCTATATGGAAAGACATCTAGACCCCAGAGGAAAATGGGCCACATCAACGTCGTCGACACTTCTATCTCCAACTGTGAACGTAAACTTGATTATATTTTAGGGGAAGCTACATCATATGAAGTTCCAGTTGAAGGTGATCAAAAGCCATTGGTCTCTATTGTAATGGGCTCTGATTCCGACTTAGTAGTCATGTCCCAGGGTGCCGATATCTTGAAGAAGTTTGGAGTTCCTTTCGAATTGACCATTGTTTCTGCCCACAGAACTCCTATAAGAATGCAACAGTTTGCTATGCAGGCCCAGGGAAGAGGTATCAAGTGTATAATAGCCGGGGCTGGTGGTGCTGCCCATTTACCAGGAATGGTTGCTGCTTTGACCTCTTTGCCAGTGATAGGTGTCCCTGTAAAGGGGTCCACTTTGGATGGAGTAGACTCCTTACACTCGATTGTACAAATGCCTAGGGGAATTCCTGTGGCCACCGTTGCCATTAACAATTCCACTAATGCGGCATTGTTGGCTATCCGTATATTGGGTACTGATGATGAGAAATGGCTCAATGAAATGAACCAATACATGTTAAACATGGAAAGCGAGGTGTTAACAAAGGTCGAAAGGTTAGAGAGAGTTGGCTACGAGAAGTATTTTTCTTTTGGGAAATAGTGTCGATATTTACTATAAAATCATCAAGTTTGTAACATCAATATATCGTTAACTCCAAATGTAATTTTGTTATTTTAGGAGAATGTAAGAAATAACCCGTTAAATGCCCTTTATATGTATTAGAATTTCAATGCCTTGCCAGTCTTTTTCTTACTGTTCTTTTTCTGCTTGTACTGCAGCTTCCTGGAGTCTCTCCACCCGGAGGTTGAGATCTTCTTATCGGCATTCACCGCTTCATTATCTTCGAGCTTACTACCAGTCTTGTCTTGCTTGTTCAACTCTTCCTTCATTTTGTTGGCGAGTCTCTCCCGTCTCTTATCATCAAGGTCCTTGAACTCCTTGTTTCTCTTTATGCTTTTGGCCCTTAACACGTTCTTGGATCTTAATGATTTGGCCATTGTAGTACAGTTGAGGATATTTTTTTGTTACTCATCTCATCAGAAATCGAACCGCACTTTTTATCAGAGTCATATATGTGGAGGCAGACAAATATTAAGAAATGTGTGCTGAAGAGGGTGAAAAGAGGATATTGTTGTTTCTGTTATTAGTGTGGGTCAAAGGTTCTTTGGTAAGACTATTTGAGCTATGCGTGAAGATTTGCATAGACTGTAGTATTTGAGAAAAGCATATAAGATGCTGGCATTAGCTATTGTCCATCAAAAATAAACTACTTCGGTTGGTGGAGCCTATTAAACTTCTATTATAGCTCTTCTGTTCAAGAACTTATAGTTTGATGGCTGATTGTAGTGTCATGTGTGCTAGTGATTAAAAGTTGGGCGTACACGACCAAAGTTGGCTGCAACTGTGGATCCAGTAAAGCAGATGTAGAGATACCCCATCAGCTTGGTAATGGTGTCGTAGTAGCTTAAGATCATTTCTGGATTGAGTGGGTTTGGTTGGGGAGGTTTTGTGACCTTTAGAAATATTGAATAGAATATCAATATGGTGAAAATCACAGAAATGAGAGAAGAAAGATACCCAGATTAACTCTTTACACCTAAGGTATAAAAAGATCACACAACCAGTACACAAACAACACAAACAGCACAAACAGCACAAACGGCACAAACATAAACACAAACATAACCCATTTAGTGTCCTACAATATACAACTCTACACACTCAACACTTACATAACCTGTAGTTGAAGAGAGTATGACTTCATGGCTAAACCACGAAAAAATACAAATATCGCTCATGCCCACCAAAATATAGTCCGATCATCCCTCCCTCACACCTCACACTCCAAAACCCTTCCATTCCTACAAAATACCAGTTCTAAAACCGTACCGCCAAACCTCCGGAACCACCAGGGCACAGCCCTGTGACTGCGCACCAGAGGAATTGTGTGCGAACACTGCACCGTTTGTGCACACAGTTTCCCAATCGAGCCCCAAATATGAGTAGGAAGGAGTTGGTACTCACACACCAGTTTCTCACTCACTGATGAAAAAAAATCCCCTACTCGAAAAATTTTTCTTTACTAAACTAATCCGTGAAATAATGGCTAACTTAAGAACCCAAAAGAGATTAGCTGCTTCCGTTGTCGGAGTTGGTAAGAGAAAGATCTGGTTAGACCCTAACGAAACCAGTGAACTCGCCAGCGCTAACTCGAGACAAGCCATCAGAAAGTTGTACAGAAATGGTACCATTGTCAAGAAGCCAGCTGTTGTTCACTCTAGATCTAGAGCTAGAGCCTTAAAGGAAAGCAAGAGTTTAGGTAGACACATGGGTTACGGTAAGAGAAAGGGTACTGCCGACGCCAGAATGCCAGCCCAAGTTTTGTGGATGAGAAGATTGAGAGTGTTGAGAAGATTATTGGCTAAATACAGAGATGCTAAGAAGATCGACAAGCACTTATACCACTCGTTATACAAATCTGCCAAGGGTAACACCTTTAAACACAAGAGATCATTAGTCGAACACATCATCCAGGCCAAGGCTGAAGCTTTGAGAGAAAACTCCTTGAAGGTTGAAGCTGAAGCTAGAAGATCCAAGAACAAGGCTGCTCGTGAAAGAAGACAACAAAGAGTCGCTGAAAAGAGAGAAGCTTTCTTGAACGACAACTAATTTTAGCCTAAGGTCTATTAATTCATTATGTATAAATTTTTAGTGCAATAAACCTCTTTATTGGCGGAATTCATTGATGTGATCGTATATTCATCAGGTAATGCTATTATAATCGGTGTCCTGGTACAAGGCAAAAAACTACTGTCAATATGGCGGTGCATAATAGGATCAAAAATGTTACCCATAAACTTCTTTTCACCAATAACTTGAAGATAAATGGCTCCTGCAATCGTATGAACCTTGTAGATTCTTGAAATGATTGAGATCGTTTAAACCACACCAACACTGGATCAATTAAGTAGATGGCTGAAACTAGACAGTAGAATCCAATGAAGAACGGCACTAACACCGGAATTCTGAGGGACTTGGAATAGTCCAAAAAGATTAAAACGTAGCCGATCCAAAATGCAATGAAAAGGAAAAACAACCCAACAATGATTCTGATAAAGTTGGAGTTCAAGTTTTTGATGGCTATGAAGTTCAAGAAGTTGGGCAAATGTTCGTTTTCGATCTTGTTGAAAATATATGATTTGACTCCATTAAAAATATCGGGATCATCTCTACCATCGATTTCGATCGATTTGATGATATATTGATTCAAATGACCTGGTAAGTTCAAGTACTTCTCTGCATCTTCCACAAAGTACTTGAGAAGCAAGCTTTGTGTCGAGTCTTTTAACTTGTTTCTGGTGATAAGGCTACCTGACATGCTATCATGAGGCGAACTCTTTACGAGCTTCTCGAGTAATGATGGGTTTATCGAGGAATCTCGGTTCACTTGAGTGTAGTTCGCGCCAGCGCCTTGGTAGTGGGGATCCATTCTATTTTCGACGTCTTCAGATGTCAGGAGGCCTTCCATTAGCTTGGATTGGGAAGAAATTCGCTTTTCTCCAATGGAAGAAAACCCACTTGGAGGCCTGAAAGTTTCATCATACTGCAGTTGGTACTGTTGTTGGTACTGCTGCTGAGGCAGGTTCATCAATGGAATGCTAGAGGCTCCCGAGTCTCTTTGCGTTTTTGGGTCATAGTCAGCCTCATACTGGTTGATCAAATCTACCAATTTAGGGTCGGTCACATTCAAGTCTCCTCTTAAAAACTGGGACAACCGGTTGGAGTCATTGTCCTGAAGAATATCATCGTTGATGATCATATCCAACAACACACTGGAACTTAAACTCTTATGATTTTCCAGTAAGTTGGATGCCCTTTGCTGATGGAGGTTCTGTTGTTTTAAGAGTGATTGTCTCAATCCTTTGACATAATACTTACACAAGTTGAGGTGGTTGACCAAATCAAACCAGAAGTCCAAGTACTCCACTCTATTCTCTATTTCTCTCATAAAGTTGTAAAAAGTGAAGAGGTCAACTGGTGACTTGGTTCTGTTAGATAATATCTCTCCTAACGTGGGTAATCGATTAAGGTCCACATGCTGATTGGTACCATTCAAGTTGTTCAAGTTACTCAAGTAGTGAGAGTTGGGGTAATCCTGCTGGTACTTCTCGTCCATTACTAGCAGATAACTTGGTGTGATATGTGTCTGACGTGGAAGGAGTTGGTAAATAATGATTTAGTTTTTCTTCGTTTGATTTTAAGGAAAATGCGAAGGTTCCCGTTTTGAGCACAAACAAAAATAAGCGGCTGTCTGAGAGGGAAATGAGTGGGTAGAAATTGGGAGAGAGAGACAGGGGAATTGGCTAGAGACATATGGAATGATGGAGAGCACAGATGGAGGAGAGGGTATTTGGATTGGGTGACATCAGGCGGAAGCTGGGTGGTTTTTGGTAGGAGGTTGACAGGGTTGTAGAAATCGTGCGGGTGCGAATGGTTGGCTTCGTCAGTTAGCACCAATTCTCAACCGCCAGACGAACAGCCAGCCACCACGCACGTGACCTACACACCGGCCTAGACAATAGGATCACCGACGCCATATGATTGACTGGAAGCATTGATAGACACTCCGCACGACGCTTAAAACGAACTCACTTAGGAACCCACTTTGATGAAATTTTCAAACATTAAGTATTGCCGGATTATACGGGAACACTATATTCCAATAACTCCGCTTGAAATATTGCAAAGTGGTCCCTAGAAGATTTTGTAAGAATCCACCAAAGCATTAAGCGAATTGGCCACAACTCCGCGCACAAAAAAGACTTCATCAAAACCTCACTCTTCTTGCATATTTGGTACATAATGATACTTATACCTCTTGCATAAATGGTACATATTTATACATCTACGTGCAACGACAAGAAACTGGTTGTAAATCATGACTAGTACCGGTCTGAGAGGCGGAGTTTTGAATCTACACCGAAATGTCAATTTCTTCACGCAAGTTGAACAATTCACCATTACAAATACCGAAGCTATTAGTCCGTGATTGAATGCTCTTTGTTGTGAGGCATTTAGATCCCTGGCACCATCATCTTCAAGCAGTGCATCTTTTCTACCCGTTTCCTATTAACACTGACCCTAGCATTTCTTTTTCTTCTTATCAGCGATCCTATTCATCCGGAGGGGTGCAACGGGCCCCCTATGTTTAAGGCTGTAATTTACTATATTTTTTGATTTATCCATTTTTCTTTAGTTAGTTGCTCCGATCAAAATTTCGGTAAAAGCTCGGATCAGCACTGTTGGACAGTTTACGAACAACTGAAACTTTCGAAGATAACAGCTGACAACCGACACAACAGCGATGCAGTAAACCGGAGCAGTAGAACTTAGCAAGTTCGACTGTTCTATATCTGAAATGGGCGAAGACTAAAATAACCCCCTTGAAAGCACCCCAGAAGAATATTCGGGCTACACTAGCTTTAGATGATATTAGACGTTTGGACGAGCCCTGCAGTATCCCCCACAGGCACGTAACGAGTCAAACTGTACATGCATGGCGATTAAACTTAGCCTACGATACGGCTCCAAACCGCATGAGCTGTTGTGGGATCAACCATCCAAAAAATAACCATATACAGAGAAATAATATTTCCTGTAAAGTATGTTTGAAAATAAGGTGACAGTTATGCGCCCGAATTTGTTTCATGTGAAATTGAGGCAAACCAGCTGACAGAAATGTCAAACTGAAAGGCGTGGTGGGCCATAGACCTAACCCTTTTTGACAAAAAGGTTGATGAAATACTTATCTTACTCCTGAAACGTGTCTTACAATCAACTTTCATGAGAACAAATGAAATATACAAATAAAACAAGGTTTAATGAAATGATAAACAACCTCGCTAAACTGCTCCAAACTGGCTAATTTTACGAATAAAAACCTTATACTCGTAATTATTACCAGATGCCGTACAATGAGTTTTGAGCCTCACAAAATAACATGGAAAATACCAGCGAAACTTTGAGGCACTCGCACCAAATCCCTTGATCATGCTATTATGCGATTTCACCAAATCGCACGACCTACCCCAGATCCAGGTCCTTGTACTTTGTTCACCTCATTTGGCTGCCCGCCTCCAAAGAGCTAGGCCAACAATTTCTCGGCATGTCTTGATCTAACTTTACGCGCTCTCGTCATTGATCGTACGTCGCACAATGCCGAGTAGTGAGGACTGGGTGATTGTTTCTGTAATACGAACATGTCCGAAGATTGGGTCACCGTTATGGCGCCCTTCGATGCTTCCCTTTTTCCAAAAAAAATAAAATTTAGAATGAAAAAAATACCATCTCGAAATAACCGGTATGCACTTTTAGGGATATCGAAAATCTCAGCTCAGCTGGTAGTTGGTCCACTGAACCAACCAGTACTAGGAGCTCGATTAAGCTTGTCAGTATATATTTTGTAGATTAGGCGTAGCTGGTTTCTTCGTATCGTATGGATTGTTTACGGGCTGCCCCAGAATCGAAGGTTTCGCTAGCGTTAAGCGAAATATATTACATACAGGAAATATTACTTTCTGTTTCAGTTCCATGTGAGCGTTTGTCCATAATAGAATTGCTTTACAATTGCAATTGAAAAAAAACACAAGGCTGTCTAAAGGTCAACCCAGAAAGTCTACCGACAAGTTCCCCCACAGGTTGACAGGTTTTGCGGTCACGATAGATCAGCCAAAAAATTCATACTGGCTACTGATTGTAGCCCCTCCGCAAATAAGGGAGATAGACTAAATGTAAATTTTATCTAGGAGTAGAAAAAACACACCAGGCCCCATGATATTTTATAAGACTTTGCCCTCACTATCATCCCACTTGTATTTGTATTTTTTTACTTTGAATCGATGGTTTCCATTAGATATCTGCTGGTTTGACAGTCGCTACTCACAACCCTGGAGTACCACCGACATACCAGTACGCCAGTACCAAGCTGGCTACCCAAGATTCTTTTCTCATCTCATCTCAATTGAGCACTGAGCACTGGTAAAACATGAGGCGTACTATCGCCTCACTTTTTTGGACTTAAGCAATAAGGTATTATTATTTTATTTGGGTTTCATGCATAATAATTGGATGATGAAGCGATGGTTTCTAGAAACATTTTTTTTTTTTTTTAGTCAGAGATGGGGTCAAAATATATAGATCAGAACCCCTAGTTCTCTGTTTCGAAACTAAGGCCTCAATTTTCCAAACTTAATCCCCATATAAAAATGATTAGGCTCTTTTGGGTACTTCTTTGGTTTTGTGCTTCACCTATTGCTGCGACGCAAGTTACCGGAATATTCACATCCTTCAATGACCTTACGTTTCAGTCGAGTGGATACGATCAGATCCCGCTGAGTCCTAGTTGGTACGCCACTTTGGGTTGGACAATTAACGGTGCAAATGTAGCAGCCGGTGACACCTTCACCTTGACTTTAGACTGTGTCTTGAAGTTTACAGATTCTGCCTCCACCTTCAACTTGGCTGTAGGATCCACAACTTATGCCACTTGTACTTATAGTAACGGAGAATTGATCGTCCCATACTCCACTATCAACTGTGTGGTTTCCAGCAGCATCACTACTTCCACTTCTGCGTCTGGAACGGTGTCATTCCCCTTCACCTTTAATCCTGGGGGAGGTGGTAGTTCTGTTGATTTGACTGATTCTACTTGTTTTTCGGCTGGAACCAATACTGCTTCTTTCCATGACGGTAGCAATACTTTGACCCACACTTTCACGGTTATTTCAGAAAACACTTCTTCAAATGCTAAGTCTTATCAACTAGTTAGATCAATGCCATCGATGAAAAGAACACAAATTTACCATTTGGGTGCTACCTGTAACGGTGGTATCGTCTCGGGATCTTTTGGTATGACTGTGAGTGGATTTGACTGTAACAACATGCACGTTGGTATTACCAATAACTTGAACGACTTTTTGATGGTAAAGCCAACTTATTCCAGTTTTTCTATGACAGGTACCTGTAGTACCAGTGGTTATGTCGTAACTTTCAGTAATATTCCAGCTGGATATAGGATGTTTATGGATACTTTGGTTCCATTTCCCTCAAATGGTTACTTAGGAGTCACCCTCACCAATACTGTGGTGTGTGGTGATGGGACTACTATTAATGCCAATCAATTTCGGGATTGGAACACTTATTCCAGTGGAAGTTCGGGGTCCAGTGGTAATGCCATTATTGTCACTACTTCGACTTGGACTGGGGCCACTACCAAAGTCACCACTTTACCATATAACACAGCTGCTGGAAATACTGAAACCATCTTGGTGAATGTCCCAATTCCAACTGTCACCACCACTACCACTTGGACTAGCCTGGGAACCACTACTGTCACAAAATCCGCTTCAATTGGTAGTACTGCTACT